GGGCAAGACGTAATTTGAGCTATGAAGTGACCTCTACTTAACTCCTTAATAAATCGTATCCGAAAGTTGCAAGAATAGGCCTAACTGAGTTGCACTCTGGTAGTGCTGTTTGGACACAGCGCGCACGAATCATTGCAGCACTCACTTTAACGCTATCTAGGCCCTCCCGGGTCGATGGTAAACCGGATATACGTCTCCGACTTCCTCGACCTGAACCTCACCTTCTTCAAGCTTCCTTACCCACCTGAATTCACCCTTCTTCGGATCCATAACACACACAACATGCGTCCAGTAACCGCAAGTCGGCGCTTCCATCATCCACTCCTCAGCTGACCCAGCGGTACACCTTTGGCACACGACCTTCTTTCCCTGAAATTGCACCTTTGCATCTCACATCACTTCTCCTACTTGTCCGCTAGACAGCGTTTGCGATCTATACTATTCTTATTGATATCATTCATGGTCATGCTCAAACGCCCTTTGCCGGTGTGCGTAAAGTGTGCGAATTGATCCTCGTATGACACGTCGTGGTTTGTAACGGTGATGAGTATTGAGCTGCTTAATCTTTTGGCGGTTCCGCGATCTTTTTCGAGGACGATGGTTTCATTGGAAGTGCAGAAGATGATATACGCTGCTGAGGATTGGATAGAAGGGAGTAGTGTGGAGATGTCAGCCTTGCTGTAACGTGTTCTTGCCTCGACCTCTGAGGTTTAGTACTCGCCGTTTTCCTGGGCGGGTGTAGTGCGTGGAATGATGAAGTTTCGCATGATCGAAGCTTTGCTTGGCTGGAAGCCTAGTACGGCTACAAGCTGCTGAAAATGATACTTTTGTGGTAGTGTCTTCAGTTGATAGATGCACCGAGGCCACCTCTTACACATGTCAGTACCCCGACGAAACCTACGTAGCTCACCGTTCTCGCAATGACAGGCCCACCAGGACTTGCTACATGCTCAAACTGGACGAGGAGATTTCGAAGCAGAGGCGTTTCACAGTCCAGTGGTCTGAAGTGCATTAATTTTGCCCGACTCCGACTGCTGGACTGAACACGTACGCCGCCGCTCGTACATCCCATGAACAAGTCCAGAAAAACGTTGTATGCGATGATAATGTACTTAGGGACCATCGAAACTCCACTGTTACCCTAAATTTCCTGTCTGTTCTTTGCTGTATACTCTGTGCCGCAGGCCCCGTATCACCAAATGTTAAGCAATTAGGCAGAGGTACACAGTCAGAAGGTTGTCAAAGACACGTCTGAGCAGCTGGAACCTGACGAAGTGTTCGTCAACAACTCTGCCACAACGCATGGCAGGTTCAAGCGAGAGATCGATATGGTAGACGGGAGGCGGGCCGCAAGTTTTCAGTGTTGAGGCAATATAAGCGACAAGGATGAAAAAGTACAAAAGACTGTCAGACCTTACGATTTGATACATCGTGCATCGAGCAGCGGGATCCGAAATACCACATCTCATTCGTCAATATCAACACTTGTGTGAATCGTAGTGTGGAGGAGAGCCAGCGTTAGTTCGCTTTCATGTCGGCTACATACCCCAGATCACGCTAAACCTCATTCAAAGCTCTCCCCATCATCCTCGGTATCACCAGCACGTTTCCCCGCGGGAGTCCTTAGCCGGCGACTCGATCTCACGACACCACCATGCCGACGTCGAATATATCAATGTCAGACTCTCTGATTGCCCCTTCATATGTACCAGATTGAAGTCCCAGCACATCCATCATGGCTTCAAAACACCAAGACCCTCCTCTCAAGGGCATCCGCGTCCTGGAATTCGCCGGCCTGGCACCTGGTATGTTCCTTCACCTCCACCTGACGTGTTCAATGTCTAATTCGCGTCTCCAGGGCCCTTCGCAGGCCTCCTCCTCGCCGACTACGGCGCCTCCGTCCTGCGCCTCGACCGCGCAACCACAACCCCCCACCCAACATCCGACCAACTCACGCGCCGCAAAACCTCCATATGTGTGGACTTAAAATCGCCCTCAGGCCTCGCGCTCATCAAGAAACTTATTCCCACCGTCGACGTCCTGATCGATCCGTTCCGACCCGGCGTCCTCGAGAAGTCTGGGCTGGATCCGGAGAACGTGCTGCGCAAGATCAATCCGCGCTTGATTGTGGCGCGCATGACGGGATTTAGGAGGGATGGAAAGTACAAGGATATGGCGGGGCATGATATCAATTACATCGCTGTGAGCGGCGTGTTGAGTTTGTTTGGGAGGAAGGGCGAGAAGCCGTATCCACCCGGAAATCTTGTGGGGGATTTTGCGGGTGGAGGCGCGATGTGTTTCCTCGGCATCTTACTGGCGCTGTTTGCGCGCGAAAAGACAGGTTTTGGACAAGTTGTGGAAGCGAACATGGTGGATGGCAGCGCGGTCTTGGCCACGATGCCGAGATTGGGGCTCAAGACGGAGGTGTGGAGGCGCGAGAGGGGGACAAATATGTTGGATGGTGGAGCACCATTTTACGACACATACGAGACGAAAGATGGGAAATATATGGCTGTCGGAGCCATTGAGCCACAGTTCTACGCTGCCTTGTTGAAGGGACTGCAAGTCAAGCCCTCAGATCTCCCAGGCGACAGAGACAATCGCGCAGACTGGCCGAAGCTCAAGGAGTGGTTTGCGCAGAAATTCAAGACGAAGACGAGGGATGAGTGGGAGGCTATTTTCGATGGCACGGATGCTTGCTGCACGCCTGTGCTTACGCATGACGATTTGGAGAAGCAGGGACATGATCAACGGCCAGCGGTCACGCTCAAGAGCACGCCGGCTTACGCAGTGCATCAGGGCGAAGAGGGGAGGAGTGCTGCTGTAGGACAAGGGAAGGGACATGAAGGCAGCGGATGGAGCGAGAAGGGATTATTTCCGGGTAAAGGCGGGGAAGAGACATTGAAGGAGTGGTTGGGATGGAGTAAGGGCAAGCAATATGGAGAAGAAAAGGGTGGTTTGGTGTGGGTGGACGGGGCGAAATTATGATCATGCGAAGTATAACCAAGGAAGTCGGATTGAACTTTGTAGCATGTGGATAACATGGAATTCGTGAGGCACACTAAACACAAATCTGCTGAGATACGAAACCCCCTCCTCGTCTCTTTACACAATACTCGTGTCTTTCTTCCGAGTTTTGCTGCCCTCCACATCGCTGGCTTGGGGAGTGACGTTGGAAGCCTCATCTTCATCTGAGTCCCTCACACCTGTGCTGGTACCAGTATCTTCTCCCGGTGCTTGTGCACGTATTTTGCGGCGTGTCAGGACGTTCCAGCGACGTCGCAAGCCTTCCTGTAACGATATCCACGGCTTCGTCTTCTGGTGGTCGCTTTCTTTCGGGTCCGTATCACTTGTCTCCATAGCATCATCCTTCTTCGGCTCCGTTTGGCTGTGTCGTCGCCCGAAGTGGCCAGTCCAGCGAAGATACAGGAAGCCTAGTAATATACCTGTTGGTATCCAAGTTGCGAATCCTACTAGGGCTTTGGCAGTTAGTATCATGCCCACATAGTGTTATAGGGACGCACCTATATATCCGCCAATGTACTTGAATTCGAATGCTTGTGATTGTGCTTGCGGCAGACTTGAAGGGGTTTCGATTATCTTCTGGTGTTGCAGAATTTCTCGCACGGGAAGTGCGAAGAGACTCGTCATGAAGCTCAGAGGAGTGAATATGACGGTGACGATGGCAAATGCGAGGGCGGCGAGGCCGACGAGCATGTTGTTCTGTGTGTCTTCAATGTTGGCGTAGGTGCGTTGAAGGTTGAGAAAAGAGTCGATGGCCTTTTCCGCACGATCTGCGTCTTTGTGTATTTTGCTAATTCGATTGGTGTACTGGTCCAGAGTTTGCCGTGCTTGTACCACTTCTTTCCATGCCCTAATGTCCCAGAGATCCAACGGTGAATTCTCCGCTGCATCCCGCGCTGCCTTTGTGTCTGCGAGGAACTTGTCCATGACATCCTTCTGCTGATTGAGGACTGATTGAATCATGTCGAGCTCGCAGTGAACATCCGAGATTTGATGAATGAATTCAAGCTCCTTCGTTTTCTGTTCCTTGGTCTTGAGTTTAGTTCGATCTGCCTCTAGATAGTTGTGAACAGCTGACAATGTCGATGTCAATGCAGCCTCAAACATGTCCAGAGGCGGTTTGAACATTTTCCCTTCCAATTGACTATCCCTGCCAAATATCTTGACGGACGCAGCAAGCAAGACGCCGATTTGGGCATTGATTGATATATCAGATATGAGGGATCCATGATCGGTAACAGTATGTTCGTCGAGAAGTTTAGTGATCTCTGAAAATGCGCTCAACAATACATCGTCCATCCTCCAGAGCCAGATCTGCGGTACCATCAGAATCGGGCAGTCGGTAATGTCGCCACCGAAAGTTCTGAGGTATTCTTTTGAGACGATTTGGTCCTTATTCCGAGCCTCCAATGACATTTTATCTAAGCTTGGATAATAGCTTTCGTCCAGTGTCTGCTCAAGACATATGCCAACCTCTTCATCGAAAGCCCCGCCAATGTATCGCGGTAAGGGCCTTAGACATCCATGCACACGTCTTTCGCGGAAAACTCTCCCTATTGTGTCTAAGACAAGACACGGAAACTGCAAATTAATCACAGAAACCCGCATGTATGAAAATGCACTTACCACGATAACAGTCGTTTCTTCATAGTCTTTGCGAAATCCAGATGATCGAACAACAGAGCTGTCGTAAATGATGTCCTGATAGCTCAGGAGTGGGTTACTGGGGACGATAGTGGGGGTGAGAAAACTAGAGGACATGAAGCGCGTAAATGCATATTCAGAATAGTTGAATTCTTTCTCATTGCGCTTTTCATCAATCTTCCTTGCCACAGCCTGAAGTTTTTTAGTGGATTGAAACGATACTAGGTTCTCTATACTAACCAGAAGAGTAGAAATCTTTTTCTTGTCAGCAGACTGACAGCGGTTCGTTAATAAAGACCTACGGAAGTGATTGGAACATGAATCCACATTGTGGGGTATTGTTCGATCTCACCAGCGTGCTCCAATCCAATAATGCTGTTGTCCAAACTGATGCTAATCGCACTGGTGTTGTGTGCACATAGTCCATCCCAAAAAAAAGTCGAGGATATATGTAAACTTTTACGATATACCCCGTAGTCTTGCCAGCACCTGATAAGGTTGTTTCGTCTGAGAGCCGCACCTATCTGTATGACTATATCGTGTGGACAGTAGCTTTCGATGATTTTTGGCGAGACCTTTGCTGGAGTTTGAAGACTGAGATCGGCACCCTTTGAAACAAGTAACTCAATGCAATCTAGTATGCCGTACCGAGTAGCGATACTGAGAGGAGCTTGTCCCTCATTGTCCACCTCGTTCAGCTTTGAGTCGCCGTGCGGGATCTTATCGAGTAAGAGTTGCATTATTGCACATATAGCGGCAGACAGCCTCGGAATTTGAAGCGACAATAGGCTTTGGCGCCGCCGGTGTATTTCCGTTATGCAATCGCCAATGCATAGTTTGGAAGTTCCCAAGGGGTCAGCACGGTATTGACTGCACAGCTCCTCTAGAGACTGTATCGCTTCTTCAGTACACTTCATCCGCTCCGCAGTTTCTTCAAGGCGTCTGGCTTTCTCTAGTGCAAGATATCAGTGTTTGAGCATTCGCAAGATGATGAGTGATGTACATACGGTTTTGTTTCCAAGCTTCTTCAGGTGCCAGCTTCGCATCGAGTGCTGCACCTAGCACAAGCATTTAGTTTTTGAGCATCTTGAACGACGAGTGTACTACTTACTTGCATCCTCGTCCTCGTAGTCTGACTCTACTGTAGGCTTCTGCTTGTCTGATCCTGTTAAAGGTCTCCTCCTGTCTTTCCTATGTTCCATCATGAGTAAGAGCGAAAATTCGCAGAATCTCTACTCATCAAAAACTAGAAGTGAGCGTTGAGCGTAATACCCCCGCCAAAACTTACAAGCCGGGCAGCTCATATACCATGAAACAGGACGACAAGCACGAGTGCGGCACCGTTCTCAAGCCCGTGTTACACCGGGGAACTTTGTTGGCCGAGGAAGCCACACACCACTCATGCCGTAACGGTGCCAAACCAGGCAGGAGCCTCGCACATTGTTGTACCCCAGGTGCATGCGTCCCGACAAGAAACCAATCTTCGGCTTGCACATCGCTGCACCACAGATAGGAAGCCAATTGTTGGTGGGCAACACGGTAGATATATGGCATGTGGAGATTGTTGCGTCTCATGTCCAACTTCACAATAGGCTCTGCCTTTCAACCACTAGCATTTAGCAGCCTGTCCAACCACCCAACAAGCCTATTCATGTGAACCACAATAAGCTTTGCCTAACTATAACACAGGCTCTGCGTACAAACCACGCACCATGCGCTTCTTGTGATAACCACAGCATATGTTCTTCTGCGTACGAACCACATGTTACGCTCCGCCTGTGGGCAACACAATGAGGTTCACTGACGAATCGTACGACAAGCTCTGCCTGTGAACCACCCAACAAGCTCTGTCTGTGAACTGCTCAACAAGCTCTGTCTGTGAACTGCTCAACAAGCTCTGTCTGTTAATCACGTGATAAGCTAAGCTCATGCATCTGATCTTGACACCCATATCGCCCTCCCATAAATCCACAAGACGGGGCCAGTTATGACACCTTCAAAGTCCGCCACCAAGCCCATTTCACCGAAGTTTACTGGGCAGCACCAACATTCACCAACACAACGCACCCCACGAGTGAGTAGCTCTTGCATGAATCCGACCCAAATCCATTTAATCATACACCTACACCACATCTACCGCCCCCTCTTCGCCTCCTTCTTCGACTTGCCACCCTTCTTGCTGCTATTCCTCAACTTCTTCTTCTCCTCGTTCGCCTGGATACGGGCCCGACTCTTGCGCCACGCCGCCCACCTATCTCCCGGCACAAACTCATCAAACTTGACACCGGCCCTCTCGGCACTCCGCCCAATCTGCCAATTTTGCTCGCGGAACGCATAGCCCTTGCCCATGGTTAGAATCCTGCCGCTCTTATCCCGCGGCGAAGTGGTGTCTGGTGTGGTAGTCGCGAGTAATTGGTCGCCCGATTCCACGGTCCGTTCGACAGCCACCATGTTTAATCGGCGTTGCCGCGGCGCGGTGAGGGGGTAGGGGAGCGAGTGGTGTTTTTCCAGCGCGACGCCGATGAATTGGCGATCGGGATGTCTGTTCGGGTCTTTGTAGTATCGTACATATCCACTCTCCGTAGCGAAGATGCAGTGGTCTCGTCCGAATTTGCAGTTCTCGCCGGGGAACCAGGCTGTGCCGCGTTGGCGGAATATTATGTTGCCGGGGATTACATATTCGCCTGGAGTGGTGGTGTTAGATGTGGTGTGTATGTATATTGGGGAAGGGTGTATGTGTACCTCCACTTTTCTTCGCTCCTAATCGCTTTCCTGGACCGTCTTTGGCGCCGTTGGCTCGTCCTTGGGACTGATGCGAGGCGTATCGTACGAAGGGGAGGATTGTGGTTGCGAAGGGTGCGGTGGTGCCATTGGCGGCGCGGAGGGCTTCGAGGACAGATTTCGAGGGTGCGATGATCTTGGATGACGCTGATATTGATGCGCGCACTGGCGCTAATATTCGTGGGAGCAGCATGGCGGTTGTGGTGTCGTGTGGTGTCGTGGTCGACTTCATGAGACTTTTCGAAGTTCGGACGGCATTCTCCGCTTTTGTCACTAGCGTCATCTCTCCGCAGTACACATGTGCATCTTGAGCGTGATATCAAAGATGTGCATATCATCTGAGGCACGATTCCATGTTTGATACAGCTTGTAATTAACAGGCAGTTACAACTAGAACAAACGCTCAAACAATCTCTAGCAACCTACATCCCAGCCTAAAACACCCTCACTAGAATGCCAGAGCCAGTACAAATGTCTATCATACCATCATCTTCACCCTCCCATCCACAACCACCTCAAATTACTGCACCTGGTTCACAATCTCCTGCGCCTTTGATAAGCTCTCCACCATCTGCTGACAGTCCTTCCTCCTCCTGACAGTGTACTCCGACTCCTTGAGCAGCTCGTCCAGCTCGTCAGTCTTGTACATATTGGTCAGAAGTTCGCCTTGCATGTTCTCCTTGGTCCAGGTAACGAGGTTCAACATGATAGCCTTGGGGACCATGTCGATCATTGTTCGGCGGACGATGTTGAAGTATGATGTGATGAGCAGTTCTAAGGCCATGTTAGTGACTGTTGTGGTAAATTCAAAAGGACATTAACTTACTAATAACCTCAACTTCTTGCACTTCCTTCTCTGAGAGTGTACCAGAAGCCTTGAGCGTCGATGGCGGTGGCTCCATAGCTGCCATCTTCTTCTTGTTCTTACTCGCAAAGAACGAGCCGAAGAAACCACCACCGTCGTTAGGGTCCAATGATGGTGATATCGATCGCGGGGGTACAGAAGGTGGCATTGGCTTGCCAGTCTTCGGATCCACTTGTGTCGGCTTGCTAGAGTTGTGGCGCTCGTGTATAATTGCCATAGCACGCGATCCGTTGATGAAGTCAGGGTGACCGGTGTTGATGTAGCACGACTCCATAGCAACAAGGTCCTTTACGAGCTTGTTGGTCGGGTCCATGGCCTTCTTGAAGAAACCAACCACGACGGCGTGCAGCTTCTCCTTGAGTGCGGGATACCGTCTGAAAGAGTTCTTGCCGAGGAGTTGACCGAGGATGCGGATCAACTCATCATACACCAAGCTTACACACTTGATGCTGGGGTCCTCCAGGCGTTTGATCTGCTGCTTGACGATGAGTTCGAATGCAGTGGTTCCGACAAAGAGTGCGGGCGATGATCCGGAAGAGTTGTAAAGAACAGTTCGGATGTCGACGTCCTTGACTTGATCGAATGGATCTACGGCCTTGACACCGTTCGCGTAAAGCTCATGGTAGACGAAGGAGATACGCGCACCACCTGAGAGCTCTGTTGCGGAAAGCTCTTGGTTGTTGCCCTCCAGAACGCCCCGGTACTCGTTGGTGAACTCGGTGATCATGTTAAGAACAATGTTAGAGCTGTTGCCGAGCATGGAGTTGCCGAGTGACGCGAGTTCTGCTTGGTACTTCTGTAGCGAGGAGGCGATGCGCGCTTTGATGTCGGGTAGTGTTTGTTTGATGTGCATCATGAGAATCTAGAAACGTTAGCTGGTGTTCCGACGCAACCCGTACAAAACGTACCAAGTTCAGCTTGCGCGCAAGGTAGGGTGTACCGCAGTAGGCAGCTTTGTTGCGGTATGCCTTGTGGTTCTCAAAGAATTGCTTCTCGTGCTCGAGCGCATAGGAGATGGCCTTCTTGTTCTCAATATCCCTCTGTCCTCGGTTCACGACTGGTACGTATCCCAACCGCAGTGGAATGATGCGACCAGCGAGAATGTCAACAACATCTGTTCCCTGGTCCATCAAGTCGACCTTGGTCAAGACACCAATCGTCCGTTGACCTTCTGGGTCGACCTCTCGTGCCAGTTGCAGACCGTCCGAGTTGGCCAAATCGGTGTTCGCTGCTGTGACTGCCAATATGATAGCGTTGGATTTGCTGATCTGCTTCAGCACCATCTCGCGGATCTGCCTCTCAATATCCCTAGGCTGATCTCCAACAGGCACCTTTGTCAAACCAGGCAAGTCGACCAGAGTGAGCGTCAGGACATTGGGCGAGTATATCCGCAGGTTGATGGGCGCCGGCGAGATACCCGCATTGCGACCAGTCTTTGCATCTGTCTCTCGTACAATCTCGTCCCTTATCTTGTTGAAGTCGAAGAACTTCTGGCCGGGAATGTGCAGGAACTCGCCCCATTCGTCTGCGTTGTTCTGGGCGTCCGACGACTTGATTTCTTCGGAGACGCCATTCGATTGTGGTGCTGCGGCGCGGTTGATGAGTTGGAGAATGAGCGGTCTCCGCGTGACGATGCCAGTTCCTCGAGGAAGACTGGACGCATGTTTGTTAGCGGTGGTCGCAAACCAAATGACCAGGCAGCCGCAAGCACTCACAAGTCTCGTCCAACAATATTCTCAAGCACTGAACTCTTTCCACTGGACTGCGATCCTACGACGGCGATTTGGGGCAAATCTATGGGGTTTTGGACCTAACTTGGGCATCAGTTTGCGACCTTGACAACTAGCGGTGACGTGTTTGCCATGTGAAATCGTCGAGGGGAAGTAACGTACTCCTACTGTGGTGAAGACATCCTGGAGCTTGTTGACCAGCGTAATAAGCCCTGGGTCGTTCACGTTGATCCTGTATACCGCATTAGCTCTCCGCGCTGCGAGGGGCTGCCTTGGGCATGTGCCTACGCATTTGGGTTTGTCGCCATGACAGGCGAGACTAAAGTTGAGGTTGTTAGTAGATGTGTTGGGTGGTGACAGCGGCAGTCAGGAGTGTCAAAGTGTTATTTGAATCGTAGAAGGCGAAAGTGTTTGGGGGACTGGGGTTCGTTGCGCGGGTGTTGCGTAGCTGCTGCAGGTGCGACTTGGGTATCAAGCTTGGACCAGGGGCGCGCCACAATGGCTGTGTACTCGAAGCTTGCAAACGGCGAATACGCTCACGCAACTTCGGCGGGCTGTCTTACTTCAGGAATAGCAGCGCAGTACTTGTTCGAAGTAGCGAGGCACCTCTCCATGTGAAGACTGCGCTTTCAGAGTGGCAAAAAGACCAACAGCGCTCATGACGCTCGACTGCGGTCACAGGACGCGAACAAGCGTCGTCAGCGAATCCAGGCATCAACATAAAATTCTTGGTACAATTCACTATCTATCATCAAGATATACGGTATGAGCACGCTATGCAAACGACATCTACTCGTCAATCACCGACGCAAACTTCTCCGTCATCTTCTGGAGCAGCTCCTCGTACTGGGACATATGTTAGCATAGTTCTTCAAGGTGGCTTGCGTGATAGACTGACCTTCTTGGTGACTGCCTCCTCGCCTTCGCTAGGCAATTCAAACTTCATGCTACGGAGCGAGGCCTGGATCTCGGATGTTGAGTCGCGAATCTTGGGCCAACTGTGTCCCTGGGAGATGGCCTTTTGTGCCTCGTCGTGGAACGCCATCATGTTCTTCATCATCCACTCAGTCTTCCACAGTGGGCAGAACTGATCGTAGTCTGAGTAACCGTTCTGTTGCAGGAAGTCCTCCTTCAATAGAGTTGCGACATCGAGTGTGATCTTGTCCGAGTCACCCAAGGCGGATTTACCGACAAGCTGCACGACCTGGTCGAGATCGTCCGAAGTGGTGAGCAGCTCCTTGATGCGGTCGCGCAGACGGGGGAAGTCGGGGTTGTTCTTGGCGTAGTACTTGTCGAGCGGGCCAGTGTACTTGCTGTAACTAATAGATGTGTTGACTGACGGGAAATGCTTTCGCTGAGCGAGCTTCTTGTCGAGACCCCAAAAGACCTGGACAATGTTGAGAGTACTGGTCGTGACGGGATCCGAAAAGTCACCACCCGGAGGGCTGACAGCACCGACAATGGAGACACTGCCGTAACGCTCAGGGCTACCGAGCGCCTCCACGCGACCGGCACGCTCGTAGAAAGAGGCAAGCTTAGCACCAAGGTAAGCAGGGAAACCTTGGTCAGCAGGCATCTCTCCGAGACGTCCAGAAATTTCACGAAGCGCCTCGGCCCATCGCGAGGAAGAGTCTGCCATCATGGCGACGTCCTTACCCTGATCGCGGAAATATTCAGCCACAGTGACTGTACGAAGTCAGTGTATGTCTCACATGCGGGCTCATACAATTATTTACGTACTACCAGTGTAGATGGAGGCTTCTCGGGCAGCCACAGGCATGTTGGATGTGTTGGCGATGAGCGTGGTACGCTTCATGATAGGCTCCTTCTTGCCATTGACCTCAATCGTGAGCTGTACTTGTCAGTGTCTGATCTGTACTCGTGGATATATTCTCCTACCTCTGGGAAGTCCATCAGGACTTCAGCCATCTCGTTTCCTCGCTCACCTGAACATCATCAGCTTTTTCGATTCCATCTGAAGCGTCACTTCGTTCATGAGGCACCCCAGGAACATTATTCTACAGGCAGTCCATCTGAAAAATCACGGAAGTCTACTCACCACAGCCAACGTAGACGATGATGTCACTGTTGGAGAACTTGGACAGCGATTGCGAAATAACAGTCTTTCCGCATCCAAAAGCACCAGGAATGCACACCGTTCCACCCTGAACACTGGGGAACAAGGAGTCGAGCACACGTTGTCCGACAATCAGCGGGCGGTCAGACGAGAGCTTCTCGGTCGAAGGACGAGGCACTCGCACAGGCCAGCGGTGCATCATGCTGTACTCAGTCTTGGTGCCGTTGAAGTCGAGCTCCAAAATCTTCTCATCGACTGTGTAGCTGCCCTTCTCGGCGATGCGGGTGATGGTGCCCTTGGCGCGGGGCGGGAGCAAGATCTTGTGCTCGCTGAGCAGGCTGTTCTCAAAGACGGTGCCGAAGACGTCGCCGCCGGTGATATGATCGCCGACCTTGAGCTTGCCGGGGGTGAAGTCCCACTTCTTCTTGCGGTCGAGAGCGGGCAGGTCGATACCGCGGGGAATGTAGATGCTGTTGGCGTCGTCGGCAATACCCTTGAGCGGGCGCTGGATACCGTCGTAGATGGTCTCCATGAGACCCGGGCCGAGCTCGACGGACAAGGGCTGTCCAGACTTGATGACAGGGTCACCGACAGTCACACCAGCTGTACTGCGTTAGTGCTGATATCGCATTGGGGTTGTGTGGCGTACCGGTCTCCTCGTAGACCTGGATGGTGGCTTTGTCGGCATCGATTCGAATGACTTCTCCGACGAGGTTCTCGTGGCCAACACGGACCTGGCGCTATCAGCATCTCGTCTGCGAAAGTCCTTGCAAGTCACCTACAAGCTCGTACATGGCAACACCGATCATGTTCTCAGCCACGATGACGGGACTGTAGCGGTCAGTAGGCGAGTTGCACGTTGCGATGAGTGGACATACCCGGAGACGGAAAAGACCTTTCCTGCACGTTGTTAGCTGCTATCCATACTGGTGCGACACATCATCTCGAGAACTAGACGTACCATGCTCCTCTTCCTCCACCTTCTGCTCCTTCTTCTGTGTCTTCTACGCCCCGCCATTAGCTGTGTACGCTACAAGGATCTCTGCCAACGGCGAAGCTTACAGGAGGCATCTTTGCTACTTCTTCCGTTCTATCTTCGTCTTCGCTGTCTTCCTGGAGTGTGATTCGGGGCGGGGGCAGCTGCGGCGGCTGTTCTCGTTGGGGCGACGGCAGCGGGCTCGCAGGCAGCGGGACGCGGAACGGCTCGACGTTGGCCTCGAGGATGGGGACGACTTGATCGACGGACGCAGATAGGGCGTCAATGTTCTTCTTCTGGATAAGGTCGAGAAGAGATGGGCGTGTCTTGAGGCGTGGTCGAATTCCGAGCATTCAAGCTTGAGGTTGAAGATGAGCCGTGCTTGCGATCGAGTCCCCACACCACCTGCAAGCTAACGCCAACAAGTTCAGGAGCTTGGACCACACGTCGTCATTTGACATTCGTAGCACCATGTCCAGAGTGTCAGGCCGCTGATGAACTTCGTATCTCGGGAACCGTTTTTCATGAGATCAATGTTCGTGCATTTCTTTCTCGTCGCTGGTCACAACAGGCAATCTTGCCCCATCCCAACTTGGCACATTATAGACATAAGTTGCTCCCTAACGACTACGACGTAGAATGAATTGTGCATGAACACAACCACAAAAGACACGACGACCGCAAAGCACGACACACAATCAAACTGCCACCGCCTTTTGTCTACTACCCCATGCATGCATCCGCTCCCATCTACCTGTATCCTTGATTCATATGCCGAAGCAACCATTCGTTTATCATTGCCTTGATAGCCTTCAGCCCCATCTAACCTCACAATTTCTCCGAAACCTCCATAAACTCTTCCAAGTTCTTCACCGGCCTGATCCCCGCGCTCACCTGCATGTTCGCCTTGAACGCGTGAATGTCCTTGATAATGACCGGGTGCGACGCATCAGACACGCTCTTCGCATCCGCGCTATCACCAAGAATGGCTGGCTCAGCGGGTAGACCAGTGTCTGCGACGCCTAATGCCGCCTTTGTCTCGTCAAGCACCTTGCTGGCGACATCTGGCGTAATCTTCAACGCCTCGAGGAAGTAGCTGGAGAATGTGTCGGGGAGGGACTCTGCGGTTGGTGCATTGTTGACGACAGCTTGCAGGTCTTCGGCCTTGTGCTCGATCTTGTGCTCGGTGAGGATGACTTGGACGGCTGCGAGGGCCGATTTCTTCTTCTCGTCCAGAGTGGGCTCTTTGGGCTTGGACTGTGCTTGGAGATGCACAGAGAGCTTGGAGCGCTTGGATGACGAGGGCGAGATGTATTGTGCGTAAAAGTCGACCATGTCCTTCTTCGTGATCTTGTCAAGATTTTCAGCATCAGTGTCGGCTGCGGAGATATTAGCACAGTGTTTCCAAAGGCACTTGATGGGAACCACAAACCTAGCAAAAAGTCATACGCATCACTGTAGATGTGATTCCAGAACCTCATGTCCTCTTGAGACAGATTCTTTAGCTTTGTCAAACGCTTCGTAATCATCGCTCGCTTGTGATCCTCAAAGTCTGACTCGCTCATCTCTTGAAGAGCCTTCTCGAACGTGTTGAGGAAGTTCTCGATTCGGCCCTCGAGATATCGGCAGTCCTTCTCACTCTGGATGAGGATCCTGTAACCGGCCCAGGTATCTGCAAAGCTCTGACCAGAGAACACGACATATCCAAGCTGCTCGATTGTGCGCAGCTGGTTGAAGCACGGCTCGTCCGTCATCTGGGTGAGAAGCATGAGCTTTGCGCGGGTGTTGTTTTCTCGGTCGTCGCCAGCATACAAGCTGTACTCAATGCAGTGATTGACGTTCGCTGGATCCTTCAGCTGCTTCTCATAGATAAAGTTGCAGCCCGTCGGCCACATGAGATTGCGACGGATAGGAATCTGGTTTGCAGCAAGCTTCTTCGGCCGGAGTGTTCGTTCCACGAGATCGGTGAACTTCAATGCTTCTTCTTTGTAAAGGTTTCCGTGGGCGAGAACCTCGATCAGACCCTGCGCTAGGATCTGGGGGTAGAACTGTCGCACGTCCTCAGCCGTCACACTATCCAGCTCCTTCGCGAGATCTTCGTTCATCCAGCTCTTCTCGTTCTTGAAAGCACGAGAATAGGTGCCGACTTGGTGGAAAGGCTGTCCATAGTCCCAATTGCGCAAAGATCGCGTTATGCGCTCACGGATTATGTCAAAGCGGTCTTGTTTGATTTCAAGGTCGCGTAGTGAAGTCAGAACCTTCTCTAGCAGCACATGCAGCTTATCATTATAACCACTGACGGTGACTGAGATGCCATTGGCATGGTTGGTAAAGTCATACACTAGTCCGGAGATGTCGGCATCGTACGAGTATTCAACCAAAGCATCCGTGACAAGCTCGCGATACAGCGTGGACATGAGCGCAACGCGAGGCGTGACATTTGTGATTGGCGTGCGGAGGTAGATGTGGACGTTGGCTTTTGGAACCCAGAACTGATCGTCCTTCTTCCACCATATCCGTACATTGTCGTCGTGCCTGATCAGCTTTGGTTCCTTTGACGGCTGTGTGATTTCTTTCTTCTCGACGTCCAACCTACTTGGAATGAACTCGTTCTTGTGAGGGAAGTGTAGTTCGGCTGAGCGCTCTTTGCTCTCGAAAGCTGCCTTGATCTCGGCGAGGAAATCTTCTGAAAGCTTCTCGACCTTGTGCTCTGTGCCGTACCACTTCTCTTTCCTATCCCAGCCTCCTGGGAAATCCTGGCTGACTATAGTCATCCTGAAGTTATCGGGCCGCAGATAAGACAAGGCCTCGTTGATGCGTTGAGAATCAAACTTCCGAATGACTGCCGGTCCGCTCAGAAGCATCTTGCGATCATAAGGCTTTTGCATGATGCCGGCCAGAGAGCTTGCTGTACGGCTGGGCGGACTCTTCTGCTTAAAACGGAACTCGACCTCGCTGATTCGCATTTGCTCGTCAACTATCCACTTTTGTGGCTCCTTCTCGCGCATCATACCAATGTACTGGAAGACAATCTTGGCGACCTCTTTGTAGTTCTTCAGCCCTTCTTCGGTGAGTTTGACGCTGATGCTGAACAAACCGGAACCAGGGCAAAGCGTGGAACCACCAGCACCAAGACCGTTCGCCCATCCCTTGGCCTTGATGTGCGCCAGAATACTGCCGGGACCCTCGTGGCCTATTAGATGGCTCAGATATCTGGACGGTTGCGACTCGTAGAGATCCTCCTCGTCACGGTAGGCGAACTGAATTTCCAGAGACCTCGACTCCAGCACAGGCTTGGCAAATGTTTGGGTCAAGAGCTCGTTTTCGGTGTACACGGGGATGTCCCAACTTCTCCTGCTTAGGTCCTTGTTAGGTACCTTTTTAAATATCTCCTCAACCCACTCTTCTAGCGTGTCCAGGCTCTCGCGGCCCAGGACCACAAGCTTCATCCGGTTTGCGGAGTAGTTTGTGGAGTGGAACTTGATAAACTCGTCTCTGATCTTCACGCCGCGCGCAATCGGGTCGTCGTGTAGGGTCTTCCAGCTTCCTGTCGAGAAGTGGCAGTATGGATGGTTCGGGTTGGCTAGAGCCTTGTTGAGCTGATGGAGCCGCCATTGGTCGCTCTGGAGGTTCTTCTTGTTCTCTGAGTCAACAGCCTTGATCTCGCGATCTAGAGTGTCCTCGAGAAAGAGTGGGGCGATGAAGAACTGCCCAAAGCGATCGAGAGCTCCCCACAGGGGCGAGTTGTCCTTCTCCTTGGATGCAGACAAGTTCACGGTCGAGGCGCTTGGTGTAGCTGCCTTGCTATTCGACGGCGACGAGGACGGGTACGATAGCTCGAAGTAGTAGTTGGTCGATGTGGAGGCGGTGAAGGCGTTTGAGTGGCCGCCGTGTGTCGTCAAGTATTTGTTGTATGCGTTCTCTTCCGGGTACTTTTCGGTTCCCATGAACAGCAGGTGCTCAACGGCATGCGCAATGCCCGGCATATCGTCGGCATCGTTGAAGCTTCCCACGTTCACGTCCAGTGCAGCGCTAGCCTTGTCTGTGCCCGCCTCATGTATCAGCAGGACCTCGAGCTGATTCTGCAGTGTGATGACCCTGTATGACCTGTCGTCAAGCTGTGGCCGCTCTAGATCCTCGATGCGCGCCGCAGCGCTCCTTGCCAGCTCTTCCCCCATAATGCTTGTTTGTGTCGCAAAGTTTCGGCGGATATTGCGGTATGTTGGTGTAATGGGCGGAGCCTGGCGGGCTGTATGCTGATGTATGCGGCGGGTTTGCGGGGAGCTAGTGGCGGAGGGAAGAGGCGCTGAGCAATGCAATGACGCTGCCGTGTAGCAGGCAATTAACCGGGCAGCCGGTGAAAGCGAAATATGTGTTCGACGCAATTGTGCGAGCGGGTACTGTCGTGCGATTCTCATCTACAACAGCACTAGTGGTCTAGCTATGTAGTACCTGGCTGTCAATCACGTCAAACCCCAACCAGCAAGCTGCAGGCCCAATCAGCAACCACTACAGTTGCGATACCGCAGTGCAGGAAAGAGCGGTGAGAAACAGGAAGGTGCAGCGGAGAGCTCTCGAGTACATGCGCCTAATAAGGCTGTGGTTGACGATAGGCCATGAAGTTCGAATCTCGGAGGACCCGCCACCCCGGATCGATATGCGCCTAGCGAGCTTCCATGACCCCGTCGCAAGGCTGCGTGCACGCTCCTCCGCCACTTTTTGCGCTTTCAGTCCAACATGGTACCGAAGGCATTCCAGGCCGGTTATGCAAACACTACGGCCTTCCGCAAGGTGGTCAAGGCGACCATATATGTTAAGAAGAAGGAGGGCATAACAGACGACGATTTCATTCATTTCTGTAATACCAAGCACGCTCAGAGCGCTGTTCCAATTCTCTAGGGCCATGGCGTCATCAGCTACAGCTTGGTATGCCTCCATCCACGGCATACCACTTTGCATCTATGGATCCATTCCATGCGCCGCGTTCGGTGGCTGATCAAATCAAAGCAGACATACCACCTCGAACGCGACAGGAAGATGATCCAGGACATCATGCATGGCAAAGCACAGCTCTTGGACTATGATGCAATTTGCACCTTTGTCTTCCCACACTACCTGGCACTCGCAAAGTTTCTCTACGATAAAGAGGGAGCGGCGTTGAGCGGCGACCACGGGAACTTCATGGACGGCAGCCAGACGAAGATGAAGGTCGGTGACAAATACGTGCTGATCGAGGATGGGCAGAGCGTGCAGTGACTGCGCGTAGCAGAAAATACGACGCCGCCGTCGCTGGGTATCATTAAAATACGTAAACCTGTAGAACGTGATCGGAGCAGACGTGCATAGATCTTTTTACTTTCGACCCCTGCCTCTACCTCGTCCGGCAGAGCCGCGACCTTTTGGACAGTCGGATTTCATGTGCCCTTTCTGGCCACACTGGAAGCATTCTGGTTGATCTCTCGGTTGTCCGGACAGCGATGTCAAGCCACGAATGTTCACTTCCCCGTTTTGGTCTCTGCGCGGTTTCCCCGGTGAATCGTAATTGTGTGTCGGTTGTGCATCGCGCGGCTTGCGGTGCTCGGCGGCAACCTCACGTCTTGTTTCGCGTATGAGCGCAGCTGTTGGGTCGTCGCTGTCGTAATCCTCGTCTTCTGATGACGAAGAGATCTCTCCCTCAGACTGCTCTGCCTTCTCAAAGGCGATCGGCTTCTATACAAGGTCAGTATGTGCTAGGTCGAAGAGCACAAGGCGAAACCTACATCTTTCCGCTTTATGCCTCCACCATATTTCTTCCTTATAGGCTGTACTTCTTCCTCGTCCTCATCTGACTCGTCTGCCGCATCAATCTCCGCGAACCCTGCATGTTGGACCTGCAGTGACTCTTGGCGCTTGCCAGCCAGAGGGTCTGTGAAGCTTAGCACCCATTTGGTCTCACCCGAGTGTTGTGCGGCTTTGTCCAATGCTTCTTGTCGCTTCTTCTCCTCCAGGTCTATCGCGGATTGTATAATCTCTTGATCAGGTGTGCCAGGAGCGGAGCGTCCGTTGGAGAGGCGTGCCCTCTTTGATGGTGGACCATTGGGGGTTTTAGGCGAAGAGGCTGTCGCTTTGTGGGCAGAGCGTTGCATGAACTGTTCTACGTGAGCCAGTGTTATGCGACAGTGAATGCACAAACTTACCTTCATCGTCATCAATCGACTCGACATAGTTTTCGGCGTGTTTGACGCCATGGTTGCGAGTTTCTTCCTGTTGTTCCGGTGTGGGCGATGAGTGAAATTGCTGTTGTTGTATTGCAGCTTCCGTCGCGAAGTGGGACGCGTATCACCGTGACTTCAACTTTTTGGAAGAGTGCATATGGCTCGTGCGCCCTTAGCGCCAGCCTTATCGATTACCCCAGGAATAGTCCCTCACCATAGAAACTTTTGCCCGAAACATGACAACATTGAACATCACAGAAAGAAGCGGGAGATGATGCACGTAATTGCCAATGTATAATAACTTCATATCTCGAATATCAGGAACCATGATCACTCCCTACAAGAGTAACATACACAACTAGATTCGGCAGGAGCCCGTTTCCATCATTGTGAATCTTTTGTTCGATGAGCAAGATCTGAATGTCTTTATTGCTCCATCTCAGAGTGGATCCACATGGCTATCCTGGAAGCTGCTCCCATTCTTCTTCCACTTCGGCTGTCAGTCTGCTCTTGACTCGATGCTTTGTCGGCATGGGGAAGCTGTCCGTGGCTGTCATGTGGTCGTGGATCGGTAGGAAAGTCGTCTTGGCGTCAAGCCAATGCACGACTGACTCAGCTTGGCTGATTTAGTTTTGGTGTGCTTGCTCTGGAGAAGAGTGACATTTTGAGTTGTTGGTAGGCATCAACGGCCGCCTGTCGGGATGCGGCTTGCGCATCTAAAGATGTTTGCGAATGCGATTGGCGTTCAGGCAGTGACAGTTGCCACGATGATATTGTAGAGGCTCGGCCTGGGGTCAAGAAGGGGTGCGATGAAGGTTGAGTCGCAATCGACGTCATAGTTGCTGACGAAGAAGTAGAAGTTTGCGAAGCAGACGAGCGTGTGGATCGAGAAGACATGATTATTGAACTGGAAGATCTCGCGAATCTCTGTGAGATATACTTTGTCTGGAGTAATTTGTCAAAGATGCGAAACAGATCATAAGCGCAGCATTGGCATGGAACACCTTCTCAAACCACGTGGAGCGAGCGTTCCACCGCCATTCAACATCACAAATTATTGCATACGCACGAGATAAGGATCTCGGACCCGAGCTGCGTTGTCATGCAACTGCCCGCACCAGTGTAAACAGCGTGGCAAGCAAGACGTTGTGGACAGACCTTGCCGAATAGGAGCCAGCCTGATGAACAGGCGGCTGCCTCGTATCAGCAAATCATAAATCATACGAGGAGGCGTTCTCGCACTTTTGACAAATCGTCGGCATTCCAAGACTTCTGGAACTGTGTTTGGACACATAGGCGAAGATGGTCGGGGACTAACGGGCGCTTGGTGGTTAGTATTCCAAATATCCCAAAATGGGATATGCGCTAACCATTTGCGTCGCTTTCTCGAAACATGTAAAGCGGCACATGGTGACAACGCTCGCGTGCACTTGCAGATGAATGTCAAATAGATGCATGGCTGGCAGACAATAAGGCAAGATCTTCGGATCCCTATTTATCTCAAAATCATACCAACACAAAGCTTACATACTAAGTATGGGTAATCCTTCCTGTACGGCTGCAGCCACTCTACTCCTACACAACACTGCAAGAGCCTATCGAATGTTTGATCTCTGTCAGATGATGCACCTCGTCAGCCTTCACGATTCCAGATCCGCGCCAACACAGTGACCCACTTCACTACAATGTCCGCTAGCTTAAACCTCTATCGTATGACACTCACAGTAGAATGTCGTCAGCCGCCTGTTTCGCAAATCGATCGAGCCGTATGCGTTCATTCTAAATGCCGTAAAGCTCTTTTTGATGGATATGCTCTGCGGCCTCGTTGGCGAGCCAGCTAAGTCTTCACGACTGCATAGCTAATTAGGCGATCTTGAGTTCCACAACAGAACAGTAAACTACCATTTCGCTAAATATGGCTATATTTAGCTGACCTCCAATACTTAAGCGACATGCAGTGTTCAATTCACACCGGAAAGTATTTGAGTTGAGTGAACGTTTCCAGGGCGTGCAGCTAGCTGTCAAGTCAGGCCACCAAGCCACGTTTGCTGGGATGTACTCGCGGCTAGTCATGACGCGCTACATAGTCGTAGTCTTATTAAAATCGCTATTGAATGTCTTTGGTCATCATTGAATCCACAGACACATAGAGTCACAAGTGACCTACAGCCTGGTCTGGACCGCGACATATAGGCTGTGAAATACACAGGGTGCATATCAGCTCTGCTGCTGAAGATACATATCAATCGAGCGGGAACGTCGTGATGTCTAGTGCACGCGTACTGAAGTATTCTAGCACCCCGTTATATTTCTTGGGGGGTAGTCGTCGACCAGAAGCAGAAAGGACGCAGAAAGCCAACCACGCTCGCTGAAATAATGGAGGCTTCTATTGCATGCCAATGAGCACTTTAATTGGCTTACCAGCCTTGTGTGCTATCAAGTTTACACCAAAGCCCCCCCACTAGGAGAGCCGTTGGTGCTAAGCAAAGTATCGCACCGGCCCCATCCGATTAGCGTACAGTGTCGAGTACATCTTCACTACGAACTCTCCTGGTACAACGGCTATGTTCATGACCTCTTTCTCCAGAATATTCAGTTATGAAGTAGAGCCATCTTACTATTCCTGTCGCTGTCATTCTACCCCTCTGCAGTGTCTATGCCGTCCAGCGGATGCGCCCAGACAATGACCCCTCATATCAACCATGGTTCCAACGGCCACACTTCCCCACAGCAGAACATCTCCCACCAATGCGACATCCACAATCTGTGCCGGCTCGTGCCGGAGACCGTTGAACAACGTCTCTCTTATTGCCCATCATTGCTGTCTTTGTCTTCCAGCGCGGGTCTTGCGTCAGGTACGACTACTTCGCATCAAATGAGGAGCCGAGATTCTTTGTTGGTATGAAAACCGTACATCATGCTAACCAGACTCTGAGGCTCTCAACAGCTTTGGCGTGTGCATTTGTGCCAGACGGTTTAAAGATGTTTTATCGCATGTGCTGGCAGGCTTCACTTTGAACATATACACAATTAGCTTCAACATGCATCATCATTCGCCGAGCTGGTATATTCTCTCATCGGAGGCCACGGCACACATACGACTGGACGCGCTCGCGCCCGCCATTGTCTTCACGATTATCGCTTTCTGCATGGTGTTGTTCAGGTGGTTTAGCCGGCTTGTATGCAGGCCTGGCTATATTGGACTGGAGGACTATCTGATTTCAATCGCCGTTGTAAGTACTACTCACAATTAATGAACTACAAAACTGACCATCATAAGCTATTGTCGATATGCATCACGGGCATCATCGGTGGGGGGGGAAGTCCCCCCCAGCACATTCAACGCACCTATCCTGACCATTCAACAGAGTTCTTGCTCGACAGCCAACACAGCAACAAAGGCGACCGCAAAGCCTCCACCCTCGCAATAATGCTCAAAGTACTTCCTCCGCCCCTAATTCCCACATGCATGCAACTAAATGTCAAAAGCTCGTCTTCACACAATCTCTCCTCTACCACCTCTCCATCGCCCTCGTAAAAACCGCCTTCACACTCCAATACCTGCGCCTCTTCTCTCTGATCCGCCCCATCACAATCTGCTGCTACATCCTATTCGGCTGCATTATCGGCGCCGCCGCCTGGGGCATTTTCGGCGTGATATTCCTTTGCAAGCCCATCCACACATACTGGAACCTGCGCGTGAACGGCACATGCATGGACGCCGAGACGCACTTCTTCTCCACAAGCGTGATCGGCATAGTACTCGACTGGGCGATCTGGATTCTCCCGATTCCCGTCGTCGGACGTTTGAAATTGCCGCGCCGCCAGAAGTGGGGTCTGATGTGTGTGTTTGGACTTGGGGGGATGGTGTGTGTGGTTAGTGTGTTGCGGTTAGTGCTGGTGTGGTGTTATGCGCATGAGGGGAGGGTTACTAGTACGTCTTCTCCGCCCCAAACTTGTTTTTTAATCACATTATGCTGAATGGAGACACAGAATCCGGTACGTTCGCATTGATATGGTCCACGCTCGAACTCAACGTCGCCATCATCTGCGCATCGCTGCTCGTCATGAAGCCACTTTTCGCGCGCTACGTACCGGCGATGGTGTCGGATCAGCCGGTGTCTGCGAGGGAGGATGCAAGGTTGTGGAGGGCGATGACGGGGCTGGCGCAGCTTGATGCCGCGGAGGATGGGAAGAAAGATGTGGAGTATGAGGGTTGTGGGAGGAGGGATACGGTTGTTGAGTCAGATATTAGGCAGGCGGGGTTGTTGATGATACCGCGTAGGGCTTGGGATCCGAAGAGGGGGTTGAGGGTGAAGAGGAGGTCGTCGTTGTTTTGATGACTTAGCATATGCGATTTCCGATTATGAATAACGTTTTGGGCACACTACATCGTACAAATTGACGTCTGCTGTTTGCGCATCAAATATCCAACACTCGATTCATGTACTCTAGTCCTTGTGTATTGATTTACAACACACCCCATAATTTAGGATGCATCATGGCGTGTCGCTGCTTGCATGCTCGAGTCAGACGAATTTGAATCGAATGGTCCAGTGGTGTGATGAACGCTCATCACATGTGGGAGTAAAGATATGTGCAGCTACCCATATACAAAAATTACCTTTTTAGTATGTTTGAAGTGCATGTGCACTTTCCGTCGTAGTTGGTCATCTGTAGCAAAGTGCCGCCGAAGCGGACGCCTGATACATTCGTTCGGGTGGCGGATCCTGCTAGATGATGGTGACGGTCTCTTCAGGTTGGTCTGCTGGACAACATTTTGAAGATATGTTCATGATGAGACCGATGCGTTTGTAGGCAGTAGCAGTCGCGTCGCGTTGTAGCAACAGGATTACCAAAGCCCAGTGCTTGCCGTCCACCGCCTTATGTGTCCTAGAGAGGAATTCTTTAGACAAGATAAAACCAACAATGATGCCTTGGTGCTCCCGAAAAATATGACTTGAGCTATCGAGAAGGTGTGTCAAGTCGTAGGGTGGATCGTCCATATATGCGCATATGTTTGATTCTTCTCCGAATTCTTTCAGACCATGCGTTAATTGTGCAGCTCCTAGCGTACGACCTCTTAGGATTAGGGAACTGGTCAGAATTTGGCCATAAGGGTTTGCCGTTGCTAGTTTGGACTTGCTTGCCAGAAACGTACATTGTGGATCGTATGAGCGCTGATCCCAGTTCCAGAATACACGTCCTTTACACGTAATCCACGAAAAACTAGGTCCGTCCAAATCACGCATGGACCTTTTTAGGGACTCCCATGGAGCTCCACAAGTGTACCAAGCAAGCTGAAGGGCGATGTCTCTTTCCCAAAGCCCTGCAATATACTGACCAGGTCTCCAATGCTCGACATATCTGGCAATACCAGACAAGGCTGGAAGTGTGTCCCTCGATCTTGTTATTTTAAGTTTGCTGTACTGCAAAAGCACTGTTATCCATGCATGGCCAAACTCATATCCTTCCACCGTGGCAGTCTTCGCGGGATCGAGTTGCGCGAATTCCGAAAGAAGAAAAATAGGGGGTTCACCACACTCGTTGTCGGTGCCGCATTCGCACCAGGTACTGGCCCGACAGCACCACATAAATTCGTCTGGGAGGAAGTGGACAATGCGATGTGCCAATTCCCTTTCTTGCATTGCCTATGATACGTCAATAGGTTAGCCAAGGAAAGCAGCAAACATGTACCGTCTGTATCGAGTGAGGTGTTATCAGACGAGTGGATCTGATCACAAAAGCCATGAGAAAGGACTTCTTACCCAAGCACGTTTCCACAAAGGCTGACTTATCACAGAACGGGTCCCGGTGCTATCATGGGTCACAGTACGCCGAACCGATATACAAGCAGTTGTTCCCAGCAGCTGGTTCGGGGGGATGACAAAGGGAGGCTCTCGTATCTCCAACATGCCAGACGCGCAATCCGGAGCTCCAGTGGCTGCTAAAACGAGCCATGCATTCGAATATATGTCTGCCATCTTAGATGACTCTAGCGCCCAGTCGTGCTCGTCGTCCTGGATAATACATAAAGAGTCGATCCAGAGATATTGTATTCCCAAAGCTTGCGTCATCCTGATGGAGTCCTGCAACGTTCTAGGCAGTTCGGTGACGGGGATACGCCCTTTGCGCACCCCCACATTGTTTTTCAGGGTCTTTGACTGCTCAGAGCTACCCCAGCAATATGAAAGTGCGACATAATGTACCTGTTTGGTGAGTGACACCAGTCGAATGTGTTCGTTCGTGCTTGATTCTAGCATGATCAATCGGTTTGGCACGAAATCGCGCGTGGTGGTAACGTGAGTCAGACAGTCAGTATGCGTAGAATCACATTCTTGAATCCATCCCTTGAGCTTCGTAATACCTGCTGGTGATACTGGACTAGAAACCACGGCGTAAGGTTGATCTACGAGATCTAGAGGATTTTTGAGTCCTGTGAAGGCTTCAGACCATGAGGATTGTGTTCGAGATTTTTGACATACCAGTGAAGCGTAATTGAACGGTCTCAATTCTGCGATATTCGTCCTTATCGTCGTCCCAATCTTCGTCCCCGCCCTTGTTTTTTTTAAAACAGTACAGATCCAGCGTGAGAAGTCCTGGTGATGACTGAAATATGCTTGTAATACGAGTTTTGCTAGAAGGGAAATCCTGGGAGAAGTGCTTCCAAATCATACGGGCCAGCATACATAAAGGGCAAAACATATCTGGTGACACGACTTCACGAAGATGAAGACAAGATTTGACAAGCGCCCCGCCCCTTTCGTCTTCAACGAACACCTCTCGGCAATCCTCGCATGACTGATCCAGCAGGAAAATCATGTGTGGGTCGACTCGAACTTCCGGATGCTTTGATGAGTCGAGCGGTATGAGTATACTTCTTCCTGTGTTGAGGTCAGCTGTTTGTACAGAAAGACATGTGATTCAAACCGTAATATACCATGTTCTAGGTATTGGTGCCGCCGACTGAATCACATTGCAGGCTGGTCGTGTCCTAGAAGCGACTTGGGAGAACTTTTGGACGGCTGATCACTGAAAACCTTCTGTATGCTTACCGGACTGAGTAGCTTTTGCATACCTATCTATGTCGCTATCGTTATCCATGATCTATAGCTAAACCTCTGTTCGTCTTGTTATTGATGTTGTTTAGTTCCCTAACATAGCCGCGTGATAGCAGGAGCCATGGTGAGCAAGCTGCAGACTATGTACTCAAGATTTAAGGCTGAAGATAAGCTGACAACGCAGCAACAAGGCAGCCATCTCGCGTCGCGTGGTGAAGCATCAGCCCGCAACCGCAGCTGCCCCACCATCCACACCATCTCGGCTAAACTTTCCTCCCCGCCAGGCCCGACGTCATCTCAACTTTTCCTAGCTGTCCGCCTCCACCATGTCACAATCAACCTCCACAATCTCGCCTTTCAGCACTTTCCTGATAGCAGTCTTCTTCCTCGTCGCCCTATTCCCTAGCACATTCGTCTCAATCGCCTGGGCGCCGTATAATTCGCTTGTCGACTACGCGTTTCCCCTTCCACAAAAGCGCGAAAGCGTCGTTTGTACAAGTCCGAATATCTGCGTTGCCAACACCATGTCTTGGTACGTACATATCCCAAATCTACCCCTCAAACTTCCCAATTGACTAACAAACCCCAGGTTCCAAAAACCCCTTACCCTCCCCTCCCGCTCGCGCGGCTCCTACCTCGTAACCGAGCACATCCTCAAAGAGCTGCCCGAGATAAAATCCTACAAGACAGGCCTCCTCAACCTCTTCATCCAACACACATCCTGCGCGCTCTCGCTCAACGAGAACTTCGATTCAGATGTGCGCGCCGACATGTCCGACGCGCTGGACCGCATCGTGCCCGAGGACCCAGGCAGCAAGAAGGGCTTGTACAGACATGATGCCGAGGGCGCGGATGATATGCCTGCGCATGTGAAGAGTGCGTTGGTGGGCGCGAGTGTGACGATTCCAATCACGAATGGCAGGCTGAATACGGGGACATGGCAGGGCATTTGGTATCTGGAGTTTAGGGATGTTAAGCATACGCGGAAGGTTGTGGCGACGATTCAGGGGGAGAAAATGTAGATGAGAAGGCTTCGAAGATGCTTCGGTGGATGAGATCACGAAAGAGATGATGTATGATATGTAAATCGAGCAGTTCGATTTGAATAAAATGTCTTGGTCTATTTTACAAGAAATGCCATGCTTTCACCCGCCAGTTTTCCACGTCCGATAGCCATGTAGCGAGAAGCCGGACTGAGAGGCCATGCCAGTGCTTGGAAATCACAAACGCCATGATGAAATGCTGAGGGTATCGTCGTCGACCGAGGAAATGGAATGTCGTAGAAGTGCCGCTGAGATACCGATGTAGGAATGTAGAAAGCATTGTTGCAATTTGGGTATTGAAGAAATGGTCATGTCGTAAATCGTGTCAGATCGCCCATGGAGTGAGCTAGTGCATAGCCGGTATCAGAGCGGAAGTGAGGCAAAGCTAGTCCCTATGGAAGACCAGAAACCCTTGCTCGGCATCCATCTTCCAAGTACCCGGGTGACACTCGTTCTCGATCTGGTAGTACGTCCTCAAATGCCACTCGCCGTTCCTCTCACGGCACCAAAACGGGTCGTCGCTACGCGCATCAGCCGGCTTGATGCGCCTCAGATCATACGCACCGCGCTCAGTCGCAACCCGCCTCGCCTCGGTCTGGTAGTCCTCGCGGGCCGGAGCCTGAGCAGTCGGAACATAGTCGTGTCGATAGCCCGCACCCCCGACATGGCTGTTCTGCACATGATAAGTCGTCGTGGTAGTCGTCGCACTCGGTCCGGGCGGGTAGACGTAAGCCTGGGTCGCGTAGCCGTAGCTAGGAACCGTGTTGTAGTAAGACCTCTGGTAAGGGGAGTAGAAGTTAGCAAGCGGATACAGCGAACCATACATGTTGTAATTGTAGTAGCCGCTGTAAGCCGGGGCGTAAGAGGGGTGGTAGCTGGAGTAGCCATTGTAGTAATTGGCACCGCCGCCGTAGTAAGAATTTCGGGGCTGATAGTAGGAACGGGCTGCTTGTACCCCGGGGTAGTAGCCACCTGCTGCGACGCCGACACCAACGCCCATGCCCATTCCCATGCCGGCACCGCTGTAACCCATCCCCATGCCTATACCCATGCCGCCATTGGGAATGACGCCAGTCGGAGGCGCCCCGTTCGGCGTTTGGCCGGCATAGGTGAGGACGCCGCGTTGGCCATAGCGAGGCGTGTAGATGTATTGATGGCGCGGTTTTGGATATGCCTCCATCGCGACAGGAATTGCTCAATGAGCGCAGTGAATTTTGGTGTCGAGCGATTGGGTTGGAAATGTGGAAGGTTGTTGGTGGGGCAGATGTGGTGGGCGAGTCGCAAGGTGAAGCTCGGGGATTTGGTCCGCCAGGCAGACAAGGCAGCGATGTCGGGACAATAGTATCAAAAGAGCGATTGAGATACCACGCGAGCCAATGAGGTGGAGGCGGCGGTGTGCAAGAGGGAAGGCGCAAAGGTGGTGCGATCGGAGGAAGAAGGAAAGAGAGAAGACTTACCATGGCGCCGTGATGCTGCATCGCCACGCGATTGTCGGGATAGTAACGGCCATAGCCCGATGACTGTCCAATATACCCACCCGGAAAGACACCAGGAGGATAGCCAATCTGCTGAGGAAAACCTTGACGACCGTAGCCGTAGCCCTGCTGGCCGTAGCCGTAACCGCGTTGGCCGTATCCATAACGCTGAGCTTGACCTCCATAGCGCGAGTATCGATTGTGCGTAATAGCGCCGCTCATGTAGCGACCACTCGGACGACGACAATAGTAGTTCGAAGGGTAGTAAGAACCTCCCAAGCCGTTCCTGCGACGCCATGACATGCCATATCGGGGCTGCGAGTATTCCTCCGAGTAGCGTTCGCCCTTGCGGACGCGCATCCGAGTCGTGTATGTATCCTGGTCGCTGAAACACATCTTGGTGGTTGTCGACTTGCTGATGTTCTGAGAGGAAGGTACGGAAGGTAAGGACAACATAGAACCCTCAATTGGCCAATGACGTTGTAGTAGGTGAGAAATAGATGCGATCTTCCAGCGTGCGTTTGTAGCTATGTTGTCCCATGACTCCAGGGCGGAAAGGGGATGAAATAGTCTCCGACTTCGCCAATTGTACATACTTCCCAACCAAGTGCCAGCTGACGAGAGAGGTCAAAGACATCGCGGCACGATTCTGAGCGGCAATCTCTGGTCTGTTGAGTTTAACAGGTCATGTATAATCTGCTCTTCCTCATGGCGACTTTCCACTACCACCTTTCGGTACCCCACCTCCCTCCACAGCGCCCGTTCCCGCACCAGAGCTCTTCTTTCCCCTCTTAAACAATCTCCCTACCTTTGCCACGACCGGTACGACCGTCCATCTCGCAAATGCCGGTGTCGCCCACACACTAAACATAATCCTCGGCACAAGCAAAGCTTTCGTAATCGCATATGCCGTCGCAAACTCCACAACCAACCTCACTCCTCCTTCACTCACATTCCATGCTTTGTCCACTCTTCTCAGCCTCGTCTCCTTCTGGCCCTTCTCATCCTCCCTTATCTCTTCCTTGTCGTGTTGTAGCTCGCGGACCTCCAGTGCCGCCTCTTCGGCCTCATCACTCCTGATCCAGCCCTTCCTCTTGAAGTACCGCCCGAAGCGCTCGACTCCATTCAAGACAAATGCACCTTCCGCGAACCATGATGGAAGCCAGTGTGTGTAGTGGAAGTAGGCTGCGAGGCCGAAGAGGGGTATTACGGCGGTCAATTCGTGGAGGATGAGAAAGGATGTTATATGCGAGATGGGAGCATTGCCGAGCGCACGTGTATACTTGTGAAGGAAGGTGGGCAGTCGGCGATTGAAACGTTCAATGCGGGATTGCGCTGTGGGCGTGGGCTTGACTTCGGATGCATAGGGTCGTGTGTATGGTTTGCGAAATTGCAAAGGATGCGGTCGGATGCGCAGCAAAGTCGTGCGAAACATTTTGAACAAAATCATTCCTCATCGATGCACGTCTTTCACCCTCCTGGCTCTTGCGGCGCGCTCCAATGGCAACTTTGTCGCTCCATACACATGAGATGAGGAAGGAGCACGATGGGCGATGTCGTCAGAACGTCAATGCGCCTGAAGATCTTGCCGCGCGGCAAACGCGCTTAGAAACACCAACCCACCACATCTCGCATCAGCTCTCAGCCTCATAATACAGCTCAGCTGCACAATATCTACGCGAAAGCGTGTGTTGTACTTGCAACATCTTTATCCGACAGCTCACGTGCCTTCTTGCATCGAAGAGAGGACCTAGTGACCATTCGTCCATTGCAGTCAGACTCTAATTCCCCCAGTATTCATGCTAGGCAGGTTAACAACCACTGGAACGGTTTAATTGAACTAGAAAAATACACACTCTTCAAAAGAGAATGGTGTTTACAAAGACGTGAGCTTGTTCATCGAATTGTACACTTTACCCCGGATGAAGTTTACGTGTTGTGCCAAACAGGTCACAACTCTGAGTGTGGTATTTTATCTGGGGAAAGTCCACAGAATAGGTATGGCCTTTCCCATTTCGGAAAGCGATACAAGCGAAAGGGCAGGACGGCACGAAATGGAGGAGACTTGGAGATCTCTGGGCGCGGATCTTGAAAGACTACACAGAATTGAAACCCATCCAAGCCACCGACGCTCTGCCTGCACTTGCTGGTCTCGCTCAACAAACGAGTCACTTCAAACCGGGCGCGTACATTGCCGGACTCTGGTAAAAAATATCGCATGTTTACTTACCTGGCAAACATCCCCTGAGGCCACACCCCGTAAGGCTCTTCCAGAACCTACGTTCTCATGGACAGGATCCCCACGCTCTGTGCATTTCGACTTCGGCCGTTTAGTGCTGGAGGAAAAGTACCTTCTCTGTGAGTATATGTACCACCATTGCACATATGCTACATCCAACATGTATGGACATGTAAGTGCTTCATGCATCACTCTGTCTTCGTGGCCAAGCGGTATCTGGACTTGACCTTCACCATGAGGTCTATCTTAACATAGTCTTCGACAATCATGCTTTACCTATTAGCGATATAGTATCGGATGAGGGCAGCAGTCTAGGTGTACAAGGCAATTCATCAGATGGAAGCATGCTTACCGATCTAGACTGGGAGTCTGTAATTAGCTTTGCCCTGCACGGTGACAACAGTCGCCTTGTCTACGAAAAAGACCACGAAATAGTCCTGCTCTTACTTCAACTCAAAGTAGGTGCCGTAAACGAGTACGTTCGCATAGGTCTGGTGGATGATCTCAATAAGGCATGATTTGATAAGCATGCTTCGCGCGCCACTGTAACGATTACATGAACACTGTATAGCAAGTCATAAATGCAATTGTAGCAGCCTACTGTCCAGCTCCAGTAGTCCTATGGCTATGTTAACGTAGACCTCCATACCACTCTATAATCCACTGTTCCCTCAACTCCTCCCCAACTTAACATCCTCCCACTCCGGCCCCTGGGGAAACCCCAAATGAAACCTCCCACACTTCGCAAACCCCAGCGCGACCTCTTCCTCAATCTCGAACCCCTCAACTCTCCCTCCCTTTCCCTCCTCCTCATCCACAAAATGCGCATGTATCCTCGGCCCACTAATCTCCTTCATCCACCTCGGCACCACAAACCCAAACATCGTACCCTCAACATCCTTCAAAGTCCCCCCCTGCTCTACGTCCACCTCCTTAAACCTCGCCCTCATCAAAAACGGCGTCAAACTATTAACGCTCTTCGCCGCCCCAAGTTCCTCCGACCCAATCAACTCCTCCAACCCATCAAACGACAGCTCCGGGAGTTTTAGACGGTATGTAGGCTGGAAGACGGTTACCATGGCGAAGGGCAGCTGGGCGTCCACGGGCGCGGGGACAACGGCGCCATCTTTGCGGATTGAGTAAGCTTGTCGTTCGAGAAGGAGCATTAGGTTGCCGTCTTCGTAGACACCGAGGCCGTGGGTGCCGTGGGGATGTTAGGTCGGAGGTGCGTGGTTGGCCGGTGGGTGAAGCCGGCGGCGAGGGCAGCGGAGGTGGAGAATTGAAATATGTCGTTGGGGATTGAGGGGGTCATTTTGGATGGTAAGGGGTTGGTGTTTTGGTTGGTGGTATGGAGGACGGCAAATAACGTTGTTGAAGTACGACTTCGTTGTTGTTCAAGGTGTCGGCAGGAATTGGAGAGCCGGGCTGGATGACCGCAATATATATGGGAAATGTCAATTGGAGGGTCAGTCAGGTGTTATGTGGAGCGAGAGATCAATCTTTGATGCTTCCTAGTTTGAAGGATGTTTGAGATGTATTTGAGACGCAATGTGGATGTTCTTCGCGAGGGTTGATGATGGTTGGCTGATAAGCTGCTCGGAGAGGCAGCGCCACACGTTCACTTCTAGACCTATTATGTTCGGCAAATGACATCTCCGATACATTTCGTGGGGAAGATATCTATCTGAATCATCAATTCGTCGATTTCTGCCCCTTCGATGTTGTCGTTGTTGCGAAGCTGTCGCGAAGCCACTCAAGATGCCGCAATACCCGCTTACCTAACCACCTCTTGGCAGGTCAACCTTACTCACCAACCTCACCACCGCTCCCACCAGCAATTGCCCGTGCCCCCACCCTCCACAATGTTCGTCCGCACGCTCCGGACCTCCCGCGCCATCCGCGCTCCCGTGCGCTTCGTCTCCACGAAGACGACCTCGAACCAAGTCCCCGCCAACGACCCGGTCGAGCGCACCGCGAAGCCCAACGTCTCTGAGACCAACGTCACACCTACAAGCTCCGAGGGCTCGTTCGACAAAGCACTCCAGGAAGATGTGGCAGATGCGGAGGCTATGAGGAAAACACAGGCGCCGAACTTCAAGGGCATCTGGAGTCGGAGCCAGCAGCCAAGGGAGATCGCGATGAGTGGACCCAGGTTTGAACAGAGCATTATCGCGGATCAGGTATGTTGATAAATACTTATGTCAGAGTTGGAATGAGGGAGCTTGGAGACAATCCAGGAGGAGGATTGGAAGCGTGGAAGAGACGAAGAGAGCATGGGCTAATGAATAAACGCCTAGCCACGACCGTACGCCGCCATCGAGCTCATCCACAAGCAGCCCGTTCGCTGGACTCACGAGCGCACTGTTTCTTGCGATGGAGGAGGTGGTCCTCTCGGACACCCGAGGATCTTCATCAACGTGGACAAGCCCCAGATTTGCTGGTGCACATACTGCGGTCTGCCGTTTGTACGTATATCCAATGGAGACAGCTTCTGGAGAAGAAACGGAATTCGCATTACTGGAATCTTACTGACGCATGATAGGCCCACGAACACCACCGAAAGCACCTCGAGTCACTTCCAGCAGAGGAGCTAGGCTACCCGCTTGAGCCCACGGGCAACGCAGCAGAGGTCAACGAGACACAGAAAGTCACAGATGAGCCGCTTGCTCAGCGATAGAAAGCGATCTCGGAACCAAGTGGAAATACAAGCACTTTGTACATAAATATCCCCATGAAGCAGGTGATAATAGTTTGGCAGTTCCATGATAAGTTTCATTGTTCACCAATCATGATTGCGCTATCAATGACATTAAATACTTTTAAGCCGGTACCAAGGGAGCAACACTTCTCCAGAAGTCGCATCTAGCTCCGCGACCTGCTTCCCACGTATACGCATTCGCGAGGGAGAAGTCATTCTTCAGAGTTGGACCCGTCAGGTACGCTTGCGTGGTCTCGGTCTGCGGAACTAGTGTTCCGCCCGTCTGGTTCAAGTTCAGTTGATACGGCGTCGCATTCGAGAACACTGGCCAACTCGATGCCGCGTTTGCCGAAGCTGAAGAGTTGGATGAACCATTCGCGAATTCATTTGAGATGGATGGGTCCGATTTCGTGACGTAGTTGCCCCAGATTTCTGACAACGGTTTAGCACATGATCCCCCGGAATTGAGGAGGCAAAGTGAACTTACTCATCATGGCTCGCTGGAAGTCGGTGCTGAGATATGGCGCGGAACCCAATGGGCCAAAGTAAGCTACCAAGTCGTCCGCGTGCAGACCGGGAAGAGGGCTATATTGATATTTGTAGCTTGAGCGATCGTCGCCTGCGTAGGCTTCCGCCATCCAGTATGACGGGCAGACGAAAGTCAATTCGCCGTAGATATTCTGATAATCGTCAGCTTCACACGATCGAGAGCGCGTATAGACCTACAAAGGCACGCTGCAGCTGTCCAGTCGCAATCGAACTCGTATCCAGCGCACTAGGTCCAGACACTCCATTGGTCGCAAACTTCGTGGTTGACGTATTGCTAATCGGATAGTATAGCAAGACCTTGGCAAGATCATCAGGTGTGAATTCCAGCAAAGTGTTTTGCAGCCATGCAAGCAGAGCAGTCTCGTCCCGGATATCCTGTGGAGTAAACGCCGCCCCTTCGTTCGCGTTGTTGCCTACCAACAGACTGCGGCCATTGACGCGCTTTTCAATGAGTTGACTACTGGGCGCACTCTGAACCAGCGTCCCGTCCGTCACAGGGAGGAATGCCCAGGTGCCGTACGTCACTGTCGCAGTCACTGCTATCGACGCAGCTTGCAGCGTGGCGGTATCTTTCGACATCAAGCAGTCGAATATCGTGTTTGTGGAGTTTCCGTAGCCTCCGATCGGGCAACCAGCTGCACTGGCAAAGGCATAGTAGGCCTGTGATGGTACCCAGTCTTTGTAGGAGTATTGCTTGGGGAGGTATGGCGAGGCGGCAATGCTGTTTTGGAAGAGGGAGTCGCCTAGGGTTCCGCCGTAGGCTGATTATGTGTTAGATGTAGTTCATGGCAATTTCAGTCGGTGGCGTGATTATGCTTACCCATATCCATTAGCATAACGGATCCTCCGCCTGCACTCTCGCCCGATATCGTGACGGCTGATGGATTGCCGCCGAAATCTCGAATGTACGTCTGCACCCATTGCAATGCGAAGACTTGATCGAGCAATCCTGCATTAACAACACCTCTTCTATTCAGCTCATCAGATGCCAAAAAGCCATAGGGTCCAAGTCGGTACTGAATCGACACCACGACAAAGTTGTTTCCGTTCGTGTTGAGCAGATCAGAGAAGTCCTGTCGACCGTTGCCTGCACCGTATCCTCCTCCGTGAATGTAAATGAGTACAGGTAGATTGCTTGCATTGGCTGGGCTTTGCACGTTGAGGAAGAGGCAGTCTTCAGACTCCATGCTGCTGCTACTGCTGGAGGGGGGGCCCGGTGCAGGGCCGACTTGGGGGCACATGGACCCATAAGCATCAGCTGAGATTGTTGTTCGATTGATGGATGGCGCTCCTGGTCGCTGCCACCGTCGCTCGCCTGTTGGAGGTGCTGCGAAGCGAATGCTGTTGGGTATCAGTCATACTTCGCTGTTGAGCTTTGGTGTAATACTCGCCCTTGCCATGTATTTATTCCCGTTGAGGCATTGGTGTGTCCTTGATATAATCCATAACCAAGATCAACAGTCAACGCATCATTTCCGGCATCCTGTCGCGCACGCAAAGCATGATCAAAAGGTCGAGACTTTGGGAGCGCATTTGCCGCAGATAGCAAGGTCAACACGACCGCTATAAACCGCGTCAAAGTCATGATTGTACAATGAAAGCCTCTATACAGCCACGCCGTGGAGTTGTCATTGATTAAGTATGTACTTAACAACCCGGCCTCCGCGACTGCACATCACAGCAACTATACCCAAAGTACCGCTGGCTAAACAGATCAGGCTCGTGGACCTTGCCAACCCATGCCTAGAAATCTCGCGAAAGCGTCATGTACACCTGCAACCTCGACTCCGGCGTGTTACCTCCGTCCTTTCGCTTCGAGCTTACGAATACGATGCTGGCCGCGCGCTCTGAAGCCAATCACAAGCCCAGCGCGACAGTTCTCGGGTTACCGTATTTCGCCGCCGATCTCCCCGCGAGGACCCGAGCCCCGTGTGGTCGCGGAAAGGAGGTCGGAGGGATGGATTTTGGAGATGGAATCGCGGCTCGGGAATATCAGACCGGTTCTGACGTCATCACGGGCTTCTGAACCTTAATATTGAAATGTCTGGAATCTGTGCTGGAACATGCTCGTTTCCTGTTGGGACAGGATCTTTTGCACCGCCATCGGGCTTATACGCTGGGCGCCATGGTTTGATTGGCAAGATTGGCGCACCACGTTTTTGTACGGCACGCAGCACGGCATTGACTGCAGAGAACTAATGTAGGCATGCACTCGCGCTGGAAAGAGATAGCTGCAATGAGGCTTGAGCAAGTCTACATGGAGTAGCCACGACTATGGTTCTTACATAACATCGTGTCACAGGTAAAGTAGTGTCAATTAGTCTTCCTCCTTACACCTGCGACGATACACATGGACCCAGAAACCATGCTACCGGTAGTCTGGGCTGTTGACTCGACTTCGTGCACTTCACGGAAACATCTTTGCCAAACAACGAAGAAATCTTACCATGGCCAGGGATCGACCATCATCGGAAACCCAGGCTTTCCTCAACTTTGAGTCATGATAGGAATTCAAGGCTGACATCAGTAGAGACAACTGCATACCCAAAGTGTCGCCGTCTACCAGCAATTTCCACTGTATTTCGGACTTCTCCCGAGTTTGGAAGCCCTGGCCGGAGATGAAACTGAAGAGGTAGTCGTTAAGATTAGATTCAAGTTGACACGGCCCGACTGCATGGCCGCGGATGTGCACGCGGCTGACCGCCGTCCCAAAACTGCCAGACCTGGTACTTTATCAGTCAGCTATTGGAAAGCAGTACAAGTGATAGTCAAAGCCGACCTTACGATCGGGACCAGATCTTGCAGCATGCGCTTCCGAAAGAAGGCTGCAGCGCATCGTGAAATGGTGTGTCTCGTGGGAACAATGAAATGGTATTGCGGAATGCTGGGGAAGTTGGTGTCACGGTCGGACCTGTTGAGCAAGGGACGGTGCACGGACAGATGAAGATAACCTTAGGGGCGCCGCCCTCGACCTGTATCTATACAGAGGAACCACTGACGCCGCCCTTACCAGGACACTATGTTCACTATGTTGCACTTTTCTATGTGCGGGGTAAGGACAGAAATTACGTGGATGAGGAAGGAGTTCTCGTCAGCTGCGAACAAAGACCAACAAGCCACATCAAAGCATCGAAATAAGAGGCTGTCGAACGCGCGCGCGCCTCATATGTGTTGTATAGTCTAATTCGGCAGGGATAAGTTGCATGCATACTTATGGTACTGTCAAAGAACAGAGCAGCCCGTTTGCGGTCAACACTCTTTATTCGAAGCTGAATCGGCAAATGAAGCTGCGACATATGAACACGAGGGAGAGTTTACTTCCGACAACTTCTTTATTCCATGTTATATATAAAAATCCTCGAAGCCTACTTTATCCAAAACACCACCACCTTTCGCAATAATCCTTGTCAGCACTTCGATATGTCACCCTACGACTTTAGTTTCCACCCCACTGATCTTATTCCTGGTCTTATATTTTGTGCAGGAGGAAATGTGTTAGCTGCGGAAGAGCAAGAAAAGTTGAAAAATGTGGATGAAAGGAAGCGTCACCCGGTTGATGTGTTGTGCCGGTCTTGTGGTTGGAACACGTACTACGAATGCTGCACTTCGTACATATCAAGGATTCGAATTCTTTACGCAAAGCCTAATGATGGCCTTTGGCTCTTAGGGAACGACTGGCTTCTCTGGGATCGCACGACAAGCAAGACCACCGGCAATGACTACATGGTTTACAAGTTTCTAAAGGACCAGGGCAGTCAAGATATACCCCTGGTCAAAGAAATGCATCACTACGGGACATCCGAGGATCCGTTCCAATTCACAGTCATGTCCCGAGCCAAGGGGGTGCCGTTATCCAACGTCTGGACAAGTCTCTCCCCCGAAGAGAAGAAGGGTTATGCCCAGCAGATTACTGCAGCACTTCGAGAATTACGCCAGCACACATCTCCCGTTCCTCAGTTATTAGATGGCAGCCCTCTTCCAGACGCTGTCATAGGACGATGTCCCTGGCCAAGCCAGTGCAAATATGTTGAAAAAGACAAGGAATGGATTGATGGTATGGCTGATGAGCTTCGGGCCGGAATAGCGAATCTAATGGAAACCGAGGATAAATCCGTTATTGAATTGAGGCTACAAGAACTCAGAGACAACTTCCCAGACGGAGCACCATACGTCCTCACCCATGCTGACCTTCACTTCGCCAATATCATGGTCCACGACGGCAAGATTGAAGCCATCTTCGACTGGGACACTGCCGGCTACTACCCCTGGTGGGTCGAGCGCTTCACAACCTACCAACGTTCAATTGATCCCGACCATTCAGACGAACTGTTTGACCTTGTGTGGGCGGAGCTCGATCCAGATTGGAGTAAAGAGCAGTTCGAGAGCAAAATCAGCACACCGATTTGGGAAACCACCGACGCATGGTACCGCTGCGAAACAACACACTCAGAGTCGCATGACGTTTGGTTCCGCCCGGCTTGGTGCGAGTGTAAGCCTTTTGGAGGCCTGCTCAGAAGGAAAGAATTCGACTCAGAGCTAAAGCATGAAATCGGTCCCGACACCAAGACGTGGCCCTGGAATATGAGCGCGTGGCTTTAGACGGTCAAGAGCCCAGATCCTATTCAAAGTTAGACGAGTACAAATCTTAATGCCGTGATTGGATTGAATTGGAACGAGATCTTACCGAGGTTTGAGTCTGTGTCTGCTTCGATTATGCCTATGCTAGCTGCAAGAAACTGGGCAAATACATTGCTTCCTGCTGGCGGCGGCATGACTGCTATATGAGCAGACACTCCTCTCATGAATGATCGGATTTGCCCAGATGTGTCCTTGAAAAGTATAGCTTGCATGCCACGGTTTCCCGTCCGTACTATGACTGGCATGGTACGTTCATTTTGCAGAACGCCAATGGCATTGTTGATCAGGCCTATATTGAGCTTCTGGCAGCCAAACCCGTATGCGCGGGAGCCGAACGTAGATGTAAGGTAAGTGACTTTTCTTGTATGGATTCTAGTCGGTGGTATTCCAGTTTGACATTGCTGGCAGGTTTGTGCATCGGAGGAGTTCTGAAATTCGCAAAGCCAGCATCGATTTGGGTCAGGAGGAGCAACGTTTGTCATGACCTCTTGCAGATAAGTGGTGGTAGTTGGGTAGCTTGATGTAGGGGGCTCTAGGCAAGTGCGGTGGTGCTGGAAAACTTGACCGTGTTGTGATTGTCGGAATAGATTGTAGCCTTGTTCATCCTTAAATAGTACACATCTGATTCATTTCTAACTAGACCGTCTATTGAGACTGAGACCTGGTCGCTGTTTGTTTTCTTTGTCACCTGAGACCTACAGCCGAAAACTGTCTCAGTGTGTGCTCACGGTGACAATGGGGAATTGAGATTTCGCTTCTTCATTGATGCTTACAATACCTCATGTCAAACTCGTATTCAACATGTTGATGTTTATCAACTTCGTGTAGGCAGGCGATGGAGGAGAAACTCGAACTTAGGGCTGCTCTATGTGCTTGGAGTTCTGTGACAATCACTTCTTCATGGAATCGATGAGGGAGGCGTGTGTCCGCATCGAACATTATAATTTAGATCCAACACCAAGCAGTAGGTAACAAACCATGATGCAACAATTTTGAGCATATAAGCAGTGGATGGCTCTGTATACAACGTGGACTTTATGACCTTGGGGCTTGCAATCTAATTGCCCTGTCTAGGTAATGTAGCCACTGCCAATCTCGCTTAGATCGTATCTTAGAATCAAGGCCATGCGCTGACTGCATTGCTGATCTTGTCTAGATGTGCGCAAGACAGTGCGGCGCAATGAGGCGCAGTAATGCAAAGGTGGCAAATGGCCTACGTTATCCTTAGTACTTTGCTTGAATTTTCGAACCTTTTCCATAAATAAAACCATTCTCTTGCACACGAGGCTCATCTAGCTTTTTGTCGCTACGATCATATCGGCACCTTTCTCTACCAGGATGCAAAACGTGGAGCTTTCTGCGGATAACAACCGTACGTAGGTTCCCCATTCCTATCTTATCAATACTATGGACTAAAACTGACTTCACAACAGCGTCCCCAACCGGAACGAGTGTGGTGCAGCCGGTTGCCACATTTGTGCCTCACGAGGACTTTGACATCACTATTATCTGGCATAACATAGACAGTCGCAGCAACTTTCAGATGTTTCGCAAGGAGTCGAGAGGTCCTGTCGAACGTATCTTGGCGGGTCTTGCAACAGTGCTACAGAGTGGGGTGATTGATGAAGTTATCAGCGTGAACGCAAGCAAGCATCTGTTCTGCATAACGCTGGCCACTGAAAAGAACAAAGAGGATGGGCTCATGGAGCAGATTTTTTCTATTCAATAGGATGTAGTAGCTTACACACATTAATGTCAGATGGGTTTCCTTCTTGCTCTCGGTGCAGCCCATTGCTCGGTGTGCATATGATACAGCATGTACTCGTAAGAGCGGTGTGGGTTTCTCTCACGACACATAAAGTCTTCTGACTTACCTCTCCCTTGAGCCTTATAGTGAGCAAATACTTGAATCGCTAGTCTCGATTGCGGAGACTTCAATGTGTAGGCTGGAGGGTACCAATAACGCGAGCGAAGGCTGAAGTATCCAGATTCTGCGCAACGGTGACGATGCTTTCGGATACCCATTTGATAGGGCGAAAAGTGATTGCAACTGATCACTCACTTGTATCTTTCATGGGTGGTTATAGCTGAGATAGATGGGTTCACATCAAACAGCAGGTTTGCCGAGGGAAGCGGGAGTTGATGTCCATTCAGTAGGCCCGCAGGTATAATGTAGTGGGGTTTTGCAGAGTTTAAAATCATCTTGATAGATTCTGTGAACCAAACAACATCTTTTGAATTGTTCTGGGTGGTTACTATCGCATGTTGTTGGGAATGGTTGAGCTCCAGGGCTGTCATACACCTGGGCAAGCGCAGACGTCATCCCGCAGGTGATCACTGTCAGCAACGGATGACCGCCCAACCAGAGCTTGCGAACTTCCTCGCCTTCTCAATCGCCCGATGGCGAACCACAAATTTTTCCAGTCCACCCCGTCTTGATTCCACATGTTCCCACTTGGGTATATGGCCCCGCGAGGCCGGCGTGTTTGTGGTTTTGTTCTTCACTCGCTGTGTTATCGCTTTCATCCTTCCCGTGCATGTCATTCTGTGTTTTGAAGCAGCGGGCTTCATTTCTACGCCATATCAATATCTTCTTCTCACATATTAATCGAATTTAGCTCGCAATATGCCTCGTTTTTTTTCGAAACGCCTTGCGCCTGCACCTGCTCTCGTCCCCTTCGACGTACTTCCAGACTGGTATCGCGACAATCCGCATATCCTGTCGGCGTACCGACCAGTATCGAACTCGTTCCACGCCTGCCTTCAAAGTCTTACCTATATCCATAACGAGTCGCTGAATATCTACACCCATCTTCTTCCCGCTATTGTTCTGGCCTTCGCGCTACCGACGCTGCAGATCAACATTTCGTCCATCTACGCGGAAGCACCATGGATGGACAGATTTATATTGACACTCACACCAATGGCCGCACTCCTGACATTGAGTCTTTCCGCGACATACCACACTATGATGAATCATTCAAGATTCGTGAGTGCAAGCTGCCTGTTGCTCGATTACACTGGCATCCTCGCGCTCATCTTGGCCTCTTTCATCTCGGGCATATACGTTGGATTCTATGATTCGCCGGCGCACCAGCGCATCTACTTCAGTATGATCGCTGTCCTGGTTCTTACCTCTTGTCTCTTTGTCCTGCATCCAAAGCTGCAAGGGCCCGCGCATAGACCGCATAGGACTGCGGCGTTCATCGCGACAGCGCTGAGTGGATGTGCACCAGTTATGCATGCTTGCTTATACTATGGTACCTACGAGGCATTCTACTATAGGGGCGCAATGTGGTGGCTTGCAGAAGGAGCGTGGTATGGAATTGGATCTTGGTTCTTCGCGAAACGTTGGCCTGAGTGCTGTACGTGGGCAAAAGAGAAGGGGAAAGGGAGATTCGACGTATTTGGAAGCAGTCATCAGTTGTTTCACTGCTGTGTCGTCGCCGGTGCGGCGTGCCATTGTTGGGGTGTATGGTGGGCCTGGAGATGTGCCGTCTAATATATTAGATCAGGGATGGAGAAGGCTCGATGAAGGTATAGTGGTAATAACTTTTCATATTATGGGGACAGTAAATCGAATAGAAGGTGGTGATCAGCATGCTATTCCGTGCCTCCTTTTGATCATGTCCGCGGCCTGTGATCACATCAGTGAAATGAATGGATGCGGCGCATGACACACAAATCGCGACGCGAGTGTGCATTAAACTTGCACCAAAGAACTTCAAACATACCTTTTCAGCGACTCCATACACGGTCGCCATCAAGTGTGCTCCAACGATCATTGGCATCAAACTCGCATCGACAATACTCAACCCATGCACATCCCACACCAGTAGACTCTCCGGATCTACAACTCCCCCATGAGCTCTCTTTCCCATAGCAGCAGTACAACAAGGATGCTGGAATGTGGGTTGCACCAGCCCTGGTAACACGTTTTTCAACATTTCATCGGTACTGACATTGGCACCGGGCACCAGCTCCCTCGGTTGTAGTGCAGCGAGACTGGGCATTTGCAGCAAGCGACGATTGAAACGCAGCATCTGCACGAAGATTTCCGAATCCAGTGGATGTGATAGCGTGCTGTAGTCAACAAGAGGCGCGGAGAGTGGCCTAATTGCGTTGAGAGAGATGCGGCCCCTCGAGAGTGCGTGTAGCAGCAGCGTGATGGGCAGGAAGCCTTTGTTGAAAGCAGTCTCTTGTACAGAGGTATTGTTCGTGGCAAGTTGACGCATCTGGATAGTATGTTGATGCGTGTATAGGGATTGGATCGAATACGGAAGTGTTGTGTCCATACGTGAAGTGGTGTAATTCAGGAGCTTGGAGAGCGTAGCAGATGCGACCATTTGTGGGAGAGCGACGAAGGCAGCAGTATTGCCGCCATTGTTAACTATGGTGTAGGCGCCTTCTCTGGAGTGCTCATAGAGAGCTAATTGTTCAGATATGAAAGTCTGGTTGGAGGTCAGGTCATCGATACTTGGATCGATGTCATCCTCAACTGTGGCGTGTTAGGGAAGACTGTGCAGCGCTATAGATTATCGTATGAATAGCGAAGATGTTTATACTCACAAGTGTTGATGAAGAACATCGTCGGATGGTCTTGAAAGTTGTGACCAACACCTGGCACATCAGAAATGCACTCTATGCCATGCTGCTCTAACTCTTGTTTTTCTCCTATACCAGAAAGTAGTAGTAGCTGAGGCGTATGTACTGCTCCCGCAGCGAGAATCACTTCTTTGTCCGCTCTAACTCGAGATGTTTTATTAGAAGCTCTACTGACATACTCAACGCCAACGGCCTTTTTCGATGCATCAAACAATATTCTAATCGCTGATGACATGGGTAGAATGTGGTAATTTGGCCTCTTTTCTGCGACTCGATCGTAATGCGCAGTTCTTGCATAGCTTCTTGTTCTCTCCACTGGATCCAATGTGCTCGGTGCCCAAAATACGCCATTGGCTCTTCCATCACTAGAGTCGCGCGGTGTCGTGATGCCCAATGAGTGAAATGCTCGGAAAAAATCTTTGATGATGGGGAACTGGTAGGGTGGATAGCTAATCTGAAGCGGGCCTTGGGTGCCGCGTAAGTGCTCTTCCCACTCGATGCCCCATTCGCGTGCAAATGATGCATTGGGCGGGGTGAACGTCTCGCTTCTTTTGAAGTACGGTAGCAAATCTGACCAGCCCCAGCCTCGGGCGCCGAGCTCTTCCCACGCATCGTAATCAGCTTCTGCGCCGCGGTGGAAGAACATGCCATTGATAACGGTACCGCCACCAACGGCTGCAGCGATAGTGACTTGGAATGTGCGATTGTTGAGATGTGGCTGTGCCGTTGATGTCAGGTTGAACCAGTAAGGAGTCGATGTGAGGTTAAGCAAGCCTGGTACGAGAACAGATGGTTCGTGTGTGTCAAATGGCCCATATTCGAGCACCAGCACAGTCTTCGATGGGTCTTCAGTGAGCCGGTCCGCAACAGTAAGACCACTTGCCCCGCCTCCAACGATCACGAAATCTTACGAGACATGTAGATCGACAGGTGAGCGGATAGATTTTGCTTTGAAGGCCTTTGAAGGGGTCGACGAAACCGGTTGGAAGAAGAGAAGGTGTAGGAGAAACATCATTGCTGCGATATCGAAGCAAACTTTGTAGAATGACATGGTACACAGACTTCTGGTAGTTGTAGCATAAAGATTGCTCTGGTTGCTTACGAGTACCTTGAGCACTACTGTGTCTCACGTAGTGATCATACATTACCCCGCAGAACATGGTACAGCACACGTCCTGCAGGATGGAAGGCATCTAGTAAGAAGCTCTGTTCACGTCGAATCAGCTAATTGGCGCATGCTGTGTAACCATGACATAAGCCATCAGCTAGCCTCAGAGGGCTACTTCAAAGCAACTTGCACGGCAATCTGATGTGTCCGCACGATTTTATAAACGGCTGTACGTGTTAATGGACGCCATCGGGTGGTATGATAACTCTGTGATTCTCTATACGCGTTGTTGTTCCCGAAACCCTAGTTTTTCATATTGCAACGTTCGCTCATATGGGCAACAAATAGCGTCGTATTGCCACAGCGCCCCGTTGAATTTTTCTATGGATAAAAAAAGTAGCTAGCTTTGAAATGTGTTTCGCTACTTCCATGCTCGCACGGTGGCATACTATTCGGCAAATCTCACAAACTATCTCTTCTCAGCGCGTCACCAACGGCATTTTCGACACTCTTTCGGCTGTCCTCCGGCACTGACTCTTGCTCAATTCTTGTGCGTTCATCGACTGGGCGTTCTGGAACAAGAAATGTTGCCGCAAATGTTGATGGTATCGTGATGGCAAACATAACAAAAGCGATAATCAGGTTGATCATTGGCTTGATCTTCGCGGCTCCAATGCCAAAAGCCAGGCAGGAACCTACAGACTCGAAAGAGCGCAGCAAACCAACAGCCAATGTCAAAGTCTCGATGTCGTCAAAGAAAGCGCCGAGGATCCAGTAGACGAACATGTAGTGGCTTTCATTCATAAATCTGTCGTGTTGTTAGACAAGTTTTAATCGATCATAGCTTTTGATGAGCTCACCGGAACATCACGTTGACAGCAAAACCGCGACCAAAACCTGGCAAGTCCCAATCCAGAGTAACTTTCGGCACTGCCTCAGCATACAGTTTCTCGTTTGCGACTTGCCAGCCGAAAAGTGCCAACATGAGCACTGAGAAAATGGTCCATGTGAACTTGGCCAGTGTAGGCCGACTGAAAAACTTCGTGTCGTAGAACCAACCCCAGAAGATGTTCGCTGCTGTAGCTGCAATGCCAGACGACAAAGATCCAAGTGTCCGCGCGCGAACAGAAAAATAGCGCGTGAGGTAAATTCCTTGGTATGTGTTATTCCAGTTGAAACCAATCATTACCGGAATGAGCAGGAAAAAGCGCTTGTCCTTGAGCAGTGCAAACCAGCGCTTCGCTTCTTTCATCACTGCTTTATTTTTTGTGGGATCCGGAACTTTGCGGCCATCGCGATGAATGACCTTGTGGGGTGGCGATACCAAAAGTGCGAGCGGAAGGCCGAGGCACTGCAATGCGATGAGTACAATATAGGTTGTATATCCCACCTTGCCTCTCTCGCCACTCTTGTAGTTGAGCGAAAGTTGGATAGATGAACCAATGAGTTGACCAAGCTCTCGCAATCCGAGCCAGATTCCAGTGAATTTCCCACGGTTATGCACGTCTGCGTAACCCAGGGCGATGGCTCCTTCGGATGCCCAGAGTGCAGAGGCTGCAAGACCACAAGTTGCGCCACCGAGGAGAACGAACCATTCCGTGCCATATCGATTGTTAACATACAGGGATGCACTATATGGTGCATATCCCAGAGTACCTAGGATGAGGACGGTTTTGAGACCAATCTTGTTGGCGAGAATGGCGAAGATCGAGCAGCCGAAGACCATGATGCCAAATGTGAGGGAATTTGCGCCGTTGACAAGATAGGGCTCTTGTTGGCCTCCTGCACCGACATCTATTGGAGATCAGTGTCGGACAGTAGTCACAAATTTGTCAAACTTACTGTTAAGCGCATTCCAAATTCCAGGCTGGGTGAAGGAAATCATGCCGACCACGATGACATTGAACAATGGACTCCGGTACCATCGCGTGAAGCGGGATATCGGTTTACTATGCGCGTCGGTCGCATTTTCGATCTCAGGTTCGACGGCCTTGTCGGACATGTTGGCGATGTTGTCGGTTGCAGTCGATCGGCCTGCGGCGTCCTTCCACCATCCTTATAAGCATATCTCATCCCTTCAGCTCCACACATTGCGCCTTGTACACTGCAGGTTTATCCGAAGATAGGCCAGCACGCGCGACGTGCTCCACGAAAGACGAGTCTTGCTGCTAGAGTGTTTTGTGATGGGGTAGACCCACTGTCGATACTGAAATAGGCTAAAAGCTTATGGCGTTATACCTTCCCGCGATGAGACAATGCTAGGCACGCAAAGCTTGAATTACGCATGGAGACATCCGAACCACGCTGTTTGGACAACGAGCCCTGCCAAGAATAAAATTGCATGTCTGGTAATTCAATTAGGACTGAGGCGCTCGTGAGACTGGAAGAGTCTTCGATGAAGCGACAGCAGGGGTGATGGGCGTGATAAGGATTTGTGGATGTTGGGAGTTAAGGAATTGCTGAGCGACCGCGCGGTGCAGTCATGGATTTGATTGAAGGTTGACAACGAGACTGAAATGCAATGTTTTCGCTTGTGTGACCAGGACTGTCCGCATTCTCGAGGTGCACTTTGTGACCTGACATAGCTGTAGACTGGACAGGCAGCTGACTTAACATGGAAAAAGAAAGGGCTTTGAAGTTCTCTGACATGACTGCAGGACGTGAAGCAGTGAATGTGAAGAGTTACTGGGGATGACGGTCTTTGTTATCATGGCTTGGCACGCTACTATCTTGACGCGTCGATGTCGCGTTCTGTGACATCCTAATCATCAAAACCATCCAGTCCCTATTTAGACCAGCCGACTTCTATTTGTGATGCTACTTATTCAGGTATCAAATGATCTTCAGCTGCGACCCCAGCCTTCCATCGATACTTGGATGCCACATGCTCATCTAGTGGACCTGTTTGACCTTTCTTCGCATAGAAGTTTTCGCGATACGTCCCATTTGGAACGGCGTAGTCGTCCCAGAACATACCGCGCGCTCTAAGCTCTGGAAGCAGAAGCTCAATGACGTCTTTGAAAGACTGCGGGAAAAGAGCATATGCCTACCCGCTGTCAAAACAAAATCATATCACAACTGGGCAAGACTTACAATGTTGAACCCATCAACGTCAGCTTCGTCAATCCATGCTTGGAATCCGTCTGCAACCTGTGCGGGAGTTCCGACAAATATTGGGCCATTACCACCCACACTTACGTGCTCAGCGACAGTGTGCTTCGTCCACTTGGAGGTCCCTGGCGAAAACCGGGCATAGCCTTCGACAGTAGATCTTACAGCGTTGCTTTCAACCTGCCGTAACTCCTCCTCATCACCATACTTGCCAAGATCGATGCCGGTCCATCCGCAGAAAAGTGCTAAAGCACCCTCGAGCGACGCATACCGGCGGTATTCAGCTAATTTGGACTGGGCTTCTTCTTCCGTCTTCCCCAAGATAGGCGTGACAAGAGCAAGGACCTTGATGTTCTTGGCCATCTCTGCCGAACTGGGGAAGATGCGATTTCTCGAATTTCGGCGATGTTCTTTGCGCACACTTCAGGCGCATGGGCGGAGACAAAAATTGCCTCTGCGTTTTGTGCTGCGAAAACTTTTCCAGCTTTTGATGCACCAGCCTGAAGAATCAAGGGCGTCCTTTGTGGGCTAGGCTGACAGATGTGTGGTCCAGTTACGTCAAAGTATTTTCCTTGATGGTTAATCTTTCGAACCCTCTCCGGCATTGTATACACCCCCTTTTTACGGTCCAGTACCACAGCGTCATCTCTCCACGATGATTCGAGGAGTTTGTACATCACTTTGACGTACTCTTCAGCTTGGGCATATCTTTCATGATGCTTTTGAACAGTCAGTCTAGGTCACTCGTATGTCCACCCTCGAACTGACCGGTAGCTGTTCCTTCATGCTCATGTTGCGGGCGGCAGAATCCAGGTAACTTGTCACAATCTAGGTATTTAGTTATTGCTTCCGCCATTATAGCGCTTAAAACCTACATTCCAACCAAGTCTAGAAATATGAGCTACCGCATACGTTGGGGAACAATGTTGACTTACCTTCCCTTCGAGAGATGGTCCACTGTGGAAAGCCTCCTAGCCAAGTGATACGGCTGCTCGTATGTGGTCGAGACTGTGACGCCAAAGCCGATGCTTTTTGTGGCTGCAGCCATTGCACTGACTACAGCTAAGGGCTCGTTGACCGGCCATTGCGCACCGGAGATTTGTGCTGCGTCGAGGGTTCCATTATACACATCATAGCCACCGAGGACGTCTGCTATGAAGATACCATGAATCTTGGCATCCTCGAGCATTTTCGCAAGCTCTACCCAATGGTCAACATTGTTGAATTCATGCGAGCGATCATCCGGGTGTCGCCAAAGTCCTGGCGACTGATGACCGCTGCCTACACATCAAATGTTAGCTAAAACAATACAACTGAGGCAAACTGCTGAGGAGTGCACGTGATCTGGCGGAACATACACATCTCAACGAATGCATTGATAATGACCTTCTTGCCAGCTGTAGCATTGCTACCTGTGGCATCACCATTCCTGGGTTTCGCATTCTTCGAAACTGAAGTCCCGTTCGTTCTCTTCCTCTTGGCCATTGTCGAATGTTGTTGCAAGTAGTAAGGTTGCTAGCCAATAGCGCCGAGGTAAGTTTGAGCGAGGTCGTGGTGCGGATGGTGTGCTTACAGCGGTTTTTAACGCAATCGCTTATCTGCGAACTCCAATACCAGCATCATCGGTAGATGACAACCTACTCCAAGTAACTAGGACAAACTAACATCCCTTCCGATATAGGACGTCGGCAGCACCGGCATAATTCCATGCTGCGAATAGAGTCGCTGCTTCACGGCATGTCCCCCACTACTGTACAACGCCATCAGACCCCACAATGTCGACGGCGCTATTACCCCACCCAATATCGTTCTCGTGAAGCGCTATAGGGATCCGACATGGAAGCCCTGTCCACCATGTCATGTCATGCGCAATGACGACCCAGGGAAACTCGAAATATCCTTTTACAGGAAGCCGGCAGTCCGAAATTAGCCACCACTTTGACATAATTTTATTCGGAGATTCCGCAGGTGGTCCAAAACAATATTGCAAGTCTCAACTTGAACGAAGGAGGCTGTTTCCGGAAAGTTGGGAAGAAATCATGTCTACACGGAAGCGACGCACAAGAAGTTCAGCGAGACCAGACCCCGAGGAAACTGTGCATAATAAGAGACGAAAGACCGAAAGTGGCTTTCAGCGAGCAGAAGAGGCGGTTATAACACCAGCAGCTCAATCCGTTTTGCTATTGCATGCAATTCGTCAGCCTTACAACGTCACCAAAGACTACACGGTTCCGGCATTACAGCATGATACCGAACTGCTCGTCAAGGTGGGAGCAGTAGGACTCAATCCAATTGACTGGAAAGCACCGTAGGTCTCCTATAGCGGGCTTGACGCGTCTACGCTCACCATCTCCAGAGACTTCAATTTCGGAATTCCTACACTGCCATACATCGCTGGCCGTGAGTTCGCTGGCACAGTTGTGAAAGCGTCCGATGCAGGAAGTTCCCGCATCAAGGACGGCGATGTGATCGTAGTTCCTTCGACCGATTACCGTGACCTGCGGAAAGCCGCATTCCAGCAATACAGTGTCGCATCGTCGTTCAATGCTATACGTATACCAAAGAACATCTCCATCCGCTCAGGCAGCATTCTGGGAGTTGCATTCGTGTCTGCTGCATTGGCTTTGGGTATATGCATGGGACTGGATTTCTCTAGCATCGAAGACGGACCAGATCTTCTCAGCATGGTCCGCAGTCTTGAAGCAGATCAATTGCCCACGGATATACGGCAAGAATGCTTGCACGGTATCTCGGTAGCAGATCGTGCAAAGGCCGACGATTTCCTCGTGATCTGGGGCGGCAGTTCTACTTGTGCACATGCTGCAAAGCAGATTGCGCGCCTCGCGGGTCTCAAAATTGTTTCTGTTGTCGACAACGCGAAACATGGACTTAGGCTGTCATCTAACGAGGCCATCAGGCCTGACCTTGTGGTAGACTCGCACGACCCTCAGAGGGCCATTGAAATCATCAACGCGAACACGGGCTCCCGGGCCCGATTTGGCTTCGACACCATTGGAAAGGAGTCGGCTGGCCACCTTTCTCGATCGCTCGCAAACTCGAAATCAACGGCACCCACACTTTCGCGTGACGGGAAAGTCTTAGAGCAAGCTGGAGCGAAGCTACCTAGCCCACCATCAACGCCGCTCGAGAAATGCTCGCGTACCCAAAAGTCGCATTTGGTGGGATTGACCGGATTGCCGAAGAGTGACGTACCTGAAGGTGTCGCATTGCATAGCGTGCCGATCAAGCTTTTTCACGAAGTCCCCGAAGTCGGTGAAGCCTTGAGTGCTTGGTGCGAGCGATTGCTAGTGAAAGGACTACTCGTGCCACCAGACGTTGTTGGAACTGTCGATGGACTTGAAGGGATCAATGCAGGCCTCGATCGAATGAGGAAGAGGGAGATCAGCGGAGGACGGTTGGTTGCTGTACTGAAATAGATGAAATGCAGTCACCTTCTTCCCGAATATGGTTGATTGACATGTCATCTATCCTAGTTTCGCTGCACCACATAATGGCCAATGATAATCTGTTGATTTCGAACGTACATTTCTACATTACAAGACATCCCCAAGGTTTATTCCCCACGCTCCTTCGTCTCCATCTATCAGATAGCCACAGACTTATCTGCCCTCTCCGCAACCACTTCATCAACTTTGACTGTTGGCTTCACAATGCCATGCGCAGTTTGCTCAATAGCAGTCGGCTTCTCGCCTCCAAACTCCTTCAGAACCAACCACGCCGGAAAGATCGCCACACCCCAAAGCGCAAAGTTCCAATACACAGCTCCGACCTCCGCAAAGACCGTGATGCTAGTGATGCCATAGCTGACCGCCTGCCACGCGCTCTCACTCCCTCTCAGCAGCGCAGCATAGCGAATGACTTCCTGCTGATTAAGTGCCAAATTGCCAATAATGAAGTACAGGAAGAGATAGTTCATCTGAAAGCCGGCAGTCAGGAAGATGAAGACTGCGAAAGCGCGACCGAAGCTGGGAGATGACCAGTCGTAGGTAGGCTTTGAGGACTGGAATTCCGTGACAAGGATCGTGGCCCAAAGCCACCAGGCACCCTGGAGGACTACAAGGACCCAGAACGTACTGCGGGTGCGGGTGCGGAGAGGAATGCTAGTGCGATCGAGGTAGTTGCCGAGCAGATTTCCGCATATCACGGCGATGATGCCTGAGAGGAAGGATCCGAGGGCGCGCGCGCGGACGGAAAACCACACTGGAGGTTGTTAGCATGATTTCAGATGAAGCACTGAATCAACTTACATGCGAGGTAGGTGAAGAAAACAGCTTCAGCAAATACGGCTTGTCCGATCCAAAGCAGAATGAGCAAGAACCTCTTTGTGAAGAACAGTCGTGCAATCTCTTTGAGTTCGAACCAGGGTTTCTCCAGAATCGCCAGCTCAACTTTCTTGCCATCTTTGCGCTGCACCTTCTCTGGCTTGTTCAAGAAAAGTCCCACAACGGGGCCAATGCACTGAAGGGCGATGAAGATCAGGTAGACGGTGTACGTAACCTTGCCAGCTTGGTCGCGATCCGCATTGAGTCCCAAGTTGATTGCGCCACCAAGAATTTGTCCCGCGAGACGGTAGGTAAGCCAGTAACCTAATGCTTTGCCTTTGTTCCACGGCTCGGGATACGCAATTGCGATAGCAGCTTCAGCCATCCAGAATACGCCTGCTGAGATGCCGCAAAGTGATGCGCCGAGATAGATGAACCACTCCGTCCCGAACCGGTTGTTCGTGTACAATGCTGCAGCAAATGGTGCGTATCCAATTCTACTCATTGTCAATCGCCGCCTCAACAAAAGTGTATTTCTACTCACGTGCCAAACATGAGTGCGCCTTTGATGCCAACGTAATGCACAATCACACTGCTGAAGTAACAGCTCACCACCATCAAACAGAACGTGAGCGCATTGCCTGCATTAACTAGATGAGGCGATTGCGCTCCTCCGGCACCAAGGGAGTTCATAGCTCCCCAGATACCAGGTGCGCTGAAGTTGCAGAGACCTAAAATGGTCATGTTGAAGAAAGTTGAGCGGTACCATTTTACTGCAGTCTCTCAGCAATGCACTTTGTGTCAGAAATGGAGCAGAATTACCTGGATAGTCGCGTCTCTCGGAGCTGGTGTCGCTCCCAGACTCAAGTGTGGTGTCTTTGTCGGACATGATGACTGAATGTCTTGAGATTGGCAGAATTCTGTATGCAGGATGATGAACACAATCGCCACGAACACCAATCCTTCATGAGTATTTCATCCGGCTCCTGGAAGTACCTCTATCCAGGCCGCGGCACACGGTTCCGACGCGTTTCGCTACTGCTTACCATCCGCCATACCACCCATGCAATTCACCACAATCACGCAAGACCCCACGTTCCGCGACACTCCGTTTATCGGCCACTCCAATTCTAGAACCGTTACTACGAGTATGTTGTTATCGTAACAAAGCTTCGGGAAGCCGTTGCGGGCGTTTCCTCGGCATGTTTTGGAGGTCGGTGGTTTGATGGGGTAGCACGCCATCTTCCTGGTATTTGACGAAGTTGTCGCGCATCTCCAATGTCGACAAGCGGAGCACAGCGCGCAGCTTTTCTGCTTATCCGAGATAGAGCCGTAATCAATTACACGTGGGCTGGAAGGGTGACAGAATAGATAAGCGAATATCGTGCTTGGGCTGGAAGATTTTGCGGTGTGATGAGACCGAAGCGGGTGTTTGTGGGGGTGGAAGCTGTAGAATCATTCTTGGATGGTTGATTGTTGAGTGCTTCATGATTGGAAGGGGAATGCAACGAAGAAGTTCAGCACGATGATTTTTTGATTTGAAGTTGATGATGCTGGAGAGCTCTATCGTTCAAGTCTTCTTCCTTGCTCCAGGCACATCCCACCAGCTCTCGTGAAGGTCCCGCAGGTCTACCTCCTGACCTGGTGCCCTCAAATAAGAAGTGAGATCAGTCGTCTCGTCAATCTCTGCTTCAGTATATCCGTTGCCAAAGTAGGCAAATCTATTCTGCTTATTCTCGCGCTCATACTCCCAGTCTTCCCATCTTGGTTCACGTCTGACCAGTGTGATGTGGGCAGCAGATCCAGGCCAAAGTCCATGAATGCGCTGACCTGGCACACCCCCGTTGTTCCAAGAAGAGCAATTGTCGGTCAAAACTGTGGTTGGGAAGAATGCATCACAATAATCGATGAAGTCGTCTGTCGCTTCCTTTGAAGGTGCCATCGATTTGATACCTTGCGATGATGCTTTGCGCATGGCTTTCGCGAAGTAAGTGAGTGCAGTTTCGACAGCTTGCGGCACAGTGCCTGAAGGACCTGTAGCGTGAGGACCAGCCAGGAAGAACAAGTTCGGAAATCCTGGTGTGGCCACGCCCATATATGTGTATGGGAAGCCCCATTTTCCCTCAGGTTTCCACGCTTTGTTGATATCTACTCCTCGTGCCTTCAGCGGAAAGGGTGGTACGAGGTCAGTGTTTGCACCGGTGGCACATAGAATTGCATCGAAATCAAAGTTCTTTCCATCCACTGTCTCAATGCCAGTCGGCGTGAAACGCTTGATCGGAGTTTTCACTAAATTTACGTTGTCTTCAGTGAGCGACTCCAGATAGCCAGGCCCTGGCGTCAATCTTCTGCAATGCGGTGCAAAGTCTGGAATCAGTCCATCGAGCAACTCAGGCTTTTTTGCTGCTCGCTTCTTCATCACTTCAATAAAAAGCTCGCGTATACCCGCATTCTCCGGTGAGTCGCGTACCATCGCACGGAACCGTCTCCAGTACCTATCTTCGAGGTCTTTTCGGAAAGCCAGGTATATTTCAGGGTCTTCGAAAGATTTGCGCTGCTCTTCTGGATAGGGCTGAGGCTCGAAAGTTCTTTCATCGCCCGCCCAAGAGGTTGCAATCCATGTGGGATTGCGGACGAAATGAGTTACATGTTTGGCGATGGGTTGCAAATTTGGTACCACCTGAATCCCACTTGCGCCATTCCCTATCACGGCGATTTTCTTGTTTGCTGGGTCAAAAGATGGGTCCCAGTTTGACGTGTGTCGAAGATGGCCTTTGTACTCGTCGAGCCCAGGATAGTCAGGCAGTTTCCAGGCATTGAATCGTCCAATAGCCGTGATAAGAAAATCGAAACTTTCGGTGAAAGAGCTTTCAGTATCAAGATTCGTCACTTTGACACGCCAATTCGATTCCGCATCACTCCACTCCGCCCCATCTACGCGATGCCGTAGCTTCACATAGTCGTAGACACCATGTTTTTTTGCCTGGGCCTGCCAATAGTCGCGTATTTCACCGCCCTTCGCGAAGATTTCTGTCCATTGGGTGTTAGGTGAATATGTCGATTGGTAAACATGTGCTGGTATATCGCATCGAACTCCGGGGTAGACATTTTCCAGCCATGTGCCGCTCTGTAGAAATTAGAGATTGTTTTCAAATGTTACGAATTACTCACAACATCAGTGTTCTTCTCATAAATAGTCAATTTGATGCCTGGCACCTTGGCTGGAAGCAAAATGCCAGCATTAATACCAGCAAGCCCAGCACCGATGACCGCTACCTTCAGCTCTCGCACCTGATCTATGCTATGGCTTGTATCGATCTGGAGTTTAGAAACAGGATATGGGATTGGGAGTTCGGGGCGTTTTTTGACACGTTCGGTCTCTTCTACAGGCGCAAGATGACCTGTAAGCTGGGCGACGCGTCGCGTTGATGGAGAAGTTTGAGCTTCTGTGGCCGTCCGGTCCGAATTGGGAATGACTGATTTGGGCGCCATGACGTAAATTGAGTGCGAGAACAGTCTCCTTCAACTTCAACAACCATCCAAGCGACTTTTAAGTCTGGCAATTTGCCGCGGTGCAATACAATACATGTCATCAAGCACTGGGTCAATCCGTTATCGCGTTCGAGTCATGTGCGAGCACAGCGCATGCCTGTCGATGGCACAATCACGTCTTCACCCCACTCGCTGACGAGATCGCCGTGTCGCGACCACCCCTCGCCTGTCATGCTCGCTTCCCTGCAGCCTCTCAATTCTCAACCATTCTATGAGCCTTATTCGGCAGGAAGCATGCATACGGTTATGTGCCAACCTCATGCCACTGCAACAGTGCAGGAAATGGGAGCACGCCTAAGTCGAGCTCCTTCACCATACCTATATAATGCTCTGATACGTCGAATGACTGACACTAAACACTCAAAATCGGCTCGGTGACACGATGTCTATACTCGACAACCCTCGTAAATGGTATCAAATCAAATGGTTCCAAGATTACGACACACCAGAAGAACGCAAATTGATCGTAAAGTTGGACCTTCTGATTGTACCATATGTTTTTGTGGTATGTCATATTACCCGGTTGTGCTTAGCTCGGCGGTCTAACATCAGTTTTGGCGTACTGGACGAAGTACATCGATCAAGCTAACATCAGTATGTCACTTTCTAGCCTATACCACCCATATTAATTGACACAAAATAGACAATGCTTATGTTGCTGGGATGAAAGAGGACTTGGGGTTCCAAGGCAATGAACTCGTAAAGCTGCAGACCATGTACATTCTGGGAGCCGTGCTAGGACAGCTTCCATTCATGTACCTCTTCACGCGGGTGCCTATGTACTACCTAATACCGATGATGGACGTGGCATGGGGAATTTTCACCCTCTTGCAGTTCCGAGTCACCTCCTATGCGGAAATCGCGGCTTACAGGTTCATGGTAGGCTGGTTTGAAGCAGCTTTCTTCCCAGCCATTCACTACATCTTTGGTGGGTTTTGTACACTATGACGATAGACACAAGCTAATTCAGGCTCAGGCTCCTGGTACAGATCTGATGAATACGGACGGCGTGCCGGATTTTTCTATATCGGCCTCACATTGGGTACTCTCACGGCGGCCTTGATTCAGTCGGCAGCTTCCGCTAACTTAGATGGTGTTCATGGCCTTGCTGGATGGCGCTGGATGTACATTGTCTGTGCGATCTTGACTATTCCCGTCGGCATAGTCGGACTATTCGTCATTCCTGGTACTCCAGATCAACCCAATAAATGGATCCTGAAGGACAAAGACGTCCAGCTCTCGAAAGACCGGCTTCAACGGGCAGGCCACAAAACAGAAGGCAAGGTGACCGTGCAAACTTTTGTTCGTATCGCAAAATCCCCCCGTGTCTGGGCTTTACTTTTGCTGGATATATTCTTCTGGAACGGTTCCGTCAACACTACTACCGGGGGCTATCTGCTATGGCTAAAGAGTCTGAAGCGGTACACTCCTGCACGTCTCAATCAGCTGGGAGCCATGTCACCTGGTCTTGGAATTTTCTACACATTAGCAGTCTGTTTCGGATCCGACCTTTTGTTTGGTCCCGCGTGGGCAATCACGATTGCACACGTCTGGAATATCATTGGGCTAATCATCTTGACGATCTGGCATGTCCCCGAACCAGCATTGTGGTTCGCATTCATGACTACCTATTCTGCCGTGGCCATGTCGAGTGTGCTCTACGGTTGGATCAACAGCCAGCTCAGCTACTCCCCTGCAGAGCGTTCCGTAGCACTGGTGCTGGCAAATACCATCTCACAATCCACAACTGCCTGGACGCCGCTCTTGGTTTTTAAAACCGTCGAGGCACCAAGGTTCATCAAAGGCTATCCATTTGTACTCGCGAACGCGGTCTGCTTGATCATTTTGGCACATGTCATCAATACCTATGCACGGAAAGGGCAACGGTATGTGAATTTGCTGTACACAGGCATCTGAACAGGCTGACATCTTACAGGTCAAATCCTCCGGTAGCAGACGATGAAAGTGGAGGATCGTTAGACCAAACAAGCATCCATTTGCGTACCGACCAGAAAGATGAAGGCGCGTCTGAAGAATCGAAATGAGAAAATAGAGGCAGTTTGTAACATAGGACATTGGCTTTCTCAATAGCCTGTTGCTCAACAGATAAAACTTTCAGCCAAAAGAGTCAAACTGCTCATATTGAATACTACTGCCAGTGAGCATTCTCAGAATTCCTTCCATGAACCACAGAGCTCAAATTAAATCTCCATGGATTTTTGATTGTCCATTTCTTAGAAATCGATATGTTGTTGTAACTTGATGAAAAATGGTGTTCACACCGGATCCTTCTGCGCATCCTGCCAGCGACATCAACATGAGCTGTGGACCCTGCAAAGCATGCAATGCACCGCGCAAGATTTTGTGATACCGACTAACAGAATCCCATCCACAGTTTAACCCCACCCATGATTGCGACTTCGGGAACCGTTATCAGGATGGCGCAATACGAGCCATGCATCACGAAAACACTCAACTGAACTCGTGCATCACTTGGGTTATGCGAGCGAGTGGGGTAAACGCATTATCATTCCGCACCTCAGGCATCATGTGTTGCATAACCGAACACGTGCTTGAATCGTGTGTACGGGACCATATCCCAAGCTGTCGTTGATGCTACCTCTGCACCAGCGATTACAAAATTACTGACTTCATACCACTGCGACGATGTCTCAAGTTACAACAAATGGCACTAATAATACCTCCACCAACCGCAAGAAGATACTCATCAATGCATTTGACATGAGCACTGTAGGACATTTGAGTCCTGGACAATGGAAGAATCCTACGGACAAGTCGGCCACGAAAAGAAGGTTGGACTACTGGATTGACTTAGCAAAACTGCTTGAACGCGGCGGTATCAATGCGCTGTTCCTCGCAGATACTTACGGTGGTTACGACACTTATGAAGACAGCCTGGACAACTGTATCCGCCGAGCGGCGCAGTGGCCTATGACTGATCCAACAATTGTAAGTTGGAAATAAGCTCAATCATTGAAAGAAGCTGACGAGAACAGCCAATATCAGCAATGGCAGCAGTGACGAAACATTTGAGCTTCGCAATCACCGCTTCGACGTCATTCGAGCCTCCATTTCTACTTGCCAAACGCTTCAGTACCCTCGATCATATGACGGGAGGCCGCTTTGGCTGGAATATTGTAACATCATGGAAGAAAGCCGCGTTCAAGGCCATTGGAATTGACACGCCCATCGAACGTGACGAACGATACGCGCAAGCTGACGAATACTTGCGCGTGCTGTACAAGTAAGCAGTTCACTCTACCACTTAGCAGCCCATCTTAATCATGCTGTAGACTCTGGGAAGGATCCTGGTCCGACGATGCGATTACTCAGAACGCCCCAGCAGATGAATACATCGACCCCGCCAGAATCCGCACAATCAAACACACAGGAAAGTACTACAATCTCGAATCTCGCCACATTGTCGATCCATCACCCCAACGGACGCCATTTCTCTTTCAAGCCGGTACTTCATCTGCAGGCTCAGAGTTCGCCGCCACGCACGCAGAAGCAATCTTCGTGTCATCGCACTCTCCAACCGTTCTAGCGCCCAAAGTCAAAAAGATCCGCGAACTAGCTGAACAACAAGGTAGAGATCCCGCTAGTATCAAGTTTTTTGCGACATTTACTCCCATCCTTGGGAAGACGGACGAAGAAGCGCAGGAAAAGTATATCGAGCTGAAGAAGTATGCTAGTGAGATTGGCGGGCTGGTGCTCACGAGTGGCTGGACGGGAATTGATTTGAGCAAGTATCCGCCCGATCATGTGTTGAGCGCAGAAGATACGACGACGGATCATAGGGTGAGAAGCTTGTTGGATCAATTTACTGTCACATCGCCGGAAGTACCGCAATGGACACCGAAAGTGATAGCGGAGAAGGCGTCGATAGGTGGTCTTGGACCCGTGAGTGTTGGGTCGCCGGCTACGGTCGCAGACGAATTGGAGCGATGGGTGGGGGAAGCTGATGTCGATGGCTTTAACATTGGGTATGTGACTACTCCAGGGAGTTTTGAGGATGTGGTTGATTTATTGGTGCCTGAATTGAGGAAAAGAGGAATATATTCGGAGATTCCGAAGGAAGAGTCGGACGAAGAATGGACGGCAAGAGAGAAGGTGTATGGCAAGGGGCAGAAGGGATTAAGAGATGATCATGAAGGATCGAGGTATAGATATGATGTTTACGAGGAGACTGAGAAGGAAGAGAAGAAAGCCAACGGAAAGCATGATGCTGAGCACAGCGAGACTGAGGAGGAAAGGCCCTCGAAGAAGCAAAAGAAGCAGTAGTGGAGTATCTGTAAAAAAAAAAACGTCTCTGAAAGGTTTCTACAGCAATGTCGCACGAATAATGACTGGAACCGATTGCCGACCACCTCGTAGCTTCCACCTCTCTGATTCATTCTTTCTCAACCAAAGTTAAGTTTCTTCGACACCGCTGGCTTGCAATGACCGATTTCATGCAATAACGGCGGTCCTGCATCTTTCGTTTACCCTAGGCATCTGAGACTGCGCGCGTGCTGATTTGGTTGTGAATGAGGCAGGTCGGTGGAGTCGATGTAGCTCCATCAAGACAAGTGGCGGGGTCGGCGCCAAAGATATATAACCATTGTGGTCGGAGCTTATGCGTTCTAGACTTGCCGTAAAGCCACCGAAGCTAGATACTGTTTCATAGGCTGCTCAGTCTTCTTCGAGTGCCTCACCACGACGATGCTGGTGCTTTTCATCGATCCTATAGGCCGCGCTATCAGTGTGAACAAAACTAGCTCCGGAGGAATGCCCTAACTTAAACTCTCAATGAGTGTTACTTAATCCACAGCGTTTAAGAGGTACAGTACTTTCGTAAAACCAGTGACCCCTCTATCATCATCAACACCCTCCTCTTACAGTGAAGAACACACAGTATTGCCCAAAAATGTCTAGCCTCGCTGCGCAGAAGGCAACAGCCAAAGCCGTCATCGCTGGTTTCGACGCGTGGGAACTCGAAAAGATCATGGCCTATCGACACCCAGACTGTCAAATACAAGTTATCCCTGCATCCCTGGGCCGACCTAAGATGAACAACGCAGAGTATCGTGTACGCCTAGCTCATATAATGCCATGGTTCAGGAATTTCAAGGTAGTACTGTCGGCGCAATATAGTTTCGACGACTGATGTGATGATAGGCGACTGTTCACACGGAGGTGCATGACGCTGAAGCGCATACATGCATGATACATGCTACGAGTACAGCGGAGACGGATATTGGACCGTATGCAAACGAGTATGCGTTGATTTTGACTTTTACGGAGGACGGGACGAAAGTCATCAACTTTTTGGAGATGGTAGATTCGGCTTACTCATCGAAGTTCTTTGCGGCGCTGGCAGAGGCAGGGCTGAAATAGTAGTGAGATCGTTTAGTCGAATAGATACCAGCACATTGTAGTGAGCTCGCAGCTGCATTGCCTTACGCTGTTCACTCTTTGAGTTCTCGAAGTCCTACTTATAGGTGCCAGCCTAAACTTTAGCTGTGGACGGCGGCTGACATGTTGGATGGCAATCATGGCGGAGTGAAAGGCCGCTTCTCCGCGCTAGACCCGTTTGAAGCCTAGCGTGTATGACATCATCATCAGAGTAGCTTTCACATGACACGCGTTTGCTCTAATGCCAAACTTCCCAGGTTCACCGAGGCATTCGTTGCTGAGAAATGATCATCAACTGGTAGCCATGGCATCAACGAGCGACATTCTCACCCTTGTTAGCTCCATCTTGCTCCGCGTCAGCATATGGGTGTTCTTGCGCTGGGTAAGCTCGGTCAAACTCCGCTAGTATTGTTGACTAACAATGGCCTTCACAGATTCCCACGACTGTCAGTACAAATCTCACCAATGCGCGCACGACAGCCCCAAAGTATAATCTCTGACAATGCAAATAGATTGTACCGGCGCTTGCAACGGCACTCACGGCCATTTACATCCCTTCCTTCTTCACCAGTTTCCAAGACACCGAACAGTACAAGGTCATATCAGATGAGCTTGACATCATCGTGAAAGACACTATCTCTAGAGGTGATGATACGAGTGAAGATGTTCAGCTCATTGAGGGAGCAGACGATGGGCCACTCGAAGAATTGGACGTGGTGGAAACGATCCAGTACGAGGAAAGGGAGCCTAAGATCCTGAGGACATTGCTCACAGGCCTTCCGAGTCCCTCGTCTGCACTATGGAGTTGGATCACGTTTGCCATAAACATGGCGCTCATCGCTATGGCATTGGATGTCGTGTATCGCGCGCCGCTCCTCCACCAATGCCACGACGCGTCGTTTGGACGCGTCGGTTACGTGTCAGACCACAGCGCAAACATTCTGGTCAGAGAGCCATATGCGTTCGATGTCAGAGTGCTGTACCGATCAATCGATGAGCCGAACCGCTCATGGATGCACAAGATCCATCCCTCCAGCCAACCGAGCCACTGGCTTACGAACGAGACCGACTTCACCACTGTGCTTAACCTCGACTATTTGCGCCCAGACACACATTACGAATATGTCATCGAGACATCAAGCGGAAACAAGACGGGCACTTTCATGACTGCACCTCGACCAGGTCGCACATCGTCGCTCAAGGACAACAAATACACCTTCGTTCACTCGAGCTGCATCAAGCCGCGTGTACCATATACACCATTTCAACACCCGCTTGAGTTCCCTGGCATGAAGCATCTTGCAAACTGGCTTCCCGAGCTCCGCCCGTACTTCATGCTCTTCCTCGGAGACTTTATCTACGTTGACGTCCCGCACCGACAGGGCAAAGACTCTGAGACATATCGACGCGAGTACCGCCAGGTCTATTCCTCTCCGTCCTGGCCGGCGGTCAGCGACCACCTGCCTTGGATCCACGTAATCGATGATCACGAGATTCACAACGACTGGAACTCGAACATGACAGGGGTCGCAGTCCCTGCGTACGATGCCTTCACGCACTACAATGCCGCGCCAAACCCACCCGCGCATCGTAAAGGCCACACATACTTTTCCTTCACGCAAGGCCCGGCAGACTTCTTCCTTCTCGACACCCGCCGCTACCGTAGCCCAGAAACCAAAGACCCGAACGATCCAGCGAAGACAATGCTCGGCCAGCAACAACTAGACGATCTCATCGCCTGGATCCACAAAGTCCCACACAACGGCGTGAACTGGAAGTTTATCGTTACCGGCATTCCGTTCACCAAGAACTGGCAATTCGGTTCCGAGGATACTTGGGGCGGCTACCTCCACGAGCGCCGCATTATCCTCGAAGCTGCTTGGGAACTATCCTCCACTGCGGGCGTAGGCGTTGTCATTCTCTCCGGAGATCGCCACGAGTTCGCAGCTACCTCGTTCCCACCACCTGCAGGCTCGAGGTGGCCTGTCAGTGCCACGGTGCACGAGTTCAGCACGTCTCCGTTGAGCATGTTCTACCTGCCATTCCGCACATACAAGGAGATTGATGACGAGGATGTATGCATCAAATACCTTCCCGATGGCAATAGCAAATTCGGCGCCGTGGAGATTACGAATCCGCCACATGGAGAGCAGAGTCTGCTCAACTACAGGCTGTTCATCGACGGTAAGGAGGCTTGGACGCATGTCATTTCTACTCCGCCGAGTAGGGATGGAAGTCACAGGGCGAAGGATGCGGTGTGGGGTTAAGGGGAATCGGCGTTCAGCGATGGGATATATGCGAATATAGTAATTCTTCAGTTTAGCGTTATTCGCAGGGCGCAGGACGGATAGCGGGTTGAGAGCATTTCGGGTATCATCTTAACGAGCTAAATTCACTTCTTCTTCCCACCCGCACCCCACTGCTTCCTCGCCTTCTCCTCATCCTCCCTACTCCACTCCCGCGGCAGCACCGCAAACACCAAGTAACTCGTGTGTGTCTTGAGTTCCGGCTCCGTGCGATGCACCAACCTGCCCTCCTTGAACAACGTCCGACTCTCCGCCTCTTTCTTCGTCTTCTCCACCCTCTCCGCTTTCCCCGGCGGCACGCCTTCCTTCTTCCCACCCACCTTCTTCTCCTTGCCGACCTCCACGTCTTCGCCTCTCTTCCGCGCCTCCGCGCGCCGCATGACTTCCTCCTGCTTCTCCTTCTGCAGGCTGTGGAACACGGCGGCTCGGCCTTCGACGTCGCGCAGTCGCTGCACGGCTTCCTGGACACTGGCTGGTGTGGCGTTCCCGCCGCGTACGCCTTCTTCGGCGAGCCCGACGCGCTCGCGACGCACTTCGAGTCGCTTAGCGGCGATCTCGACCATGTCGATTTCGAGCCAGCCGTAGGTGCGCAGGGCGGAGACAGTGCGGGTGACTTGTTCGATGCAGGGGGAGAAGGTGCATATGCGGATTGGTTTGAGGGGGTTGAGCGGCGTACGGAAGGGTTTGGGGTCTGTGGATGTGGTCGTGGTCGAGTCTTCTGGTAGGGGCGTTGAAGGGTCGGATTGTGCTGCGACGGATTTCAGGGCGTCAGAGGATGGGGGCGAGCGCGTGAGATGTTTGAGCGCCTGCCAGGGGGCGGGCAGGTCGAGGAAGATCGCGTCTGCGTCAGGGCCATTGGTGGTGTCGAGGCAGAAGCCGTCATTGTAGACGTCGCGATGGGTTACGGTGACGAGGGGGTCGAGGCCGTGTTCTTTGATTTCGACTTGGAGCTGCTTTGCGCGTGGCTCGTGGTATTCGAAGCTGTAGACTCCGCCGTGACGCTTGCTGCGCTTGCGCTTCTTGGTCACGCCGACTGCTTCTTCGTCTGGCTCTTCGGTGCCGTTGGAGGTCTCTTGTTGCCCTGGGTACCCGTTGTATACTGCCCTCACCGAAGCGTGTGTAAAGCTGCCACTCCCCGCGCCTGCCTCGATAATGTGGTCGCCTGGCCGTACTCGCAGTCTTTGGAGGATATAGCTGTAATCGGGTGTGTAGACGACTTGCGTCCGGTGCGGTAATGAGAGCGTCCATGTCTCTGGCGTAGGCGGTACCAAATGCGCAAAGCCACTGCTTGCCGCTGCAGCCTTCACGATGTCCTTCTTGGCCTCTTTCGCGTCCGATCCTGGTGTCTCTGCCTCATCTTTGCCGTCCCGCTTCCTCTTTTTCGATTTTCCTCGCGATCCAGTGTCGACCACTGATGCTAAGATTTGTGTACCCCATGGCTGGCCCACGAGTGTGCTGTGCGGGAATGATCCGAAACGGGTGTTTTCGACCTTGCCCTCTGCGTAATCCGGGGTGGTTTCTAGTGTGAGGACGGCTGGGATCAATTGGTCGCGTCGCAATTGTAGGATGCCGAGATTGTTCGTAGATGCATGGGTACCGGGATCTAGAAATGGGGATGGGTTCGTGGCCATCATGGCAGTATGGGGTCGCGATCTCGGCGATTGTTCCGTCAGCTTTGCGCAATTGCTGAGGCTAGAGGTGCGTGAAGGAGCTCGCGAACAATTTCTGCGGGGAGCTTTCGAGCTTGCAATTGGTGGGGGCGTGCCAAGATGTCGATGGCAGGGGTGTACAACACCGAGAACGTGACCACAACTGCCACGGTTACTCTCTAGAGATACTGACTCACCGTAAGCGCGACCAATTTCTGGCCCTTTCCCCGAACTCTCTTACCTGTCCCCTTCTAGTCGCTCCTTCCCCGGTCCACCTGCCGCCATCTTCATGGTACTTGGTCTCCGCTCATTGTCCCGCCAAATCTTCACCACCAGCTCCCCACTTGCACGGAAGAGGAACAACTGCACCAACCCGCTACGCCTGACGATAGTGGCCACCATGGCTACCTCAACGCGCACCCAGCCGCCCTGGAAGGAGCCAAAATCATCACATGAGGCAAAATTAAAAGTCTGGAATTCACTGACCCGATCAAAAAATGAATTTGTTCCGGTCGACCCCGAGGGCAAGGTCGTCAAGTGGTACAGTTGCGGTCCTACAGTCTACGATGATGCGCATCTTGGGCACGCGCGGAACTATGTGACCATCGACATCTTGCGACGAGTTTTGGCAGGTTACTTCGGGTACAACTTGCGCTTCGTCCAGAACATTACAGATGTGGATGACAAAATCATTCTACGTGGGAGGCAACAGTATCTCCTGGCGGACTTCAAGTCGAAAAACCCAACAGTCACAGACGAGCTGATCAACACGACTATCAAAGCTTTTGACGCATATGTAAAGAAAAATCTGCCATTGCTGAGCGCAGAGGTGAACATTGGTACTTTCAACGAGGAGTCGGCAAAGCAGTACGCAAATGTGATTCAAGGCAAGTCTGTGGACGGTGTTGGTATAGCTGGCGACAAAGAAGCGAAGATCAAAATGCACCTCAGGACAGCAGGCACAGCAGCGACCGCGTTACTCGCACCGTCAAAGACCACACCAGAGGATGTAGAGGCTTTCTACGCTGGGGCCGAAGATGTGCTGTTGCCGTATTTGGACTCCCTGTACGGCACTACGATAGACGCCAGTGATCATACAGTGTTCACCCGACTCACACAAAAGTATGAGGCGCGCTTCAATGAGGATATGCGAAGTCTCAATGTGCTGGACCCAAATGTGGTCACACGAGTGACCGAGTATGGCGACCAGATTGTGACTTTTGTTGAGAAGATTGTCGCCAACGGCTTCGCCTACAGCACTTCAGACGGCTCAGTATACTTCGACATCGAAGCTTTCGAGAAAGTACCCGGTAATCACTACGCACGTCTCGAGCCGTGGAATCGGGGTGACAAGAGTTTGCAAGCGGACGGTGAGGGAGCTCTATCACAGCAAAAGACATCAGAGAAGCGCAGCGAATCCGACTTTGCGTTGTGGAAGTCAAGTAAACCTGGAGAGCCTGCTTGGAAGTCACCGTGGGGACCTGGACGGCCAGGCTGGCATATTGAGTGCTCAGTCATGGCTAGCGATGTACTAGGAGAGCAGATGGACATTCACTCCGGTGGTATCGATCTCTGCTTCCCACACCACGACAAGTAAGAACTTCTACAAGTTTCACTGGATGTCCTGCTGACTTTTACAGTGAACTGGCACAGTCAGAAGCGCATTGGTCGTCAAAAGAAGGTGGCCATCAGTGGGTCAACTACTTCCTCCACATGGGCCATCTCTCGATCTCTGGAAGCAAAATGTCGAAGAGTCTAAAGAACTTCACAACGATTCGAGAAGCGCTCGCACGTGGCGACTGGAACGCGCGAAGCTTGCGTATCATCTTCCTTCTTGGTGGATGGCACGACGGCATCGAGATCACAGACGACATGCGAAAGGGAGGCGCGTCATGGGAAAGCTACGTGACCAACTTCTTCTACAAGGTCCGAGATCTTGAGGTCCATCCAAACATCGCTTCGACTGGTGCAGAGGATGAGAAAGTGCGGAAAGCATTCGACGCTGCGAAGGAGAAAGTGCATAATGCTCTTGCTGACTCGTTCGATACACCTGCTGCGATGCGCGCCATCTCAAGCTTGATAACAGACTACAACTCCGCAGACAAGGCTGGTCTCTCCGATGATGTGTCTTTCGACGTCGCACGCTACATCACACGCATGGTCCGCATCTTCGGTCTCGATGGCTCAGCAGATCCATACGACGGTGGAATTGGTTGGGCCGGTATCGACATCCCATCAGAAGCTAAGGAGTTCGTGTACGCCGTTTCCCGCGACCGTGACGAGGTGCGCAAGCATGCTGTCGCTGGCGACCTATCTGGTGAGGTTCTGGAAGACATTCTTGCACAACACAAGCCCGCCCAAAAGCAGGAAGCCGCTGCCGTACCTTATGCAGAAGTCCTGTCGACATTCCAAGAAAACCTCCGCGACCTCGCGGCCAAGAATGCGCCAACGAAAGACTTCCTAGCACTCTGCGACCAGCTTCGCGACACCCACCTGTGGGACCTAGGCATCTACCTCGAAGACCGCGAAAACGCACCCGCGATGGTCCGGCCCGTAGACGCCGAATTACAAGCCGCACGTACTCAGAAAGAAGCCATCGCACGTGCGAAAGCGGAAGCAAAGGCCAAGCGCGAGGCTGAAGAGGCGGAGAAGAAGGCTAAGCAGGCGGAGCAGGCGAAGATCAATCCGAAGGACATGTTCAGGACGGCCGAATACAGCGCGTGGGATGACGAGGGTCTCCCAACGAAGGATGCAAAGGGCGAAGAGGTGACGAAGGGAAAGAGCAAGAAGCTCAAGAAGGAGTGGGAGAAGCAGAAGAAGTTGTTTGAGGAACATGCGAAAAGCGCTTGAGTAAAGAGCTAAGATTGGGTAAAGGGTCATAAAGTTGTCTTGCGCAGTAGATGGACGCTTGACAAGACTGGCCATCGGCCTGTTGACTTCTCAAGTCAAAGACTCAAAAAGCTTGTTTGAATCCTCTCCATGTGCGCATGTGTTGCTTTTGATTCATTATCCCCATCTCATTCGGAACACATTTGTTCAACATGCCCCAGCTTCAGTCTGTGGTGGGATGGTAACACGTGACGGTGCGCTAAATTGCGAGAGTGAGCAGGAGCTTCCGAACACAGACACTTCAACAACTTCCATCACACAAACCTGATCGTTTTATTATCTACAAACTTCCGCACGCTTGCGACCTCTTTCGCTCTCTTGTCGTATGGTCTACTAGCGTACTTTGGGTTGATCGCGTACGGCTTGACAAGAGCATGGGATCATGGCCCTCAGCGGTAGGTCTGACCAACGTTATAGTCTGCTTCAGCGCGCGATAGCTTGAGCCGGATTATACGGCTTGTGCTAAAATGCCTCAGCCTCGCGTCCTTCACAACGTGTGCTCGGTCATCAATTTGCATTTTCATGCACTTCTCTTTTCAAGATCGGTCAGCTGCTGGGTCAGCTCGGCTGCAGCAAGAAGTTTGCACAAAATTAGCCAGTAAGACATTAGTTAGTAGCTAAAAGCTAGGGGTTGCATACGGCTGCATGGACTCAGCCTCAGCCTTGGATCACTAGCCGTCTGCCTGATTGACACAACGTTTTCTTCTCACTTCCCGCCGAAATATGCGCGCCTGGATCTCTTTGATTTCGCTTGACAGTCCATTTCGCGTGCGGATCAAGACAACGCGGACGCATCGACATGAGCGCCAAGTGACCCATTACGGCATCATGCGACTCATCAACACGCATACTCTGACGCTTGAGGAGTTCATTGGACGTCGCATCCCGAGATACGCTATTCTCTCGCATACCTGGGAGGAAGAGGAAGTGAGCTACGAGGAGTACATCCGCGGAGTTCACACGCGCAAGAAAGGCTACTCTAAGATACAAAAGACATGTTGTCTAGCTGCTGCGGAAGGAATTGGATATGCATGGGTAGATACCTGCTGTATCGACAAGCGTATCAGTGCCGAACTTACTGAAGCGATCAACTCGATGTACCTATGGTACAAGTGTAGCGCCGTGTGTTACGCGTACCTCTCAGATCTACCGAGGAACGCGCGGCTCGATAAGCACTTGCAGAAGTGTCGGTGGTAAGTCTTCCAGCTAGAGTGCCGATACAATCCACCCTTTCCCATGGGGAATCTAACCTGTGAAGGTTCACACGAGGTTGGACCTTGCAGGAGCTGATCGCCCCTTGTGAGATGCACTTCTTCGATTCGGGATGGTGCAACTTTGGCACGAAGCGGTCCTTGGTCGATTCCTTGTCGGCCATAACACGCATAAATTCGTCATTGTTGCAAGGTCGAACCCCTCTATCTGGATTCTCGGTTGCCCAAAGATTTTCGTGGGCGGCATCAAGGCAAACCAGCCGTACAGAAGACATCGCGTATTGCCTTTTCGGCATTTTTGAACTAAATTTGCCCCTCCTGTACGGTGAAGGCAAGAACGCATTTCGAAGACTACAAGAAGAGATCATAAGAACTATCCTCGACTTGAGTATATTCGCGTGGAAAGTTTTACCACTCGACCAAGATGATAATCCCATGTCCAAGGCGGACTTTGATCATGTGTTCGTTCCAAGGACAGGCGACGTGGTTCTTTCAGGCATCTTCGCAGAATCTCCCGCCGAATTCTATCCCTGTGTGGATTACGTCAGCTTTCCCGAGGATGTTCTTGGAGAAGTCTCGAATTCCAGCAAAGGTATTAAAATACATTCGCGTCTCCTGTTGTGCGCAAAATTGGGATTTCAAGAATGGGACTACGTTCTTCCTTTGAGATGCAAGTCGCACAATCGTTGGCTCGGCATTTACCTACGTCAAGTCGGGTATCAGGTGTATCTGCGCGCCGAACCACGGTTACTGTTGCAGTATTATGATCGAGCATTTTCGACGGGCGAGCTCAGCACCATCCAGCCCCAGGAAAGACATCTTCTGCTCAGAATCCCGAATGCATCAGGGTACCAAGACGATCGCCTAGTTCAATCGCATAAAATTCTTCCACGCGTACGATCAGATGTTCTACACATCCGTTCGCCCGCTCAGCTGTCAATCATAGAACCTTGGCCGCTGGCCAATTTTGACCACCAAGACCGCATGTTCTCTTTCCGTAATAATTCCAGGCACCGGTTCGCTTGTGCAAAGATCTTCGGCATCGTCCCTCATCCTGACGTTACTCGCAGGGGGACGGTGGCCTTTAGTGGCTGGATATGTGCTGTCCATATGCAAAACAACAACACTTCATTCGGTATCTTCGCTTCTACCTTGAGTAACGACAGAAAGATAAACCAAGTGCTCGGCCTACTATCCAAGGCGGATTACCACACGGAACAAATCATGACCTTGTTAGACACTTGCGGCATACCCATGGTGTCAAGCGCAATCTGTCCTATTCTTGGCACTCCATATGTTGCAGAGGTAACTGCCCGATCTTCCGAGACAAGAGACCCTTCAGTATGCCGAAACATTTATAGGCAGATTACACTGGATTACCGGATCACCCTTGGCACAAAACAATTGTCAATTTTACGCAAGCAAAAATGGATAGAGACTGAACGGCAAATGCGGCCAGACGCTGCAAGATTACTAGTTTCAAGCGATTCCTACTGGCTTCCCGAGCAGCTCTAGTCTCATACGACTTTCCCATCACGACCAAGTTCTACTTCACTTGCGAACAAGATTGAACTCATACCAACATCTCAGTTGACGCGTCTTTGCAATCATCCTGGCGACCGTCAACTAGAACCATCACTGAAGCGACAGACCTTGCCTGCTTTCGCTGTCTCTACCATTTCTCGATATAGCTACAGACTCACTACGCAGATAAACCCGTCGTCTCGCCGTGTAATTCAGGCTTTACGGCCTCGCATTTCATCGGCTATAAGAAAATGGTCGCTTGGCGGAAAGCGCGCTCGTGCACTTGAGGCTACGCGACTTCACCGAACTCAATCGACTTCACCGCATCACCCAAATTCAATGCGAATCTACTCTCAGTGATACTCCAGCGACACTTCTGCTTGTGATTCCCAATCGCGAATATCGCAAAACAATAGCTAAACTATGTCTCGTCGCATTAATCAGCTTCGGCGCTTCTCCAACGATAACACAAGATGACCGTCGATGTTGTTAACAGGCCCTGAACAGGCCCGCTGAATAGAGCAGAAGCAAACACACCCCTGTCGTTAGTGAAAATTGTGAAACCATGAGCTATAAGTTGCACTCCAAAAGGGCTCTCCTGCGGCCCTGCTGCTGAAGAAGTTTCGGAGGGAAAGAAAAGTTCACTTGACTCTTTTGTCATCAATGTCCGCGCGTCTAGCCTTTTAGCAAATTATGGCGAGGCCATCTTTGTCGACAAGATTTTTAAGCCTGATGATGTTCGCATCTGCGTTACATACACGATTGCTGCTACAGGCTTTTGAGGGATGAGATCAATTCCAACTTCAAGGTTCCAGCTAGTCAAGGAGAAAAATTCATCCTCGTATATCACCCCCCTATTGGGGCAATGAATTCCTCCAGATTGTCGATGATAAATCACTGCAGGTGCTACGGAGGTGCTTCGCGTGAATGGGGAGGGACATGTTGAGCTGTCCGTGAATAATTTCACAACTCAGATGCATGTAAACCAAAATACACACTCCGCCACGTTGCTATAGACATTACAAGAACGAACGAGATTGGTGATGTCGTTTCACACCCCCTCGATGTCGCTGCGTCTGATCCGCCAAACAACGATTATACATGCAGAGTTGACGATGAAACAATATCAACAGCACCCGATGGCCTGGAATCGGTCAATGAACATTCTGAGACTCAGAAAATTCTGAGACTCATCAGAATGGGCAGTGCGAAATCCTCGCTTGACTGATTTGCCACCACCTCTTCGTCAATAGGCCTAGCGCCACCTAGAACTATCGTAAATGTTTCACAACTACGCCTTCGCTATACCAATGAAAAGCTATTGAAAGGGAGGAGATTGCGATGATCTACACAACTCGATCAAAATCCACCAGGAATTTCACTTTAAGGGAAGACCTTAAGCTATGCTACATAGGCCGAAGGCAGATAGTGTAAGGCCGCGCGGCAGGCCTGTACGATATATACTATTCTGCACAGGATGATCAATGTTGAGATTGATCATTGTTACCTTTTTGGCATGCTGGCGCAGTGGGTGCAGACCTGCGTCCTGACAGACAGGAATCTCCTTTATCATCCAAGTAGCGTTCGTGTATGGCACTCCCCGTACACCAGACAGGAGGAGCACCATTTATGATTTATCTGACCAAGCATCCATACGCCTTAGCAGAGCTTTGATGTTCCCAAGGACATGAATGAATTCATATCCTACGATCAATTTCGGTGAGGCGAGCAGACTAGCACATGAATTCAGATTGCTCGAGCCGCTTGCACCTTTGCGGGAGCTCGATGCTGGAGCGATAATGTGAACGGACACTGACAGTATGTAGTATATTTATCGTCAGCTCATCCTGCGCACTCCTCATAAGATCGTGTATCATCGCGAGGCATGTCTTCACGATATAGACGGAACAGAGGTAGCTTGTGAGCAGGTAAGAGGATGTTCAGTCTACCTTGTGATATTCTACGAAGATGGCCATCGGAAATAGCACATGAACTCCCACTAGGTACAGGTAGAACTCGAATCTCAGTCCCAAATTTCTATCATCATGCTGGTGGTCTAGCGCAGTATAACTAATAAGAATCTCATCCCATTCAGAACTTGCCTATATGCTCATTCACGATTATCTTAGAAGCGGTCTGTAATCTCATTATCTAAATTGCGCTCCAGTGAGGCTGGACCACTCATCAGTACCGGCTTCAATCTCCTGAGCCTCAGCATTTACACTGTGCCTCGACCTTATTCCAGGCTCCACACGTCGGCGCTCACTCCAATCATCGCAGTCGCTCGATCCTAATACCGCGCCTCAAACGGCTTCAACGATCTCATCTACATGAGTAGGACCGTCCGCTCAGCTTCTATTGGAACTGAATGCTGATATTTTATCCGCGCAAGCAAGCCTGCAATTCTCAGCGTCAGCTCTCTACTTCCTACCGGCGCGATTCTGTCAATGGTGACAATATCAGTGTCCATCAAGCTAAGTTCCGGGATATCGGCTTTGTGGAGAAGAAGGCACTTCCAGTTACTTGGAGTAGCGTCCTTCTAGATCGACACGCGTTGGGGAGAATTTTGGGGGTGAGGATAGTATTATCGTGGACATAGTAGCTATGGCATTGGGGGCTCAGTGCGAGTTCAGTTAATCTGCTGTCTATGTGTTACCAAACCTCTGAGCTTCGATACAAGCAGTCAATGAAGCTCAGGGGCAGTCTGAAAGAAGATGCTTCCTCACGTGAACGCTAGGTTGATAGTCTAGCACGACGCCCTTGCCGAATCCAAGACCACAAAAGAGCTGCTGATTGAGTGAGTGAAGCGATGAAGAACTTCGATGTGTAGATGAACATACGACGGAGGAACTGTATGAGTACACAAACACTGTAGAAAATACGAGGTGGTAGATGAAAATTATATATATAGCTTTGTGTCGTTATTATTGGTGAATTACCCCTCTACTTTACCAATCTTCATAGAACTTTGAACCCTGTCCAGTGCATATCTAAAGAGTTCAAGTTGTCCGTATCGTATCCCCAGTGGCCACACAGCTCATTGTGCGTCACAGTTGTGCGGACCCCGCCTTTTCTCAAACATCCAACCATCTCGACAATATCCGACATATCCTCTGCAAGATGACATCGCGTTTCGGAACCGTCACACCCATATTGGAGGTCTCCAGGCAAAACCACATCGATGTCAACTTCGGTGCGTGCAGTAAGGACCTCACTGAGAGCTTGGATGGCGCACAACTGCGTCTTTCTTGTGGATATTTGCGCCTCCGACGATTGCGCGTGTGGTACGCACTCCACTTGCACTTGCACCTGCAGGCGGCGGATGTAAGCGGAGGGCGCCATGCCAAGTCCATACCGGTCCGTGTTCAGAAATGAGCCCAGGAAAGGCAAGTCGCGATGAGAGCATTTGAAAGTTCGCGTCCAGTAATACGCCTCAAGCATTTCTTTGGCCGTTTCTGGCTCCAAAGCTGGGTTGGTCAAGGTCGCGTGGATGGGATCTTCTATCCATCGGTAGGAGCATTGACTGGTCTGCTGCCGGACCAAAAGCACGTTCATGCCGTTTGCATCGAGTGGGCGGCGAACAAAAACCTCGTCATCGTAGGCTCCTTGCACGCTAAACATGTATACGCGATTTCGAAGTTCTCGTGGGAGGTCACAAAGAAGGCGGACGGCGAGATCGGTGTTCTGTCCGAATGTGCGGCGTCTTGGATCGGCACTGCTTCAGTCAGCTTGGGAATGTGTTACAGATGAGAGTCAACCGACAATGCTGTAGTCTGATCGGCAAAGGTAAAACTATGGGCAAAAGCGGTATAGGCCTTTCCTCGCGGCTGCTCAGATATACTTTGACGCGAGCACCCGTTGATCATATCGCGAGGATCCTCGTTTCGAAATTGCGCGCCGCTTGTTTAATTCCATCGTAAAAAATGGGCGACACTACTTCATATGTCATGGAAGGTTGTTTCACCGCATTCTATCGCGCCGACTATCCATTAGAGCGCACGTGATCACTACTCTGCAACAAGTCTTTTTCGCGAATGCTGTTCGCATTCCATCCCCGTTCGGACAAGCGCAGCTTACCCAACATCTGGATCGGGAGCGCCGCAAGGTGTATTTCACAGCACGCCACGGTACACCGCTAGGTCTGCCGCAATGGGGCGTAGTAGCCCTCGGATTGGTCCTTCCGCGTCTTACTGCATGACGTGGTCTGTTCACCTGCACTCACTCACCGTCGGTGCCTGGCACGTACATATCTCGATGGTTCCCGACACTTTGCGCCGTCGCTAATCCTCTTACTGAATCGCAACATGTTACCCTCCACAAGAATGGCAGCTGATCCGAGTCAAGCCAATCTGGCCACCAGCCATCACGATGTCAGCATCATGAGATAATAAGCCCCGTGGGTATGATGAGCGATAGGCACGGCATGCGTGAAACTCTCCTCTCCAACGAAATTTGAGAGACTACAACGCGTGTAGTTAGTGTTCAGCTGCCCAGGTGTCTTGATCTGCCTAATATCTTATAGAGGTTGCCTCCCTTGCGCGAAGGATGGCCACCAAATCACGTGCGCTACGCCACAACGAAAAACAATACTCGAAGTCCCATCGAGTGGCTGCGGCGATGGCAAGACATGCCGAGCGAATGGGGATTGGCAACATCGATCTAGGCGATTTACAAAGAAGCGGATCGTCACTCTGCCGCCTGACGATCAGATTTATCAAATGCAGTGAAAGAGAAGGCTGAGGGTGTGGTCAGTGACCGAATCAGCGACCGGAGGCTGACTGGCACCCTCAACATCCGCTTCCTTCGCCCCCAACCATTGCCTATCGTGAGTACGCTTGAAACAAATCATCCAGTGAGCTATCGATGTCTTCTCATCATCACTTCAAGCAGCGCGCTCTTGTCTCCAGTCACACAAAGGCAGCCCGCCAAGTGGTTTCGGGGCGAAGGAAGGGGTACGAAAGAATCGGAGAAAGATCTAAGAGTAAAATCAATCGATAGCGTCCATCCTTCTCGCGGTCCTCGGCGCACTGCGTTTGCGGGTTGACAATGGTCTGGGCTTGGTCTAGGATAGATCAACCACTGATCTGAAGACTCCAGAGGCTTCGAAAACCTCCATCAGCGCCACTGAATCATTCTGTTCTTCACTCCAGAGCATTCGAGGCAATGATACATGCGGCTGGATGAAGCCTCGAACACGGCACAGCGGTTCATCTCAACCCACGCGCGATGTTTCTGCCCCGTTGTACACACCCTCTCGCTACGAATGACTCGAACGATGCTAGTGTTGGCACTCAGCTCTTCTTGAGCCGAGCTCTTCCATGGAGCGAACAGGCACGCTGAGGCGTCCAGCTTGAGGACGCTGCCTAGATTCACCCATACGAGCCAGTGGTTTGTCACGCAGCTCAGCAGAATTGGAATGAGGACTCGTAAACCCACTTGAGTGGGTGGCAGCGTGCAGTATCTCTTGGGTCTTCGTATCTTATAAAAGTGGCTATCGCCTGGTGAGAGGGGGTACCATCCAACAGCAACAGTTTGCTATCCGCCTTTGACCGATTCAAATCCATTAATAGCCTTTCGCGGGTTGCAAACGTCGAGTTGCGAGCTATCAAGAGCAAATTACCGTACAACTTCTATCTTACTTTAATCTTTGTATCCATTACCAGCTTACCCTATTCGTCTTCACTCGAAGTTTGATATGGTGCACAAGATCAATTCTAGTGGGCTGTACATCACAGGTCTGGCTCATGCATACCCAGAGCACTCTTTCGGGCCAGATGAGTTTCAGGACTACGTTGCAAGACTCTACCCAGAGTATCGAACATCTCCAGGGTACAGATAACATTCCGATTCATTAATTCACTGTCTGACATGGTCATCATCTAGCTTGCAGAAATTGATGAAGTTGAACCGCGTCACACAGATCAAATCTAGGCAGGCCAATTTAGACATCAGCAGCGATACCAAAGGCGACGCAACACCTCCTTCCATTGATCAGCTGTCACAGATATTCCAACGCGATGGTGTACAGCTTGCGGCTTCAGCATGCTCGAAGGCTATGACGGAGGCGAACCTACACCCCGGCGAAGTAACCCACGTCGTGGCGGTCACTTGCACCGATCAAAGTAACCCGGGGTACGACCTGCTCGTCTGCAAGACTCTGAAGCTCCACCCAGGTGTACAGAGAACCCTCCTACACGGAGTTGGTTGTGCAGGAGGGCTATCAGCACTTCGCGCCGCCGCGAACATTGCTGCAGCCGAGTCCCAACGAGGAAGACCTGCTCGTGTGCTTGTCATGGCATGTGAGCTCTGCAGTCTTTTCCTGAAGGCCGAGCTCCATGCAGCTAGTTGCGACGAAAAGTTACACATCGCCCCCGCACTCTTCTCAGACGCCGCCGCTGCACTGGTAGTATGCAACCAGTCGGCTCTTATGCGAGACCAGAAACCGATATATGAGTTGCAAGAGTGTGGAAGCATGCTCGTTCCGAATACGACGCAATACATGTCGTACGACATCACTGCCAAGGGTATGCCGCTGCACTATCACTTCCAGCAACCAAGAAACTGACTGTGTACTACAGGCATGATCGCCTCGATAACGAAAGAAGTGCCCAAGACAGCTGTCAGCGCGATACAACCCATGTTCGACCAACTCCGCAAACAAATATGTGCAACGCACAACAAACAAGACCCACCTCGGACCCCAACGGCGCCTTCGGACTTTGACTGGGCCGTCCATCCAGGTGGCGCCGCGATTCTGCAAGGCGCGCAACAAGCCATGGGTCTCGCCGAAGATCACATCCGCGCGTCGCTCGAGATATACCGTTCGTACGGCAATTCTTCAAGCCCGACTGTGCTCATCGTGCTGGATCAGCTGCGTCGCATGGGACAAGGCCGGGACAATGTTATTGCCACTAGTTTTGGACCCGGCATGATGATCGAGATGTGTATGCTGAAGAGGTGTCGTCATGTGGATGTTACACCTCGCTTGAAGACTCAGGTCAAGAAAGAGGATATGTGGCAGGCTCTGCAGTTCAAGTTGGCGAGGCTGATGAAGTGGCATATCGCGTTGGATGATCCGAGAAGGGCGAAGCGCGAACATGGTTTGGTTGTGTTGTAAAGAGCTGCTAGTCGGCATGGGTATTTCATTGGTCGATAGACGAGGTTTACCTCGCGTTGGTTATCACTGGTTTCGGTTACACTGGTTTTGATTACACTGGGGTCGGTTATACTTTGGTTGTTTTCTAGAAGGGTTTAATCACTTTGAATATCTTGTTGTAGACTTTGCTTTGCTGGACTTATTGTTATACCTGTTCGCTGCATAATGACTACATTCCCACGTGCAGCGACAACATCGACATGAATTGTAGAGACACACGATGTCTCTGTGCCGAGCTTAAACACTTTCAAGTTGAAACAGAAGCTGAAGATGAGTCTTATCGCAGCATCGAGACCGTGATGCTTATGCGTTACTAGTGATGATAGTACTCTCGACAATTGCGCTAACCACATTCGACCAAGCCCAATGAGAGGGAGTGCAATCAGGCTGCAACTTTAGCTGCTTCACCCACACATCAAGTTCCGTAGTCGTTACAATTGAAACGCCATTTCGCTCTGTTCCTTCCCTTTTCTGGTGACGGTGTTTCGACAATGGCCGAGTTTCATCTGCGCCAGTTTATGCGCCTCATCAGTCTTTCCGACAAACGAACTGAGACAGAGAAACACATATCACGAGATCCGGATATGGCACGTGCACGAATTCAGACAGAGAAAAATAATCTACCGATTGAAATGCTCCAGCACATATTGTCATACCTCGACTGTATAGCCTTACTGAGATGTCGCTGCGCATGCGCAAGATGGCTCGACTGCATCCTAGGAGATTCGGGCGATCTACGAAACATCATGTTCCTACCTAAGCGGATTGCCGCCAAAACAAATAAAGGACAGTCGTATAATCTGACGATCACCTTCTACACCGATGCGAAGAATCCTTACAGGCAATTGAGGTCTTCGACAGTCGGCATCATCTCTCAAATTCTCATGGTCAGCACTTCTCCAGGAGATGCAGACAGCGCTATATCTTTACACCCATTTATGCTCAAGTCTAGCTACATGAAAGCGCATATCCCGAAAGGCCTAATTAAAGCACCAAGCCGCTCATTGCACTTTCTCAGTCTGTGGAACAGAGCTGATTACCGCCTGGTGCATCCTGGCGATTCCGAACTTTGGAAACATTTCCTTGTTACGACACCAGCCAGCACTGAAGTACGCGTTAAATATCGGTATATAGACCAGGAGAATTATCCTCTTGAGTCCGAGGATGGACAGGGCTCAGAGGTATTGCGCAATGTTGTCGGTGTTCGCTTCTGCGAGGTGTTCGATGCCATAGAGGCAAAGGCTATGGGTTTACTACGTAGAGCGGCGCTCAAGCAATTTGACGAAAATCCGCAGGCATGTCTGGAGTTTCCAGGGCTTCACTAGCGGATTTGCGACAGTACGTGTCCGGCAATACTGGTGGTGCAAATCTGACTGAGAACGCGGAAGTCGACAAACTAATGTTGATCATATCAAGCTCTTCTCGATTCCGAATCTTTACCTAATCAAACGCTAATCTGACTGCCCGATCAACTCCTTCTTCGACTTCTCGATAAGCTGCTCGGCAATCTGTTTCACTTGATCCCAGCTCCCATGCAACCAGAAGGCAACTGCATCTTCCTTCCTTGCCCGCTCCTCAGCTTGCGCGTCTACCTTGCCGCACATCTTCAGAGTCTCTTGCATGTAATGCCGACATTTCGCGAGCAATACCTTCTCATGCTTCTCCGCCCAATCATGTGCGACGCATTCCTCAAACGATGGTTGCTTGTCCAGTTTTTCGTGCTCGAACTGCTTCAGCTTCTCACTCTGCTCGTCGACCTTTTGTCCGATGGCCTGCCACTGGGCTTGCTTCGCGACAAAATGTGGTCGGAGTGACTCAGTGGCTACGTTTATTTTGTCCAGCTGAGTCTGGATGATCTCTAGTTTTCCCTTGACGAACCTTCGACAAACAGTGCTCGATTGAGCTTGCGATAGGCACGGACGACACGGTAGAGATAGTCAACGCGTGTTTTCAAAGCTTGGTATTCGTTCGCTGTTGGCGACATGTCGTCGGTTTGCGATGTGGAAAGAACGGGCCGGTTGTCACGGGATGGTGAGAAGGGGCCTTTATAGCCCTTTACAGGGACGGGGTTTGCTACTCGCTTCTACGCATGATCGAACTTGTCAGCAAGCAGACGATACACGCCTAATGCGTGACTAAGACAAATAAGAAAATTCTCATCAGCCATTCCAGGGTGAGATCGAATCAAAAGACTACGAAAAGTTACTTCAGTAGATCTATCTGTCACACTTTCGGAATGAGCGACGTTGGGACCGCTCGAGGGCGTATTCAGTCAGATAGATATCGAGCTCAACCAGTTCGATAGCTGAGCCGCATCCCTGAGGAGTTTTAAGCATGTCCAGACTATTCAAAGTGATGTCCGCTTCCGCTGCTACAACTTCGTGCAGGCTTTCGCACAAGCCTCGATCTTTTAAGTCGCGCGGGAAATTGTGCGTACTCACAGCAAAAGATTTCGTTCGTTGGATCATCGCTTCGCTGCATCTGTGGACGCGGGAGGCCTTAGGCAAGTTTTCCGCTGCTTTTTCGCACAGCGTAGGCGACTACTCTCTACGTTGTTCCCATACTCACACTAACCTAGCCTAACACTTCAATGCTTGGTAGCTAAGCGGCTCCTGTTACTAGCTGCAATGTCCCCGCAAATGAGGCTGTGAATTTACCCGGTTGTTGGAACTGCATCCTTCCATCTTGATACTAAGTCAGTCTCGAAGCCCAACCACCGCATATTTGGGCGACTCGCATCCCTGAGAATAGTACTGGTACTCCTACATTAAACATGGCTGCAATTAATCCGATCATACCTGGATTTGCGCCAGATCCCTCACTGGTTCTGGTCGATGGCACTTACTTCCTTGTCAACTCGACATTTCACCTGTTCCCTGGTCTACCGATCTATACTTCCCAGGATTTGATTCACTGGAAGCAAATTGGTGAGGTCTAGAGTCCCGTCTTCTTGACATCGGAGACTGATATACCTAGGTAATGCTATCAACAGACCAGAACAGCTCAGCCTTGCCAAGGCTTCTACGTTGATCCATAGGGAAGAAAAGAGCCACCTCGTCGCTACTGGTGGTCTTTACGCCCCCACTATCCGACACCATGATGGCACGTTTTATGTTGTTTGCACGAACGTGGTACACCAATCCGTTGATGGGTCAAACAACGAGCTACAAAACTTCGTCGTCTCAACCACGGACATCTATTCGAGCGACTGGAGTGACCCAGTGTACTTCGATTTCTACGGCATCGATCCGAGCCTCTTCTTCGACGCGGATGGCAAATCATATCTTTGTGGCTCCAAATCACCTGGCCCAGAAACTAAGATCATGCTCTTCGAGATCGACGTAACCACTGGAAAGAAGTTGACAGATGAGAAGGAATTATGGCATGGTACAGGCGGCATATACCCCGAGGGTCCACACATATACCGACGCAACACATTCTACTACCTTATGATCGCCGAAGGCGGTACACACGAAGGCCATAGCGTAACCATGGCGCGGAGTAAGAACATCTGGGGTCCCTACGAACCATCTCCCCTGAACCCCATTCTGAGCGCAGCCGGTACGGACGAATATGTTCAAGCCACCGGGCACTGCGAGGCCTTCGAAGACAAGCACGGAACATGGTGGGCCGTATGTCTAGGAATCCGACAAGCAGCTCCTGACCTCTGGGGTCTCGGCCGCGAAACATTCCTCACCCGAGGAACATGGGACAAAAAAGGCTGGCTCAAATTCTCGCGTGCGAAAATGCATCTCGCTGGGTTTAGAAAGGTGCAAGAAGATGCGAGACTAACTGCTTCTCCGGGTACTGACTGGCTGTACATCCACACCCCAGATCTCTCTCGCTACCGCTTCTACGAAGATATTATGGAGCTGACTACAACTCCGCACGACATTGACGTACCAGAAGCATCGCCCACATTCATCGGCAAGCGGCAACGCCGCATCAACGGAAAAAGCAGCGCCACGATCGTCACTTTTAGCCAGAAAACCCTTGCATCCCCATACGTCGCCAGCCTAGTCATATACAAAGACGAACACCGCTACCTGCGCGTCTTCTACGACTACAAAAGCCACACCGTCAATATGCAACTTGTGAATAGAGCGCAAGGTATCGAGCATACGGAGACGACGGCGAGACTTGAAAGGAGGTTCTCCAGGCTGCGACTTGTGCTGACGTATACGGAATTGGAGTACACGGCGAGTTATGAGATGGATGGGGGTACGGAGAGGAGGTTTGGGTGGGTGAACGCGAGGGAGCTAAGTGACAAGGATTTTACGGGGCCAGTTATTGGGTTGCATGTTCAGAGTGCTTATCAGACGGGACTGAGGATTTCGTTCAAGGAGTTTATGGTGGATACTGCGTGATGCGTACGTGGTCGAGCTAACGTGATTGTCTTGTCATCATTTTCCGTATCTTCAAATATGTCTGTCTGGCTTCTATGCTTTCTCGTTCTTCCAGTGTCACATTCATGAAGCCCTCCGGGTTCGGAATGCAGTCGGACATGAAATTTGGTATAGATAAAGACAACCAACGATTGCGTAAAAACGAGTCTTGAAAGAAAAGCCAGGATTCGACCCATGATTCAGCCTTGTAATCACCTGCTCGTGCTTGGTCCAAGTCGATGCAACTCCCGAGAACATGGGAGCGGGTAGCTCGATCGAGACGACAGATCCCGGGCGCGATCGAAACTAGCCCCACTTGTACTTTCCCTCCACTGCCCGTTGAACCATCCCAATCTTTTTCCATCACTCTGCGCCATGCCACCGCCACCCTCTACACTCTCTCTACCAAATTTCCACAATGGAGCGGATTACGGATAAGATCAACGCCCTGCCTGATGGCGCCAATTACTTCTCGCTCGAGTTCTTTCCGCCGAAAACGGCCATGGTTGGTGTTGCCCCGCCGTGTTCGCACGCGACTGCTTTTCGCTGACGATGATGGCATAGGGCTTCGCAAACCTGACGACACGGCTAGAGCGCATGTCGCAGGCTCTCAGGCCGCTGTTTGTCACAGTCACGTGGGGTGCAGGTGGCTCGACGGCGACAAAGTCTCTCGAACTGGCTGAAATATGTCAGCGGCAGCTGGGTCTAACGACATGTCTGCACCTCACGTGTACAAACATGAACCGTGCGCTTATCGACGAGGCGCTGGAGCAGGCGAAAGTTCTGGGCATAAGAAATATTCTGGCGCTGCGGGGCGATGCGCCACGCAGTGAGGAGTACAGAGATGAGGGGCAAACGCCAGAGCAAGACTCGAATCGCGACTTTACGTGGGCTGTTGATCTGGTCCGATATATCCGGAAGCAGTATGGCGACTACTTCTGCATTGGTGTTGCGGCGTACCCGGAGGGCCATTCCGATGAGAGTCATCCAGAACACCAGGACCCGGCGCGCGATCTGCCGTCCCTGGTTGAGAAGACAAAGGCTGGGGCAGACTTCCTCATGACCCAACTTTTCTTCGATGTGGAGGCATACGACAAGTTCGAGACGATGCTGCGGAACCATGAAAGTGGCGCTTTCAAGACGATACCGATCATTCCAGGATTGATGCCGATTCAATCGTATAAGATCCTGCTGCGAACAACGAAGCTCTCGCACGCGAGACTTCCATCGGATATACTGGCGCGGCTAGATGCGGTCAAGAGTGACGACGAGCTTGTCAAGCAAGTGGGTGTCCAGATTCTAGATGAGATGGTAGAGCACATCAAGTCCAGGCCGGATGTCGGCCAAGAGAGGGTTCCATTTCTACACATTGAACCTCGAGAAGGCGGTATCGCAACATTGTAGAAGACTGTGATCTCATACCCCAGGAAAATATGGGGGATGAGGACGGCGTCATTGTCGAGACCACGCCCGCGATCAACCTCGAACCTCCGCAGAACATGCTGCTTGCTCGCGAGCGCCGTCGTCGCTCATCCGTCACATCTGGGACCCGCAACAGAGTGATAATATCACATCCGTCCGCCACGAAATCGAACCATTCGTACGAAGCAACAGAAGAGGAGGCTGGTATTCTCCGGGGTCCTATAAATACGCGCGCGAGTACGCTGGCCATCTCCGAAGGCGAAGGCTCATTGGGCAGAGAAGCGACATGGGATGACTTCCCGAACGGCCGCTGGGGAGATGCACGATCACCCGCGTTCGGTGAAATCGATGGATACGGTCCGACCCTTCACGTCTCGACAACTCAAGCACTCAAACTCTGGGGCCATCCGGTTGACAAGCAGGACATTTCTGCGCTGTTCAGAAAACATCTTGAAGGAGAATTGGAAGCATTACCGTGGTCCGAACAAGGCCTCTCCCCCGAAACAAGTACAATCGCCAAGCAACTTCTTGCCCTCAACGCAAAGGGCTGGTGGACAGTAGCGTCGCAACCCGCCGTCAACGGCGTCCGCTCCACCGACCCCGTCTTTGGCTGGGGCCCTAAGAACGGCTACGTCTTCCAGAAGCCCTTTGTCGAATTTTTCCTGCCCGCCGCTGAATTCCATGCCCTGAGAACCCGCCTCGACGCGCACGATCAAGTCACATACTTCGCCGGCAATGCCAACGGCGACTTTGAAGCTAGCAGTGAAGAGAGCGTCAACCCGGTTACGTGGGGCACCTTTGCGGGCAAGGAGATTGTCACGCCGACTATCATCGAGGCGGTAAGCTTTAGGAGTTGGTTGGAAGAGGCGTTTAGTATTTGGCGTGAGTGGCAGCGCATCTATCCCACGAAGAGCGCGAGCGGCAAGTTGTTAGGGCAGACGAGGGAGGATGTCTGGCTGGTTAATGTCATTTGGGGGGATTTCGTGCAGGGCGATGGGTTGTGGGAGTTTCTGGGTGCGTAGACTTGGGCTGTGTAGAGTGGGAGTGGGACTTAAGATTATGTGTACAAAGGTGTTTTCTGCTTGTGGAAGGCGCTATTGCGTCGTTGCTGATTTTGTCGCGTTTCTCGCTCTTTCCTCCTGCTCCATAGCCCTCTCTAGCGTCGTCCTCTCGTTCTCACGACCACGTCTCTTCCCCACAACATGCCATACGGTGGCTCGGACAGCGCATAAACCTTCACATTAGCGCTCAACGTCGCAATGCCAAATCGAGATCTTACGGCATCTACACGCCTTTCCTCTCTAGGCCTCGGCTACCCACGTCTCTCAATCATCTCTCCACATCCACATGCCCCCCTTCCAACCTGCGAGTGCTTTCGTGTCAGATGATAGTGATGACGGTGAGCAAAATCAGGCGCAGGGCGGTCCTTGAGGATTCGGATGGTTATCAAGTCGTCAATGCTGCTGCCTGGAAACAATGCTGCAGCACTATGGTACTTTGGCGCTGGCGGGTCTATACAGGACGATCCTTGTGGCGGATAAGGGGGCTGGTGGGGGCTGAAGGGGAAGGTGAGACCCGCCCACCTCCATTAAGTGGTTCAGCCTGCTGAACGGTCGTGAAGGGCTTATCATTTCGTGCCAGCGCAGCTTTTGCTTGTTGAAGGTTTATATGACCTGATTATTCGCGCATCTTGGCAACTAAAGGTCTAGGTAAGACTTGCCGCCATCTCATGCGCTTTCTCCTCACGTTCTCCCACTTCAGCATTGCTTGCGATCACACACTCACTCCATCACCATGGGAAACAACGCCTCTCTTTGCAAGCCGTGCGACGAAGTGGAAGTCACCGATATCAACCTTCACAACATGCGAACTGAAGCTGATCTACAAAATGTGATCATGGACCTTCCTGACAAACTTGCATTATTCCACGGGTCATGCTGTCAATGTCAGGATGACAAGACTCAAGACCAGGCCAGGCTGTGTGAGCAGTGTCGACACCTCTGCCTCAAACACTTCATTTTCTGCGATTTTGGGAGAATCAGGGATAAGTCTTCTCTAATAATATGTATCAAAATTAGTGAAGAGAGTTCAAAGGCTTGCGACTTCTGCGGATTCTTCGTTTCTTGTGTCCCGGAACCGCTCCAATGGTTCGAAGGAAAATCTGGTCGATTTCTGCAGGGCGTCTTAAAATTCGGTGGTGTTGGTGAGCATTCGAGCCCTTACACGTTCAAAATCATCGACCATGCCCATCACATGCCATGGACGACAATTCATGCTGGTCTCCTTGAGCAAAGCAGTCTGGCTGAGGAGGCTGGCCAAATTCGACTACGTATTCAGCCACACTTAGATTGGTATTGGCTACAACCCTGGCTCAAAGTCTGTCTGGCTAAGGCAAATTCGGGAGATATCGAGGACTCGCCGCGAAATGATCCACAGGACGTACGCGTTGTTGATGTTGTCCAAGATTGCATTGTCTGCCTTCCGAGGGGTGCCGAATACCTGGCCCTTTCTTACGCTTGGGGAGATGCCGATGACTGTAAAGACGACTTCCAATTGCTGCATCGTAACGTCAAAAGTCTGGAGAGCCCCGGAAGTCTGAAGCACAAAAAGCTTCCCCTGACAATCTCAGATGCCTACGAGGTCTGCAGACAGCTAAACTACCAGTACATTTGGATCGATCGGCTATGTATTATTCAGGACGAAGAAATGGAGCAGAAATCAATACAGCTAGATCAAATGGCTAGCATATACAGTCACGCAACTTTGACTATTGTCGCAGCATCAGGCGGAGATACGACACACGGTCTGCCTGGCGTAACTCGTCCGAGACAATTCGATATAGATCTCTGCCAAGTAGGCCAATCCGTTGAGCTGTGCCGGGAACTACCAGACCTGGAGACCTGTCTGGAAGACAGCACATGGCAAACACGGGGTTGGACGTATCAAGAGCGTATTGCTTCCACAGCTCTTTTATACTTCACTGAATGTGGACTATATTTCGAGGTCGGGACAATTGGAACCAAAGTGCAGTTCGCCGAAGGTCCTGTATCTACTAAACGTGATAGCTTTGAACGAAGACCGGACTTTCCTAAGTTGGTCTCGTTGTACTTGACAAGAGCTCAGAAGAACCCAGGGGACATTATACGGGCTGTCGGTGGGGAACCTGTACCTGGAGCTCAAAGTGGTCTGGGCTCCAAGACGGACTTTGATAAGATGGTTTCTGTATATTCAGAAAGGACCCTGACGTATCCGCACGACATTCTACGGGCTCTAAGCGGCATGCTTAATGCGTTCTATGGGAAAGAGACGTCCTTCGGTATGCCCTGGAGCGCATTCAGCAGACTACTTCTATGGACAACCAAGTTTAATCGTGAACCTCTCGGCGCTAGAGAGACCGAAGTCTTCCCGACATGGTCCTGGATATCTGCAAATTCGGCCATCGAGTATCGCTCTACCTGGTGGCCTCACGATCCGGAGGTTCACACTCTGGCATATTGGTGTAGACCCACGAAGGATTTCGAGGACGGAAATGAAATCATAGCATGGAGACACATCAGCGAAAATACAGCGTGGCCCGGGTCGGAAAATGCACACTCAGCAAAGTACATTACTGTCGTCATTGCGTTGTTGGAAGGCTGCATTCGAATCAAACCACCAGGGGGTGACCGCCAGATAGAGCGCAACTGGAGCGACTTGAGCTCGCATCGCTGGGCGGACGTCTTTCGTGGCTATGAAGACATGGGATTGTTTGAGCGTATCGAGACCGGATCTTTCGACGTCATGAGATGCCTTGCAGTCCATACTCAAAAAGCAGCATTCAGCCTCGACATGGTGAAGGAATGGTCTCTAAAAGTTTCTTTAGATCTGACAGATCACGGGACGTGCGTCATAAGAGGCGACAACAACAGACTCGCTGGGTTCATCAGACTGGACGCATATGCTACGAAGAGACTGGGAGACGTTCCAGCAACTGGAGTGTATTTCATTGCGCTCTCGACAGTCTCTTTAAACGATGAACACCGTTCTCTATACTTTAGGACATTGTTGGAATATCTCATCTATTCGACCTCGCCCGAAATCTTCGGCTGTCCTTGTCTCAACTCAGACCGCGCCAACACACCGATCGTCCACAACGAAGAATGTCCCAGCCATGCAGACTTTTCGTCGCCCACTGAGTTCCTGTATCTTGATGCTCTTTTCGACTGGGCGGAAACCCTGCCTGATCACGACTCAAGGCAAGCTGTTATGAAACACATGCAGCACCTTAACTATCATGAGATTGATGGGTCTTTGGCATACCCGCTTGAGGGCCCACCTTCGATCAATGTAATGCTGATCGCACCAAGCGCGCATGTTGGTGGGAAAAGTACGATATACGAGAGACTGGGCGTTGGGCAGATAGCTCTGAAGAGATGGGCAGAGGCTTCACCCGTGTTTGAAACGATTGTTCTAGCATGATGACGAGCTGTGATTATCAATAATTAGAGATTAAATTCAATGGGTATCAGCTATGGTGTATGAGTGCTTATCACTGAGCCCCGACTACAAGGCATAGGCGAATCAGTACGATCAGCAACTCGAGCAAATGCAGTTCGGACTTGTTCGACCCAGCCTAAAGTCTTGCATGCTGTGAACCTTCTCCCTACCTGGAATAGAAAGATTTTTGAACCGCCACACAAACATCGGACGCACCAAAATCCAATTACGTCTGACGTCAGACGCCATACCTGATTCAACTATCCGAAACCCAGTGGCGGAATCCGCCAATTTCACGATCATAGAGACGTTCCTTACCCGGAGCTATCGACCAGTCACGCCTACAAGTTCCCTGAGATTTACTGATAGCGATTCGGTGTGCAGCGATACTCAGACGTCGTAAAACGTCTCGCTCGGAGTAGTGTACGGTGCGAATGGATATTGCTGTGAGTATCGGCAGATCAGAGGGACGATAGCCTGGCCGGGTTCTAGGCACACGGTTCGTGGAGATGAGCTGACCGTCGTGTCGGCAGTGAGAAGTTCGGGTGTGGTGTTTAGGTCAGACAGCGCTGTGGACTGGCTGAAGCCAGCTGTTTCAGAACTGCGGATGTGAGGACTTATCCGCCGTGTTGCTCCGGCATCATCTTGATGAACCCGCAGCGCATACCTCTACTGCCTGGATTGGTCTTGAAATACATCTGTTGTGCTGCGTTCGTGCGAGGTCGTAGAATAGGGGAAAATGTTGAAGCAGGATGCAGGAATGTCCACAGTGGATTTGGTATTGTTGTTCCCAATGATCGAGGGGTGTATCCGGAATCGATGGATCATCCCAGACGTACTGAACATACCTGCAAGCTACGCGTTATGCAGCTGCCGTTGTACATTCGTAGCGTTCCTCGTCAGTGAATCGTGCCCAAGAACCCCAACAACTAGTTCGCATGACTGAAACATGCCGTAGTCTCTCCTCCTTTGTCCGCTACGTCGTCCGCCTACTGTCTGCTTCACTCAGAAAAAGGAATCCACGGTTCCCACAGTCCAACAGTCCAACACAACCAGCCTCACCGACCATTCCACCGCATCGCTCCATCTACCGTCAATCATCTTGCCACAACCACGCCAACCCACCACGCATCAACGCGCCAAGCCGCACAAATGAACAGCGGTGAAACAGGCAGTGCGAGCCCCATCGCTTGGTAGTTGTGCGTATAGTGTACGTGCATAGCCGCTCGACACTTCCACCAGTCGGGTAGAAGCGAAGCATTGGACATGTTTATTCCTGCAGTTTGCACAAAGTGGATCGTTGATTCGAAAGCGGGTTGTTCTAGAAAGTGGTGCGCGGAGCGACTCGTGACGAAACATGGACAAGTGCGACAAGCGGGGATGGCCAAGGCTGCATCGGGTGAGGCATCGTGGCGTGGCACGACGGTTGGTTCTGGGATTTAGATTGTTTCTGGGGCAGCGATGCTGGTACATTTCGATGGTGAGGTCTTGGGGATGGGCGACGGCAGCTTACCATAACGTTACCGCCGCCCGGAAGGCGGGATTAAAGCTCCGAATCATGGCGGTGTTTCGACACAGACAAGCACATCCTGAAGGATTGTTGAGCGTTACGCTCCGATGTGGGGACGGTGGTAGCGGCGCAAGCTCCGAGGTGCATATTGGGAGTCTAGACATCGGAAAGTGAGGTCCATGCCACTCTGCGGAAAGAGATGTGCTTCTTCCAACAAACCAAATTCAGTCCTTGGCGTCAATCTACACATTGCAACATGGCCAGGGCTCCTACGCTTTTCGTTTGCGATGGCCATGGATGTCTACGGAAGGGCATGGCTTTTTCGTCGCTTATCGTAGGGGGCGAATGGCGTGGGCCTGCTTGCGTGGATAGGTGTTCTTGATAGATTAAGTCGAGAGTCCCAATGTGAAACAGGTGACGGCTTAAGCAGCTAGGCCGACGCGCCCCGGATCTTGGCGCGCAGCGGAATTTATGAGGCTCCCATAAGCCTGGGGGCTTGGCTGTTGCTTGACCATGTTTCCTGTTTGGTTGGGCGGCCCACAGCTGAGCCCCTCGAATATACCGAAAAAATACCAAGCGGCAGCTAACAGCGCGGCTGGGAAGGATGACAGCATAGGCGCGGGAGGGGTTGTCCCCATGCAAATGAAGCATGCACTGAGAATGGTAGAGATTGACGAAATGAAGGGGAAAAGCCTCCAATGAGAAGAGTGTTGGCACAAGCATGAGGTTTGTATAAGTATCGTTGCAACCGCATCTTCCAAAAACCATCCAGTGCCAGACACTTCGATTCCATTCCTTCGCTTTTGCATTCCACTTACATTCGCTTCAATCCTTTCTTCCATCTCTTCAAAATGGTCAAGGCAACTGCTGTCCTCGCGCTTCTTGCGCCCCTCACCCAGGCGCATTACATCTTCAACCAGTTGTTGGTCGACAACAAGGCCATCGGCGGCGACTACGCCTACACCCGTAAGAACACCAACACTTACATGCCCTCGTTCACTTCGGAGATCGTCAACAGCCCCGACCTCCGCTGCAACAAGGGAGCCGTCGCTGGTAACACTGCCACCTACACCGTCAAGGCTGGCCAGACTATCGGCTTCAAGCTCGCGTTCGGCGAGAAGATCGAGCATCCGGGCCCCGGATTTGTCTACATCGCCAAGGCCCCCGGTGCCGTCAAGAGCTACGACGGCTCCGGCGACTGGGTCAAGGTCATGGAATCCGGCCTGAAGAACCCCAGCACCCCTGGCGTCGACACAGCCTGGGACAGCTGGCAGAAGGACCGCCTTGAGTGGAAGATCCAGAACAGCATCCCCGCTGGCGAGTACCTCGTCCGCGTGGAGCACATTGCGATCCACGAGGGTCACGTCGGCAAGGCGCAGTTCTACATGGAGTGCTTCCAGCTTAAGATCGAGTCCAGCGGAACTGGCAAGCTCGGCCCCACCGCTAAGATTCCTGGCATCTACAAGGCTACTGACCCCGGTATTGCCTTCGACAAGTGGTAAGTTTTAAGACTTCTTGACTTCGAGTATCACTCTCTAACATCTTCATAGGACCAACCCCAAGTCTTACACCATGCCTGGCCCCGCCAAGTACAGCGGCAACTAGACTCTTTGCGACGATCGATTGGCGGGATGAATGATGGGGGGCGAGGAGAGCTGGGGAGACGGAGAGAGGACGAAGCTTTTTGGACATTTTTGAACACATCGGTAACGCCGCTTTTGGTAGGCTTGCCACCCTATTTCTCTTCTGGTATCTATTTTCGAATTAAATCTGTTTTGGCCTGGCCACAAAAAAAAGCTTTCCGATGATGATGATGATGATGATGATGATGATGACTCGTGGATGACTTTGGACTTGTTTTTGTGATCTACTTAGCTTGTGGTGATGGTTTGACATTCACCAAAAGCTATTTGAAGAGGCGTGCAAGGGCACATCGCATTGTTGGCGGTCTTGGATGCCTGGTAGTGAGTAGGTAGGTACGACGAGGTCGCTCAGATCATGTGACACCGAATCCCACGACTCCCTGCGCGTGGATGTTGACCGCCAAGAGACACGAACATTTCTTTGCATGATCAGAATGCTGCGACACTGAGACGGCTACGGAACGCAACAATAAGAGAAGCTGTTCCTGCGTTGTACTAGGACGGTGTGGCCATGATGCAGACGTTGGTATAGCGACCCGATCAAGGAGAAACCTTATGCAAGGAGCCATGGGTTTCGGATGCCGTTCATTTCTGCAGTGCAGTCTTCTGGATCGGATTTGGACAGCGTGTGTGACGTGGTGATGGAGTTGTCAAGACCGATCGAGGAAGGCGTTGGTGCGTGCGCGCTGCTGCGGCAACCACGACCGACTTGGTAAACATAGCACCGGTTTGAGACGTCACCCGGAGAAGGCCTGCTTAGTCCTGGCACCAACCCATAACGCTCCCCGCTATACTCTGGGTGCGACTTGACCATCACATTCCTCCGCCATTGTTCCATTGTCCGAGTCCTTCGCTGGAGCGTGATTGTTGTTGCATCGTTAACTTAGCGCCGTCTATCACTCCATCGACAACGCACACCGCCTGCTACGGGACTTCAACTTCATGAGGTGCACGCCAACATAGACGCAATAATCACTGGCTTTGGGGGACATGGCAGTCGGGCAGGCGCTCCCAACGCGCTTTCCGTGCTGGTGTAAGGCGGTTTATTCCTGGGGTGGTGAGGTGAGTTTGGACGAAAACTATGCTTGCAGCTGCACGTAGTCTGACCGCTGTTTGCAGACAAAACGCGACCTCGGATTTATAGAAGGCGACCTAATCGAGGTCCTCAATGCCGGCGATGGATCATGGTGGATGGGAAGATTGAAGCGCGACAGGCGCATGGTCGGACTGTTCCCATCCAACTTTGTCGAACTGCTCAGCGAGGACTATCAGCCATGGAATCGCAACGCCAGCCCGATGAGCGGTGCAGGAAGCATCGTGTCGCGACAGAACAGCGCAGTGGAGCCGGCGAAACCACCACCACAGAAGTCGAAGAGCATGTTCCGGAAGCCCTTCACAGCTTATGCGGCTGCATCTGCTCCGAACCCAGCTGCGGCCGCGCGAGAACGATTAAAGGCATCTGGAGGAGTGGCCTCGCCTAATGGCAGTCTGAAGACGAAGACACCCTACTCGTCGATGAAGAGGTCGTCTACGGAGAGCCGCGAGTCCCCGTCGCCTGCACCAGCATCAAGAGCGCCATCGAATCTGCGCGCAGTGTCACCTCGACCGCCTTCAAAGCGACCATCTGTAGTCTCTCGAGCGGTGTCGCCTGCGCCTTCACGCCATGGCTCCCGCATACGTGCCCACTCACCACAACCGCCCAGGCAGTACCAACAGCATTCTCGGGCTGTCTCGCCGGCACCGCCAGTGCAGCACTACAACCACCATCGAGCAGTGTCACCGGCACCTCCACAACAGCATTATGATCCATACAGGGCCCCCTCACCGGCACCACCACCCCAGCAGTACCATGATCCATACCGCGCCGTCTCGCCGGCACCTCCTACAAACTACGAGCGTTACTCTCGAGCAGCATCGCCTGCGCCGCCAAACAACTACCAGCAGTACGCCCGAGCAGCCTCACCTGCACCAGCCACAAACTATCAAGCGTACTCGCGAGGACCCTCTCCTGCACCATCGTTCCAGCAGCCGCAGAACTATCAGCGGGCTGCTTCACCTGCACCGTCATTTCAACAACACTCTCGAGCAGTCTCGCCAGCTCCTTCGTTCCAGTATCGCGCATATGACCGCGGCCCTTCGCCATCACCTTACCAAATGCAACTAAACAACCATAGCCGAAGCCCTTCACCCGCACCATACGAGTACGAACCCGAAGAAGCGATCGATTCACCTCCTCCCCCACCACCGCCTCCGCATCGTGTCGCATACAATCCAAGCAGAGCACCTTCGCCGGCACCTCCACAAAACAATGGGTACCATACACCAGAACCACCGTCGCCTGACCCCAGAACGCATAACAAGGGCAGCTTTACACCCTCGCCACTTACAACCGCCATGAACGATGTGATGTCCTCGCTTCAGGACATGACAATGTCGCGGAGTGCCAACTCGCCCGAACAGCCAGCCACACCCTCAGCACCATGGTCACCGGACGCCTTCGATCAAGTCTACCAGGCGTCAGCGAAGAAAGCTCGAGCGAACTCTGCAGTGGAGGTCGGAAGCCAAGGACCAGACGAGGAGGATCTCGATGAGGAGGGCATTCCGAATGTCAACAACTATGTTAAGCGCATGGAGAGCCGCTTGCGGCGTATGAAGCAGCAAGAAGCAGCGAATGCCGAAGAGGTTATCAACGGACCACCACCTACAGTGCCTCTGAAGGGCTCAGCTTATCCGAGGGCAGGATCGTCCATGGGCGAGGCAGAACCTGATGTAGAAAGAAAGGGCTCGAAGATGCTCCGTCATCGCAAGTCTGCTTACGACGTTGGACGCAATGTTCTAGGTCGCACTTTCACCAGCAAGACCAACTCAACTACAACGACACATACGAGCGCGAGCACAAACCGCAGCCTTATGTCTGGACATTCTGCTACGAACATGAGTGCCACGAGCGCAGGGAGCTACTATCGTAAGAAGTTTACGAAGGATCCTAGACCGAAAAGTATGATGGAGCCCCGGGAACAAGTAGGCAAAGGCTTCGGATTCGATGACGGTAGGCCGGAAACGCCCTTTACTGGCATTACTTACCATTCGAGCCATGCGTCTCAATCAAGACCCGGAACTAGTCATGGTCGAGAGGAAGTCAGCACACCTGCCAACGAAGGCGCGGATCCGCTAGGAGGCCTGGTGCAACCAAAGCATAAACGCAGCGGCTTCTTCCGAAAGATGATTGACACAGCCAAAACGCAAGCAGCCAACGCTCGCAGTACCATAGCTGCAGGGACGATCAGTAGGCCTGGTTCTCGAGCTGCCAGTCGCGCGCAAAGCCGTGCCGCAAGCCGTGCCGCAAGTCGAATGGACGGCAATGCACCGACAGCTATCGAAGGCGGTCCATCAGCTCACTCTGCAACTGTATCAAAAGACATGGGACTAGGATCAATCGATTGGGTGCAAGTCCGTCGCGACGTGAACCGGTCTAATTCTCTTAGCAAGAACGAGCGGACGGAACGTGCAGACCGATGCCAGATGATGGACTTCCCAGTCCTCAACCCAATCGACATCTTGTACGAATCCGCCGAAGGTGACGAGGGCCTTGACGGACTACCAATCGAAGAACCTACCGACTTTCAAGCAACCAGCCTCGCGCATGTCGACAAGAGCGCTCGCTTCATCAACAGCATCCCATTGGGCACTGCACCTGCGGCTCTGGCACAAGGCTACGTATGCCGGCCATACCGAAGCGACATTCAGCGTCTACGTGCAATCTTCACCTGGGTCAGCGAGCGTTTGTCATGGGAAGAGGACTTTGAAGGCGAGATGGACACCCGGCATGTGCTGCAAAGCAAACGTGGCTGCTCGCAAGAAATCGCCATGGTCGTTGCCGAGATGTGCGCATCTGTTGGACTCCATGCCGAGGTCATTCGTGGGTATCTGAAGACACCCGGAGAGCCTCTAGATCTGGAAAGTGTTGCTCGACCGAACCACTTCTGGAACGCAGTCATTGTTGAAGGCGAGTGGCGCATGATGGACTGCTCACTTGCTGGGCCGACCAACCCCAAGCGCGCTCTCTACTCCAGTGCCGGCTCGAACGTGGCCGAAACGTGGTATTTTCTCGCTCGTCCGATGGAAATGTGCTACTCCCACGTGCCGTTGCTTCCAGAGCAGCAGCATATCTGCCCACCACAGCCGCACGAGGTCCTCATGGCTCTTCCATGCGCAACTCCGACCTACTTCAAACATAGCTTACACATGGTAGACTTTGATACCAGTCTACTGTGTCTTGACAATCTCGAGATGGCTCATGTCTACATAGACGTTCCAGAAGACGTGGAGTGTGTCGCTGAAGTCGAAGCACGAGCCTTCTCGCAAGACATGGACGGAGACTTTTTCGAAAGTGGAGATTTTGTTAAGAAGCCCGCCCTTGCGCAGGTTGAATGGTTTAACGGCCAGAAGCGTTACACTATAAAGGCACTTCTCCCGGGTGATGAAGGTCAGGGTGTGTTGAAAATATATGCTGGACCGAAGGGTCTAATGGTGAGTTTATTCCTTTTTCTGTCCATCACAATAACTGACTATTGCAGCACTCGAACAAGATGAATCCTCACAACCTGGCCGTTGGTCTTCCTATGACACATTCTGGCAACAATCCTCCTTACTCGTTCCTGACACTGCACCCCACTCCACACGCTCAAAGGCACGATCTCTATGTGGCTCAACCTCAATGCGCCAACATTGCTCTCAACAACACCTTTGTCTTCTGCATTCGCCAACATCCTTCATCTCTCAACAAGTCTCCCGAACCAAGCCCCGCTATTCACGGCCGCGCGTCTCCTAATCCGTTTATACGCCCGACCTCAGCCATGAGTATGATGAGCATTTCGGCGAGCGGCTCAAACTACACAAACCCTTCCCAGGCCTCTTCTGGATCTTCAGGCAGCAACAGCATGAAGCCTGCAAAGCTAGCTGTTCAAACACCTTCTGGCAAGATTATTCGATTGACGAGGAAGAACGAGCACATGACCAGCACGAATGAGGCCGACGGTACATCGTGGGAGACAGTAATCAAGATCGGAGAAAAGGGCACGTGGCGAGGCCTGGTGCTCGCAGATCGCAGTGCAAGATGGTGCGTGTTTGCGCAATGGGAGTGCGCGTAATTAATACGGACATGATGTCGCATGTACGAGTAATGTTCCTCTGTTCTTTTGGCGCGGATTTGGCATCTTTGGAGCCTAGGGGTAACTGCATTGCATCGGCGTTTGTAGGATATGGGACGATTTTACGACTTAAGCATTGGGTAGCCCTGATAGCAAAATTTGAGCGTGTCGTTTTCAGATTGTGACTCGAACTCTTGAGAAATATGCCTGTGAATTGCTTCTACTTCTGACGTCATATTACGCAAGTGCACGACTTTGGACTAACTGCAATCTTAACTACTGGAAGTCAAGATCTGTATACAGTGATAAAGGAAGCCGGGATATCTCTACCGCCTTGTTGCTACAACGTCTTCAAGTATGTAGTTGACTCAGCCCTATCCGTCGTTCCTGCCAAGCACCCCTCCAAACCCCACACCCCACCACTCATCATCTACCAAAATATTTCGCCCACTCCCAACTGCACACCATCACCCGTCCTGGAATTACACGCAGCCATGGACGCCCAAATTGCCGAATGGCGCACCCGCGCGTCCGCCTTTCAACCCCTCAACCTCAAAGCCATCGAGCCTGCCCTCCTCGAACTCGATGCGCACCTGACGCTCCGCACGCACATTGTCGGATACACGCTGACTGACGCCGATACGGAGGTCTGGAGCACTTTGAGGGGAAATCGCGTAGCGCATGCGTACATGAAGCAAGATCTGCTCAAAAATGCTTGCAGGTGGTTCAGGTACATCGAAGAGGCGTATCCGCAGAGCGTTGTGGTTGTGAACCAAGGGAAGAAGGAGGGAGATGCTGGCAAGGCCGGGGACAAGAAGAAAAACGATGATGCGAACTACGATATTGGACTGCAAGATGTTGGGGACGGGACGGGGATTTGCACGAGATTTCCGCCTGAGCCTTCGTAAGTGGGATTACTTTTTTAATTTGGTAGTAATTCAGGTGCTAATGTGCAGCAGAGGTTACCTGCATATTGGCCACGCAAAGGCTGCGCTGTTGAACGACTACTTCGCCCACGAGAAGTACAAGGGCAAGCTGCTGCTGCGATTCGACGACACCAACCCCACCAAGGAGAAGCAGGAGTACCAGGACGCCATTGTCGAGGACTGCGCGCTGCTGGGCATCAAGCCGGATTCGGTATCTTACACTAGCGACTGGTTCCAGCAGCTGTACGAGCAGTGTGTGCAGATGATCAAGAATGGTCTGGCATACGCCGATGACACGGAGCAGATGAAGATGCGCGAGGAGCGTATGGAGGGCATTGCGAGTGCGCGCCGTGACTGCACCGTTGAGGAGAACCTGGCCCGTTTCGAGGAGATGAAGAAGGGCAACGAGGAGGGTGTCAGGTGGTGCATTCGTGCAAAGATGTCAGTCGACAACCCGAACAAGGCCATGCGCGACCCCGTCATCTACCGCTGCAACCCCCAGGCACATCACCGCACTGGAGATGCGTGGAAGATCTACCCCACCTACGACTTTTGCTGTCCCATCGTAGACGCGCTCGAGGGTGTGACGCACGCCCTGCGCACGACCGAGTACAACGACCGCGATGCACAGTACCAGTGGTTCATCGAGAACTTGAAGCTGCGAAAGGTCCACAACTGGGGCTTCTCTCGCCTCAACTTCGTCAAGACTGTTCTGTCCAAGCGCAAGCTCACCAAGATCGTCGACGCCGGCATTGTCTGGGGCTGGGACGACCCTCGCATGCCCACTGTTCGTGGTGTACGCCGCCGGGGTGCCGTCATTCCCGCACTCCGCGAGTTCATTCTAAAGCAGGGCCCTTCCAAGAACATTGTCAACCAGGACTGGTTCGCTTTCTGGGCCACCAACAAGAAGCACATCGAGCCCACCGCAGCCCGCTACACGGCCATCGACGAAGACTCCAAGGTGCCCGTCACCATCATCGGTGCTCGCGAGGGCGTCATCACAGAAGACAAGCCCAAACACGCCAAATACGATCTCGGCAACAAGAAGATCGTCTTCAGCTCAAATGTCCTCCTGGAGCAAGCCGACGCCCAATCCTTCGCTCAGGACGAGGAAATCACCCTCATGAACTGGGGCAACGCCATCGTGCGCAAGATCACCCACTCGCTGAACCCGCTCAACATGAAGAAAGTCACCGGTCTCGAGCTCGAACTCCACCTCCAGGGCGACGTCAAGAAGACCAGCAAGAAAGTGACATGGCTAAGCACTGACCAGAACCTCATCCCGATCGAGCTCGTCGACTTCGACTACCTGATCACCAAGGACAAACTCGAGGCTGACGATACGCTGGAGGACTTCCTCAACCCTCAGACCGAGACGCGCACCAAGGCCGTGGCGGACTTGAATGTGGCTGAGCTCAAGGTCGATGATATTGTGCAGTTTGATCGCAAGGGCTTTTTCAGGATTGATAAGGCGTTCAAGCATGGCGAGGCGGTTGTTGCGTTCCAGATCCCGACGGGGAAGAGCAAGTAAAGTATGTGCGTCTTGGAGTAGGATGCGTACGCCGAGCTAGGAAAGCTGGGGGATGTGACGCAAGAGGAGAATGAATCATATAAGTCGATTTGCTATGTTCATCTTGACGTGATTGTACATTGCCAAAAAAAAAAAGCACTGCTAAGTCAGGCTTGTATCCCCGTGCTTACTTGGCTGCTATGTTTCATCTACATCGCAAAAAGAGTCTACCATGGGCTCATGCGAACAAACGTTCTTGGAAGCTGGTTCACGTGCTCAAGATCTAGCAATCGGTACCAGCTGAGCGGGGAGAAACTGACCGCGTGCGTTCGTTGTACGCGCATGGTGTAGCGACACACACGTAAACATGGGCGTTGAGGGAAGGTGTTTGTCTCGCGTTGATGCGCGCTGGCGGATTGAATGGTGGAGCAAGTCACATTTTTCTCATTTGAGAACGTGGACTCTGCACATGATGATTCCAGTCGCAATTGTGTCAAAAGTCGAATATGAAATTCTCACACCGCGCTCCAGGCGCGTGTACACGATTGCGAGCAGAGCCAACTCGACTGGGAGATACTGCGGGCGAATGAAGAGCACAGCGCACTTGATGCCGCGGAAGCGAGTGCGGAGGCGGATGTTGAAGGGGCGGAGCTTGCGAAGGAATCGGATGGAGAGGTACGAGGCGGAACGGATATGGATACAGATGACGAAGAGGAGGGAGGGTCATGAATGGTGGACATCCGGAGAAGAGGACAGGGAATAGCGAGGTGCATGAATATGGAATACTGATATATGGAGTAAGCTTGCTGGTGCAAGCAAATCTACGCGCCTGAACGCCGTGCTTGATGGTTTTGATACAGTACATGGAGGATATACATGAGAATGTCATTGAGGTCTTTGCTTCATACGAAGACGCTGCGTCGCGCTTTGCCTATGCGGAGCTGTTTGCACATGTGCAAGGACTGCGAAGTTCTAGAGCTTTGGGTGGGTTACTGTAAATTCGGGATGCGCATCTTCCTTCGTGCGCATTTAGATTTGGTGACAGCGTGTTCCAGTCACGCTTGTGTGTTGCAGTGTCAACATGGCAGTTAGTGCTTCGGTGCTATAGGATGTGACGCCATTCATGAAGCGTCGGCTGTCGACTTCTGCGCTGCGTTTTCCGCTGCCTCTGGTTTCTCCTCGCTCTTCTCAACCTCTGTTTTGGGTTTTGCTTGCGCGGGCTGTGCAACTTGTTTGCTGACAACTAATCCAATGAGGTATGCACCAACGTTGCCAGCGCCATCGATAGGACCAAGTTTGGCATCGAAGAGCTTCGATTCGCGTAGAAGTCTGTTTGTATGTTATTCATTTAAATCTTCGTGACGTCGAGTGAACAATCTTACCTTGCTTTGCCTTCAGGGGTCTTCACTGCCGCCTCCTGAATGACTCTGCCAACTTGCTCGCGATAGCTTTCAAACACCGGCCCCATGATCATCCTGACTTGCATCTCACTCAGATACTTGTTGATCACCTTGTGCATGGTCACGGTGTCTTTGGTCAAGCTCTCCATGCTACTGCTGACATCCTTGTTTGCTTCTGCCTCGGTGTCCCATTCGACCTTCTTCAAGCTGCGCATGTGCACGGTTGCTCTACCAGAAAGGATATCGGTGAGCTTGTCGTGAATAGAGACTTGCTGATCCTGTAGCAGACGCTTCACATTGTCAAACTCGCCGATGGCAGATTTGTTTGCTGCGTTAGCTATGCGTCGGCGCGCGCACTCGCGTATGTAAGGCAGGATTGCAATGACAAAAGATAATGTCTGCGATGCGATAGCGAGATGTTTGGTGTTGATATTCTTGAGGCCAGCAGAGTGCATTGCGCCGGCGCCAAGAATGAGTTGGCATAGGCGCGAGTTGAAGAGCTTGATGTAGTCGCAGAGAGAAGAAGAAACCTCTGAGGTCATGCTCGGTATCGCAGACAGCAGGATCTCAAAGCGCTCGATGCCGCGCAGCACAAACGTAGACGAGCTTGAGATGGTATACTTTTCTTCGTCGACGATGGCGGGTGTGGTGGTCTTGCTCTTCTCTTTGGGTTTCTCTTCCGCAGCTCCGTTCGTGGCTGTCGAGTCGCCATTCGTGGCGGGCACTTCAATTGTTCGTAGAAGGTCGCCTGCATCTGACCAACTTGGTGGGTCGCTCTCCATACCCTTCAGTATGCGCGCAAGTACTTCGGTGTCATCAGATTCAAAGTCCTTAGGCTCCCATCGATCAGAGTCCATGGCCTTTGCCAGCTCCTGTTTTTCGAAGTCACCAAATTTGGGTACAAACTCGGTGATGTGGTTGTTGACGATGCTCTTCAGTGCTGCCCCAGACCGTCCCGACACTGCCTCACACTCATCCGCAAACAGTCGACACAGATTGAAGTATCTCAAAAAGCGCTCTAGAGGAAGATTGGCAGTGGCTTCGGATCGGACCTTGAGGAGCTTTGTGATCTGCGTTTGAGCAGCATCCACGGCCTGGCCAAGTAAACTTGACATGTCCAAGGCCTGCATAAGCTCCATCTGTAGATCATTCGAGGCTGGCGCAGGAGTTCCGTTGCCCATGTAACTGTCAATATTGTGCATATATGGACTTCTTGGAGAGCGAAGGCCACCAGCAGATAGTGGCGGCGTGGAAACACCGCTAGTGACATCAAGCAGGACTTTGACCAGAGTGCTCAGTCGACGAAGCACTTCCCCAACGTCTGTAAAGATGTTGGTGAAGAATTCCTCCGCATCGGCGGGATCCATTGCGCGCAAATTACGTGCCAGAATCGAGTTCTTGTCCTGCTGACTGTGGCCCCGTCCACCTCTTGTCGATACCGATGTCATTGACTCTGCATCGTCGTCCGATGAGCTTGGAAGGTACTTGCGAATGATAGTCTTCATCTCTTTCATGATGGCATCGCGGAAACTGGCACTGGCTTGATTCGTGAACTGTGCTCCGCTCAGACCATACAGGTTGACTCGTAGATCCGAGCGCAACTTTTCGCTCGTGTTCAGGTATGCTGGCAAAGTAGATTTTGCCTTTTGTTGAATGCCACGCGCCTTGGAAGATGCTGTGACCCATCTCTCGAGAGTGTGCTGGCTTGGCACGCTTTTCACGTGTTCCCGCAGATCCGTTAGCAGTGTGTCCACGAAACGGGCTTCGAAGCCTCGTCCGACGCGGAACTTCAGCTCCTGTATCCCATCAAACACACCCTCCATGGCCCTCAGCCCGCGCAGATCGATGATGTCTGGAGGTAAGCTTGCATTCAACCACGACACATAGGCAGGATCTGTCGTGTCAAGGGCGCCTGTGATTAATCGTTCCACGGCATCCAGTCGTGTCATGGCCATCTCAAGCTCGCCCTTGTTGACTACCTCATCACAGTGCGACAGCCCTACAATAACGGCCTGTAGCTGATCGACCGAATTGGTCAGTCTTCGTAGGTTCTGCCGCCGCCTCTTCATTCCCACGACTTTCAGGCCCCCTATTGCCATTTGTTCGTCCAGTCTCTTGAGGTCTTCCCTCAAGCCCTTGATCCGCGCGACAGACTCCGAGGCTTCCGACTGTAATTCGCGCAAAGACCCTAATGCTGCAAAGAAAGATGTTGACGCTGAGGAGATGGCTGAAATTAAGTGCACTTCGACTGTGTCCATGTACCAAGATAGCTTCTCTTGCAAGATGGCGTTTGTTGCCAAAGCTTTCCTTCCCTGTACTTGCGGCGCGTCCAACGATCCATTGGTGAAATCGACATCGTCACTTTTGGTCCGTATTGGTCGTACGACTTCGGAACGCTCGCTTACAATGTCGAACGTGCGTGGGTTCTCGAGATGGAAGTTCTCGTCAAAGTATACGGTCGGTATGGTCGAGAGGGGTGTGGCTGCAGGTGGGGCGCGTTTGGAGCCGCTTGTTCGCCGCTTTGGTTTTGGGGAGCTGTTCGGGGAGAAGGCAGCACCTGAAAGCTGTGGCGTCACTGCTGGCGAGGAGACATGTATGCCTCGCTCCAGGCTCTCTGCCCGGTCACTCTTCTTCGAGCCTCTCCGGACTGGCTGCGCTGCCTCAGCCTCGGCCTCGGCCTTTGCGCGCTGGAAGGCTTCATAGAGACCACCGACTTGCGACAGGTATGGATTGAAGGCCGATGGCTCGACGTGGGGCACGTTTGCGAGGGTCACGGGTGGGATGTCTTTGGCGGAAGGCGGTCGTTGTCCTGCTGATACCTGAGCTGCCGTGTGTGGGAGCATGCCAGTCCTCACAATTGGAGGCTGCAACAAGGTGGATATGGCTGTTCCAGTATTAGTCTTCGATAGCCCATTATCATGTCACGTGAGAGTGCATATGCCCACCATTCTGGTTCTGTTCCCTCACGGCACCCATGCTGTTCTTGAAGCCACTGTCAAGCACTCCGCCGACCGAGTGTATTGAGCTGGCCGTGGACCCGCGACGTGGCTGATAGCGCCCACCGGTGGAGCTCGGCCGGCTGACCCAGTCATTCTGCTGAGGGAACGGATATTGGTTTTGTGGCGGAGCAGGCGACAGTATATCCAGGCTCTCTGTGGACCGCCGAGGGGATCTGGGGGAGGACATGATGATTGCGGCGGAGCGTGTCGGGGGTGCTCTGGTGGCCGAGGCATGGGCGACAGTGGCGCGGTCGTTATCTCATCGTATCTCCGTCAGTAACGTGACTGCGTATTTCTTTGAAGGCTTTCACTGCGCGCGGAATTCTTCGTGTGTGTTCGGCATGGGCTGTGTTTCGCACCTGTGTCTTGAGCTCCGCGCTTTCGGTGACGGGAGCCACTGGGATGCGACCGGGATCATCGCAAGAATAAGCGAGACGCGACACCCCTGCACCTCATTACTCTCACTCCTACTCTCACTCCCACTCTCACCCTGTCCCTCACCCTTGTCCTCACCATTCACTTGCCTTTATATTTCACTAGCTTTAGAAGAAATTGCCTCACTCAAGCCTTAATCCCTCTAATAGTTGAAATATGCAGTTGCGACTATCCCTAGCATCTACCCAATTTCCGTGGTAGGCCACGCAGTCTAGTACCATGGTACTAACAGCAGAAAGTGACACTCGTGTTCCTGAAACGCGCAGGCAATCTTTCAAGAGTGATAAATACCGGACGATCGCCCGCTCCCAACCCAAAGCTGAGTATATAACTAGAGACGAATTTCGCAAAGCAACACTCAATACGCTCGGAAACGACTTTCTAGGAAGACTGATCAGCCTTGCTCCCAGACACCGCAGAGACGACCGTTGTTCTTGTCATGACATCGGGCATCACGCGGAGCCGATTACCGAGAGATGACATTATTCCGCTCAGATGTGCGCTTAACAACCGATATCGTCCCCCAGAAAGACTGTCTTCCGTTATCGGATTCCACTCAAAAAAAAGGGATCTCCGCATGACTCTCACAGCTTTGTTGGGTAAAGGATGCGTTTACTGGCAACATCTTTGTTTCCGAAACCGGTGACACTGGACCTAGATACCACCTGGCCGACGCCGTTCCAGTCCTGAAGCTCTGTGTCATCACGTCGAACAACACCAGGGTAGCTCCTCATCGGGCAAAGTGCAGGGGCTCCCAATGGCCAATGCACAAACATGAACGATGTTGCTCAGAAGCGCCAAATATAACCTAGAATCGGAGTGGAACATATTAACAAGTTGCACTATTAAGACTTCCTATATACGGGTTATATCATTGGAGTACGTAAAGGCTCACAGGTACGTCACGACTCACTCATAAAGCAGAACATCTTCTCTCCAACTCCCATCTCTTACCATAATCCTTCATTGTTCCTTCTTCCTATCCGATAAAGGATAGCCTGTAGAGTTGGTGCATCTGGACCTCCAGCTCTCGTTCCTCGGATCCGTCATCACTCGAAATGTGTTCCTCCAGCTCTCCTCCCTCGGACCCGTCATCGCTCGAAACGTGTTCCTCCAGCTCTATCCCCTCGTCTCCGTCATCGCTCGACATATATCCCTCCAAATCTTCCTCGTCTAGTCCGGGCCCGTCACCTATTACAACAACGCCTTTGCCGTCCCTCATGCTCGCTTCCACCTCTGCTAACGTTCTTTTGTCGAGCCTCTCTGGACAGTGTAGCGCTGCAACATAAACCCAGTCCGTTACCAAACTCAGCCACCTTCGACATAGCGGGCACTTGGCTCGACACAGCGAATGTCTTATGAGTCCACGAATGCACTCATGGCATATTGTGTGCCCACATGGTATTGCAATTATGGGCTGCAAGACGTTTTCGTTCAGACATATTGAACAGTAGAAAGCCGTAAGGACAAGGAGTCGGAATATTGCTGCCGGGGGCATGGTACGAGATGTGAGGGGAGCTTGGTGGCCGAGGGGCAAACCGAAGTCATTTTGCGTTGGCGCTGTCATGCCTGATGACGATAAGAATAGAAATTAAAAATTAAAGAAGAGTTTAGAAACTGGTAAACTTGATTGGAGGAGTATTTCCAAGCGGTATTTATATTCGTGTGTTGCGAAATGACCATATGTAGCAGGGGTGCCAAGCCCCCAGGTAACCAAACTGCGAAGCACTCCAGGACTGGTTCTTGCGCTCCAAACTGGGGGAAGCGCTTGAATAAAATCCTGTAAACGAAATCCCGGATCCTGAAGCATGCGAATTGACAAACGACAGTATCCCGGGTGTTTTTAAAATATAAATAGTTTCAGAAAGCTCGGATCGAGTTTATTGGCCTACAATCCCGCGTGGTACATTCATCCATGGTTCACATCAGCACGGTAAGCGAGACTTAGCTAGGCGCAACAATTATAAAAGAACGTCTTTTCAACTTACTCTTCTTCAACACTTCACTCTTACACAAAATTTTCCATCTCCGCAGAGACAGATGACAATACCATCAGCGCCCACTCTTGGGACAACTAAACTAGCACCGACCGGAAGAAATCTAATCCAACTTGGAGGCCACAGTTAACACTGTAAAGCTCCACAACAACATACCCCGTTCACACAATCATCTAACATGATCGTACAAACACCACACCAACGCCATGGCTACACCTACGAGCACCCGCCCTGCTGCTGAAACATCATCACAAACGCCAGCCAAACCAGCTCATTCGGATGATTGTACATACGGCGAACAAGCGAAGCGCCCTCCTGTCCACCGATCAACGGCTCCTGCTCGTTCGGGCTGGCGCCGCGCCGCGAAGGCATGGAGCGGCCGGGGATAGGGCCCGAAGGGTAGTGCAGAACAAAGTCTTCGACCTGCTCGACTGAGATGCCACCGTTGTCGTACTGCTCTACGCCCGAGGGGCGGAAGCCGCCGTGGGACTGGGATTGCTGGTACTGCTGGGATTGACGGGGCTGGCCCTGGGACTGCTGATACTGCGACTGACGGATCTGCGACGCGTGACCTTGAGACTGATAAGCCTGCGACTGACGAACCTGCGACTGCCTATGCTGAGACGCGCGCTGGCCCTGGCCGACCTTTGTATAATCACCCGGAGCAAAGGCGTGCTGCGCGCCCGATACAACGCGCGGACCACGGGACTGGCCATTTGCTAGTGCGATCTGCGATGGACGCTGGTCGTACGGAATGGGCGGAGGCCCAGATCGGCCGAAGTCAAGCGGCGGGTGCTGCTGGCGGGAAGAGTGGTAGGATGGCTGGGGCGCGCGGTGGGAGGACGCTGGAGCGCGGGAGGAGCGCGGTGGAAGCATGCCGTGGCTAGGAGTGGGAGGAACGAGGTTGCGCGAGGGGTGGCGAGAAGTGGGAGTGCGCGAAGGATGGTGCGAAGCTACACGCGGAGCAGCATTGGACGCAGGCCGATGAGAAGAGCGAGGAGGAGCTGGGCCACCAGCCATATGTGGAGGCGGCATGGACTGTCCACCGCGAGACTTACGAGCACCGGCACCACCCAGACCCATGGGGTTTGCGCGAGAAGCCATCACTGTGTGTTGGTGTGTGGGGTCGGAGAAGTCTGCGAGAAGTCTGTGTGTGAGAAGTGTCTGTGAGACTGGAGAAGGCTTGTGTATGTGTGTGTCTGTGAGGGTTGTAGAGGAGAAGAGTATGTGTATGATGAGAAATAAGAGCGTAGGAAGGAATTGGGTGAGGACTAAGTAGCCTAGGAGAACGTCAGGAGGTGCACTCACATGGTGAGTTAGTAGGATGAATTGAGGTGAGGAAGGGGCCTTGTGAAGACACTTCGAACTGAAGCCAGGGATGCTCGTCATTGAAGATCAAGAGTTATCGGCAGATATTTGCCAAGAGCCCTCCTACTTGCAACTAGTTCATCCTACTTTGTGCATTGTATAGTGTGTGGATATTTGATAGGAAAGAGAGGTTGTTGTTAAATTTTATCTTTCCCGCACTGTTTCTAGCACGTGGCAATCATATATCAAGAAAATCATTGAAACACCTTAAACTAAACGCGTGTATTTGCATCAACTCGAACTTTAAGATTTAGTCTCGAAACTATTATTACATACAGACAAGTTAAAAACGAGGTTAGAACTTCCGGATATCATGTGTAATTTTTTTTTCGTGTATAAATTCAACGATTAGCTTCATCATTATTGACATAAGAATTCATGTCTCCTACTGTAAAGTCAGTGTGCTCGTATCTTGACCATTGTCTTTACCCAGATGTGTGCACAACGCACAAGAGTGGTTTATACCAACACGCTCATAGTTGGTGCGACAGCCAACAAAAATGTCCAAAGCCCTGTGTCTTTCTTTCACCCTTAATAGACGTCATCGTTTCTATTCTACTCTCTTTAATTACTTTACTAGCTTTCACTCTACTCGTACCCAGCTCCTAACTCTCCGCGATATCGGTAACATACCACTTACACCCAGCACAGCCTAATCTGTGCGGTAATCCGTATCTTCCCACCTACCCAATACCAAAAACCAAAAAGACACCCAACGACCCAACAGAGTCTCGAACCCATAATCCCATAACAATAGCAAAAACATAAGACTCAAGCGGCCATCGAGTCGGTGCCCAGGGCGAACCCCAGAGACTAACTGAGCGGACCACGGAACTTCTTATGTGACAGAACCCTAAAGTTGTTGATATTAATAGGAAAATTAAGTCTGCGGTTACTCAATTTGTAAAGATAGATAATAAACGCGAAGCCTGATCCGTGTGCGTAGCGTGTAAAGCCAGTTGTCTCATCATAATACCACCCAGTTCTCCGACAAATGAAGAGCGACATTAAGTCGCTGCACGTTAGGGTCGTCTTCACTCCACCAACTAAACCGAATGTTTGCATACATTTGTGTCTTCAAACGGCTCAATTCTTTATCGCCACGACAATGAGGACTTGCACCCGCTTCCAACAGTAATGCAAGTACTTCCGTCGAGTGCGGATCTGAGAAATTTTCTGCTTGAACAAAACGGGTTGCGAAGGATATCAACGGGGTCGCCTCTCCCCCACGATTTGGATCCGCACCAGCCGTGATGAGTTGCCTCACCAAGTCGACTTCGTTGCGTCCAGCCGCCCATTCAAGCGGAGTGTATGGAGGATTGCCACACAGCTGATTGATTCCTAAACCAACACTGATCAGATCCGCGGCAATGTCAGAATGTCGACCTTCCAGCGCAAGATGCAAAGGCGTCTTGTACTTGTGTGACTTTTCTGGCGAGGATGCAGTCAGTATCTCGTGACCTTCCAAGATGGACTGCAATGGCCCAGGTTCCACAAATTGCAGCATCATTCTCACTAGGTCGTCAGCTCCTTCATAAGCAGCTGAATTCAAGGCTTGGGTCAGCTGTTTCTGATCTGCTCCGTGTGCGCCGTTTTTCAAAAGCTTGGCTGCGAAATTCCATCGTTTGTGCCAGAGTGCGGTGGTCAAAAGCGTTTCCTCGCCCATGTAGTGAGCGTTCAAGTCCGCTCCACCGAGCATGATTGACTCGGCGATGTCCATCCGATTCATATGCACGGCGGCCATGATAGCTGTTTGGCCCTCACGACGCACATCCGGGTCACAGCCAGCCGACAAAAGCTGTTTTACGATTGAAAGGCGATTCCCAAGTACTGCTGCAAAAATTGGAGGTACAAGCCCTGAGTTGAGATTGGCCTTTGAGTCAATTAGAAGGAGGAGCAATTGCGAGTGACCAGAGCGAGCTGCATGTGTCACAGCGGTATCTAGCACCTCATCGGCGTCACCCGCATAATCGACATCAGCTCCTGCTTCGACAAGGTATTGGGCACACATCTGTCGTCCGTATTTGGCAGCGACAGAAAGCGGGCTTAGGTTTCGGTCATTTTTGTTTGGGGAGATGCCGTGGTCAAGAAGATAGTGCACTGTATCCGGTAAACCACGTCTTACCGCCTCGACTAATGCCGAAGGACTCTTTGTCGCGTATGCGAGTAGACGGCCATGCTTCAACTTTTCCGCACAGCTTGATGCATGATCCGCCCAGTGCGATTTCGCGTATTCCAGGAATCCGTAGCGTGTGTGATGGGCGACCAGAATGTCTTCCGCGCGAAGGCCCTCCATGCTCAGGTACCCAAGGCATGTATTCGCAAACTCTAGATTGATGTCCTCGGTTTCGAGCGTCTGTTTCAGATATTCTGCGATGGATGCATGGGTGAAGGATACCATGGGCCGTGCGGAAGTGTGACTGATTGGTTCTAGGTGAAGCATACCATCGCACACTTCGATGATCATAGCTACATCGATACAACCCGTGGAATCGATATCATCGTCGCCTGGTCGATACGATAAGGCGTGTGCAAGCTCGATGTCTGTCAGCGGTCTCAACGCTGTTGAAACCCATGAGAGCGCCCTCTTCGCTAAAGCTCTTCTGTTCGGACTCTGACATTCGAGACGCTCTATACAGAATCCCCAGACTTCGTCGAGATCGGTTGAAAGAGTCTTGAGTATCTCCTGCACATCTCTGGCGCTGATGGCAGAGACAAGCCTTCTCATGTGCCTACAGGCGAGTAGAAATCTGCGTTGATCAGCGCTCTACATTCATATCATGTGAGCAGAGGAACTTACACGCCGTTGGCTCTGGTTCGAACTGCGCTTATTATCTCGTTGCGCAACCCTGGCTGTCTTTTGCAGAACTCAAGCAAGACCCTGGAGGAACTGATTGTGGAAGCACAATACGCCACCAAGTCTTGATCCTCCGCGCGGATGCCAAAGATAGAGCTTTCTCCAGAGAAAAGCTCCAGATCCATATGGCTACGACAAGTGACGAACAACCGGCATTGGCCAGACAATTCGAGCAAACCTCTCATGAATTCATTCCTCACATCCTTCCCTCCAGGATCGGTCTCCAAAATTTCATCTACCGCGTCCACCAGTATGTACGTCTTTCGCGTCCCATCAGCGAGTATACGTACAAGCTTGACGAGTTCTTTCAATAGCTGCTTTGCGACAGAGGGCTTGCTGAACAATTCCAAACACTTGTTGCGTACAAATGGAAACATCATGCGGCGAGATGTGAGTAGCTGCCGCAGTATCGACGAAAATAGAACAGGTGATGTCTCGTTGACCTGATGTTTATACTGGCAGAACAGGTAAGCGACTTGGATCTCTTCTCTGGGATAGGATGCGGTGATGTCGTGAATGGCAAGCGATGTCAAAATAGTCTTCCCTGTGCCTGGTGCTCCTGTGCAAATGAGTGTGGAACTTGCGTCACTATTTTTCCATGACTGGAATCGATCATGTGATAAGAACCAGGCTCCTGTACCTGGTTCGTGAAGTGCATATGCCTACCGTTGACGTTCGAGGTATGGTATCGAAGGAAGGCTTTTGATATCTCTGTCGTTGCTGTAATCTTCCAAGATTTTATGACGTTCCATTCTGACTGAACAAGTTTAGCTAACGGATGTTCAACGCATAGCCGCGCCTTTTATATTTACCTGCGGTGTCTTGCTTCTCAGAACGAATCAATTCCTTTTCAATGCGATGGAGTGCTTTGGGAGTGCTTGTGTCTTCCTTGATGTCTCTCAGGTCTGAACTGATACGGTCAAATGCTTTTGATGTCTGCGTATTTGCCAAGTTAAGTTTCTCCATATTTTTGCAAAAATCGTCCAGTGTAGTTGCCTGCGACTTGACAACCTGCAGCACGCTACTTGTGATATGATATCCGGTATCAAGATGCTGGCGGAGATCTTGAAATGAAGGGAACAATTCTCTGATCTGTTCCAGAGTCTGTTCTTGGTCTTTCAGTATCTTACAGACATCTTCGGAGACTCCGTGGAGGACATCACTTTGCAATAAGTTAGCCTGGACGCACTTTATAGTTGTAGGAGTCGACGATGTAAATTTATACCTGTCTGAGCAAGTCAGGGCCCATGAGAAAATACAAAAGTAACGATGCACGCATTTAGTAATGGCGCGGGTCTTCTCTGCTTCGAAAGGCCATTTGATTCTAGCCAAAGCGCCATGAATGCTGGCATATGGTTTCCTAAATTGTCATCGAGTCAGATTCACGTTCGGATAAAAGGGGCATCACCATCTATCTCACTTTTGAAGATGACCTTGATCCTTTCTCAATTGCCCCAATAGTTCTTTGAGATGTGCTTCACACGTTGCCTCGATTCGAGCAAGAGCACTCAGATCGAAGTTTGTAGGTACTCTTCGGTTCTCCCATGCCTTCTTCAAAAGCTCAAGGACGCTCTTGAGTGATTCCAGTTCTTCTATCAGCAATCTAACTTCTTCACTAACTCCTTTAACGTCGTTGCTGAATTTGTTGGCGACCTGGAGAAGCTGGATGGTAAGGCTGACCAGCCCGACTACGCCTGCCGCCAGGCTCAAAGGATCTCCCATTGCAAGAGTGTCACAGGCGATAGATTCGCGTCTGAATGTTCTGAGCGAAGCGTTACAAAGCGATATGATAGAAGGTGAACAACAAAGTGTGGCGCACAGGTGTTATTAGCATTTCCAGCTGCTTGCTGCGCCTGCTGCATAGCCTGAACAGCTTCCTGCGAGGTGCATGACACTACCGTCACTAATCCAATCAGCGGACTGTGTAACCACAGCAACAAAACTGTTTAGCAGCTGACCCTCGCTGAAGTGAAGGTACGTCTTCCTTTCGCCCTTAGCAGACTTTGTTCTTTCTATTCTAGATTCTTCTATCTATTATATTAACAACTTTCGCTCCTACTTATTTCTTCCCTCTCTACAATATCAACATAAAGTCCCTATACATCCAGCACATCTACCTCTCTAGACAAATATCTCTCGTTACCTCCTGCATACCAAAGAGTCAAAAAAGACATCCAAGGTATAATGCAGATAGCATAAGAAAAAAAAAAAAAAAAGACCCGATAAGTCAACTCCCGAAGGAGCCGACCTATGCCAGAATTGGACTGGTGAGCTTTGAAAGACGTATGCCAGTCACCTGCTATGGATTAGTTGAACTTGAGCACTGCGTTAGCTATCCGACTGGGCTAACAACGTCTTTCGAGGTCTTGTAACAAAACGCTGATGATTGCGATATATAACTGACTCACCCACTTTGCTGAGCATGCGTGAAAATCCAAGCATTCACTTAAGCGTTCATATTCCACTTCACATTCTCAAAGCCTTTCCTCCTCACCATCTTTACCTTCACGTCCTGCAACGGCTTCGGTACCACCAGCGGGATCCTCTTGTCATTCCTCGGCGGTTCCCACTTCGTATCCTCCACCGGCTCCAAATCAAACCCAAGCACTATTATCGCCGCCAAACCCGTGACCTCAATCTGCGCAAAGTGCCGACCAGGACACAAACTCGAGCCGCCACCGAAGCTTCGAAACGCTGCTGGGTGGACGGTGTTGGCTTTGGAGTCGCTGATGCTGCCGTCAGGATTTGTCTTACTGCCAAAGGAGCTGTGAATAAAGCGTCGGGGATTGAACTTGTCAGCGTCAGGCCCCCAAATTGCAGGATCTGAGTTCATTACGCTACCGATAATCTGGACTACGTTGCCCTTCTTGAGGAGATATGTGTCTGCTATGATAGTGTCCTCGAGGACGTAGCGGACCGAGGTCATGGGCGCGCCGAGACGCAATGTTTCGCGGAAGACGGAGTTGAGCAATGGACACGATTCTTTGATCTTGGAGGCTGATATTGTTCCCGGAGCTTCGAACGCGTTGGCATAGAGCTCTTCGCGAATCTGTGAGAGGAGTTCGGGCCGGCTGTAGATGTGGTTGAGGATCCAGAATGTTGTGACGCTGGCGTTGCTGTTGAAGCCCATACAGAGGCCCATTTCAAGACGAGCATGGTCCTCGAGCGAGATACCCTCTCTGATGTGACACTGGTGCCTCTCCTCGAGGAACGGTTGTGCCTGGCTGTACCTTCCTTTTTCCGTGTACTCCATAAAACCTTGAACGCATGCTTGCATCGCATTGTAGGCTTTCCGGGCAGTGATTTGAGCAAACGGAGAGACGGCATAGCCAATGTTTCCATTGTCCCAGTCCCAGAATTTCTCGATCAATCCCGGATTTACAGCAAATGGGTTCTGAGGTCCAAACATGGTGTTCATTGTGGCAGCCACGAGTTCCTTTGTGACCAGCTTGAACAATCCCAATTCTTCGCCATCTCGGATATCATTGATGTAGTCGGAGAAATGGTCGAGCTGGAGCTGCGACATATCCCCAACCCTGTTTGGCCCAAGCGGTGGGTTTATGATGCCATGAATATAGCTCACCATTCGCTTCCTCCCTTCGTCCTTTGCCGTTTGATCTTCTAGAATTTTCGCAGTGCGTGCACTTAATTTGACGAGACGGGGAGTGGATTGTACGATTATTTCATCGAAATCGAGCGTGGAAGATGCGCGTTGTACAGCTGCGGTGAGTGCAGGGTCGACGACCATGTATGTCTTGCCATTGAGCATAGGGAGTGTGAAGATGGGAAGTTTACATTGCCGGCTATGCGCGACTGTCAGCATTTTGAAGGCCTGGGCCAAGCTCTACTTACCTGACTCTCTTGTAGTACTGCGGACCTTCTCGAAGCATGCCGATGATATGTCCCAAGAAAGGCAACTTGGGATGGACAATGGGTGGCTCCCTTGGATCCAACTTTGGTCGTAGCAAATTCGTCAAGAATACTCCAACCGCTACCACAAGGCCCAAAAACCCCATGGCCGTCACCGAGATGGCCATATTGGTTGATGTTCGCTCGAAAGTGTGAAGCGCGATGATTAGGTGGAAGGGATGTTGACTGTGTATAGTTGTGTCTGAACTCCCCTTCGAGGGGAATCAGAAGTGATTCATTATGCTAAGCTCGGCAGATCCATGTCGCAACATCAGCCTTTAGGGCGAGTCTCGTTGGCGTCGGGGGCTAGTTCGGTCGACACGCTATTCGGGCCACCATCCTTGGCTTCCTCGGTGCTGTAATAAGGTTTAGATAGAGTCAGCATCAAACGACCGTCACCAATTCGTCAAAATGAAATCGGTTGACGTTCGAAACATCCGTTTCTGGTGTCGGATGAAGCGCATCTCATAGAAGATGAAAGTAAGAACTCTAAGGTAGGGTGTCCTTCAAGGTATCGTTGCTGTATCATCACAGCCGCGGTACGTTAAGTGCTTTCAGAGTGTCAAGAAGCTAATATTCTTGATAACATGGCCTATAAGCCGATGCTGTTGGTGAGCGTGTTGTTATAGAGAGCACACCAAGGCCCAAGGGCAATATGGTGCTGAGCGTTGACGTAGTCAGGGGCTTGTTGGTTTGACGATGAAAAGGCTTGGCAAACCCAAGAGAGGCCTTATGGAGTGGAGTTCAGCGTACACAGATGCGCCATTTACACGAAGTAGCTATGTCGGTGTCTTCTTGCTTGATGATAAGCGGCTACCTGTGCGTAGAACAGTACATCGCAAGGTGGTGCTCTACCGGTGCGTACGACGGGCCGAAAAGAGGCCGGCCGAAGTAGCTGCTCAAAAAGCAGAAGTCACCAGTGACAAGCGGTCTTATTCCTATTCTTCCCATTCAAAACGAAGGTGATATCTCGTCATACTCCATATGCTCGAACAGTGGGGACTCAATAATAACTTCGGTAATGCTCTGAACACCTGTGCTTTTACGAGGCAGCATTCAAATAGCCATTTCCAAGTCTTCCTACATACCTCAAGACATTTTTCCCTTATAGGCGTACAGTACAGCAGTAGATCGATTCACTAGTTACCGACATTTGTTGCTGAGTAATAAGGTGTAGACGTGAGGGGTCCGCACTCAACGCGTCAGAACGCGTGAAGCGAAGCACGGGCCAGAGAGCCTCGTCGCATTGGCCGGATCTCTTCGGGTACCTGGATACCATCATATCCACTGTGACATCGTTGACAGCTGACTTGTGGTTATAAGTCATCAATGTTGTTGTCGTTGTGAAGTTCTGTTTGCTTTTCAACCTGCTCCGCGCGCCTGCCTTCTTCGCTATGCGTTCTTTCGCTCTTCCGCTCTCTGCGCTGGTCTCGGGTACATTTGCGACCTACTCGGATGCACTGCAGAACATTCTCATGAACACGGATAAGACGGACAAATATCACTATCCTACCGACTTCACGCGCGAAATCCTTCCAAAGCCGTTTCACAGCCACAATGATTACTGGCGCGATGTGCCGTTCTACACTGGCTTGTCTTATGGGGCCATCTCAACTGAAGCAGATGTTTGGCTGATCAATGAAACGATATATGTAGGTAGACTGGGAAATAATCGAACTTTTCTTTGCTTCAATAACTCTCCTTTATTCTGAGGTTTCAACGATGTGTGTTTGGCCATTTCAAACAAAGATCACGTGATCCTATATAGATCGCAGGCCCGGGGAGACAAATTTCTAGGACAGTAATGTGACGTATCACAAACGTTCGCCATCAAGAGAGACAAGAAAAGATTTGTAGTCGGACAGCAGTCTCCCCAAACTTTGTTGTATCAAACGCATATGCTAGGCCTCAACCCCTATCAAAAACTGCACAGACGAATCGACTTCAAAAACTAACAGATGAACCAGGTCGGCCACGAACCCTCTGCCCTAACCACCTCCCGTACCCTCTCATCTCTCTACATCGAGCCCCTCCTCTCCACGCTCGCCCGGCTCAACCCCTCCACGCCCTTCACCCAAGAAGGCGAGCAAAACGGCGTCTTCGATACCTCCTCCGCGCAAACCCTCTACTTCTTCATCGACCTCAAAACTGGGTCGTCAGAGACCTGGCCTGCCGTGCTCGCCGCGCTCGAGCCCCTGCGCCGGGGAAACTGGCTCACGACGTACGATGGAACAGAGCTGTTTAAGCGGCCGGTGACGGTGGTAGGCACGGGAAATACGCAATATCACGATGTGCTTGCATACTTACCGCGCGATGTATTCTTCGACGCGCCCCTATCTTCTCTTTCTTCAGATGAATTCAAGAACATCACTGCCAACGAAGCGCCCATTGCAAGCACGAATTTCGCCGCGAGTTTTGGAGACGTCAGGAGGAGGGAGATGAACGACACGCAGCTAGAGTTGCTGCGTGAGCAGGTTGGGGCGGCGCATGAGAGGGGCGTTATGGCGAGGTATTGGAATCAGCCGGCGTGGCCGGTGGGGACGCGGAATGCGATTTGGAGGACGTTGTGGGATGAAGGGGTGGATTTGTTGAATGTGGATGATTTGAAAGGGTGTAGTGAGTTTTGGGAGGGGGGTGGGTAGAGCACATTTCAAAGGGTACATGTTCAGTAGGTGATGTGTGGGAAGGAGAAGGATCTGCGAGTCTAGATAAGCAGATTTTCAAAAATTCCGATAGTAATCATGGTGAGAAACTTTCTACATTTCCATCTTGAGAACATCTTCAATTTTTTTTTCCCACTCCAACATGAATCATGCACATACCACCTCACCACACCAAACCCCTATAACCTGTCTAATCCCCGTGACAATCACACACTACACCACCCCTCCCCCGTTCACTCCCACAAGCAAGTTTTCCCCCTGCCTCGCCGATTCGGTCCTACACCCTCACATGACCCCAGGACCCTGACCTTGACCCTGACCCTGACCATGAGCCCGACCCCAGCGTGTAGTAAATGCACTAGCAAGCGGGCCCAACGGGCGTCACTGAACAGGACCCTTGGATAGAATAATTGCGCCATGAAGGACCTTTTCTCCCCCAGTAAGTTCAGGCACGATGAATCTGCAATGAGTCGCGACGTGTGTAGATTGTCAAGGATGCGACATTTCTCCGCGCACGCGGTAACAGTAGATACACGACGCTGGATGTGGAGAGATTTGGGTATGCCCGATGTTATTCCGCTCGGGCTCGGTTGGGTGGAGCATTTAACTGGACTCCTTCTGCGTGATTTGATGTAGGGCCGATTGTGCGCTGGAGAGGAGAGACGGGGCTGCCGGGTACCGACAGATGAACTGGCTGGTTTTATTGAATGATCAGGGAATTGCTGGTGGGATTGTTAACAATCCCCAAGATGAATAAACAAACAAACAAACAATGACACGTCATTTGAATATGGTGAACTGGCTAGTTTTATTGAATTATCAGTTGTTCATGTTAGGGATCATGGACAATGACACGTCAGTTGAGTGTATTGTTGGGTGCTAGGGAAGTTCCCATGAAATCACAAATGCAAGTCACGTTGCGGGCTGAAGATGAAGTGTGCAAATGCACCCATGAGAGGGTGTAGAAATTTATTGATGTGATGAGACTGCGTTGACCCGCAGACAATGTGAACGCCAAACTAGCCCATCCGTGGTGGTGAATAATTGATCCCAAACGCCGCCCTTATGCTCTGTAGGGATGATGAAAAAAAATAATGTTGAAAGTCGATTCCGGATCGAATCGCATGTCGCTGAACGCTAAAACGTCGCAGACGGTTGAAGGGTAATGTCGAAGGTATTGATGTTTGATGGTAGATGGCAATCGACAATATTATGACTCTTGTGATGAGACAGACTCGAGCGACCGCGACTCAGCATTGGATGAAGAGCCGCTTCGTCGGCGGGCAGAGTCGGTGGCGGTGCTAAGCTGGCGCTTGGTGTGCTCGTGCATGATCCTCTGGTACGCAGACATGGCAGCGTCGGGGTTGTCGAGGTCGAAGTTGTTGGCAAAGTTGTGCTGAGCGCTCATGGGCTCTGAGAAGCCGTCCGAGACGTAGACTTGCTGGCGGTTCTGGGTCATGGCGGACATGTTGAGAGTTGGTTTGGAGTTCAAAAAGTGAGAAGTGCTTTGGAGTGTTTTGTATTGGATGAAGCGGTGGTATGTCGGCTGATAATCGTGGGATTGCTTGATGGAGAAATCAAAAGGGAGCAGAGAGAATCTAAATACCATTTGCGTCTCACACCCACAGACGCGCAGCAGCCAACATGGCCGTAGGCGGCAAGGGATCACCGTTGCTGTCGGCGCACTAGGGACCCACTCAGCATGGAGGCTTGCAGTCACAGATCTGCAGGGTCCTGCCCCATGCTCGATAGCGCCCACGGCATCTGTCTAGGGGTCCAGCTAAGGCCAATGACGTGCGCTCGATCATGAAACCCTGGCTCGCCCGTCGTCTGGTACCTCGAAATCGAGCTCTGAGTGATGATCTCATGTCGGTTCCTGGCAAGCGCGGCATCCTGGTGGTTCCAGGGTCCAGAATGCACTACCTCTCCTACGCAACCAGTGACGGCGCGTTCAGATGCCGCCGCAGCCCATGACTGGTGTCGCGACTGTGCATGTGGCAGCATTCGCCTCTGGCCCCTCTCGTAGTGTATTCTGCAAAGAGGGCAGAAGCAGGTCAGTTGCGCCGAGATTGCTGAATCTACGACTCGGGCCTCCTCAAGATTGAAGAATTCCATTATCGTCTGTGCTGCAACTCCTGACTTGTGGACCGTGGCAGCGCGGAGGCCAAATGACGTGCATGACGACGAGGGCGACGGTCCAGAACGATGATGCCTAACGCAGGGCGGACGTCAGAGCTGAAGCAATTCCGCCTTGAGCATGAGGGCATTCGCACAATCCGGCCTCTCACAACCCAGTGCCCATCGTTTTCAGTAGACGAGGGATCCAAAAGAGTGGAACATGCCCTCCTCAATCGTGCATGGGAAATTCCCTTGGCTGCCGTGCGCCTGCCGACGTCATTTCCTCCGACGTGGAAGGTATCGACAGTCGTCCTTCCCTCTTTAGGTATAGCCGCCCGTTCTGCGAAAGCGGTGCCCCACTGCCAGCCGCGTTTGGAGACATGTTTGTCTGCCACAACGTCAGAAGTGACGATGTTGCCAATACCAGTGCCACTCAGCCTCATCATCCTACATGCGCCTGTCTGCAGGGTCGCACACGTTCGTTTGAGGGAGCTGAACGACGCAGGTACCCTAAAAGAACCGTCGCACCATGTCATAGCGCACCGCTTTCTTTGCCTGGGCCGTTGAAAGCAGCGTCATCTCATCGCAAGCGACGGCCCCAGGACTGGCACCCAGCATCGCGAGGAAGAGGAGACACGGCCGTAAGGCTTCTTTGCTCGCCCCAGGCGCTGTGTTAGGGCTGAATGTGAAGTCGCTGGCGACTGTGCTGCACAACGCTACCCAGGTAAAGCGATTCCACGGTGCAAAAATCAACTGCAAAAGGAAGGTAATGTGGCGCCTTCCTTGTCAACCCTGCGCTGTAACAAAGTCCATTCTTTTCCATGGACCATGACGGTCGCTCTGAGGTCACACCCGCACTGTCGTCCCCACAATCGCATCTACAACAACCGGTGATGCAATTCTCCAGTTCGCCATGTTTTTTCCCGATTCCTCATTGCGCAAAGGCCAGACCCGCATGCTCTCCACTCCATGTCCGTTACCCGTGCTCATCCTTCGCTCTTCGCCCAGCTTTCCTTTATGGTTGCAGTTTTGCAGATCATGACCTCGCAATGTCGCCACGCCCCCTACTTGACAACCGCGGATGCATTTCAATTTCCCCGCCCCTCGATGCCTATCACGTCTATCAGGGTCTTCGAGTTCAGCCTGTGAGCTGTGCAGATGTCGCTCCTTGCTGTTGAGGGCTGATCAGCGGTGAGCGACGCTGGCGAGACATGGCCTCTAGAGTTCGAGGCGAGTTGATCCCTTCGAGACGCCCTCAACCGCACGCGAGCACGGAATTGACCCCATGTGCGGATAGCGAGATGCTCAATACAGGGTTGGTTTTCGGGCACACATCTCGCATACCGTTTGACGCCGACACTGGGCTGCTCCATCTCGGTGATTTACTCCGGATACATTGTCTGCACTGCAACATACTCGAGCCAGGACATGAAGCCTCGGGTCCTTGTGGTGCTAGATCAAGGTATTGAAGCGATCGCCTTCCACTATCGTTCCGCGGCTCCCACCCTTGCGTTGCCAATACAGTTCATCGTCACCTCACGTCTTGCGAAACATGTCAGACTTGGTCACATCGCACTGCAGTAGAGTGATCTGACCACCACCAACTATCGCTCACCACTAAATGATGTCAACGCTCGTCAAGCCCCATATTTGGACCCTGAGACGCTACGTAACGTGGCTTTTCGCGGGCCCCAGAAGCTGGCATGCAAGCCTGCAAACGGGCGCTTCCTCTCGCTCGGACCCGCCTCGTCACTGGAATGGAACCCATGGGTCTTTGCGACTACCACCAGTCGCCTTCTACCAAAATATTTACAGACCGCTTGCAGCACGCGACCGTACGAGCCCCTTCTACCAGTCCATAGAAAATTACTGGTACAGCTCTTGTAGCAGCAGTTTCATTCCTCTGCAGTAGCGCGAGGGCGAAAGGTCGTATCTGCAGCAACTATCAGCCTACTGTACATTCACGTCATACCCCCCACACAGAACATGGAAAACAAACAACATCACGGCGAGCGAGGTCAACAAATGTTGCTTCTGGTCCGCGTTACCGGTACAGAACCGCTCCCCTTACCGCCATCATCTGGATGTCATCCAGAGTTGAGATTCCCAACGGCTCTCCTCACTTCCTGACCTGCAGTGTTGAGGGTTTCGATGCCGTCATGCACACACTGCTATGTGTGTTGTATCCATGTACGTCTTGCTAATATCAGCGCAGAAGACGTTGCGGACGCATTCATGTCTTACATACAGATGTGACGTAGCGCGCCATTCCCACTCTCTGACCCCTTACCGCCGGTTTAGTGCGCAGATATGTTGACGACGTCAACCTGAACTCGATGGTACATGTCGCAACGTCGACCAACTGTAGAGATGAGTGCATTCACCTTTTAATCATTCTTCCCCTAGTCTGGAGAGAGACCTATGTCCTCGATACGGATTGGTAAGTGCTGAAGTCAAGGGCTTTGCCGCCACAACGAAATTGCTGTTACTGTTTCGTAATGAGACAAACGTCTTTCCATTCAGAACAACACACTGCACGTTGTCGAAGTGATCAGGGCGCCACAGATAGCATTTGCGAGACCTTGCCGTCGCGATCGAAGCCTGGTGACATGGTGCATGGCTTCAAGATATCGAATGCCCCTGATTTACTCTCCGTCGCCGCAGATAGCATGCAGTAATGTATTTTGTCATCGCGGCACGAACAGTATCTGCTTCTCACAAAGGTTCTAACGCTGCTGTGATTTGGTAATGCCTATACGGGACTTGAGATTGACGGAGAATCGAGTATTGGTGTTGAGATCTTGTTGTTTACAATTACATGAGATGCCCGTTAGTGGAGTTTGACTATCACAGGGGGACATGCACGCCGTGCCAACAAAACTGCAGAAAGTGGATTTATCCCATAGTTGAATGTACCTCGCTATCGTCTACGCCATGAAAATGCCACCACTCCTACCTCATTCATCCCTGACAACACAGCTACACACTCTTCCTCGGCTGCTCCTCACCCGCCATCAACCTGTACCCCTCACTCCCCTTCTCCGTCTCCAAATCCTCCTTCTTGACCTTCTTCATCTTCGCGCCAATCTCCGGGAACTCAAATGTTGCACTCCTGCCCCCCTTGAACCCCTCCCATGCCCCAAACTTCTGCCAATTAGTCCACGTCAACGCACCAACCCACGGCTGCACATTCCACCCCAACTCGAGATACACATCCGTGCGGTTCTGCAGCTTGCCCGTGATGTCTGTGATCTGGTATTTCGGGCGCTGGTTATGCAGATGGAGCTCCCCCCTGGGGAAGAGCAAGTCCTTCTCGTCCTTGACGCCCTTGGCTTTGGCGGCAGCCTGGGCTTTCTTCGACTTCTTGGGCAGCACGGATTTCTTGCCAGTTTTAGTTTTGGTGTCGGGGTGGACAAAGTGCAGTTGGTTCCAGGGCGCGGTGGAGGAGGCGAGGATGGCGTCCCAGATGATGGCTTCGGAGGGGGGTTCGGAGGCGCGGGGAGAGGGGTAGATTGCTTTGAGGTAGAGGAAGACTTGTTTCGTGTTCCAGTTGAAGAGAGTGCTTAGATCTATTGGCGTGTCAATATCAAAATAAACACTGCTTGCGCCCAATGAATGGGAAACGTACCAGCATCCAGATCGAAGCGCACATTCGCATATTCCTCTTTCTTGTAGCTGTAGTAGTGTGGCCGCCCTTTGACGACTTGCACGTTGCGCAGGCTTATGCTGGCGCGTGGGGTTTGTGGGGATATGAAGCTGCTGAGCGCAATTACGGCGGCTACTGTGAAGGCGACGGTGGTGAAGAAGCCGAAGACATTCTGCAGTCGCACGAGTGCGGAGTGCATGTTGTGTGGGTTGTGCGCCTTCTACCCCGCGAAGAGGAGTGTGTGGACGCGGATTGGGGGAGCAGAGGCAACGGCGTAGGGTTGAATGGTGGGAATGGGGAGCTGTTAGTTCTGTGGTTCTAACACGTATCTGGAGCGCGGAAGTCGGGGCTCAGCCCTATGGGAACCACGCTAAGCATGTGCTCGGCTAACCAGGGTTCACAGCTCAATCCACCAGGTTACAGCAAGTTGACATATCAATGCAGAAGTAAAGTTTGTTTGATGTTCATCATTTGTAGTTAATATCTTCCTCTTCTCTGCAAGTAATCTATCAAGAGACCACTAAGCAACCATAATATCTTTCTCACTCAGCAACCGCCATCTACTGCGCGGCTGGCGGCGGCGCACCACCTCTAGGTCCACGGCCACGGAAGCCTCCACGTCCCCGGCCTCGGCCTCTGCCTCCCCGTGCATCTAGGTTAGCTGGCGGAGGCACGTTCGAGTAGTTCTGCGGGCGAAAGTTGGGGTTGTTCGGAACGACGCCCTCAGAAGGATCGCTCATGTCGGTGACAGTGAAGCCACCGCGGTTACCTTTGGGGCCGCCACGGCCACGAGGAACAAAGTCCTGAGCTCCGCCACGGCCGCGCATGTGGTTCCCGTTGGGATTCTGGTTCTGGTTTTGAAACTGGTTTCCGTTTGCTTGTCCGCGTGCAGCAAAGCCACCGCGACCGCCACGTGGTGGTCCGCCGTGGATGGGCAGGGTCTGTTCGGCGCCTTGTTGCGGTGCACCATTCTGTCGCGGCGCAGCACCACCGCCGCGCCCTCCGCGGGACACTCCATTGCCATTGGCACCACCAAAGGCACCTCGGTATGAGCCACGTAGAGGTGGTGGAGCGCCAGCAGGTTGAAGTTGTGGTCCACCGGGAGCACCAAATTTGGGCATGTTGTACGACGAAGGAGCCTGCTGCGGACGCTTGGCAGTTCCAGCTGATGAGTATGACACGACCTGACGATCAGTCATGTTCAGAACAGCGGTGGAAGGAACGGTAGAGCCTCTAAAAGGTGAGCATCGGTCGCCAAGTGAAGTGCCGCTCATGAAGGTTGCGTCGAAAACAACATCGAGTAGCATGACACGGGCGGTCCTCGTCTTTCCAATCACTGTGCCGGCAGATCCAATGGGAACTCTTCCAGAATCCTGAACATAGACAATGCGATCACCAATCGTGAACTCTTGGTCATGGAGGCGTTGCTCCGCATCGGAAGGCTTCAACAAGGCGTTGCGCGGAACTTTGCCAATCTTCTTCGGCTCGACATCCTGTGTGATAGGCAAGTTGGCATCGGCAGCCTGCTCGATCAGCTTGACAGTATCTGAGTCGAGCTGCTCCGCATCCAGGGGAACTTTTTCGAAACTCTTCGTCTGGACCTCCTTCAACCACGCAACAATCTCCTTGATCTTCTGCTTGGCGACTTCGGGGGCGTAGAAGTCCGTGTCCTGCCAGCCGTCACCGGTGGGATTGTTGATGATAGCAGCAACAAAGTCAGGAAATTTGATCATGTACTGAGCAAGCAGGTCAATAGCCTTCTGGCTGTACTCCCAGCCGTTCGCGGACTTCCTGGAATAGCCCAAGACCTTGAGCTTCTTCGCCTCGAACTTCAAGTTCAAACCAATGTTCAGCTTGAGACCGCTTGAGTTGACATTGAATGCGGAAGTCAACTTGGACAATGCTAGTGGAGGCATGTTCAATGAACGTGCGACAACATACGAGGGCAAGTATGGCGTCGTCTGTTCCGCCCTTCTGACAATAGCACGTCCAAAATCCGGCTCCTGCTTCTTCAGCTTCGCAACCATGATAGTGGCCTTATTCTCAGCGTGGCCAACAACTTGCAGAGGTCGGCCATACGCGTAGTCACCAAGGTAAAATGCTCGCGCACCCTCTGGGAATTCTTCTTCGATGGGCAATGCCTCCTTCTCTAGGAAACGAGTGTCCTCGCTGATGACCTGGTCGACAATGGTCTGAGTGGCGTACTCCACGCCCGCACCCTGGACCTCGCCATACTCCTTGATAGTTGCACCTTCATCGGTCTTTCGGAGACCCTTGAGCATTTCTACATACACAAGGGATTCAATTTCACCGATCATAATGCCCAGGCGCTTGCTGTAGAACTTTTCGATGCGGTCGGCCGTCTTCTTCCAATCGGAAATCTGTCGTGAGTCGTGCGGGATTGCAACTGGGACTGATGGCCCTGACTCCGGCAACACATAGTCAAAGAGCTCGTCAGCCACTTTGACTACTTTCGCCTCATGCAAAAAGGGGTATCCCACATGGACCGCCTTGCCGAGCTTCTCTTTCGCGTGGCTCACTGGCTGTCGTGGCGCGGTATCCAGGAGGGTGATCGTCATGCTCTCGTTGCGACTGTCTTGCTGAAAGATGTTGACACTGGCGAACTCAAGCTTGCCATGGAACGGCAAGACCTTGAGACTTGGGAAACCAGCCAACGCAGCTGATCCTGTCTTGACACCGTCCATGAGACCAATGTAGTACTCAAGACCTTCCATAGTCGGCAATTCGTAAATGTTCTCGATACACTTGCAGTGTGGTAGATCAGGAAACACTCCAGGTAGAGACGATGGGTAGATAAAGTCCAAATCCCTCGAATACGTGAACTTGAGCGAGACCCCAAAGGAGTTGCGAGACTTCTCATCTGCAGTGAGATCATCCTCTTTGGTGGCCATTGCCTTCAACAGGCGGTCCTCTTCAATGAATGGAATTTTGACCACTGCCTCCCAGTCCTGCTTCTTGCCATTCATGTCGAGGGTAAAGTCTCGTGGGTAGAAGTCGATAATCGGTGAGTCTTCGCTTGTCATGAGAGGATGGTATGCCTTTGGTACGATCGATTTACTTCGATCTGGCAAAACGCCCATCAACTGCTGGAAAGGCTTGAAGGGTTGGCCAAGTTTAAAGTCGATGTTCGCTTTGATTCCCCTCTTCACGTCAGAGATCATGGGCGAGTAGTGGTAACCGTAGTACCATGGCCAGGATGCTACACCACGGTAATAGTAGTATAGTACCCACTGCAGACCTTGCACGTAGTTCTCAGTGAGCTTGCGCAACTCCTCCTCATTGCTGCGGTCCCATTCGAACTTGCTCTTGTAGTAGTCGTTCTTCCAGGCATCGAACTTCTCGTCATACTTCTTCTGCATCTCGTTCTGGGCATCTTCGGCTGAAATGTCAACAATCTTGGCGGCCTCGTACTTCTGAATGACCCGCGTGATGGCCTTGGTTGATTCGTCGTCCATGTTGTCGTCTTCGTCATCTTCATCGTCCTCAACCAGCTTAGGAGGCGCTGACACCTGAATGTGACGGTCGCCGTCGTCATTTTGAACAGTCTTCCACACCAAGTGCAACTTGTCTGCCAACTCCTGAACGAACTTGCGATCTTCTGCGTTTAGTTCCACTGGTAGATCCAGCGGGGCCGGCTCCTTCTTCTCCAAATAATGTCCTAACCAGCTCTTGATCTTGGAGAAGAGCTGCTTCTGTTGCGTCGACATGATAACTGTACCACGCCGTGCAGTCTTCTGCATGACATCCTCCTTCTCTAAACGCTTCCCCTTGAACCATGCGGCATCTGCGTTTTCTGATTCGAAGTGTCGGTATTCAATCTGCGACAATTCGTCGAGCAGAAGAACAAGACGTTCCATGTTTATGACACCCTCCTCATTAATGTACCCTTTACCCTTGGGTAGCACCGTCTTGTAGACGTTGAACATGAGAGCTAAAGCACCCTCGTTGATGTGCAAGTGCGGAAGATTGGGAAGGAAATCGTTACCAACAAAGAAAGCCATAAGGATGAAATCGTCAATGACTCGCTCCATATCAAATGGAAAGCCGAGAGCACCAGGCTCTGCTAATTCCTGGAATTCCAGCTCCAGATATTCTCGAACAATGCAAAGGTGCATGAGGTAAAAGTTCTGGTGTTCCAACTCCTTGGACTTGGTCTGGCTCTGGCGACCAAAAGTCACCTCCTCACGCAACAAGCAGAAATGAGGGTCGTGGCTAAGCAGACCCAACATGATCAGATCTGCGTCGAGGCCGTACAAGCAGTGGCGGCGGTTTGGGTCGTAACCCGGTTGTGCCTTTGCCTGGCGGATATACTCCATGACTTTGTGTTCTCCTTCTCCGGGTACCTCGTGACCAGACAGAACGACTTCCACGCCCTGCCAATCCATGTCCTCGGAGACCTTCTTGTTTATGAAGTACTTCAGTTGCTGCGTGAGCTTCGCCATGAACGCGGTACCGGGAGTAATGCAATTGCTATCAAATGCTTCCTCCTTGGGCATCTCGACGCCCTCACGGATGGCCTTGTCACGGGCCTTCTCCGCATCGAGAGCGGTCCTGAAACGACGCGCACGCTGCTGGTTCATCTTGGCGCGCGGGGCGACACCATCGATGGCCATGAAGAAGAGCTGCTTGGGCTTGATCTTGCCAAACAAATGCTCGATGTAGTTAAAGATGTCGAGGAACATCTGGTCCTCGGATTTACGGGCAGTCGCGCCATCGGAGTCGTTGTGCGTGCAGTTGTGAATGATACCGTTCATGTCAAGCTATGAATCATTGTTAGCCACATACTGAGAAATGCGTCAGGCTACGTACATAGAGACAGTCGAACTCGGGAATGCGATTCTCCGCAATAAGCTGAGAGATGCCCGGATAGCGCTCGGACATCCATCGAAAGAACTTTGGGACACCCATGGTTGCTGCGGGTATCTAGGAATAGCTTCGTTGAAGATGAGGCAATGCTGCGACCGCAAGAAGTCCAAGTAGCGGGTTGCTGTCGCAAAAGCGAACGTATGATAGAGAATGAGGGAAGAGGAGGAGCGCACGAAGCGCGCGGAGGGAGAGAGGCGGTAGAAAGTTGGGGGGCGGTTCTCGACGCTGTGGTCTTCAAAGAGCGGAAGGGTAGTTGCAGACGCAATTGATATATCGCGGCGACATGCCAAGCGACCTGGAGTGGGTCCGCTTAGCGGTAGCTCTGATCCTAGGCGATCCCGACGCGATCTTTTGGCGGAGCGCGTCGTGCGGGCAGCTTTCACTCCGCAACCACCATTTCCTGGACAGCCTCACACACTTACTTGACCGACCTCTTCACACGTGGCACTGCTTGTCAAAATGGACGAGACCATGAGTGGTAAGTGCAAACCGACCATCATATTATCACAACACCGTCACAAGCAACATCCATGTAGCTTGATTGTAGCAAGCAAACCAGCCATGTTGGTCTCAATCGGGTCGCAACATTGCATGTATAATTATGCTGGATGAAATTGACTCTGCAAATCACATGTCCGTCGGATACTAATATATGCGCGCAGATGCAATCGACGCCCGCGAGATGGACGACCAGGAGCAGGTCGAGCACAAGATCATCAACGAGGAGTACAAGATATGGAAGAAAAACTCCGTATTTCTCTATGACATGCTCTACGGACGCGCGCTGGAGTGGCCGACCCTCACTACGCAATGGCTGCCAGACAAGAAGCCGTATGTTTGCATGCGATACAGTCCTGCCATGCGCTGACAATTCGCAGAGTCGAAGGCACCAACATGAGCCAGCACCGCGTCATTCTCGGAACGCATACGTCGAACCAAGCGCAAAACTACCTCCAAATCGCTCACTGCGAAATACCCGACTTCCGTGTCCCAGACCTCTCTGAACTGAACGAGGAGCGCGGTGAGATTGGCGGACATGGCAACGCAAAGCGACCATTCGAATTCAAGATTGTGCAGAAAATCAACCACCCAGGCGAGGTCAACAAGGCGCGCTACCAGCCACAGAATCCTGACATAATAGCATCACTATGCGTAGACGGCAAGGTGCTGATCTTCGACCGGACCAAGCACCCGCTTCAGCCCAAAGGTGATGCCATTCAGTTTGAGGCTGAGCTTGTAGGACACACAACAGAGGGTTTTGGGCTGAGCTGGAGTCCACTCAACGAAGGCCACCTCGTAACGGGTAATGAAGACACAACTGTTAAGACATGGGACATCAGATCTGGATTCTCCAAGACCAACAAGACTGTCAGTCCGACTGCAACATACGAGGTCCACAGCGCGACGGTGAACGACGTTCAGTACCACCCAATCCACAACTTTCTCATCGGAACCGCATCCGACGATCTCACATGGCAGATCATCGACACCCGCATGGAGTCGCACAAAAAGGCGCTCTACAGGAAGGAAGCACACGAAGATGCTGTGAACTGCATCGCTTTCCACCCCGAGTTTGAGATGACCATGGCTTCAGGCTCCGCAGACAAGACCGTCGGTCTTTGGGACTTGCGAAACTTCGAGAAGAAGCTGCACAGCCTGTCAAGCCATCGCGGAGATGTCATCGGTCTGCAATGGCATCCTCAGGATGCGGCTATCCTTGCCAGTTCCAGCTACGACCGCCGTATCTGCATGTGGGATCTCAGCAAGATCGGCGACGAGCAGACCGAGGAGGAGGCTGAAGATGGGCCACCAGAACTGTAAGCACAGCTATGATCTTTCACATTGTATACCACTAACATACATTTAGGCTGTTTATGCACGGCGGCTTCACGAACCGCATCTGCGACTTCGACTGGAACAAAAACGACCCGTGGGTCATGATGGGTGCCGCGGAAGACAACCAGCTGCAGATTTTCCGTCCCAGTCGCAAGCTTGTCGAGCCACTGAACAAGACAGTCAACCACGGCGAGGTTTCAGATTGAACGCCTGAAATTTACTATGGAGTTGGCTGACGTGGTGTCCACAGCGTGGGTCTTCGTTTTCTGACGATGACATTGATCTTGATTGGAAGGATGAGAGTAGTCAACAGTCCTCGTCGTTTTCATCCCCTAGCAGTTCTGCGTTGTATGAGAGCTCATCTGCGTCTTCAAAGCCAACAATGAACCAGCCAACAGTACGTGCGAATCAGTTAAAAGATCTTTTAGATGAAGTGTTTGCGTTTGAGAAGACAGATCGCCGAAAGAAAAGGCGTTAGGCGTTGTTACGGTAGATATCCTCCTTGGCCAGATGGCGGCTCTCTCTAGCTTTCAATTGCGTATAAAGGCAAACTATCCTTTACACCTTTCGAATGCATGCTGCATATTAGTGTAGTGACATCCTAATGTATTGTTCAAGACGATGTATGATTGCTCGAGTCAGGCACTATGTACCCCTGCACCGGCCCAAGCTCAACGTCCGAGGTACTCGATAAGCTCCAGAGCTCCCCGCAAACGTCATCTCATCTCCACGATGTGCGAGCAAACAAATCGACACCGACTCTGAACCAGGGGCCAAAAAAACCCCGCAGTCTCTTTGCGAATGCACTAAAACATAGAACCATATACCTGACCAAAATCCCCATCCACCCAAAATGCTCCTCCTCGGCCTCACAGGCTCCATCGCAACCGGCAAATCCACCGTATCCTCCCTCCTCTCCAAACCGCCCTATTCCCTCCCCATCATCGACGCCGACCTAATCGCGCGCCAAGTCGTCGAGCCCGGCACCGCAGGCTACAATGCCATTGTGCAGTACTTCTCGCCCAGCACTCCCGACCTACTCCTCCCCGATGCGACTCCCAAAGGGCGGCCCTTAAACCGGCCCGCGCTGGGCCGCCGCGTCTTCGGCTCGGGCGAAGAGAAAGAGCGCGATAGGAAGAAGCTGAATAGCATCGTGCACCCCGCCGTGCGCAAGGAAATGTACAGACAAATGGTTTGGGCGTATTTAAGAGGCAACTGGGCGGTTGTGCTGGATGTCCCGCTGCTGTTTGAGAGCGGGTGGGAGCGATATTGCGGGACGATACTAGTCGTCGGCGTCACGGATCCGAGTATACAGATCGCGCGGCTGCGAGCGCGCGATGCGCATCTCACGGAGGAGGATGCGCGGAATCGCGTGATGAGTCAGGGGGATGTGAGGGAGAAGGCAGAGCGGTGTTTGAGGCGTGGGGAGGGGAGGGGTGTGGTGGTGTGGAATGATCATGATAGAGGGTATCTGGAGAAGGAGGTGCAGAGGGTCATGCAGGATGTGCGGAGCAGGAGTCCGAGGTGGTGGACGTTGGCGTGTTGGGTTGTGCCGCCGCTGGGAGCGCTGGCGGGGTTGTGGAGTTGGTATCGCATGAGGAAGGTGCAGCTACAGTGGGAAGAGGAGAAGAAGAGGGCGAAGGCGAAGCTATGAGAGTACGCTGCACGATGCGAGCTTGTGTCCGGCTACGAGGCTAAGTGATCAACTATGTTTGACATATCTCAAAGCTGTCGCAAGTGTTCGTGCTGAGTGTTTGTGTGCGCAGAGATATCCTAGCAATTGGCAGCACGGATACTGTGTCACGATGATTGCTCTCGAGTTTCCCTCAGTGTTGGATCTGTGCGTCTCGTATGATGGATACTTTATCTGCCTCTTCGCTGTAGTACTGTTCCGTGGCTCTCGCTTTCACTTCTCTCATGTCCCGCAGTTATGCCGTCATCCACCACCTATTCTTCCTCTTCTTCTTCTTTCCGCCAATCCAACCGCAAGACACGTCACCCACTCTACCCTTTCAGTTCCAAACGTTGGGTACCGAGTCATCATAACATGAGCTCCATCACGCCTGCCTCTTTCGTCGACGACGGTAGCTCTTTCGAAAAGCGCATTCTTCACCCAACACACAATCGCAAATCGCTCAACGATGCCGCCTCAGACACCACATCGGCATACTCAGGCAGCTACATCGACGATGGCGCTGACATGCTCCTTCCCTCACGACGCACACCAGGCTTCGGTCCCATCAATCCGAAATTCTACAAGCAGCGCAAACGCAAAGAGAACGAAAACGACGCATGGAACAACGACATCCAAAAAGCCGTGGGGGGCGACATCGGACGCAGCCTGGAGAAGTTACGTGGTATCGGCGGCGTAGAAGTGAAGCGTCACACCGACACACTCGACAAGCACGGCAAGAGAAGGAAGGACACCATCACCATCCCGCTGCCACGTAGATGGGGCACATTCATCATCAAAGCCGACGACGGACGCGTCATTGTCGTCGACGAAGATGGCGAATTCGATTCTGGACCACAGTTGCAGCAAGAGCCGAGGAAATGGGTCAAGGCGCCGACTACGGCATCTATTCCTCCGTCTGAGGAGAGAAGGGAGAGTAAGAAGAAGCATCTCGGGCCGATCAAGTCACTCATGCCGATCCCGGAGTCGGAGTATGAAGAGGGTTATGTCCTGGAGGGAGAGGAAGACCTCATGTCGCCTACGGGGTTCTTCGTGACTGGTGGCGCGAGCGGGTGGCTGGAGAGGAGCGTGTCGCCCGTCAAGTTTCGACAGAGTAGTCGGCGTTCGAATTCGTTGAAGCCTGCATCGCCTATACGCTCGTTGCCGGGAAGTTGGCCATCTCCACCACTATCACCTTCGAAGGGCGCCAGTGTGTCAGACATATCTAAAAGTTCGGCAGAACCGTGGGGTGGAGCGAAGTCGCGCTCATCGAAGAAATCACACAGGTGTTCTAGACATGGTGATGATAACGTGTCCACGGAGAGCTACTCAACATATAAACTGGCGACTGTGGAAGATGCAGCTGATACTTCATCTGCGAATGGATCGTTGGTGAAAGAGGGAGGGTGGAGTGGTAGTCAAAAGAGCAAGGGAGATGAGTGGGATGGAGGTCCCGATGGTAATGAGACCGGCTGGGGAGGGCACAAACAGGCAAGTGAGAATGGATGGGATGGCAGTAAGAACATCTCTAGCAGCAGCATCAAGTCCAGCCACAGGAGCTCGAGACCTGCTGATAATACCGACATATGGTCCGAACAGCCTCTACCTAGCAGCATCGCGCTTGAACAAACTCTACCCAGTGGCATCTGGCCCGAACAGCCTCTACGTAGCGGTGTCAGGCCCGAACAGCCATTACCCAGCACCCATCTTGCTCCAAGCGTTGTTCAGAACTGGATTGGCGACCACGTCAAGACCGTCAGCGAAGCCAGCACCCACAAATCTCGGTCCCACAACCACAAGCACCACAGCCGCAGCCGCTCCCGGGGCCTCAGCGAAGCAAGCTGGGACGGCTTCGAGAAGCCCAAGACCATGAGCGACGTCAGCGTCGCCGGGACAGGCAGTGAAAGGAGCTGGCCCGAGAGTAGACAGCGCAGTCGTCGAAGCAATCGGACGGATAATTGGGGAGGGAGTCAGGAGGCTAATGTGGGGGAGAGGACGGACAGTGAGAGTGGACGTGGAAGTAGGTATGAGAATGGGTTCGATGAGGATAATGGGACGTATTTGAATGGGAGTTGGAGTGGGGTTAAGGTTAGGGTGAGGAGTCGGAGGGGGAGTATGAACGCTGGCGTGTGGGGGGAATAAAGTGTCACGGGATTTGATCGCTATGATCGAAATATTCAGGAGCTTGTGGCTAATGGTGTGTTTCGAGTGTTCTTCTGTGCAAAGAGATTAGATAAAAGTAAGTTTGCACTTTAAGTCACGGGATCGGAAGAATCCAAAAGCGATTCGGAACAAAGATATTGAAATGACTTGAAAGAAAAAGATAATAACAGGCGTATTCAGGAGAATGTGGAATTGGAATTGACTATGGCGTATGCATTCCGCCATCGAATTGCTCCCGTCAGACAGCAGATCCAAACCCTCAACACCAAGCCGCAACAAGAACACGGAATCATCGGGAAAGCGTTTGCTCAAACGAACTCCGCATGCGGCAATGGTTTGCACTTTCGGCAGAACCAACGAAAATCCAGCCATCCGCTGTACACGAACAAACTCGCGTGCATATCGCCTCAACGCGAACATGCATGCAGCCTCCCTTTTGCGCACAGCGTGTCGAACCACGGCAAGCTGCGTGTAACTCGAGAGCGCAAAGCGACCACCCAACCCCTCTCCGATCAGCACGGCGTCGACGTCAATGTGATACTACCTGTCTCGCCGGAGCCTCTCACAGCCCGTCGGCGCGCCTCAGCATCTGCACGTCCTAGGATGCGCGCTGCAAACCCGCGTGAACGTGAACGTGAACGTGAACGCGGTTTTCCTTTCGCACCTCGATCGCGTTCGGTGGCGTCGCTCTCCGGCGTGCTCCTAGCCAATCTCCACGCCCGCATTGACCGGTTTCATATGCAGAAAGCAGTTTTGGGGCGTGTCATCCCTGGCGGTGGGAAAGGCGGACGCGATGTGTGCCCTTAGTACGTGAGAGACGCGCTAGACGCATGTGGGACGCGTAGAGTGTCTAATACTCTTCGTGTCCCGCTGCTGAGGTTCTGCTTCACTTTACTCTTCTTCTCGTGTGTTCTGTCTTTTGTGGTGATTGTTCTCAAATGTCTGTATGCTCATGCTTGTGTGAGCAGAGAGATTGTGTGTGTATCTGTTACTATTCGGCGACTGGGCGCGTGCCGGTTTCGAGACACGTTCTGTTCCCCGCTCTCGCGTCTACGGATTGAACACGACAACTCCACACTTCGACTTCAGCACCACCACCACACTATCTGCAACATCGACAATTGGCTTCGCTGTCGATTATCCGCACCTTTTATTTCACTGAATCCGTATTTCCGACTTCGACACTCTTTACAATGGCTTCAATTACGCGCCAGCCCTTCGGCGAGCTTGGCGACTCTCGTCTCCAGATGCTTCAGAGCGCGAAGAACAAGCAGAATGGTAATTTCTACCATAAAAATGGTTTTTGATTCAGCTCTAATCGTGTTTTCTATAGCCATCTCTGCCAACTTCGATTCGCCCATGAAGCCAACTCCAACCGCATCCACCGGCAAGCGCCAGCGTGCACCCGAGATCTTCGAAGATGTCGACTCTGAGAACATTGACCCATCCGTCTTCGCTTCACCAACCAAGAAGTCCAAGACCAGCTCCTCCCTCGACTTCGGCTTCATCAAGCCCTCCAAATTCAATCTCGTTTCATCGCCGCAGAAGAGTGCCTCGCTCAACGCCACCCCCTCAGCCATGTCCACCCGCAAGATCCTCACGCCCTCAAGCACAAAATCAACACCCATCAACAAAAGCCGCGGATCCCCCAAGAACAACCGCATCAGCGCCATCACCAAGCGCCGCGCCTCGTCCTCCCCATTCCGCCGCGTCGACCCCCCCTCCTTCAACCAAAGCAGCCCTTCGCTGCCCTTCAGCATCGATGCCGCCCTATCCGGCACCATCTCAAGCTACACTCCCAAGGCCAGCGTCGCCGCTACCCCCGTCACCGCGCCACCTGCCCCTGTCGTCTCCTCGCTCGAAGAGTCTATGCCTAAAGGATGGTTCTTCGAGATCCACGAGGACACCCCCGAGCAAGAAGCCGCCAACTTGATGGAGCACTCCGCGTCTGTCCTTGACATCTCGTCCGACGATGATGTTGCTACTAAGCAGCGCAATGAGGAGCAAGAGCGCGGCAAGGAGAACATTCCTCCTCCGGACTTCCTCTTGTCTCAGCCTCGCGTACACTCTGCCACCGAGTCGGAAGTTGAGGTAGAGCTCAAGATCGAAGAGCCAGTCAAGCGCCCTCGCCTTCGCAAGATTGTTCAGGATGCAATGGATGAGGATCGTCGCCCGCTTGGTGATCTGGCTCCGTCGGAGTTTTATGGCGAGGGATGCGATGCTAGCTCCTACGTCACTGTGGATGCGGGCATTGAGAAGCCGTCGAGTTTGTCGAAGGAGTTTGACTTCAGTTGCCTGTCTCCTGAGAAGGAGACAGTTGAGGCCGTCGAGGAGGTTGTCGCCGATGCTGTTGACGAGAACGCTGCTCCTGTCGAGCAGGCCGTCGCTGATGTTGCTGCATAAACGAGTCGTTTCTTTTTCTGTGGTCTGGTGTATAGCTTCCGGGCACCTTGAGACTTTCTCTCTTTTCTTTCTTTTTACGCTGCCATTTGCCCCAATTGGTGGTGTTTCTTTTTGTCAAAAGGTCTGTTGGGTATAAGGTTAGGATACCTTGGCGTCTATGGTGATGCTTTCATGATACCTACTCTCTAGTCACGCGTGTGCTTGTCTCATTTCAATCTACGATTACTACAACTTGCTATCTTGTTCGTGTGATGTCTTGACTTATGACTTTCGCCTTTTGATAATATTTGTAGAACATATTGCTACTCTATCCGACTGAAATGGGAAGTGCTCTAGGTCATGTGGAATGGTAGCGTCTGCGGTATACTAATCAAGTTACCAGAATGTACACCTTCCACAACAATCGTGTATTGAGGAATGAGCCTTTCGTCTGGTATAGTCCGCCCCAGTACTACGCGTCGATGTTTCTAGCGGTCGTCACCTACAACGCTGGATATATCTCTCCATCTCGGTAGTCTTACCCGCAGCACTGTTCGATATGCATGTCTCAATGCTTACCTTCCTCTCCCTGGGCTTGATCTCCACAGTCCTAGGCGCTTACTCAACAAACTCTACTCAAGTCTGCTCCACCTACTACGGATCGAAGTCGACCAAAAGCATCCCAAGACAAACCAAGACCAAAAAGTCTTCCATAACAGTCAGGCGCGTAAAAACGATCAACCCTGTCAAGACAGTAACCCTCAAGCCCGTCACCCGAACCAGCGCTCGTTATGTGAGTGTTACAGTAACCAATACGGCGTCGCGAAAGACGGATGTGTTCACCAAAACGGCCGAGTTAACCACGTACTCGATTGACACCGTGACGAGCACGACTGTAACCACGGTTTTTGAGCAGACTGAAGTCACGCTGCCGTACGCCACTACCACAACTACCATCAGCACCGATGCAGACTTTCTCCCGATCCTCAGCGACTATGCGAATTACGCGCCGGAGGGTACTGCAGAGCCAACAACAGCATACGAGGACACGACAACGACTGACGACTACGGCTATGAAACAGTGACCGACGACTACGGCGAATACACGGAAACATCCTACTCCAACCCCACCGAAATACCTCGCATCTTCGGCCGCGCCGCCCCAGCACCAGCGCGTTTTCCCACCTCCATCTCCTGCGAGAAGAGGATCATAGCTTACACCACTATATCTGCCACTTCCACCGGCCGCAAAACTTCCACCAAGACTCTCCCCGCCCGCACTGTCTCCGCGACAATCACAGGCACGCGTACAGTCCGCATCCAGCGCAACCCGCGCCCCGCAACATCCACAACGACGTTCAGCACCACATACGTCGCCGCGGGTATCGACGTGCGCCTATCCACATCCACGACTACATCCACACTAACGCGCGGTGTGCCCGCTACAACCGAGACAGCGTACCCAGGGTGCGGTGACGATAACTTCATCTCGCAATACGACGGCTTCAGAATCCTCGGCGGCTTCAGCCCAGAAGACGAGACCAACTCCATCAACGTGACGCTCAGCGACCCGCCCACTGACCAGGTAACGTGTTGTCAGCGGTACGTCCCCCACTCCTCCCCCCGCAACATCTTCCATGCTAATGTGAAACGCAGCTGCCAGACGCAAGACAACTGCGCGGGCTTTTACTCGGGCTACGGGACGGAGTGGAATCAGGATCGGTGTATTTTACTCGTCGCGACGACGTGTCAGCCAGCCGAGGTGCTGTTTGAGTTCCACGCGCCGAGGAATTATGGGGGAGAGGGGGCGGGGGAGTTTGGGTATGTTGTTGGGAATGGCGGTTGTGGGAGGGTGCAGTATGATGGGGGGAGATATGATCGGTAAATTGGAAGAGGGGGTTGCGGCGGAAAGGATTTCAGCGAGAAATCTGGACGGTGGTTGTTTTCTTACATATCTGCGGCTGGGAATGTGCATTGCTGTGTCATGTGTCAGTTACTTATCCGCGATTCTTTTTAACGTCTGATGGCTACGCATGGAGGAATTCGACATGGTGGCTTTTCATGTCGCGAGGGGTCGAGAGGCTTGGGAGCCTCGTTCATGCGGTTCGATCGCCTTACATTGTACTTGGTTCAATGGACGGGCGAGGTGCAGCTCAGGAGCAGTGTTTGATTTCAAGTACGACATCTTAGACAGTAATGGCAGGATGTCGAATACTATGTCTTGTTTCATTTCAGGGGGAGTATTAGCAGAGTACTATGTCCTCCATACTTCGGCTGTTGAGCATGGCTTCCCCATCCATAATCCCATGCATATAACTTTCCCCTATCAGCTTGTATGTTCCCCCTCCTGCCTTCCTCACGATATATGGCACCCTCGCCCCTGCAATTATCATAATCTCGTCCCCAACCCGACTCCCCACCGGACATAACCCCACCAAACCCTTCTCACTCACACATACCTGGCTATCATACATCCGCCCCATCTGACATCTATAGCACGCAAACGCTAGGAAATTCTCCTTCACAAGCTCATCTACCGCACCGGTTTCACTTGCCATCGCCTTAGCAACTGCGTGCCCGGCTTTCATGTGCGAGTTTGGTGTGGCGCGGACCATTTGGCTGTTTGTTTCGGCGACCTCTGTATCACCGACGGGGATGCGCCATTCTGCTTCTTCTTTTTCTTGGGCTGTGTAGCGAGTGCTTTGGGCGAGGAAGAGAGATATGTCAGCGAAGTAGGGGCGCAGGGAGGGCCAGGAGATTTGGTCGTCGAGGCCAGGCGTGAAGGTGTGGCCGAGGGATGCGATTGTGTCGATGAAGAGGGAGGGGAGAGTGAGGTAAGGGAAGAATAGGTCTTGGATGGGAGACAAGAGGAGTTTGGAGGGGCCCGAGGCGGCGTAGAGGCGTGAGGTTGTGTGCCATACAGACCATGGCTTACGCAAATCCGCTGACCCTGAAGGAAGGGGTACCAAGTCAGCATATATCTCATGCAGTTCGGGCAGATATAGACGTACAGTCTGGCACCCACGAAGGCAAATCTGTACATACCCCGCGTTGCCTACAAAGCGACAAAACATCATCGTGTCCATGCCGTAGCAATGCTGTCGCAGTCATGATATACGCTTGCTCACACGACAGTGTATAATCAGCAACAATTTCCTTCGCCGCCTCATCATTTGCAATACCCAGCAGCGCGAACACCCGATCCCGCGGATCCGTCGCGTCTATACGCTGCGACTTCGAGTCCTTGACAATCACCCTATCGAGTAGCGTACGAAGATCATGACCCCCGGATACCAAATATTTCCTCCTGATGCCGATGAGTGTCGTAGGTAGCGCGTCCGACAACATATTCGTGAGCCAATTGTCTTTCCAGAATGCTTGGACGTCGCCGTGGACATCTGGGTGTGACCGGCTGCTGAAGATACGGAAGTACAGTGCTACCGCCCATAGTCTAGTTATCATCAGTCGCTCATCCCAGGCGATATATAATTCTTGACAACCAACCTAGTAAAATCCACCTCATCATGCCCACACCGAAACGTCGCAACCCGCGCATTCGTGCACTCTTGAATACACCATATCCGCTATCCCAGTAAGCCCAATCTGCTCACCACGAACAAGAACTTCACCACGTACATGAAACCACCCACTCTCCCCCAAATTAGACATGATCCACCAAAACGGATACTCATCCCTCCTCGCCATCTTCAAATGCTGATCCCGCATCTTCGAAATCGCTTGCTTCGTCGCAGCACTACTCTCCCCATCCCCATCCTCATCCCAACGCAAAAGTTCCTCGGAGCTCAAATCCCAAAGCCCCAGTCCGATCAACTCATCGCCGAGTTTCCGCATCTCGCGCACCGTGTAGTAAGTATCCGGCGTCGCCGGACCGAGCCAGATGATCACCTGCGAGGCGGTCTGGTAGATATCGCGCATGAGCTGGACCTGTGATGTTTTCTCGATGGGGTCGTGCTGGTTGATGCAGATTGCGTCGGCCCAGAGGAGGATGTCGTGGGATTGGGATTGCAGGCTTGCGAGGGCTGTGGCGAGGCTTTCTGTTATGGGCATGGAATGGTTGTTGATGGTCATGGTGTGGCTGAGAGTGTGGGAGCCCCAGCAGTAGGATAGGGCTAGGAAGTTGGAGGAGTCTTTGAGAGAGGTGTGGAACAAAGTGTATTGGAGAGGAGTGGAGGGATTGGTGGTCTTTTTGGGTATTCGCAAGAGTCGTATTTCGTTGCTTTTGCTGTCGAGGGTCTGGTAGCGATATGGCCCAGGCCGGCTGATTATCTTCTGCTCTTCCTCTACATATGAGCCGATTACATCGCGATCAGGAGTTTGTCCGGATCCGGTGGCCATGGTTTTGATGTGCTCAATGGGGCCAGTAATAAGAGAGTCGCTGCGCCTCAATTGCATCTTTGCGCCAGCATGATCAAGTTCTAACTATTGGATCGATTATCGGAGGATTAAAGCAGAGTGAACCGAAAGCTTTCCTGGGATCTATAAGCTGCGATCTGGTTTGACAGTATGTACGCATGTGTAGTCTGCTTGTGCCCTTGTAAGTGCGGGGCACCGACTCGCCCCCATCTCGGTCTGTTACCTTCGCGCGCGCCTAGGCAGATGAATTGAGCAAGTTGGCTTTGCAAGCCCACTTGTATGCATAGGATTATGACACGTAATTCGTGTGTATATTTCTCAATTTTCGATAGCCTACCTAGGTAATGGAAGCCCGATTAGGATGTCAATTACATCACATAGGCCTGTGATCCTTCGCAAAATAAGAGCGTAATTCAAGCAAACCCGCAAAATTCTCAGTGTATGCACCATAGTCCTTTCATCGAACGATTAGGACTCTCTGTGAACGCATCGGACCCAGAAGTCCTCCATGATCCAGATACCCTACGTGGGATGTCAGTATGAAAGCCGTGGCAAGAGGCTTGCAATTAGGCGATGAGCTTACCGCATTGTAGATATTGGCTGGATTTTCAGGACGGGAGATCGAGAAGTCGAACTTTCGCAACAGCTGTGGGTCCAGTCAGTATTCTTGTTCACGGTTTACGTTTCTTTGAATACACACTTCGACAAAGATCTTGTTGAATTCCATAAGCGCAACATTCCTTCCAAGGCACTGGTATTTGCCGTAGTGAAAGATGAGATCAACGGTGCCGGCCATGTGGTCAAACTTCTCTGGGCTGGCCTCAATCCATCGCTCAGGGCGGAACAGGTCTGCGTCAGGACCGAAAATCTTCTTTGAGCGGTGAATACCTAGCGGTGATGAGCCAATCTGCGTTCCACCGGGGATGAATTTGCCATTGATGGTGTCTCCACCGGCGGGGACTGTCTTGAAGAAGGCGCCAGAAGCAGGTGGCATAAGGCGCATCGCCTCTTTGAGGACAGCTTGAAGATAGGGAAGTTGACGCGCTTCAGCATCCTTGACGGGTGAAGAGACTTTTCCGTTAGCAATGCCGTCAGCGATCTCCTTACGGAGCTTGCTGTATGAAGTCGGGTTGGTGAGGATGTTGAGCATTACAGTTCGGATGGTGCCTGCAGATGTATCACTACCAGCGACGACCTGGAGTAGAGCCTCTCCAGAAGCTTCTTCCTGCGTAAGACCATGGCGGATAAAAGAGCCTAGCATATCGGGGTGGGACTTGGCGTCCGGTCCGTACCGCCGTGCTACGAGTTTCTTTGCAATACTGCGTGATAGGGTCAACATGAGTTTCATCGTTGAAGATTTACGAAACGTACCCTATGAAAGCCCCAAACCCAAGCTTATCGCTCTCTGAAGGAAGCAGTCCCCGCAGAGCACGGGACTGGAGCAGATTTGCGAGCGAGGGAACATCTCCCATCACCATCATGATAGGAATGAAGGTCTTCGTGATGCTGAGGTATTCGAAGACGTCACTATCATTCTCGAGATAGCCAAATGCTTCACCGAAAGCTAATTCACTGATGACATCCAGGGTGAAGAAGGAAGCCTTTTCGCCAAAGTCCATGGGCCGGTAGTTGTCAGATGTCGAGATGTACTTGGTTTCGATCAAGTGTACGAGGCTGCCAATTAGTAAGTCGATAGAGCCTTCCATTGATTCGTTCTCCTTGCCCGAGTACTATTGATAGATCCATTAGTGATTACATTACCAGAGGCAAAGTTGGGGAAGCTTACGCCGGCGGCCATCTTGCTTCGCAACTTGGTGTGAGCAACCTCATCGCGCATCGAGAAGAGGTTGTCACGTGTAGGGTCGAACTTCATGGCACTGTACCCTACATAGCTTTTAGGAAATGTTTCAGGCTACGAGACAGGGTGCCCTTACAGTGGCCTCGCGTGTACTCGGAGCGGGCCGCCATCATCTTGCGCAAAACCTCAGGGTCATCCGTAATGAGCTCATTAGGACCGACTCGCGCGAGACTGCCTGTAATTGTGGTCAAATCGGGCTCGAAAAGTGGATCAAGATACGCGCACCATATTTGTCGTTGACTTCCTTGAACGCAATCGGCTGTCGGCCCTTGAGAGATTCCCGGATCATCCATCCCTTGGAGAAGGACGCGAACACTGGCCCAGGCACATGAGCAAGTCGCCGCCACTGCAGCACCCAGCGCACGAGGTAGGTAAGCAGAACAGCACTGACTGCGCCAATGGCCAGTGTGGCCCTGGTGATGACAGGCATGGAGGCGAAAGCGGTGTGTCAACTCGTGGCACTGATTGTTGACAGCGTTGTGGTACGATGGACCCGGGGGGTTGGAATTCGAAAGACAACCCTTGGAGGGCCCCATTATCACCAGGGCGCCTAGGGCCGCCAAGCGATTGCGGCAAAACCCTCATCCCACAACCTCTGCCGGCGGCTGCAACGAAAAGGAAGACTCCGCTGTTGCATGCGGTGCACCTGGAGAGCCATGGCAACACATGAATCTGACGACCTTGCCTCGACGACGGCTAGCAACGAGCTAGAGCCTGGCTTAATCGCACCACTCGAGCCGGACTCTGTAAGTGCCCACTTCGCGCCTAATGAACCTTATTCCTCTAACGGCCCGCAGAACATCGACACCGGCTCCGACTTCGACGATGGCGACTCGGCTATCGAGAGCGTAAGTCAGGCGCGTGAGATGACTGTAATCTGATGAGGCTATCTAGATACATATGCTGATCACGTGATTGCCATAGTTGGCCAGCTCGACGGCATCCATCAGGGACGAGTTGATCAAAGAAGTCAAGGAGCATGGTCGCTCATACTCAGGATATATGGAAGCCAGTAAGCATACTTCTACTTTTAATCGTGTGCGACAGTCGGTAGTGCATGATCCACATTCCTTGATGCATCAAGTGTTCTGTATTGATTTGCACAAATCATGTATCGCGGAGGACAATTCCAGAACAGGGGTCGAGAGGATATGACATGCCACGGCCATATCACATGATGCGAGCAGGACTGAGACTGACGATCACTACCAGAATACGTGCTTCCCATGGACGAGGTAGTACATCACAAGCATCCCTTGTAAATGATCCCTGACTAACGTGCTGGCCCAAAGGAAGAAAGAGAACGATTAGGTACGTCGGTAGTATCATGACTAGACGTTACGACTAATCTTTGCAGACTTTCAACATCACATCGTATGGCTCACACTGGAGCAAAAGCTCTATCTTGCACCGATCAAGCACATAAACCGCGCACTCGATGTCGGCTGCGGGACAGGGATATGGGCTATAGACTTTGGTACTTCACTTATGCCACCTTAACTAACATCAACTTACTCTTCCTAGCCGACGCCCACCCTGAGACCGAAGTCCTCGGTGTCGACCTCGCTCCCGTCCAACCCCACAAGTAAGTCCCTTATACCCCATTCGCACCACCACTAACAATCCAGCGTCCCCCCAAACCTTAACTTCGAGATCGACGACCTAGAACAAGACTGGACCTTCTCGCGCAAATTCAATTACATCCATTCCCAGATGATGATCGGCGCCTTCTCCGACTGGCCCCGGTATATCTCCCAATGCTTCAACTTCCTCGAAACAGACGGCTACCTCGAAGTCCACGACATTGACCTCGTCATCAAATGCGACGACGGCTCGCTGCCCACAAACTCCGCCCTCGTTCGCTGGCATAACTATATGCACGACGGCGCCTCCAAAGCCGGTTTCCCACTCGACCGCATCTCCTACGTGCCGGAAATGATGCGCAAAGCCGGCTTCGTGGACATTGTCTCTGTGCCGCACAAGTGGCCGATTAATACTTGGCCCAAGGACAAGAAGTTCAAGGAGTTGGGCAAGTGGGTTAGTGAGAATTTCAATTGGGGAGCGGAGAGCATGAGTCTTGCATTGTTTACAAGGGCGTTGGGGTGGTCGGTTCAAGAGGTGCAGGTTTTTGCGGCGGCATTGAGGGCGGATTTGAGGAATAGGAAGTTGCATGCTTATTGGAATTTTTACACTATTCATGGGCGTAGACCTTGATGGAGTTGAGGGGAGTTGGGGAGGTGGACGGCGTTCAGGCTGCTGCATTAGTTGACTAGCGCCTTTATTGGCTTCTGCTGTCGCGATAGATGAAGCAATATTAGGTATCATGAATTACAAAAGTTGGCCATCGTTGTTCGAGCCAAACTAGGCGGTGCGATAACTTATACGGTGATGATCAAAGTAGAGAGTAGTTGATCGGCAAATTCGAGTGTCACCAGAGATTCAAGGCGTTTGTGTAATAGTAATATTCGAGATTGGGTATCATATGTGTACAACAAAGTGGCGTTCTGCGTCATGGTACTATCCTACATGCTTTTAAAACCAGTCACCCCAGTCCGTATCTCCACCTCCACCGCCAGCATCTCCACCTCCCTGTGAGCCCCATGGATCCTGCTCTAAATTGCCGTCTTGTGACCAGGGATCTTTTGTCTGGCCCCAAACGTCGTCTTGTCCAGGCTGCTGTTGCCCAGGGTTGTCGAGATATGGATCCGAGTTTCCAGCTTGTGGACTCTGATCATCCTGTGACTGGCTACCTCTTCCCCTCTGCATGGCCTCATAGCCAGCCATAGTCCCAGCGCCGACGGCTGCACCTTCACCCGCTCCAAGGCCGCGTGCTGCAGCACCGACTTCGCCTGCGATGCCTGACTCTCCCGCTGCACCAACTGCTCCTGCACCAGCGGCTCCAGCTTCCCCAGCAGCAGCTCCACCAGCGGCCTCGCCACCCCCAACCCACGGCATCCACAAAGGCCACATGCCGCCTACACCAGAAGAACTGTGTCGGCTGAAGTAATCGAAATCGATACTGACAGCAGTGGCAAGCATGACGGCACGTTGGTCAAGCGTCATGCCGGATACAGGACCTGTCTGTTCTGCCTCTGTGCCGGCAGAGTCCATGCGAAGAGCGTACACACCGGTGTCTGTAAATATCTCTCGTGCGAAGCCGCCAAAGTTGCGGTTCACAGAGCCGATCAAACGGTTGTCTTCGGACTTCAAGCTAAAGTCCCACGACAGGAAAGGCTCATCTACACGGGCGAATTGTTGCATGCCGACTTCTCGCGAGTCACCCTCGACTACTGCCACGGCTTTGGAGCTTGACAACGGCAAGTCGCCTGACGAGATTTGTGGTGTGTTGGGTGCGGCTGGATCGTCTTCGAGTTTGCGAGCGAGGAACATGTTGTACTTTCGCCGGAGCGGTGCCCACTCTTGCTCTGCCGAACCGATGATTCTCATATCCTGCAGAGGTATGCTGGATATGTTCGCGCTCGTCTGGCTTACAATGCTTCCTGCGCTTGTGCCTTGCAGACTATTGGAGCTAGTGTACGCAGCCCCATCTGCTCCTACTGCGTCATACACCCGAATCCTGCTGTTGATCCAGCTGAATGGGCGATGGAAGCGCAGCACCTCCTTCTCTTCCCTGTCAAAGACATGAGTCGTGAAGCTCCGATGTGTCTTGAACATCTGTCTCGCCACGGCATTTCCCATGCCATGTTCTTGTTCTGCCAAGTAGCCAATATGACTGCCGTGCGGATCCATGATCACGTATCGATTCGCTTGCTCGAAGCCCATGAGCACGTTCATCATCTCGAGTTGCCGCTGGATGACAAGCGTTGAGTTGTCGAGCAGGCGCATAACCGGATGTGTCTCTTTGAGGACGCCATTTGGGTCTTCGGGTATGTATACAGGCGTGACTAGGCTGTTCTCGCCACTGGGTTTTGTCGCGAGCGCCTGCGATACAGCATCGACTTTGGAGGACTCCGCGGGCGCATCTTTGGGTGGCTCGTTGGGCTGTTCTTTGGACTCGTTTCCCGACGGCTTAGAAGGGGCTGGGGTTCTTCGCTGTGGTGGAATCTGTCTAGACAGGCGGCCTCGAGGGCCAGGTGGTGGCGGCGTAGCCCGAGTCGCAAATGTTCGCATGCACTGACGAGGCAGCCGTAGGGACCATCTTGCTGCTGGTAGCATCTTGTACTTGTTATAGGCTAGCCGATGAGCTTGTGAAACTGTTAGATACTCTCTGTTACTGTGTCCAGGAAAGATACAATTGTGACTGTAACTCGATTGACCGTGGCGTTGGAAACGGTAGGTACAGATGCTGTTCAAACATTTCGGGATAATGCTCAAATCGAGCTGCAAGCAATTACGTCATCACAGATCACGCTAGATCATTACAAATGTCTGCCTCCCGGAGTCCATAGCAGCGTACATAAAAGCCGTCTCTGACACAAGGATCTCAAATTGCCAGTCAGTATTGTACTGGACGCGTGAAGCACATCCATCCTCATGTGCTTGGACGCGCTTGGAGCTAACATGACTAGCGCCTTGGCCCGCCGCCAAAATCAGAAGCGACGGAAGTTTTCCATCCTCACCTCCAACTTTCTTTGAGGACCACCGTCTCCATGAACGCGACAACACAACAACGCTTGTACAGCCGGGTAAGTCACCATGATCTCTTATCTCCTTGCTCCCTTTCTATGATGACAAAATCTCTCATATCGAATCACTGTAACATAGCATTCACTTGTCTGTGTTTTGGTGACTCATGCTGCACCCGTTACTTAAAGACTACAACGGTATCTGATCGAGCTCTCGAAATCTTGTTACTTGCAGACTGTTTGCGAATCTTCTCTGACAACATTTCAGGTTCACCAAAGACCGCGCAAACAAGATGGCGGTTGATCTGGAGGCACAGACCCCGGTTCAAGATTCAAGTACCACTGGCACCACCTCGCAACCATCTCATGACAAGACCGCAAATGGCGCACTAAGGAAGCCTCGTCCGCGACGACCCAATTTCAATGAGATTCATGCCAAGCCTCTGCCAGTAGACGTCTATCCACTACCAGCCTTCATCCCACACAACCCTATTTCGATTGTGCGCATTGCCATATCACTGCTCTCGCACTCGATCTTCCCGCCGAAGTCACACCCAGTTGTACACAGGGCATACTTCTCGCCACAGACACAGTCCATCCACGTCACGGATCCTGTTTCGATACGTGCACTGTGGGAACAAGGATTCTGGGGCAAGGGTTCTTTAAGTCGAAGTGAGCCGCAATGGCTTGCTGGTGAGAAGAAGAAGCGAGGCGTTCAAGCAGGCAAGACGAGCGCAGAAGTCACGCAGAATAGACGTGAAGAGAGGAAGCAGTTCAAGCTCGAAAGAGCGAGAGCGCAGAGGGAGGCAATCGAGCAGCAGCTAAGGCAGGAGGGCAAGCTGGATGCCGATGGAACCATCGAAGATTTGGTCGAGGATGGTCAGGTGTCTGAGAGCCCGAAAGGGACCTTATACAACCCAGATGCTGGAGATGTCGTCGCCGTGGGCAGTAACGACATCACCCTGGAAGTTGAAAGGATGCTTGCAGAGGAAGCAGCTGATGGGCAGGCGTTGTCTCTTGATGACATCAAGGATCAGGAGCACCTTCAGCTCACGCCAGAAGAGGCCTTCTTCCTAACCTACACCTTGGGGGCCCTGTGCGTCGTCTCTGAGGATGGTCCTACCGACTCCTATCCCACCTGGTTCCTTCTCAGACTTTATGCCTTGCATGGCAATTCACCAGTTCCCGAACAGGAAATGCGCCAATTGCAAAATGTACTTCGAAAGTATGAGCACGACAACATTGTTCTCTCGGATGTGAGTAATATCCCATCCGTGGAACCCGACAGTCAGTTCATCTTACGCTACGTGGTCTTCCATCACTTCCGTAGTCTGGGCTGGGTTGTACGGCCCGGAATCAAGTTTGCCGTGGACTACCTTCTCTATCTCCGCGGTCCAGCGTTCCACCACGCTGAGTTTGCGATTATGATCATACCCTCCTACTCTCATCCTTACTGGACCGAGGCGCCTGAGCACGAGTCTGGTATTGAAGCGAGAAAGAAGGAGTTAGGCAAGAAGGATTGGTGGTGGCTGCATCGAGTGAACAGAGTGCAGACCGCTGTCTTCAAGACCTTGGTACTGGTCTATGTGGAGATACCTCCGCCGTGGGATAAGGACAAGATGGAGGTGGATATTGGGAGTGTACTGAAGCAGTATACAGTTCGTGAGGTTATATTGAAGAGATGGTCCCCGAATAGGAATCGGGATTAGGCTATGCAGCAATGAGAGATTCACCCTCAACCACTTCCACTTTCCTCATTCACTTTCATGGCCGTGAACTAACATTTGTTCCGACTCGTCCACACTGTCTCTTCGTTCGATACCTCATCTTCCTAGCATAGCCGTCACTCGTACCGTTTGCAGGGAGAAATACGAACAGGCATGGTGAGCAGTAAGGCTTCCACAGCCTGACGGTAGGTGACTTTCTGCTGGTGCTTCCAGAATCCGTACTCAAACTTCTCATAAACACCATGACCCCAATTCACAACGTCACACCAGTCCTCTGACCCGGCAGGGTACTCTCCTCAAACTCGATCTTTGTGATGTGTTGCCCGGGCACAACAACGAGGCCGACGTAGCGGCTGTTCCAGGGCACGGAAGTCGAGGGGTTGCCGGAGTCCTGGACGGCTTTTCGGATGACTTCTATGGAGGGGGCGCGGTATTCGTGGGCGAGGGCGAGAATGATATTTTGGTCCTGGGGGAGTTAATGGAGACCCAGTGTTTATGGCTCAGGAAAGCATATTGATTAAGTAGGGTCAAATGAAAGTCGTCGTACATTTACGGACGAGCCATGTCGCTGATACTATTCTTGAAATATACCATGAAATCCAAAAGCACCGAAGACGAAGGGGAAATGCGTCGACATGTAAAATCACGTTATGACCTACCTTATCGGTACACTTCATCTGGCCCCCAAATACTCGTCCGTCTGAAGCATGGATACGCAGGTTCTTTCCTATGAACTGCGACAGCCACAAGGTAGCCTCGTTGTTGTCCATGGCGCGGTCCTTTTTGAACCAGGGCAACCAACTGCGGCGATTGTTCTTGATAGGGACAGCCATGGTGCAGACAAGCGAAAAGAGGGCACGTTTGTGGCTGTGTAAACTAGGACCAGCTTCATGCCTGCCCCATGCGGTGGCTTGACGATGCGGGATGCTTGGCGCGTTTGGCATGTTTGGTCCAAAAGTTTGGAGAATGGCGGACTTCCGAACGTCAGCCATCGGCGCCAGAAATTGTTCAACCACAGATTGCAGCATGTATTCGATACGGCAGAACTGCCAATTGGCGCTGAGAAGCACGAATAACGGCTGCATATATGCCACTGGCTCACGACGCGCCTTCTCAAGGACGAGCGCATGCTCAAGAGGTTTGTATTGCGGTAGAAGTCGACGACACCTCGACTCACATATACACAGGCGCACTGCCCGTCTACCTCGAGTCCTCCAAGCCCGAACTTGCCACACTGCTCGCTACGCTGAACTCGAAAATACTACTCCCCCGCCACCTCACCAAGGAGCAACAGAAACTCGTCTATAAACAAGACCAGAAGGCAAAACTCGAAGCCGAGCCAATCGAGATCACACTCGGCGACGTCACGCTGCCGCTCGAGCACATCGACAGAAATCACCTCCCGACGCGCCAGAAGACCATCGCAGACATCCTCAAATTGAGCGAGGAGGGCGCGTCCCGCGAGGACTGGGAGAATGTGGTGCGCATGCTGGAGGGATTTGAGAACGCGGGCATCAGGCTCGATACGGCCAAACAGGCGATGGTGATACGGAAGCTGTTCCAAAACGGCCAGGAACATCTCGTGCTGAAGGCGTTGCAGCGCCCCAAAGCCACGGGTCTGCGCATGCGCGACTGGCGACCGCTGTTCCAGATCTTGCGCGGTGTATTTGACCAGCCAGCCTTGGCGGATTGGGAACAGGTAGAGACGGAAAATGCGCTGCGGCTCGCGAAGCAAATCGTCGAGCTACTGGAGGATGAGGAGCACTGTGGCGCGTACCCAATCGGCGAGGAAGTTTCAAAACACGACTTCAGAGGGAGGCCTGGTGTCATAGCGGTGCCGACTGCACTCGCTGCCGCACTTGCTCTGCGGCATGAGGGCGATGTCGAGGAAGTCAAGAAGCTGGCGGGACGATTGGTGGTTGCTATGAAGCAGCATGATCCTTACAACGTAAGTGCCCCGAACAAGTTTTTTTACTATTCCAACGACACGAGACTGACGCTGTGCTCCAGGCATTCATTGACGATGCTGCCGTGAAATTTGCCGCTACGGAATCTGATTTCAATAAGACATGGCTTCACGTCCGCCACGCTACTTCCGCTATCAACACTCTCCAAGAAATCATCTGGGTATCCAGTGCGCTCAGGACGTCACTGAAAGTTCTTGGAGACAATATTCCGCATGCGGAGGAGGCGAGGCAGTTTGAGAGCAAGGCCACCAAGACGGTGGACGAGGGATGTGAGATGGTGAAGAGGTTGAAGACGCGGAATGGGAAAGTTGTGCTAGGGAGCATGGCGGATCACGCGTTGACCATGGCAGATAAGGCGAGGGCCCTGGCCTGAAGTACACAAGAGGTGCATGGATGTATAGAACGATGTATATTACCCTACACACGACACATACCACGTCTTGACGAGCTAAACTGTGCATAGCTGATCTCCACACTTAGGGCAGTTCCAACACATCCTTTAGCACCGCCAACGCCGCAAACAACTCATTGTCATGATACCTCCGCCCAACAATCTGCAAATCAACCGGCGCCCCTTCGAAATCCCCCTGCTCCCATAACTCCCGCACATGCCGACACTCCTCACTCAACGGCTCGTAATCCTCAGCATACGCCTCGCCCTTCTCCGTCCGCACAGCCGTTGGCACCACCACGCCCGGATAATCCACATAATTCCACAACGACGTGTACGTCCAGTAAAATGCGGTGTCGTGCGCGGACGCCGGCCCCACAAAAGCTGGGCCGATGACTACATCGACGTCCTGCGCATTCCAGCTATCTGCGAAGGCGAGCCGGAATTTGTCGCGCTGAGAGCGCAGTTGATTTACGTCTTCGGCGGTGAGCATGCCGTGCGGCGCGGCGGTGGATGTGATTGCTTGTGTGAGGGGCAGGATGGGTTCGCCGCCTGCGGATATGACAGGGAGCGTGGTGGTGCCGCCATCGGTCCAGTAGGTGCGGAGGGCGAGGGACCATGCTTGTTTTGCGTTGTGGGGCGTGAAAGACTTTACGTCGAAGCGCGAGGAGTGTTTGGGGTCGGAGAGGCGTTCTCTCGCCCAAGCTATTGCGCGGCGAACGGGGGGTTGAGGCAGAATAAACCCGTCGTGCTCGATGATTCCGATTCTGAGGGGTTTGGGGAGCGCGGTTTGACTGCCTGTCCATTTCAAGGGAATGATCTTGGGATCCTCGAGCCACGGCTGAGCATCGAGGATTGACTTCGTGAACACCTCTGCGTCGCGGAGTGTCCGGCACATGGGCCCCGTCGAGCTTTCGATGTTGAGTTCGGCGGCGAAGGCGTTGCTCAGCATGTGTTTCATCGGGAGCGTGCCTGCCGTCGGCTTGTAGCCGTAGATACCACAAAAGGCACTTGGGGCTCGTATACTCCCACCAATATCAGTCCCGACGCCGAGGACTGAGCCCTTCATGGCGATGAGGGCTGCTTCACCTCCCGACGAGCCGCCAGCGCTGAGGTGGATGTTGAAAGGGTTGAGAGTGCGGCCGTGATGCGATGTTGATTCGAGGTGCATGATAGCTTGGGGCTGGTTTGTTTTGCAGTAAAACACTGCGCCCATGTTCCTGAGCATGGCGACCATTTGGCAGTCCTTTTCGTTTAGGGCGGTGGTTGAGATGCAACCCTGCGAGGAATATGTCCCGGCGATGGGCATGTGTTCTTTGATACTGATGGGCACGCCGTGCAGCGGTCCAACTGTCTTGCCATTTTTCTCGAGATAGGTATCTAACTCTTGGGCGCGCTGTATCGCCTCGTCCATGAACCAGGACGTCAAGCAACATGTTAGTTGGTGAGCGATGATGGCGCGCTTGCAGAATGCGGTTGCGACTTCGACCGCAGTGAGTTTCTTTGCTGCGATGGCTTCGGCCAACCCGCATGCATCGTAAGACTCAGTAATGTAGATCTCTTTAGCGCTCAGGAGGCCACAGGTAGTTGGCAGCGTTGATACATCAGTAGGAGGATTGGAAGTGGTCTCGGCAGGCAAACGGAGGTGATTCGGTACTTTTTTAGCAAAGGTTTGGAGCAAGGCGGCGCGCTTTGTTTCGTAGTCTGGGGTGCCTTGCGGAAGGCCCTTGGGTTGGATGACAGGCAGTTCTGGTGGTCCGCCGCCCATGTTGTGTGGTGTATTTGACTGCTGTATGTGATCTTGTACAGTTGAGAATCAGTGTGATAGACTCGTGCGAGTTGTCAAAAGTCAAATTGCTGAAGGATTGTATAATAGACTGGTGGAAGTCATCAAAAGTCAGGATGCTGGAAGATTGGCAAATTAGTTTGATAGACTCATGCAAGTCATTCAAGTCAGGATGCTAAAAGAATACTTCGAACCATTCCGGCTTCCTTATCAGTGATGCCAGCAGAGGCGTGCCGTAGCCGATGCACAGTGAAGCCATGTATGGTGGGGTTGATTACGGCTTCGATATCCGAGGCTTCGTGCCAGGTAAGATATCATGGAAATTCGCGCCTATTTCAACGCGCAATTGGATCTGATACGACGAAAGGATAATGCGCACGTTGGCGTCAACGTTGATGCCAGGTCAACGCGATAGCGGAAACTCTCCGCCGAGGAGGGGTTCGGATGGCGCTAATGCACCACCCTTCCTCCCTGTATCTATTAGCCGTAAAGGGACTTTGGTTCATCTGCCACACGACGGCCGTCCAATCTCATCTATTTGCGCGGCCTATCTTCTAGCGTGAGATTCCCCGCGTTCGCGAGGCCATACTTCGGACACATGAGTCGCGATAGCGAGCAGCCGTAGATGCCTCAAAGTCTCGATCAGTTGGGATGTCGCGTGTCGAGCTTCAACAAACATGATGATAGGGTACTGCAAACTAGGGTTCGTGATAAGCTGTAGCTGTAGGCCTCGCCACCAGCCATATCTTCGGGGCCTAGTCGCCGATACCTGATCGCTTTATGAGTGAACAGGGTTGGGAGACTGCCTCCTATCCAACATAAGTATCGGTGGAAGTGTCGTACAGCGCCTCGCAACCCCTCTTTGACGTCAAATACTGGGATTCTTTTGGGCCTTCGAATGTATACATCCCACGCTACAATCTGCACACGATCATACTGCGATTATGGCGACTCACTCGGAAGCAACCACTATTCCAGGGCACCGTGCATCTTGTAGACCTTGAGCATACACTCCAAGCTCGCCATGCCGGTGCTGGAGATATCGTACTGGTCCCGACACCATCCAATGATCCAGATGATCCTCTAAATTGGTCGCCGAAACGCAAGCTAACATCAACCATCTGTTCAAATCTGTGAGTAGCTCAGGGTGTATTTCGGGTGCCGAAGTTAACGTATAAATAGCTATACATGGATGACTGGAATGGCTGTCTCGACTGTTTATTCGGTGCTCGTGCCCTTGTCGGAGAACTCGGGCGTATCTGTCTCGACGCTCAATGAAGGCACTGGTTATAGTAAGTAATGGCATGTAGGCTGCAGCTGACACGGTTGCTGACTGCACACTTCGTGGTTTGACAGTGTTCCTCCTACTCGGTTGGGGTCTACTCTTCTGGCAACCAATCGCCCTGAAATACGGCAAGCGACCTGTTTACCTTATTTCCGTACTGGGTGCTATCGGAACCAGCATTTGGAGGTAAGATTTGCAAGCTAGTATGTGCCGTTCATGGTTAATCATCTTGACAGTGCCTACGTCAAGAGTAATGGAGAGTGGCTTGCAAGATGCCTTGTGATGGGGTTCTTCATCGCCCCCATTGAGGCTCTGCCAGAAATCTCGGTCACTGACATCTACTTCACACACCAGCGAGGAACATTTATGGGCATATACGCTTTCATGCTTGCCGGTAGCAATTACTTTGCACCCATAATTTGCGGCTTTATCGCGGAGCGCCAGGGTTGGCAGTGGGTCTTTTACTGTGCGTAAAGTCCAAACACTAACCCGTGTGTAATATATGCTGACGTTGTAAACCAATCATCAGGGCCGGCCATATTCAACGCATTCACCTTGATCTTCCTTTTCTTCTTCATGGAAGAGACAAATTACCGGCGTCAGTCAACTGAAAGTCCCAGTGCACCGAGTCCAACCCCAGAAAACAAAATTATCGATAGTGGAGACCACGAAAAGGCACATGCAATATCTCCTCAATCTTCCTCAAGTATCCAAGCGGGAACAGTCACGAAGTCCTTCAGCCAGAAACTCTCACTATGGCAGCCAATGCCTGAGCAGAACCTATTCCAGAGCGCAAAGCGCAGTCTATCATATCTTGCTTGGCCAGTAATTGCTTACTGTGGTTTCAGCTACGGCTCCTACTTGATCCTGTTCAACATTCTCAACGCCACGGCTTCCATCATCTTAGGTGGCGCACCCTACAATTTCAAGGCTTCAATGGTCGGCCTGTCATACATCTCCTGCGTCATCGGAGTTGTAGTCGGAGCACTCACATCTGGCCGCGTGAGTGACTGGCTAACAGTCAAGCTTGCCCGGAAAAACAACGGCATTATGGAGGCCGAGCACCGACTATGGCCCTTTGCAACTTGTTTGGTTATGGTGCCCGGTTCTCTCCTACTATGGGGTGTCGGTGCCGCCCACGGTATCCACTGGTTCGGCCTCATTGTTGCAATGGGATGCTTAGCCTATACTTCGACTGTGGGTGTGACGTTGAGTGTCAACTACATGATCGACAGCTATCACGACATCAGTGGAGACGCGATTGTTGCTATCATCTTGATCAGGAACACTATGTCTTTTGCGGTCAACTATGGTATCACACCTTGGCTTAGAAACTTGGGATACCAGAATTGCTTCATTAGCGCGGCGTTCGTTGGACTGGCAGCATCGTCGGTGTTCCTTGTCATGATCAAGTATGGTAAAGGGCTTCGCGTCAAGTCGAGCAGCAAGTACTGGAGCATCGTCAATGCCGATGAGGTCAAGACATGAGTTTCTTAGACATCTAAATAACATACTTTTCCAATTCTGCAAGACTGTCACACATAGTTTCTAGAAGCCCCGTCTGTTCTTCGTTGGCTTTATAGGTATGAATGCTCATGTATCTACAAGTGGTTCAAATGTATGGAAATGGAGCTCCACGGCTCGGGCTCACCTTCCCGCGAACCCCTCAACGGCCTTATCTAGCGTGCGCTAACCCCACGTGAGCACTTGCCGTTAGTGCGAGAGAGCCCGTGCGCGTTCTTTCTCATATCTGCATCCTGGACGTCTGTCATACAACACTCATTTTCATAGGGTATGACTATCAGTGGACTCCGTCTCGGTGCCACAGAATGTACAACATGTGAATGTTTGCAGTTCTGGCTACGCAAACTGTGACAAGACGATTTTGCAATAACTCGGAACGACGTCCCGCATCGCGATGAGTGGCTCAGCACATCGACAGAGACTAAGAGGGAAGACAGGCTGCATTAGCTGTAGGTCGTGCTCATCTGGACATTTGAATGTCGCTAACAACTTAGGCCGTAATCGACGGAAGAAGTGTGATGAACGACGACCAAATTGCGTGAGATGTGCAATCTCAGGTCGCAAATGCGAGTGGCTCGGCGAGACGCAACTCGTAGACCGTCGATATGCTTCTCATCCAAAGTCACGATACAGCAGCACTGACAGCGTCGCATTGGTGTGCCTGAGATCTGAGAACGCCGCTCACAAGAAGCTCACGCTCGATCTGGAAGTTATGATCTCACGTCATTTCATTGAGAAGTACTATCACTTCCTCCTGCTTCCAAATTGCCATCGTGCTTTCCACGATGGCTGGATTCAAGAGATTCAGGAGCTAATGGTCATGGACGAAAGTCTTCGATACTCCGTCTTGGCTAATGCAGCATCACATATACACAATGTAGACACCAACCCAGCCATGCAATCCATATCACTACACTACTATTCGAAGTCGATCAGAAGGCTTGCCGATGTCTTGAGCCTAGCGACTAATCGATATCTTGCAAGCTATAATGGATTTCTTATGTCAGTCATGCTACTGTATCTTCATGGAGTAAGTGAAACCCGACCATCTCAATTTGACAGTATTTCTGACCAAAAATAGTGCGCGGGCAAGAGTACTTACCCGGACATTCCTCCGCATCTATACGCAGCGATGCGCGTTTTAAGACTGCGACTTTTTGAAGCACCCAACCATACCCTACAGCCATTTGATCACCTGGCACTTGAGAGTGTACTCTACCAATCATTTCTGACTACCACTGTGCTCTGGTCCGATCAACATCCGCAGACAGAGTTCGACCTGCTGTTCTGGCGCAAAGCCGAGCATTTCTTGAAGCAGAACACAATGTTTCCCGAACAGCCCGACAGTCTAAATAGCCCCGTACTGGGTGTGCCGGTTGCGCTTTTTCGACTTGCCATACAGGCGAAGCAGGCATACCAGCTTCCTGGAAGTTGCTCCAGCTCCGAATTGGCGCAACTTCGTGCCGAGATCGAAGATTGGGAAGCTTTTGTCTTGGGAAACGGACCTGTCGGCGTCTCGAATGATATCAATGCTTTTCATCGTCAACAGCTGTATTATGACGGAGCAACCCATCTGTACGTGCTCATTATCTCACTTCTTCTCGAGCAAGCAAACGCGAAATCGGCACCTGCAGATCAACAAGATTTACAAAACGCCCGACTCCCTCAAGCCCTACCAAAGAGTACTTGGCAGATACAAAAAGCGCTTGAAGTTCTTCATACATTTGAACTCGATGATGACTGGTCAAGCTGTTATGTAAGTCTAGTATGTATACAGTGTGTGAGACACTACTGACTTCGTATCCATAGATCGGAACTTGGCCCGTCTACACAATGGGCTTTTTCCTGAGCGAAGTGAAAGACATCGGATTGATCCGCGGTGAGATGGACCGCAGATGGAGGATCACCAATAACATGCAGATTCCTCGGTTTCGAGGCGACCTAGAGGCTGCCTGGTTGGCACGCGGACGGTCCCAAGACCCTCATCAAATGGAGGTATGAAAGGCACTAACTTTCGGTGTAAAAGTCTAAAATGTCTTGAGTGAAAGACAACAAACACGCAGCTATTCGATAGACCGCTGCCTAACAAACAAGAGGAAGCCTGCCGAAAGCTTGACCACGACTAGTATAACTACTCACCACCGTTCCTTTTCGTTTCTTCCTACGACCAAAGACGAGAGTAACTAATCAACAACCCAATCCTATCTTAACTACGATATCACTCGATCAAAATTTCGTTCTTCTCACTCCCGCCAGAGCTGAGAAATCAGATCTACGGATATGCTACGGATATCGAGACGGCACCATTGTTCGACTACGCTGGCCTACATATGTCATGTCAGCAGATCAAACAAGAGATGGAACACGAGGTACTGAGGCTTCTGCACGTGTACTTCAAGCGCAAACTTTTGACGACCCCTGGACTCGGAATTGAGTTGCCGACAACGTTCAAAGAGGTTGGCAAGTTGCGCATCTCCCTGTCGGCCGAAGTCTGGGCCTGTTGCCTTTACACACGCCGTCCTTTCTGTGGATGCGCTGATCGGAAGCGATGTGTAGATTGGATACTAGGCCTCTGTCTCGACTCGCTCACTATCGCATATCACGAAGACGAGAGCGCACAGTACGAGGCCCTCAACTTCTCCTTCCTCGATGCAGGAACTCTTCGTCAGGTCGGGTCAGGGCACAAGGCCCGAAGTCTCACACCCAATTGGGATTTGATAGAGGTGAAGCGACATGTCGCACCCGAGAGTTGGCCACGAATGTCAGCAAGATTCTACATACGTTGTCTCTGGTCCATGCTAGATGGAGGATACAGAGTGACCTACACGAGGTGGCGGAATCGGTATGCTAATACTCGATATTTTTACAAATTGCGTCATAGCAAGATTGAGAAATTGCTTCACAAGTTGTTGGCTTGGTTGATGCTTCTCATCATTGCCATCGGCGTAGCCGGCGATTTACAACCTCTTCTTCAAGAACACTGTATTCTTGCACTGTGCATCACTGCCGGTCTGGTCGTATTCAACAAGCTTCAGGACCACTAGAAGCAGTGTTCTCTCAGAGGCGGGTTAAGCGAATGAACAGAGAGCTATGAAGGATGGATCATGGACCTTTTAACGTTTTTCATATGTTTCCCGACTATCAATACATGAGTAATTTTCCGTCTTTTCTTTTGCATCGTGAAATTTTGATACACAACGATGACGTTTATAGAGCGAGCATGACCAGTCCAACAGCACCTCCTATAAGTCCAAGGGACACATCCCGTCGCTCAGCCGCGCCCTCGAAAGGCACTGTAGTCGGCCTTGCACCGCCTCCACCAGTGCCAGTCGCACGTCCCCGTCCATTCCCACCACCGCTCCCACCTCCATTTCCAGCCGTCGCGTTCGCCCGCCCATCCACCGTGAAGAAGTTACCCGCGATTGGCATATCCAGCCTGTTATCCGCCATGAACTTGTTAATGTCGAAGTTGAACCGAGCATCAGTAGTCGCAAAGTCAGTTGCCTGGACTCTGAGTGTTGACGGTTCCTTGAACAGGAGCTGTACATAGCGATGCGCCATTGTGTCTGTTGCTGGAGGGCCAGGAGGAAGATACATTGCAGGGCCTTGCTGCCTCGATGCCAGAATCGTCGCTGAGCCGCTGATCCTTTGCTGTGTGGCTTTGAAGCCAGTGTTCATTGCGTGCAGCAGGACGCGGCGGGTTGTGCTGCCTTGTGCAGGTGGCACGTCGAGGTCGAGCATGACGAACATGAATGTGTCTGCTGCGGTCATGTTGTTGCTCGCAAGGGCGATTCGGGGCTCGTCCATTGTTGTGGCTTTGGGAAGGAGTTCGCCCGGCGTCCTGACTGAGGTCGTGTTGAAGAAGAGCTCGAGCTTGGTGTTGACGGCGGGAGTGAAGCCTTTGGGTGTTTGCGCATGTGCCAAACTCGCCAAAGCGGCGACTACCATTGAAGAAGAGATATACATGATGAAGATGTATGTACTGTATGAAGGCGAATTCTATGTGTGAATAGGCACAGGAGAACGTATGGTCGACCAGCGATCTAATGATTAAATTGCTATGTCCTCGCAGAGGTGGCGTTGGAAGTGAGGCAGCATCGTCACCATATAAGCTACTCGAAGAGGCCGCGTCTGCGCATCTTCAACGCCTTGACCTTGGCACGCCTGTCACCAAACTGATTCATTGATGTGACATGATGATCGAACCTGGGCTGGCCTGAGCTGGCCATCCTTGTGTCTGAAACGGGTAGCGCTTGAGACCGTCTAAACCTGCCTTGGCAACGTACACCACGACAATGCTGAAGACGGAACAAGAGACTAGGGGTTAAAGTCGCGACAGGCTAGCCCGGACTTTCGCGTCCATTCATGACGAGCGCACGCCACTCTTGACGTGATGCTGATGTTTCGAGACGTTGACAGGACTACGCGGCCTGTGCGACGCTGTGAACACTATGTCGAAGCATGCGAAACACGCAACAGAAAGGCACAGTCAGCTTTTTTCCATTCGTTGAAATGTAGAGACAGAGGTGGCGTGTTTCATGAACTCGAAATCTGGAGTGCCATCATCAAAGCGCTATAGATGACTGCCTATATTCGCCTAACAGCAGAATAGTTCATGTGCTTGGAGCAACTCGAGGACGATGCTCGGCGCATTGATGATGTGCATTGAATGGGCAACGGCTTGGGAATCGTGATTATATGGTCTGGGCCATGGAATTTCTGTACGAATTGTAGCAAGAGGAGCCAATTCGATAGGACGATGTCACGCTCTGGCTGTGATAGATCCGCTCCGGGATCAATGCTGCCTATGGTATGTCAAGCAAAACCTAAAATGGACATGAGGAAATCAGTGAAATTTGCTCGTAGATGCCCCTTGTAGGGATTGGACGAAGATCAGCGAGCATTAGTCGTGCGCGTGGTCAGGAAGTGTGTTTCTGTTGACATTGCGTGGAGTGACAATGAGACCTATTCCTCATAGTTTCATCTAGGTGATTGTGACCCGATCCACAGAAGATTTGGTAATGACTGGACATCAAAAGAAAAGCGTATAGCATGACTTCGAACTGATGATGCTTCGGATGATTGTGATAAAGGTGAAAGATACAGCTGTGGAGGTGCAGCCGAACCCACGCTAGTGATGCACGTGTCCCCGCGTTTTGGCGCGCTTTCGCCTCTTCGCGTCGGCCTCTATGCTCGATCCAGCGCCAACCGCTCTCGCTTTTGCACGACGTCATTGATTCTTGCACTTTTGTCCAATTTATATACCCCGTTTCCGATGACCGAGACAGAACCTCAAGATAAGTCAGAGGAGGAGGCAAAAGAGATGCCTCGATGGCCGCTCGCATACAAGCTGCAGGCCCCCTAAGACGCAAGCCCAACCGTCACTACAGGCTTCTCGGCTTTGACTCGAGTCGACCGGCAAAGAAATGCTGGTGGAGCTATCGAATGTATAAGAATGCCGACAACAAGTTACCGGAAATACTGTACAGTAAGACTAAAGAGGACTCGGAAAAGATAGTGAAGCAATTTCTCAATGAACCCGTTGTGGGTTTTGATATGGAGTGGCCGTGGAATGATTGGAAGAAAGAGACTCTTCAGAACAAAATCGGACTCATTCAAATCGCATCGGAGTCGAAGATTGGATTGATTCATATTGGCTTGCACCCCGGAAAGACGGTCCAGGACATCATTGCGCCGTCACTCAAAAAGCTGATCGAAGATCCGAGCATTGGGAAGCTTGGTGTCGGCATCTTGCATGCAGATTTTGCGCGTTTACGTCGATTCTTCAAATTGTCACCTCGAGGTGCAGTAGAGTTGAGCCATCTATATCGACTAGTCAAGTTTGGTGGCAACAAACCGGAACATGTGTCGACCAAGATGGTGAGCCTTGCGCGTATCGTTGAGGACCAACTGGGTCATCCGCTGTACAAGGGCGACGTGAGAACGAGTAATTGGAGCAAACCACTGTCGACGGATCAGATCAACTATGCAGCGGGCGATGCATATGCTGGGTACATGCTTTACCATTGTATGAACTACAAACGCCTCCAGATGAAGCCAACACCGCCCTTGCCAGTGCACGCGGAAACTTACCAGACATACAAGATGTCAGGAATCAATGCGCTGAGACTGGACGGTAAAGCCAAGGACGGAACTGTCATGACTTCCGAAACCTTCTTCGGGGTTGCAATGAGCGACAGTGTCGCTTCTAAGAAGGGTGGTACTGTGGAAGAGAAGAAATCGCCAGCGACGTCGAAATCCAAAGCTCTAGTGATACCAAAGGAGCTCACAGATGCGGCATCTCAAGCATTGTATCAAGAGTTGGTCATATGTCGAGCCGAGCTTGCTGAGAAAGCAGGCCTTCCGGCTTACAGAATCAGCAGCAACACTGTACTCGTCGCGCTTGCTCTGCAGCGGCCAGCAGACAAAGATCAGCTACTATCTGTCAAAGGCGTGGGGGCAAAAACGCAAGAAACTTACGGTCAGGCGTGGCTAGATGTCATTGCAAAGTACTTGGACTCGGACCCCCTGCCCGTAGCCGCTGTGGCTACGGATTCCGCAATAGCTGCGGATCCTGAATCCGAGCAGCATGTTGCAGTAGAACCTACAAGTACACCAGTCCGATCTCCTAGGCGCAAGCAGAAACAAGATGACGACTCTTCAGACTCTTCTGCAGCTTTTGGGAGTCCAGTGCAGCGCACACCTCAGTTACATACTGGTCTATCATTCACCATGGCAGAAACAAACCTAAACGCCGAAGAAGCAGACACTGAGCAATACGAGTCGGACGCGTCCTTACCGTCCTTGGACTTTGGCGACACACCTTCACTTCTACCCCCGCAACTGAAGCGCAAGCGCACGGAGAGTCCAATGCGAGAAGCTTCACAACGTTTACAGCAAATGACTCGACCGCGCGAAGACATCTCCATAGCTCCTCCGGAAGCCATCAGCACACCGAAGAAAGGCACAACAGCGCCCCAAGTACCTCTCACACCGCAGTCAAGAATCACGCGTAACAAGCTGCAAGCATTCAGCAAACTAGTGACGCGCAAAATGGCGCAACGACCCGTAGATGCACCTCCCATTATCTCAGAACGCACGCTGAGTTTGATTGTTGTGCGGGCACCACAGACGATGAAAGAGCTGGAGCGAATACCCGGGATCGATGCGTTGATTCTCGCGTGTCAACAGACGGGGACAGATTTGTTGAAGAATGTTGTCAAGTTTGCTGGAGCATCGAATTGACGGGGCATGGATTAGAGTAATATTGTGTAGTTGATAGGTCGTTTTGTGATACCCAATTTTGAAGCATATCATTACTGTTGTAAAGCATGGCCCGATGTCGCTACTCACGTGGAGTGCAGCAAACAGCGAAGTGGAGAGACGATTCGAATGTTGCTCCTTTGAGTATGTGGGGGCCCTCGTGGTTTTCGGATAATTTTGAGCGATCGGAGGCGAGGGATGCATGCATCCGAAGTATTTGACGATTATTCATCGTCACGAGCCGGACCTCGGGAAAGCTGAAGTATGTGCGTGCTAACGGCTTTCTAGCAGAAGGATATTGGTCCAATCGCCGGCTGCAATCTTCAGAATTGGTCGCCTTGACGGTCAATTAATGTTCAGGGTCGGTTTGACACACGTAAGATGCGCACGTGGAGAGCGTTTAGAGCAGCGATCTGCGGCGACTAAGCATGTGCGCCAACCCCGACTCTGACGTCTTGTACCGCGACAATGGCATGCTTTTGTGTGCGGTTTGTAGGCTTCAGCATAGCGGCATCTTCAGCGTCCGTATAACAACTGCTCGATGAAGTCGGCATTCCTTATCGTCTCAGCGGCATGTGTTTGGCGTCGCTGTGCGGCTGTTTAGAGGCGCCAAGACGCATGTGTGGCGTTGGATTGGTGTGGATTGACGAGCATGTGATACAGGAAGATTGACATGTGAGAGGCACGGCTTTGTCGTCGCTTCGCCAATTCGCTGCCCGCCGCCTCCTCACGTCTTGCGCTGGCACATCCAACGGCTATCCCCATTGCTCTACTGATTAATCGACCTCGCACTCGACACTCGCTACTGACGTGACCATGTTAGCGTCGAGCTGACGTTCGAGGGACCCCTTACAGACATTGTCACACGCAACCAGCGCCCTCGACAGGTCCGCGGAGTGTCATACCCCATCGAGCAGCCCTCCGAGGACGCATTGCACGCTTTATCGATTGCAGCGGACATAGCGACACGAGCGACGGACTTTGCGAGCGACTGCGATAGTTTTCGCGCTGGTCTGGGAGTGGAGGAAAGTGAACGTGGGGTGCCAAAGTCGTCATCCGGAAGGGTCCACGACCTCGAAGACAGCATGCAGGAGGAGCAACAGCGCCCGCCGCCGCCGGCGTATGCCCAGCACGAGCCCGAATCTTTTCACCTCCCGTCGGTTCCAACACATGTTCCGCACACGACACAGAGCAATGGCCGCCTGCCGGGCATCAGGTCGCTCGACCTGCCAGACGCCATGGCGCCACGTCATAGCCCGCACAACTCGGTGGAAATAAGCCCCAGGCCGCAATTCGACGGTGCGCAATGGGGGCACTTGCCTTCGCTGCACAGTGCGACGTTCCCACGCGTGCCCGAGGGGCTGCCGAGAATGCCTGAAGACATGGGAAGCCCAATGGACACGGCGAGTGTGTGGAGTGCGCAGGATGAGAAGGCGAGGAGGGAGATGAGCGTCAGTATTGAAGACCCGGATGTGAGACAGGCTGCCGAAGCGCTGAGTGGCTTGGGCAATCCAGGTATGTCTTGAATGCAACGTTTGATGACAGTCATGCTAAGTCGCGGCAGACTTTGTACGCTCGCCAACTGCGCCATCAGTCACGCTGTCCGCCCACTCACCGACCGCTGATCCTGAGCCTCTCCTGTCGCTTCTCACGTCAAACCACCCATGGCTTGGAGGCACCATCAACGGCTCCATCTCAGCATACAACACCACAAAAGGCTACACGCCACGTTTTGTCCAGTATGGCGCCGAGCTCATTGAGCGCAACATTGGATCGCCAATGGTCAACACCGTGTCTTCAGTCGGCAGAAGGACAGGCATGGAGCAGAACATCCGCAAGTACCTCGGCGAGCAAGGCAGGCGGCCAAGCGACCTTGAAGCCGGCGACGATGACATGTCGCGGAAACGGCAACGACGCGAGAACCCGTCTGATGACGCCATGGACATTGATGATGGCGCGGCTGCTTCGCGGACGAGGGCTACCTCGCGATCCTCCTTCGCCGAGTCGCTGCCTGCATACGACGACCAGCGATCACCAAACTATGAGGAGACTGCTGTGGCTCCGGCATCTACAAACGGCAAAGAGCCAGCACATCAGCAGCAGCGGCAGCACGACCGAAGAACACCATGGTCTACACAGCTCATCATGACCACATCCGGTCTCGGTGTCGCCCTATCCGAACCCTCCCTCCGCTCACTCAGACTCTGTCTCAAGCTCCTCCGCAGCGCCACAACCCGCATCGACACCATAATGAAATCCCTCAAACTCGTCCTCGAAGAGTACGAAGCAGCACTGGCGCGCCGCCGCCCCCACGACGTCGAAGCCCCGCACGAGGAACTCAACGGCACAATGGCGCAAATGGGCCTCGTCGACAGCGAACAAGACGCCCAAGTCCGCATTATCGCCGACCGCATCAAGCAATACAGCTCCGAAATCTGGACCACCCTGCAGTCCGTCGTGCAAGCCGTGTCGCGCTACACAGGCGGCGCGCTCCCGCAAAATGCCTCGCAGGTTGTGCGCACGCAATTGCTCAGCGTTCCGCAGCGCTGGCAACTCGCGGGCCAGCAGGCGGATGGCGATGCGCAGCAGGGCGAGGCGGTCAGAGGCGCGAATCGCATGTTGGCGTTTGCGAAGGAGGGGCTGGACATGATGGGCCAGATTACGACTGTTGTTGATGGCACCGTGCAGAGTGCTGAGACCTGGTTGAATCGGATTGGGAGACGCGCGCCGGCGAGTCGGGCGGGTGAGGGGAGTGTGCAGGGCGGGGAGAGGGATAAGACTCCGCTGGCGTCATCAAATGGGACCCATGTGGCTGAGAAGCGGTAGCGTGTGGATAAGAGCAGAGGAACGACGAAAGACGATATGTAAAGGGACAAAACCCTGGACCGACATCTACCAGCATCAAATTTCCTTTGTGTACATCAGTGTGTGCCTCATCAGCGAGAATGCTACATCCACTTTTTTGCGAGCGATTCTTTTTTTGCACAAAGGAGCATTTCACTAGAGGATGCCGTCGAAACATGCGAGCTTGATATTCCTGTCTTCTACATACGAGCGATGAAAAGCTAGATTCAAGGTTTTGCGGTGGGTTAAGCAATACATCAAGTTTCATAGATTTGGTGCTGCTTGCATGGACATGGACATGGACATGTTCAAACGCCTTTGCTCAATACATACCGTCACAACTAACATACTCCTTCAGTCGTCTTTTTCGGGAGGCAAAAGAGGTACCTTGACACACCCCTTCATCACTGCTAGCGCTGGTTTGTTCACGCGCGCAAACGCGGCGAGGTTGGGCTGTGGCTTGCTCGAGGGGGGTCGCGTGGTGCAGTTCTGGGGGTAGGCGGGATGATAAGGAGAGGTTTGGAGAGGCAAGGGAAGGGGGATTGGGTTTGGGGGATGGGTTGTGTTATGTGGTTGTGTTTGGATATGAGGGGTGTGTAGAATGGTGCCTGGGATGTCAGGCAACAGCGAGCAGGGATCTGGTGAGCATGAGGGGCAGTTAATACTACTGCACGGACGATGTCAAGCAAGTCTGAGAGTTTGTGTTCGCGACCTTGGGACACCGTATTGAACACGGTGTCGTATTGTACCGAGATGTCGTCAACCATGCGGCCGGGTACATGTCGGGCCGGTGTTGTGTGTTGTATGGAGCAATCGCATCGTCCGGTCTTGAATCCGTCGGTAGATGTTTCTGGAACGTTGAACATGGGCTTGGTATCAAGTGTAGGCCGGTAGTTCTGTGGCGGGTCGAACCGCTGTTAGGATGCTGCTGTAGTTGTCTTGATGAAAGGCTTCCTTCTAGGATTGTTCAGGACTTCGCCAAGATCTTGCACATGGGTAAAACGTCAGGTTGGCTTTTGGAGTCTCCATTGTGAGACCTATCGATAGTTTACGGTAACTCATTGTGAATAGTATGACTCGATGAAGTCGCGGACCGTCTCTCAGCAAGGTGTTCTAAACTTATCCAGAATGGACTAGTAAGCGCGGTGAAAATCTCCTTTGTAACTGTATATAGGCCAACCGCAACGTTTTCAATTGATTCACTCACCGATTACGAAATGATGTTCGGCGTGGTGGTGCAAGGAGGAACAAATGACGATGCTAGCGCCCTTTTTTAGATGAACGGAGACACAAGAGTGCGATTTTCCGTCGATACTTAGTATGAGTGAGAATGAGTCTTAAGATGTGTGGTGCGGCTTGACTTCCATATACGGAAATCAGGGGTTTAGTGATCCGTTTCAGATGCCTATCGTAGCGCCTGCCAGACAAAGACCCTTGCTGCATGGCTTACAAGCTTCACCGGAGGGAGTGCAGTGCTTGGTTAAGGTGGTGGTGACTCGGAGGTTTGACCTGACAATGCATGAGACATGCTGCAGAGTAATCGCTTTGCTTTGTTCGTCCGATATGCAGGTCGACATTTGAAGGGTTCACATCGGGACAATGGCTGTATGTGGAACAATGTCGGAGTCAATATGACTCGAATAATTGTCTCCAACCGCTGCGGCTGACAAACGCTGTCCCCACTTGAAGTGGATATGGCCCTCGACTATCAGCCCTAGGAACGCATCTGCGCGCCGCAAAGGATTGCGAAGGGGGTGCAATAAGTTCCTGCGAAACCACAGATAACGGCTGTTACGCGTGTCAGCTGTGTCTGGTTTTTGCGATGCCTGTGAAGGAAGTTTGCTCCAGCCTGAGAGTTGACGTCACCTGACGCCCGAGTACAAGGAGCAGCAACGTGCCAGAAGCGGAATTAATCTGATTGCTCGTGGGTGGCTGGTGACAGCTGCATTTCTTGGATGCCGATCCGCCCACCGCGGGTTCCGCTGCCAATGCCGCCGAAACTGGTCCGCTCTAGTCCGTTCTACAATCACAGCCGATACCGACAACCGTGCTCCCCCTACCGGTGTGTGGGTCGAATACCACGCCGTCGCTAGCTGCCATCGTAAACTCTGCTCTTAGCCCTTCTGAGATCTTGGGGAGATCCACCCAATCTTAACTCCGGAAGGCAACATCGGAGCCGCCCTTTTTGCTTTTATTTAATTAGCCGTTGTTGCGCAAGTCATTCGCGCCTGATTACTTTCTGTTCTTGTTTTGCTTGCGTGCACATTGTCGTTCCTTTCAAGTGCCTCTCGCTACCCACCCGCGAGACGTAGTGTCTCAGATACTGCCCTGGCCGCTCTCGGTCTTATAGATTCGAAGGAAGATACTCACTAGGTGCTTTCTGCACCTGTCAACGACCGGCGCCATGGATAACTCCAACCATTCCACCATTCGCGAGGAATCCGACGGCAAGACATACGAGGCAATCCACCCAGAGGGACAGCATGTGAAGCATGACAACGATAGTGTCCGCACAGCTTCAGTCGACAACGACGCAGCGCCAAACACACAACAATTTAATGAGAAGGGCTTCGTCGATGTCCAAGGAGGAGTTAATGTGCACAGGGCTGAGCAAGACTTTGCAGAGCTCTCCAAGGAGCTGTCGCGCACAAGCCAGGTCTCGCGCAGATTGGATCGCGTACAGAGTCGGCACAGCCGTAAAGATCAAGCCGTCACAGATGTTGAAAAGAGTGCTATTGCATCATCAGACGCCTCCTCGGACGAGCCTTTCGACCTCGAGAAGACATTGCGAGGCGGCCAAGAAGACCAGGAGGCTGCTGGAATCAAGTCGAAGCGTATTGGCGTTGTCTGGGACAATTTGACTGTTTCTGGTATTGGTGGTGTAAAGAACTATGCAAAAGTAAGTCGGAATCAGCAAGTGGTATACAACAAAGCCAAGACTAACGTGACGGCTAGACTTTCCCTGACGCCTTCGTATCGTTCTTTAATGTTTTCGAGACCGTCGCAAGCCTGCTTGGAAAAGGCAAGAAAGGAAAGGAATTTGACATTCTCAAAGACTTCAAGGGTGTGGTGAAGCCGGGCGAGATGGTCCTGGTCCTCGGCAGGCCTGGAAGCGGATGCACTTCATTCTTGAAAGTCATCAGCAACCAGCGCTATGGATACACCAAGGTGGACGGAAACGTACTCTACGGTCCTTTCGATGCAGATTTCTTCGAGAAGCGATACCGTGGAGAGGCTGTGTACTGCGAGGAGGATGGTACGTTTTCTCACCTTCGTTACGCGATCAACTTGAAATGCTAACAATGATATCCAGAAAACCATCACCCTACGTTGACAGTCGGTCAGACGCTAGATTTTGCGCTCGAAACCAAGGTTCCTGGCAAGCGACCTGCGGGGCTTTCCCGTAAGGACTTCAAGGTGAAGGTCATCGACCTGATGTTGAAGATGTTCAACATTGAGCATACCAGGAACACGATTGTCGGCAACCCATTCGTCCGCGGAGTATCTGGAGGAGAGCGCAAGCGAGTGTCGATTGCCGAGACTATGATTACTGGCGCATCTCTCATGTCTTGGGACAACTCAACCAGGGGTCTTGATGCTTCGACTGCGGTGGACTACGCTCGTTCGCTGAGGGTTTTGACCAACATTTACAAGACCACTACTTTTGTTTCTCTGTACCAGGCTTCCGAAAACATCTACAATTGCTTTGACAAGGTCCTAGTCATCGACAGCGGACGACAGGTGTACTTCGGCCCTGCCAAGACCGCGCGTGCCTACTTCGAGGGTCTCGGTTTTCTCGAGAAGCCCCGTCAAACCACTCCTGACTACCTCACTGGATGCACAGACCCCTTTGAGAGAGAGTTCAGGCCTGGTATGACCGAGAAGGACGTTCCTTCGACACCCGAAGCACTTGCCGAAGCCTTCAACAAATCTGAACACGCTGCGCAACTGGCTACTGAGATGGAAGAATACCGGGCTCGCATGGCAGAGGAGAAGCACGTGTACGACGACTTCCAGACCGCCGTAGCGGAGAGCAAGCGCCACGCGCCCAAAAAATCCGTCTACTCGATACCCTTCTACCTACAAGTTTGGGCTCTTGCTAAACGCCAATTCCTCCTGAAATGGCAGGACAAATTTGGTCTCGGTGTCTCCTGGTTCACTTCGCTCGTCATTGCCATCATCACTGGTACCGTGTGGCTCAACCTCCCCAAGACCAGCGATGGCGCTTTCACCCGTGGTGGTGTGCTCTTCATTGCCCTCCTGTTCAACGCTTTCCAGGCCTTCTCTGAACTTGCTTCGACCATGTTGGGCCGACCGATTGTCAATAAGCATCGTGCGTTTTCGTTTCATCGACCTTCCGCCCTGTGGATCGCCCAGATCGGTGTCGACCTGCTGTTCTCATCCGCTCAAATCCTGGTATTCTCCATCATCGTCTACTTCATGACGAACCTCTTCCGAGATGCTGGAGCATTCTTCATTTTCTACCTGATGATTGTCACAGGCTACTTGGCCATGACGTTGTTTTTCCGAACAGTAGGTTGTCTGTGCCCAGATTTCGACGTTGCCATCCGTCTCGCTGCTACTATCATCACACTCTTCGTTCTCACTTCGGGTTATATCATTCAATGGCAGTCCGAACAGGTTTGGCTGCGATGGATTTTCTACATCAACGCGCTAGGTCTCGGCTTCTCGGCACTGATGATGAACGAATTCAAACGCCTGACCCTGACATGCGCCGGTACCTCTTTGATTCCATATGGTCCCGGATACAATGACATCAACGCACAAGTCTGTACTCTGCCCGGTAGCCGCGCAGGATCAATTGAAGTATCAGGTACCGACTATATCAAAACCTCGTTCACGTACGACTCCAACGACTTGTGGAGAAATTGGGGCATCATGATCGTTCTCATCGTCGCTTTCCTCCTCGCCAACGCCTTCCTTGGTGAATTCGTCAAATGGGGTGCTGGTGGCCGTACCGTTACCTTTTTCATCAAGGAGACCAAGGAGCTTAAGGAACTAAATGAGAAGCTCCGCGAAAAGCGTGATAGGCGTAACTTGAAGGAAGAGCGGACCGAAGACAGCTCAGACCTCAACATTACTTCCAAGGCTGTCCTTACATGGGAAGATCTCTGCTATGACGTACCTGTCCCTTCTGGAGAGCTGCGATTGCTGAAAAACATCTTCGGCTATGTCAAACCTGGCCAACTTACCGCGCTCATGGGTGCTTCTGGTGCTGGAAAGACTACGCTTCTCGATGTGTTGGCCAACCGCAAGAACATTGGTGTCATCTCTGGTGACAAGCTTGTGGATGGAAAGACCCCAGGAATTGCTTTCCAGCGTGGAACTGCCTATGCCGAGCAACTCGATGTTCACGAGCCTGCCACAACTGTCCGCGAAGCGCTGCGCTTCTCTGCTGATTTGCGTCAACCGTATGAGACCCCTCAGGCCGAAAAGTACGCTTACGTCGAGGAGGTCATCTCTTTGTTGGAGATGGAGGATATCGCGGATGCCATCATTGGTGACCCAGAGACCGGTCTCGCCGTCGAACAGCGCAAACGTGTAACCATCGGTGTCGAGCTTGCCGCCAAGCCTGAACTACTCCTCTTCCTGGACGAACCTACTTCTGGTCTCGACTCCCAGAGTGCCTTCAACATCGTGCGTTTCCTCCGCAAGCTTGCTGCTGCTGGCCAAGCCATTCTGTGCACTATCCATCAACCGAACTCCGCCCTTTTCGAGAACTTCGACCGCCTACTGCTTCTTCAGCGTGGTGGAACTTGCGTCTACTTTGGTGAAATTGGCAAAGATGCGCATGTGCTTCTGGATTACTTCCGCAGGAACGGTGCTGACTGCCCTCCATCTGCCAACCCCGCTGAGTGGATGCTGGACGCCATAGGTGCTGGTTCTAGCCACCGTATCGGAGACAAGGACTGGGCAGACATCTTCCGGGACTCACCAGAGTTTGCTGAAGTCAAGCGCGAAATCGCCGCGATCAAGGAGCAGCGTGCCGCCGACGTGTCATCGGCCGCAGATGTCATGCAGAAGGAATACGCTACTCCAATGTCCTTCCAGATAAAGCAAGTCGTCAACCGCCAGAACCTCAGTTTCTGGAGGACTCCCAACTACGGCTTCACTCGCTTGTTCAACCATGTCATCATCGCTCTACTTACCGGTCTCATGTACTTGCAGCTCGACGACTCTCGCTCTTCGCTCCAGTACCGTGTTTTCATCATCTTTCAGGTCACCGTTCTCCCGGCCCTCATTCTCGCTCAAGTCGAGCCCAAGTATGCGATTGCCCGTATGATCAGTTTCCGGGAGCAGATGAGCAAGGCGTACAAGACATTCCCCTTTGCGCTGTCCATGGTCATCGCCGAGATGCCCATACAGCATCCTATGCGCTGTCTTCTTCTTTATCCCACTATACTACATCCCCGGTCTCAACTCCAGCTCTTCGCGCGCAGGATACCAATTCTTCATCGTCCTCATCACCGAGGTTTTCTCCGTCACGCTCGGCCAGGCTGTTGCGGCATTGACACCCACGCCCTTCATTGCCTCATACGTCAACCCCTTCGTAAGTCTGCCCCCATCACCTCCACCCACTCGTCACATACTAACTCCACCAGATCATCATCATCTTTGCCCTCTTCTGTGGTGTTACGATTCCCAAGCCCCTAATCCCCAAATTCTGGCGCGTCTGGCTCTACGAGCTCAACCCCTTCACACGCCTGATCGGCGGCATGGTCGTGACCGAACTGCACGGCCGCAAAGTCGAATGCACGCCCGGCGAATACCAGCAATTCCGCGCGCCCGATGGCCAGAATTGCGGTGAATACATGGCGGATTTCTTCAGCAGCGGCGCGCCGGGCTACATCCTGGACAACGCGACCAACGTATGCAGGTACTGCGCGTACAAGGTCGGCGACGAGTTTTTCGAGCCGCTCGGGTTTTCGTTTAGCAATCGATGGAGAGATTTGGGCATTTTTGCTGCGTTTATTGCGAGCAATCTGGCCATTTTGTTCTTGGCGGCAAGGTTTTTGAACTTTAACAGGCGATGAGCGAGATGCGGATGCATATTTCACATAATATCCCGGTTTACTCATTGTACGCACGTCATTGCATCAGCATGTTTCGTCAAAAGTTTAGCAACCCTTTAGATTTATTTACCCTGGAGCTACAGAGCATAGAGCGCGCATCGGATGGCGTTTGCTGTACGAAAAAGTCATAGCATAGTTTCCATAATACGCATGTTTTTTAATGTTCACTTGCTTTGGACTTCACGTTGAGATGTGCGAATAGCTTTTCGTACAGGTACTCCGGACTTCAAGTCCAGATATGCAAATTATTCTTGATATTTGTACTCCCATCACTGACATGTTCTGGCTTTGTGCCATGTCTCAATATTCATATTTGATGCACGTTGAATTCGCATGTGAGTTGTCTCACCCAAGATCTTCACACGAATGAGACATGCCGAAAACATTGCATCTTCGCTTTATCTCCTTGCGTCTTCGTTACTTTAACAGTGCAGCGTCTATCAATCTATCACCGTCGCTATATGAACTTCTCGCATCAACAGTAACACTACATCAACAAAACCGTCAAAACTCCTTCCCAGGCTCCGGCAGCTTAAAACCTACACCATGTTCACAAGCCTAACCTTAACAGCGCTACCCAAAAATACACAAAAGATATTCGTCACAATAACATCAACGCTCCCTGCGGATTTTCCAGCGTCTTCACTCTCACTCCGACCGCACCGCTCCCCAGTGCCACACCCACCTTCGCCTTCCACACTGTCGACGTCAATCAGACAATCCACCTATCCCCGCCCCTCTCCCCCAGGCTTTCTATACCCGGACCCCATCGTCCCGCGTGCAGTGCAGAACCAATTACAACACGCATACACGACGCAGTGCACCGATATGACGGGCCACGCGACCAGCAACGTGATCTGGTACCTCCCCTACGGCCTCGAAGTGCTGATCTTCACCGTCATGGTTATCGGCCTCGCGTGGGCGGGGCGCGTGTTTTTGCTCACGTTTCCGCCGCGCACGTGGAGGGCGAAGAAAGAAGGGGAGAAGGAAGAGAGGAGGCCGGTGAACAAGCCGTCGAAGTATGCTGGGAGAGATGCGCATGGACGAGGGAATACGTCGGCGAGGGAAGGAATGGAAGAACATGTGGAGTTGAAACACCGCCGTCAGCCTGAGCATCAGCGGTCAAAGTCTTCTCCCGCGCCAGCGATACACTTCAACATACCAGCCGCAATCGATTCACCGCCAAATCCCTTCCTCTATCCCCCGTCCCCAACACAATACCTCTCGCCACCACACGCCCTCCAACCCCGCACCTCGTCGGAATGGCTCAGGCAGCACGCCGCGTTCTTCTCTGCGACGTCGAGCTCATATTCTCACGCGTCGTCAGTCGAGTACGACCAGGAGTATGATATTGAAGCGCTTGAGGCCGGGACTGCGCCAAGGAGCCCGAGCTTGAAGGCGCATAAGAAGAATCTGAGCTGGGCAGATTTGAGCTTGGAGAGGATGGAAGGTGCGGTTAGTGGGTGGATGGGCAAGGTAGCGAGGTGGACAGATGATGATGGGGATGAGGGGGTCTTGTTGCCTGTTGTTAATGGGAGACAGCAGATTAAGGCGCAGTGAGGAACGAGGATGGCGGTCTTGGAAACGAGAGATAATGGGCTCAGGTGATCGCGAGATGAGCATTGGGAGATGAACTTCAGATGAAGATGTAATTATTTGCTAGACATAGAAAGAGAAGTCGTCTGTCGAATTAGGTGAAAGATCGTCCAAATGTATCCCCACAAGATTGCCAAAGTGAAAATTGAAGTAGTCCATGTGTCAGTAGCCTGTGGTTGAGGAAGAGTTGAAGACCGGAGGCTGTATGGTTCCGAGGCCGTATCAGCAGTTTACTACGCGCCGATAAGCCAATGATATTACTGTCAGACGTTCAACATGAACGGGTGTTCTGAGAGTGCTGACAGTCCAGCCACAGCGCGCATGAATTATTGCGACATCTGTGGAAGGTAGAAGATGAGATGACGCCGATTACGCCACGAAGACTGTGGAAAAGCTCGCCGAGAATTGAAGCGACATCGCTGAGTGAGAGGCAAGGAGCACTCATGGCGCGAAAGAACGCGACAAGAGCTGAACCTAAGCAAGCAAGGTTTAGTTCAGTGGTGGTCAGTCCCGGCAGAGTGGAGAACTCACCGATGGGTCTCATCATTACCCCAGAGTTCAGATTTGCAATGGCGCAAGGGCGTCTAGCTTCGCGTAAAGTCAGTAAGCCCGGGTGTCTTCGGGTCACACAACGTACTGAGGGTAGGCGGTTCCAGCTTGCTGGACTTGGGGGCGGCTGTGGAGGAGGTGATGGTGGATCATCGCGTGAGCGGTGTTGAGAGTGCATGTTGATTGTTTCACTCGCTGGACCGGACCAAGTGCTCGCGTTCTGAGTCTTGTCGAAGTCGATGAGCGAAGTTGTGTTCACTAGCATGATGGCCATGTTGACTGCTTTGACTGGGTGTGTGATTCGATGCGAATGGGAAGATCACGTAAAGTGGTGAATTGTGTTCAAGAAGGAATTGAATAGTAGTCAGATGGTGTGGGCGAGAGAAGCTGGAGAGTGCCTTGAGGAAATACTAATGTGCTTCTTCTGCTTTAAGTAGACCACGGTAAAACTCTGGCGAGTGGCTGCCAGGGGGGTATGCCTTGCTGGCAGACATGTCTGAAAGCTGATGAGGCAACCCGCTTTGCAACGGCCCGTCCGGGAAGACGGGAAAGCAGATGTTAAGCATGGCTAAGTTCCAAATAACCGTGACAGGAATGAAATTCTGAATTCGTTGACATGGGGTACAATCGGCGGGTGAAGCTCTTCCCCGGACTCAAAGATTTAGTAGAGCCTGTAAGATGACACTCCAATGACGGCTAACAAACGTGGCTGCGATGGAAGGCTAAATACCTTCTGTGTTACCAAAGGATAGCTACAGTTGCAAACGTACGATTCGCTGGGGAGATCATGGCGTATCCGGTCTGGAAGGACGCGCAATGCCAGATCGATGTGTCATTGGTTATGCGAAGGGTCGAAATGGCGGTCTATGGTCTGCAGCTGTAGATAAACGGCAACATGTCGATAGCCGACTCTCAGATGCTGGAGCTGCCTTTGAGCCGCAGCATTGAATCAAAAGAGTGTGAACATGTGACTTGAGTACGGAACCTATCCGATCGTATTGCATACGCGGCTCAGGGTACGCGGTGAAGCGAAATTGTTTGTGTTCATGGAGTGAAGCTAACCACTGGGCAGGAAACGGTAGCAATAGACGGATGCACAGTGACGATGGCGAGCATGGAATACAGTCCTCGTACACAAGTGGTGGCCAGCGCTATGGGTGCCAAAGATCGGATGAGCGGAATTGCGCTTGGGTGAAGGCACGACACGAGATGGGGAAGAGGTCGCGCTAAGCACGTCGCGGCGCCAAGACCGACGCGCCTGTCACCCATCGCGACTTCCTTTGAGCTCTCACTCAGCAGTCGCAAACAGCGATCACGCGCAACCACCTCCCCCCTCCACTGTCGCATTCCAAACAGCCCCGGCAGAACATCCTACTGCCATCACACCCGCCCGGCAGCCAATTCCGCGGCTAGATACCGTTTCGTCGTCGCTGCGCACATCCGACATGTGCTTGACCAGTTTGTAGGGCTGGCAGTCACACGCACCAGTTCTGCATCACCCGTCTAGTGACACCCTCTCCGCCCTCCCATCGGCCCAGTACAGACAGCCGATTCAATAAAACAATAGACAAGGCGTCTTCCAAATCCACCCGCCCCACCACTCACAACTCAGACCTCGCACCACGCCCTCCCACCAGCAATGTCCTCAGTCTGGAACCCCGACAACGTGCGCGATGTTGCCGAATCGGTCGGCATCGCTTCACTTGCTGACAATGTGGTCGAAGAGCTGGCGCGCGACGTCGACTTCCGCCTGGCCCAGGTCCTGGAAGAGGCTATGAAGTTCATGCGACACGGGAAACGGACAACACTGAGCACACACGATATCTCTCACGCCCTAAAAGTGCTGAATGTGGAGCCTCTGTACGGCTACGAATCCACCCGCCCCCTACGCTTTGGCGAAGCCTCACTCGGGCCCGGTCAGCCGCTGTACTATGTGGAGGACGAGGAAGTCGACTTTGAGAAGCTCATTAATGCTCCGTTGCCGAAGGTGCCACGAGAGATCACGTTCACAGGTATGTAATCAAGGATGCTTCTGCAGTGACCAGGCAGCGAGTCCCTAACACAGTCCAGCGCATTGGCTCGCCGTAGAAGGAGTCCAGCCGTCGATACCGCAGAACCCGACCACAAACACCGCCGACCTGTTACCAAAGGGCCCTAACGCAAATCCGCACCTCGCAGCAGCCAACGGCTTGGACAATGTCAACGTCAAGCCGCTTGTGAAACACGTGCTATCCAAGGAATCACAGGAGCTGTTTGCCAAGCTATCGAGCGCCCTCACTGATGAGACCAACATCGAATGGCAGAATGCTGCGCTTGCAGCCATTCGGACAGAACCGGGCATCCACCAGCTTACGACTTACCTGTTGAGCTTTATTGCAGAGAAGGTCACCCACAATATGAAGAACTTGTTCGTGTTGCACCAGATGATGCAGGCCACGCAAGCCCTCCTGGACAACCAGGCCATCTACCTCGACCCGTATATGGCGTATATGGTACCACCCATTTTGACGTGTTGCACAGGGAGGCACCTCGGCCCAACAACACCGCAAGCCTCTTCCAATGCCTCTTCTGAAACATTGAACAGGAATGGCGCAAATGGACCCGTATCTTCTCAATTCGATCACTTTGAGCTGCGTACATATGCCGCATCTCTTCTGAGCCGCATATGTCAGAAAGGCTCTGCGTCGAATCAGGGCTTGAAGTCACGCATTGCGCGGACTTGCTTGAAGCAGTTTATGGATCCAGACAAGTCGCCAGGCACTCATTATGGTGCTTTGCGGGCACTGATGTCTATCACTCACCAAGAGGGCGTGCAGATGCTAATTCTGCCCAACCTGAAAGCCTACAACGACGATGTACTCAAGATAAAACTGGCCGAGGAGAACAGTAGGAACGACACTGAGAGAGTGATCGGCATGCTTGTACGTGCGCTGGAAAGCGTGGCTGCATCGAGTCGGCTTCCAATTGCGAACGGCACCACCAACCTTGAGGATTTGAGGGAGCGACTTACCGAGAAAGTGGGAGACGTCCTGACTGATCGCATAATAGCGCGGCAGCGGAACGACGTCGCACAATATTTGCTCAAAGCGAACACCAATATTTGAATTGGTGACCGAGCAGTCTGTGAGGCATTACTGGCGTTTTTTAGTTGGGAAAAGGAAATGATACCACGTCTTTCGTAGAAACGTCAATAAGGCACTGCCATTATTACTCTTTGCCCAGCATATCTCAGCATAATCTTGCACCATGGTTTCGTACATTCGTGAGCATGCCTCATTGACGCCCCGCTACGGCAGGTCCTGTTTACCGGACCCTGAGGCTTATAGCGGATCCACATGACAGTGATCTGCGGTCACATCCAATGATCTCGCACACGAGAGTAAAATTCACCGGAAAGTATTCTTTACAGTAATTATCAAAACACGTCTTGTAGGAATTATCAAGTTGTAAGCAGTCACGGCTCTTTCTTGTTTCAGCGCACTTCCTGTGCACGTCCGCAATCATCCCCCTAACAAGACAGTACAGTTCATTTCCTCTTCTTTACACACATGACGCACTTGCCCCATATGTTTCGCTTACTGTGCTAGTGCGCACTAGCCGCGACTCGCCTTCCCAGAAACGAAACCTGCATCCGCCTCCGCTTCGACGACATCCCAACCAGTCGACCCCTCGTCGATATTTGCTTCAACCGTAAATCAGCACTCGCCCCGTGCATCTGTCCAGGTGCAAAGAGGCGGTGAGATTATTCGGCCCAGGACGAATACCTACCCCACCAGTGGTTATCTGCTGTGTCTTGGCAGCGCCAGCATCAGTCGACCCACTTGATTTAGAGGGACAACACCCCTCTTCAACTACACACGACCGCTGACCTACCAGCACTAACATCGTGGTTCCATCGTTTGCCTTCCACCAAGTAGTAGGATGGCGGACACATCACATGCTGATGCGACCGTCCGGATATTGGATTGGTACGCTAAGCTATACAGTCGCCGAGTCGACCTTGTAGGCGACTTCGCAGGCAGTGAACGATTCCTCGTTCATGGCGAATCACTACTCCTGGACTGTTTCAGCGACCCGACTATCGACTTCGATCCAGCCTATCAGCTGCTACATGCTTCTTACGCAGTCGAGAGGGTGCTACATGGCCTAGTCTCTCGACGATGTAACTTTCACATTGCATTCTTCGATGATTACCAAGAGTTCTGCGTGCCCCCAAATGCGTCGTCCGCAACTACCGAGAAGTACCTCCTCGCGCGAGCAGCGATAATCCGCCACCTTCAAGTCAACTTGCGGAATGTTCATCCAGACATCGAAGTTCATCGATTTTCATCAACAACTTCGGAGTCATTCTCTGATTATCTAAAGACTACCGACATCTATTTCGTTCTCTGCCACGATGGTGCCTCGGCAAACAAGGCATACAAAAAGGCATACCGTACATTTATATACGATTTGATGCGGCGAGGTTACAGCGTTGCGCTTGTTAACGGACTGGAGCTGCAAGACACAAAAGTCATCACAACTGTATTGGAGCACTCGCGTTCTCTAGATGTCGTTCCTCCTCCCGTAAGTACATGACAAAATCCTGTCTTCGTCAGGATGCACGCATCCTTGCTCAAAGGCTAACTATTTTCGAAGGCGACCTCACCCGATGTTCAAAACACCAGTATCAATCCAGCACATCTCGGCAAGGCCGTTGATCTAATCACAGAATCCTGCGAGGAGTCCCTGAGTGAACGCGAGTATCTTACGGTCCTCATTGCCTCCAAACTAGTAGGCAAGGACGATCAGTCTGAATTCACCGTTGCGCTCCTCAGTCATGCAGGATTGCTCGCAGAACTCAGTCTTGCTGACCGCCTTGTGGATACCCAGGAAATTCCACAAAAGGCGCAAGAGTTCTTGGTCAATTTTGCTCAAGAGGCGCGGAACTTGTTGAGTTCAAATGCGTGGTTCGAACAATTCATCTCTGAGGATGACGAAACTGTCTGCGATGTCGCAGACCTCGTAGATGGACGACTATTCGCCTACTGCTTACAAAACCCTTCTAAAACAGAGCGATTTGAATTGCTGCGCGAGGCCACAGAAGAGCTGAGTGGTCACGATGTACCGGACCTTTCAAGCAAGTCTGTGGTTGAGTCCACCGGTGCGGCCAACAGCAACGGTACCGGTGCGACGCCATATGCTCTTATGCCTTTCTCCGACTCCGTCTTTGATGAGCACCTCAAGCCTGTACATTTGAACGTGAGCAAATCCGGAGGCAAGGTTGATCCCACTTCAGCCAGTATCTTCAGAGAGGTATCACACTGGCACAACGCGAAGCGACCGATAGACAACAAGACGAAGAGCCAGCTTGAAAAGGATCCAAAGATTGCAAAGAAGGCTCTCCGCCGCAACCAGTTTTTCATGGCTGAGATGACTTCATACGCGGCCAGCTTAACCAACGCCGTTGGAAAAGTGCTCGAACCCGAGATCATAACCATGGGGGACAAAGGTGCACAAGCGCCGCCATCGAAGACTGAGAACACAAGGCCTAAGCAGCAGTCAAAACAAAGCACTAAAAATATCAACTCGGCAAAGCAAGCCATGCTCGCTGATATTGCAGCGAGTTCCAAGAAGAAGGATGAGGACGTAGCGAAACAACTGTACCAAGCATGGGCAACCAAATGCGATGGTATTGAGAAGCAGGCAGATTTGGCTGGACGCTACAATCAAGCCAGACAGTACTTGGTCAGCCTCAACACCGATATCAAGCGCAAGACTCTGGAAGCCGAAGTTCGCCTCTACATGCTCAACGTACTGGTGCAGATGTGGATCACCAATTGCAAGAAAGCGGACAAAGAAGACGGTATCTACATCGCCGCCCTCATATTTGACACAGTCCGGTCATTCTGCAATCTCCCATCCGTCACCAAGACCATCTCGGCATGTCTCACACAGACAGTCGAGGAACTTGAACTACCCGCTCTACAAGTCCCACCTGCGCAAGGTGATCGCAAACTACCTTTCAAATTCGTGCTTGATCAAGAGACTACTGCCAATGTTGACCTGGCCTTGAACCTATCTCCCGAGCACTTCCAATTGCTTCACTGCGGACCATACTTCGACCGCACCATGGACTCTGCACCGGACCCGCGCGTGCCCTTCGAGCCCGATGCGTGGCAGAGGAAGGTTCTGGACGAGATTGATGCGCGCCGCAGTCTACTTGTCATTGCCCCGACTTCGGCCGGTAAGACTTTCATCTCGTTTTATGCTATGAAGCAAGTCTTGGAGTCCAGCAACAACGACGTCCTTGTTTACGTTGCGCCCACGAAAGCACTCGTGAACCAGATTGCGGCTGAGGTACAAGCGCGTTTCTCAAAGAATTACAAGTACGCCAATTCAGTCTGGGGCATTCACACACGCGACTACCGTATCAACAACCCTACTGGTTGTCAGATCTTGGTCACTGTGCCTCACATCTTGCAAATCATGCTACTCGCCCCAAGTCACGCCAAGAGCTGGTCAGAGCGGGTGAAATGGATCATTTTTGACGAAGTCCATTGTATTGGTCAAGCCGAGGACGGTGTCATTTGGGAACAACTACTGCTTATGGCACCATGCCCGATCATTGCACTGTCTGCGACCATTGGAAATGCTGATGCTTTCAACGACTGGCTCGCCTCGACACAAAAAGCTGCAGGCCATGAGCTTGTCATGGTACAACACCCACACCGTTACTCAGATCTCCGGAAATTTGTTTTCACACCACCCAGGCGTCCCAAATCGTCAGATTATCTCCCGTTGCCAGCCTCCCGTGCATTTGCTCAGCTTGGGCTGAGCGAGCAGGGCAACTTTGCCTTCCTTCATCCTGTAGCAAGCTTGACCAACCGTGCCCGTGGGCTACCATCCGATCTGACCTTCGAAGCACGCGATTGCTTCACCTTGTGGCAAAGCATGTCGAAACATCAGACCACAGAATTTCCCATGGACAAAGCACTCGACCCTTCAGCGGTTCTGCCTGCCGTCATCAAGAAGGCTGACATCATTAAATGGCAAGTCGGCCTCAAGGCAGTACTTTCAAAGTGGTTGGCAGATGACGCGTCCCCTTTCGAGGCAGTTCGCAGGGACTTGAGTCAGGCACTCGCAGGTATCGAACAGGCAGGTCAAGATGCCATCGAAGAGGACTCAGACGATTCAGATTCCGAAGATGACGAGTCTAAAGCCGACGAGATGGAACTCAAGCATGATGTTAACAGTATATTACCTTTGTTAGCAGATCTGCAGCGACAAGACGCGCTTCCCGGTATCATCTTCAACTACGACAGAGGTCTTTGTGAGAAGATGTGCCAGACCCTCATGAAACAGCTTACTGAAGCTGAGACAAACTGGAAGAAGACCAGCCCTAAGTGGAAGGACAAGTTGCGGGAGTGGGATGACTGGAAGAAAGAGATGGCCCGAAGAGAGAAGCAAGGTGTCCGCGGTGCCAACAAGGGTATGACCAAGCAGGACCAGATGAGAGAAGCAGCCAGCCAGGAGGTCAGTGCCTTTGCGTCTTTCAATCCTGAAAAGCCTCTTGACGGCTTTCACTTCGCGGACAACAAGAAGCTCTCACAAGAAGAGCTCGAGGACTTTGCTTATCAGATGCGCCGGCGCGGTGTTGATGAGTGGCTGATCGACGGCCTTCGACGAGGTATCGGTGTTCATCACGCTGGTTTGAACCGCAAGTACAGGTATTGTGTGGAGATGCTCTTCCGCCGTGGCTATCTGAGGGTTGTCATCGCCACAGGAACCCTTGCTTTGGGTATCAACATGCCTTGTAAGACCGTTGTCTTCTCCGGAGACTCTCTGTTCCTGACTGCCCTCAACTTCCGTCAGGCTGCGGGTCGTGCTGGTCGCAGAGGATTCGACATGCTTGGTAACGTTGTATTCCATGGAGTACCAATGAGCAAAATCCACAAGCTCATCAGCTCAAGACTGCCTGACTTGAACGGCCACTTCCCAATCACCACTACGCTTGTCCTGCGGTTGTTCACTCTCCTGCATTCGTCCGAAAACTCCAAGTTTGCTGTCCGCTCCATCAATGCGTTACTTTCGCAGCCGCGGCTATACTTGGGTGGAGAGGAAGCGAAGATGACAGTCTTGCATCATCTGCGATTCTCGATTGAGTACCTACGGAGGCAACATCTACTGGACGCACAAGGTGCGCCGCTCAACTTTGCTGGTGCGGTCAGCCATCTCTACTTCACCGAGAACTCATCTTTCGCCTTCCACGCCCTGCTTAAGGATGGCTACTTCCATCAGCTATGCGCCAAGTTCGCCACGAACCAAGAGTCAGTGCTACGTGAATTGATGCTCACCATGTCGCATCTCTTTGGCCGACAGCACTGCAGGAAAGCAGACATGGAGTTCGTGCAGGACGTTGTAAAGGGAAGTCCTTCCATTGTGTTTTTGCCAGAGATGCCACCGCAAGCTGCGGATATCTTGCGACGTCACAACAAATCCACACTGGACATTTTCACCGCCTATGTTCAGACATACGTCGAACAGCATGTCAAGCAGCCCGACAACACACTTCCTCTGACTACGGTCAAGGTTGGCACTGATTCTTCCAAGCCACTGCAAGGCGCAGCGAAGAAGTCTCTCAAGGCTCGCTCTGCTTTCGTCGCCCTCTCAGGTCATGACGACAACTTCTCTTCTATTCACGACCTCTGTTCCACGTCCCGGTCTGGTGTCTTCCTCGAGGAAGCCGTTGTCCCGCACGTAGGTCTATACTCGGAAGACGACTCGTCGCTCCCGCTCAACGCGTACCTGTACGACTACTTCAACCACTCGAATCCCACGGCGCTTATCACTGCCAACCGCATCCGCCGCGGCGATCTCTGGTTCGTGCTCAACGACTTCAGCATGGTCCTCGCGACCATCGTCACCTCCCTCAGCAACTTCATGAAACTCGGCTCCGACTCGGACCTTGACTTCATCGACATCCGCGGTGGTGGCGACGAGGGCGAAGAGGAGAAGGAAGACAAGTTCCTGCCCAACGACGCGGCTAGCGAAGTGACAAACCTCTCTGGAACGACCCTCGCGTCCGGCTCCGGCATCGTCAAGCAGGAAATGCCCATCCAGGTCAAGAAGAAGAAGGCCAAGGTCATGGACTCCTGGGACGACGAGGGCGACGAGTCGAGCGAAGAAGAGGCTGAGGAGGAGTGGGATGCGGATGATGCCGAGGGAGATGCGCCGGCGTGGGAAGAAGGCGTGGGGCTGCTGAACGTGCTGAAGGCGTTCAAGGCGCTCAAGGAGGACTTTGATACAAAGTTCAGGATGATGTGGGCTTAGGCGATGCGATGCGATGCGCTTTTATTTGTGCACCGTGTGAATGAATGAAATGAATGGGATACATGATGAGGAGATTTTAGAAAATGAATGAAAGATCTTGAGGGCTTGTGAAGTCTCTCTTGCTCACCAACTTGTGGATTTCTTGCGAGGTCCCTGTGATGTTGACGAGATATGTTGACGATATGATTTGGGAAGACAGTGCTCGCCTGACTTGACGTGCACATTTATAAACCATTTCAACACAGCCAATCCTTCCCTCTACAATTCGCCACGTAACATCGCACATTCACGTCCACAGAAACACGCATTTTGATAGATTTGTGCATTATACATCCTCCTTCCCTTCCGCCCAGTCCAGTCAAGCCCAGGCCAGACCAGTAGCGCATCGTCCAATCTAGCTAAACGTACACTTCGCCCAAAACACCGGGCGATCCCAAAAAATGCGTCTTGTGTCCCTACATGCTTACATGCCCATTTTCTTTTATCGTAAACACCGGGGATGTGCCAAAAAACAACAACAAATGCAGGACACGATCCCCGCGACATAGCAATTACAACAAACATATGAAAAAAGTGTATGCGAGGAGCCCTCGCTGTTGGGGGGCGTGCTCTTTATTGTGACAATGAAGGGTGGAAGACAAAGAGCCCTCCTGCTGTCGTTGATACGAGATCCAATTCTGGAGGAGTATCCAGATGTGCGTGGCTCAGACATCTGGCGACGTGATGCATCTCTGCGTGTCCGCCGCCGCCAGCTCAGTCGTCCTTATAAGCCAGTACCCACATATTGCGGGCGCCGACGGGTTTAAGCCTTGCGGCTCCTCGTCGAACGTCCGCTGGGGCTCGCACCTGTAGTGACACCGTTAGACATCTGCGCGCCAGCCCTGGAGGTCGAAAGACGCCTGCGGGCTTCGCCAACAGTAGGTACCTTCTCGTCCTTCATCTCGACCAACGCGCTGGTAGCCCTGCGGCGGCCCTTGGGCACGGGCTTCTTGTACGTGGCGAAGTAGAAGGCGAGGAAGAGGAAGAGGTATGAGGTGATGATGCAGATGCCGGCGATGGCAGCGAATTCCTCACCAGCGCACTTGCCCAGGTTGGGGATGTGCGGCCAGTAGGTGCTGGTGAAGTAGGTGAAGGACGCGAGAGTAGATGAATCCTGGCAGGTGTTAGAGAGGTAGAATTCATGTTTTCGGGCTGAGTGGCTTACCGAGATCCAGGACGAACTGGGTGATCTGGCCGACGGTGATGTACTTCTTCCACCAGATGCGGATGCCTCGCGCGCTCTGGAAGTAGTACCAGTACATGACAACGTGGACAGCCAAGTTGAGTGTGATGACGGGCCATGATACGGGCGTGGTGCCGATGAGCTGGGTGTAGCAGAGGAGAGCGGTCGCGCCGTGGTGGTAGGTGTGGAGGAAAGCTGGAAAACGTTAGCACACAGCCAATTGGCGGAAATAGCGGTAAACATACTAAGGGGCTTCTTCTTCAGGAACAGGAAGCAGGTGTCAATCAGCTCGAGGAACTTGGTGAGGTAGTTGAGGTAGTAGAGGATAACGAGCTTGTCAGTCCATCCACCCTCGTGGTCGCAGATGGCGAAGAAAAGACCCTTGCGCGCTACCGTGGGGATCAGTTGCTCGGCGAAAAGCGCGAGCAGCACGCCGCTGATGGCGGTGAGGTAGAAGTTGTGCACCTTGAACAGGAAGTTCAGCTTGAAGGGCTCGCGGTTGCGCATCAGCTCCCGACCGCCGAAAATTATAACGTAGTATGTGCAAAGCGTGGCGGCGCATATCTTGAATGTGGAAAGGGGTGTCTCGCCGGGCACGAAGCGGAAGTCCTGCGGCTTGTAGCCAACAATTGGCTCGAAGACGGGCCTCGAAGATGGGCCACAGCTCGAGACCGAAAGGACGGTCGAGCGTGGGGACGCCAAAGTTGATGATGGAAGAGGCACCCATGATGTGTGGTGTTGGAGTCTCCGGGGAGCGCTCGAGTGAGGAGAGAGTCCGGTGCTGTCGCGAGCAATGCGTACGAGGCTGTTCGCAGCAGTCGTCGAGGAGGCCCGTGTAGCTGTTGAGGACCTAGAAATCTGCGATCGCTCTTTCCCCACCGAGAAACAAGTGTAAACAACCAAAAGCTGATTAAAGGGCAGTATGGCAGCAGCGGCCGAAAGAGCGACAATGAAGAAGGGTGAAGAGAAGAAGCGTGCGACCCCTATGCAGCCCGAGAGGACGAAGTGGTTAACTTTAAGAGCACGGTAGAAGTGGTGCACGGTGCAGGTCTTGATGGGCCGCGATGTTTTTCTGGACGCAGCCAGAAAGGAGGTCGGAAATGAAGCCTCAACCCTCCGCCCCATCCGCAGCCGCGCCGTTAGTCGTCAAAAATTACGACACAGTGCAGGCCGAGGCTTTAGGCCAGCTGTCATTGGCTGTACTACTCGCTCGTCTCTCCTTTTGCGAGAGTGTTTGTTTGCTGCTAACTTGCGGGCGCCAAGACTTACACGCATGGAGCGCCCTGCCGGTCTATGAAATATACCTGGCATCTACTCTTACAAAGTGAACAGTCTGCTCTCATCCTCCGAGTGTATCAAAACGTCACCGTGACGTAGGCTTACATTCGCAATTCTTTCACGCACGTGAAAGATGCAGCCGGGGGAATCTCACTGGCATGCATCGGATAGTGAGTCTTGGTAAGGCCTGATTCGGCAACCAGCGAACGGTTTGGGAAAGAGCTTTCGGACATCTTGGCGCCCCCGAAAACCGAGCCAACCCATAACACACCTCGTGCCGAGCATACACCACTCGTGCGCACCGTGTTGACTTTCTCGGGTTCTCTACGATATTGACATCCCAGCTGCACTCGAATGACTGACGACTGCCACCTTGCCCCATCGTCTTCTGCTATTCATCACGAGAACAACCACAGATGCGTGTCACCACAGAGAAAGGAGAATCTTTACATTCAAGTCTATAGGGTCAAGGAGAAACCCAATGTAGCTATCCTCTGCGCGGAAAAAGTCCAGTTAACACCTGTATGAAATCCCTCCGCTTTTGAGGAACCAAAGTAGCGCGCACATTCAACTGCCAAGCCATCTAGAACCCGTACATTGTATTTGCATCCACAGTCCCCTCTTGAATACGGGAGGGTAAGAAAACCAAGAAGAGAAGGTGAGTTGTGGACTTCAGTTCTGCCCAACGCGGGTAATCGTGGACCCAGAATTCGCCCGCACACGACCCATGGGCACACCGGTGCGCGGAGAAACGACGCTGTTCCCAGCCGAGCCGGGACGGTGACCACTGTTACTGCGCGGACGAGACGACCGCCGTCCAGATGATGATGCATGATGTTCAACTTGCTGTGGAAGATGCCGGCGCTGCAAGTACGCAAGCAAAACGAGTCAGATCCACCTGAGCCCAAAATATAGTTTCTCAAACAAGAAGGAATCCTAGGAAAAAGTCTAGGGATAAAATTAAGAGTTACATCGATTCGGCCATAGAAGAATGCTCATCCTGAGTTCTAGGGACTTAAGAATCAACGTACCGAAGTCTGGCTGCCCTGGCGCTCGTACTCCTTCGGCCGTCTGTCCCGCGATGCGTCGTCTTGTAAACGCAAATTCTCAAGTCGGCCCTGGCTAAGCGGGTCTGAGTCGTCTACACGCATGGGCGAAGCGGCCGTAATCGGCTTCTCCACATTGCCATTTTGTCGTGCTTCTGCAAGCTTTGCAAGCTTGTCCCATCGATCTTGGCGGCTTTGCTGTCTTTGGCCGGCATTGTTTTGAGACTCTGCGTAGTCATGCGAGCAGTCGTCGAAGAGCTGCGGGTTGACTTCCATAAACAGCTTCATCGCATTGTATACCATGCCGTGAATTGTCCTAGATGCAAGTGTGAGCACAAGTTCGTTGTGATAATCCAAATGTTGCATACCTGTTCCAGTGTCCCTTGGAGTTTTCATACAAGGGCGCGAACATGATCGGGAGAATGACTTCTACATTGTCACTGACAAGATTGCAAAAGTACTCGTTGTTCCAGAAGTAAAGCGCACGTTCCGCAACTTGGAAGTGGGGACTAGCGACCGACTTGGCCAACTGGTTGAAAAGAGGCTCCTGCACTTTCGCGAACTCGGCGGGGTCCATAACCTCGAAGATGTCCTCTACCTCATTCAGGAACATGACCTCCTTTGTGCTGTTGACTTTAGGCCAATAACGCAAGAGTCCAAGTACAACCTGAGAATGTTAGCTTATACTCGCAAAGCTCTGACTGTTGAAGATCGTACCTCTTCTGTGAGGGCAGCATCCTTCTCCAAGAACTGCACAATACAATATGCCAACTGCGGGTGGTACATGCTGAGACTCTTCACTTTGTGCAACGGGATGAGCACTCTTGTGAGGAACAGCTTGTGCTCCTCTTTCAAGGGCAGCGCGAACCCGTTGATGATGGAACCAAGAATCTCAAGGAGTTCGGCAATGCCGTTAAATCGTTCGGTTTCGTAGATGAATTGGAAGAAGACGTTGTTGATGGAGCGACGAATGTACGAGCGTAGGTTGAGGAACTTTCCGTAGATTCTGTGGAGGGTGGTCTTGAGGAAGTCGCGCTCTCTAGGGTCCTCCGAATCGAACAACTCCAATAGCTAGGTCGTATATTAGCTCAACCGCTCGGTATTAGCACGTCACAGCAACTTACATTTAGCACAAAGCTATGGTCTATATACGCCTTGGCAATGTTGGTGTTGAAGTCTTGACTTTCGATGAATCGTAGGAAGAACTCGTACACGACCTGGATATGCGGCCAGGCAACTTCGAGGACGGGCTCGTCTTCTTCGGGATCGAACGCTTCGCCTTGCGGGTTCATTGGGGGAGGGATTGGTCGGAAAAGGTTCTTGGCGAACATCTCCACCACGCGTGGGTACATCTTCTCGGTGATGACTTGGCGATTGTTGGCAACATAGTCAAGCAACTCATGCAGGGCTAGGCGCTTGATTTCCTTCGACTTCATGTCACCGCTAGCATCGTTGAAGTCGAAAATGATGTTGCACTGGTCGATCTTCTGCATGAACAGCTCTTCCCGCTTGTTCGGTGGCACCTCGTGGAACCCTGGCAGCTTCTCCAGTTCGCGCTGGCGCTGGTCTGAGATATCGAATCGTGAAGAATGCTGCCTCTTGGGTGTCCTCATCCCCTCGATGTTGTCTTTGGGCGTCGCTTGGAGGCGGTCGAAGATGAGCGATTTCTGGCCAGCTTTGGGTGGTGCGAGGTCGCCCGGCATGGTCTCTGCCGCACCGGGAGGGGGAATGTGCTTAAACTGTAGGTCAGCACTTCATCATCTTCTCGCGGTGTGTGGATATACGTACAGGTGCGCTTGGGCTGATGACAACGCTGGGCGCCAGAGGCTGCCCCAGCCTAGAGGGCGTCCCTGGGCCCGAGGCGCCAGCATTGCCAGCGGTACTTGGGCCCGCCATGCCCTGTTGTGCGCCGAATTGGGGTGCACCACCCAGCGAGCCAGAGGCGGCGGGCTGGCCTGGCTGCTGTAAACCGGGGACTGGAGTGCCGTCTGCGGCAGGCTGGATCTTGCTTCGCGCGTCGGCAAGCGCTGTCTGTGAGGAGGACGGGGTGTTCTGGGCGGAGTTGGAGGGCGAGTTGGAGGCGCCTTGCGAAGGGGACGAGGTGCCCGAGGTCGAGTCTTTCTTCTTGGATGACTTGTTACCCTCTTTGGCTCTGGAGAGCTGTTCATGCTAGATATATTAGCATGCGTCGCGTGGGACAGCGACGGGCCATCTGGGGACTTACAACCCTTTGCCTAAAGCCCTTCATGGCTGCGACCGGCGCAAATTCACGTCAAGCGGTGCGGAGGTCTGGCGGGGAAAAGGGTCCGGGATGGGCTGTCCTCGATGCGTGAGCAGTGAAGTCGCAATTCGGCAGCGCCAATGCAGGTCAAACGGAGATGTGCGCGCACGATGTCGTATGGGAGAAGGGGCGTTGGGCTCAGATCGACATGGGACCGTGGCTGATCGTCGCTCGTGTTGGGGTGTCGAAGTGATGCACGAGAAGCGGCAAGGAGAGGAGCACTGAGGGGCGCGACGGCGGAGCTATGCCAGCAACGGCGGGTGACGCACTCGGGGCGGGCGGGCTGTGTAGGGCTGAGCGCTGAGGGTGTGCAAGAGGAGGCTTCGACTACAGCATTGGGCGGAACAGCAAAGACGACTCTACTGCGGTGGTGTGTATGCCGTGGTGCTCCAGGGCTAATCGGGCGTGCGAGAGGCTCTAGCTTGCTCTGGCAACGGCCCGTGCCCTGCGGCAGAGCACCCCCAGGTGTCTGCACGCAACAGGGCTCGTGGAGAAATGAGCCGTAGGACCTTGGTCGGTGGAAGAGCAGGTATCGTCTGTAGAGCATTTACATCTGTAGACTTGTGCCTGGCTACAAAAGCTCCATCGGGCACCGAGTGTGGTTCGGTCCCTGTAGTAGAGCAGGAAAGCACGACCGACTTCATCCTGCCAACGTAAACAACAAAAGAATCTTAAACGTAGCGCCCCTTCACCTGCACAGCAAATGCTAATGTGAGCGACGAGAGTGTTGCGACTACAACTCCACGTCTGCTGCACACCACACACCATGAACGACGACCACGCAATGACCGCCCCAAAACCCGACGAACAACAACATGCGCCATGGCTGCCCATTCCCTCCCGCGCCATCTCGGTTGTCGAGCACCCATGCATCGTCAAGAACGTGGACAAGGGCATCGCCTCGCTTGGCGGACCTGTCAAATTGAGCAAAGTGAGAGAAAAACCATCTGAAGCATGGCGAGGTGACTGACACGCATTAAGGGCCTGCGATCGAAACCGGAGGCCACGACCGAAGGCGAGAACGATGACGACCTCAAACAGCTCATCTCTGTCTCACTCCGGCCAGACGACCCTTTTGCCAAGCGACTGCTCTCCACGGCAGTCACCACTAACAACATTCTGCTTAAGGTAACAGTGCCAAAGAGAACAGGCCGCAAACGCAAGCGTGGCAGTTCGGGTCCTTTTCTTTGCGAGGAGGGCGTCGAAGCTGAACCCAATGGCTCATCAAGTACCCACAACAAACAACCTAGCAAAACATATGTCAATGCCTCGACTATCTTCAGGAGCTTACAAGACAATGCATCTACCTACAAGGCATCAATCGCCGGATTGGTCGACGAGACACATCGCTTCAGGAGTGAGTGCCCCAACTGCCATCTGTGGGCCATTCTCTGACCGCGTAGCCATGCCCGACCTGCAGTACTCTGCTACCCACAATGAAAACATGATCAAACTCAGGGACCATGTCCTACCAGCGCGATGTAAGCCCAACTTGCTGCTGCTCCGCCAGGCCTGATCACTTACACCTTGGCAGACAGCGGGATCAAAGATTACGAAGTCAACACAGCAGCTGGAGCAGACCTTTCAAAGAGCGTTGGTCCTTCGGCAGAATTCGTGCAAATGCCAATTGCATTCAACTATCGGTGAGTCGGCCAGTCTAGATATATTGAACATGACTGAATGCCAGTAGTTTCCAGCAAAATACCTTCGTCAAATATACCGACGAAGGTGTGGTCAACTTGCAGAGAAGCTTGGCCCATAGCTCCTATATCATCATCAAACCAACCGACGGGGATGTGCCGACTGGTCCGAAGGCGAATTTACCTCCAGAGTCATCGCTCACTCCGTACCTACAGACAATCGTCACACAGATCAAGACCGAGCTCGAAAAAAGACCCATTATCACCCGCCATCTGCTTTACAACAAGCTGGGCTGGGATCGACGTGTTCGCATACGTCAAGCTGCCGTGTATTGTGGTTACTTCTTTGAGAGTGGACCCTGGCGAGAGGCACTTGTTAGGTGGGGTGTCGACCCTCGCAAAGATCCCGAGTACCGCAAGTATCAGACCGTCTCGTTCATGTCATATCTCAAATCAGGACGGGCGAAGCACGGGAGGTCATTCGACGACCATGTTCAAAGGCTCACACAAATGTCGGCGAAAGAGCTAGAGAGGGAACACATCTTCGATGGCAAGAGCGTCTCGACCACAGGGAATCTGTTCCAGTTCTGCGATCTTTCAGATCCACTGTTGACTAAGGTATTATCCACACAGGATATCCGAACCACATGCGCACCGACATTTCAAGGCTGGTACCATGTTGGTACATGGGCAAAAGTTACAGTCATTCTCAAACACAAGATGAACACGCTTATTGCTGGCGAAACTCCAGACGATACCGTCTATGAACGCGTCGTCTCATGGCCTGAAACGTGGGATGACCAAGAGATGGCGTCCACCTACAAGGCTGAAGTGGACAACCGCCAAATACACGAAGAGAAGAAGAAGGAACACGACGTCATGCACAGTGTACGGTGGGCCGCAAGAAATCCACGATACGCTTTCGAAAAAATGGAGGCTGCAGACGAAGAGCATGAAGTGCCGCAATCGGAAGCCCAAGATACGGAGAACGCAGAGGAAGCAGAGGTTCCTGAGGACATGACCGAGGAGCCTGAAACGGCTGCTGCAATTCTTAATGAAGGCGAGAAAGAGGTTGACGATGCAGAGGACGATGCAGAGGACGAAGAGGAGGATGGTGATGCCCCACAGTTCGAACAGGAATTGGTAGGAGAGGAGAACTATGATGACGACGAAGACGATGAGGATGCTGATGAAGACATTCGTATCATGTCAGCGCGTGCAGCATCAGAGGGTCCAGCGCCTTTTGGTGGTCTGTATCGAGGATAAGGTCTTCACTGTGTAGTCGCATGGGGAGGGTCGTGATTCTGTACAAGGGAATTCCTGAGTTAAACAGCAAGGATTGGCAGCTAACATTGTGTCTGATCGTAGAGAAGTACATAATGATAGAATGATCTGTCTTAAATCAGCTAAATGCGTGAAAGTGAGTTGGGAAGCCATGTCTTCAGGCGTAGGACCCACTTTTCCATGCGTGCTTGGCGGCTCGAGCGCAAGTTGGATCATTCGTTTTCGAAACCTCACCGAGGATCGCACCACCAGCACCGCCGAACAAAGCAGCACCGCCCAGCTACCCACTATCACCCACTCTCCAAAATACCGCTGTAGCTTGCCGCCAGCTAATTGACACGCAAAATGTCCTTCGTGCGCTCCGCGTCGCAGGTCAGCCGAGTGGGCGCGCGAGCCCCGGCAACCTCGAGCGACCCCCATTGCCTGGACCGCCCAGCGCGCCTTCTCTCAGTCCGCTGCCAGGAAAAGCGACCAGCACGCTGAGGAGACTTTTGAGGAATTTACCGCCAGGTATGACGTACCCGTGGATGGGCTGTGATGGGGGAAGGGAAGGAGCTGCCCGTGGACGAATGGCAGCCATTGGACCCCGTCAAGCTTATCAGGAGCTGTGTGGCTAACACATGTGTCTTTGGAACAGGTACGAGAAGGAATTCGACAAGGTCAACGACGTTTTCGAGCTCCAGGTACGCTTTATCACATCCGGATTGAACCCCACCGATGTCACCCCACACAATCTGGGATGAGCCATACACTTGCGGGAATGGATTTACTGACACTCACAAAGCGAAACCTGAACAACTGCTTCGCCTACGATCTCGTTCCCTCGCCCTCTGTCATCACTGCTGCCGTCCGCGCTGCCAGGCGTGTCAACGACTTCCCCTCGGCTGTCCGAGTTTTTGAGGGTACGTCCTATCAGTGCCGTTCGTTGCATTTCTGAAACATAGCCCCCACCGAAAGCTTGGATCGCGTATATGAGCAGACAATCGTGAATATGGAACTGCACGACAGGATATAATCGCTGACACATCAACAGGCGTCAAGTTCAAGGTTGAGAACAAGGGCCAATACACAGAATACCTCCAGGAGCTCGAGCCTCTGCGCGAGGAGCTCGGCATCCCGCTCAAGGAGACCCTGTACCCCGACGAGAAGTAGATCGTGGTTTGTCTCCCGTCACTGCAGAGCCTAGCACTCTATGTGCGCGCCGACATATCAATTTCTCACTTAGACGGATGGAAAGGGAAGGGGGGGGGGATGTATCACTATGTGATGATTTCCTTGAACAGCAAGCTGGGTATCCTGGGCCTTCGGAGCGTTGGGTGGTAGTAGTGGTGGATGAGCGGTATTCCGCTGTAGTAGATGTACAGATCTCTTTGATTTCAATGCGTTTCGAATGACTGAGCATGTGCGACTTACCTTGCTTTGATATGTGTACTGCTGGTGGTGGTAGAAACGGAGCATATTGACAAGGACGACGTCCAAAGAGTTTGTGGATAATACGTGATACTCTATGTCGTCGAACACGACGGAAAGCGCACACGGCGCAACTGGTGGCACTCTATCGAACAGTCTCAACCTATGCACATGGCATCATCATGGCATGCAAAGGCTAGTAGCAATGCCGTGTATAGCTTTATACTGCCAATGCATCAACAAGACACTACTTACTTTCGTTCGTATTTGATATCCTAGTCTCAGATGGAGAAGAACCTCCAGTGCTTGATGTACAAATCTGCATTCCTAGCATGAAGGTGCGGGGCGTTTTCGTACATACCATCATGAAGCGAGACTCGCACTCACATATCCCAAAAGAGATGAGACGCATTTGACGGGAGCAATCAGACAGCACGGACGACGCCGCTAACGTACCGGGAAGCGACGGTCCTGCAGGGGCATTGGCCAATGGGAAGCGGGGACGTTAGCGGCTTGGCAAATTTAGCAGGTCGTCGTTCCCCCGACAGTGGTTCTCAGAAGTCGCGATTCACAGCCCAGCGCATGCTGGACGCGACTGCAGCACCACCACGCGAGCACTTTCTACCTTTACGATTTTAATGAAAACCCAGGCTCCGCAGCCTCTACTCTCCTTCTAGGACTTCAATTTAAATTTCCTTCCGCCAAAATATTGCTGCAGTCCGCTTGCGACAGGCGACCAAAGCCTTGCGACCAATGCACGTCGAATACACGATACCTCCCACATCGACTGCATAGCTGGAGCTTCACCAGGACTTGCCCGAAAGAGGGCACGCGAAAGAAGCGCGCAGCTTTTTAGCTGCACATACTGCGAGCATGGCGTCCCACAACTTTGAGGCCATGGCCGCGAAGCTTGACGATCCGAATTCTGGTACACCACACCTCTCCCAGCGCACACGTCTCTATGGGATGCAATCGCCATAGGGAGCACACGTTGACAGCGCGCAGATCTGCGAACGAAAGGAACGCAAGCAATCGACATACGGGACAACATCGAGAGTTACTGTCAAGGCCCGCAGTATGCTGTCTTCTTGACCCATCTTGTGCCAGTCTTCCTCAAGATCCTCGATGGCAACCCAGTCTTCATATCAACTTCTCCGGAACAGGTGAGTCTAACATATGCAATTGGCGACAGTCGCTAAACTCAGGTTCAGCGGATACGGAATTGCGTCCTCGAGATCATCCACCGACTTCCTATGAACCCAATTGATGCGCTCGAACCGCACGCGGCGAAGATCACAGACAAGCTAGTGGGTTTAGTCAAGCTGGAGAACGAGGATAACGCGGTGCTTTGCATGAAGATTATCATGGACTTCCTTCGACACCAGACGAAAGCCCTTGCCGACCGGGTGCAGCCCTTCCTGGACCTTATTCAAGAGATGTTCGAGACCATGGAGCAGGCAGTGCACGACACATTCGACAGCGGAAATCCCGCACCGACATCGCAGGGCGTTCCCTCGACACCCGGAAATCACCAATTCTCGCAATCGCCACGACCGAGTTCACCAGCGACCGCCCTCACGTCCGGTTCGGCAGGCGATCTGGGCTCGGAGCATCAGCAGACGCGCATGCTGCTGAAGGGCATGCAGTCATTCAAAGTCCTTGCCGAGTGTCCAATCATCGTCGTCTCTCTGTTTCAGGCGTATAGGAACTGTGTGAACAAGAACGTCAAACTCTTTGTTCCACTCATCAAGAACGTGCTGTTGCTTCAGGCAAAACCACAAGAGAAGGCACACGAGGATGCCAAGGCACAAGGCAAGGTCTTCACTGGCGTCAGCAAGGAGATTCGTAACCGGGCCGCGTTTGGAGACTTCATCACAGCACAAGTCAAGACCATGAGCTTTCTAGCATACCTGCTCCGAGTGTATGCGCACCAGCTCAACGATTTTCTGCCGACCCTCCCGGATATCGTTGTGCGTTTGCTCAAGGACTGCCCTCGCGAAAAGTCGGGTGCGAGGAAAGAGCTTTTGGTGGCTATTAGGCATATCATCAACTTCAACTTCCGCAAGATTTTCCTCAAGAAGATCGACGAGCTGTTGGACGAGCGCACTTTGATTGGCGATGGACTCACAGTGTACGAGACGATGCGACCTCTGGCATACAGCATGCTGGCGGATCTAATTCACCACTTGCGTGAATCTTTATCGAAGGAACAGATTCGTCGCACCGTTGAAGTATACACCAAGAACCTGCACGACACATTTCCAGGCACGAGTTTCCAGACTATGAGTGCAAAGCTCCTCCTTAACATGGCCGAGTGCATCGCAAAGCTCGAGCCCAAGGAGGACGCTCGATACTTTCTGATCATGATCCTTAATGCGATAGGGGACAAATTTGCTGCGATGAACCGTCAGTACCACAACGCTGTCAAGCTCTCCGCACAGTATAGCCAACCCTCGATCGACGCTGTGGAGGAGAACCACATGGCTGTACAAGAGCAGCCTCCGGACTGGGATGAGATCGACATCTTCAATGCGACACCCATCAAGACGTCGAATCCAAGAGATAGAAGCTCCGACCCAATTGCCGACAACAAATTCCTCTTCAAGAATCTGCTACATGGTCTCAAGAATCTTTTCTACCAGTTGAGGGCTTGCAATCCAGCAAAAATAAAAGACGAAATTGACGTAGCGAACGCATCAGCAAATTGGCACGAGGTTTCCTTTGGCTACAATGCGGAAGAGGTCGAAGTTCTGATCAAGCTCTTCCGGGAAGGTGCGAAGGTGTTCCGCTACTACGGCACCGACAAGAGTCCAGAATCGCAGGGCTTGACGCCCGGTGACTACATGGGCAACCAACACATGATGTCAAGCGGCAAAGAAGAGAAGGATCTACTCGAGACTTTTGCGACAGTCTTCCACCACATCGATCCGGCTACGTTCCACGAAGTTTTTTCCTCCGAGATACCCCATTTGTACGATATGATGTTCGATCATCCCGCGTTGTTGCATGTCCCGCAATTCCTTCTGGCTTCGGAAGCCACGTCACCAGCGTTCTCCGGAATGTTGTTACAATTCCTCATGGATCGCATTGAAGAAGTTGGCACTGCAGATGTGAAGAAGTCTTCAATCCTGTTACGATTATTCAAGCTGTCTTTCATGGCGGTGACACTTTTCTCGGCGCAGAATGAGCAAGTTTTGCTGCCACACGTCAGCAAGATCATCACAAAGTCGATACAACTGTCTACTACTGCAGAGGAGCCGATGAACTACTTCCTGCTTCTGAGGTCACTCTTTCGCAGCATAGGAGGTGGACGATTTGAGCATCTCTATAAGGAAATTCTACCTCTACTCGAGATGTTGCTGGATGTTCTCAACAACCTTCTTCTGACAGCACGCAAACCAGCCGAGCGAGACCTCTTCGTTGAGTTGTCTCTCACCGTGCCCGCACGCCTGAGCAATCTTCTTCCTCACCTGAGCTACCTCATGAGGCCTCTTGTTGTTGCACTACGAGCAGGATCTGATCTTGTTGGCCAAGGCTTGCGGACGTTAGAGCTCTGTGTTGACAACCTTACCGCAGACTACCTTGACCCAATCATGGCGCCCGTCATAGATGAGCTTATGGCCGCTCTATGGGAACATCTCAAGCCCAATCCATACAGCCATTTTCATGCCCACACGACAATGCGCATACTCGGCAAGCTTGGTGGCCGCAACCGAAAGTTCATCACGGGGCCTCCTGAGCTAGACTTCAAGCCCTACTCTGATGACCAGTCATCTATCGATATCCGGCTGATTGGCTCTACCAAAGATCGGGCATTTCCCGCTGCCATCGGTATCGACACTGCGATTGCGAAGCTACATGAGGTACCGAAGCTACCTGCAGCAAAGAAATCGGATGTCTTCCACAAGCAACAAGCATTCAGACTCATTACCGCGCATACGAAACTGATGGTTGGCTTTGACACCTTGCCAGATGATTTTGCTCAACTCGTGCGACTACAGGCGACAGACTTATGCGCGAAGAAATTCGACCTCGGGGCTGATATCCTGACTGCGATGGAGCGAGACAAGTCAATCGTCAAGAAGGGTGTCGAAGGAGAGACATTGAAGAAGCTGCTCAAGGCATGCATTTTCGCTGTGTCAATATCGGATCTCAAACAAGATGCGGAAGCCTTTGTCACCCATTTAGCGAAGCACTTCACATTCCTCGAGCTCGGTACCCAATTCGCGACATTGAAGCACAAGAACAAGCCGTTTGATGTGCACTCTGGTGAAGGACCGGTCGTCATTGAAAGCGAAGTGATATCAGAGGCAATTGGTGAGTCTCTGGCATCAGAACATACCGCAGTTCGAGAAGCAGCGGAGCAGGCCATCATCACAATTCGAGACTCTGTGAAGGCCATATTCGGAGGCGACAAAGACCTGGACAAGTTTGCGTTCTTCAACGAGCTCTCCAGCACATTCTGCCACAACTGCCACGCTGACGATTGGTTCATGAAGTCTGGCGGTACTAAGGGCATCGAGATCATGATCAAACAGCTAGGACTCCCTCAAACCTGGATGGTTGCACGTCACTTCGAGCTCATTCGGGCGCTCAATTTCGTCATGAAGGATATGCCTATCGATTTGGACTCAAAAACACGTAAACAAGCAGAAGGACTCATTGAAGACCTCATCCGCCGATGCCACAAGAAGACCACAAAAGAAGACTTCGAAAAGCCCAATAGCATCACCCTACGACTGTGTGGACAGCTAGTCGGCGATCTCTCACACATGAACAAGAGCGTGCGAGAAGCGACACAGCAAGCATTCCATGTGCTGTCCGATGTCACAGGACTGGGGGTTCACGAGCTTATAATGCCGGTCAAGGATAGACTCGTCGTGCCCATCTGGACGAAGCCACTGAGAGCGCTGCCTTTCAGCATCCAGATCGCCTACATTGACGCCATAACCTTCTGTCTGAAGCTAAAGAACAACATCCTCGATTTCAACGATCAGCTGACTAGACTTCTGATGGAATCGCTAGCTCTCGCAGATGCTGAGGATGAGGGACTTGCAAGCAAACCGTTCGAGCAACGCAATGCTGAACATATCATCAACTTGAGGGTCGCGTGCATTCGTCTACTGTCAACCGCTCAAAGCTTTCCCGATTTTAGTACAACACCACCCAATCAGACTTTCCTCCGCATCATTGCAGTCTTCTTCAAGTGTCTCTACTCGAAGTCACCTGAGGTCATCGACGCCGCCAACATTGGTCTTTCAGGTGTCATATCGGCGACGAATAAGCTCCCCAAGGATGTACTCCAGAGCGGTCTGCGGCCAATCCTGGTTAACCTCCAGGATCCTCGGAAACTATCTGTCGAAAACCTAGATGGTCTGGCACGACTACTGAAGCTCCTTACCAACTACTTCAAAGTGGAGATTGGTACTCGTCTGCTTGACCATCTCAAGAGCATTGCGGACTCCAACAGCTTGCAGAAGACTTCATTCAAGATGATTGAGCAGGACCCCAAGATGAAGATTGTCACTGGCATCTTCAACATCTTCCACTTGCTACCACCTGCGGCCGCCACCTTCCTTAAGCAGATCATCGAGAAGGTCATTGAGCTGGAGACTGCGCTTAGGAGAACGCATTACAGTCCTTTCCGGGAGCCCTTGATCAAGTATCTCTGCATGTACCCTAAGGAAGCTTGGGAGTACTTTGCCCCGAACCTCAAGGATCAGACGCAGGGCCGCTTCTTTGCTCAGCTACTCGAGAACGAAGCAAGCGGCATTTTGAGGAAGCAAGTTATGGAAGACGTGCCCGGCTTCTTGGGTGCTATCGATTTCGAAGGGACCGACAAAGAGAAGTGCCAAGCTCAACTCAACGCCATTCACATTGCATATGCCATGAGTCGCTTCGAAGAGTCGAACAAATGGCTGGCAACCAACGATGATCTCCGAAAGGGTCTCTTTGAGGCAGCAAAGTCTCTGGAAAAGAACCTTCGGGCCAATACCATCGACCCAGAACTACGTCTCGCAACAGAGCAAGCTGGCGATCAAATTATGATTGTGTTCACTACCTATTTGCAGCACGAGCCGAACAGTCTGGATTTCTTCTTTGAGCTTATCGACGCAATCACATCAGAGGAGCTGAAGGCTTCTCCGCGTCTGTACGACTTCATCTACGAGCAGATTGTGTCTAGCGACTCAGTAGAGTACTGGAAGACTCTCATCAACAAGTGCATCGACATGTACACCTCTCGCAACTCTTCGCAGAAGACCAAGACGTTCCTCTTTCGATACATCGTCAACCCAATCTTCGCCATGGATGTAAAACGCAACTGGGATAGCCTGTTTGATCAGAAGGCGAAGGGCACTGCATTGATGGATCGTAGCATGACCGAGACGATCCACAACCGCTTATGGAAACCACAGTCTCTGACAGACACCTCGGAGGAGACAGCGCAGCTGGGAGTCGACCATTCCCGAATGGAGCTTCTCCAATTGACGACTCTGCTTCTGAAGCACTACTCGGGCATGATCCAGGAGGCGCGCAAGGATGTTATCAAATTCGCTTGGAACTACATCAAGCTCGAAGACATCATCAACAAGTACGCAGCTTACGTGCTCATTGCCTTCTTTATCGCTGTCTTCGATACTCCAATGAAGATTGCCATTCAGGTCTACCAAGCTCTTCTCAAGGCGCATCAGAACGAAGGCCGATCACTGGTTATGCAAGCGCTCGAGCTCATGGCTCCGGTCTTGAAGAAGCGGATGAGTGGAGGCGACCCCAAAATGCCTCGATGGATTCAGTATCCCCGCAAGGTTCTCTCTGAGGAGAGCTCGAATTTGCAGCAACTGATGAGCATATTCCAGTTCATTGTTCGGCATCCTGACCTATTCTACGAAGGCCGAGAGCACTTGTCGAGCATCATCATTACATCTCTCAGCAAGATCGCCCAACCACCGAACCCCTCTACTGATGCTAAGAAGTTGGCGCTGAATCTTATCAGCCTCATCAGGACTTGGGAAGAGCGTACAGCGAGTGAGTCCGGCTCAACGGACAACGCTGTAGAATCACCATCTTCTGCAAAGAGGAGAGTAGATGGGACTATTGTTCCGCCGGGTCCGCTGCCAAAGGGGTTCGTTGCATCGCCTGCCGTTCGAATGATGCTGGTCAAGTATCTCATTCAATTTATCGCCTATCTGCCAGAGCGGTACCCAGTTGCCTCGCCGAAGCCAAAAGATCCGGCTACCGTCACACCTGCGGCGCCACCCGCAGAAATCTGCAGGAAGGCTGTACAGCTCTTGCACGATTTGCTCTCGCCACGACTCTGGAACGATCTGGATCTTGATCTCATGCTTAGCAAGAAGATCGAAGAAATTCTACTCACCGAAGCGAAGCAGGATGATAAACCTGAGCAGTTCCATACCCGCATGATCAACACCCTTCAGATTGTGAAAGTCATTGTCAACGTCCGATCTGACGAGTGGGTTCTGCAACGCATTCCGCAGTTCCAGAAAATCCTTGAGAAGCCAATTCGCTCCGAGAATGCGGATGTTCAAGCTAGCTTGCATGCTGTTGATGAGCCCGAGGATGGCCATAGGAAGCTGCAACCGACGCTGAAGCGCATCCTAGAGGTGATGCCCGACCCTGTCACTGACGACGATGGCAATACAGAAGAGTCGCCGTCGACTGACTTCGTTAACTTCATCGGTGCCATCGCAACTGAAGCCCTTTCCAACGGCTCATACATTTGCGCCATCAACATTCTCTGGACTTTGTGCCAGAAGCGACCGGAAGAGATTGATCAACACATCCCACAGATCATGAAGGCATTCCAGGGCAAGATGGCTAAGGACCATCTAGCTGGTCAGAGTGGTATACCTGGACAGCCTGTGCCGCCTGCAATGCGACCCGACGGACCCCTGCCTCCAACAGATCCCCGTGAGGTGGAGATCCAGACCGATCTTGTCCTCAAGACGGTGGACATCCTTGCGGCACGCATGGCCGAGCTCCAAGACAATCGAAGGCCATATCTGAGTGTCTTAGCGTCGCTCGTGGAACGATCCCAGGTCAACTCAGTCTGCATGAAGGTTTTGGACCTGGTCGAAGACTGGATCTTTCACTCATCCGACGTTGTACCGACGTTGAAGGAAAAGACAGCTGTTCTCAGCAAGATGCTGCTGTTTGAGCACAAATCGGACACGTCGCTTCTCACCCGCTTCCTGGACCTGGTCATTCGAATTTACGAAGATCCAAAGATTATGAGATCAGAACTCACTGTTCGTATGGAGCATGCGTTCCTGATCGGTACGCGTGCCCAGGATGTTGAGATGCGCAACCGATATATGACCATTTTCGACAAGAGTTTGAGTCGAACTGCGGCTAGTAGGCTCAGTTATGTTCTCGCAAGTCAGAATTGGGATACGCTGTCTGACAGCTACTGGCTGAACCAAGTCATTCACCTGATGTTTGGTTCAGTGGAGATGAACACACCAGCTCAGCTTCATTCCGAAGACTTCAAGTTGATGAAGCCTACCATGTTCTTCAGTACCTACAGCAAGGATGCTAGAATTCAAGACGTCATCGTGGATGACGATCTCGAGAACCTGGTCAACGGTCATCGTAGCTTCTGCACTCAGCTCGCCGATGTCAAGATCAAGGACATTTTTGAGCCGCTCGGACATCTTCAGCACACCGATAGCGTCCTGGCGCACGATATCTGGATCGCCTTTTTCCCACTTGCCTGGACTGCGTTGACCAAGGATGACCAGAGTGACTTGGAGAAGGGTATGGCAGCACTGCTTACCAAGGACTACCACCACCGCCAGATCGACAAGCGACCCAACTGTGTGTCAACTATGCTGGATGCCGTCGTACATGCTCGTCCGCGAGTCAAGTTCCCGCCTCACATCATGAAATACTTGGCTCAGACCTACAACGCATGGTATACCGCTGCTGTGTACATGGAAGACTCTGCCATTTCGCCTGTCGTGGATGTGGAAAAGCTGAGGGAGAGTAATCTCGATGCTTTGCTAGAGATCTACAGCGGTCTCCAAGAGGATGATTTGTTCTACGGCACCTGGCGACGGCGTTGCCAGTTCATTGAGAGCAATGCAGCGCTCTCATACGAGCAGTGCGGCATTTGGGACAAGGCTCAGCAGATGTACGAAGCTGCGCAGATCAAGGCTAGAACTTCAGTGCTGCCGTTCTCTTCGGGAGAGTACATGCTCTGGGAAGATCACTGGGTCATCTGCGCACAGAAGCTGCAACAGTGGGAGATTCTGAGCGACTTTGCGAAGCATGAGAACTTCAACGATCTCTATCTGGAGTCTACCTGGCGTGTCTTCGATGCATGGCAGAATGCAGAGACACGGGAACAGCTTGATGCGACTATCAAGGCTGTCAGCGATGCCCCGACACCACGAAGAGTCTTCTTCCAAACGTTCATGTCGCTGCTCAAGCTGCACAACAAGCAAGAGTCGACACCGGAGTTTCATCGATTGTGCGATGAGTCTATTCAGCTTTCGATCAGGAAGTGGCACCAGCTTCCGCGACGCATCACCCAAGCACACATTCCATTGCTCCAGCATTTCCAGCAACTGGTCGAACTGCACGATGCTAGTGTCATTTGCCAGAGCCTTGCATCCACAACACAAGCCAATCTTGACCTCAAGTCTCAGGAGCTCAAGCTGTTACTTAGTACATGGCGCGACCGACTACCTAACTTCTGGGACGACATCAATGCTTGGCAGGATCTCGTTACGTGGCGCCAGCATATCTTCCAGCTCATCAACGGAGTGTATCTTGCTCTGCTACCACCGAATCAGAACAATGCCAGCGGCAACTCTTTCGCTTACCGCGGATACCATGAGACTGCCTGGATCATCAATCGCTTTGCACATGTTGCACGCAAGCACAACCTTCCGGAAGTGTGCATCAATCAGCTCGGTCGCATCTACACGCTGCCCAACATTGAAATCCAAGAAGCTTTCCTCAAGCTGCGTGAGCAGGCCAAGTGTCACTACCAGATCCGAGCGGACCTCAACAGTGGATTGGATGTTATCAACAATACCAATCTCAACTACTTTGGACCGCAGCAGAAGGCAGAGTTCTACACGCTCAAGGGCATGTTCCTTGCCAAGCTTGGCCAGAAGAACGAAGCTGGCGAAGCGTTCGGTACGGCACTGTACTTCGACATCAAGCTACCGAAGGCATGGGCTGAGTGGGGTCGCTACAACGATATGCTGTTCAAGGAGGAGCCACAGAACTTGGAGCGAGCTGAAGCGGCACTCAGTTGTTACCTCGAAGCTGCGAGTCAGTTCAAGAACGCCAAGTCGAGGAAGCTGCTTGGCCGCGTGTTGTGGTTGCTCAGCTTAGACAACCCCGAGCGCAAGCTGGCTGAGAAGTTCGAAGAGTTCAAGGGCGATACACCGGCTTGGTACTGGATCACGTACATTCCGCAATTGCTTAACAGCTTGTCGCGGCAGGAAGCACCAATCGCGCGATCGATCCTGGGCAAGCTGGCGAAGACGTATCCACAGGCGCTGTATTGCCACCTCCGAACGACACGGGAGGACATGGTGGTGCTCAAGAAGAACCATGAACAGCAACAGGCAAAGGAGAAGGCGGCAAAGGCGAAGCAACAAGGCTCGCCGGCTGTGAAGCAGAGCTCGCCAGAAACTCGACCAGGATCAAGTGGCAACGCGCCCGCGACCGCAAACGGCGACAGCAAGCCTGCCGCCAACGGTACTCCAGGTGGCACTGTCAAGACAGAGGGCGCTCCACAGGGTAGCCCGAGCGCTGCTCCAGCTGCGGCTGATACTCCCCCCGCGCCCAAGAAGCCATGGGATCACGTGGAGGAGATCAGTGCGATCCTCAAGACGGCATTCCCGCTACTGGCACTGTCTATGGAGACGATGCTCGACCAGATCCAGAAGAACTTCAAGTGCCCGCCGGATGAAGACGCTTATCGACTCATCGTTGCTCTGCTCAATGACGGCTTGTCGTATGTTGGACGACAACCTAATCTGTACGCTCGCGAGATCAAGCTTCCTCAGTCGACAGAAGCCAACATTACACGTTTCGCCGAGTCTGTGCTGCCACCACACATCCGAAAGGCGTTTGAGCGCGACTTTGTCACAAACAAACCTACTATGTACGAGTACATTCAAAAACTGCGTACGTGGCGGAATCGATTCGAGGAGCGCCTTGATCGGAGGAAGCTCGTCGTCCCGCTTGAGCAGTATACGCACCAGCTCAGCGAGTTCCGCTTCCTCAAGTTCGACGACGTGGAAGTTCCTGGCCAGTACCTCCAACATCGTGATAAGAACAGCGATTTCGTACGCATTGAGCGGTTTTTGCCAGATGTGGAGTTGGTCCGTGGTATTGGCATATGTCATCGCCGTCTCAAGATTCGTGGACATGATGGTAGCGTTCATCCATTCGCTATCCAGTTCCCGGCAGCGAGAAGCTCGCGTCGTGAAGAGCGAATTCTGCAGCTGTTCCGTATTTTCAACGGCATCTTGGCGAAGAGGAAGGAGTCGAGGAGGCGAAATCTGCAGTTCCATCTTCCGCTCATGGTACCAATCACGCCGAGTGTGCGCATGGTACAAGACGACGCTAGCTACATGAGTATGCAAAGGTATCTACGAGGATTACTGTCGTCAGAATAAGATCAACAAGGACGAGCCAGTGCTCTTTTCGATCGAGAAGTTGAGAGCACTTCAACCGGTAAGTTACACGGATAACACTGAATCAGAGTCTCCCACTGACGCCACGACCCAGAAAAACGTCGATCACGCCAACTCCATCCGCCTCGAAACCTTTGCCGCCATTCAAGAAAAATACGTCCCGCCAACCGTCATGCAAGACTTCTTCCGCGCCACATTCCCCAACTTCGAAGATTTCTGGCTCTTCCGACGCACTCTCTCGTACCAGCTCGCCTGCCTCACCTTCATGACCTATGTCATGCACATGAACACGCGTTTCCCCCAGAAGATGAGCATCTCCCGCGCCTCCGGCCGCGTCTGGGGCTCCGAGCTCATCCCCAGCATGGCGGTCGGCAAGCCGATCCTCCACAACTCGGAACCCGTACCCTTCCGCCTAACCCCCAACATGCAAACCATGATGGGCCCACTGAACATGGAAGGCATCTTCGCGCCCGCCGTCATGACCGTCGCGCGCGCCCTGATCGAACCCGAGGGCGAATCCGTCAATCTGGAAATGCAGCTCAGCATCTTCATGCGCGATGAGATGAATCACTGGTTCACGTCGCAGCATAAAGCGAGTCAACTTACGCCCGAGGTCCTGCGCGAGAGCGTGCAGAGTAATTCCGAGATGGTGGTGAAGCGCGCAAGTGCGCTGGGTGGACTGCCTACAGTCAATAATTTGCCAGCAAATCAGACGGTCGTGGATCTTGTGGCTGTGGCAGTGGATCCGAAGAAGCTGGCGAGTATGGATCCGCTTTGGATGGGGTATTTGTGAGATTGTACAATAGTGTGATACAGCATGGTGTTTTACAGGGAGGAAAATTGGGTTGGGCATTTACATGGTGTGAATGGCGTTGACACTTGTATGGTGGACATTGTATGTTTTAGTTTTAGTTTTCTTTGTGTTTGATTTGCATAGGAGAGGGGATTATACCATGGGTTGTAGTTTGATAAGAATCACATATTTCGAGATTGAAAGTCAAAATTGCCAATTCAAGGTACACTCCTTTGAAGGAGCACGGTATTTGTGGGTGAGAAATATATGCATGACCCCGGTTATGGGCAATCTTCAAGGTGTGAAAAGCATCGACTCTTGTGTGTGGGAATCGTGTTGTTGTATTTTTCGATGGGGTTGTTTTTCAGAGGTCAGGGGATTATACTGAAATAATGTGGAGCTGCTCAGGTTTGAGATTCTGATGATGGAAAAGAAATCGAGCGGCTCGGTTTTCAATTTTGTTCTATTCTCAAAGCAGTATTTCCAAGCTTAATTTTCAATATCGAGCTGCTCGGTTCTCGTGTTCTGTCACAGGGGAAAATATCGAGCTCTCCGGAACAGGTTTGAGAGTGAGAGTCGTCATTTCGATGTGCAATTGTGTTTCTTCATGTTTTTAATCGAGTCTATTGGTGGATATACACCACTGTACAGGCTCGAGTATCATACTATCGCTTCCTGCGCCTTCAGTGAAACATACAGTTGGACTCACTGAACCGTATCCCGCCCGAGCCGAAGTCATCGTCCTGATTTCCCTCGAATAGTCCAGCCTTCTCACTGACTAAAAAGTCCCCAAGTCGCGCAGTCTAGCCCCAGGATAATCGCGCTGCGTTGCCAACCACTCTTGATGCGCACGATATACATACTTGGGCAACTCACCCGGCGTCGGTCGATCCCGCATATAATGATTCAACATACGATCCAAAATGCCATGCATAGCCGCGCTCGCCCAGTTATTCGACAACGCATGTATGCCCTTCGGCGGCGCATGCACCATCCAGCCCAAACACGCAATGACCAGCGCCGAACTATACACATCCGTGTACTGAGAATACGCCGGCTCCTCTGGCGCAGCGAAGTCCTTGTCACCCAGCGGCATCGCATTTGCTTCCGGTCTATCGTCGTCCGTAAGCGCACATCCAAAATCTCCAAGCAACATGTTCGGCCACCGAACATCACCCTGTCCCTCCCACGTCATGAACATATTGCTCGGCTTGATATCACGGTGGTAAATCGGTTTCCAGCCGGGCGCCTTGTGAATAACGCGACCCGCTGCTGCGTACCGCTGCATAGTCGCCACATCACAGCCTGTATTAAGCCATACCACCGCGGCAGTCAAATCCCACAGGACTTTCCACGCGAAGCCCTCATCCTCCAGCTTCTTACCCTTGTTGCGGTAGCGGATGATCAGGGCGTCGAGCGGGCCTAGTTCGCCGCGCTGCAGGTATAGTGAGCCATAGCCTACACGCTCGTGCTCGAGTGTCCAGTCATACAGGGAGACTATGTTCGGGTGGTTCCCGGCTTGTTGCATCATGCGGATTTCGCGCTGTGCGCTGCCGTAGATGATGGCTCCGGGGCGCACGCGCTTCTCGATCCATACAGTTTTATACTTCTTGTGTCGGACGACGATTACGCCGCGGTTGTTATTGCCACCTGTGCCTTGGGCTGCGGTGGTGATGGGCTCGTATTTACCTCGGATAGACATGACTTTTGGAGTGGTGGATATTTTGGGGTATGGTTGTAGGTCTGTGGAGAAAGAGGTGGGAAGTTCGTAGATATTGAATGGATGGAGGGAATTTTATTGGCGTATGATGAAGACTTCTGACATGGCAGGCGACCATGTCTTCTGCGCTTCTGCGCTTGTGAATGAATCTCATGGGCTGGCATCACTTGGTCACAGTGGGTCGTGTCGAGTATTGTGTTCCTCAACACCATTTGACACCGTGAAGACGCACAATGTGATATTTCACGACCCTGATGAGAGTGACTAGATTCTTGGGCAGTCGAGTCGTGGCGTTCAAATATTGAGATATTTTGTAGTGAAATACCGCAAAAGTTGCCTCTACCTCATCTCCACGAGTGTCCATGGCCTTGTAATTGTGCGAAGTTTGACGTTGGTGGTGATATTACATCCTTCCCTTTGCTGTCGGACTCTTCTCGAATTCTCTCTTCCACAACAGCAACTGATGACCCAGGTATGGCCCATGGAGCTAAGTAGTCGAGAGGATCAGAATAAACATTACTGCGTGGTAGTCTTGCTGTTAGGCTCTCTGTAGTAGATGCGCACTTTGCTTCATCTAGGGCATATGCGGGTTCCTCTTTTGCGATAGTCTTCACACTCTTCTTTGTTACGTGTTTAGTCTTGACCGTAAAATCTTTCTGGGAACGAGCCATTGATTCATGAATCTCTTGTAGACTGTTGCGAATAAACTTTGCCGCAAGCCTCTTTGTAGGGTCGGCAACAACAATCGCTTTGATCAATTTCACGCACGAGTGCACCCACGATGCACCCATATTGGTACCTTTGAAGCTGCACCGAACCGTAGGAAGACTTTCCAAGAGGGATAGGAGTTCGGATCTGATTCCACACGAAGTTGTATTGTAGAATCGCGGATGAGGTCCTAGCAATGCTTCGCGAAGGTATTTCACCTGTTTTGGATCTATTTCGACAGCATAAGTGAATATTTCGGCAAGGATACAGACAAGCGACCATATATCCGCGCTTATTCCATCTATCTTCTGCGGTCCGACTTGGTCCCACTCGGGAGGCTTGTATCTTCCGGGCTGACGCATGCGCACGCTTACGACTGTATTGACTATCCCTACAGCATCTGTCACAAGCTCTCCTCTGTAGTCATCTGAGATAGGACTTTTGTCAAAGCTAGATAGTGTATCGTGTGTCCTCCTTCTAGGCTTGATAAATGAAAGGCCGAAATTAGCTATCTTCCATTGACCGACGGGATAACGATTGCGAGCATCTTGATTGTCTGGGTAGACCTCAAGTATGTTGTGTGGCGTAAGGTTGTTGTGCACAAGGGATAGGCTCGTTTCGGTGAAAATGCCATTGTGGAGGAAATCCAGAGCGTCCGCAAGATTCATGCTTTCGGCGATCAGATCACCAGGCCACATGTTCTTTGAGCATGCCTTCACCGAAGAAGAGGTTTGATTGCTTCTAAGAGCCAGTTGACTTGGCTGCATCGTGAGAAACGTGTCGAGGCTGTATGCCGCCAGTTCGTATATGAGATGATGGACGATACGATCCTCGATCATGTAGCGACCATCGGTGTCGAATGGACCGACAACCTTGTTGATCATCTTCGCCTTGTTGAGCTGGGTCGCAAAGTGTGCATGTTCCATCATGTGACCTTCCTCAAGCGTATGAAAGGAAGCCCAAGGTCAGTGGCAGCGATTCGCTCAACAGGACATGAACTAATTCTCTCCTAGCCCCATATTCCCTGACGACCTGGTGGAGGAGACGCATATGATTGTCGCGTATATGTCGTTTGCTGTTTTCCGAATTCCAGTTTCTAATTTCGGAGTGCTGTTTGCCGATGTCCAGTTTCGATGTCCAATTGCTGATTTCTGGTTTCTGGTTCCAATTTCCAATCTTTTTTCGTATTTTTAAATTCCGGTTTCTGATTTCTGATTCGTGAGTTCGAGTTCTGATTTCACACCGCATTCTAATAAACGTCGGACTTGCGCAAATACCACCATCAAATACAGTCCTAAATATAGTGTGTCAAGTTGGCTGGATGGCATGACAAGGGCACTCTCAAACTCAGAGTCGCCCTGTTACTCGTCTTTCTTTGACCAGAGACAAACAGGGTCACGCGGATCCCGACTATTTGAGAAAGCTCGACATAAGGTTCTGGGGATTCTGCGAAGGGTGTTGGGTACCACGTAGTATTTGCGCTGTGTATCGCTAGTTCCCACCAATCTACTGCTTTTGCCAGGAAATGCTTTGCGTGAGATGAAGTCTCCCTACTAATTCGGAATCTGCTTCACAACGTATGACACTGGCCGCTTGTGATACTCATGAGTGAGAATTTGATACATGTACATAAAATTTACACTTTCCAAAAAAACCCCAATGGTATCCCCAGCAAGTCGAGTTTTCCCTAAACGCCACCCAATGCACTCCCCTCCCATCCTTCTCCAAACCACACGCACCCACCCCCTCACCTACGCGATAGGTCTACTCCGCTCATCCTCCGGCATCCGCATATACGCATCAATCGCCGCACTGAACACTGCGAATCCCGCGCACCCCACCGCCACCGCCTGCGGTCCAGCATTCCTTGCCAAAATGCCGCCAGTAAGGCATCCGCCCGCCACACCATTGTATAGGTCGTTCTTGGCCCGCAGACCCTCGATAGCACACTCGGTGCCGGAGAAGATTGCGCCTACTTTGGCGAAGTTTTTGCCCGAAGACTTGGAGGATTGGTACATGTCGCGCAGGCCGGCGCGGAGTTGTTGGCGCATGGGAAGGTCGGTGATGGGGATTGTTGCGCCGCCACCGGTTGGATTTAAAACGACGCTGGGGGAGGGTGCTGCTGCGGCTGCGTTGAGGGTGGGTTTGGCATTTGCGGCTGCGGAAGCGACGGCGGATGTTGCGGGGCCTTTGGGTGCTGGTGTTGGCGTGGGAGTGTTTACGGGGAGGGGCTGGGACATTGGTGTGTCGTAGCGCATCTATGGGTTATCAGTAGGGTGGTAGGATTGGAGAGGGGAGGTAGGGACGTACAGAGGACATGAAGAGGCCGAACATGGCGCCTAGGCCGCCGCCCATTACGCCTGCCATGACGGTCTTGCCGAGACATGATTCCATGCCCATTTGCATCTATATGTGTTGTCAGCTTGAGGCTTGATGAGCGCCCAGTTGTTCATCTGGAACATGGTGGGACTTTTCAGTGAATTGCATACCGCTTTCACCATTTGCTGTTCCTGCTCAGACATTCCGGCGTTTGGATTCATTGATGCAGGCATCATGCCTGGCCCTCCTGGGAACGCCATGATTACGTGAGGATGTGGTTGTGAACGATGAGGGGTGGTTTTGCGCCGCGATGGCGATACTGTAACTTTTGCGGAGTTGACGCGGAGGACGGGAAATGCCGGCCAGCCGACGTGATGAGGCTTGGCACCGGGAGCTGCCGCACGTTGAGAATGAGCTGACTGCACTGTGCCCACAACGGACGCACACCTGAAGCCGTTTCCGTTCCTATAATTTCATGTTCGACGTGCACTTGTTTGAAAATAATCATGGCTAAAAATGAAATATACGATGCATTCATTACACTATTCGAATCGAAGTAGCTATATACCGTCCCACACGGGTCAATTGACTCAGTGTATATACAATTAACGCCCATTGCCGTGCCATGCTTCTCAGAACCGCCTTACCACACCAAGCTGAACAAAATACTCTCCATGTATAGAATTAGACATTGCTGCCGTAACTGCCGTCTAGTGGCGTGATATCATTGAATCGTTGATAAAGTCTGGGTCATTAGATCAAAGAAGGAGAGTCGGATCGGCCGATGTAGTCTCCGTGGGAATGGTTGGAGTTCCGCGACTCGGGAGGAGGCGTAAGCTGCTTCTCCCATTCCTTCATCAGGTGAGATGCAGTGCGCTTCAGGTTACTTGGCGACATCTTTGCCATGTCGGGCCACGGTATCGAGTTACGCTTGGAGTCGCGTCCAGCATCATCGGTCGAGCTGACGGTTGTGAGCGACGATGCCTTGCTATCATGGCGTTTGGAGTGGTACCTCGTGCTTGTCCTGGAGCTGCCCGGGCCGTGCGAAGACGCCGCATCCGACTCATCCGAGCTGTCCTGGGCGTCGCCAGTCTTTGAAGCGTAGGCGTCGTTGGGCGTCTCCCAGTTATCCCATTCTTCTTCCTCGTCCACGACCGATTGTGTCTGCTTTTGCGGAGTCTGAGCGGGCTTGTTCGTGTGAGTCTTCTTGTTGTGCACAGCGGAGGTCTTAGGCTCACTCAGACCCATCTCCTTCCAGAAATCGTCACCAGTTGATCCAGATTTTGACACAGACTTCTTGGAGCTCGCTGAGCGGTTCAGAGCTGGGCGGCCATTGGCGAACTTCTTGTTGCCCTTGATCAAGGGATCCCGCGTGGTGAAGCCAGCCTCCTCGTCACCGTTGACAGCTTCGTCACCCACCGTGGCTTGTCGGATATCATCGATGAAGTTGAACAGGCCCTTCTTGAGGTCGTTCGCCATTTGCGTACCGGCTCGGATGAGCTGCTCACGCTGTATGGTGGGAAGGCCGGCTGAGTCGTAGCGTTCATTGCTGCTAAGGTCGATGAGTTGCTTCGAGTGGTCGGACGAGGTGGATGATCTGGGAGCTGCCTCAAGTTGCCTCGGGGTGGATGCATCCTCATGGAGGTTGAGGGGCTGGGGGAAGGGTGGTGCGTATTGCTTATCAGGGGAGAGCAGGGACAGGGTGCGGAGATGGCGCGACCCACTGAAGACCTTTCTTTGTGAGTTGCTCTGTGGGCTGCTCTTGGGGTTGGCTAGGAGAGCAGCTTTGCGGCGCTCCATCGTCTCTTTCTCCAGGGATATGGTTGAGCCGGCTTCGTCCTCTTTCTCGGGATCGTCGGTAATGTCAATGAGGGTATTGACCGGCTGCAAGGGGGCGGCCTTGCGCTCTTTTGAGCGGAATTTGGTGGCCTCTTGCCGGGCGTAGAGTCCCTTGAGCGTCTGGAGGTCTGCCTCCGCTTTGGTAAGCTCTTCCTTGAGCTCGAGCACATGGCGTTCCTGTGCAGCGAGCACGGCCAGAATGCTCATCTCAGTCGGGGCCGTCTCGCTCTCTGGCGAGAGCACTTTGGAAGGCGCTACCCATGAAGACGGGCGCGACCGCGGCGAGTACGTGCCAGGCGAGCTGGTGCCATTTGATGGCTGGATGGGGAACTGTAGCGACAGGCGCTTCCCTTGGCCGACAACGTCGGCTTGGGAAGATGTTTTTGAGCGAGAGTGCGGCATTGATACGATGATGATAGGAGGAGGGAGGGTGGTGGTGCGGGAGGCGGAGGTCGAGGTAGAAGAGGCGGTGGAGGAGGCGGGTTCGTGGATTTCTCCTATGCAGCTCGCGTCCAGGGTCTGCAGATGGGCACGGTCCACGTTATCAGCAACACCGCCGGCGCACGAGGAACCAGATCTGATGAAACGCGCTGCAATCGAGGCAAAAGTCGAGCGCCGGATTCGTTGAGCGAGGCGGTGAAGGACCAGGAGCAAAACGGTGAAGGGCGGTAAACCAAAGAGTTCCAGGTAGGTCAACAGCCCCGCCGGAAGGCCTAGAATGCGTAGAACAAGTGACCGACGTACCCACCACAAGTAACACCTCAGCGCGATGCCGTTTCCCATGCCAGCGTGCGGGCAGGCTGCATTACTTGCGAAGTAAAGGAGTGTGTAGAGCCAGTTCAGACGGTCACACAGCCGCTTCTCTAGTCTTTGTATCTGCCCTCGTCCACGCGGCGGTAGTGCTCGAGCCGTCAACAATCCAATCTCGGTGCACGCTCCCAAAATAACACAGGGTCGGCCTGCGGAGCTAGTCCGGTTGACAGCGCTGCGTGATGGACTGGACATGTTACTGCCTCGTCAATGCATACCGGTACCATGTCGCGACTGTTCTCTCTCATCTGGTCTCCGAGGGTACGGCGTTGTGCTTTGGAAAGTTTGAAACTATAAGTTGCATGTGCATCGTGAGCGGGCCTCGGCGTTGCGACGTTGGACTGTCAAGGCTCCGCTAAGATTTGGACGGTGATCGAAGCAGCCTTTATGGGTGGTCCTGATGACCTAGAGTCTTAGGACGGTCGTGGCTCTGAAGAAATTGACAGTGATCAACGCTCGCGGCAGAGCACCCTCCAACAGCTCCCACATGGGCACAAGATTCGGCCGAGCTATCTCCAGGGGCCGAAGAAAGACAGTGAATGGTACTGCAGGTTATTAGCTACAAGGAATACTAAACAGAAACCTGTAGTCGAACCGAAAATGTGATGCTGTACGTAGTGGTGATAGGCCTCGAATATGGCGGCAAGGACATGCGTAAAACTTCAACCTCGTAGATGAGCAGCGTTTGTTGTCGCACTGTTCGCTTCCCGCCGCAGTTGATCGTATGGAGTGTATTGCGATTCTACCCCATCGCAATTATGGTTCTATAAGGCCAGGACACATACGCTCCCAAACCTCATTCCTGTCCCTGATCCCAGGCCCTCGGACTTCACCAAGAATGCCATCGATCACGCGCAGCGGCGCGCTGCCGACTTGATGATCGGCATGAATCGCCAAATTGGCATCGGCAGCCCTGCGGCGTCATATCGCAATCTGGAGCAACACGCTTCTGGAAGCACTCATCGTTATGGAGACGGTTGAATAATGTGGTCTTAGCGTGAAGCATCCCTGTCAAGTGACAGTTTGTGGGACTTCGGCCACACAAGAACGTGAAGTCTAACGGTACGCCAATCGAGAGTGTGACGTGAAGGACTTTCCGATAGCCGCTGCTGCTAGAGATCTGACCCGCAGCTCATGCAGGGCGGCTCTCGAAATGTTGGGGCCGCTGCAGGTACAATTGGTCTCCGAAACGGCCTCACCCGTGGAACTGTGGACGTCGACACATTTGCGAATTTCGTTCTTCTTGTCGAGAACATGGTTTCAAACGACGCGTCCTTCCCCGTGTTAAGATGACTGCTCGATCGTGGGCCTCCCAAGTCGCGTCGGTGCGGTGGGGTGTGCGCTTTGTTGTCGCTAATGACGTTGCCATGGTGATAGCAACCCCTGCACGGTGTTCCTCAACTTTGATATGCACCGTCACGACCGCACTGCATAGCCTCACCAACCTATTTCTATCCAATAGTACTATCCCGAGGCGCTAGCCGTCCTATTCTGCCCTGGAACCGCCTCGCCCGAACTGAGTTTCCCACAATCATCAACTCAGTATCCTCGTCGACGCAATGGCCGAGAACTATCAGGTGATGGAGGAGCTGGGCAGTACGTTGCGACTATGGCTCAACTGTAGCAACGGCTTACAATATAACAGGCGGGAGCTTCGGAAAGGTGTACAAGGCTGTCGACCGACGGACGGGCGAGATTGTCGCCATCAAACACGTGCGCGCATCCCATCCGACATCAGACGGCGATATTAATAGAACGTAGATCGACCTCGAGGACAGCAGCGAAGAGCTCGCCGACATCCAAGCCGAGATTTCGCTGCTCAGTACATGCCACAGCCCTTATATCACCGAATACAAGACGAGTTTTGTCAAAGGAGTCAAGTTATGGATTGTCATGGAATTCCTAGGTGGAGGGTCTGCAGCAGATATGGTATGTGGTATCAGGTCATGGAATCAAGCACTACAGAGCTGACAACTTTAGCTTGCACCCGGTCCGATAGCTGAAGCACACATCGCCATCATGTGCCGCGAACTTTTGCTAGGACTCGACTACCTCCATTCGACCGGCAAGATCCACCGAGACATCAAGGCTGCGAACGTCCTTCTCACCGATCAGGGCCGGGTCAAGCTCGCCGACTTTGGTGTCGCGGCACAACTCACCAACATCAAATCGCAACGCATGACGTTCGTCGGAACCCCTTTCTGGATGGCACCTGAAGTTATTCAAGAAGCTGGCTATGACTTCAGGGCAGACATTTGGTCACTGGGTATCACAGCCATGGAGCTGGCAGAAGGAGCACCTCCGTATGCTGGATCTCACCCAATGAAGGTCCTCTTCACAATCCCCAAGAACCCTGCTCCTCGTCTTACCGGCGACCAGTGGAGCAAAGACTTCAAGGACTTCATCGCACAGTGTCTCATCAAAGATCCCGACCGAAGGGCCACAGCTAAGGAGCTTTTGAAGCACCGCTTCATTATGCGCGCAGGCAAGGTCGAGGCATTGCGAGAGTTGGTGGAACGCAAGCAAATGTGGGAGGCACAGCGAGAGCAACAGGCGGTATCGCACCCCAAGTACTACGAGGAGACCATGTAAGTACTTGGTACTCTGTATCCTAGTCACAACTTTGCTAACTCATGTCAGGCGCGATCTCTCTCCAAAGGGAGAAGACGACGACTGGACGTTCGACACAGTCAGGCCTCGCACCGCAACGACAGTTCACCAGACAGCTCGACGACGCAAGACTGCACGCATACCCTCTACCGATGTTGTCGCGGTAGCGAAGAAGATGCAGCACATGGAGCTCGACGACGCCCCCTTGGGAGACGTTACAGACTCACCGATGCGTGAGCGCCGTCCAGCCTCGTCTCGTCAGACCTCGCACGGCACAGCGTTCCGCATACCATCCGGAAACACACCCACGGCTCGTCGTGTTAGCAACATGCCCAAGCAGCCTCTAGGGGTTGACCTTTCTTTCGGCAACTCTCCATCAACAGTGCGACACTTCAAGCGTGTTCCTAGTGGAGAGCGCCGTGCAGCCCTCGGATCAAACCCTCCTCCGACCGTCTCAAGCAACGAAAGCGCCCCAGGATTCCAACCAAACCCCGAAGCTCGCACATTCCGTCCATCCCCGCCCAACTCAAACCATCCTTTGGACATAAACAACGAGAACGCGCCTCCCACACCTGATTACCCACCTATGGCTGTTACCAAAGATGCTCTGTATGGTCGCCGAGCATATAGCAAGGTTCTGGATTCTGTCTTCCAGGAAGCACATGCAGACACAGCGTCTCCCCATCAGCGTGAGGCTATCGGACGTGTCGCTCAGGCTTGGCAACAGCTCGATGAAATCGACCCACAGGGCGAATTCATGCTCTTGAAAGCCATGGTTGACCGCCTGAAGGGCGATGCAAAGCTTGCTGCTGCTCTAGGCATTGAAGTCCCGTCAGTGCAAACACCACGCAAGCACAATACTAACACGAGCGATACAAGCCTCAGTGGCACAACCGTGCATGGAACCAGCACCACTCGCATTCGATCCAGCGCAGCTACAAGAACAATGACTACAACGCGAACCACAAGCCGCTCTTCAACACCAACGCCCGGCCCGCCTGTCGACAGCACACCATCAGAGGTTCCATCAGCGTCTCCGCTCAAGGCAACCAAGCTCTTGCTTGCGCAAAACAATCCACATCTCAAATCACACCGTCGCCGTCAGAGCGCAATTGTAGTTGGAGAGAAGACCCCTGGCCAGAACGCTTCGTTCGCGCTGGATGAAAAGAAACTCCCTGGCTACGTGGAGAAGGGTATGGAGCAGCAAGGTCTACTCGCCGACATACTCTATTCACAGTGGATGGCAGGTCTGAAGACGCGCTGGCCAGCGACATAGCTTTTGGCCAGATATGAGGTTGCTGATTCTTGCATACCGTGCGTATTGCATTCTTTGCACATTTTTTTCCCGAGGTCTGCTTGCAGTAACGAGCATGAAGTCACGATTATGGCTCTTCTTACTTGGATGTACGATGAGTTTTACTTTGCGAGCTGGCGTTGCATTAGAGCGGCGTTTTCCATGGGCATATTGCTATTTTCTGAGCGCAAGCGTGTATAGATAGACCGGTGCATAATGTAATCATATTTTGAAGCAAGGATTCGCTCTTTCCGCCTTCGTGAGAACAATGTGCCGAGCCGACAGGAGGAAAGCTTAATCTGGCAATCCGCTTGTCGTGCACTATTATCCGGACTACCTAGGTACTTCGTACTCCACAACTCCAAGTCTCCACGATTGGGATCTGCCGCTAAACAAGGTACCCCGCAGCCACCCGTATTGCTGCACCGTTACATCACTTGAACAATTTTGCTTGCTTTCCCCACCCTCACCTGTAGACTAAGCAAACGGCACGGCGGAGGTATTGCGGAGGAAGGAGCGTGACATCGCGTGTCACTGCCAAGACACGCTGGAATGAAAGGTTAAATAGACTAGGCGCAATGACATAGCTGTCAATTTTTCAATTGAAGTTCAAGTTCTCTTGTATCATCGCGGGATGGGTGTATTCTTAAAACAGAGCGCTTTTGCAGCGTTACTGCTGGGCGTTGCAACTGCGCAGAATAGTACTAGCAAGTCGCCTTACGACTGGGTTAATCCGCTGATTGGCACGACGAACGGAGGTTTGTTGTATTTTTGGACGAGGCGCAACTACAGGTGAACTGACCGCATCCAGGCCATGTTTTCCCAGGCGCAACACTGCCTTTTGGTAGCTCAATCTCAACTCCACAAGTTCAAGTTGCGACTAACGATATGCAGGCATGGCGAAAGCAGGCCCCGATGTCAACGGCGGCGAGAATCAAGGCGGATTCTCATCCGATGGTGCCCCAATATACGGATTCTCACATATGCACGACAGTGGAACCGGAGGATCGCCTTCGCTGGGCAACTTCCCTATCTTCGCGCAAGCAGGATGTCCGAACGACGATATCAACGCATGCAACTACACGTTCTGGGACCGAAGCACTGATCGAATTAATGGTACTATCCATGCGCGCCCAGGATACTTTGACATTACCTTAGCCAACAACATTCGCACGGAAATGACTGTCACGAATCACACTGCGCTGTATCGCTTCACGTTTCCTGAGACTCCTGTGACGGCGAACACGACTTCAAATCCCCATATCCTTGTCGATTTGATGGATTTGCCAAAGTCCCGTGCCGATGCGAACATCACCATTCATCCAAACAATGGGCGCATATCAGGCAGCGGTCGCTTTACGCCATCCTTCGGCCAGGGCGCCTACGTGTCGTACTTCTGTCTGGATTTCGACGGCGCCGCCGTCAAGGACGCAGGTATCTGGACAAACTCTCGCGCAGCACGCACAACAAGTCTGAAAATTCGATCCGGCGATGTAAGACAGGCTCCGAGTCTACGCCCTGCAGGTGGATGGGTCCAATTCGAGAAGCCGAAGAAAAACAACCAGATCCTTGCTCGTGTTGGAATGAGCTTCATTAGCGAAGCACAGGCGTGCTCCAATGCCGAAAAAGAGATCCCGCGCACCAACTTCGACTCTGTCGCCAAAGCGGCGGAAGAGGCATGGCGCGCCAAGTTCGATGTCATCACTATCGAGGCCGGCGGTGTCGACGATAATCTCCAGACTACTTTCTGGAGCGGCGTGTACCGCAGCATGATTAGTCCGCAAGATTACACCAACGAGAATCCGAATTGGAACTCCAGTGAACCATACTACGACTCGTTTTACTGTATTTGGGACAGCTTCAGAAGTATTCATCCTTTGTTAACGCTGCTGGATCCGCATAGTCAGACGCTGATGGTGAGGAGTTTGCTGGATATCTATGTGCATGAGGGCTGGTTGCCGGATTGTCGTATGAGCCATTGCAAGGGCAATACGCAAGGTGGCTCAAATGCTGATATCGTGATTGTGGATGCGTATCTCAAGAACATTTCTGCGGGGATCGATTGGAATCTTGCGTATGAGGCTCTCGTCAAGGATGCTGAGGTTGAACCTCCTAACTGGGATATCGAAGGTAAGTCATGTTACCACTTACCTGATTGCTCTACTAACCGTCCCAGGGCGCGGTGGACTCGCTTCATGGAAATCTCTAGGCTACATTCCCACGGAGAACCTCGACACCGATGGCGTTGGTACAGAAACTCGTAGCATCTCCCGAACAGTCGAATACGCCTACAACGACTTCACCATTGCCCTCCTCGCCCGCGCTCTCGGCCACAAAGACGACTACATCAAATACCTGCAACGCTCCGGCAACTGGAAGAACATGTTCAACCCCGCCCAAACCAACATCATCAACGGCACCGACACAGGCTTCGTCGGCTTCCCGCAACCCCGCTTCATGAACGGAACCTTTGGCTACCAAGACCCCATCTACTGCTCCCCACTCCTAGACTTCACAGGCTGCTACCTCAACCCCGCCGGCGGCGAAACCTACGAAGGCCCCGTGTGGCTGTACTCCTTCTTCGCGCCCGGCGATATGGCCAGCTTAATTACTACCCTCGGCGGCCGCGATACCTTCATCGCGCGCCTCAACTGGCTGCACGAATCGGGTATCTTATACGTCGGTGACGAACAAGCCTTCCTAACCCTCTTCCTTTACCACTACGCCGGGCGCCCCGCGCTGAGCGCTCAGCGCGCGCACCAGTACATACCGAGCCTTTTCAACAATACAGTCGCGGGTATACCTGGCAATGACGATAGCGGCGCCATGGGCTCGTTCGTTGCGCTTGTCATGATGGGTATCTTCCCCAACGCAGGCCAAGACGTGTACTTTATAATTCCGCCATTCTTCGAATCTATAAGCATTACGAACGGCCAGACAGGGAAGACAGCCACTATCAAAAACATCAACTTTACCCCCGATCAGAAGAACTATTTCATCCAGAGCGCGACGCTGGATGGCGTGCCGTATACAAGGAATTGGATACAGCATAAGTTCTTCCTCGAGGGCGGCGTATTGGAACTGACCCTGGGAGATAAAGAAAGTGAGTGGGGCACGAGGGCGGAGGATGGGCCGCCGAGTTTGGGGCCGTTTACGAACGGGACGGAGGGGTGGAAGAGGGGGTGGGAGATGGATGTTGGGGAGGTGAGGTTTGGGGTTTGAGAGAAGGAGCGGGACTGAAAGGGTCGATGTTTGGGCTTTGACTGACAATGGATTTTGCTGGTTAGAGCAGGGCTTCGAGAGGAGAGGAGCGGGTAATGAATCATGATGGAAACTTCCACAACATGTCCAACTTGTGGCGACTATTCAGAAAAGTTGTCGACAGATAAATTCGAAGGCAAGTCGGCTACTAGCATCTTTACACTTGCTAATTAACTTAAACACTAGACAACGATGCGCTACTTATCGACTCTTGTGTCTATGCGCTTGCTGACATGTTCTTTTTGGAAGATTTGAAGACGCTATGTGTGCTCAAAATACGACACGCGTACACATCACTGACACTACTTCGCGCTCTTACGTTCATACAATGAGCTCGACGGGCGTAGCTCCTGGTGTCAGCATAACGACGTGGAATCGACCCTAATATCATGTAGATACTTGGCTGTCGCGCCTTTGCCTGAACCAAAGGCAGGGATCGTTCTCCTGCGGCTCACCACTGTAAGTGTTTGACCATTGACACCAGCCTATCCGAACTTCATTGTAAGACCACGGCTGAATCGACGCAAATCAGCATCGGTACGAGGTCGTCTATTGTAGAACCGTCACGCGACAGTCCTGGAAAACTCTTCTTGTGTGACGACAACTAAGCCTTCAGCCATTCTCGGTTGCCCAGTGTTGGGATTGGACAATGCTATCGCGTGTTTACGTGAGCATGACGTGATTGCTACCTTTCAGCACACCAACTCTCAATCTACTGCGATTCCCGCTTGACCATTCACCCGAAAGTGACACAGAATAATGAAGCTCCTCCGGCAACATGGCACCGTCATCGCGACTCACACACAAACGCAAGAGTGATGGTTTTGGCGTCGACTGCTAGGACCTACAGATGGGTGACGGCGCAACATAGAAGTAAGCATCAGAGCAATCCATTCGCTTATTTACACGTCCCATAATCTCTCTGGCTGTAAAAGCATCAGTATCATCGAGAGAATGATTATTGGGGAGATACTTACCACCCAGTCTTGCAATGAGAATCGGTCGTACCACAGAAACCACCTGGCGAGCAGCATTGACCGTTGAACGGGCCATTTGCACATGTATATTTGCCATTGTTAGCACCGCAACTACCATCGAGCGTCGGTACGTTAGATGTCAAACATGCGCTTGAAAACGACTTTTGACTGTAATACAGTCAGTATGGAATTAGACAGCCACGAAACGCATGTAAGTACGAACCAGCCTTGAGCGCAATGATTCACGGTATCACCGCAATAGCCTCCGTTACTGCAGCAATTTCCAAACCCGCTACCTCCACACGTCAAGCCAGCGCTACTTCCACAGCTGCCATCCTTTGAGACATTATCCGTGGTAGGTGTTGTGGGTTGTCCAACTGGGATGAAGCAATCACCAAAGCCGGCCTGGCATGCTGTGCCGCAATGTACGGCTGTTACACCACACCATCCCGAGCTGCTACAACAATTTCCAAATCCAGATAGCTTGCAATTGAAGCCTTGGAGCCCACCACAGCTACCTTATTCACACGTCAGTTCAATGCTCCGTTTCGCCACGTCATGGCTTCTACGTACCGTCGGGCGAGATAGACGTGTCAGAGCAGGTCCCAAACGTCGGCTGGCATCCCGCTGTGCCTGAAACAAGGTATTAGTTGCAGTCAGTTGCTTAATGCTTCGGGAAGTCTTACAGTGTCCGGCTGTGGAACCACAAAAGCCAGACGAGCTGCAGCAGTCGCCGAACCCGGAGCCCTTGCATTTGAACTTATTTGCACCGCCACCTGATAAAGTCAGCCGCGTGCCTGATAAAGCCGAGAGTCCACCTACAAGTCCCGTCCGGTGAAAGATCAGTTATGGTGCAAGTTCCAAAGTCCTTTTGACATCCTGCGGTGCCTTTCCGGGCAGATGTCAGCATAACCCAGCGTTGTGGTTGTCAAAGTGTACGTACAGTGTGCCTTGGACGTGCCACAAAAGCCAGAAGAGCTACAGCAGTCTCCGAACGGCGAACCCTTGCAAACATACTTATTTGTTCCGCCGCACGATCCGTCCGGACTAATGATGCCTGTGCCGGGCGTTGGCGTGGGCGTGGACGTGGGGGAATTGGTGACCGGACTTCCTCCAGCAGAGGGCCAGGGTAACACGTAGTTTATGTCGCAGTTTCCCGATTGGCACTTGTCTGCGGCGCAGAAGCTGGTTCCGTTGCCGCATTGACCTTGAAGATTGCAGCAGCTTCCCCATTTTCCGGTGCAGAGCTTGTTGTTGTTTTGATATCCGCATTTTCCATCGAGACTGTACTTATCAGGAAATCCGGTACACGCCCCGGAGAAGCAAGTTCCAGCCATGCAGTCGTATCTGCGCATGAGGTCAGGCTTTGTATCAACCGAAGAGCATTGGGGTTCGGGTACTCTGTGTCGCCACATTTCCAGGTCTCTGAATTACAGCATTGTTTGTCGGTGTCAATGCAGGTAGTGTTCTTGTTTGGAAAGTCCACAAAGACCGTTCGTCGAAATGACTTCCTGGATGTCTACTGATACTTAGCATGGGCTCTCGAAACTACGAGTCGACTAACAGCCTGAAACACAATACTCGGTGTTGATCTTGAGACTGTCACACGCCTTGTTGACTGCAGAACTGAGCTGGAAAAACTTGCTTATGTCGATGCCATATCGATCCGAAAACCTCTGACACGTGTAATAGTTTATTTCATCAGTCGTAGATGCTGTATACCGACAAACAACCTCGCCAGGTTTGGCCACAGCGTAAACTGATGATAAAAGACAGCTCAAAGCGATAACCAGAAGACTCGATGGCTGTTTCATCGTGCCTCAATTGTCCCACAGAAGGGAGCTGATGATTTGGTATCCTGGAGAAAAGGAAGCAGATGATTTGAAAGGCGCGGCCACCGCGGTAGATGATACCTCCACAGCCGTCATGGATAGCGCACGTTCCTAAGCGTTTTTGTTCACTACTGGTACACGGACTAATACCCAACAACAGGCCACAACCGTGAGTATTGAATTCGGCCGTTCAGGGTAACAGTGTACCGGCAATATGAATCATGATGTGTAGGTAGTGTGATCCCGGGGTGTAGTCGTAAGGTTGAATAGATGCTTCTAGCTCGGTCGAAGTACTGTGCCTCCCCCCTGCATAGATCGCTAGCTTCAGACCCTCCGGTGACTGCGGCACTCTCTGCCACCCGGGTATTAGGTTTACCCCTTATAGTGGCCTTGACTTTGCTCTTAGCGCTCGCTACACTACGCTAACAATGTGGTCCTAGGGGGGTACCCAATCACACACCGTACCACGCAAGTATAACCTAATCTAATTACTGTGGGTCCCCCTGAAGTTTTCTCAGCGGCAAAGACGAGACTCGTGCTCCCCCGCCTTTCTGATTGGCCTCCGTATCTAGATATCGCTGGCGGATCTCAGGCCTCCTCTTCCGACAAAGTGCCAAGAGCACTAGCTGCATCCTGCACCTTGCTCTATATAGTCGCAATTTCTGTTCGTGAACCCTGACTGCAACATCACCGGAAAATACAGACTTGCTTATGCTACAGAGCGCAGGAACGCCTTACGATACTCCTAGTCTCAAAGTAACGCTCTCGCCATGTGGCCCTCGTCCTTTCTCGTTCCACCAGAGTCTTTCCAGCCTAGTCTAGAGAGTTTCCAGCCAAAACCCCCTGATCGAATTCGGCAGGAAGTCCTTTTGAAGCTCCGTTGGAGTATTCTAGGGTCCTTAGAGAACATCAGCATCCAGACCGGCATTAATGAAGATGGCACCGAAGAGTGTCAGCCCTTCCTTGCACATCCACTAGCTATGGAATCACTGGCTATTCCGCCCGTAAGCCGTCTACAATTGGACGCAACGGACATAGCAGAGGCGAAACACTTCCGCCTAGTATCTAAAGGCTATGCATATGAGAGGCTTGTGATTGAGAACGAGGATAGGAGCCCTATCACGATCAAGGATTTTGTCACTCAGGCACACTACTATCTCAGTCAACACAAAGACGTGCTGGTCCACTATCGAAAGAACGTGGGATTCAGCACACTACCACCTCCCGGAGAAGCTGTTGGGCCGGGCTTTGCAGTTTACGATCCTATGAAGAAGCATGACCTTTTTTTTAAGCACGCCTCTAGTAACGCCTATTCTGAGGATTGCCGGGTATCTATATCCACCGCTATGGAAGGGGAAGGAGGAAAGTCGGCTGAGGCTTTTTGGCGTTCCCAGCGCGCTACTGCCACCAGCATAGCCTCGTATCGAGCAAGCCTGCAGGGGTGAGAATAGCCTTGCTGCACGGGCGGCAACGGCGAACTGTTAAGCTTATCCACCAATTTCAATAGTCTTCTTAAACGATGCGGCGCAGTCTTTTCAAGCTATGCAGTTAGATTAGTACGAGAGAACAAGATGTGGGTATGCATGTCAAAAATGTCAGACCCTGCATACCGAGTCACGTTGCGCTTGGGGTGCACATATACTCAGGATCTGTCCTACATATTCATCGACGTCTATTCCTCAAACAATCAAGTTCAATACGGCCTTGATGAACACAGTTTCAATAGCTCATCTATGAACTTGATTGTCGGCCATCATGACTCTCTGTTCACCTTTGGTGCTTTTCCTCTCAGTGCTATCATTCTCTACAGCAATTCAGGCTCAATTCATTCAAAGATGGTTATGGAGTCAAACAGTTAATCCGGCAGGCCAGCCAGTTCCGCTACCCTATTGGCATCGGGAGGCGAATATGCAGTACGGCAGAGTCATGTTCACTCGGCGTAGAGTACGTAACCCCAACCCAGAAGCGGAGAAGACGTCTTGTGACTGAGAGCAAGCTCATTAGATTCACAGGTCGTTCTAGAGTATGTGGAGCCCAATCCTGTGACTGCTTACGAAACTGAATTCCTGTGTCAAACAGGTACAATTGTGACAAAATGCCGGCGATCTGCATGAACGCAAACAACTGGATGAATAGTGCCGCTGCGACATGGCCTGGCCGGCAAGCCAACGTATTCACGTGGGATATCGGTCACAGCCGGCTCAACGATAGAACAAACCGGCTAAATAGTGAAATGAGACGAGATCTTCAATGTCCAAGTACATGGAAAGGTACTGCATTGAACCCGAGGTAAGTCAGCGATTAGCTATTTTTTTGCCAGGACACATGTCTCTTTAGTTCCAGTCAGACACGCTACTTGCGACATGCGGTATGCGCGTTGTAACAACCCTGTCGTTGCGAGACCTCGGTTTTTAGCCATCAGCTTATTGGGTTATGCAAGTAGTTGCCGCATCTGCATGCACTCTAGCAAAGATCCCGTTCATTCGATTTCGCTAACATAGCGCCTAGATGCCCGGAACCAAATCAACCTCGCGTGGTACCCCCTCTATATAACGGCGCAGCAGGTGTGACAGCTCTCAAGCTTCCCCTCATCAACCCGACCACTGGTCATTATGAAATGAGAATTGCTGATGGCAGTGATACCCCGGGAGGAACTCTCCAGGAGTCGGGAAGAATTTACACTTGTGACGAATTTCCTCCAGCTTCCTGGGTGGAAGGCGGTGTTGGAACCCCGGGTCAGAATAATCCCGAAGGAGATGGTAAGAGCCCTGCCATGTGTCGGAATAGCCAACTGACGTGATTCTGTCATAGGTGGCCCGGGTACGACATTTTGCGCGCCAATGTCAAGAACGTATGTTTGAACGTCTTTTTGTCTGATAAGATTGCGTCATTAATATGCATACAGCTGCGCTGCCAACCAAGCTGCTGATCCTCATGATGGTCGTGGATCAGAACAAGATTGGCAAGGCATAATACACGGCAAATTGGGTGCTACTCTTACAGCTATCATTGGCGAAGAAGGTAATCGACTTGGTCAGGATTACGACGATAACTCTGGCATCGCTTTTCTCTTCAGAGCTATAGCCAACGTGAACCATCCCTCCGCAGCCCGGGTATACTACGAAGACAACGGTGAGTATCGGGACAGCATCAATCCGGGTACTTCCTTTCGGCGTCGATCTTTGGAAGAAGAAGGCATGCTGGCGAATGCAACATTGCTGAGTGCCGAGAACCTCGACCAGGCCGACTTGGAGAGCATGGGATTCGTCTCAATTGATTTCGTACCGAATGATTCTGGCAGCCTGACCATCAAATTGCCCAACGGAAAACAACTTGCTGCCGATGATCAAGAAGCTTATACTGATGCCATAAAGTCGGGCATGACAAATACCACATTCACAGCTTATGACTACAATAGCTTTGCTTCGAATTCGACCTCGGCACACGCCCCGTTACTCGAGTCCGAATCAAGCGACAATCAAGTCCCGCGCATCAATGTCAACGGTGCAGAAGGTTTTAACCTCACTTATAAAGTTGAAACTCAGCGATAGCCCATTGAGGATTCGATCGACATATTGGCAATTGGCACAGAGTACATCCGCGGTTCGGTGTATTCGTCGAACAGCACGCAAAATGCGACAGACGCCAAGAATGCAACAGACAGCAAGGGCACGAGTAGTGCTAAGCGCATCACCCATCGCGGAGCTCATCAGCACTTCTCACATAAACGACAAGCCGCCCCGGTCGAAGGACCTATTCAATGTGGACCAGGTCAGCCTTGCCTTGACGGATCATGCTGTAAGTTATCTCTTGACATGCTGACAAATAACCATGGAACATCATCTGACAACATGTTCTCGCACAGGCAATTCTGATGGAAAGTGTGGTTTTAAGGAGCATAATTGCGGCGCGAAGTGTATATCCAACTGCGATGCAAAAGCCATGTGCGGAATTGATTCGGCGGATGGTAAGACACCGTGCGGACTGAAGCTTTGCTGCTCATACTATGGCTGGTATGTGTACAACAAGCACGATATGCGATGCAAATGATTGATTGTTCCAGGTGTGGGACGGAGACTGTGCATTGCATAGATCCAGAGCCTCAATTCATGAAGACGTCTTGCCAACAAGGGTTCGGTGGCTGCACCATTGTACCCTCACCTGTCTGCGGGAAGGGATCTGGAACGGCCTCGAAGGGCCGCCGCGTTGGATACTACCAAGGCTGGAACTCACGAGAACGCGCATGCGACAAGGTCCCACCCCGACTCATCAACACCCGTGGACTTACTCACCTGTTCTATTCGTTCGCTTTCTTCGATCCGACAACTTTTGAGATGACGCCGATGAACGCGGCAGATGTTCCTCTGTACGGCGAATTCACGGCATTGAAACGGAATGGACTCCAGACATGGATAGCCGTGGGCGGTGTAAGTCTCAGTCCAGGTCAACACAGATGATCGCTTCAAACGTTATTGAAGTTATCTGTGATGATGGTGATTCGAACAAAGATAACTGACGAGAGACAGTGGTCCTTCAACGACGAGGGTCCCACGTACAACGCCTATTCCAACATGGTATCCATGCGAGCTAACAGGGCTGCGTTCATCTCATCTCTTATCAGGTTCATGGACACTTATGGCTTCCAAGGGGCTGATATTGATTGGGAATATCCAGCAGAGCCAAAGCGCGGCGGCCGAAAGGAAGATACTGACAACCTTGTTCTACTTATGAAAGAGATGCACGAGGCCTTTGCTGGACGATATGGCAGTAGTCTTACGATTGCCCCAGACTATTGGTACTTGAGAGGTAAGCTATTGAGGTCACAGAATGTGGCAATGTGTTAACATGATCCCCAGGTTTCAAGCCGGCAGCTATGCAAGACTATGTCGACTTCATGGGGTTCATGAGGTACTATGCCCGCACCCGTTTCGACTGAGAGACCGCTGCTAATGAAGCCATAGCTACGATCTTCATGGACCTTGGGATCAGGACGTGAAGACGCTTGGGTCTATCGTGCGACCACAGACCGACATCACCGAAATTAACAAGAACTTGAAACCTTTATGGTTTGATGGTGTTGACCCAGCTAAGATTAACTTTAGAATTGCTTATTACGGACGAACTTATAAGCTAAGTGACCCTTCATGCGATAAAATGGGTTGCCGCTTTGTTGTTGGCGCGGCTGGCGCCCCTGGAAAGTGTACACAGTTCGCTGGCGTACTTTCAAACCGTGAGATCAGGCAAATATTAAAGGACGACAACAGTATCAAGCCGTACTTCAACACTACCGCGATGGTAAAATACTTCAAGTATGCAGGGGATAGCTGGGTCGGATACGACGACGCAGAAACGTTTGCGATGAAAGAGGAATATGCAAACGATCGCTGTCTGGTGTGTGCCGTCTTATGAACTTGGATTTACTTTGGCTAATCTTCGCTAAACCGCAGGGTGGTATCATGATCTGGTCTGTCGATTTTGACGATGAAACTGGCGTCGGTCTCGGTTCTGCGAACGGCTTTAAGTCACCGGAATCCGCAACTGTCATTCCAATGGCTCACACCACCGTGCCTCGGGGCCAAACATTCACGATCAATCCAGGAGCCGCGACGGATGTTCCACGTCTTCCAAATGGCGGTACACAGAACACTCCACAAGGCCCAGAGAAATGCCAGCAGTGCAGTTTCTTCCGATTGATTACATCCACATGCTGCGGCACGGGTGGATCGGTCGGGAATCCTATCGCTATACAGCCAAACGTGCCAACGCCTATGGACATCCCACTGCCAGCAGGGTTTACTCCTGATCAAAGTTTTCGGGACTCATCAGGGAATGTTATTCCTGCAAACCAGCCACTGCCACGGGAAGTAATTATCCCAAGAGGAACTACTTTCACTCAACCATTTCTCATTCCCGGTGGTATGTCGTTACGTCAAGGCGAGGGTGATGATCAAAACTCAAACTCCTCAAGCCTCGTTTGGCTGTCTCCAGAGATATGGGAGGATCCAAACCCTGAAGTTCAATGTCTCTTCCCTTGTACTTTCGTGTTGCCACCTTGGCCGTCATACACTACCACGGTGGACTATCCACGAATCACAGTTACCCGGAGTGGTACTATCCAAACGATACTCACATTCCCTCCACTGACTGTCAGCCAATGGGAGCCCTCCACCATCATTGCCAGCGCCTCGTCACGCTGTACTACAGACTCTTGTAGTGGGGAAGATCTTCGGAGAACCTCCTCGGTGTCGATACGAAGTACGACAACCTGGCCGCCAGTGACATGGACGGATTCTGGCACAGTCAGAACTACATATCCTCCGACTGCGACTAGGACTGGAGGGGGCCAGGACCCTACAGGCGGCGGTGGCGGTGGCGGAGGAAACCCTCCCTGCCTCTTTCCTCTCTTCTGTCCGCCGGGCCCTCCACCCCTTCGTCTCCCTTCTATCACAGTCATTTGGGGACCACCAAAGCCCACCACGACTCCTTGTGCCTATTCTGCGCCAGGTTGTCCTGCACCTGGTAGCAAACCTCCACGACCCGGAGGCCTCGTAGTGCCTCCTGGTTTGCCTCCGCAGGAACCTGAGGAAGTCGACCCAGAGGAGGTGTGCCCTCTAGTACTTTCTACAACGAAGATCAGAACAGTGACCGCAGTCGTCACTGTAGCATCGACATCAACAAAGTTTACCCAAGCGCCCACCCCGACCCTAATACGACCAAGCGGCCCACGATTTGCTACGCCAGACTGGTCCAAAGACGAGCTCAAGTGCTACGACAGTGGGCAGCGAGCAACCAGAATTCATATGATCAACGGTGTGGACAGATTCTGCGATGCCTACAAAGGCCGGTCTTTGTATGCCTCCTGGTATTCGGGCGAGATCCCATTTACACCTAGTTGCTGCGACAGGAACCACGAAGTCGTTCCCATCTCGGTCATAGTGAGCTTGGAGATGCATGGCGGATGTCAATGGGACTTTGACGTCAATGACTGCAAGAGAGCATTCAGGAGAATCATAGATGAGTGCGACACAAATGGTCGCGACGACAAGCAGGGTGGGCGGTTAGTAGGCAACTGCGTTACCTTCAGAGCAGACCCGAATGCGCAGTAGTAGTTGTAGTTCTCAAATGTTTTCGTATCCCATTATCCGGCGCATAATGCCTTCGCTTGCTACACTAATAGACTTGCGTACATTCCTGACAAAGTTTCTTACCTAGAACTAAGCGAACGCTCTTATTTGTACTAGAATCTACGTAGTAGCTAACAGTAGTAGAATCTACTCGTTTTATAATAATATTTACTATAAAAAAAGAGGTAGGATTTAAGCTCTATTGTTGATGGTATCCACTGATGTGAGTATCTCTCTCGCACGAGAGGTGGCTTGAGCGCAATCACATGATTCGGATCGCTAGGATCTCACAACTGTACATAGGAGATACCTATCTTATCGTTGCACGAGACAATCAATTCAAGCAATATATACCTGTTTACTCAGTTACCGTACGATCGTACAAACCAAAGCTAGTCTCCTTGCGATGCGCAGGAGATAGCCCATTCAACATCTATAATATAACGTAGGTGATAAGGTTGGCAAGCCACCTGGGTTGGCGAGCTACTGTTTCTTAGCATTACTCTTTACTCTATAACTTTACGAGTTTTAGACTTCTTTAGGATATTAGTTTACATTTAGAAAGCCTTAATATATAGCTCTCTAAAGCTTTAGAGATCACCTAATTAGGCATAGTATTGCTAAAGTTAGAGCTTGGGAAAGCCTAGGAGCTCGCTTAGCTTTTCCATGCTGCGGAGATCTTTGCGTTGTTGCAGCCTTGCCAGCCTTTGAGATTGATGGACAAGAATTCAACATCGGCTAGTACCAAAGGAACAAACATAAGAGACGTATACCACATTCTCATGGTGGGAAATATAATAAATGAAAGATATAAGTTGGTTGAGCGATGGTTTTGCTCAGGTCGTGAGGTGATATAGAAGATGATATGGATAATAAGCTGAAGCTGCCGGACTACACTTTGGTCACAGAGCCTGAATTTATATCATTTATGATAGTGACCATAATTTCGCACATAACTTCTGTAATATACCCGTGCGCGTGTTGGCCTTGCTGTGCCTCTCTAGACGCTGACCGGGATAAGAACGCCCAACAAGACAGGAACTACACCATGCGTCTAAGAAGTACAGCCTACTTCAGAATTAGCCACACAGTATCTTGGCAAAAGCCATCATCTTGAGGAGTTTGATCCGGACGTTTGGTAGTAGAAGTCGACTCATGCAGCTGCCGCTCACAACTTAACGTTGTGAATGGATCTGGATATACTGAAGTGATTCCTAGCTAAAAGAAGAACTCAAGACACCAATTTATTCTGGTGATTTGTTGAGACTCTCACGCATACGATTCGTGCGTTAAGTCCCTGTGCGCCATACAAAGAAATTCGCCTTAGCACAGCTTCTAATTTCTACATTACCCTCTGACAAGGAATTTTTAAATTTTGAAAGCAGGGCATGATTTTTTGCAACATTTTTTATCATTATTATCGTGTACTTTTTATGGCAGACTACAGATGAGGTTTTAGTTTATGAAAGCCCTTACAAAATGGAACCAAATTTCCTCAGACCCTCGCAAGCTCGGTGTGCTCCATTCGGAGCAGGCACCCCACCACCCACCGAGCGCCCGCGAGCGTCTGATTGATGAGATAACCTGCTGCCTGCTTGGCGCCTGGCTGAGTCAGCACAACCTTCCAAGGTTGTGCAACAACGCAGATGACCAGATTTCCCCTTGCTTGACACGAATCTTCAACTATTTAATCAGATTGAACTCAGTACCTCACTATGCTCCTCAAAGCCAGGTCTCTTCTGTTCTGTCTTTTCCTAGTGTTGTTTCTCGTCTTTCACCTCTAGTTTCTCCTGGGACATCTGGAGCCTTTCCCGAACGAAAGCACTTGACGCAACGGATGCAAGCATACAAAAAACCATCAAGCGACTTTCACATCAGTCCACATCCGACCCTCACCAAGATGTTCTGCCTGAAAACGCAGAGTGGTACAACGAGGCTGGCACGCCACTATTCTACAGTGCCTGGCGGTCCGACCCAAACACAGCTAAACCACCCGAGCCCATAAGACGCTCTGATATCTTCAAGAGCGGAGCGCGTGTAGCTTGTTGGCCATCTACTGGCGGAGTATGGGTAAAGAATTTAGATCTCGTCGAAATGGATTTCCTAGGCTTGAATCGACTCGGACACACACCTCGACAATTCAATCAGACAGCTGAAGACGAATTTTGCTGAAGGCTTCGAGCGATTGGGGCGCAGTGGTGGAAGTTACCTCCCAAATTCGAAGAAAGAGCGCGTTTAGGTGACGATCAATTCAAGTGTCAAACTCTGGAAGAATGTTTTGAACCGACTATCGATTTTCCGGACATCATTGCATGGTCGAGAAGCGAGCAAGTAGCATGCTGGTTGCCAGTCAAAACAGCTAAAGAACGATCTCAAGCTGATCTCGACGTATTGTACAGTACGATCACAATGGACGAGCGCTGCTACGGGATCTTTGGCCTTGGTGGATTGTTTTGCCGTTGCAGAACACAGTGTCCGGAACTCAACGATCTGATTTGGCCTTTAGATAACGGAGGAGATGGCGGTGAGGGATGCGGGGATCCGCCGTACCATACACCGCGGCGTGGTGCGTATTCAGTAGAAAAAGAGGAATTGTAGAGAGAAAACTAGGCACGTTGTATTCTAATCAGACGATGAATCTATATGGACGCGCCCGGTTGAACCTCGGAACAATTTTGTCTGAACACCATCTTCAGACAGCGACTGCAGCAAATAAACTGTAAACGGTACTTCGACATGTGATTGATCGGACAGGAGAACTTGTATTCAACGTCCTATGGTCGTATGTGGGAGATATTGGAAAACTTCGCAAATGTGTTTCAGAAGTCATCATAGAAAACCTGCATCTAGCTGAGTAGGTAGCACCAAAGACGAACGATGCGAATATTTTCGGAAACAGTACATGGCACCTTGATTCTGTACACTTGGAAAGCACCGACCTAGAGATAGGCCGTCATCTCCTTCCTCTCTTCATATTCCTCAAACAATCGCTTCATCCACATCTTCGCTTCTGATCTCTCTTTCTCTTCAAACATCCTCGCGATCAGTGCGTTGTCCCGATGCGAGTGCCCATCCCATAGTGCGTGTCGATGTCGTTGCTCTGTTGCTTCAGGCCCCGCAGTGCGGATTCGTGTTGAATATTGGAGGTGACGATGTTGTTGAAGCTGGCTTTGTGCTCTGACAGGAGGTTGAGGAGGTCTTTGAAGTCGGACGCTGGGAGGGAATTGGTATCCATGGAGACTAGTAGGCTGCTGTAAAATTACTGGAAGAGTGGAGTATGGTGGAGGCGAGGCAATAGGTGGAAATGAAGTTGTTGGCACTATCAAGGGAGGAGCAAACATTTCGTTGGATGGACACGTGGCATATGTGAGTGTAGTTTGCACGACACTTACACCAAGAGGTGGTATGATAAATCTTGCGCAGTGTTTATCAACAGGCTATTTATTCAGAACCCAGTTGAACTTTCATGATTTCTAGCTACTCCCAGCACTTTTTGACGTATTGTTATGTAGATTCAGGTTGACATACAGCCGTACGGCATGAAAGTCATCCCTTGATAGGAGTCAGAGGAGTAGTCAGATTGATAATGATTTATTACTGAACCTAGCGATAGACTAAATGACGCTTACTCACTTTTGCAGGAAGTGTACATGTTTATACCCAAATTTATAGTCAACGTCCAGCATCCCGCGCACGATTGTACGAATCGATTGATAAGCGCACTATGCGAACCTAGCTTGATCCAGCAATCCTGTTCCACTGCCCTCTAAGCTCTTTGTCATGTTCTTGAGTATTATTGATCATATCGGCGATCTCATCTATACAATAGTCCCACTCATTCTCGACTAGGTTTAAGTATGGCGATGGATGTCTCCCATTCGTGTCATAGCCAGCGTACATCTCCCTGTCGAGCACAAATTCATAGAGCTCTTTTGGTACTTCTTGCAGTACTGAGTCCCACTCAAGCAATTTGGCTTAGACGCCTTGCAGTCCCCGGATGAGTTTGTTGAATTACTCATCGAATTTTGGAGCCTCGTCGTCGAGATATGCGCGATCTATCTCTTTTATACTGCACTCTAGATCGCCATGGTTTTGCGTCTATACAGATCTAAGCTTACCGAGGTGGGTCTCGCCATAGTAGCCGGATTCTGGGATGTATTGATATATCGCAGCTTTGTTGACGTCGAGTCTTGTGAATTCAGTGGAGATTTTCAGGCAGCTGTAGCGCTTCTGGCGGTTGAAAATACTGTGCAGGTGATCAATGATGTCGGAAAATGCGTGAAACTGGCAGTAGGATCCGGCACAGGTGGGGTTTGAGTACACAATGTAGGAAAATAGTTTGATTTTGATAGTTCAGAGATGGAGGTTGTTGTTGCAATTGACATGCAGTGGGGAGTATGTATTTATAGACGCTGGTTGTGACGTGTACAGGAAGGAAATAATGATGTGACTAGGAGCATGTGACGCGGGATGGAGTCATGAAGCATTGTAAGAGTTTGTTGGAGTTCGATCATGAGTTTCAGTATAATAATGAATAACGAATCATGCTCATTGTGCATTGTTCGCCTCGCACTTCACATGGAAAAATGTTGAGACAATGGTTACTCAATGTCAGGTCTGACAATCAACGTGGATAGAGTGTCAAATTTCATGAATCGTGCCGTGGAGCAATCTATGTTGTCTCATCGTTCTACACTTATATGAGCTTAATTCATAGCAGAAGCACGGGCATAAGTCTACGGACACTTGTTTCGATATTGGTAGTTTGTGGACTTGCTTTGCATTTCTGAAACGATCTGCTTTATCTACCCAGTGATCGAGGCGAAGTTACGCCGTCAGTATATGTCCCATATTTCTCATATGCGCTTCGTACACGCACATTTACAATGCTTCCTGTGAAGTTACTCCAGGGCCAAAGCCATTTAGGCGATATATTGTGCAGCTTTTGCTTCAGAAAAGCGCTCCGCGCGGCAAAGGTCTTTATATAACTCTCCTTGGCCAGTAAATTCGAAGATGAGAAATATCCGTTTTGCATCATGGAAGTGTCCGAATGAGCGCAGGATACTTAGGTGTGCGAGATGGGACTGGATTTCAATCTCACGACGCACTTGCTTCTCCGCTCTGCCTTGCTAGATTTCTGACTTGTGTAAAACCTTTTGAGCACAGAAAAAGCCCGAGGCCCTCTCCTTAGCAAGATAAACGCGTCCAGATCTGCCTTTTCCGAGAGCCTTGCCGATTCAAACATGCTGAGGTGCCAAGCTGAACCCGTGATCAAGCACCTTGCCTTCGCCTGAATGTATCCCGATAACTTCAAAGACGCAAATCACTTCACATCGAACGGCTGCAGCAGGTATGATTGTGCGGGGCATTTGAACGTACGGGACCCTCAGATCTACTATTGGTTGTCCGTGCAGCTGTAAGTGACATGGCCGCCCGTGTCGCGGGGCGATGGCCGAATACCCAAGTGCCCACCAGAAAAGATGAATTATATTTCGTGTCCTACACCTCGCACAGAATGCACGCTATGCAGACTAACCCCTGATCGACGAAGCTCGCTTGAATAAGACTCTCCCTAAGGTCTTGACTGCATGGCACATAATGTTCGACCGACTAACAAAGTGCGAGGTGATTAAGATCAAATCCAGGTGACTTAGTTGAGTACCTAGTTGCGCCATACAAGAAAGCAACAAGATTTGAATTGCCTCGGGTTGCGCATTGCCTATTGTTGTAAGACCGTGCGACAATGAAAACTACTATTACGTGTGTGATGTTCCATTGCCGTTCCCGGGCCTTGGATTAGCGGTACGAGTCAGTGTCCATCCGGGGCCCCAGAATTCACACGACAGCGCTAACCGATCGTTGGAAAAGGGTTGAGCCGACCAAATGAACATCGGTTAAATGCACAGCGCTAAACCCTTCGTATAAGTGTACCTTTTTGCGATCTGTACAACGAGTGTGTTAAGTATCAGCATGTCTTGTTGTGGTGGGAGCAATTGGATCGCACAATTAACTAGCGGTAGCTTTCAAGATGTCCAAATTCGCTGCTCTTTTGCTATTGCCATTGGTCTACGCCTTTCCAGCTCAGAACGCCCACGATGATCTGCTAGTACATACTAGTTTATTTTCCGTGCAAGGTGTGCCATGGCCAAACACGACAGACATTCGTTTCTTTGGTGGAATACCCTATGCTGAGCCGCCGGTGGGAGCAGCACGTTTCCGACCTCCCATCACAAAACGCCCCACGAACCAAACTATTGACGCATCGTGGTTTGGACCATCGTGTATCCAGTACAACAATGGTCAGAAGACAGTGTATTCAGAGTACCTGAAGGGGTTTCTTCTCACTCCTGGCCAGCAGCAGAGCGAAGATTGCCTAACGTTGAACATCTGGGCTCCGAGAGAAAGCCATGTTTCAGAGCCGCTGCCGGTCATGATATGGATTCATGGCGGTGGATTTACTTCGGGGGGAGCTGCGAGTCCCTACAAGTATGGGGATCGACTTGCAAAGGATCAGAACGTAGTCGTGGTGGCTCTCAAGTACGAACGTCACTCTCCTTCTGAAAACTGTACTGACTTCGTTCAGTTACCGACTAAACATCTTTGGCTATCCAAATGCCGCTGCCCTAGATGGAACATACCTCAATCCTGGTTTGATGGATCATCGCAAGGCCGTTGAGTGGCTCTACAATCACATCAATGCTTTCGGCGGAGATCCGGAGCGTATGATATTGTTTGGACAGTCAGCAGGGTACTGGGAGATCTCACTTCTCCGCAACTACGTGCGCTGACTTCAGTAGTGGAATGGCTGTGGACAAGTACGCATATGCATATCCCGAAGACCCTATCGTCGCAGGCTTCATTGCCCAATCTGGTACTGTATCTGGTGGAAACTCAGACGACGCGACGAACTCAAACTTTACATATGTCGCCTCGCAAATAGGTTGCGGATCGTCCGACAAAGACAAGGAGTTCACTTGCATGCAGAACGCAAATGCAAGTGTCATCATTGAAGTCTACAACAAGTACAACACATCCGCAAATGGCGGAAGATCACTATCATTCAGTCCAGCACCAGACGAGCTCACGAACTTTTCCAACTATACTGACCGCCAGATCCGCGGGCAATTCGCAAAAGTGCCTACCATCTTGTCACAAGTGGACAATGAAGGATCTTCTTTATTGCCCTTCGTTCCGACCGGACCCAATCAGACCGCCGTAGACGCATTCACACGCAGCATCGCAACATGTCCAGGCGCAGAAGGAGCTCTGTATGTTCTGCTATCTATAGTAGTTTGCCCAGGCTGATAAGATCCCAGCGCCCGAAAGAACTTCAAAGTGCCCGTCTGGCGCGCTCGTTACTTTGGAGAATGGTCAAACCTCAACCCTTTCCCATGGCTTCGCGCCTACCACTCATCTGATATCCCAATGGTCTTCGGGACTTCAGACCTGCTCGCGCCCAACACGCCGACCGAAGCTGAGACGTCAAAATACATGCAGAGCGCGTGGGCTACTTTTGCAAGGGACCCGGAGCATGGGCTCAGGTGGCCGACCTATGATCCAGAAACCGATACGCTGGTAAAGCTGGGATTCGAAAATAATACACAGGCAGTACTGGGGCGTGGAAACGAGTTTGATGGACTGTGTTAGCTTGGTATATTCAGTCAATCTATTCACGTACCTGTGAAAACAGCCATCGAATCTTGATATGTTCATCGTTTAGCTATGGTGGCCCTCCGTGGGGCTCTGAAGGAGTATCTTATACTTCAACTCCAAACTCAAAGCACGCTGAAAATAGCATCAATAACCCCTTCCTCCTTGTTGTTAGCATATGCCATCGTCATACAGAGTATGTGTTTACTCCTATTTACGCTTATGACTTACTCCAACACGACCGTCTGCAAGACTCGCGCAAAGTCAATCAAGATGCGCTCAATCCGTCCGCAAGATTCTATGCTGAAACGTGTAAAGTGACTGCGAGTATCGACGTTGTGCCAGATGATAGTGATGTCGAAGTCATCGTGTAGGGTGAAGCTGGCGATTTGGTGACCCTTTTGAGGTGTGACTGGACTAGTATCAGCAATGATCTCGATAATTGCAGTTGAGAACCTCTAACTAGCTGCGTCTACGGTACTAATGTCGTTTTGCATTCTGCGCTAATGATCTTTGGAGCACTTATGCGCTCCGTGTAGTCTCATAGGGAATGTATGAGGGAAGAATTTGGAGTTTTGTCTCTAGCACGCTTCATGAGTTGGGAGGCGCCACGATACGTCCTATAGATATGGAGGTAAAAGCGAGGCTGAAGCACCGCAATTTCACTACAGAGGTCAAGGGTAGTTGTCTGGAGGTGGCAAAGTGCAGTCAAGAGCGGCAGATAAGAAACATACATTTGTTGATAACAGAAAAATCGTGACATGTTTATAAAAAATAGATTATATGTAACTTTGCCACAATAGAGATCACGAAAAGAGGGGCGTAGAATACGTCAAAGTGGGACTGTTAGGGTCGAGTAAGTTTTGGAACAGGCTTTAGCGCGCACCAGAAACAAAAAGAGAACGGTCGCACATCAGCATGTCTGGTTCTAACGCAATACTATTAAAAAATCTCATACCAGAGAATAAATAGAGTAGATTTGCTAAAGAAGATGGACTTCGTTATATTCAATTTAAACATAGTTGAAATAAGCAGATCCTGCAAATTTTAGGGATCAAAGACTCTAGCTAGCAGCTGGTATCGTAGAGCGTGTGCTATCGGATTGTGCACCTTTTTTTTGGTTTCTAGTGCGCCGAAAAGCCTGGCCCCATTTTTATCTAATTAGCGGACGCCACAATCTACGCGCCCACCAGGATGGTGACAAAAACCAAAAAAACAACATTTAACGGCGGGTATTCGCGTCACCCAATTGACTACTAAATCACCACCAGTGAATTGCTTACATAGGCTGAGCGGGGCGTGAAGCCTCGTATTCAGTATCCTATGGTCGTGTGTGGAAGAGATGGTTGTTCGTTGAAGATATGTTCCTGTGATACAAACCGCAAGTGCACATGCGCAACCGCAAAAGTCGAGCCCTTACTCTCTGCATCGGTGTACAACAATATACAATTTATTTGCTGCGCGTTCCAGTAGTTAGCGCCTTGGTAACAAGTTTGTTCGACTGCCTTTCAAGGGAGCTTGGGGCACGCTCCTGCTCTTTCTCTTGGACGTTTGCGCAATCCTGACTACCGCTGAGTGACGATTATTAAGCCCTGGTACACCCCTTGAGTTTCCGTGGTTCAGAAGCATGATCTTTACAACGCATTGTTTGTTCTGGTCTCGTATCAGATCCGGAACATTCAGCAGAACTCGGTGGCAATCCGCCATCGAATCGGGTAAGATGGCGTTCGCATCGACGAAGATATATACTCGCTTAAACTGGGATAAATTATGTACAAGAAGAGAGGTGTAATCGGCGATGGAACTGGCCGCATCGAAGTTTCGAATCTGCGAACATACACCATCGGTATGCTTGAGAGCGGCTTTCAGAGCCTGTGCGACAAGGCTTCTCATCACCTCGAAGAGATCATGCCTTTGATCCTGCTGATCCCGGGGGTATTTTTGTTCAATGATCCAGAACACGGGTATGTACGAATTGAGCAGTTGCTCGATTATACCGACGTAGAAATCGCGCACGTTGAGCCGGTCGCGGAGTCCTGAGTTGAGTGTGATGATGTGGAAAGTGTCCAATTGGTCCCACGTTTTGAATTGCTGTGAGTTCCAGAATGGTGCGCACTTGCTGGATGTCACTCGGCGTGCTCTTCGTTGTACGAAAGCCTTTTCGTAAGCTACCTGGTGATCAATGGCACATCTGGCAGAGATGAACGATAACCCTTGGGTGAATTGTACTTCCGAAATTTGGACACGAATATCCGCTTGCGTAGCCTGGATATCTTGCTTCATGAGAACTAACGCCTGCAGAAGCGTCTGCTCAGAGGATGTTTGCTTCTTGCTAATCAGAGCAACAAGAGCTGCCACATCCTTGACTTCTTGGTGGACAGCTTTCAGCTCCCCAGCGGAGTACTTTTGCTGGATTAGCGTGTTGAGTTGCTGCTCCATCTCGTCTAACCGATTCTGTACTGTCGAGCGAAAGTTCTGCTGCGCATCGTACTCTTGGTGCATTTCCATATGCATATCTCTTTGTTCAGCTTGGCCTCCGGCTTGTGATAGGTCGCCCACTTTGGCGAGTGTCTTGTTTATGTCTCCGATGAGATCGTCGTATCGCAATGCCGCAGGTCTGGTGAAAGATTGGATAGTCCGCGAGAGTGAGCTGGATTTGTACCAGTCCAGTGCTCGGCATAGAAAAGCAATGACATGACAGTTCAGTATCACAATAGTGTCCTTCATCTTTTCGGTAGGATACAGAGACTCAGCGAGATCAATCCGTGACAGTGCATCTCCGATGTCGTTTAGTGCAATGACAATCGTTGATCCGAGCCTTTCATGCTCGACTATTACCTGTGAATGTGTCAATATAAAGTGCCAGAAGGAAGTCAAGGGGAGATGTTCACGCCAAAAGACCAACTTTCAGAGGTGCCCCACGCCAATGACACGTACTCTGGATGGTGTTGGACCATCACGTCCAACCACCTTTCCATAATATACAACTCTCCTTGAGAACGATGTTGATGTGTTTTATACAGCTTCGAGCCGTTATTTTTGTTGTCATACTGAGCCCTTCGCTTTGTTGACTTCGTCAATGACATCTTGTAGCCTCGTCGTCGCCTTTACGTCGTCGACCCAAGCATGTTTCGTAGATGTTAATGCCAAAATGTCCTTGAACTTACTCAGACTCTTCTCAAACGTAGTCTGTGCTCTGACGGAAGCCTTCGCGCTATCGGATTGTAAACACTTGCGCATATATCCGGGGAGGTGACTTGGGGCACTTACGAGGCTAGATACCACGATGACGTCATAGTATAGGCAGCAGCTGCGCTAACAGCGCGAAGTAAAGCCAACGTTTACCCTGCCGGTGTGAATATTTAGAACAGTTACGTTCGTATTCTACACCATGGGCATGTATGAGAAGATGTGGGACGAGAAGGACTCGACCACAGCGGACATCGCGTCTATCCAATCGGTGTCCGGATTATTATAACAGCGACGAGACTTGATAAGCTCTGTGTCAGCCTGCAATTAGCCTGCTCAACTGTGCGCAGCGCCTTCCTCCAGCTCGCCCTGTCATCCTAAAATCTTGTATTACATCTACGAAGTGGAAGAAACGATGCCCTTGAGGCGTGGTATAACTGTTAACTCAAACACGGGACAGGAATACTATTCAGATGAGGATCTCAGATGATTACCCAAGTCATCCACCTCCGATTCCACAACCAAAGCCTGTGCCACAATCGTCCGAGCCTCACACGATATCCGAAGATCGAAGTGCTGGTAGCAACTTGGAAAAGCGTAACCTGGCGGCGCTCGAAGTCCGGACCAATCCACAGAACGAAATCGAAGGAAAAAGCCCCTTCCCGGCCTCAGCTTTCAACCCGTCCCCAACCGTCCCTCCCATCAGTACCTTCTCTGGAAGATACGGTCACGACAGGAAGGACAATCCTGTTCTTCATACAGGTGAACTGTCTATCATGTCCTCACATTTACAGCAGCGATTCGGTCGACTACCTTTTGACGAAGAACACCCTCATAAGCATATCGACGACGTAGATCAACGAATCCTGGAGGAGAATCGCTTCACAGCGGGCTTTTCAGCAAGCCATAATTACTTGCGACCTCTGATTGTGGGCAAACACGATTGGGTGGAGGACATCGAGCAGATTGATGCAGGCAGTGAAATACAAGCTAATATCGAAACACTGCAACGAAATCTAGCAAGCATGCAGAAAGAACTGGGCGAGCTAGAAGCGCAGAAACAAAAGCATGCAAACAAGCAATTTTTGATCCTCTACCGGATTGAAGGTACCTGTTACTTTGATCATCCTGAATGGACCCAACGACATGAATCCATTGTGTCCCGCACCCCAGTTCGGAACCTCGACCTGTATCTGGAAAGAAACAAGGAAGTTGTTTTCATAGTGTACCGCGACTTTCACCGCACGCCTCCGAAAACGGGAGCGAAGAACAAACTGTCCTTGCCTCAACATATGAGCGAAAGCATTCATCCGGTCAGCCAACAACTCCGTAACACACTTCAGATGCTTTTGAAGTATGATTGGCGGTATCACTCAATGTTTTGGCAACTACGCCGGAAGAAAGAGATCCATGCACCATATCTATTCATTTACCACCACAGGAGTCACTGGAAAGACATGCTGGCGGCTTGTCTTCCTACTGTCCGTGAGCACCTGAATTTGCTTGCAAGATATGTTTCGGAGAACTACGGAGAGGAATACGTAGCTGCCGACGCTATGTTTGCACAGCGAAAAGTCTCAACGCATTTTATCAAATACCTGTTTCAGCCGGGGGATATTCTAATTTCGCGGAGTGAAGGCCAATACAGAGGATTAGTGGCGAGATCATGGCCTCAAGAAAATGCAGAAATGCCAGCTCGACCAGCTCGCGCCTCTGGTAGGACCATGGTCCCAGAGCTCCATGAACCACACTGGTCACACATGGAGCAGCTCCACTCCGAAGTTGATTTTGAACCTGATTCCGATACTGAAATCAATGTCTCAGAAGAAAATATGAGATCGCCGGTCGAGACTGTTGAGCTTAAGGATCAAGACTTTCTGCGACAGCTTTACGGTCATTTACATACAGAGAGTAATTCAAAAAAGAAGGAAGACAGCAACAATGATAATGCGGAAGCTTCAGATGAAGAAATCAGCATCGATACATGGCAATGGAGCTTCGATGGAGACTTCAAGCGAGTTGAAGGCAAAGTCGTGCTCCGCTTATCTCAGTCAACTCTGAGTGATACAACGGGGTCTGAGGGGTGGAATATGCACGACTTGAACGTGTATCCACTCAGATTTGCCCCACAATCACTTGTCCAAACACTTCGCCGTCGGGGGGTGATGTCCTGGCAATGTCGCAAACGATGTCTGGTGTCTTACCACGAATCAAATGCCGAGGCACAGGATGAGGTAAGACGACTCCTCTTCAATCGAACTATATTTAGATGATTGGATGCTAATCTGCCCCAAGTCCGATGAGCGATTTATGATTGATGTTCCAACGTTCCGGAAACTGCACTCAGAGAACAGTAGCTATGTCATAGCCATATCGGTAGAGACCATGACTCAAGCCGAGATGGAGAAAGAAACCCCCCCTGACGAGACATTCTACTACCTCGTCCCATTGCAAACAAAAGGGTTCAATCTACGCACAAAGAAATGGTTAGATCTTAACATGGATCAAATAGGCCCAGTCATCTGGAACGAGAAAGCGTTTGACTCCTTGGTCCTCAATAAAGACAGGAAGACGAAGGAGTTGATTACAGCTCTGGTAAGCAAGCAAATCTCACCCTCAAAGTCGACCGACGTAATCGCTGGGAAAGGTAATGGCCTCATCCTTCTGCTTCACGGAGGGCCAGGTACCGGCAAGACTTTGACAGCAGAAAGTGTAGCCGAGCTTGCAAAGAAGCCTCTATACCGGGTAGGCAGACCATGCGTGTCTAACTGGAATTATAGAACTTGCTAAATCAAATCCAAAGGTGACCTGCGGTGACGTTGGTACGAAAGCCGAGGAAGTGGAAAAGTATCTGGAGTCGGTGCTGCACCTTGGCAAACTATGGGACTGCGTCGTGCTACTCGACGAAGCAGAAGTATTTCTTGAACGAAGAAGCTTAGACGACCTTCAAAGAAATGCGCTTGTCTCTGTATTCCTACGCGTGATCGAGTACCACGAAGGAATCCTGATCCTCACCAGCAACCGCGTAGGCACATTTGACGAAGCGTTCCGATCGCGAATCCAAATCGCCGTCCACTACCCTCCCCTACGTGCCTATCAGCGACAGCAAATCTGGCGGAACTTCTTCGATCGGCTTGAATCGTTCAAAGACGGATCAGTCGATGTAGACGAGCTTCGGGATCACCTCGAGGAGCTTCAAGCCATCGAGATAAATGGACGACAGATACGTAACGCGATCACGACGGCTCGGCAGTATGCGGATTGGAAGGGCAAAATTATGACGTTTGAACACTTGAGGATTGCCCTGGATGTTGCGGCTGAGTTCAACGACTATTCTGAGAAGCTGCGAGGTGGTTTGACAGACGATCAAATCGCCGACGAGGAGGGCATACGCTGACGTAACCAAGGGAACAACGCTAGGTTTATTATTGGTGATAGATCGATACCCAAGTCCAATCGCTATTTCAAATTACTATCTTCTTTAGCTTCGTTCTAACCTCATCCAAGTCATCTTTTACTGACTCTTTTGAGGAGTTTAAGAGTAATTCCCAGAGGTTGGGCTTACTCATGACTCTCATCAGAGACGTTGCAGTCAGTGGGCGGTGATGTTGACAAAGACTGCATTATCAGTTGGTTCGTCAATGTCAACATATGCAATTCGTCGTACTGCTCGCTTATGGGTTGCTGAAGCAAGACAATTCAACTTGATCTCCACGTTCAGCAACAAAATTCCAGTGTTGTGTGACTGAACAGTCGCACTAATGTAGTATGTGACATGTACCTCAATCACGAATCACTTCAATCTCACAATACAACATAAAGTCTCTCGCATACTCGAGTTCATTCGGAGTCATGTCTTTGCACTTCTCATTACCCGGTTCTCACGCATTCCTCATAACCGCACAGACGCTCGCACCGTTGCACACAACAGGATGATATCCAACACGGCGCATCAAATGCCCCATGCTCACCTCTTTGACTCAACATTCTGGCAGGTTCTGCCCGCACACTACGACAAGATCAACACCCACTGGAAGCTCATCGCAAGCTTGTACTATGAAGCGAGCGCTGCAATCATGGCAACAGATCGTGCGGCAGGAGTCAACTCGCTCAAAGCCGAGTTGGAAATGATGGAACAAGATATCGCAAGCTACAGAGACGTTGTGAAGAGCGTGGTGCTCGAAGATATAGTGGGAATATATGTGGTCGCTGGACGGCAGAGGTGGAGGGCGGAGGAGATCGCGAAAGAGGGTTTGGGGGATATTGAAAAGGGCTTGACACAGCTGGAGAGGAAGGCCAAGGAGCTGAAGGCGGACATTGTATATGGATTTGAGGAGAAGTGATGAGAATAAACTGCACGTCTGTTGTGACAACCATGGCGCGTCCGGAGATAACCCAGCAGTTCCGTGTGCCGCCAAGCCCCTCTTAGTGCACGATTTCTAAACATCATCGTGAAGGGTGATTATCCGGGATAGCCCTGGTCCAGTCTGGGTATCACCGTTTAAACTGGAGAAAGAAGAGTCTAGTTCTTACTGTAGTGAGTCAAAATCCCAGAGACATTCTCATAATTGTCAAGGATCAGGCAAGCGATTTTCAGCTAACGAAATGATGACATGGGTATGCGAAGTCGCCGTGCGAAAGTTCTTGCAGCGTCTAAGCTAGTTTAGCGGCTATCGCAAGTAGACCAGATCGCTTGCTCACCGTCTTCTTTCGTGTTTAGTGAAACTGTAAATTTACCGTCTCACTATTCGTGGCTTACGAGTGCAGTGCATGTTTACTAATACAGCAATGACTTAATTTGGAAATCCGGTATCGTTTGTTTTCAGTCATGTGTTGCATTCGTAGAAAGCTGACAGGGTTTACATATCATGACTTTGTATGATTAGAGACTTACTTGCTGGATCGGTGTGCTAGTCTATATACTTCGATCGGGCGAACTTAAATCAATTCCAGGGAGGATGTTGAACGCCCACCCATTGAATCCTCATCACCTTCTGCCATTCACGACTTGATTTTGTACCAACAAATCGAAATAATGTTACAAGAGGAGAAGAGCTTGCTATTCTCATATCCAAAAATCTTCGGGGGCATAGTGGCGTATTTTGTAGTGGTCACCATCTACAGCTGCATCACCGCACCACGATTACCGGTCTCAATACCATGGTTGGGCTACGGAAAAGGCTGGATCGCCGGCGCACGTAACCTTTTCGCCATCGCCAAGAGCAAAGAATGGATGCAGGCGGGATATGAGCGATATTCGAAGAACAACAAAGCGTTCGTTCTGCCTTCTGCCCTAGGCATGGTCGCTGAGATTGTTATGCCAAGGTCACAGATGAGATGGATGCTCGATCAGCCCGACTCTGTCCTGAGCGCTGGTGAGGCGCACCGGGATGCTCTGTTTGGGGACTATACTTTCGTCGATCCCATCATTTTGCGAGACCCGTATCATGACCGCGTGGTTCATAAGAACTTAGGGCGAAGTATGAACGGCATTATCTCTGGCCTCGCAGAAGAGGTTCCTGCGGCTGTGGAAGCAATATTCGGGACCGACACGGAAGTTTACACAAAAGTTGACGCGATGGATTCATTCATGCGCATGGTACCGAGGCTTGTTAATCGGATGTTGGTCGGACGAGATCTCTGCAGAAACCAGGGATATTTGGATGCAGTGCTCGCCTTTACCCATGACGTTGTCCGGACGCAAATGTTCATGTTTATCATCCCGAATGCTTTCCATCCTTTCGTAGGGACTATCCTAGGCTGGATATCAAAGCACCATTATTGGCTCTCGTCTCAGTTCACAATTCCGATGATTAAAACAAGACTGGAGGACTTGAGAAAGAAGGATGCCAAAGAGTCTGGATACGACGACTGGGGAGAACCGCAAGATTACATAACTTGGACATACCGCACAGCACAGGCCGAAGGCAGGCAGGATGAGTTGCGCCCAGATCGCATCGCAAAACGTATCATGCCGCTGAACTTCGCTTCCATTCACACGACATCCCTGACCGCATATGAGGCTATCACTAGAATCTTGTGTGCCGATCCCAGCGTACTCGAAAGCCTTAGAGAAGAGGCGCATCGTATATTCCAAGAAGAGGGCGGCTGGACGAAGCGGGGCCTGAATAGCATGTATCGAATGGATTCAGCGATTCGCGAGTCACAGAGAACAGCCCCGATTTCTCTGACATTCGCGGGTCGCAAGGTCATAGCCAAAGATGGGATTGTCACTCCGGATGGTTTGCGCGTCCCGTATGGTGCTACGCTCTCATTCCCATGGATGCCTGTGGCCTTGGACGAAGACATCCATAAAGAGGATGCGGCTATTTTCGATGCATTTCGCTACTCACGCGCCAGAGAAACATACGAAATGATGACGGCAAAAGAGAAGGAGAAGGAAGATGTGCTCAAGCTGAAACAGATGACAATGGTCACCACCAGCGATCAGCATCTTCCCTTCGGCCATGGCAGGCATGCTTGGTAAGTGCAATTTTGTCATGAGTAGATCCCATAGGGCTGCTAACAGTACCACAGTCCCGGCCGGTTCTTTGTTTCACACGAACTCAAGATGATCTTCGCTCATCTGATACTCAACTATGATTTCAAACGTATTGAAAGTGCGCCAAAGAAGATGTGGGTCGTGAGGGTCCAGGTACCTATGCCTGCGATACTCGAAGCAAAGCGTCGAAAGGCTGTGTGGCAACCCTGAATGAGACTTCCGATGATGATTTTCAACATGTAGTAAATACACATAAAAGTACATGATGAAGACGGTGTAATCGGGTGTGTTACTTCCGAAATGAGACGCGCACTAGACTAAAAGTAACGTTAGCTGCCCCGCATTGCTATCAGTGGATGAGTGCATCCGACACCTCTACAGCAAGCTTATCTTTTCGCATACTCTCTGATTTTATGCATGATCCATTCTACTGCTCTCAATCCATCTTCAAGACTCCGATCGCAGAATGGCCACCGCAGCCGTTGTGACCGCACCCCCTACAGACCGTACAACTTACGAAGAAGCTCACAATGGTGCGGCAGCATACTTGCAGTCGCGACTCGCTGTGAAGGATGAAGCCTTAGACAAAGACTTTTCAGTTCCCGTGATTGATCTTGCGCCTTCGTTTTCTCCAATACTTGCTGATCGTCAGGCTGTCGCGGAACAGATCCGCAAGGCGTGCACAACATCTGGATTTTTCTATATCGCCAACCACGGTGTGTCAAAGCAGGCCCGAGATGGCATATTGGAACAATCTAAGCGTTTCTATGATGAACTGAGTCTCGAACAGAAAGAGGACTTGCATATCAAGAAAAACCAGCTGGGCTTGGGCTGGGAACCAAGCGAGTACACATCCATTGCCGGCGATCAAGAACGGAAGGAAGGATTCAACTTTTCGTACGAAGCCGCGCTTGATCCTACGGGAGGCGATGGATTGTATCGGAATCTTGATGGTACGGATTACCGGGGTAATATGTGGCCAAAGGAGGAGGATTTACCTGGATTTCGTGCAGCAGTCAAGGAGTACTATGGTGGCGTAAGTGTAAACTCTATTATTAGCCACCGATTCCATCAAGCTAAACCCATCACCAGGTACTCAGCCTTGCGCGCCACCTCTTCCGGCTTTTCGCGCTGTCGCTAGACTTACCAGAAACATACTTTGACTCCATGGCCACACACCCCGGTGGTATTGCACGACTGCTTTATTACCCACCGCCCAAAAGAGCTCAGCCTGCGATATCAGACCAAGAGCAAATCGGGCTGGGCGCGCATTCGGATTACGAGTGCTTCACTCTACTGCTCACTTCGTCAACGCCGGGTCTAGAAATCTTGAAGCCATCTGGAAAGTGGCACATCGCATCTCAAGAGCCTAACACGTTCATAATCAACGTTGCCGACTTCTTAATGCGCTGGACGAATGGGCTCTACAAATCCACTGTCCATCGCGTTGTCAACCGAAGTACCGAAGCGAGATACAGCGTCCCGTTCTTCTTTTCGGTCAACTACGATACAGTGGTTGAAACGCTCCCCACATGCTTGAGGGAGGGGGAAGTGAGCCCATGGAAACCCATCAGAGCTGGCGAATACATTCTCGAGCGACTGAATGCTACGACGAAAAATGCGTACGGCTTCAAAGGGAACGAAGCGATTCATGACGAAAAAGAGGCGTAACGAATGAGGCTGAAACGCCTTCGCTTGTTGCCGAGAATCCAAGGAAGGCGCAGCGAGGAAGGACCGTACATAGGAGGCGGTCTACATTCCGATACCCAACTATTCATCGCGTCTGGGCAACTGCGGCTGACTTATGACGCTTGACACCATCTGTCGATTGCTTGAGGTCCAGAAATAGATTGGAAATCATAACAGGTTGTGTGAGGTTGACAACTGCGGTCTGAGTGGAGCAGAAGATCCCAGACCCCAGGTTTTCTCCAAGTGTAAAGTCCCACAAAATCGATGATCGGCCAAGAAGTCACACGATTACAGGCGCACTAGTTTCCGTCCTCGCAAGCTGGCGGCAACACGGCCATGAAGCGGCTTGGCAAGTTGAGATAACATCACTGCAATACATTTCTCCTAGACCTCAAACTCTATAGATACGTTTCCTTTAAAATAATTGCGGAGAATTTCGTCCTCAATTTCATGCTAACGACCCGAATGTCAAACTGATATTGCTCGACTCAAAGAGCTCTAGCACTGGCGCCAAGTTCGTCAAGCATTGGGCTTCTTGGCGATTGACGCTGTATGGGATGGCGGAGCACAGGCGTCGTAACATCATGCAGTCTGGGGTAAAGCAAGGAAGTATAAATCTGCAATGTTCAGACGTCAAACACACACCCTTACCATCACCAGCTCAACCTTCCTTCAACACAACCACCACATACTCCAACACCAATCCCTTTGACAGCATCTCCAAAATGCGCTTCCAAACCCTCAGCCTTGTCTCCACCATCCTGGCCCTCACCGGTGCCCAAAAAGTCGAGCAAGACGACATCCCAACCCAATGCACCAGCGTATGCGCTGACCTCGTGTCTACCGCTCTACGGTGTGATCGTGACAACAGTAGGCCATTTCCCTCCCCATCCAAAACCACCAAGATCTAACAACCCAAAGACGACAACGACGCCGCCGAGCTGCAATGCATCTGCACCTCGCAAAACGCCAACACACTCGTTCCCAACTGCGAGTTGTGCGTGCGCAGCAACCGGAATAACGGAAATGACAATGGTGAGTGCCGAAATCAAACTTACCGCTATCAATCGCTCACCTAGTCGCAGACGTCAACGACGTCCTTACCAGCTGCAGCTTCCAGCGGGCGTCGCAGACGATTAGTGGCAGCGCTTCAGCGAGTGGCTCTGGTACGGTTGTGTCGACGGTAATCAGCACGAGTGGAACTATTGTTTCCACTTCAGTCACCGTTGCTAATACGGCGGCGCCGGCTGCTAGTACGGGCGGTGCGATGCCGAAGCAGACTGGTGCGGCTGTTGGACTGGGTGCGCTGGGTCTTGCGCTGGGGTTATTGTAGGCTGAGCAAGATATGTGCAATGTGTTTTTTTAGTACACGAGTATGCATGCAGGTGTTGGTAATGTCTGAAAGCATTGAGTTGAACTTTTTTGATCGGGCGATACCTAATACGTGAGGATGATGTAGACTAGGATGGCCATAGTGAAGGCGGCTGACGGGAAGAAGGCTGGCAATGAGCATGTTGTTAAAAGAATAAGTTATGTGACGATATTGTGAATTGCCAGTCCCGTACTTTTTGGAGCCAAGCCACCTTTTCCCCCCATCGTTCATAGTCATAAGGGAGGAAATCAAGTTGTCCCTTTCCTACAGCCTATACCCCCATTTACGACAAAATCTCGACCTGATCCTGTGTCTCGGCATATGCGCGGCAGAGTCCACTGCCATTCGGCCCTTCTGCACGAAATTCGTCCCATGAACGTTCGCTGTTTCAGAGTTGCAAGGCCGGGTGTCAAGGTCTGGGATAGGAAGGATGAGCGACTGTAACGGTAGCATCTTGCGTGTATTTTGACACTCTAGGTGCCTTCATGTCGTGTAACTAGATATACGCGCAGTTACCCAACGTCAAATCTCGAAACGCTTCACCGATACGAAGCATTGGAATGTGGCATGCAAGATATTCTTTCATGTGATCGAAATACTGTGAACACCGATATGGCTACCTGGAAAACTGGGTTCGCGGATTGATCTTTTGCGACATTTGCTCCTCTGGCGCTTCTATCTAACAACAACTAATTACGCCGTAGCATGTAGCGTGATGGCTTCATAACCGATCTCTCAGAAAATGCACCCGCAGTCACCTTGCCATCCATTGCAGCGATCGACACTATTCTCAACTTGCCTAATCAGGAAAGTTGGGGGCTTATCGACACGTGACATAATCATCTTATCTGCACGACGCAACGTTGGAACGTCAATCCAGTAGACAATTCCAGCCTTTAGTTCACACAAGTCAAGTGAGTTTCCTTGGACTTTTTACATCTTGGCGTTTAAATTAAGGGAGGAGAAGAGCAAGTGTCGATTAACGGCACCGCATGTGGAGTCAGTGAGTGACAGCCCCAAGACGGGATGGCCAGATGAATCTCCGAGATGGTATGGCGAGGGAGCAAGTGGTTACAGCGCCGGATCCATACGGGTACGACTCGGCAGCGAAGGAAACGATACGCGGAAAACTGCGTGGACCTCAATAGCAATGAGGATATGATACCTGCTCGATCCAAACGATACTGGGCAATGCGAGACCCCGCCCTCACCGTTCCCCAAAACCCCGAGTGTAAAGGAACAGCGTGAAATCAGATAGCAACACCCAACGGGTACAGACAGCGCTAGCAATGCGACTCAGTCCCAATGACCACCTTCCCAAAACCAGCCCAAGGAAAATCTCGCAACCACTCATACCCCACTCGCAATTCCAATCACTCCCCTACACCTCTAAACAAACACTCCCCACCCCCTCACTCACCCCGTCAACCTCGCAATCACCATCCTCCGTCCACTCTCCCTCATCCTCATCCCCCAAGAAAATCCCCTCAAACGTCTTCCCCTCAACGTCCGTCGGGCTAACGACCCTATCGAACCCTGGAATAGTCTCCATGTAATACGCCTTCTCCTGCTCCTTTTTTGCCTTACGCTGCTCAAACTCGCGATAGTTAATTTGAATCTGCTCTTGGGACAGCGCTTCCGAGGACGCAGAGGTTGTGGCTTGAGGCGACGCGTCTTCGAAGGAAGATGTGGTGCTGGAGATTGAGTGGCGTTTACGCGAGCGCCATGTGAAGGACGTTTGCTTCGTGCTAGCGAGCGTGGCGGGGAAGGGCCTGGGTGCCTTTGAAGATTCGTCGAGTTTCTTGGACCAGAGGGGGTCGGCGGATGGGAGTGTCGATTCGGCTGAGCCCATTGGGCCGGTTGTGATGCGATCAAGGTGCGCGAAGAGCTCATCGTCGGAATCGGTGTTCATGTAGTCCATGACGCCTGTGGGCGACAGCTTCCTGCGCTTGGGGACAACTGGATGGCATTCGTCGATTCTGTCTAGCGCAAATGGGCCGCCGGTCGCGGTGGGATAGTCGGCGGATGGCAGGGCTTTGCGTTTGCCTGCCGACACGGATGAGCCACTCGACGACGAGGAAGGCTCGAACATGGCGGACATGGCAGAAAGTTCAGCAAGCTTGGAGAGGTCGAAGGTTTTATTCATGTGCTGACCACTATGACTGATATTGTTGCACATCGTGTTTTGTGGTGCACAGCGCTGCAGATGGCCCGGTAGAGGCGGCGGGAACATGCGTTCCATCTTTGGTTGCGGAGTGTTGGTATACGATGGCATCCAGGGCAATCCATGATTCTGCAAAGAGCCAGCGCTTGAGCTCTGGGGCGAGTCAAACCAAGCTGCTTGATGGGCATCTTGAGAATCGTGGCGAGCGAATACGAAAGAGGAGCTTCCTGCGCTGCTGGGGTGCTCGGAACCCACCTCCAGCTTGATGCTGTATCGCGCTACTCGTTCGAACCGGACTCCATCATCAAATTCAGTCGCGATCTTCGTCGAGAGTACGGTCTCTAACACCTCTGGTGGACGCTACAAACATAGTTAGTATAGGCGAAGCCATGATTTCGAGGATATGTGAAATACATACTTCAGAGTCATGGGCAATCCGTGTAAAGAAGCATTTGTGAGCCGAGTCCCACTTCATGGTTAATTGAGACCTCGTGACGGTGTACGTGATCTCGTCCTTACTTGCCGAGAAGCCGCTGTACCCACTAGCGCCAAGGCTTGTGTATGAGAAGTGAGGGATGATGCGGTACGTGTCCCCGTCTGACAGCCGAGTCGGTAGAGCAGAGAAAGTGGTCCTAGGCAGTTGCCACTGAAGATCGGCGAAGACTGTCAAGCTGCCGACAGTGTATGAGTTGGAAAGGTCGAATATCAGGTACGGCCCATCAACAGCATGCAAGAGGCAGTCTTGCGTACGGACGAAGTTGAAGACGAAGTTTGGTAGGCTTTTTGAAGACAAAGACCACTCGAAATCGCGATAGGCGGCTTCGTCGCCACGGCCAACAGCGTAGATTCTTGACATCATGTCGTCGACAAGATCTATCATGCAGATCTTGATAACGAGAGGCTGTTCGCTCGACAAGAGTTTCACCATGCGTGGCACGACAAGAGATTGGTTGGCAGAATCTGACAAACGAGTTAGAAGTCACGAATATGCGTTGTGTTAAGAAGTCAGGCACTAACTTGGGTAGCCGCTCAGCCGATGAACAACGTCTTGCAGCAGGTGCTGCTTGATCTGCGATGCCAGACTCTGCTTGAACAGCCGCTCCCACCAGGCAAGCTCGATCGACTGTGAATGCGACAAGCCTTTCCAGAGGGACACTAGCTCAAGGTGCTGGACAGTGTCATCACTGGGCGGTGGGCGTCGCACGCGAGGAAGGACCAACGCCAAAGACGGAGCAAGGTCTTCGTTGGAAAAGCCACGAAGCACGACATCGACCATGACTTTTTCGACCAGTTCGTGGAGACTGGGGAGGCTTTGGTCTGTGTTGGACTCCATGGTGTCAGTGATTGGCGAAGGATGAGCGTGGCCGATGACCTCAGGTGAAGCATCTATGTGAGGCTGCAAAATTTTAGTATTCGACAAAGCATACAGGCAGAAGACTTACGCTAAAGTGATATGCCATATTGAGTACTGTTTGCTATTCGGTGTCGTGGTATGCTGTGGTAACAGAGGTCGGGTCTGAAGCAGCAAAGGGACTGCGCGTTCTAGGTCATACGAGTCTGATGAGTAGGCAAGAATGTATGCCGACGGGAAGGTAGACTGGCAGTTTACAGGCGCAGGCCTGGCCGAGAAAATTTATATGGGAAGGAGCCAGCTAGTCAATACTGATTTTCCATGGTTCCATGGAACCTGCTCAGATTGCATCCATGGACGCGCGCGTGGTTAGCCTTTCATTTTTGTTGCCGAGCTTCGATATCTGGAGGAAAGCATCAACGCCATACCCCTCTAGGCTGTGTATCTCGAGAGAACCAGCCCAGTACTCTGAATCACGCGTTAGCATCCATGTCACTTTTAAGAAAGATTGACTCACCCGAGTACAGTCGCGACATGGGCAAGCCGATACCCAGACGCAGGTCCGGCGCGCGTCCGGTCAACGAGGACAGCGATCCGTGATGTATTCCTGCATCGCCATGCAGCGACCGCGTGCCGAGCTTCTGCTGCAACTGAGACGAGAGATCAGAGCCAGGCGCAGGGACTTTGAGCTCGTCTGGTTTCCCAAGGAGCTTCGGTACCCTAGCAAGGTTCTTCAACCGCTTCTCGCGACGCGGTCCCTTGCTAAAACTCCACAGATAGGGAAGGACTTCGTTGGGAATGCCGCCGCCTTGGTCGGATATCCTGATGATTACGTGCTGGTTCGTTTCGCAGATGAGCACCTCGATTGGTGGAGGCTTGGCATCTTTGGATGTGCGCTGCTCGATGACGGCCTGTATTGAATTCCGCAATAGCTCGCCGATGATATACTCGAGGTGGCTGAGGATGTACGGGAACGTGGCATCTAGGTGGCCATACAATTTGATCTCGGGGATTTGGACATTGGGGCCGTATGCGCGTCGGATCAGATCCTGCGTCGTCTTTCCACAGTCTTGGACAATCTCTTTGGCGTTGCATCGCAGGAAGATCTCGCCCACGGCCTCTTGGTCGTGCAGCAGTTGGGCGTGTGGAAAATGCCAGGGCGAGTTGAAGGTCTCGGTGAGTGCGAGATGCTGCTCGGCAATGACACGTCGGGAAATGCGCTGCTCACATTAGCATGCGTCGGTTGAGGGCAGTCCGTGCCATACCGATCTCAGCATCGTCGTCATAAACTTGTCCGTCTCCTCGGGCTTCATCAGGCCGCGCACTTCCAGCACGCCGATGGCCAGGCGCGGTATCACGGTGGCATGCTCGGTCAGGGTTTCTTCCAGCACCTTGCAGTACTTCTCATTGTCCTCCAACGACCGAATCTCGGGCACTTTTCGGAAGCGCTCAAAAGCTCGCAGGTACGACTCGTAGACGTGGGCAAGGTGAGGGTTCGCGACCACGACGTAGGGCAGGGTCTGGATGTCACGCAGGCGGTGGGCAAGTCTACAGTCCTTCAGCGTGGTTTGGCATGGCTCTTGCGCGTTTTGAGTACCTCGTGGGGAGCTCGAGTCGGCAGTAGTTCGCAGAGTCAATCAGACGCGACTCGGTCAAGGTCCTCCCAAAGAAGGTCAGCTGACGCAGGCTGATGGGTCGGGCTTCACGCTGCACCCATCTGGAGTACGGTCAACTGGTCGTCCTCATGGCCCACACAGACTTCTTACTCGTCGAGCGCCGAAGACGGCCTCCATGTCGGCGCCACAGCAGCTGCAGTCACGCATCGCCTCGGGATGTGAGGAGTGAATGCGGGGCGAGAAGCTCGAGAAGCTCTACGGAGGGCTGAACAGTGCCGTGCGCGTGCAATGAAGCTGCTTGGACCCAGAAACATTGCTGTAGGAGCTCACGACGAGCTCGGTGAGGGGAGGTCAATGCATGTTGGAGCTGCAAAATGCAGAGCATGTGACGCAGCGCCGATGTCCGCAACAGCGGGTCCAACCACCGTCGCCGAATTCTGCCAGCTGCCAGCTGCCATCTGCCATCTGCCTTCTGCCATTGGCGACAGCGCAACGATGCACGCACATGGGAGAATGAATTCCCCTCGGCAGCATCTGGCATGTCACAGCTACAGCAATGCGACGCGTCTGCCCATCCGCACCCCACGCGCACTGGCGCCGCGCATGACGTCTTAGGCCCCGGCGTGCTCGAGGCCTCTCCGCAGTCCGCCGCCAAGGCCGCCACTCTGGACACCTCGCAGCTCGCAGCTGCACTGAAGCCCATGCAAACGGCGACGACAGTTCCTGATTTCCTGTGACCTCCCGCGTTCGTGCACCGTGAAGTTTGCCAGCCGTCCTCCCTCGCTGCAGGCTGTACATGGGTTGCTGGTCATAATTCGATCGTCATCGTACCGCCACCATTAGCGAGCAACTGTGGAACTGTGGAACGCATCCTTACTGCTAGCCCGAAGCTGTCTGTTGCTGCACTACACTCGCCCACCTGCTACCTGCTCTCGGCCACCTGCGCGCCTGCCTCTCTAATTTTTTGAGCTTCACAACACGTGCAGCGCTTCCTGCTGCTTCGCGACTGCCACAGGGCCATTTCTGCAGTTGCCCGTGTTTGCGTGCCCCGCCGCCACCTTTTGCAATGGATCAGGTAAGCACCCGCGCATACATTACATGTAGTCACCGCTCTCCCTGCGCCGACTCGCCGTGCCGCCAACACCATGGAAACCATGGAGAGCATGGAAAGCATGGAGATCATGGAAAACATGGAACCCCTTCGCGTGAGCGTAGACGAGCTGACTTTGCTGTCCGACCAGATTGGCAGCGACATGCTCGTCGACTCCGAGTACGACGAGAAGCAGGATGTGGCCATCATCACCCCCGACGATACCGACGACCAAATGGACGACGTCGATGCCGAGCCCGAGCCCCGTGCCGACGAGTTTGAGCTCTTTATGAAGAAGCACCTGCCCGAGCTGCCGGAACAGGAGACCGAGGAAGAAGCATGGAACACATGGGAGATCAAGGACTGGCGGGCCCTGATCAAGCGCGAACACGGTCCCTTGTTCAAGTGCGGCGGACACCCATGGCGGATACTCATGTTCCCGTACGGCAACAATGTCGAATTTACATCGCTGTATCTGGAACAGGGCTTCGAGGACAAGCAGATGCCCGAGGACTGGTATGCCTGTGTGCAGTTCATGCTAGTCATGTGGAACCCCAAGGATCCGACCATATATACGACACACACGGCAAACCACCGCTTCACAGCCGACGAGGGCGATTGGGGCTTCACCCGCTTCGCTGAGATCAGGCGTCTGTTCGCGAATACCTGGGACGATCGGGCCCGGCCTATGGTCGAGGACGACCAGGTGAACATCACTGCATATGTAAGAGTGCTCAAGGACCCTACCGGCGTGCTATGGCATAATTTCATCAAGTAAGCATATTTGTCCTGCATTTCCGTCACCGCTGCTCACACGTCCAGCTACGATTCAAAGAAGGAGACGGGCATGGTCGGTCTCAAGAACCAGGGCGCAACATGTTACCTCAACTCGCTTCTCCAATCTCTCTACTTCACTAATGCCTTCCGCCAAGCCGTGTACCAAATACCCACCGCCGAGGAGTCCGACCGCCTCAACAGCGCCTATGCCCTTCAACGCCTATTCTACCTCCTCCAAACATCCTCAGTCGCCATCGGCACCACCGACCTCACACAATCCTTTGGCTGGGATTCGAAGCAGATTTTCGAGCAACAAGATGTCCAAGAATTGTCGCGTGTGCTCATGGACAAGCTTGACGAGAAGATGAAGGGCACCGAAGCCGAGGGCGCGTTAACCAAGATGTTTGTTGGGAAAATGAAGACGTACATCTCGTGCATCAACGTCGACTATGAATCCTCGCGGACAGAAGACTTCTGGGACATCCAACTCAATGTCAGCGGGAACAAGAACCTCGACGACAGCTTCAAGGATTACGTGCAGGTTGAGACCATGGACGGAGAGAACAAGTACTTTGCCGAAGGCTTTGGTCTGCAAGATGCAAAGAAGGGCGTCATATTCGAGAGCTTCCCGCCAGTTCTCCATCTCCAGCTCAAGCGCTTCGAGTACGACTTCCAGCGCGACGCGATGATGAAGGTCAACGATCGTTACGAGTTTCCAGAGGTTTGGGACGCCTCACCATACCTCTCAGATGGCGCCGATCGGTCAGAGCCCTACATATATCACCTACACGGCGTACTTGTCCACAGCGGAGACCTCAATGCTGGCCACTACTATGCTTTCATAAAGCCCACCAAGGATGGACACTACTACAAATTTGACGATGATCGTGTCACGCGAGCAACACTACGGGAAGCTCTCGAAGAGAACTTTGGTGGCGACTACCAGCAAGCTAACGGCAACGTTGGTCATCGCAATCCTTACACTCGAGGATGGTCGGCCAAGCGGTCAATGAGTGCCTACATGTTGGTCTACATCCGGGAAACGCGACTCGACCAGGTGCTTCTAGACAGCGTGGAGCCCCCCGAAACATCTCGCGGAACGACTTGCCGAGGAGCGCGCTGCGTTTGAACGAAGGAAGAAGGAGCGCGAAGAAGCGCATCTATACATGGATGTGGCAGTCGCATCTGACAAGACGTTCAAGGCCTACCAGGGCTTCGACATTGTGCCCTGGAAAGGCGATGCTGAGGAGGGCGCCAACCCGAAGATCTACCGAGCACTGCGAACAACCACAATGGCGGATTTTGCCAAGACCGTCGCCGCGGATCTCGAGGTCGACCCGGATATGTTACGCCCGTGGTCAATGGTCAACAGACAAAATGGCACTGTTCGGCCCGATACTGTTCTCGAGTTCCCCGACATGACGGTTGAAGAGGCTGCCAGTAAGCATGGCACCAAGCAATCGCAATTCAGATTGTGGATCGAGACGGCAGAACAACGCGACGAAAACGGGGCACCCCTGTTCGGCGATAAGCTCGTCGACCTAAAAGGTCAACAAAGCAACCGACCGTTGATGATATTCTTGAAACACTTTGATGCAAAGACACAAACCTTGTTCGGCGCTGGAACCTTCTACGCTGCACTCCAAGATAAGGTCATGGATCTCAGCCCTTCCATTCTGAAGATGCTTGGATGGCCAGCAGGAACGCAAATCAAGCTTTCAGAGGAGATCAAACAGAACATGATCGAGGCCATGAAACCAAAAACCACATTGGCTGCGTCGGAGATACAGGATGGAGACATCATAACCGTTCAGCGAGTCTTGAGTGACAGCGAGATAAGTCGCATTACAGCCGCTGGAGGTTGCGTTGAAGCCAAGGAATTCTACGACTATCTTCTTAACCGGATCAACGTCGAGTTCGTGCCTAGGGCACCAGACTCCGAGGACCCTTCGTTCGCATTGACCCTGAGCAAGAAGATGACTTACAATCAGTTTGCCGGCAAAGTCGCCGAGTTCTTAGGCACCGAGCCGAGCCATCTTCGCTTCGTCACTGTCAGTGCCGCTGGCAAGCCCAAGCAACCTGTCAAATACAACGCCAATGCAACGCTGAACAGCATTCTCTTTCCTGGTCCATACAGTTACTCCACAAGTGCGAATCAGCGGCCAGATGCGTTATTTTACGAGATCCTGGAGATGAGCCTGGCAGAAATGGAGCAGCGGAAACCCATCAAAATCACCTGGCTGCCAGAAGGACTCAGCAAAGAGGAGGAACATACACTCATGATACCTAAAAATGCGCATGTGTCGGACCTTCTCCTCGCACTCCAAGCCAAAGCGAATATAAGCGATGAGACGATGCAAAAGGTCCGCGTGTACGAATCGCACATGAACAAGTTGCATAAGTTATTACCGACCGACTACCAGATCATGAGTCTGTACGACTACACTCAGCTGTATGCTGCGCCGTTCCTCGATGAGGAGTCTCCGCGAAAGATTTTGGCATTCCACTTCGACCGCGAACCATCGAAGGCACACGGGATTCCCTTCCAATTCCCACTGAGAGAGGTAAGCAGGCGAAGCATGTTCTTGGAATCTTGCACTAACAACACGCAGGGCGAGCCCTTCAGCGAGACGAAACAGCGCATCTCAGATTTCACCAAGATCAAGGGCAAGCAGTTGGACAAGATCAAGTTTGCTCTTGTCGCGCCGAACTCAAAACCAGAGCCCATCGAAGACGGTGAGTAATGCTAGGAATGCCATTCCATAACACTGCTAACGTGACTACAGACGACGTACTATTAGATCTCGTACAAGGACGCGACAATGTTTCTCTCGGCCTCGACCACACCAACAAGAGCCGAAGCTTCTGGGGCAAAACCGACTCCATCTTTATTCGTTGAGCGCGGGACGTTTGTGGTGTAGGATACAGAGACGGGCGAACATCATATCCCAGGCATGAAAAAGCAACACATGGTTATGGCGGGGCGAAGGCGGTGTTGATTAGTAGGCATCATGTGTGGTAATATCGTGCATAGTTGACATAGCTACGGCGTCACGGCGGTCCAAAGTCATTGCGCGCGAAAGTGTCGCGTGCTGGGCCGGAACCTCCTTGCCTAGGGTAAGGGAAAGTATAGAAGCGGCGGTTTTCTCTTTGAATGATGACTGGGACAGGGAATGGGCTTTGTGTAGGTTAGCATGGCGCAGAGAAGAAATGACATTTGAAGTATCATGTATCTCATATGAGACTCAAAATGCGAGGAACGAGTGAAGTTCAAGATCACCCGTGGACGTCTCAAGCGCGATCCGCCCCACAGCTTCCCCATTGGCCAATCCCACCCCTCCCGTCCGCCCCATCCCTGCTCCCTTGTGTCGGCGAAACCCCAAACGCCGACGTGTTCTCGACAGCTGGACATTAGACATCTAAAGCCAACAACACACAACCGCCACAATGCGGACCATACTTGCACTGGCCAGTCTTCTGGCCTGCCTCATCTCGACCGCATACGCTACGGCGCTCACATACCGCCTCGAAGCACACGAGAAAGCGTGTTATTTCGCGCAGGTCGAACACAAGGGGACCAAGTTGGCGTTTTACTTCGCTGTACGTTGAATGATGGTTTTGGGGCATTGAAGCTCTCTTTGAAGCTCTCTTTTCCAATCCCCCCAATCTCGCAGTGTAGCATCGCCGGGTGTAATGAGACTTGCTAACCCTCCTCCTAGGTCCAATCCGGCGGCTCTTTCGACATCGACTACAGCGTCGTCGGCCCCACGGACAAAGTCATCCTCGACGGCACAAAAGAGCGCCAGGGCGACTTTGTCTTCACGGCGAATGACCCCGGCGAGTATCGCTTCTGCTTCAACAATGAAATGAGCACGTTTGCGGAGAAGATGGTGGATTTTGAAATCGCCGTACGTCCTCCGTCTTCCAGTCACATCCCTTTTCTGCGCCGCTGCAATTGCTGTGATTAGACAGGGAGAGAGACAGGGCATGATATCAATTGGCCTCGCTGACGCTCGCACAGGTCGAAAACGAAGCCGCGCGCGCCATCATCCCGTCCAAACAAGGCTCCTCGCCCGAGCAAACATCGGTCCTCGAAGAATCCATCCTCAAGCTCTCGGCACAGTTGTCCACCATCTCACGTAATCAGAAGTACTTCCGCACGCGCGAGAACCGCAACTTCAGCACCGTCAAGAGCACCGAGGGCCGCATATTTACGTTTAGTTTGATGGAGAGTGGGCTCATCTTGACGATGGCGGGCTTGCAGGTTTTCATCGTTAAGTTCTTCTTCCAGGGGGCGCGGAAAGGTATTTTATAAATCTGGTGAGCGGGGAGGTTTTTTTGGGGGCAGTGGGCTGACGTGTGCCAGGGTATGTATGAGTAAAAGTTTGACTGGATGGATGAAAGGGAGGGTGGAAGACGATCAAGAGGAAACTTTGAATTTGATGGCGCTACACGGGACGGGACCGGGACTTGTTGCCATTACCACGGACAGCGTTATGAGCTGGAGCGAGAGCGGGATTGCGAAAAAATCATGCATTGCAAGTTTGATATTGTTGAGCTTGGCTTGTTTGTTTCCAGTGCAGGCATGTTCAGCGGTTCTTCTATGTGCATCCCATGGCGAGATTCAAGACTGGTCCACCAGAGCGATGCAGGGCCACGTATCTTGGGTAAGTACAGTGCAAGTACAGTGCTTTTTCCTTTTCTCTACCACCTCGGCGGGCTTGTGACGATGCGTCGCTATGTAAGCCGGCATTCGTTGCGGGCGGAAGTCATGTGCCCGTCCTGACAAATGACCCGGGTGTGATGGTGTAGGTATGTTTGGTAAGCACGACAGTCTCTTTGAAGCCCGGATCCAGAATCATTCGTCAAGGCATTGTAGGCGAGTGTAAGACATTGCCACAAAGAACTCCCGGGCAGGTTATTTACAATACAAAGGTAGCGTATATTACCAGCAAGCGTGAAGATCAGTGGCGGAGCTTGAAGTTGGCGCCAGCGCTTGCCCATTTGTTCACTGACTGTATACAGTACATGGACAGTGTGGTGAGTGTAGAACATTTGTGTCTCGTCGCAAGTGGGCTGTCGGGTCTCCCTCACGTTTGGCAAGCAGGCAAGTATCTCAGCTTCTATTCCGACTCGAGGAAGTGCAGTAGCTTTCGTTTAGTCGTACCGGGCCTAGAAGCCGTCCGCATTACTCGTTCATGTGCAGAGCTTGGAATCTGGCACCGTCGATATGCTGACTTTGAGATGTAGATTCTTTGGCAAGCACGGCAGCGTGCTTTCAGTGTAAATTTGCTGTCGTCTGCCATATCTGCGCAGCATCTCCGGAACTGGCACCAAGGCATGCGCTTTCCGTATTTCTCTCTACGTGGACTAGAGGCAAGTACATTGCTTGTTTCGACTGCAGATTCTAGGTCTTCTGTCGTTCACTCAATGTCTCGCAGCGTTAAGGGCAGCTTGGGCGACCTATTGCGCCCTAGCGCGTACCAGATTCACTACCACCTGCCGTATAAACCTTGGCGCTGCCCTCTCTTTCTAACTCTTCTTGCTTGCACGACAGCTTCCTGGACTCGCATAAGCACTTCCGCAACACCAGCGGACCGACGTTTCGTGAAACGCTGCGCACGATTTCTGGCTAATATTTACTTTCTGTGCCCACTTCGCAACCGACGGCGTTATGGACGCCTCTCCTGGGAATAGGCCGCCGCGGCCGACTTCATCGCCAACGGACCAACCAACTTACATCCGCTGCGATGGACAAGCCATCTCACAGAAGCAGTTTAAGGAAATTTTCGGACCCATCCTCCAACGTCACCACCTAGGCCAACCGGTGCGCCAAGACCTCCTTCGCGAAGGGCTCTGGATGCTGGCACAACACTCGCCCAACCATGCAGTTCTCAAAGGCAAGACTATAGCAATCCCATTCGAAGCGACGCCCCTGGCTCTTTCGCGCCTTGGATATAGCCACCCTCGCATTCAAGACTGGGTACAGCGAAGGGATGCCATTATACAGCAGCAACAACAACAGCAACAGCGACTACAGGCGCCGCAGCATGTGGTGCCGAACATGATTGCTTCAGCTTCGCAGACACAGGCTCAACATGCGAGCCCTTACTCTGGGTCGCCGCCGCAAGTTAGCATTGGGGAGCGCATGCCATCAGGTAGCTCCTACAGCCCATACTCCGCGCCCCAATCGCCGGCCAGGATGCATCATCGTATAACCACGGCTAGCTCTTTGAACAAATTCCCACAGACAGCGCCGCAAGACGGGATGGGTCCGCGTATGCCTTCAGCGACCTCGCCGCAGAGCCCCTTCGCCAGACTACAGTATCAGACTAGTCCGGGCAGGCCTCAGGACATGCGTAGACCGGGCGTGCCCAACGGCGCTGCGCAGTACATGTGGCCTAACTCGCGCAATCTGCCACCTCGTCCCAGTCCTTCTCCGACTATGGGGATGTTCCCGCCGCCACTGTCTCGTTCGAACAGCGTACAGAGCGAAGCTCATCGTGGCGAAGCGATCTTGAACGAAGCGGAGAAAGAGGCTCTCATTGACAACTGGCTCAAGCGGTGGATGGCGATGGCAATCAAGGGCCACCCTAAAGCCTATACCGGGGCTCTTGAAATGCTGGGTGATAAACCGAACATTGCCAAAAAATGGGAGTTGTACAAGACCATACAGGTACACTCGAAAGCGAATGCTCGGCAACAGCGCGCACAGCAACTACAAGCATTGCAACCACAACCGCATCAACCTCGAGAAGTCATCGACTTGACCAGTAACAAGCGCAAAGACCCGCCCACCGCATCCAACGAGCCGCCTAAGAAGCGCCAGATCGTCGACCTCACCCAGCCCCGCCGCGACCAGTTCTCTAATCACGAACCACAAGCCCCCGTGCTCCTCGATGCACCCGGCGGAGACAAGATCGCTGTCGTCCCCATTCCCGAACTCGCCGCCACGGACGACTTACAAGCCCACGCGACCATCTTCGGCGTAAATGCGCACGATCTCGAGCTCAACGGTCCCATCTTCACAAGTGTACAAAACTCCACTCCTGCCCCGCCCCCCGTTCCCGATCACCCCGCGCGCCCTCATGTAAATCTCGTCTCCGCGCCCAAAATACATCCAGATCAGGATATCACAATTTGGATCCCCGACATGGAAGTGGCTGCGGCGAAGGCGAAGATCAACTCTGGACAATACGACTTCACGTGGTCGAACGGTATTGTGGATGATGTTGAGCCAGTTACAGACGAGCTGCTGGAGGGGATTGGATGTGAGAGGGAAGAAGATGGGCTGTGGAGGGCACCTTCTCCTATGCTCAGTGAGGAGAAAGCGAATGTAGAGTGGAGTATGGTAAGTAGAAGTAGGGAGAGGAGTTTCGCTCCGTAGATGGTGTTTGAAAGGTTGGATGGGAGGTTTGCAGTATCTGTTTGGCGTTTGGGTGGTATACAGGATATACGCGGATCTTTGGATACGGCGATACGAAAGGGTTTGGGATGCATCGGGATGGCGTTTGAAATCAGGTCTCGTCACGTCTCGTCACGTCAGTGTAGCGCTGGATGTACAATCCAGCCTTTGGAACAGCGCCGCAAAGCTACCATGGGCTACCGCATCGGCACACAAGTTAGTTCTCCCGTGAACGGATGAACACGAATACATAAACTATCAAATCATCTCACGACTTTACTGAGAACGCTTCTTCTTCGCTTGTAGTCATATACAGATATGGGTCCGCTGGCTATCTTGCTCGCAACAGGTGCGCTCATCTGCCACGGCGTCATTTTGCTCTTCTTAATTTTGATACTGTTTGTCACACTGAAGTTGACTATGTCGTATCTAGAAAACGGGGTCGTGCTGCTGATGTCTTACCAATAGCCATGATTGTCTTAGTGTAATCAAAAACATTCTCACATCTCAGATGCTAGTGCCACTACATCATTTTCAATTCATTTATCGTCTTACCACGATCATCCGTACCATGATGAAACTGCCGTGTTGTCAACCCCTGCTTTTGTTCGTTGTCTTACAACCATGTCAGACATCTCCACAGCGCTGAATCAGAAAGCCATGAAAGCTCAGAATGGCACCGTATAAGTACACACCCTCACAACCCCATCTCCTTTTTGACAATTACTACATTTACAATGTTCCCCTTCATCCCGAGACCCACCAAGAAGCGCTCCTCCACACGCGTCAAATACGCCACTCTCTACGCCATCCTCGCCGACATCGAAGCCCTGCATGAGCGCGTCCATGAAATAGCTTATTACCAGATTGAACGCTCGCTACCATCTAATGGCATGACCACTAGTATGAGCCGAGGCATCCCTACAAAACCTCCCGCCTATCCATATGGCCCGGCATCTCCATCGACTTCCGGCCTACCAACTTGGTTTTCCCAGCGCTCGATGCCGATGCAAGACCATCCTCCGCGCTACGCTTACCCTCATTCTCCGCCTCTTCCTCCGCCGCGATATGAGAGGAGACGATCGCGTAGCTCGGATTCTCCGGCGCCGGTGTTTAGGCTGCGCGGGGGGTTTGGTGCGCATGGTGCGCATGGGACGCCGAAGATTACTAGGGCGGCGCCGGATAGGAGGGCGAAGAGGGATAATGGGAATAAGAGGGAGAAGAGGGTGAGGATGAGGGATAGGGAAGGTGGTTGAGGAGGCGGATAGTGAGAGCGGGAGTGGGAGTGAGGAGAGTGATGATGAGGATGAGGAGATGCGGGATGCGCAGGGAGATAGAGACAGGAGGGACGGGAGGGGAGGATTGGGTCGAAGGAGAGTTGCTGTATAGAATTAAAGATAGAGGAAGATGGTGGGAATGTGAAGGTTTTTGCACGTTTGAAATAATTATTCGTCTCACATGGGGGAAGTCTGTCGCAAGTTCCAGTGTTTCTTCATATTCTGTAGGTGAGGCGTTACTCCACTATTACCAAGGCAACACGTCCGGGCTCGGGATTTGTGAAGTAAACTCCTGGCCTCGCATATAGCTACATATAAGATCGATGTTAATTCCGCGGCGTGTGGGGGAGAGCGAAATGAAGTTCAGAATGTGACGTCATTGGGTCGGAGGAGAGCTCGGTCTCCGATCGCGTTTCTTCCATCTGGTGCGGACATCATCATGAACGTCGAATAAGATTGTCAAGCTTCGCGGCAATGTCTGTTCTCGCGAGACCACAAGTTGAAGTGCAGCCAATATGATGGCTCGGAAAGGGTGGGTTGGTTGCCTAACGACGACCTGTATGACGAGCATAAGCAATGGAGCCCCCTTGCAGAGAGAGATACCCAAAGGCATCACAAGCATCTGTGGTTGTAAAGAGAATCCCAGAGCCGCAACCCTGACGAAAATTCTTTACCATGGCTCCCGCACACGCCTCTCAACAAACTCCGGGATACATCAACCACCTCAAGAACATCGCTGTAGTTGGTGCGAACGGAACGATAGGATCGCATATCGTTTCAGAGCTTCTGGAAAAGAACATCTTCAACATCACTGCGATTACCCGAGCAGAATCAAAAGGCATGTTTGCAGATGGAGTCAGCAAAGAATATGTCGACTACAGCAATACCGATACCATCGTTGCAGCATTGAAAGGCAAAGATGCTCTTGTAATCACCATGGCAGTCACGGCTGCAAAAGACACACAAGCAAAATTGATCCGCGCTGCCGCCGCAGCAGGCGTACCATGGGTCCTTCCGAATGAGTTTGGCATGTACAACACCGACGAAGCGCAAAACGACACAATCGGAGACAGCAAGACCAAAGATCGCGCACTTATCCAGTCGCTCGGTCTTTCGTACATTGGCGTTACATGCGGCTTCTGGTACGAGCACTCGCTCTCTGCGGCAGATCTATACGGCTTCGATATTGCCAAGCGCGAGGCTATTTTCTTCGACGACGGCGCGCAGAAGATAAACACGTCGACGCGGAAGCAGACTGGAAGCGCAGTCGCAGCGATACTATCACTGCCACTTCTGCCGAAAGACGAGAACGACAAGAGCTTGACGTTAAACTCGTATCGCAACCGCATGGCCTTTGTCGCTTCGTTTGCGCTTTCCCAGCGCGACATGCTGGATTCGCTGCAGCGAGTTACCAATACCTTGGATAGTGACTGGAATATCTCACGTGTGCCAGCAAAAGAGCGGTTCGCTGAAGCTAAACAAGAAATTGGGAAAGGCAATCGTGCGGCGTTCGGACGCGCATTGTACACGAGGTACTTTTACGACGATGCTGGTTTGTTCGAGAAGACCCATGGTCTGGATAACGAGAAGCTGCGGCTGTTGAAGGCGGATCTGGATGAGGCAACCAAGGTGGCAATAGGGTTGCAAGAGAGCGGATATTGGGATAATTATGGTAAAAACTGAGCTGAGGGCAGACAGGCCATGTGCCATTTGTGTGTTACCTGGTAACTACATCTACGTTGCACACTCGCTTTGTCGCATCAATTAAAGACGATTGCAGCCTTGACAACCTCCCCTTTTCTCACTACGTCTAAGCACTCTTCCCATTGCTCAATTCTGAAAGTCTTGTTCACCACACCACCCATCTTCAATCTCCCACTCTTCACGTACTCTAACACGTGCGGCATGTGGCCCATACTACAAAAGCTGGCCAGAATAGTCACCTCGTGTTCCCATATTCGGAACGGCGACCACGCGATCTTTACGCTGTCGTCATACACACCATATACGACGAGCTTGCCGCCTTTTCGCACAAAGTCAAGCGAAGATTCGAGTACGGTGGGCGATCCGGTGGCCTCGATTACGATGTCAAAGCCGTGTGGGTTGGATGCTGCGAGTGCCTTCATCTGCACATGCGCTTCCGTGTCAGAAATGGTGACGTACTCATCCGCGATCTGGAGCTGTCGCGCAAGATCAAGCTTCGGGCCGCCTTTGGATGCAATCGTCAACTATGAATGCGTTAGCACATCGTTTACCGTTCGGACGCAGAGCCACTCACGTGAGCTGCGCCATTCATCTTGACCAACTGCGCCAGCAGTATACCAGTCGGACCGCATCCAAACAACAGCACTCTGCTTCCAACCTCGATCTGCATTCTCTCGATACCATGCGTCGCGCACGCAGCTGGTTCAACAAGAATGGCTTCGAGATCTGGAAGGTCACCGATTGGATGCACTTGTCTTGCGGGATATCGACAGTACTCTGCGAAACCGCCTGGAACGTTACCGCCGAAGGCTGTCATGTTTTCGCATAACAGTGGTTTCCGACGCATACAGTGGAAGCAAGTGAGACATGGTTGCATAGGGTCGGCCGCCACACGGTCGCCGACGGATACGTTCTTCACGTTTGCGCCGATTGCCGCGATTGTTCCTGCAGCTTCATGGCCTGAAACGGCAAGTCAACCGAGCTGAAGCGTGGATAGAATGAAGATATATACCAGGTATGAGCGGCCACTGTTAAAAGTCATTAGCGGAAATCGTTGTTATGACGAGGTTCAGAACTTCTCACCTTGGCGAGAAATTCGCCTTTATGGTAATGCAGATCCTGTATCTCAATTCAGTTTCGATGTATGGATTTTCTATATCCGGCATTCACCCACTGTTCCGCATACTCCGCAGGCGGATATTTTGACCTAGATGATGTTAGCTCGTCTGCTCGTCCACGAGACTGTGCGTCAACGAACAAGGACATCGTCATCGCCAATACTCGGAACATCAATCTGGACCACAGCGAATTTCTCTGCCTCTGAGTATCTGCATCAATCAGTTCAAGTTCACAGAAGTTGTGAGAGTAGTAGCGTGCTTTACTGTAATGCCTTCATGGTCTTCGGAACGCCGCCATCTCCAGCGTGGCTTTCGTAGCCGTTGGTGCTTTCAAGGACCATCTCTGTGACTGAATGTCAAGACGTATGACTTGTATAGATTCTTCACTAATGTTCATATACCTTCGTTGATGGCGTTCTAGGTCTCGCTACACCTGCCTCGTCTACGTACACGCGTGTATGCGGGGCTCGGCAAACCTTCCCCTCTGCGGAATATGTTCCGACACTCCACCAATACCGCAAACATCTACGAAAGGCGTGAACGACACATGGTTATTTTGTTGCAGACTCCACTTTGAGTTACCGTTGCATAGCCTCGATCTGAAGATATGCACCCTGACGAAGTCTGTACATTCCACACCTCCCTTTATAACTTTTGATTCGTGTCCATTTGCCGCCACTCCTGGCTGCTTCTTGTCTCCATTCGCAGGTACGTTAGAGTTCTCATGTTTTGCGGCATCGACGTAGAACACCAGGACCGAATCAGATCTTCTATTGTTACTCCTTCAGATAGTGATCTGTTAGATGAATCTCGCATCGCTAAGCTGATCTTCACGATGGTGCATCTTGTGTAACAGGGAGACATCTCGTGCATATTTTCGTCAGCTAATCTGTAAACAGTATGCTGGCAATGATTTCAAATCTCATCATGTGCTCCAAACTTTCATCAGCGTCCATAGAGCTCTTAAGATCGAATTTGATGGTTTCGTCGCGCGACGAACGAGGCTTGGGAAGAGACCGAGATTTTCGTTCGGGCTCCATCTGAAATGGATCGCTTGCTTTTGTATAAGCGTGTCCAGTTTGTATTCGGCACGACCCTGGCTTCACTGCCAACTTCTAATCGTCCCCGCCGACTTCTTTCCTTAGCGAGGACTGTATCGACACCAATGTTCCCTCACCATCACGATGCCCCTTAGAGCACCGTACCCGAGACCTAGCCTCATAGGCGCGCTCGGAAAATATGCTCCCTTACATAGCTTGTGCGGCTTGCACCTTTACCAACAGCTGTGGATCTGACAGCTCCTGCCTTGTCCGCTCTACGCTTCTCCGGGTGCGCGTCGGCATCAACATAGAACAATAGCTGTAACTCACCAGGATCAGATTTGAACACGACCACCTTCCAGATGTACTTTGCGCCACCGAGTTGTCGCTTATGTTGCAATAGGAAGTAGCCTGCCGCTAGACCATTGTGACAGCCTAGCCATGCGATAGTCAGAAGGTTTCTTATCAAGAAGTTCTTCTTTACACTCACCAATCAGCGCATCGGCAGCTTCTTTTTCCGTCTCATTTTCAGCACCGACTGTAAAGCCTGTGCCGGGCCATAGTTTGGCTTGGCCATCGGACACGCCCATTGCTTTGAGTGCTCTCGGCACAATCTCCAACGTCTCGTCGTTGGTGATCTGCATCGCAATGAAATACTTGATGTTCTGGAGGTTGTTCGTGCCGCCAGCAATTTGGTTCCAAGAAGCCTAGGTAAGGTCCGAACTCGAACGTAGCTTCGGCAGAGCATCACTAGGAACTTCGTCGACATCCCAGTATGCTTCGGCTGCAACCTCGGGAGAACTCCGGGCTAGGAAGTAAATGATACCACTCACCACGTTGATGCCAATCCGTGCAAAACCACCCGTCTCCTGTTGGCCTTTGTCAGGCTCGTGTCAAGGATAATATTGCACACTTACCCGATACCATACGCCATTTACCTCATACCATTGATCCTTCATCTCTGGCCACGTACCATCGGGTAGTTTTTGATGCTAGGGCCAGCCCGATGCTGTACCGAGAAGCAATGGTTGGGACCACCATGTTCAACAGGCCTCATATCGATATTAAGGTCTCTGAACGCGGGCCTCATGCCGTATCTAGCAAAGTTGCAGGTGTATTCGTTGCGCTCTTCGTCCTGTGTATCTCGGCTATAACCCCATTTACCGAGCTCGGAGCCATCCCAAGGACTCTGGGTGTACGGCCAACCAAGCATTCTTGACGACTCTTCTTCATTGAGAGTCATGGCGATAAGGAGGGCATGGCTACGGCAAGAGACCTTCGTTCAGAGAGTATCGTCAGCGTCATCTGCAGTTGATGTGGTGGGTGGCGATGATGGTGGCGGTGTGTCAGTTCCACTGCTTAGGTCGTTGAGGAACGGCCGCGGCAGCTTGACCTCGCTATCGAAGTTGACATAGCTCCCATGTTGCAATTCTGCAGCTACTGTGTAGATGAGCGCGACAAGCAGAGCAAAGAGGGATAAGATGATTGTCCTCATTGTAACTTGATATGATACAGGGCAAAGCTTATCAAATAAGCCTCACCAGGTCACTGTCGTAGAGACGGGTGGAACGGTAGAACAGTGGTTTAATGATTAGCCCTATCAAAGTAAAGGTGAGAGGCTGACTAGTGGCTTCGAGTAGCCAGGTGAAGGTGAGTCGTGCTCAGAACAGCTGCATTGCCTCCAAGCATATCGGGGTACCACACTACTATATTTAAGCCACATCGTGATCGAACAATTAACTTCCAAGCTCTTGAGAGGATCTTGAGAATAGCACTTTTGAAACAACTTTGCTGATAAGCAGGAACCCAGAGCATATAGGTAAATGGCTAGGTTCGCACTGCGCCTGGAGTAAGGGCATAGCGCCTATGATTTCAGTGTAGGAGATTATATGAATTCAGTTAAGCTTTCTCTCTGAGTTCACCGTTAGCTATAGTGTTAACTACTGTCGTGATGTAGTGTGGAAGGCGGATGAAGGACCTTGGGCGCTCGGATCGTAGCTCATTACGTCACGGATCTGCGAAAGTCGCTTCGAGAGACGTTACGCTCCCTACATAGCCATTCGGTCCTTCTTAGCGTACATCGTCATTTGAACGTTGGGGAATAACGACATGACATAAGCCGGAAAGCCAAATGCGCTCAAAATTCCGACACGTGAGGTGGTCGTCGGGCGTACTTCGGCTCTTTAACCCAGCCCTGAAGCCTTATTCGCAGACAAATACGCGCATTGGCCTTTTCGAGGTAATTACCACAGTTTTGCCGTTGGATTGTCTGGGGAGACCTGGAGACGGAGATGCATATGCCCTTAGCGTCGACTGGTACTTTGTGAGATAACATAACTTGCAATCGTCAGATCACTCTTTTGTCTCACGCAATCTTCACTCCAGCCCGTGCTGTGATGCGCTTCGATATGTTTGGCCTGCGGCAACCTTCGCTATCGCGACTCCTTTTCTTGGTGACTGTGCTCAAATCGCCGTCGCTTGTGTCGACGGGCTCAACAGGTGGCGGTCTTGGTGAGCCGTTATGGTCGTTCGTAGACCCTTTGATTGGCACTGCTGGCCCGCGCCCTGGCTCTGCTATCGCAGGTGGAAATGCGTTCCCGGGTGCGAGTCTGCCATGGGCGATGGCAAAACCAGGAATTGACACAAGCTTTATCGGACTACCAGAAAACACTGCAACGGACGCCAACGCTGGCTACACGCCTCTAGGGAATGTGACTGCTGTGAGCATGACCCACGTCAGCGGATCCGGAGGAACTCCGACATACGGATTGATATCGCAGATGCCGCTATCTGGCAATTTAGCCTCCATCAACCTCGCTGACAATATGACCTACGCTCAAAATCGTAGTCTGGACTTAGAATCTGCGACAGTGGGCTTGTTCACTACGACTCTACAAAATGGCATCAAGATTGAGATCACTTCCGGCAATCACACTGGGTTCATGCGATACACTTTCCCTCGTTCAGGAGTGCCTTTGCACAATCAATCGACTTACAATGTGCAACCAACCATAAACGAACCCGGCACAGGGAACGAAAAGGATGCTCATGTACTTGTAGACCTCACGCACGTTCTACCAGCCTACTCTGCAATGGCCTACAACCAAAAATATGTGCGCGGAGAGTTGCATGTCCGCGCTTCCTCTAACGGATTACCATCATATTATGGGTCTGCTACCTACTCCGGAGGCTGGCCGCAGCCTGACTCTCATAAACTTTACTTTTGTGGGAATTTCAGCGTGCCTGAGGGCTCAGTGTTAACTCCAACTTCCAACTACGTTCAGCGGAGTCCTCCAGGAATCGTCCCTGGTGGTGGGACGCTTAATTGGCTATATGACCCTTATTCGCCTCCAAGCTTTGAGGACCGACCGGTTCCTCGTGAATATCCTGACTTGAAGTCCTATACTGGGAGCGGAATGGGTCTCGGAGCGCTGTTTAGTTGGACGCCAAGTGATCAGATTGCCAACGGCTCTTTGACCCTCGAAGCGAAAGTAGGCATATCATACATCAGTGCTGCCCAAGCATGTTCGCACGTGGAGTACGAGCTTCCGGACGCAAACACGTTTGAGGACGTGGTCGACGAAGCAAGACAAATATGGGAAGAAAAGATCCTAAGCAAGGTACAGATCGGAGCCGATGGCGATGCGACGAGCACAAATGCAACACTGAAGAGGATGCTGTACACAGCATTGTACCAGACAGGTCTGACGCCAACTGACAAGACGGGCGAATGCCCCGTTTGGGAGTCAAATGATTCCAAGCCATACTATGATGACCATTATGTAAGTTCAAACCTTTACTGAAAATGCCATGGAGTCCTGATAGCTACAGACTTTGTGGGATACGTACCGGACCTTGCTACCCTTGTATCATCTCATTTTCACCAAGCCGTACTCTCGCATCCTATCTGGACTCATATCCATCTTCACAGAAGAGGGATATCTGCCTGCGGGACGCGCCGCCAACTGGAATGGTCGGGTTCAAGGAGGTACGCACGCAGACACAGTCTTGGCCGACGGCTTTGTGAAGAGCGTCAAAGCACTATCCGGCGAGACAGGCCGTGGCGAACTCGGCAGTGGGTTCGATTGGCAGGAGGCTTACCGAGCAGTGATGAAAGACGCGAACATACTACCTGAGCGTAATGTTGACTGGGTAACATTTGATGGAGCCACTAAGGAGGGAAGAGGGGCACTGGACGACCAACTCCTCCTTCACTTCATCACGCGCAACCACACGCGCAGTGTTTCTCGTGGCGTGGAGTATCCACAGAACGACTTCTCGATCTACAGCATGATAACAGGACTCAATAAATCCCAGGAAGTTGTTGATGAGTTCCGCGATCGAGCAAGCTGGTGGCAAAATCAATGGAATCCCACAGCGAACACAACCCTTAAAGGTGTTGACACCTTCACCGGCTTTCCCGGACCCAGAAACGCGGATGGAAAGTGGAATTTCACTGACTATGACCCACTAAGCTGCAACGGTTGTGGTTGGGGTTCTGATATATATGAGGCGAAGTATTGGGAGACTGCTTTCAGCGTCGCCCCACACGATATGGCTAAAGTCATAAGTCTGATGGGTGGTGATGACACTTTCCTTCATCGGTTAGACGCCAGCTTCCTCCCTGGTTTCGGCACATCGGTTGGAGAAAACAACGACGCTGGCTCTGCCCTTTACAACCCTGGCAACGAACCATCCTTTTTGACGCCGTTTCTCTACAACTACGTTCCGGGTATGCACTGGAAGACGGTCAATCAGACACGGGCCATTGTTGACGACTTTTACTCCGACGCCAACAACGGGTACCCGGGCAATACCGACAGTGGTGCTCTTCCCAGCTGGTTAATATTCAACCTCGTAGGCCTGTTTCCTATAGCTGGGCAGCCGCTTTACCTCCTCTCTGCTCCCCGATTCTCGTCATTGAAAGTTTCACTCTTTAGCGGGACAGCAGCAGAGACATCGTTGACCGTTCTGGCACGAAATATGTCAAGCACATCCTACTACCCGCAGAAGGTTACGTGGAACGGGCAAGAACTCAATCGAAGTTGGTTGAAGCACGGAGAAATTGCTCAGGGAGGCGAGCTGGTGTTCTACATGGGTAACGAGCCGAAAAAGTGGGATGTTGGCGAGAGGCCGTGGTCAATGTCAGCATGGCCTTCACAGGCATGATCATGAATCTGATCGCTTTTACCTGGACGAACATCAATGGCAAATGGGCATAGATTCCCAGTAGTGGGCCAAACTCATGTGTAGCAAACCACTATTTTGGCATCGAGTGACTAATTTGATGGTGATCAAGATCGATGATCCGTCCTCATATTAGTCAGTTGTTATCACGTTGATACCTTGATCTGAATCTTCTGATTTATCAGCAAAGCCGAATCAGTGGCCTGTGGATATACTCGCACGTAGGAAGAAGCCTAAACACTGCAAGCGTGATGATCGAGAACTGAAGTCTGGTAAGCGCATCTTTAGCGCTGTGGTCTGCCTGACCAAGGCAAAGCCATTGATATCAATGATATGGAGGTCTTCACTTACTACTAATATGTCCAAACCCCTGTCAAAGTTCTTTATCTATTTCGAGCATTCGCCAGGCATGAAAAATTGACACAATAAGGTCAGCATTGCAGGATGAAGGGTCGGCTGAGAGACATGCGAGTGGAAGGTCGCATGCGCACAGACTAGGCGAATGTCCGATGCAGATGCGTCCTCCTCGCCTAATTCGTGCTAAATCTGGTCATCCGGCTACGAGAGTAGTAAATCAACTGAGGATATGGGCGATGAAGTCCACGTTGAGCATAAACAGTTGATCGATCGTCTCTAGGAGCTTCACATGAAAGAACAAGAATTAATCGTTTGTCGTGAGCGATTCCGAAGTGACCTCCCGCCTCAGTTTGACTTGAAATTGTTGTAGCTACTCGTGTGAATGATGGGGATTTCGAGCTCGGTTTTGACTGACGGCATTCTCTTGCCAGTGTTTGGCTGGATTGTCGATATTCTGTCGTATTGATCAGGAAACGAGGGCAGAGTAACCAGCCAAGAAGTTAACAACTGATATTACATCATTCATAAAGACACTCTAATCTAAGTTCTTACCGGGTTAGAACGTGTCATCTTTTGCTGGTGCAGAGCGCTAAATCTTTGCAGCATTCGCGGTCATACGCGTGTGCGGCGTGGTTACAGGATTATGCCCAGGAACACAGCCTCCGAGTCGGTTCAGACACTCGGCGAGAACTCACCCCGATTCGGCTCAAAATTCACTGATGATGTTCCGGTCGTGGATGCGCTGTATTAACATTAGCTTCAGTCCTTCTAAAGACACTATGAAATTATTGCAACAGATATCTTGTGACTTTATCATCTCTTGCATTTCAACATGCTACTTCCATGAGAACTCGGTGAAAAAGAATTCCTGTCTGCATTCTTCACAAAGTTTGCCCAGCTCAGCAATCCCAAAATGCACGTCCTTATCGTCGGTGCAGGCCTTGGCGGGCGTATGTAGAACCACGCATATATCATCAATAAGCATGCTGACTTGTTCCACAGTCAGTCTAGCCCAGAACCTCCGCAAAAGAGGCATTTCCTTCGAGATTTTCGAACGCGAATCTGAAGCAAATGCTCGTTGGCAGGGATGGGCTATCACACTTCATTCGTACCATACGACGCCCCACATGCACGACTAGAGCACTCTCCTGACTTGGAAATAGCATTGTGGATGCCGTTGTTGACTCTTACCCATCCGATATGCCTGACTTGAGGGATTCTGTCAACCATTTGACACCCTTGCAATTGCCCGCTCAGGTCACCGTCTACGCCCCTGACAAGGAAGGCCGCTTCAGTTTCCAGGTGAGCTTTTTCGTTGCATTCCTTCGGCAGTCACGTACCCAGGAGAGATTTGCTCACAAGCTCTTTTATCCAGGACTCTCCTGACTCGCCACTCATCCGAGCGGAAAGCCAACGTCTCCGCACCTGGCTTTCAACTAACGTTCCTGTCCAATGGGACAATCATACCGATAGCATCTCTGAAGACGATGAAGGTGTGTCGCTGAGCTTCAAGGATGGTACTACTGCTCGAGGTGATATCGTAGTGGGTGCAGACGGTATCAATAGTGTCGGTAAGTAAGCTATTGTCGAAGAGGCTGCATTATGTCTGATTGTGAAAAGTTCGTTCGAACCTCATCAAACGTCCAGCCAAGGATCTCCAAAACGTTATCCCTGTTGCCACCACAATCGGTGAGCTGGATCTTTCTGGGGAAGAATTCAAGAGACAGCTAGCTCTTGGAAACAGCGGCATTACGTGCATGCAACCTGACCTTGGCTTCGTCAGCTTCGTGGGTCTGCACTTCGTGCTCCCGGACGGGCTTTCGGCTCGCTACTACTGGAATCTCATGGAGTACGATTCCGACGTCGCCAAGCCTGATCACTGGATGAAAACAGCCACCAAGAAGGAGAAGCTTGACCATGGCCTAAAAATCACTGAAAAACTGCCTCCCAAGCTCCGGGAGATCTTCGAATTAACCAAGCCAGAGCAAATTCGTGAGGAGCAGCATGTGTGGCGCGATCTGGAGATCGAGAGCTTGCCGGCTGGGCGCGTCGTCTTGATGGGTGATGCCGCGCACGCCATGATGCCGATTCGTGGCGAGGGTGGCTATCACGCTCTCGTCGACTCGCTTGTCTTGGGAGAGACTCTGGGTCAGTTGGCAGAGAGGGACACCTTCAAGGATTTAGACGACGTCAAGCGCATCACTGCCGAGTACAACGATTCGCTCATTCAGAGGGGTCTTCAGGCTGTGCGAGATTCGAGGCGACTGTACTTGGACGTCACCCGGTATGGTCCAGATGGAAGGCCATTGGGCGCAAAGGAGGTGCCGACCACAAAGCCCTGCCAGACATGAAGATTGAGCTAGGAATTCATGCTTAGATGTATGTAGACTGACATAGTGATTCAACTTGAATACCACCAATAATGATTTTTTCCGCTTTCTGATTTCACTGTTCGTGACACGACGAACTCGTGATGTTGTGATTTGAACTGGTAGTGGTTAGCTGACAACGAAGTCTAAACTGCAAGTAGTTATCCAGATTATCAATCATACCTGATTGCGTGGTTTTGATTACATGATGCAGTGCGTGTAGACTTGTGTTTTGACAATATCTCCCGTGATCTTCCCTTGTTGTAACTCGGTCCGAATCACATCATATCACACAGGAACGTCGAACGGCGATATGATCATGTGAAAGTAGACAATATTCTTGCCTTGACTGAGAACTGAGAAATGGGAAAGAATCGAAAAGCTCCGTGCTGCCCGTGGCAGTTTAAGTGACAGAACTTATATTTAGCCGACGTGATAAGGGCTCTTTCGGTGAATGAATTGAAGACTTGAATTTGTGAGTTATTTTCAGTGTGACTATAAACAAGCTTGATTGGCATGAGACTATGATTTCACAAATCGAAGCGACATGGCTACCTAAGCATGCTGAAATTCATTCTCCGCCATGTTGACTCCATCGCAGCAGAGTCATCTCGAGTTGCATCTAAGACTGAACATTAAGCCTATCCTGACCAACCATCAATCATTTCGCCGGCTCCTTCGGTTCAACACTGGGCTTCAGAATGCCAGCCACAATGCTGTCAGCGGTAGTTGCAGGCAACAACGCATAAAGCATGTTCGTCTGTACGAGATGCCAGAAGTAGGGAGTAACAGTCCGATGTCCGTAGCCTACTCTTGCCAAGATTGCGCGAGCCATGACATCAGCTGTTGGCATAAAAAGCCCGGCTGACATGTTTGGATCCGCTTGTAGCTGCTGAGTGTATGTGCCACCAACTACAACCTCAAGAACCTCGACCTGTGACTTGATTTCGGCTTGCTCGGCGGCCAAAGCTCGGTTCCAGGCGTGCAATGCTCCCTTGCAACCTGAGTAGGCTGCGACGTAGGGTTGACCAATGTTGGCTTGACTCCCACAAGTCACGATTATGGTGGGCTTTGTCTGCAGTAGGAACCGAGGCAGGATGGCGCGCGTGAGCTGCATTGGGAACTGCACATTCATCGAAAACAGTTTTTGCATTTCGGTGGGTGTGGTGCACTCGAAATGCTTGAAGTTGGATGACAGCGGCGCAGTTCCGCCCACATTGTTGATCAGCACCGAAAGTGGTACGTCTGAGACTTGTGCCATGATTCGATTAATATCTGACTGTGTGAAGGTGCTTGCATCAACGATGACGGTTCGAAAGTGCCGTTCCGGGTGCGCTTTTTCGAGCTCCTCGCACACTCGTGCGAGTTTCGCTTCATTGCGACCATGTAGTACAACGTTGAATCCATGTTTGCTCAACTCGTTGCACAATGACTTTCCGATACCATCGCTTGCGCCTGTCACCAATGCCCAGCTAGCTGCGCCTTTGGCATCTTGATGTAGGAACTTTGATACCCTTGAGGGATAAAAATAATGGATTAAAGGGAGAGGCATTTCGCAAGTCGTTTGAGTATGCTCACTGACTGTTGATTGTTGAGGGCGTGAAAGTTGCAGTATCGTGAGTATGAAAGCTTATTAGCAGATATTAACGCTGGGGTGAGTGATACTTGTATGTTATCGCATGCGCAAGTCTTGAATTGCAGGCACCGCCGAGTGCCTTCATTATTGTTGTTGTTCGAGGAATCTCGGAGCATTGTTCTACTTTGGACGGGGGAACGTTGCCCCGGCCTTCTCTAGCAAAGTTGGACTCAGTATGAACATGCGACATCCATTTCGGGATGGATCAGCCTGCCTAACTTTATTTTCTGTCAAGCCTTCTGACAAGCGACTTTCTGTGGCGTTGCAGAATAGCGCCTAGCACCCAGCGCACCCCACTGGGTCCGGTCAGCGTCCGGTCAGCGGCCGGTCAACAGTTTCGTGTGCACTGCCACCACAGGCTGCCTCCACAGCCCGATTCAAACCCTTATACAGTAAGATCGTGTTCTCTAAGCTGGTCTGTCGCGACTACATCTGTAACCGCTCAGGAAAAACCATAACTCAAAGCTTGTTGAATAATTGCAACTCTGTAAGACACTCTTCCATCGTTATTACCTTCGACATCAGCCAGAGAGAGTGAATAACCCCCAGACATCATTATGGAAGCAGCCGCTGCGCTCGTCAGTTTTGTCGGCCTAGCAGGTCCTGTTGCGCAAGGTCTGAAGTTCCTATATGACTTCACCACCAATATGAAGGACTGCCCGAAAGATATTCGCGAGATGAAGACCGATCTTGAATTAGTAGAAGATTTGATCACGCAAGTAATTCGACAGTGCAACGAGCGTGATGTGCGACTTCGGGAAAGCGCGGAATTGGCACGCGCAATTGGTCACGCCCAGGAAAGCGTCGAAGATCTTAAGAAGGAGCTGGCTGCATATCTTGTGAATGGAAAACGTAGGCGATTCAGGTTTGCAGCCAAGATCAGTCAAACGCAAAAACTCAGGGGAAGCCTGGATAGGACTAAGACCATCATGTTTGAGTTTAAGAATCAGCTGCAAAGGTAGGCTATCTAGAAACACTATTGGCGGCCACTAACTCCAATCAGCGACCTGCTATATGACATTCTTGACATAAATCAAGAGGTTCTCAGATCAGTAGAGAGGACAAGCAGAAATCTGGAAACAAAAGACGGGAAACTTCACAAGGTCACGCAAATATCCGAGATCCAAGCAGAAACCACGAATATTTCCAGGGGTAGAGTTGAGGCTTCGGTTCAGCTAGCAAGCGACATCTCATCTGAAGGTCAAACGGACATTGAAATTGTTGCAAAGAAGCTTGAGCACATCACGGAATTGTTGACGGAAACAAAGATCTCATCTTCACCGACTTCATTACCATCAACGCCTGCATTGACACGAGAAGTCAGTAACACCTCCATGATGACCTTGGTCCAGGAAACGACTACCAGCAGCATTTCAAGCTCGCAAAACATTTCGCGGTCATTATCTCAGAATACTCAGCAACTAAACATCGCTTCAAAACACCCCCTTCTACAGTTCAAGGATAACCAGGTAAGATTAAGTGCGCATACACTGCTACCTTTCTGACATATCTGTGCAGTTCCAATTCTTGATCGCGCTCATCTTCACCCAGCGCACCAGCAGTCAGCATCTTGCTTGTCAACGTGCCTCAGAGTGTCTGGCAGCATATCCAACTCCAGAAGCACTTTCTAAGGCATTACCTAAAGCTCTCAGTCAATACTTCGAGGGAATTGGTTTGCAAAACGTTAAACCACCTCAGTTAGTTAAGCTAGCTCAAGCATATGTCAAAGATCCACCAGAACAGGGCAGATTGCGTTCAAAAGCTAAATGTCCTCAATCTGAGATTTCACATTTACCGCAGATCGGGCTATCATCAGTTACTGCGTGGCTGGTTTATTGCTGTGAAAGGACAGATATAGACACCCCAGATAAGACACTGTTGGAGTACATGGAGCATTTGAAAATAGAAGCATGGGCCAAATGCCTTTAGATATCATGCTGTTAGATATCCTGGATTTCCCAAGGTTGTACGAATGCTAAGGCTTGCTTAAGGACAGCTTGAAAACGGGTTTCGTAGAGCTCAGGACGCTTTAGGTCGACAAGCGCTCGGACTTTCCACGTGCGCTCCTGCTACGGGATCTCAGACGGCATCACTTCCAAAGAAACATTCCTTAGTCCCTTTAGGCGACAGGCACAAGATACATAAGGTGCATATCCAAGTGAAAAAATACAATATGTCGCGAGACAAGTTTACAGCTCGAACACCCGGAGATACTCCTTCTCAAACTTATCAAGATATAGCTACTCACGCTGGTTCTACAGCTATACTCTCTGGGTCGACTCACTTCCGAGAAAGATCACCGTGGTGTTGGCCAGGCTATTAGCAATTTCGTCAACGTCGTCAATCGACTCTTAAGTGACTACCTCTTGTTTATTTGTAGCGTTGAACTCCGTTACTGGTAGCCCTAAATTTACGCTTGTACATACAGTTACGACTTGAATCATCTTCCTCGCTTCTTCCCCGCCTGCTGCACTCTCAAAATCTCTCTCGCCACCTCTTCAAACTGCTCGCGAAACTGCAATACCTCCAACCACCTCTCCGGAATCCCCTCAACCCCATCTCTCGCCCCCAATAACCCACCGGCAATCGCCCCGTTCGTATCCGCATCACCCCCAAGCCTCACCACATCCACCAACACATCTTCCAAACCCCGTGTATCCAACACCGCCGCGACCGAAACCTTCAAACTATCGAGGACGTAGCCTGTTGGCGAGAAGCCGTGGTTCTCCGGTCCCTCGTTCGCCATTTTCTCAACGTCCATCTTCTCGCCTTGTGAAATCGCGGCTGCAACGTCCTCACCATGTAAGTCCAGCGCAATGCTTTTTCCAATCTCCACAGCCTCGCGCACACTTTTGCCATCCACCAGCGCAGCAACAATCTCATTATACGCCGCACACGCCACCGTGCAGCGCTCATCATCGTGCGTGAACTCACTAATCGCCATACTCTCGCGCACCCTCTCCTCACTGTTCGCGCCGAATAAACCCGTCGGTATGCAGCGCATCAAACTCCCGTTTCCCGCATTGTCCGGCCCAGCTCCTGATGTCGTCGTGTCGCGTGAAATCTTGTAATTATGTAAGCCCGTATCCGTCGCGCCGCCAATGTCTTCTGGATGCGAGTTTTTGCGCCGGCCCGGCCAGTCGCCATCGCGCCACTTCAGAGAATACTCTGCGGACGCTTTGGCAATGTTAAAGTCAGGGTCGTTGGATTTGGAGGAGTCGAGGTAGGCGAGCAGGACGGCGCGCGTGAGGTCTGTGTCGTCGGTGGCGTGTCCCGCAGACCAGCGAAATGCGCCGCCGCCGATGATGTCTCGCAGCCCTTTGGGATATTGGCCGATGACATCTGACCAAGGCATAAATTCGAGGGTAGCGCCGAGGGAGTCGCCTGCGTGAACACCTAGTAGGGCACCAAGGACTTTTGACGTTTGGGAATTGGTGGGGAAAGACATGTTGAGACTATGATCGTCTTGGAGGGAAAAAAATTCTTGGTTCTAGGAGAAGTCTTCTCTATTGCGAAATGAAAACAAGAGTAGCTTGAAGATTCCCGAGGTCATGTTGGCGCAGATCCGCTCATTCTTATGATGGTGGGTGATGCTGCAGCGCCGCTGTTGCCTAATACCCTGGGATTAGCGCAGTTGCATCGTGTGACAAAGAATCGCCCCGCCGCTACCCATACAGGGGAAGCATCTTGGTGATGAGTAATCTTCATATGTTCCTGTGCACTCCGCTGCAAGGCAGAAGTTTTTAGCACTGTAGGAACAAAGGCGCGAAACGTCGATCCCGGAGATAACTAGAGGGTCGTGTCGCTGTTAAGAAACATTGAGTTTATAGATCAAACACCTTGAATTACTAGCCAGCGCTGTCCTCATATATTTTGCAATCTTCTTTTATTAACACTTCTCTCTCCCTCTCTCTCTTCTCTCTCTTCTCTTTCTTCTCTCTCTTCTCTCTCTTCTCTCTCTTCTCTCTCTCCTCTCTCTCTCTCTCCTCTCTCCCTCCTCTCTCTCTCCCCATTTCTCCAACTCGTCTAACTCCCCAACTCTCTAATTCTCCAACTCTCCAACTCTCTAATATCTCTCTATCTCTCTTTCTCTCTCTTTCCTCTCTCTTCTTTCTCTCTCTATCTCTCTCTCCTCTCTCTTGCCTCTCTCTCCCATCCTCCAACTTTTCACCTCTCCAACTCTCCAACTCTCTAATCTCTGTTTCTCTCTCTCTCTCCTCTCTCTCCTCTCTCTCACTCTCTAACTCTCCAACTCTCCAACTCTTTAACTCTCTAACCTCTCTCTCTCTCTTTCTCTCCCTCTCTCTCTCTAACTCTAACTCTCCAGCTTTCCATCTCTCTAATCTCTTCCTCATTGTATAGTGGCCAACTACCCAACTCGACCGCCCTGTGCCCTCTCTCTCCTCTCTCTCTTTCTCTCCCTCTCTCTCTTCAGCATCTTTAACCTGGAGATCAGACGGTTTCCGAGCGCCCATCGAATAAGCACGTCGACGTACTTCCAAACCATTAAGGTGCTGAGACGTGTACTCGAAATACAGGCCCAAAGTGTTCCTTATGCCCGCATAGCCGCGCTTATGGGCGTCTACCCTATACACCTCAAGCATGCTCTCCTCAAGGACATGGCCATGGGTTCTACCGGTATGTAGTAACAATCTCACGACATCGACATGCCCATGGTTGACGGCAAGACTTGTCGCACTCACGAGATTTTCGAAATCATACAATTTGCCCTCCAGCACCTTGATTACTTTCTGCTGTTTCCCAGTGATTGCAGCTACGTCGAGTTCTGCGCGGGCAACGCTTTCGATCTTCTTACGCAAAAAGGTGTTTATGCTGCAATGATCTTCCTTCTCGCGTAATTCTGGTCTTGCGCTCCGATCCACCAAGTCCTGCAGAGATTTGTGGATACGGCCTGAGAAAACTTCTTTTGTAGCGGGTTCCAAAAGTGCTTTGACGATTTCTGTGCATCTGTTTTCAGCAGCTACAGCCAACGCGTCCAATACAAAGTATCCATGCTCAAGATGGTGCTTTCTGATTTCTCCCATCAATCGTCCGACCATCTTTTCATCCTTACTCTTTACAGCCACTAACAAGGCTTCGAAAAGAAAAGCCCCACCTTGAAGAGGTAAGATGAGGGCTTTCTGGTGCAGCTGAGCGAGAGCTTCCTTATCGTGGTAATTTGCGGCAACTTTCAAGGCCTGAGAGTACACGGAACAGCTACCAGCCGGTATTCGAATCGCAATCTTCAGCAATTCTGCGACGACTTTTTTGTCCACATGCTTGGCTGGGATTGAAGTTCGAAAGATCTCTTGAACGGTCTGTAAAGCACTGTAGATCATATCGTCGGTCTGATATTGACGGTCGTCGCAGAGAAGCTCTGCTAAAAGATGGAACAGATCTTTGCGACCTCGGCACGCATACTTGACTAGTTTCAAGCACCTATGTATGGACTCGTGGGATTTGCAACACGCGTCATGTTTCGATGACGAAAGTAGTGCTTCAGCAATGTCAACCGCACCAAGTACAACCATGTACTCAAGTTCCTCTGCTATAATGCCGCTGCGTCTACCTTTTGCTTCAAGCCAATCTGAAAGTTGGAAGTCACAGCCTTGTTCGACGACCCAAGTGATCAAGAGGCTGTGGACGCCTTGTTCTTGACGCTGCTCTACGCTCGAAGCTTTGTAATGCTTGTCGAAGTAATTGAATGCATATAGTGCCCAATTGTCTTTCGTAGCTGTATGACGGAACATGTACTCCTGTCTCTCCGGATCCTGAATTAATCGAATGTAACCTCCCATAGCTTGACGTGGTTTAGTCAGGAAGTCTAGGCAGACAGCTGCTACCCGGGCGTGACATGCATAATTGCTGTAAACAGCTTTGTGGATTTCCTGTAGGTATTCCCTCACAGTAGAATGTGTGAATACCAAAGATCCACCAGCACCGCTGATTACCAGGTCCTGCACAAGCGGCAGATACTGGGCAGGCTTGACTTTGGGGTATGTTTCTTGCCCGGGCTGTTCCTTTAGGGACAGGTTCGTTACTGCGAGAGTTTGTGTCAAGAGAGCCTCGTCTAGGGGGCGGAATGTACATATCATCCATTGGAGGATGAACTCTGCTGTCTTTCGTGCGTAAGTTCCTGCTCCGGAGTTTCTTGCGAGGATTCTCGCATATATGTCTTTAAGGGATGATGCGTTCACAAGTAGTTCTTCAAGGCTTTCGATATGTTGATTGAAGTCTTGCGGAAAGATAATAGGCGGTTTAGCGTTAAGGAAAAAGGTAAGTTGTAGCTTGGCCCAGAGGAACCTAGACAGGTCAGCATATGTACTCTCATGAACTTAGATATTGTAAATACATTCCATCAGCTTTATTGCAGAGTGTATCTACAAGTCTCTTCTCTAGCTCAGGGCAAGTTCCTTTGACAGGCCTCTCATCTGTAGGACAGGACTCAATTCTTTCGCTGATGTAATGTCGCATTTCTCGCCGGGTTCTGTCTTTTGTGACATTGATATTCTTGGCCATAGAGAACTTTTCGTTCACTCTGGCATATGACTTGTCCAGTCAAAAATAGCTGAAATTTGCCAGTGATACAGGAAGGGCCAGCAATATTCCACAGAGTATTCAACAGATCTTTCCAGTCCTGAGATTCGTCCAGAGCGTCGATGAAAATGCGAACCTTCACACCGGCATCTAGAACACTTGAGAAAAGTTGAGTACACTGTTTTATCGTGTTAAAGTCTGGCCTTTCGCGAACATTGTACATGTTGTAGGCTTCATGCACTAAATTGCCGTCTTCAGGATCATAGACCAATTGACGAAGTATCGACCTAAGAACAGCTAAAGTTGATGACTGATCAGAATTCGTACAGTAGAAGTAAGCGAAGCGTCTGCCATTGCGTATGGAGACTTCAGTTTGGTGTTGCTGAATGATGCGTGTCCTAGCTGTTCAGTATGTTTATCTCAAGATATAAAAGTGAGCTAACCTACATGAGAGATGTCTTTCCAGTTCCAACTGCAGATATTCATCAGTAACATAATAGTCTGTGAACACACCTGACTTACCAGTGCCTTCGATCCACAGAACCGCAAGATCCCCCGCTTCCCAACTTTTGTAGCTCTCCATATCAACCAGCCACTGGCCGCATTTTGGGAAGTCCTTGAGACTGACACGCTCACACATAGTCGCAAGATCAGGTTTAGGTCGCTCTGAGATCCAATCGCAGATCTTCTCGTGCTCAACTTCGGTATTTTTGAAGTCATCCAGGTTCGATTTCCATCTCGATTCACTCTCCGCAATCGATGCTTGCAGTTCTTTCAGTCTAGAAGCATTTGCTTCTGACGAAAACGCCGATTCTATATCCATCAGACATCTTTTATACTAGCATTAGTCATGGAATGCTTACTTAGGTCACTTTTATTGCAAATATCCCCAAGCCAAACCTCGAACTTCAGAATCCATTCGTACAGCTCGATCAGGCTCTTCTCCACCTGATTGTGGTCGCTCGAAGTATGGCGTATCTTTGCTAGGTGTTTTTTTGAGTCTCTGTCGCAAGCCCAAATGATATGTGTTACCTTCGCTTCATATTCCACGATGTTATGCTGCAGGTCCGAAAGGCCTATAGAGACCTATATTTCAATTAGCGTATGTGGCTGAGTTCACGGTATGAATTTACAAACCGAAAAAACATAGTAGAAAGTTCGCAAAACGAGTGCTGCGGCTTTCGTCGGTTCAAATGCTGCCAAACTGATAAACAACTTTTCAGTCGCTACAAAGTCTCGACGTTTTCCAGGAGTAGAGGCCTTATGATTCGTCACATAGGTTTCGAAGCATCTCTTCAGACCCTTGGAGACATTATCAGCAAGAACATCGTCTTTTCTTCTTCTCTCAACCAGCTTGTTGTATGCCGCTTCATCTTTCGACTGTAGGTTTTTTAGAGCTGCGTCCCAGAATCTCGAATCACTTTCACCAGTTGATTCAGGTATGGACTGAACGTTAGCGACTGCAGTGTTGACTGCAGCCACATCAGACACCGTCATTTTTTCTTGATCATGGTCGTCCACAGTCGCTGCATCATGCTGTCTGGTGGGTGAGGAATTCACTGCCAGTGCTGGAGTAACAATTCTGGGCGTTGTGGTCCGCGATAGACTCGGCAGCAGTGACGAGGCAGTTCCGGAGACATCTGGCTGCGGTACAGCAAAGTCATGCTGTTGAGCTGAGATAGAGGTTGTTCTTGATGCTACCGCGGTAGTGACTGGCGTTGCAGGGCCGGCTGGAGGGCCTGCACTTCGTTTCGACCAGGGATTGAGCTTCGACAGTAAAGTTGCAAGTTTATTCTTGATTTTGATCCGCCTGGATGTCTCCATAGTCTCTGTCGTGTTTTCCAGACGCGTCGCGGTTCAAATGCCTCAACTCAGTCAAACGTCGTCGCAAGCAATCGGTGGTAATGAAAGCTACAAAGGTCGAAATTCAATGCTAAAGGCTGAATGCGACAAAACACAAGAACGAGGGAATGCCTTGCCTATCCCACATTGAAGGACATCTCAGCCTCGCGCTACGTCCACATTGAGCCAAGCCACCTTCATGTCGATTCGCCTATGGCCTCGTATTCACACAGCTGTTCAGCCTAAAGGTAGCTGATTGAGGTGCAGCTGTCCAATGAAAACGAGCTATCTTCGGCGCACAGCAAGGCATAACTGCATATCCCAGCCGTGTAGGCTGATTCATAGGCAATTGGCCAATACATACTGTTGTGTTGCCATCTCCTGATAGCACATATATCCAGGGAGCGACCCGCAGTCGGTGAGGGAATGATAGATTTCAGCATCTAGCTAGCTTTTCGATAGGTGTCGGTGAGGTCCTGAGCCCTCAGGGTGATCTAATCTAATATACTGGCTGCTTACTTCATCATCTGATCACGTGCGCAACTACTACACCACAATACGAGCTATCTTTGGTCCGCAGTAAGGCAGACCTGCATACTCTAGTCGCGAAGACCTGCACATCGAACCAAATTACGCGACCATGCAGCATGCGGATTACTTCCCGGAGCAACCCCTGTCGTGAATGACCACATTGCATCTCAGATAGCGAGGTTTGTAGTACGTAGCCCACGCATACATAATGGTGACCTAGATAGAGTAGCAGCGCAAAACTATCTAGGTCGAGCTTTCGCAGTCAAGCGTCCAGGACTTCGGAGCCAAATCAGACCTCTCGACGCGAAATGAAACATCTCGACGCCAAAACAACGCCACACTGCTCAATGAAACCCACGGAAAAGACATTCCTCGCGTATGCTCCAAGTAATGCTGATAGCGTTCTCCTCTTAAAATTGAGCATAGTAACATGCTGTTATACACAAAGTCGGAATCTAGTATTCGCTGCCTAGAATCTCCAGGGCTTGTAGTTTTGATTGGCTGTAAACCTCACTCCGTCCGACAAAAACAAACAGTCGGGAAACAGCCTTCGCCATCGAACATTGACGAGCGTGTAAACAGTATATGCAGCAACAGCACCTCCTTTTCATTCTACATAGTATGCTACCTGCTTTCGATAACATATGCCGTAGCTAGCCATCGCAGTACATAGTTGCATATACATGCACATCCTCACTTCTAATACTGTCACAAAGTCTGAAATTTCTCACCGCTCCAAGACACACACCACAACACCTCAGAAACGCGCTTCAAAATCCCGTAGAACAGCCCCAACTTGGCACAATCTACTAACCTCAAGACGTCATGACTGTGTCACCTAAAAAAGCTACTCAAGTCTCACGCCGGCAAATTTACTAACGTCGAGAACAGCAACAAAAAGAGGCCGTGGAAGCAGGGGAATAAAGATTGCTACAAGAAAATTCAGCACCACAAATCTCATGCCGGATCATGTAAAAACTACACGCCGCCGACGTTTGGAAAATTAATTTCACGTTTTATGTCCAAGGTCGCATATGTCTCCACACCACTGCACATGATATAGAATAGCAGTTCTGCTGCAAAGACAGCTGATGGGCCTATTGATTTCCAAAAGTAAATTTTACGGCTTTCCATTCGCTTCTGACCAGCATGATGCATGTTTCAAAGGCTATATACGCCGGAAGGTAAGTATTCGATTTCAAGACGCCAGAATGTAAAGTTCCACCCTTGCTGCCACGCTATGCTGTTATCCAAAACGCTCTTTTAGGATGATAAACGCCGTGTATGCAAAACTCGATACTCGTAATCACTCGTCCGAATCCACCACCATGCTCTCTTCCATCAAACTCTCCTCCTCCAATCCTTGCGCATGCCTCCTCCTCCGTCCCCTCCTTCCCGCGACGCGATTCTGCTCAATCTCTCTCAGTCTGCCGTTCATCCTGCGGTCCAGCGCCTCAATCTCCTCGTCGTCGCGATCCTCGAGAAGTTCGACGACGTGGCCCTTTTCGACCGCCATGTCGTCGCTGTTATCCAGGGCGCGGTTGAGTAAGTCCGTAGCCATGGGATCCTGCGGCGCAACGGCGAGCGCTTCATGAAGAATGATGACGGCGTCCCACTCGCGGCCGAGTTCCATGAGGACGAGGCCCTTGGCGGCGAAGACGGAGGGGTCTTTGATCCCGTGACGCAGAACTTCTTCGAAGGTGATGAGGGCGTCTTCGAAGAGTTCTGCTCTCCTAAGTGCATGTGCGAGGTTGATCTTGGTGGGGACCAGCGCATCTGGCTCAGCTTCGTTCTGGGCCGAGATTTCGAGTGCGCGCCGGAAGTATTGGCTGGCTTCGAGGAACTGTTCTTCATTGTAGTAGACGACGCCGAGTTCGTTGAGCAGCAGGGGGTCGGTTTCGCACAAGTCGTGGGCGGCTTTGAGGTATTCGCGGGCGAGGGAGAGGTTGTTGAGTTGCAGGTTCTGCATGCCGAGGAAGAGTTGTGGGAGATGCGTGCCTTGGAAGAGGCGGGCGGCGGTGGAGTAGGCGGAGATGGCTTGGTCGTGCTCGCCCTCGGCGGCGAAGGTGTGCGCGAAGCCTATCCATGCGGGACCAAAGTGCGGATCCATCATGGAGGACTTGGAGAAGTAGCGGCGTGCTTCGGCTATGCGTCCGATGGCGAGGTAGTAGACGCCGACGGCTAGCCATGAGCACGCTTCTTGGGGGTTCGAGTCTGCGAGGTCGTGGGCGAGGAGGAAGAGGGTGTTTGTTTGGCCGAGTTCGTGCAGAGAGGCGAGATGCACGGGCATGATGTTGAAGTTGTACTTGTCTGTCTCGAGGACGGATGAGGTGAGGGTGAGGGCATCACGGAAGCGACAGTGCGTGAACATGAGATCTGCTTTTGCGAGGAGGATATCTGGATTCGAGCCGAGGTTGTAGTGCGTGCTGAGAGTCTCGGTCGCACTCGCAAACTCCTCAGGCTTGGTGTACTTGGACAGACGCGTGGTGTAGAGCGTCTTTGTGAACTGGGCGGCTTCTTGCGACAGGGAGGGGTTGTTGGCGACGTTGATGGTGTCGAAGTCGAGCGAGTCGAGGAACTTCCACTCCTCTTCGGGCGACATGAGGGAATTCGCCATGAGGGCATCAAACGCCTCGAAGCACTGCACGTCGATCTGCACCGCCGTCTTGTAGCACTCCTTTGCGCGATCGAACGAGTTTTGCTTCGCAAAGCACAGCCCGCGCAGGTAGCACATGCCCGCCTCCGACTTGATGCTGCTGATGTCCTCGCGGTCGCGCTCCTCGCTGGTGGGGAGTCGCTCGTTGCGCGAGCCGTTCTTGTTGTGCCTGGGGCCCGCGCGCGTGTTGACGTCGACATGCCGCAGCTTCTGGCGTGCGCTTCCCGGCGCCGAGATGAGATGGGACGGGTTCTTGTCGCCGAGTATGTGCAGCGCCTCGTCGGTCTTGCCCAGCTTGATTGAACAGTGCGCGGCGAGATATTTGCATGTCGGGCTGCGGTCGATGAGGTTCCCGCGCGCGAGGAGAGACTGGGTGCGGTTGTAGTTGCCGGTGCTGAAGTGGGCTTGGGCCAGCCAGAATGCATCTTCGTCTGCATCTACTCGACGTATTAGTATCCGCCATGCGCTGACCCTGCAGAAGGCATACTTGTCAGTGCAAGCAGCTTGTCGGCGACAAATATTGCCGTGTCGTACTGGTTGCGATTGAGGGCCTCTTGCCGCCAGTCGCGGAGATATTTTTCCATTCCCGTGCTGTCATGCGCTGAGTAATCGATGTCTGGTACGGGTATGCAGCATAAAAATAGAGTGCGTGGTGTTGATGTTTTGCTTGTCGTGGTTGCTATTTGCGGCTGCCGTCTTGTCTGACGCGCCTGGCTGACGCGCGAGCATGTGAGTTAACGCGGGGTGCCTGCAGGGAAGCCGCCTTAGTCAGCCGGGCCGCAAAGCACTAGGCCAAACTTCCGCCTTCACTTTGACCTCACTCCTTCTCTGTACAACAATCGCGAGATACCTCAAACCACTCCAGCAGCCGTTTCCACTCCCTACGAAAGGTCACGCGACCGCACCTTCACCTTCTCCCACAGCTCCACTCTACTAGTCCCCGACCATGTCTGAACGAAAAGTGCTCTCCAAGTACTACCCGCCCGACTTCGACCCGTCTAAAATCACACGTACGCGCGGACCAAAAAATGCCGGCCCCAAAGTACAGACTGTCCGCCTCATGGCTCCCTTCTCGATGAAGTGCACCCACTGCGGCGAGTTCATCTACAAAGGCCGCAAGTTCAACGCGCGGAAAGAGACCACTGAGGAGAAATACTACAACATCGCCATCTTCCGCTTCTACATCCGCTGCACGCGATGCTCGGGCGAGATCACCTTCAAGACGGATCCCAAGAACATGGACTACGAATGCGAGCGGGGCGCAAAGAGGAATTTCGAGCCGTGGAGAGAGGCCAAGCTTGCAGAAGAGACCGAGGAGGAGCGACTGGATAGGCTAGAAAAGGAGGAGGCAGAGCGTGACGCAATGAAGGAGTTGGAGACCAAGGTGCTCGATGCCAAGACCGAGATGGCCATTGCAGACGCGCTCGATGAGATCCGGTCGAGAAATGCGCGCTTAGAAAAAGCAGATCGCGATGGCGTCGAGGCAAAAATTGAGCCAGACCCTGCCGACGACCGGAGAAAGCGGCAAGAGGAGGAAGACGCCGAAGCAGCGCGCCAAGCTTTTGCGAATCGCACTATGCCAGATCTCGGAGAGGAAGTCATAGAAGAGGACATGATGGATGCACCCATCGAGGCACCCGTTGCGACTGCTTTCACCAAGAAGCCCAAGGAGAAGAAGGACTTTAGCGCCGCCCTTGGCATCAAGAAAAAGGCTGCCGCTCCAGCAGTTGCGCCAGTCATGAAGACACCAGCCGCGCCGTCGAAACTGTCTACTATGCTGGTGGCGGGCTACGATAGCGACGATGATTGAAATCACAGCGAAAGCGGCATTGCATTTCCGGCGTTCAATCTCTTCAAGCATAGCGATACCAATTTGATACTTATTTCCCGACGATCGTGAGCCGGCCACGCCATGGCGAGGAGTCCGCGCCTCAGACTAACCCTTCACTTCGTCTCATTGAGCTATTACTACCATGAAAAACATGCTCAACTAATCAGACTCCACCTCGGACATCTTCTTCGCGTCGACAATCGGCTCTTTGGATACCGCCTCCACCTCCCCCTCGTCCACACTTTCTCCCTCCAGAATGACCGCCGTCTCGCTGTCGAAGCGATACCCCTTGAACTTGAGCGTCGGCACGCGGTTGTCGTACAAGAAGTCGAGCTGTTCAATGGAGAATCCCTTCATTTCTGGAACAATGAAGAAAACCCAGGCCACTGTGACGAACGAGAAAGCCGCCCATATGAATCCCTGCGATCAAATCAGTGGTCGAACTCTGAGTTGTGAGCTTATTACTCACAATAGTTCCGCCGAGGTTTCCATAGCCCTTATCCTGTATGTATGGCGATACAGACGTGATCAGTAGCGAAACACCGAAGCCGAAGAACGTAGCTATTGACTGCACCTTCTCCCTGTTTCTGGAAGGGGCTGCCTCTGCCGTTGTGATCCATATCAATGGCGATTGCACGCCGAACGAAGCCTGCCAAAGGAAGATGAGCGCGATCGATGCTTTACCCTGTACGATGGACGGGTTCCTGAACACAACAACCATGCTCGACACAATCATCAGAGTTGTGCCGCAGAATAAAGCCGTGGAGATGAGAACTGGCCGACGGCCTACAGTGTCTGGGAGGAAGTGTCCGCTCAAGATGGCGACGTAATACAACGTGTAGAGACCCATGATCACGGGAAATACATTCGTCACTCCGGTTGACGTCAGGAACGAGACGATGTAGCTGTTCATATACGCAGACCCCTGCGCTTGCTGCAGCGATTGGATGCCCACGGCAATGAGTAGGCGACGTAGATCCGGCCCGCGAGTGAGATCGACCCAGCGCGACGCATCTTCACGATTCCGCTCGGAATCAATAGCCATCTGGATGTCATCGATGTATTTGTCTGCGTCGAAGCCATTTGTTGGTGTGGCGAAGATCCGTGTCGCTGCCACAACAGCATCGGCATGTCGCCTACATCGCGTTGATCAATCAGCCATACACCTCCTGAGGAAATAGGCAACTCACCCTTTCCACACCAACCATCTAGGGCTCTCCGGCAGTAGCGGACACATAGCCACCATGATGGAAGGTGCCAGAAGCTGTAAACCCATTGGAATCAGATATGCAGATGGCGTAGCACTCTTTGACGATGCATACACGACACCAGAAGCGAGTATGACACCGATGATCTGGACATTCTGATACACAGACACTGCGGAACCACGCGCGGTTCCCGTCGCCGTCTCAGAAAGGTAGATCGGGACGATGTTGACTGCCAGCCCCATGGCAATGGACGCAATCACCTTGCCTGCGACAAACTGCGCGAAACGAGCAGTAGGATTAAGAGCGCTTGTAATTTCGATGAGCACGCCGATGATGGAGACTACTCCCGTAGCGAGGAGCGAGAAGCGGCGGCCGAGGAAGTTGTTCAGGTACATTGCTACCAGGCAGCCGATCACTGTTGTACAATCAGCATCCATTTCATCGTGAGAAGGAGTACGTCTCACTGATGCCACCCGACTGCACTGAACTCCCAGCCGAAAGCTGCGCAGTAGACAAATTGCATGTCTTCACCCCCTCAACCGTCGCACAAGATCCATAGTCCTCCAAGAACCGCTCCGACCCCAGAATTGTTCCCCACCAACCATTATCAAAGCCAAACAAAAACGCGCCAACAGACGCGAGTAACATGCATCCCGCGCCCGTGGGCGTCGTGCCGTGCAGATATGTAAACATGATCGAAGTTTTTCGAACCTCAGAATGATGTAGAAGCAATTACAAACACCATTTCAAAACATTCACGACGAACATATTCTCCTCCCCATCTTCACCCCCATCTCCGCACACTCTCAAGATCGGAAGCATGCGTCCCTATCTCCTCAATCCCAAAGAGGTATAACTCGCCCGGCACTCGCCCGAGTTGCGGGCCAGATGGACCAATCACGCCCCTGCTATTCTACCATCGCGGATATCGCGTTCCTGTTGCTGATCAATTCCTCGTAGGTAGAGCGGGGGATGGCATATATACCCATTGTCTTTCAAACTTTACTAGATTGACATTTCTTCACTTGACCAAGATTCGAATTCGTTTCCTACCATGCCGCACTACACTTCCGAGCCCCTCATCGACACTTCCACGCCGACAGGTGACTGGCGCGACGACCTTTTCCGCGACGGATATGTTGTCGTCAAAAATGTCTTGCCAGCAGAGAAAGCGGAGGGATATAAGCAGAGGATGTTCGAGTGGTTAGAAACGTTTCCGTATGGGTTTGATAAAAATGATAAAAGCACGTGGGTGAAGGAATGTCTACCAGAGCACATGAAGGGCGGCATGTATCACGGCTACCGGGTCCAGCATGAGAAGGTGATATGGGATGCGCGATGGTATGTCTTCCTCTTTCCCAGCCTTTTCCTTCCCAGCTGGTGTACTGACAACGCATGTAAGCGAACAATCCATCATCGACACATTCGCCAAGATCTGGAACACCCACAACCTCCTCGTCTCCTTCGACGGCATGAACCTCACCCTCCCCTCCCCAGATCTCAAGCCTTCTACTCCCTGGCCGCATGTGGATCAGAATCCAAACCGCAAGGGCATGCAGTGCGTCCAGGGAATTTTGAACCTCGCGCCTAATGGGCCTGAGGATGGCGGGCTCGTCGTGCTCAAGGGCTCGCATAGACAAAATGAAGCGTTTTTCAAAACGCATCCCGAAACAGAGGGCGCGGGGACGTGGGGCAGTGCGGATTGGCATGGGTTTAACGAAGAGGAGGTGAGCTGGTTTAAAAGTAGGGGGTGTGAGGAGGTTAAAGTATGCGCGGGGCCCGGCGGTAAGCTTCAATTCAAACCCGTGAAGGGCTGGGGGCAGTGACTAACTCTGCTAGATTTGATACTGTGGGACAGTCGAACGGTGCACTACAACAAAGTCCCCAGCACGCAGAATGTCCGCGCCGTCATGTACATCTGCTACACGCCTGCGTCGTTTGCAAAGGACGAGGATCGCGAGCGCAAGGCAGGGTATTTCAGGGAGAGGTGGGGGACGGTGAGTCAATCTTTTCTTATATCCCTTTCAAAGAGTTTAGGTAGGAGAGAGAGGAAAGGGCCGGGCTAATACAAAACAGACTCACTGGCCGCACGCGAATATATTTCGGCAGGAGGATAAGCATATGCGTCTTGGGAAGCCTGATTCGTATGTAAGGGACAGGCCGGCGCACGAACCCGAGGAAAGCGATTTAGTGCTGAAGTTGGCTGGGGTGAAAGCGTATTAAACATGGCAGTAGAGGTCTTGTAAAATCAACATTCTTTCTCGCTCTGAAACTAGCCAGACTAGAAGCACACCACCTCATCAAGACCTAACAGCATTCTCCCCCTCATTCCGTAGCTCTTGCCAAATCCCCACCCCCTCTCTCGCCACAACATTCTCCCCTCTCACACCCCCCAGAATCCTCTCACTATCCCTAATCGCCCGCACAAGCCGCTCATCCGCCTCCCTCGACCGCCGCACTTCCAGCGCGAGCGTGACCGTGGCGGAAAACGTGACCATCGCAAAGTCCCAGCTCCGCAGGCGCCGGAACGTCGCGTCACCTGCGGTCGCGGCGCCAATCACGCCGATGGCAGATGATAGACAGACGGAGCGGGCGCGCGCAAAGTTGGTCGAGCCTTCGAGCCAGTACGTTTGCAGGATGCGATTTATGGCCAGACGGTAGTAGAGGAGGACGATGGCCAGACTGGTTCTCTGTGTTGCGATCCAAGGGTGGAGGGCTTCGGTGTGAGGCGAGGTGGTGTCGTTGTTCTGCAGGTGTGGGGGGATTTGCTCGATGACGTCGGCGAGGTGGTCGTCGGCTTGGATGACGAAGTCGGCTATGCCTGATGGCGACCATTTGCGGAGCCGCAGCTTCGCATGGAGATGGTGGTAGATTGTGGCTATTCGCGCCATGGTTATGTGGTATTGCACGGCGCGGGGATGGTGGTCGGGCTGCGATACAACTCCGCTGTCAGAGGCCAGGAGTTGTGCATCGCTGATGTCTGCAGGCAGTTGGCAGGTAAAATCCGTGTCGTTGATACATGGTGGACGAAGTGGTATGGGGAGCCATTCGCAGATGACGAGCGTCCACCAAAGTCGTCGCCGGGTTTCTCGCTGGACAAGAGTTTCGCTCAGATTAGCTTCGTCGGAACCGAGATTGAGTTGTTGGGCGATTCGAATTGCGACTGCCCATAGGTTGGCGTGCCTATGCGTCTCGCCGATAGTCGATGCCTGCCGATTGCGTCACAAGTCAGTGCATGTTAATCGATGTGAAGGGTTTACCAACAACGTTTCCAAGCACTACGATAGCTTGGACGACTAAGATGTTTGACTTTTGTAGGAAATCACCCTGGTCCAGGTAGAACAATGTCGCACTGTACCAATTGCGTGTGAGCAGAACACGCGAAGGCAGAGGAGCCCCGCTGAGCATAAAGTCCTCGTCGCTCATGAAGCCGAGAGCCGAAGCCAGAGTAGCAAAGTAAACTGCCAGCCATAACGGATCAAACGAAGTGAATGATGCTCCTTCTGCCCAAAACCCTTCATGCTCTTGTCGAAACCGCGGAAAGAAGAACGCAAAATGCACCCACGACGTCCACGTCTGCGCAAACTCCACAAACCAACAACTGCACGCCTGCGTCGGCTTTACAATGTCCTCTATACATGTCACAACCCTCGCTTCACACAAACGCCCAACAGCATCATACAGCCGCTTCTCGTAGTACTCAGTCAGATCCACCACCGGCGCATACGAGTTCTCTCCTGCATGCGATCTCGACAACAGCTCAGCCAAACGCGCATTTTCCAGCAGCAATTCAGCAATAGATGGACTGGAACCAGGTATATCGGCCGTCCGGATGCGACCGCGCACGACGACCACTTCGCGCTTGCAGTCAGCGGCCGCGCCGCGACTGATGCAGGCTCGACAGGGGATAGCCTTGCTGCATTTGACTTTTCTGGAGGCGCAGGATGTGCAAGATAGGGGCGCGCGTTGTGTTGAACGGTGGGTTGTTGGCATGGTAGAGGTGTGGTTTTGGGTGTCGGATGGCGCTTCCGATGGAGAATGGGATTGGGTTGAGGGGCGGATACAGACTTCCGCACCATCTGTACTTTCCTGAATGGTAGTATGACGAGTCAAGCGCATTGTGTTTTTTTTATAACCACTGGGCGATAAAACGACGAGGGTGTTGAAAGACTATGTGTGTCATCATCTCAATCAAGTTGTAAACGATGTCCTGTTCGAAGAGAGATTGTAGGAGCAAGAGAAGGCTTTCGACTGTTGTAGAGGTAGGCAAAATTCAAACAAATACGACCAGAGCTCAGAGACAAAGCATTTTCATGAAATACCTCACTAATAACAGTAATTTATAACATCTCACAGGAGCCTCACTGCTGATCAGGGCGGAGGCTCTACCCATGCAGATCGACAATGTTCCTGGCGCCGCAACTGATATGCGTGTTAGCGACGACGATCTGTTCTCCTTGGTAATGCCAGCTGAGGAGACTAGGCCCACAATGATTCCAGTCGCTCCGTGTTGTATTGGCCGCCAGCAATATCCACCCACCATCGGTACCTATGTGCATCTTCCACCTGAGGTGAGGAGCTCGACTGCTTTACGGGAGAGCAAAATCTATGAACAAGCAGACTGGAAGCCGTTTTCAAATTGACATAGATTTTCCTGATATCATGGAAACCTGCTTTGCAAAATGATCTCAAGCAATCGTTTGTGTTACAGCACAATCAAACCGCTCAGTAGTAAACTTCTCCAGAATCGCAGCCACTCACAACTTGGCTATGAAGTCACGTATGTGCTCGTTTGCGCTGGCCTCAACATCCGCGACCGAAGTGGACATGTCCCAAACCCGATTGCTGGCGTTTTCGACACCATTCTCCGCAGGCCTCAAGCCCACCGCAACTTCCAAGATTCTCTGAGCTTCGATCAAATCTTGAATTGAGTCTGCTCTCCAAGCAACGTGCTCGTCCGGCCGTACAAGCACCAAGTCTCGCTGCCAAACTTTTCGCGCGTGACGTTCGCCTGAGATGTCGACGTGCTTGACTGGAATGCGGAGAGTATTTGCGGCATCCAGGAGCAACTTCACGGAGTGGTCCTCGATATTATCGATAAACGAAACCAAAGTCCAATCTTTGCCGAAATGATCGAAGATAGCGGACCCGTCAGTCAGGAAGACGTGTGGTGCTCGGTTTCCTGGCCATGTAGATGGTATGTATTCGTATTCTTGCCACACTGGCTTCGACCCTGATCCAGGTGTTTGCAAAATTTCTGATTCGTAGATGTAGCCCATTTCGATGCCTTTGTGTTTGTGTTCACCATCATTCTTCTGATAATATTCATGGACCCTTTTTCGAAGAGCCACACCATCCTCGGTGGGTCGATCTATGACATGAGGATCGACCCCTTGGAAAAACTGGGTGATAGATGTGTGTACTTTCGTATGCGCTTTCGAGTGCTGCATGACACGCACAGCGACTGGGATCCGCTCTGAGTCGTACGATCGTAGCAGTCCGGCACCGCCATATTGCATGGCTGCTGCAAGTTTCCAACCCAAGTTATAAGCGTCTGCTATTCCCGTGTTCATACCATAGCCGCCAGTGGGGACGTTCTGGTGCGCAGCGTCCCCGGCAAGGAAGACGCGCTGCCCAGGGCTTGTCCACGTTTGGGCAACGGCAATGTTAGGACGCCATACGGAACGTACCAATATCTCGTCGATTTTGATTTCATATCTGCCTTTTAGACCACCAAGCACGGTATATACAGCTTCTTCGGACCCGATTTTTGACGTGTCTGTGTCGAGGGGAAGGCTGTAATGGATAGTCCATTGGTCCACCTCATCCTGCGCGATCAGCGCACCACTGTAAACTCCAGGCTCGCGCACAAAAAATATGTGCCAAAAGTAGCCTTGAGCGTGCAACCGCGTCAGGTCTTTGGACTTGAAGTGGACGAGAAGTACTTGGCCTCGTCTAGTTTAGATTTTTGTTAGCCCAACATCTATAGGGTAGAAGACGTGGCAATCGCTTACAAAGGTCCGCCATCAAGTTGAATTCCTAGCGATTTTCGCACCTTACTAGACGCACCATCACATCCAACAGCATAGTCTGACAAAATTTCCGTGGTCGCACCGGTCTTCGAGCACGACGCAACAGTCCTGACTCTACCGTCGCGTTCCTCGATGCTCTCAACTTTCCACCCAAACCTTGCATCAATCATCTCATTCTTCACACACAGTTCTTTCATCCATGCTTCAAATACAATAAGCGATATCCGCTGCCAAGATTCTCGGGGTTGCGAGCCGTCATTACTGGCCTTGATCTGCGCTCGGTACTCGTCGACACTGGGGAGTTGCCATTTGGTGAGTGCCTTCTCATTCCCCAGGCCAGAGGATATGAGCACGGTAAATGGAAAGTGTGATGGAACGCCCCTGGCTCGCAGTTCGTCTGCTAAACCGAGTCGTCGGAACATTTCCATCGTGCGCGGGTTGGTCAAATCCACTTTGGGCCATCTTGTAGTTGTTTCGTTTCGCTCTAATAACAGTGATCGAACATTGTGATGGGATAGTACTGTTGCGAGCGCTAATCCTACAGGGCCACCTCCGACGATTAGGACAGTGCCTGCTGGAAGGACCTCCTGGACTGGCTGCGAATTGGGAGACATGGTGGTATTGGCGATTCATGGCAGACTGACATTCAAGTACATTTCTTGTGCTTAACTACACACCACCCCACCATGCGGAGCTACCGGATCCGGGATGCTTTGCGAGTGGATGTTGTGGCTCATGGTACATCCCAGTGGGCAAAATGTAAGTTCGGCCCGTCTGGGAATAAGCCGATCATCCCGTCATCAGGTCTGACCCTCTCACATGTCAACGCGCTCGTAAGCACATTTACCTAGGCAGATTTACATTCGCGCTGACCATGAAATCACGCAGTGGGTAGGTACTGTGGAATGGATGCACAGAACCTGCAGTGCTTGGTATGCATGAACAGCTTGAACGGCATACTGGAACCAAAATGACCACACAGGCTACAGATTATGTACATACACCTTCAGGCTGTTCCATTACGAGAGTAATTTATTTGTCCTTCACAGCTTCGCGTTAGTACGCAAGGACCGACGTCCGATCTTCTCACGCTGCAACAAGACCTCCTCCCTCTCTCCATTCTGCAAACGCTTGATCATGTCTTCGGGGTCAAAATCCACGCCAATCGGATTTTCTTCAAATTCTGGTGATTCCATGTACTTCGTCGCGTCATTTGGGTCCTTGAAGTTATCTATCTGCGTCTCGATTTCGTTGCCATCAGGGTCTTTGTAGTATATCGATGTCGATGTTCCATGATTCACACACCAGATCGGCATGATGCCATTCTGTTTGCGCTGGCGGTAAGCAAGCAATAGTTCTGATAGCGAGTCGAATGTGAACGCGATATGCTCCAGCCCACAGCTGCCGCGGACCTTTGGTTTCGTTTTTGGGATTTGCACAAAGGCTATGCGATGATGCTCGTCGTCGTAGGTCAGGAATGCGAGCATCTTGCCCCCGTGAACGATTCTTGCGCCGAGGAACGTGCAATAGAAGTCGACCATGGCTTTCATGTTGTTTGTGCGCAGGACCACGTGTGCGAGCTTGCTTGGGGGCTTCACTGCCGTCCCGGGATTGTCGAAGTCAATACCCATCGTGAACTATTTTAGGTCGGAGATTATGGAGGAGAAGATGGCAAGTTGTCAATGCAATTGATGTCGAGTTGAGGAATGTCAAGCCTTGAAAGCTGTAGCTGAGTGGGGCTATCATACGTAGTTGTGGTGCTTCAAAGTTCGGACCGATCACAATCATTGAGATGATTGATGACGAAGGCAATTGCACTTGGTCGTCAGCGCTAGGAAAGTTAGGATAGCCATGATCTGCAGCTTTACCGTAACAGGTTAGCGCGTGAAATGGGAGACCCCTATCGGTTAATATAAACTTGAAGTAACACCGTCTCTCGTCTCAAAAGCTTTGATCGACTACCTCGGCTTCCAAGGTCTTCGCGGCAGTTGCTTCGTTCCTAACAGCAAGTGTTTCGGCCCAGAACTGATTTAGTGCAAGGGTTCAAGTATTCATAATGCGACACCTACGGCATGAGCAGCATCAGCAAGACCACCTGAAAGCGTTGGTGTTTGGACGCTGATCAGGGTTTCAATGATCGACACAACGAGTATGGCTCGCGTAAGGGTTTCACTCACACTTTCCTACTATCTCTGAGTCTGCAATGTACCTCAACCACCGTACAATCTTCCCTCCTCCATCAATCTGGCAAAGCAGTGTCTAATTACGCAAGTGGGATGGCATTCTACAGAGCACAAGTATCTCAGCGCCATTCCCTGCAAGGCTGCGGTACGTTGTCTTCACCAAGATGAGATATTATGCTAATATGAATGCTAGAAAAGGCCCACACAGGAGCTCGAAGACAAAAATGCTCGGTCGTACGATAGCTAGAGACATCTTGACCCAGTTGGGCTGACCTGCATAAACCTTATTCATGCGGACTCCTCCGTCAGGTCATGCCGCACCGCGATCTCGTCGTCTGCGAGCAGCAACGACAAGAACCGAGGCTTGCTGTTGCTTGTCGGCATTTGAGCTATTTAGCTGAATTTGAGATACAGTACGGAATAATTCAGACCAAATCAAAATGCCTAACACGAGCATATGCCCGGCACAGATATGTGACAACATTCTCAACATTATTGAAGAAGGCAGACCGTTTATTAGGGTCTCAATCCTTTTCGCGTTCTCAGGTTGATAAGATATCCTTGGGCACTGCTATTTTCATCACAAACCTTGGACGTATCCTCACTCGGTATCTTGCCCGCGTCAGTGTTGCTCTAGTGCGAAGGACTGCTAACCATTCCATTATACATAGCACAATATTTCTGATCAGACTTGCGCTTGCGAAGAGAGACTAGTCTTTCTATTCACGTTTCCTGTGTTATGCGACGTTATAGATTTCGCACTGATGCAACCCCCAGAGAAACTCAATGCAATAATAATGCTCTGCCTATGAGGCTTCATGTTTAACGACAAGTCCAAGAGTCTACAGTAACTCGAAATGACGCGGATCAGCCGTTCGAGCGACGAAATCATGGACTCAGCATATTCTGCCTCATCATTCTCACTTATTGGTAATGTCTTCCTATCCAAGTATGAAGATTACCATCCATTGTCACCTCCATCGCTCAACCTTATCTCTTCGACAGAAGACACGAGACAGCTATCTTCGAGTCACCTTGACCTCAATGTCAGTCTGCTTGTTGAACCAGCGATTGCGCGTCGTCCACCTGCGATCATGTGTCATTTCAAGATCAAAATGGCGAAGAATCTCCGGAACAAGCGTATGGAGCTCAACCAACGACATCTAGAAGACTCAGTTTCAAGAACAAAATGTTGTGAGAGGAGAAAAAGTCTTACGTTCTTCCCAATGCAGGTCCTCGTTCCTGCTCCAAAGATGAGCATGCTCCGATCCATTGCCCTCCACTCTTCTGTACTCACAATCCATCTCTCAGGTCGATACACATCTGAGTCCTGACCGAATGCAGTCTTGTCATAGTGAACGACCGCGGCGTTCATTCCAATACGGTACCCTGCTGGGATATATTTACCCGAAAGCTCAATCCCGCCTTGTGGTGCGTGTCGCTGCATGCTTAGGCCGACGCTTGGATGCATACGTAAGGCTTCTTTGATACATGCGCAGATGAAGGGGAGCTGGATTGTTGTCTCGGAGTACTTGATGGGTGAGCTTAGCAAGCCTTCTTTATCAGCAGCATCGATCTCGGCATGTGCTTTGGCAAGAGCTTCGGGATTGCGCATAAGATGGTAGAAAACTGAGCGGAAGGCGACTGCAGTAGTGTCCGATCCAGCAAGCCTGTATCTTGGTTAAGCTTTTGCATTTTGAACGAGCACCTCGAGCTTACATGGCCACATGGGCCTCAAGTGTGGCTTCTCTGTCGCTGAAGTTAACCTTTTCCCCCTTCTCACGAACAATCTCAAATAGCTGCTGCAACATGTCGTGGCGGGCTGGATCGCCGTCTTCAATGCTCTTCTTGCGCGTGCTAGCAGCTGTGACAGCCGCATCGCGGATGGCATCTATAGCTTTTATTGCCTTCAACCCCGCTGGTAGGAAGATAGCAAAGGTCATGATGATGGGTCGCACATACGACGGTGAGATTGCGGCGATACACGACACCGGCATCAAAGCGTCCAGAGATGCTATGAAAGCGCCATGGTCCTCACTCTTCTCCAGAAAACCGATCATTTTCCCAAAGAATACTTCACCAATCACATCGAAAGCATACCTGTGCCATATCAGTCAGCACTGCTGATCTCAAAAATTGTTAAGCTTACATTTGTAGCCATGTACCGAGATTGATAGCCTCATTGCGGTCGGCATACTCACCCAAGCGCTTGATGAACAGTGTGGAGACTTCGTTGATGTAATTCTCACTTCTCAAGACATTGCTCAGAGTGTAGACCGGGTTGACGATTCTGCGATAGTTGCTGTGCACCCTCTCGTCAGTCTCAGCAAAGGTATCCTTTTGTTCGCTGATCGTGCCTCCACCCCAGGCCGAGTAGAAGTCCGTCTTGGTCAGTGGTGCTTGGTTTTTGTATATTTTTGGTATCGCCGCCAGCTCTGCAGTCGAAACTTCATTTGGAGCAATGCGAATTGTTTGGCCATATCGATCGTGCATACGCCGCTGAACATGATGCATGTCACCAACGTAGATGCGGTACATGTACCATGTCCGGGAGATGGATGCCAAGAAGGGTCCTGGAACGGAGGCAAGTGGATGCAGTGTACGTGCGTATACTATCCACAGAGTCCAATAAAAAGTGATGGCCGAGGGAAGTACGAGCAGAAGCCATGTTGCCAGCGGAAGTGCTGGGATAACTTCAGAGAGCCAAGTCATATCGGTAGAGGATATGTGGTAGAGGAGAGGATGATTGAGAAGAATTCGAGTTTATTCTGATTGTCCTTTTCGTGAAAAGTACCCGGCGATGACCGCACAAGCCTAGCTGAAGCTTAGGTGGTATTTTAAGTAGATCCCCACTGCGGAGTAGCCGAAAAAAGAATGAAGAGACGTTAGGACAAGACTCTACACTTGAGAAGATCTGATTGGTCACGATGGAACCGTCCTTCGGCTATTACTCCTAGTTCTTCGATTCAGTGCAGGATCAAAGAAGCATCTCTTCCCCAAACTCTCCAAAAATTCTCCAAACTCTCCCCGATCAACTCGCGAGACAGGGCAGTGAACCCGACAATTGGGTACGCATATTCGCCGTCCCGTCTTGCTTCCCAAACCGGAGAAGCTTGTCACCACGAGGGGTAGACGGCAGTTGGAACATCCTTCCCGTAGAGAACATCTTCAGCTCACATTCTCTTGCATGCTATGTGCCAGTCTTCTTGTAATCGGAACTAGTTGATTGACACGACTGTTCAGGACAATCTCGCAAGTGACACTGCCCTGAAATAAGACTTTATCAACTAACGCACTGTGCACACCCATGATGATTGCGGGAGGGGCGTTGGGTACGTCGGGTATGGCTTGTGGATATCAAAATTGTTGAGGGGAACCCCTGTCGTAATATGCATCCAGACCGAGCTGCTTCATAGGCTCGGTTAGCTTGGTGCGGAGTACGCCCCGAGCATTGCTGTTTGTAGATGCAGATATTTGTGATGATAGTTTCGTGAAATATTAAGCCATAGTCCATGCAAGATGGGTGTGGTGTCGCTGTGTTGACGGGTCTGACGTTCTTGGTTTCCGCGTAATGTTGGCGGCAGGGGCCCAGTTGCGGAAGCTTTTATAGCAGATGTGCCGCACTTCAAGTGAATCTCATTCAGGCAGACCAGTTCTCATGAAGAAGCACATAGGCCCGGCAATCGGGCTTCCTCATTTGGAGGGACTTGTGGCGGAGCAGCGCCTTCGACATCGAAAGGGGTCTTCAACATCGTAGTGCGATATTTTCGCTTCGGATTACAGCATTTTACAGCTCTCTCCTAATTATCATCGATAGAGATGCAAGATCATGTGTACTTGGGTATGTGATGTTTGCGGCTGCATCACTGTGGTACCCGTGCATAAAATGCTGGCGTTTTTTCTTGTACAAAGATCAACGCCAAGGGGTGCATGCTCAAAATAATGTAGAGGAAACACCTGCAGCCGTTTGTTCAATAAAAAAGCCGCTAACACTTGACGTTGCTTCATAGGTATCCACTGGGCGGCCCCGGGGATCTGCTTCCGTGCCGCTTTGCTAGACACGCGATGCCTGTTCAGGAAATGACATTGTGTGGTGGTTTCACTTCGCATGTATTGAGGTATTGCTTCGACGTCTCTGGCCACTCGTGTTGGTGGAGGCAACAGGGAAAGGATTTGGACTCGCTGATCACTTACAGTCAAAGCTAGATCGCAATCAAAGCTAGATCGTGATTCAAGGTAGGTTGCGAACCAAACTTGATGGCGGCAGACGATTATTTACCCATGTAACTTGCTCGGCCTCGCTGCTGCTGCTATGTTGAGGCTACAATGGTATTTCACAATCATCACTTCGAAGCACCTCTTGATCTAAAGCAGCTCGCCACGCCAGGGAGAAATCTAGAGATCTGATTTAAAATTGCCAGACTCCTTTCATGAAGTTCTTCAAGCCGGTTCGCCTAGCACATGCGATAGTCGGTATCTTTCTTGATCTGACTTTTGCACAAGAACTGCCACCATGCGTGGTAAATGTCATCCAGTTCATTTAACGTGTTCGAATACTAAACTACTATCAAAGACTGAATGCCTTGTGATGAGTCTGAAAGCCCAGGAGGCTTGCAGTGCCGAAAATGTTGGTTGTATATGCACAACACCACCTCTTCTCTCCGCAATACAAGGCTGCGTGCTATCATCATGTACCTTGATTGAAGCATTGAGTACGTCTCTCAGCCCGATTCCCTAATGCTCGAGCTGATTGTTACAGGTGCCCAGAACAGTACACAAACAATGTGTGGTGCCCCAGTCCGCGACATCACAGACATCACGCCCATCATGACTGGTGTGTTCGGTGGCCTCGCCATTCTCGGCGTTGCAATCCGCTGTGTGGCTACCAAGGGAGCTTTCGCGCTCGATGACATTTTCGCTGTCGCAGCGCTGATAGTGGCTCTACCCATGGGAATCCTGGAGTTCGTCATGTCGTCCGATGGATTTGGCAAAGATCTCTGGACAATACCTCCTGCGAACATATATCGAATAGCGCAAGTGAGTAATACTAATCACTGCGCTGGCAGTTGTTGACACCGCTCAGTTCACGTGGCTTACCGAGATCTTCTACGTCATGGCCGTCGCCCTGACTAAAATGTCATTCTTGTGTTTTTGCCTTCGCGTCTTTCCTCGGCGAGAATTGCGCAGCACTTTGTACACGCTACTAGCTGTGTCGACAGCGTATGGCCTCGCATTCACACTCACTTGTATTTTCAACTGTACGCCTATATCGTACATCTGGCAGAACTGGGATGGCGAACACAGCGGCAAATGCATCAACTTCCATATCTTCGGCTGGGCACACGCAGGCATCAACATCGCGCTTGACGTGGTGATAATCGGCGTGCCGATACCAGAGTTATTGCGCCTCTCAATGAGTGTGAGGAAGAAGGTGCAAGTCGTTTTGATGTTCAGCATCGGGGCTTTGTAAGTTTCGGTTCTGCTCTATCTGCGAAACACGAAACTGACAGACTACCTCAAGTGCGACTATTATCTCCATCATCCGTCTTCAGTCACTCGTACAGTTCGCCTCCTCGACGAATCCAACATACGACAATGTGCCGGCAGCATACTGGTCCGTACTCGAAGCCTTTGTTGGAATCTTCTGCATCTGCATGCCGGCTATGCGCCGTTTCCTCAGATGTGTGGCGCCGGATTATTTTGGCTCGACCAAAGAAGATTCAAGATACAAGCAGCATGAAAATACCAATATTGTATGGGCTACCATACCGAGTCGCTCTAGACTACGGCCGAATTTGACGGGTTCGGGAATCACTAAGACTGTCGACACGCAGGTGGAGAGTCAGAGTAATGACGATGATGAAATTGAATTTGTGATGGTACATGGTAAAGGCAGGGCGTAGAGCTTTCTACTCATGAATTATCAGTGCTCGCAAGGTATAAATTCAACCTTGGCACGGACATCCGGAGATTTGGAACGTTCGACATGCGCCGTTTAGATCTTCTTTCAACACAGCATCGATATGCGATATCACCCATGGGACGTTATGTATTGAACACAGATACCACTTACGATTCTTCTGGCAATTGTGTTGTGAAAGACTCAAACAGATAACTCCGTGAGCTCTGATATTAGGTTCTATTATAGTAACCAGTTATGGATGAGGAACCGTTTCAACTTCACCAAATCAATCATGAATAGATAGAAGAGAGGACAGCTCGGCCACTCTTCTTGCTGCTGCGGAGAAAGAGATGGAATAAAGCAGAAGTCGTGACGGTATATAGAAGGAAAGTTACCGTACTGGAACTTGCTTTGGGAGACCATATTAAATCAATCGGATAAAATGACACGGTCTTGTATAAAGAGCTCCTGCGCATACAAAAGAAAATGTAATGATTTTGGAAGCATCATAACTAGAGATGTAATGAGAGACTAGGGTCAGATATATCTCTGACTCCTCCTGCACGAGAGTCATGAATACGACGCTGCTTGATCATGAGCAGCCACAGCCGCACGATCCACAGCTGCCTTCCGAGCACACACCAATTTCCCAAGCACATTGTGAAGCAATTGAACACTTCAACCACGGTCCATTCCCCGTTCCAACCGTAAGCCAGCACCAGCTTCCGCGCGATCCACAAACCCTCCAGCAAGATCCATCTGTGCATCCATATTGATCGCTACCATACGAGCACGCTAGTGCGTCCCTGCCAAAAATGTTGGCGGCTGCATCTTGTGTGCTAGAAGTATGGCCGCGCTTACCACGTCGGCTTTCCGCTGTAAGCTTTGCTTCCTTCTCGGCAAGAGCTGCAAAGTCAGGCACAAAAGTGGGGTCGCGCCATCGAGGGTGCTCTTTGCAATGTCGAATTTCGCTCTCCGGTTGGCCTTCGGGGACGTCTAGAACGCCAAGGTCGCCGCATTCTTCGATGAGCGCTGCGCGGTAGACGGGGTCATTACGATCACTGTGTTCAATGTTAGTATCAGTAGTAATCAGTATCAGTATGGGATGGAACACTCCCAGTTCCTCGCTAGCAGCAGAAGCAGCAGACACCGAGTCTAGGACTCGTAGGAAAAGGAAGAGCTTCGCGATCAAACCGGTGTGGAGCTTCATATCGGAGGCTAATATGTATGTCAGCATTCAATAAGATAAAAGACCACAACTACTTTCATTGAAATAGCTGAAGGCCTGAAGCGTAGACGTCGCTGAGTACTACACCACACGAAACCTCGAGGCGGTTTTGGAGAGATGAGGAAAGATTGTAGAGAGGTGTTGTACACAAGCATGGAGATTGGTTTTCATCATTCAAAGTGAGAGATACCACTGATTTTATATTTCAAGAATACAACAGATGGATGGCCGGATAGTTAAGCAGAGGCCGCGGTGCTGCGGCGTAGTAAACTGTTGAGATGCCCCGAATTACCTGTGGCCAATCTACACAGGATCTACATAGCGTCAAACTGATGTGCAAGATACGGCATGAGCATGCATATGCTGAGACCATATCTGGGTGCGTTGAGATTGGTGGTATTACATGGAAGGTTGGTCCGCAGCATTAGCAAGGATCCAAAACGCAGAGGAAATGCATGAGTAACAAGCTAGAGATCGGAGGGTGTGCTGTATCCACCACACTGGAAGCAGAGGTTACTCGTAACTACATCCCCGCCAATTTGTTTTAGCTACGGGTTCCTTTGGAAAGAGGTGCGGGGCTGATAGAGTTTCTTACATGCATTCAAACTGGCATTCACCAACCTGAAGATAACATAGCCCCCAAGGAACCACAGGGTAAGTAGTATTAGAGCTACTCCGATAGGAGCAACGCGACTTGCGTGCGTCTCAAGTGACTCGAGAGACATGGCGAAAAAATCTTGTCATTTGGGTAACTTTGTTGTGGCAGAGGGCGCTGAAAGAATTGGAGGACTCTCGCTGCGCCTCACAGCGACATAATCATCCAAGCGCAATGTCGGACCTTACATAGATCGTCACTACAGACTCCGTTTATGAATTTAGGCAGAACCACCTTGCATCTGCGACGTAGAATATGCTGCTGTGGCCAAGTTGGAGTGCAGCAGCGTTTGCATTTTGACTAAAAGGGACATCGCAGTACCTTCGCATTGATACTCGCAGGATGGCAATTTCGAGGACTCGGCGATCTTGTTCTTGCTACACAACGTCTGCGCGATAAACCCGTGAGAAGAGTTTACTGATATTGAAAGCTCAGAAGTCAAAGTATCAAAGAAGTATACCTTATCTAGCGGCATCGATGCCTGGGCAAGCTTTTGTGGCTTGAGATCCCAGCTGCACTGCGCGCTAGCGCAAACATAGCTTACATCTCACGGATATCGTCCAACTTCTCATCCCGCATACCATCAGTTCATCCCCTCGTCAATATGGCTAGCCTCAACGCCCTAAAGCAAGCCCTGAAACACGCGTCGGCACACATAGACTATTCATCAAGAAGAACACTGTCAGACGACCAGTACGCCGGCGGATTCAGCAACTTCAACGAGGCGCCCAATGATCGAATGTATCGTGCCTTCATCACACCGACACTCACATCCGTACTTGGTCCCTTATTTGACTCCCGCCTCGCCATATCCGTGCTAGAAATTGGTCCCGGGCCAAAGACCATCCTCGCCTCGCTGCCCGAGGGCATGAAACGCAAGATCAAGCGGTACAAGGCGTTTGAGCCGAACGAGGTTTTTGCGAAGCGTCTTGATGACCAGCTGGGGTGCGTAGTTCGGAGAGAGGCGTATGAGCTGCACGATGAAACGCAGACCGAGAAGTTCGACGTCGTGCTGTTCTGTCATAGCATGTACGGCATGCATCCAAAACGAGCTTTTATCGAGCAGGCATTAGAATCACTTGGCGATGTTGGAGACGAGATGGTGGTGGTATTTCATCGCGATGGGAAGTTGGACTTTGGCGGGTTGGTGTGTTATCGGACTGCAACTTGGCTCGATTTGACGCTCCAGGTACCCGTGGAGGACGAGCGTCTTGACGAATTCGTATCTTTCATCGTGGGATTTGACGTCGAAGCCTCGGATGTTCGGAAGAAGTGCCGCGACATATGCCACGCCTTGGGCACTCGAACGGGGAATCATCTTGTCTTCTATGCACGGGAGATCATGGTGGCTTTCAACAAACACGCAACTGCCTTGCCAAGATTACTCGCACAAGTTCCAGCGGCGATGTCAGCCACGGCAATCAAGAACAGGGAGGCGAGGATCCTAAAATATGCTGCCATAGTTACTCCAAATTCGATTCCGCAGGTTCAAGAGTGTGTGCAATGGGCACGCAAGTATAAGCTGAACCTGACGGTCATCGGTGGCAGTCACAGCCGGTCAATGTGTACAGCCCAATGTTGTCGGCGTGGACATGAGCGCTTTCAACGACCTCCATGTTCTCCAAGACGGCTCATGGATAAAAGGAGACGACGTCAAAGACGGGCCTCTAGTCATCATGGGTGCTGGATGCACTACCGGACAAGTTGTCAGCGAAACCCTGAAGTCCGGTATGACCATCCCGCTGGGCTCACGACCGAGTGTCGGTGCTGGCTTATGGCTGCAAGGCAGGTATAGGTCACCTATCGCGGCGCCACGGACTGTCCTGTCGATCTCAGTTCTCGGCGTCGTGATGGTCAGCCCAACTGGCGAGATTCTCCACATTGGCCATGTCCCGCCCCTATACTTACCACGCGACACAATACGTCCTGATAACGAAGCCGAGCTTCTATGGGCTGTCAAAGGCGCAGGGACAAACTTCGGTATCGTGATCAGTGTGGTATTCAGGGCTTACAATGCTCCGAAGTTTCTGGTACGCGAGTGGGTTGTGTCGCTCGGTAATCGCGAGGAAGCAGTGGATAAACTTGCCAAGTTCAACGAGATCGCCGATAAGCTGGAGAGGAGTCAGTCTGCGGACCCATGTCTGCACTGGGACGATGGAGGGTTGCGTCTTGGCGTGACGATGTACGAATGTTCCAACAGTGATCCAGATCGGGCTCCGACTCCTTTCGACACACTTTTTGGTAAGCCTCAAGATGTCCAAACTGTGGATTGCAAGGGACTTTTTGACACCGACATGTACATGTCTCGCATGCATGGTGGACATGCCGGTGGCAAGACGTCTTCTTTCAAGCGCTGCGTGTTCCTGAAGGATATTGGCAACCACCAGATAGCGGATCTTTTAGTCAAGGCCATCGAAAATCGGCCCACGCCAACATGTTACCTCCACCTCCTACAAGGGGGTGGGGCTATCCGAGGCGTTGCGGATACATCTACTGCATTTGGTTGCCGGGACTGGGACTTTGCGTGTGTTATCACAGGCATCTGGCCGCGTGATGAGGATGGTAACGAAATCTCGCGATCTACGATCCAATGGGTATACAATTTCACCACTGCGCTATTGCCATTGAGCCAAGGCATATATGGCGCGGACCTTGGACCTGATCCTCGAGACAAATTGCTGGTAAGCGAAGCCTTTGGTCCAAACCGGCAGAGACTCGCTCGTCTCAAAAAGGTCATGGATCCACAGAATGTATTGGCGTATGCTTGTCCGCTGCCGAAGAACCGGCCAGGGCCAAAACTTATCTTTCTTGTTACGGGTAACCACGGTGCTGGAAAGGACTACTGCGCTGAACAATGGGCTTCGGAGGTCAAGGACCACGCCCGGGAACGTCTGGAGGTTCATATCAGCAGTATCAGCGATGCTACCAAGCGCGCATACGCAGCCAGCACTGGAGCTGACCTTGCTCGTCTGCTCAATGATCGTGCTTACAAAGAGCAGCACCGTGCAGCAATGACAGCATTCTTCAAAGCGCAAGTTCAACAAAGACCCAATTTGCCAGAGGAGCATTTCCTGGATGTTGTGTACGGCGCTGCAGAGGCCGATGTTCTTTTCATCACTGGCATGCGAGATCCCGCACCGGTCGCAATGTTTTCGCACCTTGTTCCCGGGAGTCGCGTAATCGAGGTACGTGTCCGAGCCAGCGAAGAGATAATATACAACCGCCGATGTTGCGATGGTCCTGGGGTCGCGGAGAGAGAGACGGCCAGCGCACTGCTGGATTGGTGTCCCGACTTCGATTTCGACAACAATGTAAAAGGGCCTAGAGCTGCGAGGAGTTTCGCTGAGAAGCATTTGTCACTCTTCCTGCACGGCGATGCCCAGCGACTGGCTGATATGGTGCGAGCAATCCCAGATTTCCCTGTCGCCGACACTCAGTTCCGTCACGTGCTCGGTATAGCACAGGAACCCGACGACCTGGCTCTGTGCTTATCGCTATTGAAGTCTCTCTACCCTGGCGACATGTCTCAAGTTGATGCGATGGTGTGCTGCGAAGCAGGTGGCTTCCTGTTTGCTTCTCCACTGGCCTCAAGTCTCAGCGTGCCTTTGGTCATTGTTCGCAATGGCGGCAAATTACCACCACCAACGCTATCAGTCACAAAGCTAAACTCGCACATATCTTCGTATGGCAATGTCAAAGAAGAGACGATTGAAATAGAGCGCGATGCCATCTCGAAGGGTGCCTCGGTGCTAGTGGTCGACGATGTGCTTGCCTCTGGTCAGACCTTGTGCGCAGTATTGCAGCTGTTGGACCAGACTGGAATTCAACCCGAGAAGATCCAGGCCTTGGTCGTCGCCGAATTTCCCATTCATGGTGGTCGGGCGTTGTTGCGATCTCGTGGTTTCGGCACGGTCAGCGTGCGAAGTCTTCTTATTTTTGGAGATAGATAGCGTTCATATTCGATCAGAGAACTCCGAATTTCTCTTGTTGCAGCAGATAAGTTCGAATGAAAACGCGTCTTTCGTAATTATGGTTACGTGCAAAAATGTGTTAGCAAACACGACCTCGGGACACTAACGAGGTCACGAAGCTTGACGGGCTTTCGAAAAGCACAGCACGGCCACGAAACGGACCTTGAAAGAGGGGACAATTGACCGAGGAACCACGCTAGCTGATGGAGGAAAAGAACGCGACGTGACGCGACGCGACGCGATCTCACGTGCGCGCCCGGCAACGACGCTGAAGATCGGCATCGTCACCCCACCATGCCAAAAATCATCCAGGGTCCACGAAGACCCACGTATCGCGATCACAGTCTATCCAGACGTCAGAGAACAGCACTGGACGCGCCAGATGGCTGAACAAGCTGCTATGAGAAATCTGGATCAATTGCCACCAGAGATGATCGAGTTCACGCTTCTGAAGACGACGGGCGCGCTGGCACCGCGTCTCGGCCGCATCTCGCTGGTGGGAAGGAAGACAATACAAACCCCCGCTTTCATCGGCAATACATCACGAGGTGTCATATCACACATATCGCCAGATAACTTTCGGAAGAGCGTACATGTCAATGGCGTATACGTGCCGCTTGAGGATTGTGTGTGCCTTTGACATACGCCACGCTTGCCCCACTGACGAAGCATAGTCGTGGAGAAGCACCCCAAGCAAATACCGCCCATCTTCAAGTATGAAGTCCCCGAGCCTCTCCGCAAGTTCATCGCGCTGCCAGAAGACACGCTCCTCATCCTTGGCGCGCGTCGCAACCCGCCAATACCAGTGCCCGTCCCAAACACGAATACGGAGATAGCCCTGTCAACATCGGTCGGATTCAAGGCTATGAGCTCCGAGTACTATGCAGCCGCCGTACGGAAGCTACAGCCGGATATTGTGGTCGGATTGGCGGACATACCATTCGGACAAGAATCGATTGGCACTAAGCGCAAGGACAAGATGAGCGATCGGACAGAGTTGTGGCTTCAAGACATCATTGCCAGGAAAGAGAGCTTGGACAAGGGCGAGAAGAGCTGGAGCATATTCGCGCCAATACTGCCCATCGAGCGTGATCTGCAATCATGGTACCTGGAACATCTCCTCGACGATATGGTCGACAAGATCAGCGGTGTTGCCATATACGACACATATCTCCTGGATGACCTACCAGACCAACTGCACCTCCTTCCACGCCTATCTTTCCATGCGCCCGCTAGCCCGCACGAGCTCCTACTGCCAGATCGGCCTCGGAATGGATCTCTTCACCGTCCCGTTCCTCGCAGACGCAACCGACGCTGGTATCGTGCTCGACTTTGCATTCCCTCCTCCTGCCAAAGACGAGACATCAAGCACGCGATGCACCCTTGGAATAGACATGTGGCACGAAGACCATGCCACATCTGTTACGCCTCTCTCCACTGACTGCACCTGCTACGCCTGCATAAAGCACCACCGCGCGTACCTCCAACACCTCCTCGCGGCCAAAGAAATGCTCGGCTGGGTGCTCATCCAAATCCACAACCACGCCATCCTGTCCGCTTTCTTCGCGGGCGTGCGCACCTCCATCGAAGCGGGTACCTTCGACACCGACGTCGCCGCCTTTGAAGCATACTACGAGCCCTCGTTGCCCGAGAAAACTGGCCAGGGCCCAAGAGTTAGGGGATACCAGTTCCGAAGTGAGGAACATGCAAAAAAGGGGAGGAAGAATCCGAGAGTGTATAAGAAGTTTGATGAGGGCAAGATTGCGGAGTTGAAGGCGGCGCATGGGCAGCAGCCGAATCGAAAGCCGGAGATGCGCGATGTCATTGATGACGAGGCGTTGTTAGGACTTATGGGCATGGATGAGGAGCCGAGCAGACAGATGGAGGAGCTGGTGATCGAGGATGATAAGGGTGTTTGATTGCGATGAGAGCAAACCTAATCGTGGTATGTAATCGTCATAGGACTAATCAGATGCAATGTTCGTCATTGGGGCAAGCTGTGAGATATCATGAGTGACTGTATACATTCGAAACCGCTCTTTCGTGGTGAGGGAGGTGACTAAGCACGCAGTGCAGACACACAAGACGAGAGTGTTGACTGATATCGTGGGAGGCTGATTGCGTGATCGCGTCGATGTCAGGTCAGTTCGCAATTTTGTTCTGCGTCTTTGCAAATTGTCGACCTTACTCCACTGCCTCAGAGCGTTAATGGAGACATGAGCGCTGTAGCCCGCTTTCTGTTGCCATGTTACCAGAGATACGAATTCATTTAGTCGGCGCGTCAACAGCCTGTCATCACAACATCCCTCCACCAAAACTCTCGAAATTACGAAATTTTCTTCTTCAACGCACCAGCGAAAGCCGGTGATATCAATGGAAAAGGAACAACGACCCGAAAGCCGTGGCGCTCGCCCCAGCCCACACGATGCACGATGACTCACTCCTAACGTATGCAGAGCCTCTCTCCGTGTGGTTGTGTGGAAGTGCTGTGGATTAGTTGGATGGGTGTCGACGGTTGAAGCTCAGGTTAAGGTAGATTTGGTATGCAGCAAATATCTTTGGTAGAAGTTGTTATTTTGTGCAAAGCAAACTCACACATGCCGGGTCCTTGACAATACACTATAGCTCACCACGCATAGCTTGAAATTTCACTGTAGCCAAGGCTTGGCATAATATGTAGATTGCGGGTTCCAATCAGCTTATTGCCCACTCGCTGTGAATGCGGATGTTATGGGAGGGTCAAGTCACCACTAGCCGCGCCAGCGACACAGCCGCAGCAACTCACGACACTCCAATACCTATCGCTATCGCACATCAAACGCGGTCACTCCAGCTTGCGACCGAATTAGCCATGTCCATAGAGCATTGCGATACGAGGCGCGAGCCCACTGAGCGTCTCACCATCGCAGTCCAAGACGCGCTCCCTCTCGTCGCCGACAAGCCCACCCTCTTCAGTCTGCCGGGCGAGCTCAGAAACGCAATCTACCACCTTGCGCTTGATAAGGACTACCAACGGGTACCCCTCAATCCCGTATACCTCAACAAGCCCGATCCCTACATTGCACTCCTCCAGACATGCTCCGCCGTCTACCACGAGGCGCGCAGCTACATGGTCGAGAAGCAAACGGCCTACATACCTGTCATGCCTGGTCTTGACTGGAGTTATGGAGAGCCAGCAGCGGACTATGGCTTGTCGCGTGCGACAAAGGATACGACGATATGTGCACTGACGGATTTCGTGAGTGTGCATTTTCACTTGCACCTCGACTTGTCGCCGGAGGAGGATTACAGCCCGGAAGGGCTACTTGATGTACTTGCGCAAGCTATTGAGATCTTCGCGTCACACTCATGGCCCCTCTATCTCAAGCACAATCTTTGCAAGCGACGCGCAGTCGTCCATCTCGACCACCTGCTCTCGCTCTGGCCAAAGCTCTTCTCCAACCAAAACTGTATCGATATCGGAGCTCTACAACGCCTCATCGAACTCATGGCGCGGGATAAGATGACAGACTGGAAGATGCGATACTATGTGGCGACCGGGCAGGCCAACACCCAAATTGCGTATGGTTACTGTCACAGATACAACATCCAAGACACAGAGCTGGCGCAGATTTGCGATTACGCTCGCCCGTACAGTAGCATCAAAGTTTTCGCGGAGATGTACGGCGAAAATACAGCATGGGATTATGGCGATGCGACGGGATGCGTGACGCGTATGCGCACGCCTGTTACCGAGTTCTGGCCAAATCTACATTTTGATGCGCACAGGTATCCCTCTGTGCTATTGGGGTCCTTTCGCTTCGAATACCGAAGTAAGTTTGAGACGAGCTTGCATGGAATAGATCCTCCAGCTAACCTGTCTAAAGGAAACATGCTGATTGATCACTTCGACGAGGAGGTCTTACAAGCGAGACACGCTCGTGGTGGAGGATGCAAACTGTGGTTACTGGAGCTCGAGAAGAAAATACACATACGTGATGCGGAAGAACATGGGATCAATGACGAGGAGAGGTTTATACTTACTAATGCGGCGCTTGGTGATTTCACGGGAGGATGGGAATTTCTGCTCGATTACGAGCGTGCAAACAGGGAGGTGCACGAGACTGTGGCTAGGGCAAGAGATTTACACGATGCTGCTGGATTTGGAACTTGCGAGGAGTGACCTGCACAGGTATGCGGTCAGGGAGAGGTTGCTGCTCGATTCCAATTAGGGGAGCGTGATGAATGACGCGGACATATTGGCAAAAGTAGCACGAGTAGCAATGTGGCTAATGAGAAAGAATCACGGAACGAACGCAAATCGGTGACTGCGTGTTGGACATATACGTAAGGAATACGTAAGGCACTTGTCTAGAGTAAAATAAAACCAAATCAATACCCCAAACCCTTCGCCCTCTCTTCCCCAAGTATATCCACCAAACTCGCCAACTTGAAACTCGCTTCCTTCGCCGTCCCACCCTCAGCGAGCTCATTAGCATCATCGTGCGTGACAAAAAGCCCATACGGGAAATCCTTGTTCAGCCTGTTGCCCACGGCCGCACATCCATCCGTATTGCTCACATGGTCGACACCCTTCTTTTCATTGTTCACAATCGTAAACGTCGTAACGTATTTGTGTGGCGGCGCGCGCTCGTACACCTTGTACGCGCTGATGCCTTGGCTAGACACAAGGATATAGCCGCCAGGTCCAGACTTCGCGGGCACGAGCGTAATGCCTTCGACGTCGGCTGAGAGACCACTGGCATCGCCGACCTTGGCGACCTGGACACCCGTGTTTGAGCCAGTGGGCTCGGCTTCATAGCGCCAAATCCCAAGCGGCTCTTCGCCGAGGAAGATGTAGCCGGCTCCATCGTCGCCGACGCAGCCTTCGACTTGACCGCCCGAGCCCCCAGTGAATTGGCGCACGAGCTTCGTTTGGAGGGTACCGTTGACAGTAGAGCTGAGTTCGTACTGTAGGTATTCTGCTTTTTTGTTGTTGACGAAGAGGTAGTCTTTGCCTGACTTGCGCGAGTGGTAGGTGCAGGAGCCGTAGGGCTCGTAGTCTTCCGGAAGGCTTTGCTTGCCGCCGGCGATGGGCTGGATGAGGCCGCTGCTGTTGACCTCGACGAGGCTACATGGGGCAATTAGCATGGGTGGTTGAGTTTGGTGTGAGTGGCAGCTTACCAAAGAGTGTTGTCGCCTCGACAGGCAGCGAACGCGAGATCAGTCTTTCTGCTGCCCACAGTCACGTTGTAGATAATGTCGACGTTGTTCGGCTCTTCCGCTGTAAAGTGCTGCAAGAGCTTGCCTTGCAAGTCGAACACACCAAAGCCCTCTCCATCGCTGGATTTGGTGGTGGTAATGATCTTGCTCTGGTCGGCCTTCGTGGCATGGATCCAGACCGCAGGGTCATCGCCATCGCCACCGTTTGCTTCGGTCTCATACTTTGCCTTGACCGCAACAAACGAGCAATCTGGTCCAGTCCAGCCGTCTTTGCACTTGCACACATTCGGACCGTCACATTTGCCATGTCCGGAGCAGTCATTGAGGCAGGCATTCTTATTGCATTCCTTTCCAGAGAAGCCAGCAAAGCACGAGCAGCCACCGCCTGCAGAGAATCCATTGTTGGAGCACTTCTCGGAGATTGCACTCTCGCAACGAGTACAGGGCTTAGTCTTGGGGCTGTATGCTGTGTTGGTTGCAATACCAAGTGGTGCGAGGACACTGGCTAGCGATGCGGCAACGACTCCATTACCATCCTCACCTTCGAAGGCAAACGCGATGATACCGGCGGGGTACGATTCAGTCGAAGATTGCAACAAGGACAATCCACCTTCGATGGAAAGATCTGCAACGCCGTTGAACTCGACTGTGCCTTTTGGCGCAATCTTACTGTCATATACGTCCATGACCTCGCCGTGAAAGACAAACAGGTAGTCGCTCGAGTTGCTGTGATATGTCGCAAGCCCAGCAACTTCAATTTTGTCGCTCACAGTCTTTACTTCCGGTGCTCTGGTTGATTCGGTCGCTTGGAAGGAATACAAGGGGCGGTCTTCCGCAGAGAAAAAGACCTGGCCGTTCAAGAAGACAGTGCACGTCTCGCCCTCAATGGGTACAGGGAAGGTCTGTACCTGAAATGAAGTTAGCCCGAGTACTCAAGGAATTGATGGAAAATGTACTTCAACAATTTCGACATCCTTCTTCTTGTCTCGAATCAAGAACTGCACCACCTTACTCTTGCCGAATAGAAACAAGTAGCTTGCACCACTTTTCTGGCTACGCCAAACGCACGCTGTGCTCCAATCACCGAGTTGTATCTTGTCGTTGCTATCGACCTTTTTGCCAGTTTTTGTGTCGAACACGCGAATGAGAGAGTCCGGAGAAGGGATGTTGATGATTAAATCGCGACCGCCAATATCGTGGACAGGGACAACAACTTTCGAGCGACCGGTCTTTTGATGGGCGATTTGCTTGAAGATCGGAGGCGGCGCGACTGCAAATGTGCGGAAGCCGCCATCGTCTGCGCTTTTGTCATTCGCGACAAGAATTGGAGAGCCGCCGTAGACGAAACCGGTGTTCTCGTCCTTGAAGCCTGTCGCGACTGGAACAAGTGTCAAGTTCACAGACTGTGCGGACGCGACTGCAAAAACTGTTGACACCCACAACAGGCTATTCGCAAAAATCATCATTGCGACCTTGACAGAGCACCTGAGTATTGGGTGGAGAAGCGTAGCGTTAGCAGTTGGAGATTTCCATTGGACTTATAACGGGACGGTCCAAGCTTTCGCTATCAGGGAAAGCTTCCGCTTGTGCCTTTTGTCAGTCTATCATCCCGAGCACGTTGACAGAAGCTTCATAACAGCCGTGGCGACGGGCCTCTAGAAGGTTGGTGTTTTCGACCTGCCGATCTTAGCTAGGTCCCCGGTCGCCGACCAGCCAATCATACGTGCACCTGGGGAAACGTGAGACTTGTGTCCCGTCGCATGATGTGCACGAGCAAGGACATGGATAGAGGCACCAAGGACGGCTATAGGCAAGAAACAGAGGTGTTGTATGATTGGTTGTCAATTTGTTCCGGAAGAGGGTGGAGCGCAAGGCAGGCAAGACGAATCTGGGTGTCCGCAATGCCACCGAGAGATTCACCTATTTGCGCTTCTTACTGAGCGCTTTGTACTCTTCCGCAATATCTGTATAGCCCGCAGGTATGTATGGCATGAGTCTCTCCGCCTACCAACATCCCTTCCGTTGGTTCGATATGCCCATGTCCTTGAGCATACAACCACAACTTTGAAAATCACGCACCAAAATCGGGGCTATAGGCGATACTATCGTCTACCGACCTAGAAAGGTCTTCAAAACTGCAAAAGTTTCGGAGTTCGCAGAAAAGTAGAGGCTAGGAGGAGGGACGGTTTCCAAAACAACAGTGGAAGCCACAATTTCTGCCTTAGTTTCCATGAGCAGAAAACCGCTTGCTTCTACGGAATGGGAATGCCTCGCACTTGCGAATGGAACACACTTCACCTAAACGTTGAGAGAATGAGAGCTTCTCCGACGAGTATGTAGGAAAATGCGTTTTTATCTCTGAGGGTGGCTGTGGGTCATTTGCTAACCATGTTTCCGTTCGTCACGTTTGCCTTCTTTTCGCCATTCAAAGCAGTTTTCTTCGACACAACGCTCGCTCCAACTGCTGCTTGATCCGATGTCACTCTTTCCTTATGGATGAACTCCACAAAATCTAGACTGTTCGGGTTCACTTCTTCGCGGTCTCGATCTATGGAGCCATAGTCACCGTACTGCCTACACATTGCAGCCAGATGCCTTGTCAGAACCTAGGCGCAGTATCCTACACGTGCGCCCTCGAGGCATGATTTTCCCGGTTCGCTGATCAAGGTTGAGAAGAACTGGAAAGAGAAGGGACAGCTTGAATCATGGGCTCCAGTGCTATGTAGCCAGTCGAAGTACGTGCTTGGTAGCGTAGGAGGGAGGGACTCCGAGCCGCACCTTCTTTTCTTCAGTAAACGGCGATTGTCTTTGTTGTTTGCGATATGAGCCAGTAGAAACTTTGCGAGTAGGATGCTGGCGAGAATCTGCACAGACAGGGTGGATTGAGATATGGCGGGATGAGAGCGGAAGTACGAATGAATCTCAAGACAGCGATGAGTGCTTCCGGCTTGGTCTGTATTTCGTGAACTTGCGCCCCGTCAGTTTTAGGCAGATCGAGTCTGGGTCGTTTGCTCGAGCGTTCACTTGCCGCAGGATCTTCTGTCGTTGCCACACATGTTCCGCTATCGCCTTGCCCGCATTCATCCTGGACCTTGAACTCGGAAATTACACCAAATGACTCCAGTCGTACCAGCAAGCTTGGAACAATTATCTCAAATCCTACGTGCACGGTGCTCTTCACGTCCCAGGCTAGCAAAAGTGCTTGTGCGCACGATTTGGCATTCTCTACGCGCAAGTCATGCTGGCGGAGGCTAGTGTTATCGTTTTGAAGGAAAGTGCGGTGATCAACGAAAGCTAATAGAGCGGCAAGGCTGTTGAGAACTGAGTCGTAGTGGGTACGTTAGGACATCCAGGAACCGTCCTCTTGCTGTGTCTTCAAAATGTGTTCAAGGCATTCTGGAAGAAGACGATGTCGATTGGGACCTTTGGTATGCACCATAGAAAGTCATACTGAGTCGTAAAGAGACACAGAAAATGTGCCGAGCGAACATAGATCGGCATGGTCCTTCATCAACGCGTTGAGCACTTCTTTGGGCGTAGGGCAAAGTGCGCCATTGCCGGCCAAAACAAAGTCCATTTCTGGTAGAGAAAGTCAGGAATTGTTTGTTATGAGGTTTTCTGTCGTGACAAGGGGCTTCAAAATCTTATCTACTGTGTTGTAGTAACTGCGCACGTGATTAGATGATGAAGTAAGCAGCTAGTATATCAGATGGTTCCCTCCTGAGGGCTTTAAACCTCACCGACGATCGTCGAAAAGCTAGTTAGACGCTGAAATCTACCATCCTTCCACTGACTGCGGGTCGATTCCTGGTTCCTAGAGGTATGAGGAGGTGTCTATACAACACTACAAGATCTCAAGTGAAGGAATGACCCATGTCAGCTCAGTGGGCATGGATTGTGGGGACCGTACGTCTGAGGACCCCGAGGTGCGCCCTAAAGCTTTACCCGAAAACCACAAACACAACCTAGACTGTGCCACGTACGGTTGATGAATTCAATGCCTCGAATTGTCACTAGGATTGCGCTCTAGGCAGAGTGATGCTCCGCGGCACAGTTCGTGCGCTATTCTCATCCGATGTATTAACAGGGGTATATCGGTCTTCAACCTCTTCGACACTTCGAGGGAACCGTGATGAACTTCCCCTAGAATCATGGCCAGGTTCATCGCCACGCACAACATTTTATCCCTGCTACGAATATACTCGACATTATCGCTCCAATCTTTCAGTTCTGCACCGCGAACTGGTACACGCAACAGAATCAAGGACAAATTGATCGTGTCATTCCAAGTGTTGTGGATGTCCCACGTACATGAGAATTCAATGTATATGAACTGGGTGTTTGCGACTCTGTTCGGCCTCGAAGCGCTAGTATATATACCAATAAACAACAATGATTATACTGTGTGCTTCTCTTCCTCAATGTTGTTTTCCGGTGCCTTGATTGTAGTCCATCTACAGAATGCTACTAATATAAAGGAGAGAACAGTGGGCGATGGCAGGTATGTACTATAATCATGTTAGTTGAAGCAGGCGATTTGAAAGGATAGATGACTTACGAAAACATCGGTCGCGGAGTCACTATACGCTCGTAGAACTCCGGGGAGGTCAACGAGACTAACTACATCTCTGAACCTTGTTACGCCAACAGAGACAACTTTTTCGGCAATATCTGGTGAAACAATCTCGGCAAGGTTTGTAGCAAGACGTCCCTGGAATACAGCCTGACCGATAGCTAGGAATATGGCGCAGCTGGTTGATATGACCATGAGAAGATTCGTAGCACCTAAAGGAACAAGGTCTTTTGGCAGAGAAGCCTGCATACCTAGGTGAGCCTGTAGTGTAGTCAGCTTTGACTGCCGATAGAAAGGAGAAGGTCCAGTCGTACCATGTTGCTGGCGAGGGAATATCCTATACCACCAAATATTTGGTAGCCAATCCAGTGGCCATCGCTGATGCCGGGACGTAGCGTCGTGAGTAGGCCTGCACCAATACAGACCATTGCTTCGGCGAACAACAAAAAGGGGTTCCATACACCTAGTTTCATTGCCATGCCAGCGCCAATGAACGATGCTAGAACGTCTGCAATGACAGTCGGAAGATAATGGATACCAGATGCAGTTGGTGAAACTCCAAGTACGGATTGGAACCAGATGGGCAGCCAGTACACAATGGTTTGGAATGGCCCATTGACGAAGAAGCTGCTAGCGCAGATAAGCCAAACATTTCTGTTGTCGAACAGTCTTGGTGGAATCAATGCTGTGTCTTTGAGGTAGATTTGCCATGCCACAAAAATGCTCATGATCAGCGCGGATCCGATGATCAACCCGATGACAGTCGACGATTTCCAGGGATGAACGACTCCACCCCATTGCAGTGCAAGAAGCAGCATAGTGATCGAGCTAGCGAAAAGAGTAAATCCGAGCGCATCAAGCCCTTTGAGCTTTTCGAGCCTCGGCGCTGCTTCGGTAGGCGCCGGCTTCACATGGAAGACGAAGAAGATAAATGTAGCCGCGAGGCCACCAATAGGAAGATTAAGGTAGAAGCACCAGCGCCAGCTTGCGTGTTGGGTTAGAGCTCCTCCAAGAACTGGTCCAACAATACTTGCAATCGCAAAAGTTGAACTCATTGTCCCTGTGTAAATTGCGCGCTTGTGCAGAGGTATGATGGTCGTTAAGATCACGAATCCGCCTGCGAAAACACCCGACGCTCCGAACCCCGCAACGACTCTACCAGCAATCAGCCCGTTCGAGGTAGGTGCAAGACCGCAGATCAGACTCCCTATCTCGAAGAACGCAAGATATATCAGGTAGGTCATCTTCTTTGGATACAGCGTGAAGGTCTTCCCGGCAAGAGGCTGCGAAGCGCAGAGGGCGATGTAGAACGCAGCGCCGTACCATCCAACGTCATCGAGGGAGTTGAAACGGGACGTTATGACTGGAACTGCCGTGGCAATTACATTGAAGTCCTACATAAAGGTCAACATCTAATCCCGCTCATTTCTCTAGAACACTTACCAAGCCTACTAGAAAAGTACAAAGGCAAATGCCAATGTGAATCAACAAGAGTTTGATGCCAGTTACCTCGTTCTCTGGATCTATAGTAGCATCCTCTACTTTTGTCTGTTGACTAGTCTGCTGTTTGGTCTTCAGGTCAACGTCGTCTGAGTGTGTCCTGTCGTCGTCCATATTGGTGGGTAAATACTTTTACGGAAAAATGAATTCAAGAGAATAGGATAGCGAGGAAAGAAGGAGATTCTATGGGGCGCGGGTAGGCTTAGGGCGAAGGCAATGAGAATCGAGCATTATCTTCATACGCTTCAACTACCTATCGTATGCAAGCGAGCTCAACAAGGCTTATTGCGGCGCAGGGCCGGCCTGCGGAATTAGCACCATCATTGAGACATGTATACAATCACGCAGATGGACGCAAGGGATACCCTAGGCGGGATATTAGCCACCTCCAAGGCTGACCGGAAAGTCATGGCGGGTGTGGTGCTGATTGGTCACCAGACCGGGCTGCGACGGTTGTGGCACCGCATCCTGCATGCACGTGCAGGGTCGACATACCCAGGGTTTAACCAGGGCCCAGTTCCCTCGGACCCCGAACTCAGCTGGGCATGTGCATCATCGCGAGACATGCATTGATCAGCGTCTTATAAATATCAAGGCTGCGCAATCTCTACCGCATTGGCGCGTACATGCGCAGGCGCGAGCTGTTCTGTCACATGCATCGCCGCTACCCACTTCACACATTGAACAAGTGCTTACGGTGATCACTTATTGTTCCACCCTTCATCGTGCCGCCAAAACGCCTTACCCGACTTCTGACGAAATTCAATAAGAGTGCTGGCACATTGTGTGACGATTTGGATGCTCCCATACTGTTGGCATTGAAAACTTTCGCAACATCATCGATCATCACACTTGCCTCACTCATAATGGCAGAGCAATACATGAAAGGAAGGAGCTTCATTACCTCCATCAAGTACGGTATTAATTTTCACCATCAAATGCTAGATTGTAACAAATAGTAGGATGAATTACTTCCACTGCTTTCTGAAACAGCTCACGGGCTATAACATACACCCCAGCATCGAGCTTAGTAATCAAAAGTTACGAATTGCTGATATGGGAACGCAAACAGCGTACAGCTCTCTACCATGGGGAAAAAAAGCAACGGCTTACCTCAAAGATTAGCATATGGCCAATCGAAGTTGCCGAAGCATTCGGTCCACGTGCAGAAGTTGTCGCCTTCGATACCTCTGATCGTTTTACCCCTCCTTCTCCGTGGTTGCCTCCCAATCTCAGCATTCGCATACATGACATCACCTTACCATTCTCCGAGGACTTGTTGGGACAGTTTGATGTCATCAACTTTCGTTTGTTTCTTACCCTGCCACCCGAGAAGCTCAACGTCATGTTGGCTAACGCGATGGCACTGTTGAGTATGTATTTATCCAGTCTCTATGCAGTCACGGCTTATTGGATATGATTAGAACCCGGTGGATACATTCAGTGGACCGAGCACGACAAGACGGATCTTGAGCCTCTCAGTACCAACTCTAGTCGTTCTTTCGAGGCTGTCAACGCACTCATTGCGCTGGAAAAGAACCCGTTCCCCAATTACAACGCCTTGTCAGTATTTTCAACCCTAAATTACCTAGCCAATATTAATCTGTCTCTGCAGTTGGGTCAACGATATTGCCCGAGAATTTACCAAGACTGGACTTGATGTGATCACCGAAGATAGGGTCAAGACGAGGAAAAGTATGTTAATGCAGATGAACGAATTGCATCTTCTTTCCATGATGGATATTCAAGAGGGGCTGAGCAAAGCAGTCGATGAGTTCAAAGAGGAGCATCTGGATACCTTGACGGAAGACTTTGCACATGGAGTAACTTCTGTTGATGGATTCATTACTATCGTGGGCAAGAAACCACTCTAAATATGTAATCTAATTCCGAAGAAAGTATCTGTGTACTTGTCACATTAACCGAAAAATTTTCCCATATTACATTGCGTATGCACCTACGGATTTCAAAATGGGCTTGCAGTGTTCTGCTTGCGCTTGATCAACATCTTTTGCCAGGGCCAGCAAAACAGAAATTCATGAGCCATGATGCTCTTCGGCCTCTGCTTTCCATCCAGGAACTTGAAGTCATACTCTGTTAAAAGTTTCACAAAAACCATCTTGATGATCAGACTAGCAAAATAGCGTCCGGGGCATGCGGTCTTGCCGTAGCCAAAGTTCAGCGCTGTGGGTTCCGGCGTCGAGAAGAGATATTCCTCGCGTCTTGAGCTTTCGTTGAGTTGTTCTCGAAGTCGGTAGTTTCGAAGGCCGTCAAAAGTGGAAGGATCAGGTGCGTTCTCGGGGTCGTTCTCAATGGCGTATATGGGAAGGCACACGTACGTGCCTTCCTCGATGCGTAAGCCATTGGCAAAGGTATGAGTCTCCTTGAACAAACGCTTCATACCAAGAGTTGTTGGTGGAGACATCCGCTGTGACTCGCGCAGAACACTATCCAGTTTTCCAAGCTTATCGTACGAAGCTGGCGTCCAGGTTGGCTGATGAGCTTGCATGTCTGCGATCTCCGACTCGATTTCCCTTGCACACTGCGAATCTGCAGTAAGGTCGTACAATACGTTGACCATCCGGAGCAGGGTTGTATGAACGGAGGCCAGAGCAAGAAGAATTTCGACGTGAGCAAGAGTATCTGCGTCTCGGTCATGGCCTTTGGCTGTATCTGCAAGCCAGCTGAGGACATTCATGTCCTGCTCTGTAGTCTGTGGGCTCCACAGCCCGTCGTTGTTCTTCTGAATGAGTTCCTCAATGACAGGGCGAAGCAGAGCTTTTCCGGCATACAGGTAATTTTTACCACCCCAGAACGAAGGTAGAGCATAGCGAAGTGATGAGTGCATCCATGTCGGGAACATCCGGAGAACGACGATGGTGCGGAACACTGGTCTCAGATTCAGTTCTCTATGTTTGCTGGGTGTGAGCTGCGGATAGACTTACGGCATTCGGTGTAGTTGACTGACACATCAAGCCAAGTTTTGTTGCGGCACAACTCAGGCCCAACAAGAGCTCTGGCAGAAATCCTTGCAGATATCTTTGCAAGAACTTGGTATGGCTGGAACTCAGTCCAGTCGTCGCATGCTGGAAAATGTTCCTCTACAGCCGAGGACAGTTCAATCTCCAGAGCGGGCGTAAGTAGAGGTAGTCGTGGTGTAAGCTTACGCTGCACAATGGTGTGATGGAGTCGACTTTCGAGGATGAGATCAATTCCGGTATGTGGCCCGAGCAAGTCTTTCTCCAGAGCACCATGCGGACTTACGACAGTCGAAGGAAGTGAACTAAGCTCCTCCAAGACGTCTTGAGGCAAGATGACAATGTTTCCATCAATTCGTAGGATGCGAAACGCTCCATGCTTGAACTGTTTCACGATCAACGTTAAAACATCTTTTCGTGCGTCAATACTACACACCTTTTCGTAACCACTCTGCAGCAGATTTGTTGCGCTCGTGGCATATACCGCGTTGAGAACAATCCTAGGTAGATAAGTGGCCCAAGGGCCCAACTAATGGAATCTCAGATTGTGCGTCCCCCTTTCTCCATGTCTCGAAAGTCTCATAGGAAAAGTACAAGAAAATGATAGGTATCGCGCATGCCCACAGAAAGATGGGAGTACCATGCTCATAGATGTAGGTCGATAAGTACACAACAAGTGGGGTGTTGGAAGCCATATCTTAGTCCAGATTACTGCAAAGGATAATGTCAACGGTATCGATCGAAGCGAGTGTTCCTTTGGAATCTCAAGCTGTAGACTGATATATTGCTGACCAGCCAGAAACTCAGCGCGTAGCGGCAGTGGCGCACAGATCGACTTGTTTGGTCCCGAGAAGGTCTCGCTTACATTCGCTCAAAACAATGGAACCTTGGAAGGGGCACAGTCACGGTCCCCGAAAACCCACCCTTCGTGAACGAATGCGCCTCGCTAAGACAATCCAAAATTGAATTTGCTCAGCGAGCGGTTATCTTCGCGCCGATGAAGTCCTGCATGGTCCGGGCTGAAGTTCCAGCGCAAGGGCGGCATCGCTCCGTTCGCGAAGCCGGTTCCCTCGCGAATCAAGCAGGGAAGAGCGCCGCAGCCGTTACCACCTTGTGACTCGTATGAAGCCCTTGTAATTATCTCACATCATCCGGCTTACCCACCCTTTATCTGCCGGCACAAGTGACCAAGGCTCAGGCGGCGCCGGTGTGATCTGACCACTCGCGACTTGCTTTGCATGATTGATGGGTAACTGCATATTTGATGCAGAATTCTGCATGGGAATTCGGAGGCAAAGAAAAGTATCAAAGTTGGCTTTGCTAATCAGCAGCCTGGCAAATGATGTGCATGTATACGATCACGCACGCACACACACACACATACACACACACACACACACACACACGCACGCACACACAGTACGATTTGAACATTAAGGTAACTTCGCGAATCTTCGTGCACAATTCATAGAGCTGTGACAGCCAATTGCGTCTGAAAATTAATCCTATTCTAACCATATCAATAAGAAATACCCAAAACTTCCTTCTTCCGCCTAACAAGCATCTTTGCATTGGGGCTCATGAAGACGAATTCATGCATGACCTGGGTCGCTGGTCGTTTGTTTCCAATGAATGCAAACTCGTACTCATCCAACAACTTTACCAGTATTATTTTTGACACAATACTGGCAATAAACCTTCCGGGGCACGCCCATCTACCTGCTCCCCAACGATGATCATCGCCCTCAACACTTCTGAACGGTTGAGCACGGTGGCGCTCCAAATTACGGAAGGATCTCAATGCATCGTATTTTCTTGGGTCTGGAAAGACCTCTGGGTCCATGGCAATGGAGTGTCCTGAGGTCGTGATAAATTGGCCCTTCTTGAGCTGAAGACCACTGGAAAGAACGCAATCCTGTTCAATGTACCGACTGTACACGAGCAAGCTTCCCGGAGCCAGTCGTGATGTCTCTTTCATAGCTGAATCAAGTTTGTCGAGCCTGTTAAATGCACTCATATCCCATTTCCCCTGCACATCTTCGTGTACTTGGCAGATCTCCTCCTGGATGTCTTTGAGATATTCGGGGTGGTTGACTAAATCAGCGATGACGCCGACGACGAATGCAGCCGAACTGTATGTTCCGCCGGCAATCACAGAACCGACGAGACGAGTCAGCATGAAGGGATCCCGTTCTTCTTCTGTGCTCGCTTCTCTGATCATACAAGAGATTAGATCTGTGTTAACGCAGCGTGTCCCTATGTCCTCTTTTCGATGCTGCACATCTGGAATGACAAATCCTTCTAGCCTCTTCCAACTCCGTTCCAAGCGCCATTTGAAAGGTGTCAGCCATACGAGCACAGGCTGAAGGAAGCGTGGTATCAGCCGCATGACAAACATGATAGAAAATACTAGTAATACGGTCAGCATATGATCTAAGAGGGGTGTGCGGTCAAGCCCACTGTTCAATGTGTGTTCATAGCATAAGCGAACCAAGTCGGGATCGTCGCAGATGGGAGCACCAAAGGTGGTTAATGTGACAGCTTTGCTGATGAGGTGAACGACTTTGTTCACCGGCTCGACGGCCTGCCACTCTTCAGAGCTCTGTGGAAGTGTATCGGTGATGGTGTTTTGAACTCGATACATGAGATCGCCAAGAAGACTGGGCAGAGCGGGGGTCACTCGAGATAGGAGCATCTTTACGTGGTGATTTGTTTCCTTCACAACATCCATGCCGTTGAGATGACCCGTCAAGGATGAGGAGTGTGATTTTCTTGAACTGATGGCAGCTTGGGGAAGCTTGTTGAGCTCTCCAATGGCACTATCGGGAAGGACGATGATATCTGCATCTCCTCGAGCAAGACGATATGGCCGTCCTTTGTACTACGGAACTTAGTTATGGGGTTGCAAAGCAGACTTTGAAGACCTTACTTTTTCATAAGCATCATCCAGGATCTTATCAGACCAGAAAGCCCAGCGGATGCGGGAAAATAGTCGTGGTTCCAGCGCAAACTTGCGGTTGACAATAGGCAACCCGTCATTGTAGCTGAAATATTGATGAAGGGCATAGAGGACAGAACCAAACAAGCAGAGTGTGACAAAAATGGCAATAAGTGGCAGTTGCTGCCTTGCCACGGCAGAAAAATTGAGATTCTTGAAAGCCTTCATGGAAAGGATGAACAAGTCCAAAAGTTGAAGTTCCGTGTTGGCCGACATAATGTGCGTATCGATTTCCACTGGAGCGACAACAGCTTGAGGATTATAAGTCAGACGATAGGAGGACTGGCAGTCTCAGACACCAACAATCCATTGCGCTTGGATGTGGCACGGGTAAACATGTCACAGTCAAGGACTATTTTCGCCCGGAGACTTCAATCCAGAGCTGAAGTCAGCCTGGCCTGACAAGACGTCTATCTGAGCCACTGGTACACAGCAGATGTTACACTCACTCCAGATAACGATGTTGACTTGGCAAGGATCATCTCTTACCGCCAGGCGTAGCCCATCGACTGGGATCTTGGAGCTGCACCCCGGAAGTACACTGCATCCATGCAAAATGCAGCCAGTCACAAGACAGGAAATTAAGATCTTACGGAGTCCGAAAGATAGACTCCGGTCAGCGGCCAGTAAGCAAGATCAGTCTTTGTTAGCTTGTATGCATTCTTTCCAGCATTGAAATTGCACTTCTTGTACGCATCCAGCTAGTCTGCACAGTGGCTGTTCGAGGCAAATTACCCCAATATGTAAGTCACGCTGCATCCACGAAGTCTCCATCGCGGAATTACATATTGGCGTTAGCAGACATCCCGGGACTTCTGGGACTTTCTCGATCCTATGGTTAATTGAAATGCACGAAGGACTGTATGTGACAGGCCTCAGCATAAATTATTGTATAATTGAAAATGTAATCGCTATTGTGAGGCTAACTGGAAAAGCTCAGAAAGCTATTGACATGGCGAGGGCTGCCTCCACGCCCTCCAACCTCTCAAGTTATTGCAACAATATCCACGGCCAACGATTTCATAGCATACCTTTTGGTCTCATCTTCAATAGCTACACCGCAACCCCGAGGAGCACCGCCGTTGGTTGTTGCTAGTATGAGGGCATCTCTTTCCCCTTCGCAGCATGGTTTATGGCCAAATGCCACCACAATCTCTACATCCTTCCAATTTCCGCTGGCAGACGTCGCTTGGAGCGGGAGATTGTGTTGTTGACGAAAGCCGCGATCCATCCAACGGTGCGGAAGGATATGTAGGGGGCGGTCGGAGATTTGATTTCCTATGAGCCACCACATCTTGAATACGGACACTAATGACCTCCCCAGACAGATACAGTAAAATTCTGACGCCTTCCATGTAACATGTAGCCTGTACATAGCTTGTACCGCTGCCGTGCCCGCACTTGTAAAGTTGGTCCTGTGGAGCTGGTCGTCGCTTCTCAACCGAGTATAGCGCGATGGGACGATCTAAAAAGCACTGCCCTTGGCCGAACCACAAGGAACTTGTATATATTCAGTGGCTCGTGTCATGTCCTCATCCTATGCCAGACGTGCCAAACCATGAGCATTGAGTGTCACGTGTGCCCTGAGGTCGATTCCGCGGCACGGATTTAGAACATGGTTAACATAGTAGCGATCTACGTGATGAGGTGAGCTGACAGCATGAAATTGTGAAAAGGGCGCGCCTTGGCGGAAGCCACTTGTCCGGATCGGGTCACAACGGACGGTGAGCACTAGCTCAGACCGCCGCATCACGTGAGCCAAACACAACTCAGTCGTTTGCACTGCAGAGTCCTGAATGACAAGGAAGTATCTTTTGTGGAGTCGTTGTCGATTTGATCTGGCACCGTAAGTTGGCGGTTAAATCCATATTGAAACCTCGGTGTCCGAGTCCTGATTGAACTTCTCCGCCTAGACTGCGCCGCAGAGCTGCGGTAGGCAATCACTATGGAAGGACGGAGCTACGGAAAAGCTCCCAACGAAAGCGCTCTAACAAACACACAAAGTAGTTCCATGCCGCTGGTAACAAGACGCGACGCGATCAATATAAAGGTTTGAATTTCGCCTCAGCACAGGCGTCAGCTCCAATCTAGTCATCTTTCCATACCAAACCCCCACCACACCACCACCATGGCTGCACCCAAATCTGAAGAGTTGCCGTATCCTTTGAAGCGCAATGCGCTCGCTTCGACACGGTTCGTCTGCCTAAAGTCATGGAAATAGGGTCCTGGGACTAATTCATCATAGCCTCAACTTCAATCATTTCTGGATGAAGGGCCTTGCCGGTTACTTGCTGCATCCTGAGATACCAACAGATCAGGAAGGACTCCGCATTGCCGACCTTGGAGCAGGCACAGGGTACAATCTCAAGCTTTCCGCATAGCGCTGACCACGCCACTGACGCGTGACAGAATCTGGGTATCAGAGGTTGCTGCGGGTCTTCCAAACGCCGAGTTCGACGCAGTCGACATATCCGCCGACCAGTTCCCCCCAGAGCCGTTCCGTGCCCCCAACGTGCGGTTCTGGACCCACAACTGCTTCGAGCCCTTCCCCGACGAGTATCTAGGCAAATTCGACATTGTCAATGCCCGCTTCTGGTTATGCATTGTCAACGATGATGTGGCAGACAAACTCTTGGACAATTTCCTCACCCTGCTCAGTAAGCTTACTGCGTCTGTGTATGATGCCAAAGGCTTATTCTCGTTCAGAACCCGGTGGCTTTCTGCAGTGGTTCGAACCGCTGCCTGATACCGCGCGAGTGGTATCCCGCAACGGTGGAGCGCCACACCCTGCCTGCGATAGATTAGTAGAAACCTGGAAGAAGCCCACGGCCAGCAGTTCGTACGAGTAAGTGGTGCCAGCTCTCCCGCATCAACTAGCGTGAAACTAATCTGCGCATCTGTACAGGTGGGTTCATGCGCTCGCCGCACGGATTGAGCAGAGAGGCCTCGAAGTGGTGGCGGAAGACAAGCATAAGAATCCCGACTACTACCTGCCTATCGCAGCACAAACAGTTCTCCTGGGACTAGCCGAGTACCTCTACAAGGACCCTGCTATTGAGAAGTATCAGGAGTCGTTGGCCCAGGAGCACAGCAAGGGGTCCTATGTGGATGTTACATGGACCTGTGTTGTGGCACGCAAGGCTCTCTAAAGGGCGCGTTGCGAGACCCAACGAGTTGGTACGCTAGCTAGGGTAGATGATCCTTCGTCTTTGACGTGCCGCACACTTGCACAGAACATCATGGGGCGTCTTTCGGCTGGGATCAGCGTTTGCTTTATCCATCCAATCAAAATGTGTCTGTCAGCATTCTTCCATGTTGCCCATGTTGCCGTGCCGGTCGCTTCACCACCTTTTGCACTCAGCCCGCTTACGGGCCGGCGACCGTCGATGCTCTCCAGACGAGAGACTTGGCAGCGTCGGAGTCGTACAGCCATGGCACATGTTATCTTGCTTACCCACCAGGAGCCAATAATTTTCAAAGTTCCGCAAGGCTTCTTTGCTGGTGTCTAGTTCCTCTCACTTCCATCTCTTCAGCACCACCATGTCAACGCGCGTCCCATCCGTTATCACGACTTCACTGCTGGCTGTTAGCGTCGTATTTCCCGTCCTCAGTTTGTTCAGTGTCTTCCTGCGATGGGCCGCCAGGAGGAAGACGAAAGCCGGATGGCGTTTGGATGATTGGGTCATTGTGGCAACCTGGGTGAGTCTCTCAAAGAGGCTTTCGTTGTTGGCCAGAACAAGAATTTGTAACACTGACACGACCCTAGATCATCACCGCAGGTGTTTCTATCATCATATGGGCATCCATCGATGGTATAGGCATAGACTATCTAAAAGTTGATCCCAAGATAGGCGCCAAGCGGTCAGCTACTTGCGTTTGGAGTCTCACACTCTTGATGCAAGCTGCTCTCGCGACCGTTAAGATCGCCGTCCTGCTATTTTACATGCGCATCTTTGAGTCACCTAGATTTATCATGGCAGCATGGGTTGGAATTGGGATCGTAAGCGCATGGGGTATTGTCGCAGTAGTTGTAAGTTACCCTCCATCTCGACTCAAATACGCGGCCTCACATATGTCCTTCAAAGTGCCATGCCATCCAGGGAGATCCGATATCCTCGTCTTGGAGTGGCGGTGGTACCTTCCGCATGGATCCGGTGATGCTTAGTTTGGCGCGTGCTGGTAGCTCTTTGGCCCTGGACATTGTCATTCTAGCCTACCCGATTCCCAAAATCGCGAAGCTACACATTCCCCCCCAGCGGAAGGTTGCCGTCACCTTGATTTTTGCGCTTGGTGGTTTCTGTTGCGTTGCCGCTGCTGTGCGTCTCGCGTTCGTCAAAAAGACAGTTGCATTAGGAGCGAAGTCGAAAGCGAGTGGATTTGCAGCTATCGGTATGTTTTCAGATGATCGAACGAGTCACTTGACTCTATGACCTCGTAAATACGCTGACACTGTTCACAGCGACTCAATCCCAAACACTTATCTGGTGCATCATCGAGCCCAACTGCTCCATCATCGCAGGGTCGCTTCCCTGCTACGGTCCTCTCGCTCGTGGTCGAGCGCCCGAATCGATTATACGATCGGTTAGATCCGTTATATCTCTGGCAAGCGGAGGGTCAAACCGCAGCAACAACTCCAACCGTAGCAATCATTCCAAGCCATATGTCAACGGCCAGGGAGATGGAGTAACAGTGAATAAAGGTGCCAAGACCATCAGCGACAGCGAAATCGAGCTCAACGAAATGAGCAGGACGACCGATAGTATCGATGGCTCTGTCCGAGAATGGGAACACACGGGTGGTCATACTGATGCCCATATTGATTCTAGCTCGACGCAGACTCCCGAGGAAATTCATCCGGATGGGATCAAAGTCACTCGGACATATGCAACAACAGGTCACGATCAGGTGTGATCAACTTTCTGCAGCCACTTAAAAGTCATGTTTCCTAGGGATGTACGGCGTTGTATGGAGGTTTACATGTTGTAGACGAAGAAATGGCAACAGTTCTTCATACCCTAGAAACTCATCTTATTACTCGTGTCAGGAAGTGATTATTGACTGTTCACGGCAGATGTCACCTGCCAGATGCAGGCAATGCCTCCGCTCCTGTCTTGGCTCACATACTGGGGGAGAACGACCGCAAGATATCTCAAGAATCCTGCGCATCGTATCGACCTCTCCAAATTTTGCTTGCCCTATGCTACATCTTGTGGCTAAAACGCGACGAGTACCGCCGAATTACCTTGACTAGCCCGCGATAGCACAGGGCGGGTGTTCCCTCGCACCATGTCAACGGCGCCCTAAACTCGCCCCGTTGCGGCCCGTGGGGCCCACGCGGGACGATCGCAATTTAATTTTCAACCATCGACACGTTCCTCTCCTGCGCGACGAGGGCTGCACTTGATGTCATAATACGCGCGATGTGACATTGATAAAGCCTGGTCGCTTGCTGTGATAACTTGGCTCGGCGCAAGAGAGCTTCCCGCGGTTCAGGTCTCGCCATGAATCGTACGCACTGCCATCGTGGAGACGGCGAAGATCTATATCACAGCTGCATAACTAGCTACGCAGGATGTGGATTTGAGTTCTGGTACTGCATCATAAAACTGAACGTTAAGCTTTGCAAACACCAGGCCCGAACGAAACTGAAAAGGCCTCCCCTGTTTTATTGGGTTGGGTTGAGCTTATGGGCCGAATTCTTATCTTTGTTCCGTCACTTTTAGAGCAATATGAGCGTTGGCACTCACGCAGCGTATCGTTCAAACATGCCCATATGTCACTCGAAGATGTGACATGCCGATTTACATCACGTTGGCACATTGAAGTGTCTAAGAAAGAGAACAGCCATGAATATCCGTCAGAGCAATCCTTTATCGTTGCTACATCGTCAACTACCCGCGACAACGCGACTTCAACACCAAAACTCCTGAAACTCACCATCGATTTGGTTCACAACTGCCAGTGGGTCTGTCGTAGCATGCCATCGAAGACTGGCACAACATCAGCAGCAGGTGGCTCTTTGGCTACTATTGCTGAACTCGTTGAGCTAATCATTCTGAATCTCGGATACCACGACATATTGCGGGTTTGCCTCGTCTCTCGATTCTGGTGTGCAATCATTCGCAACTCCCAAAAGCTACAGAGGGTACTTCATAAGCTACCAACGCCGACAGGCGTCGACCTCAATCCTCATTTTGAGCCCGGGAGTGTCGAATCTCGCAATTCTCTCGTTCCGCAGGAAGTTCATGCTGGCCAGCCTATTCTTAACCTTTGTGAGCAACTCACGGAGTATTTTCTGGAAGAAATGAGGCCTGAAACCTCGCACGCCATGCTCGCAGAGTGTTACAAGAGGTATAACAACAAACGGTTCCGGTATAGATTTTCATGCAGGAATATACGCCGTCCCGATGGCTGGCCGGGAGGCTTCAAGGAGATTTTCTGCTATATTTGTGAGTGCTTTCACACTCAGTTTAAATTCGAAAATCTGCATCCTCTACTTGCTGAACTTGAAGATGTTCAGATCTGTTTTCGTGGCCAAGTGTCGCACATCCTCTTCACGGCGAATACCAGGTATGACCCAAAGTTGCCAAGATCCTGCTTCGACCATATCATTGCCGACTTCAGGGAACTTGCAACGCTTTTGACAAACGCACGCGACATCATGGACCATAACCAACTACACAATGATCTTCTCACGCGTCCGCTGAGTACGCGCCTCGTGAGTGCGACGGGATTGAACATCGCCGAGAATATGTGCGGCATCACCCTGGGCGAAGCCATACCTCTGCTCATCAAGGCTTTGTCTACTGCGTTGGAGCGTAGGCAAAGGTCACTCGTGGCACAAGTGGCAGAGATGGTAAGAACCGATTTCAGCCCATCATTTGAGTCGGCGTACCAGATGCAGACTTTTTCCATGCAGCCAGTACATTATGCGGCTTTTCCAACGGAGGCGGACTGGAATGATCATAAAGCAGACTTTCCGAACATTCTTTCGATGTTCAAGGATGCCGTGAGAGAGACGGGCTTGGTGAAGGATGCGGCGGAAATGGAGCATGATCCTGTTCAGTAATTTTAGTGCCTTGAGAGAAGAAAATATTTATCTCATTTGACTTGTGTTGTTGTATGAGGTCATCTCTCATGTGAAGGGAGTACGCTGCGATCCGCTATCAGTAGTGAAGGACAGGGATCAAAACAGCAAAATCATTGGCAATGGGACTCGGTGAGAAAGTAGGATGCGCTATGTAGGAACCATCTATATACTTGCCAAGATTCACATCTTCTAGCGCGATATTTTCCAGCTATTACATCACGTGGGTATTGTCGCCCATGATGCGCATTCTTGCAAAGACTAATGTACATGGGTAGTCAATTTCAGTATTTCGTTATACTGACTGTATTTTTTCTTGAAGGGGGAAGTGATCGGAATCCGTGGTGATGATTCACTAAACTCTGGCTGTGATCAAATTTGTCCACGCTTCACCGATGCACGACTGTGTCTTGCAAATATTACATAATTGAAGACGGCAGAGTTAGTCCGACGAGGATAAATATCAATCCTTACGGCTCTTCTTGAACCCTGACAGAAGCAGTCTCTGTCATATCCATTACCTTTGATCCAGCATTTGATTCTGATAATGTCGCAAGAATCACGAGCCCTAGCCGTGAAACACTCACCATTTCCCCAGATTATAGAGGTTGTGGAACAGGTGCTTCTCTGTCTCGACCACACATGCATAACACGAGCCACCGCAGTATGTAGCTTTTGGAAGAACTGTGTCGCGAACTCCCAACCACTGCTACGCAAGACCCTCAAGCTACCTTACCACCCATCAAAAGACCCAAACCCAAACTTCCACGATCTTATCGAAGAATCCAAAAACGCAGTCATACCATACGGCAAATTCAGGGGAGACAATCTCTGGCAGAGAGTTCGCGAGTTCGAGGACAACTGGATTGACGACATGCACAAAATGACGGATGAGGAGAGAGGGGAACAGCTCGAACTTGAATCAACCCTGAATACCAACTATTGTTGGAGAATGAAGAATATACGCGATGGTTTCCAAGGCGTTCGTTTCCCTGATGGCTGGCCCATCGGACTGCGAGAACTGCACTGCGACTTGTGTGAGAAGTGGCACGCCGACTTCCGACACGAGAATTTGCATCCGCTTCTCCAATTCTTGGATGACATGAATGTGTGCTTTCGCGGATATGGAACGCAACTCCTCTTCTGCTTCCACCCTCTCGACTCCGAAAGGTCGGGTACGGCTCCCGAAAGCTGCTGGAAGCACGCCGGCGAAGAGGCTGTTTGCTTTGCACAGCATCTGCAAAAAGCTCACAAAGCCGTCGAGATTGGTAGCGTGGCCAAGGACCTCTGGCTTCGATACCCTGCCACAAAACTTGTTCTAGGTAACAAAGTCATCGTCGAAAACGCGAATGGTCTTACCCTGGATCAAGTTGTACCATTCTTATCTACCATATTTCGATTCATCATCATCGCCCTCCGCAATCGATGTCACACATTTAAGGTAAAGAAACCCAAGGTCAGAGATGAAAGTATAGAAAACATGATTGCGAACTATCCGACACGCGAGGATTGGGACAAGCACATGGATTCATTCTCGACGACCCTTACTGACGACTGGGAAACGGCACTACGCAAAGTGGATTCAATCATGGTTGATGTCGCGATTTGGGAGCCGGTTATGGAAAAGGAGATTGAACTGGAGGATTGGGACTACTGGAATATGTAGTGTGTCTGTAAACTTTGTACTTAGATTTTCGTTTGATGAAGCCAATCGGAAATTGCAGTGACTCCATTAGCAATCATGAAACCCAGCTACACTATTAATTTGCATTTTCTTGCCGTCTTAGTACGTGTAGCGGAAGCTTTCTTCCTCCTGAATCAACCCTCTCCCCTCGTCAGCCGCGCGATTTTTCCTCCTGAAATGTAAGAACATGACCGCACACAAGATGATCAGCAAGAATTGTGTAGCTACCGCGCACCACACACCGGTCCGGTATGTCGGATATTCTTTCTGCATGAACGTCGTGCTGGCATATATGCCCCCAATCGCCGCGAACACAAACTGCACGCCATTTGCGACGCTTCTCCGAGAATTACTGCGCACATTGTTGGACTGGAATGCAATGATGGTTGGCAAGTTAGCATTACAGCCGCTGACTCCGAGGAAGACGCCGAAGTAGCGCGCACCGGAATTTGACGAATATGCTGTGATGAGAAGTCCGACAAAGGTGACGGCAGCATTCATCAGCATCCATGGCATGCGAAGGCGGGTACGGTCTGCAAGCCATGCGCATCCGACGGTCCAGAAAATACTGACGAGGTACGGAGGTGCGCAGAGGAGAAAGACAAGCGCCGTACTGTTAACGATTGTGCCGAGGATAATCTGAATGAAGTATGCGAAGGCGTAGATGGGTGCGGAGCATGTGAGGAACCTGCAAGTCAATTGTTAGCAACATGGGTTAAATTTTGCCCGTCGACTTGCGCCACAACGAAGAACGTTTGTGAATGCATTAGAAACTCACATTAACCCGTATACCCAGAGCTCCCAATTCGCAACGTGGATGCGGAAGTTCGCCCACGTGAGCTTGTCTGGCTTCGAATCACGTCTATCGCGGTCGATTCGGTCCAACACAATCTCTAGTTCGCGCTGAGTGAAGCCTTGGAGTTTGTTGCTGGCTAGCATCGAGTCGGGGAAGCCAATGACGAGGAAATATCCGATTATCGCGATGCCGATTGTCGCCGCACCTTCAACACTACAGTTTCTTAGCTTTCAATGATTGCCGGGGATGACTGCATTGCTCACATGAAGATCCATCTCCATCCCGCGATGCCATGTACATCATCTAGCTTGACGATTGCCCACGCCAAAATGTTGCCAAACGCCGACACGAAGAGGTTGATGAGGTACCACCAACTCATACGCTGCTGGATCTCAAAGCGTTGGTACCACGTACTCAGCAGAAACATGCAACACGGCAGAAAGCCAGCTTCAAGAACTCCGATCAACATCCTGCATACAACTATCAAGCGCCAGTCGTTCACCCAGCCCATGCCGAGCATGACGATTCCCCAGCCAATCGCGAGGCCATTGAGCAAGTTCTTCGGTCCAACAGGTCGGAGCAACAGTGTCGTAGGCATCTCAAATATGCAGTAGGTGACGAAGAAGACAAGCAGTGCGATGGAGTAGCGATCGCCAATATCGAAGCGCAAGTCTGTGTTCATGCCAGCGACACGAGCGTTCGAAAGGTTTACACGGTCGAGGCCGGCAACAGAGTAGAGCAGTCCAAGGATGGGAATCAGGCGCAGGTCGACTTTGCGCAGGACTTTTGCTTCCAGTCGCTTTTGCTCTGGGGAGATGTCATCTTCGTGAATGTAGTGGCGTTCATTCTTCTCGAATCCTGTCTTCTCATCGATGGTTTCCATCTCTTTTGGCTCTGTTTTCTCAGTCGCGAAAAGCTGTGAGCGATTTGAGATTGTAGACATGATTCACTCAGGTGTATCGTGATGTATTCGTTCTAGAACCGGAGGCAGCCCTAAGAGTCAGCGTCCACCACCCTTGCAGCACGGTAGCTAAGTTTAAATCACTAAACGACTGCTAGGAGGATCCAACACCGGGAAGTATAACGGCGACTCAATGCTCCAACACGAAACATTGCACACTCCCGCCAAATATCGTCATGAAGGCATTACAGGGCTTATATCCGCCTTGGTACTGCAATAGTGCAGCAAGCGCCAGCGACTCTGCCAATGACATGGAATTTTCGCGAAGTGTATGGCTATGCTTACGTAGATTTAAACGCCATAGCCTGACTTGATGAGGAGATGCGGCGCCCGTGGGGTTGTGCCGAACACTAACTTAAAGGACATGCGGATTTCGATAGCCGGTGTTGACGGCTACATGCATGCGACAAGCTTGATACTGAACCTTAACAATGGTCGTCAAGGGCACCACATTCGAAGGTTCCGAGTCAGAATTATTTTGCAGTGAAGTTCTATGAGACAGGTGTGCCCAAGGACGATTCAGTTTATTCTAGGTTTCTGGTACTTCGTCTGCCCAAGGTATAGAGGATTGCGCGCCCGCCTTTTGTACGGTCATTGAGGCAGCGCGATTGGCATGCGCTATAACTACATCGAGATCAAAGTCAGCGCCCTGGGACATTGATTTCCATCGTGCTACTGAGACAGTGTATGCTCCTGCGAAAGTGTCGCCTGCGGCAGTCGTATCGACTACTTTGACCTTGCGCGCCGGTACTATGTGGCCATCCTGCGAGGCCGATTGTTGCTTCGAAGTCTTGTAGAAGACGCCCTGCGCATGGTCAGTCTTGAGGTTTGCCATAGACCAGCTCTGGCCATGTGCTTACTTCGCCGCCTAGGGTAATGATGACATTCTTGACACCTCGAGCGATGAAGACAGCGGCAACCTCGTTCCAATTTGTTGGATTTTCGATGCCTGAAAGGATGGCGGCCTCTGTCTCGTTGACAATGAGATGGCCCAAGCCCTGATAGGCTTCTTCGGGCAGTGGGATCGCTGGTGCCGGGTTGATGATTGTCTCAACGCCCTTTTGCCGTGCGATCTTCATGTTGTGCAATACCTTGTACCGTCAACGCCCTGGTTTGGCCCCACTGTGAAGATAACTTACGACTTTCAGTGGTAGCTCGAGCTGAAAGAGAGCCACACTTGCGTCCGCATCGACCAAGTCCTTCTCTTCGACATCATAATTTGCGCCCGGACAGAACATGATCCTGTTCTCTCCTGTGGTAGTCTCGACTGTAATGACTGCAACACCTGTCTTCTTGCCCTTCATAATCTGGATGCTGTCCGTCTTTAGGCCATCGGCTTGCAATGCCTTCAAAAAGCCCAAATGGAATTCATCGTCTCCAACAGCGCCAACCATGCGCACTTCGACATCGGAAGCCGCACTAGACGATGCTTGCTGTTGAGTGCGAGAGAGGCGTGCACACGCGACGGCCTGGTTCGCGCCTTTTCCTCCCCAGCCGATGTTGAAAGATTCACTTGTCAAGGTCTCACCGGCCACAGGTACTCGTGGAGTACGTGTAACGAGGTCAACATTGAGAGAACCAATAACGGAAATGACAGCGGGTTTGGAGGACATGTTGATGCAAGGCAAGCTGCATGCGCAAGGGTGGGGTGTTTCAATGTCGTGGTTCGAAGTTGAGTTTTGGCGCTAATAGGTTGCCTTGGGCATCGGCTTCCCGATTCCGGCTCGCCGGTAGTCGTAACAAGTGCGCTGTTGCAAAATTCTCCATCTCCATCCTTCAAACATCGTCCGTTGCCTTGTAAACCATTAACGAGAAGCATCAAAATTGCGTCATGGATCAATGAGCAAGCCTACACAATCGGCCTGCCAGTCTAGTTGGACGTATGCGCTGTGAAATCAGCCAGCAACCTTCCTGAATCCACACAGAACTTCGAACGATATCCAGAAACAGCTTGTGGCAATACTCACCGACTTTCCGGCTTGGGCTATCAGCTCAATGATAAAGAAGGCGAATACACTGGACATGCATGAGAATCCAAAGCTGTGTGTGATAGCCTTGCTGCGCCACAACACCACCCGAGCAGCTGCAGGCTCTTCGGGTGCGTCTTTGCTGCGCCCACCGGCGCAACATATACCGTGATATGCCAGAGCCATTCCTAGAATCTTTGCAATATCTTGAGTCCCTCAACATGGCACAACTTACATCATTGGCGATAACGACAATCATCACAAGTTGGCTCGTGGTGGGGCTAGCTTTCCTTTCCACCATCATGCACTTAGTGTGGCTGTTGCGCATCAAGAAAGGGAAACCAGACGCTTCAGATATATGCGTCTGGCTTGCGCTTCTATTCGGTATCATTCTAGTCGCTCAGACGACATGGGCTGTGGTGGACGAAGGTAGTGGGAGACATCAGTGGGATATCTCGCAGCAAAACGTCTTCGCGGTTGCAAAGGCAAGAGCCATAGTACAGGATTGGAGCAAGATATTAATACAATGATAGTCTTTGATCGCAAACGAAGTCTTGTGGTCCATCTGTGGGGCCTTGATTCGCGTTTCTAGCTGTTGCTACATGAGAAGGATTTTCGGGAAGGTGTCGGCCAATCTTCGCCACTTCATCGCCACTATCTTGTGCCTTTGTATAGGTCACGGACTTTCTTCCGTACTGGAAATATGCTTGATTTGCCGACCTCTAGCGATGCAGTGGAGTCCAGATGTGAAAGGACTCTGCGGTAACCAAACTGCATCGTTCACAGCACTAGAGGTGTCGGGATTAGTACTGGACGTTTGCATACTCCTTGCACCACTACCAAGCCTTACTAGTCTCCGATTAGAGAGGGCAAGGAAATGGGCGCTCATATTCATCTTCGATGCTGGTGCTTTGTAGGCAACCCCTAAGCTTCTGAAACGATTGTACTCACCATTCTGCCAGGCTGCTCATCGTCACAGCGCTTCGACTGAAGGCTCTTCACCTTGCGGTTTCCATCGACTACACTTACTCTAAAAGCTATCTAGGCTTATTATCATCTATCGGCTGCATGCTAGGAGTCGTGTTTTGCAACATGACCGCTCTTCCGGGCGTCTGGAGAGTTATGGTAGAGTGTTTCCGCAAAATTGCAGTTCTACAAAAACAGGATCTTCAGCCGCAGATCAAAATCCTTAGTGGGATCGAGGGAGAGCAGGATGACCACGATGCAGCTCAAACCTTTGAGCACGAAAATGCTTCCTTCCAGTCCTTAAAAGAGAAACATGAACAACATGCGACAACATGTGAGCGATGCAAGTAGGAGGGTGGACATTGTCACTCATCGGCAAAATGAGTCCATATTTGTAGTTGACAGCTTCACAAGGCTCAGTATCAAGTACATCTCCTGATTGCGACGACTGTTGATCGATGGGAGGGGCACCATATTAGCTCGCTGCACTTACGGCTTCAATATCAAGCCTCCTTTCGAGGCCCAACGAAGACATACCGTCCCCTTACAAGATAGTCAACGCTTGCAAAGCACAACACAAAGAGAAAGATGGGTCCAGCATAGTTCATGGTGGCCGCTGTAAGTGGCAAGCTGGTCGGCAAGGCCATAAACGGGATCAACAAGGTTGCGTAGCAAACAGCACAAATATTGACCAGCATACCCCATTTTCCCAGGTTCCATGGGCCAAAGATAAGCAGCTCTTCGGATATCATAGCATAGCTAGCCTCTGAATTGTATATCTTGTCTTTGACGCGGAGACGCATAGAGATAAGACAGGCGATAGGGATGATGTATGATGCATATAACGAGATTGTCGTCAGCGAGAGAATGGCATTCAGCGCCACCGTGGAGCCAATGTTGATCAATGACAGCAAGAGAATGACGCCGCAGAAGAGGTTCACCGCACGAACAGGGATTCGCTGGTCCGTTTCAATGCGCTTGAAGTAGTTCGAAAATGGTAATCCGTCGTCTCGAGCGAACGCCCAGGTAAGCCGGCTCACGCTTGCAATGTCTCCAAACATGGCCCCAAAATTCGTGGTAAGGATGAAGGCCATGATGGCTGTTGCACTTGCCCGACTCCGTGTCGTTTGTAGTAGAATCTCAATCAATGGATAGCCGGTGGATGTATGGAGAACTGCTGCAAAGTCGGAGATGCCGAACAAGCAGATGATTGCAAAGATCCAAGCCATTGGACCATTGATTAGTACTGTCCAGATGATGACCTTTGGTATGACATGCGCACTTCGTTCAGTCTCTTCTGAGAGGTGAATCGCGCCATCGAAGCCTGCGCAATCATCAGAACAAGGCTTCGGAGACGTTTCATCTCGCTGACCTACCAACAAATGCAAAGATCGCGGGTAACAGTCCAACGAACCATGCGACTCCATTGCTCTTCCACCCGGTTTGATTGACGAAACCGGTGAAGACAAATTCGGCGCTCGCATTGCGGCCCATGATCAGCATAACCAAGAAGAGAGCAAGAAACATCAATATGTGCAATGTGCCCATGAACATTTCAAGTACTGGAAGAAGTTTGATCGTCCACATGTGCTGGAGGTACGCAACTAAGACGATGGCCCACATTATCAGTGTGGTGTGCCACCGCTCGATGACATAGCCCGGATTGTTGAGTTTCACGATCCCTTGCAATTGGCCTGCTATCAGAAAGCACAAAGATGCGCCCGTGGCTTGCCAAGCAAAGATGGTGACCCAGCCTAGGAGGCATCAGTGAAATTTGTCTCGTACACCTTGGAACCGCCTACCTTGGATGAATGAAACGACGACTTTTAACTCCTTTGGCGCAAACATGTACGACCAGTGCATTTGCGCACCGGAAATCGGACACATACTCGCCATCTCTGCTATGCTTGCTGCGCAAGCGAGGCTTCCCATGAATGTGAAGATTAGGCCGTAAATGAGACTCGAGGAGCCACCAGCAGTCATGCTAACACCCAATGACATGCCAAGTGCTTCCCAACTCGAAAGCAGAGTGATGGACAGCCCAAAGATTGAGAACACGTTGAAGCGGCGCTTGAGTTGTTGCAGTTTGCCCATTTGCTCCATCACCTGTCTGTCCTCGGAAGACTGACTGCGGCTGTCACTGTCGGGGCCATCGCTGAGGATGCGGGGTGAAACATGTGCTAGAGTCTTTTCAGCCATTTTCTAGTATTTTGCTAGCCGTCGAACTTGGCTCGAGGTGATCCACGATGCAATCGTAAGCGTTGAGACGGCGCGAGAGGGGGGCGGCGCAAGAATATACTACAAAACAGTTGAGATGTACTCAATCGCGCTGGCCTTTGGTCAAGTAGTGCTTATCCTGCACTATGTGTGGTCGGTAAGGTATGTACGGCATGGTCGTACGGCGTTGCGGAAGAAGCTAATTGTATACCCGGTACACTCGTACGTCGAACAGGACTTCACCGCTCGCGACATGTAGACCGCTGTAATAGGCTACTCGAGTCTGCGCGCGATTTATCAGCAAGTTGGGCCCAACCACACCAAGGTGATGTCCGCAAGGCCATTCAACGCGAACTCCACCCTGAGGTCTTTGCATGATACTTGCTTCCAAGCGAGCGTCAACGGTAACACTCATGCATAGTAGTCGAGACTGTCGTGGTTCACGAGTTGCGACCTGCAGTGTCCTTATCCTTTCGGAATCATTCTGCATGTTGGTACAATTAAATGGATGAACAGTTTTCGATCTTCAATGAGCTCCATCACGATTGAATGTCGCCAGGCAAAGCCATTGACGTGACGTTGCTTCTTTCTCCTTTCCTGGGCGGTTGATGGTCTGCCTCAAGATATTGGACATGGGCCCCTGTAGGTAGTCGAATAAGCACAAGACAACGTTGTCTGCCTGGTGAGACATCGATCAGCTTCAACAATCGACGTGGTCATTTCGCCAACCTAGCCTGGCAGACAGTTTTGTTGATACAACAGTTACGAACAGTGGATCTACCGCTGTTCAAGACAGGCGGACTTATATGAGCGGTACATTCGTATATTCGCTGGGGCTTATGAGGGTACCGTCGCGCATGGTTTAGCCACGAACATTGGGAAGAGAGCCCTACTGTCATAAGCTGGAAGCTGTTGAGGCGCGCCTTAGGATATTAGCATGGCTGCTGCATAATCGAAGAGAAATGTTTCTTTGTTGTTGCAAATAACTCAATATCTAGGGCAATGATGAGGTGACGAAGAGTGTTTTCTCGAAATGACGCAACGTATGCGCAGCACGGACCTCAAAACTGCCTCGGCCCCTTCCAGAACAACATATCTGTCACTAATCTGTGACATTATCTAGCACAACCAACACTGTCTAAGTATACACGCGCATCTTTGTCCCCAAATCTCTCTCATAAATATGCTTGATCATGTTGCCGAATGAGGAGCGGCGGCCACTGCACGCTGCGACTGTGGTCAGCATCTGATGTGAACAGGCTGATGTCTCCCACGCTTGCCACCCATCGCCAGACCTGCGGAATGAGGCTCTTGAAATGGCCGCCAATGACAGCTGGACCCTGAGAAAGCTGCCCCACAAGGTTATCAAAGGCCCGTAATACCTCCGGTCTAAATAACTGATGCATCACCTAGATCTAAGGAGGTCTTACTGTTGCGTTGATGCGCATGAAATAGATCGATCAAAAGAGGCAGATCTGACGTGGTCCCAAGAGAACTTACACCGTAGAAATGAAATCTGCGTTACTCTTTTCCCACCGGAATCTGACGTCTAGATCACGGTGCACGTCGAGATGCCAATCGGCAATACTACCGAATGTTTCGCCATCTGCAAGCGGTCTTGATCGAAACAGGCACTCAAGTGCCATATTAAAAAAGTGGGGAAGGACAATATTTATCGTGCATCTGCTGATGCACCCCAGGCTCGGTGAATTTGAGGTGCCGAGCTTAATCTTCAACCTGAAACTTGGCTTCCGCTCGCGCTGATCTCCAATCCAGGAACTTCTCACAGACCACTGGCTAAAGACACGATGTACTGGCCAGCGGTGCAGACCAAGCCCGGTTATCAAATTGAGTTCAATAAGCGTCGTCGACATTTCTTGGTCGACTTATGGCGACCTCATGTATAAAGATGGTCTGGGAGACCTTTGCATCTTGCACCGACACAGTCAAACCCAACACCAAAACTCGAAAATCACAATGGTCTCATTCTCAGCTATCGTCGCTGCTGCTCTAGCGCTAGTCCCCAGCGCTCTGGCAGCACCCAGCGGATTGGGAGCCGTCGACAGCCCCACGCCCAACAGCCTCGCCACCCGTCAAAACGCTCCATGGCAATACTGGACCGAAGGACAGGGACAATTCAACTGTCAACAGCAAGGAGGCGGGAAGTACTCTTGTTCGTGGAATGGACAGGCAGGCGGCGGCCTGGTTGCCGGATCGGGATGGTCAGCTGGCCGAAAGTGAGTAGCGTACAACGAAACTATTGCTACACATACTGACGTCCGTGTGTTACAGGACCGTGAAGTACGAGGGAACATACAACCCCAAGGGCCCTGGCTACCTCTCCCTGTACGGCTGGACTCGCAACGCGCTAGTCGAGTACTACATCATCGAATCTTGGGATGTTTTGGCGCCCGGTGAACCCTGGACGCTGCGCGGAAACTTCACGTCGGAAGGCAACAAATACGCTTTCTACACTGCGCAGCGCGTGCAGAAGCCTTCGATCGAAGGAACCCGAACATTTATTCAGTACTTTTCCGTGCGCGATCCGTCTGAGAAGAAGGTCGGCGCCGTGTCCGGCACGATTAACACCGGCGACCATTTCGATGCTTGGGCTAAGTTCGGATACCGTCTCGGCACCTTCGAGCAGAACATGTTCTTGGTCACTGAAGCATTCGCCAACGGTACCAACTTGCCCAGCGGTACTAGCACCATCACCGTGAGTTAAATGGTGAAATTATGGTTGGTATATGGTGGAAGAGCACGGGATACGTAAAGCCTCGCCAGATGGAACAATTCAAGCAGCGCCTTCTACCCAATGTCTTGTTCTTTAGTAGTGACCAAACATTATCCGAGGTTCACGTCATCTCGTTAGTGCAAACTTCTGCCATGTTTACAATGCATTACCGCGGCTGATTTGGAAGTGCACCGTTTGTACTAACACGAAAGCCCTGTATGTTCGGCGATTTCACGAAAGTCTTGAGACATTGGCAGGCGATGTTCTCCCTACTATGACTGTTTTTCAATGCGGTTATTGGTGGATTCTTTTACGAGTCGCAAATAAGATGCAGCAGTTGTTCAATGCTCGCCTAGTGCTTACTTTGGCTCCCGCATGCCATCTTGCTCTTTCGGAAGTCGCCGCACTCGCTGATGAGGGCACGGGTGCTTCGAATATGGCGACTCAGGGTGCTACATCGCAACTCTATGTCGACAGTGGCAACTTCGTAATGGCGTTGTTACCGTACTTCGTAGCTGGAAGAAGACTGCTATCACTTGTGACGTATCAAGCGCACATGTTATGTAAAGTTTGGACCTTTTTTTTCGGCTGACTCGAATTATTCGGACACTGGCATGCCACAGAAGCCAGATGCAGCGTTATGTGCGCGAATCTACTACAGAGTGTTGCATATGTCAGGTCACAATTCACATCAAGGAGCTATGCAGCTACCTCTGTACATAATGCGGCACAAGCCTCTCTGTTCAGACGATGGGGAGGGAGGATTCCTGCTATGGACAATTCGTTAAACGAAAAGCCCGTGTCTGAGCAAACAATATCGAACACATCGTTAGCTCACATAGGCAGACCAATTTCCACCTGCACATTCGATGGATACTACTTTGGCCCCCCAATTCCAATGATCAGGGTAGATGCGCCTCTCGTTCAGCCCAGATGGTGCATTTTGCTTGTCTCGCTCAGCCAAATCTACACCGATTGGATAAGGGGGTAGCCGTCTCCGATTCATACAATTGCAATCGCGCACTTTTCTTCGCTACTAACCTACAAACATTATTTTGCAGTCGACCACGATGACACTCGCCTCAGAGACAGATTATGTATCGCTTTCTCCCTCATTTCTTAGACCTAGCATGAGCTCAATCGATTTTTCGCGCACCGAAGATATCGAGACGTCGTCCTTCAGTCATCATGAAGATACCTCAAGGTTGTTGTTGCGACGGAATTCCGCGACCAGTGTCGCTACAAACACATCGTATCAAGTGCGCACATGGCGTCAAATCAGCTTCCAACGCCTTTCCCAGGAACGATTGACCCTTTTTATTAGAGTTAAGACTCCAATCCAGCAGCGCATGCGAAGAAGTCGTTTCTACGGTTGGCGCATGGGACTTTCGTTCGGCGGCTCCATGTACTTGTTCGTTCTGTGTTGCAATATCATCGCCATTGCCGTCGCGAGCTTTGCCGGTAGCAAGAGAGAGAATAATATCTGGGACATTGTTTCTGAAAGTGTTACTACAACATATCGCTGGTGCACAGCCTTCCACCTGATTATCAACGTTTTCAGTACAATTCTGCTCGCTGCTAGCAATTACACTATGCAGGTGTTCTGCTTCACAACTCGATCAGATGTTGATGCGGCTCATGCCAAAGGTATGTGGCTTGATGTCGGATTGTCGAGCTTGCACAACCTTTGGCACCTACCTCGTGGAGAAGTTGCTTTATGGCTCGTGCTAGCGTTTCCTTCCATACTGCTCCATTATTTTTAAGTGAACCTCGAAGAATAAGTGTACTGTTTGTATATAGACTGGCCAGTCGCAGTTATAACGCGGCAATGTTTCAGGTTTTAGCTCCCAGTGCATAAAACGCCACAGTAATCGAATATGGATTCCGCGACTAGGCAACCTTGAATATGAGCACACCTAATACCATTAAGCAGTTCAGAGATAATAGCTGGATGGATATCTACTATACTGACTACGTCTCGGGACACGGCGATGTGTTTTTGGCCATCGACTGCTTCGCCTTTGAGCCATTGCAAACTCCTGCATCGATCCCGCACAACAAGTACCTTCTTACCCGGATAAAAAAACAGCGACAAGATCAAAATCGGGCAATTTACGAACAACAATTTACCTTGGGTCGATTATCGCCACTTTTCATCATGACTGCAGCTCCCTAGATGTCGCAGAACCAGAGCTGGCCTAACCGGGCTCGTATTGCGCACGCATGTGCGTTCGTGGTTGACAGAGAGAGTCGCATAAAGCTCAGCTTTGAATTCTTGATCGCTGTCATAGCATTCAATGTCCTCAAGGTGGTGGTCATGTTGTGGGTCCTTTTGACCGATAGGTCGGAGTATCTTGTCACGCTTGGTGATACCGCAGTATTCTTACAACGTCCTAATGCTCATACGGCAGCAAAATGCATATTAGACAAAGAAGCTTACGTATTCAAGCTTGGGAAACATATGGAAATGGAACCATAAAGCCTAGCTGGGGCTGCGATGAATGCCGACCTCTCTGGTATTTGGCAACCCAACTGATTGCGATATTCCGTGCCTCTTCCAGAGGATCGCCAAAACTTATTCTTCATTCTGCAATTTGCGTTCTATCTATTCGCCATCATCTGACATACCCCAGGCCGATATGCATCACGGGCGCCAACATCGTTCTACGATGTGTTGGTTCTTCACATCGCCTGGATTTTCAACTCACCTCGACTCTCTCTGTCACTCTGCTCTCTTGCCCTGAAAAACATGTATACCTTATTGGCGAGCTCAGAAGAATAGAACGATCTTGCATGCAAACGGAAGGGCCTGCGTGTTACCCACTCTGTCGCCGATCATCGCGGCACGTATTTCTTACAGCTTCCGTACAAATGGGCGATACCATTGATGATTACAAGTGGAACACTGCATTGGCTCATATCACAATCGTTTTTCCTGGTTAGAGTCGACTTTTTCGAGAGGAATAGTAATGTTGCCAGCGAGGAGAAGTCGACTTCAGCAGCAGAGGTGTCTAGTTTAAGCTTCCTGATGCTCCTGATCGTCAGCTTCCTGTTGATATGTGCAATCTCGTGGGCCATCGCTCGGCGCATGCATCAAGGAATACCTGTCGCGGCTTCGTGTAGTCTAGTTATCAGTGCCGCTTGCACTCCGAAACAGGAAGAAGTCGATCTCCAATTGAAGAAGGTCAAATGGGGGGTGGTTGGACCCACATACAATGACCGCGCAGGGCACTGCTCTTTCTCTACCAATACTGTCGAGATGCCAGAATCGGGGAACACGTATCGATAAAACTCACCAGCCTCACGGACTCAAAACATTATTTATACAAATATGGCAATTGATTATACTACGAGGACTTATTGTAGTAAACAAAAGTCGTTGGATGGAACCCAAGGAATCCATCGTGCTGAACTGAAGCCCGCGGCATCCCATGCCGCAACATGATCTGATCACTCATCTCCCACTGATGAGCTGAAATCAAGGACTAGTAGCAAGTCAGCCAATGAAAAGAAGGGCTTGATTATAAGACGTACATGTAGTCAGAGTCGCCTTCGTCATCGATCACCTCATGTTCCGATACCTTGGACGGCTTCCGTGGACTCTTGCGCTTCGCAACTTGCTTCTGCTTTGTCGCTTTCTTACCATCTGAACGCTGTGGATGGCCTTGATTCGAATCGTCAGCTATCGTGCTCTTTGGAGGAGACGTTAGCCGTTCTTACCTTGAGCGCAGCCCCAATCGCGCATCACAGTGTCAACACTCTCTAATATAGTAACTCTCGCGGCCTCTCTGGGCATACCGGCTCGTAGCAAAGCCTCATAGTCCGTATGCTTGTGTCGAATGTGTGCGACGACAGCGAGCCTTACTTTCGCTTTCAGAGTGAGCGTGCCTGTCCTTCCTACGCGGCGCGAGTGCTTCTTGAAGCCATGCTTGAGTACCAAGTCCCGCTCCGTGGTAGGCATCTTGGGGAATTGAGCCTTTATCTCCGCGGTAGTTTTGGAGATATCAGAGTCATCGCGCTTTTGGACTGCTGCGCGTCGAGTCGTCAATGTTTCCTTTTCTTTCTTGTGTATCTCGGAGATGATGCTTTTGGGTGCTCGAAGACCGAGCGTACGCTTGTTGTCGACAACGACGTACAAGGGCTTTTTGGCCTCGCGGGTGGCTTTTCTGCAGTGGAGGGTCTTGAACGCTATGCCTTTCGGGAGAAAAGCATAGCCTTGCGGCATGGGCGCATTGGGCGGTACTGTTATTTCGCTATACATCGTGATTGTTGGGTAGAAATTACGCTGGGTTGATATGTTGTTGTTATGACAAATGTCACGGTGAAGACCGCGCACTGATGAAACCAAGCTGCAACTCTTCAATGATCATATTGACTTGAGACGAAGCCAATATCTTTGTTCGTGGATTGTTCTCGTTGTTCGAAGATTTTGATTGTTCGCGGCTTTGTCCAGAAGTGCGGTGTTGCAGTTGCCAGGGGCGCAGCTAGCGCGGTTGGATAAGGCCGCTAGGCTGCTTTGGGTAGTGTCCTCCACTCCCTTCTTCAACTATCATTCCATGATTCAAGGTACCCTTAGCGCATACAAACCACTAAACTCAACCCAAGTGAATACTCGATTGGATTGCAAGCAAATCCGGACGCAGCATGTCAACTCAATCTCGAAGAACAGAAGAGGCGGAAGAATGACAGGATCAAGGCCGCAGATCCGTCATGTGTGACACAGGTAGAAGAAGGGGCCGGCGAACGAGCTGGCATTCGAATCATCAAAGCTGCAAAACATCACATATGAAGCAGGAGGTCACGGAAAAAAGCAGGTTCGAGTGATATGCGTATCACTTGGATGCGCGCTGGTCGCTAGCGACTTCTAAGAATATGCTGGACGAGGTCCAATGAAAATATATACATGGAAGAGTAAGAGTCGAATGAGGTGCTTAAGAGCCGTTGATGGCGTTGAGGACCTGGGTGTAAGCCGCCTTGGGCTTGAAGCTGGAGTCGAACAGGAGAGGGTTGCCCTGAGGCCTCCATGAGTCCTGGTCGCGAACACCCCAAGCTGTGATACCAACGCAGTTCTTCTGTTGCAAGCAAGCCTTGACAACGTTGCCCCAGTCAGAGGATGAAGCGTTCTGGATGTCGACCTCGGTCATGGCGCACTCAGGAGCAGCAGCGCAGAGGGCAGCCATGGCGCCGACGGAGTTGGCACCCTGACCAGCAGTCAAGTGAGTCTGCGAACCAATACCATCGATGGGTACACCGGCAGCGATCCACTTCTTGACGTTCTTGATCATACCCTGCGTCTTCCCATACGAGGCACTGTCGAGGTTGTAGTCATTGATGTAACGCTTCGCATCGGGATCAGCCTTCTTTGCCGCCTCAAAGGCAATACGGACTGTTCAAGTTAGCCGTGAGTCGCATTCATTTGAGCTCAGGTAGCTTACCAAAGTCCTCTCCCAAGACGTTGTAGAACACGCTGGAGCGGAAACCGCCATCCTGCATCGGTCAGTATCAGAGTACGCGTTTGAAGGATCTGTTGGAACTTGCTTCAGCGAAGATTTCGTTGACTACGTCCCAGGCGTAGATCTGGCCCTTGAAGTGTCCCATGACACCCTGGACGTGATCCTGGATTGCAGTGGTCAGGGTGGCCTTGTCACGAATTTGCGAAACCCAGCCAGGAAGCTGGGAGTGCCAGACGGTGGTGTGACCACGGATGAGCTGGCCGTTGTCTTTGGCAAATTTGGCAGTTTGGTCCGCGGTGGCGAGAGTGAATTTGCCCCGGGTACTTTCGGTGGCGTCCCACTTCATACTGTGGAGGGTCAGCATCTACTAATCGCAAACGAATGAACAAAGCCAAGACTTACCTGTTCTCTGGTGTGATTTGACCAAAGTTGGCTTTGATAACGGCGGCGTTCTGTCCGCTGTTGAATCGGCCAGGGTCAGTGGCAGTACCGAAGTACTTCCTGCCCTTCGCCTTCATGGCAGCATCAATGCTCTGAGCCTGACGAGCATCGAGAAGCGGCTCTGGCTCTGCAACTGGAACAGCAGCGGCCAGCGCGCTAGCGGCAAGAAGAGTGGTGAATGAGAGCTTCATTGTGAATGGAGGGAGATGCTGAATGTAATGATTGACTGGAAAGCGATGGGATGAGTTCTTCAGCAAATTGGGTTACCACTCTTCTTATACCAGTCGACACAGTACCGCCTTCTCCCAGATTGAGCATACCCGCTTCGCACCGACATCATTAATATCGCCATGCCACAACAAGCAATCCTGCATTGCGGGGCGCATAAGCGAACGGGGACCACATCTTAGTGATCTTCATTACTCCGTGGCTCCCGACGAAACAGTGCCGGCAGGGCTTCCTTCCAGAAAACTCTTGGTGTGGCTCCCAAGCAATCTAGACGAAGCCTTCGTGGCTGCTGCTTGACCCTCTTGGCGTTTATGCGGTACTGAAGCGGCTAAACTAACACCCTGTCATTAGCGAACCTTGTCGCGACTACGCGCCGGGTGTTTGATATTGAATAAGGAGCCATATTGCTCGTAAGCAAGGGAAGACCATCACACGCGATGTACCGACAGGTTGATTCGTGCGCGATATTCGACGGAGAATTGCTTCTTGATTGCCAGGTCATCATTGTTCCGCCACGCGTTCCTTAGAGTTCAGCCGCTTCGCTATGGGTCGTAATCCGGGGAAAAACAACGTCTTGCGTCCTTCTGACCGGGTACCCCACGACAATTATTGTGGTTGCAGATGTCAGTTAGATAATTTTGACATTCCCGAGGTGTTTTGCTCGGCCAACATGTGTTCTGAGTCGTTGCGAGACGATCTTGTCGAAACGAGGTCTGCGCTAAAGCCATATCGCGTTAGATCCAGCCAACGTGGGCGGTTTCGAAACACTCAGAGCAAAACGTGGTGCCGAGGATTTGCCACGACACGTTCACACGATCGTGGAATGCGTCACGAGCCTGGGCGATCGCAATCGTGCATTTTGCCGGCCTTGTGAACGTTTGCTTGTCCCCGCTCAAGCATCGCTGGGGTTCAGATGAACTCCATGGGGGGTGATTAATCCATGAGGAGAACAATTTCCATCAATCGCATCTCGTTATATCTACGGTGGGGATCTGAAGCGATCGATTGATCTTAGAAATATCTCGAAACTGCATTCTTTCGTATTTTTAACGATGGTAGCTAACCACTGATCACATGGCAGAAGGACTTCGAGTACAATCTGCAACATGAAGCCCGACCATGCATGCGTACCTGAGATGATACTGCTTTTGCTGTACAGCGGCTTCCACTGGTAGAATACCACTGAACTCAAACAAGGAACGATGTAGGCCGGCTGGAAAGGAAAATAGTCGTTGTTTTTCGAAGCTTTTCGAAGCTTTCATTTTCACGTTGTTAATGCATCCTCCACAAGCCCAAATATTGAGCCAGCCATGGATCGAGTCTTGGACGTCAACAGTCCCAAAAGGTACACCTGGTGGTTTTTTATTACCAATTGATCAGAGCTGTTTACCACAGTCGTGTCGGGATGCCCATAACACGCTCTTTTCGACAGTTTGTTGCTCTTGATCTAACACTGCATATGACATGCTCTCTCAGCTTAGCAAGATGACGTTACTGTCCAGTTTCTTCATAGAGCCATCTCTGTTTTATAAAAGCTCTCTTCTTCATTTCTTCACTTTCACCTCTCACGTCGCGTTGGCCTCAAAATACACGTGTCTTGGCACTGGCTCAACCACTGCCCACAATCTTTCTGCACCTCCACAATCGTTTGCGCGTCGCTCTCAAAATCAACAGCTGCATGACTACCACCGCCAAAATGTCCGAGACATCCAGCACAACGCCCACAGTTACTCCGGGCCCGGACCACAAGAACTGCGCGCTGTTTGACCTCACAATGTGGATCTTTGGCAAAGCAAAGCGCACCACCGATAAGATCATGACGGAGGCCACCGCAGCTCTACCGCTCGCAAAGAAAAAGCTCGAGATGGCAGAGCGTATCCTGCCTGCCGACCACCCCCAGCGCAAGAAACACATCGACGCCGTCGCCAATATCGAGAAGCAGTTGTCCATCGGCGCCGAGTTGGTCAGCGCTACCGCAGCGGAGCGCATATCCTACTGCGACAACATGCCCGAGTACGCGACCGGTCTGTTCGCGCAGTACAACTGCGACCACGTGATTCACTTCCTTGCGCTACTGAACAGCGCGTTTGAGAGGATGAGGGAGGCGAATCCCGGTATGAGTGCAGATGGACAGTTCAAGAACTTGAAGGCGATTCAGGCGCATTATGAGGAGATGCCCACGGATGTGTTGACACCGAGGACGGTTTGTGAGTAGTGAAGGGTGCGTGATGGGTTATGTGACTAATGGTTGGCAGGGACGGATGTGCTTGCGAAGGACGTGAAGGGAAGTGATGCGCCGGCGGCGGAGAAGTGAAAAGGTACGTGTGAGTGCCTGATGATGGGAAAACGGGAGGGGTAGGTGAAGCGCCGTGTTGGACATGCGACTGTGAAGTGCCTGTGCGATTGGAAAATAAACGGCAACACCGATACGGTGGACAGCGCCGGTGGACGGCCGCAGATGCATTCAATGTAGGCCGACTGCTGAGTGTGAGGATTCGCACAGCGATCAACAAACAGCGCATATAAAAGCCATGTCTCGCGCAGCCCAGCTCTTCAGAACAAGAGCAAATTTCATCAACCGCTTCCTCATACTTGTCACAAATACCAGCATCTTACCCAGCAGTAACTTCTCATAACAAGCCCACTACCTTACCGCCAGCATGCCCCGACACTTCCGCAACACCCGCCGTCCAGCCGCATTTCTCCACTACCCAAGCCAGGACACATTCTCAGGACGCGCCACTCGTCCTCGCAGCACCAGCCCCGACATGCTCCGCTTCGCATACGGCACTCGTCGTCGCAGGCCAAGCCCAGCCCCTCGCCGCGATGAAATCGAGGATCTCCTGAGCCGCGAGATGCGCGCCATCAACGAAGACATGCGCCGTAGGGAAGAAAGATACGTACATTTCGACCGCATCCTAAATCAGGACTCCGTGGTCTGGTCGCGCTCGTCCACGCCCCGAGGCTCGCCATCGCGCACACCTTCCCCATCGCGCTCACTCAGCCCAACGCCTTCAGAGCCTAGAGAGGTTTACACGCTCCGGGGCGCCCTGACCACCCACCCATTCTACACACGCCACGAAATACCACTGTGTCCACTCACCGGCGCAGGACTATATCCGCCCCTCGGGCGCGGCGCCCAGGCAACGACAATCTTTCACGCCGTTCACCCCGTCCCGCGCCGCGCCTTACGCCAGTTGCTTCCATACCAGTTGCGCTTCGTGGGCGAGGAACTAGACGAGAGGCTGTATGAGGCGGTGGTGATGGACGAGTTTGCGGAGCATGTGAGCGAAACGATGATGAGGATTAACGAGTTGTTCGAGAGGGATGGCGAGGACGGAGTCGGGTGTGCGTGTCGGCATCACGAGAGGATTGCCGCAAGGGGGGATGTGACTGATAGGGCTGCTCGGGATGACGGTGTAGGTTCGGAAGAGACTGTGGTTGAAGAGGTAGGTGGCGATATGCAGGCGGTGCACTTATCGTCCGCTACTTAGTCGGCTGATTTTGCAAGTTGTTTTTCTGTTTAGGTTAAATGCTATGTGTTTTGTCGCCAATACGTGCGAGTCTCTTGTGCAGTCCCGTGTCTAGTACCATTGGATAGAGTCGGGAACCCTCCTCAGTCCGTATGCAGTGAAGCACTGACTTTGCCAAAGTCGTTAAAAGCTTGGGAGGTACACATTGTGCAAGCCTCAATAAGTCACTGATGCCCGAAGTCTTCGAGTAACTGAAGTCGCGTTCTTGGGTGCCTTCTCTGTGCAATGCGTGATCTCCAGCTTCCGATCAATCAAACAGCGCAGGTCCGCCTGCACTCCCAACATGGCTTCCACGGTTGCCTCATCAAGGCGCCCATGCATGTCGCACCCTCGTGGCTTCCATGCGCATCACTCCTGATGACAATTGACCACGCCAAAGCCCCAATTTCCCACCCAGTGAAGACTAAAGCCAGTCCAGGTGCAAACCCAGCAAGTAAGTTTGAAACGGACAGACGTTTGATTCGCGCGCTCATCCAGAAATTTCCATCTCGCCATAACGAGCGACCCAAGCTCGTCTTCTCGCGTCATGACTGGTAGCTCGGGCTGGATATCCTCAGAGACCAATCAGGTGCCCTAAGGTAGGTGGGAGTGGTGCATATAGCTTCGCAATGCAGCAGTGGCGGCGTGGATGTGGATTCCAGTATCATTTTTGATGTTTGAACTGGTCTTTCGGGTAAGGGTATGCCCTGTTCCATGGGTTGGTTGCTGTGAGGGGTCGTGACTGCGCGGCCTGGCTGTATATTCTCAATGTCTAGTTCGGCACCATACGCAAATGAACCGGGAAATATTGCATATGCCTTCTGGATCTGTGGTCGGATGTTCAATTGAGTCGGCTGGTGATGGAAAATTGGTGTTGGTGTCGAGTGCATTGTCATGTTTTGCTCCTTTGCTGCACGATAACTGTGCTGGCCAGGATTGCAGCTGCAATGTCGGGTACGGCAGGCCGAATGCTTTCACAGCCATATCGTCACCTGTGCCTGCCGTTTCTTTGGGAGTCGTGGAGATATCCAGCTAGTTCAATCCGAACTCGTTCCATGGTTCCGTCGACCAGACTTTCGTTATGTTTCGTAGCTCAACCACATCGTGATATCTGGTTCACCCTGAACCACGCTTTGGAACTGTGATCTCTTCAGCCTCTTCATCCAATTGAACGTGCCCAGTTGCCCTTTCCCTCCATCCCATCTTCCAAATTTTGCCAAATCCCAAAGCACCTCAACGTACTCTTTTATCTTCCTTTTCCTCCTCTTGTAATATCCAATAGCACTTCAGTGCTCCAAGATGAATTCCTTCTCCAACTTCGACCTTTCATCGTGGGTAACTGATCACTTTGGCAACCTGGTCACATCACCCCCTACCCCGCAGCCCACGCCGCCAGCAGCAAAGCGTGGTCCAGGGCGTCCGCGTACAAACCCCCTTCCCGATCCTAATGTTCCCCGTCGCAGTCGAGGCCGGCCTTCAGGCGCCAAGGACACCTTCAAGCGCATTGGTCGAAACCAAAAGGCCATCCTTTCGAAGGAGGAGCGCCTCGAGCGCAATAGGACGCAGCAGAGAGCGTCTTTGAAGAGGACGCGTGAAGCACAGAACCTCACTCCCCCTTCGTCGCATGAGGTGCAAGATTTGACGTTGTCAGAGGACGAGCAGTCCGAGGCAACGCCCATTTCGTCACCGAATGCAGCGTGGGAGGATGAGCTACTACGCGAGTTCTTTTCTCTTCGTTCTCCCCCTCCTCCCACTCATCCCCATCATATCTCTCCGGAGGAAGCGAGCCTCACCCCCGCCGACTTTGCCGCCCTGAACAATGGGCTGTCCGGGGCTACTTACACCAATCCCTTCTCGTCCTCGCTCGCATTCCAAGATGATACTGAATTGGAAGAGGATCTGACGGTACTTTATTCTTGGTCCTCTTGATTTTGCACTGGCACAGGTACGTCGTCTGGATGCGGATTTCCCTCATGATGTCCGTCGCGTCTGTAGCGCGCCCAAACTAACATGAAGATTAGGAAGCCGAGCAGGATGGCAATGACGGTGGGAGCGGCGGGGTGGCGCATTTTGGATTTCTGCTCTGCGATGTGCTTGTGGGATTCGGCTAATTATTGCGTTGTTCGTGCAATACGGGCTGGGTTTTTGGGTTAGTTCATATGGTTCTGCACGCAGCCTGAAGGTTTTGCGGTTCGTGCATGCCGATGGGGTTTATATATGCGTATTGAAAATTTGGCATAAAGTTCACATCTGGTGCATAATGATGATCCGTGGAACACTTCAACTCACCAACAAGACGACTGATTGATGTTTAGGATGTGCTACAGATTTTTGCGAGATTTGTCGAGCTGGTGGTTTCGCTGTGAGAAGCTGCCACGCAGCGAGTTCGGAGATGCTGGTTCCTGACTAAGCCACTAGCTCTACGTTGGAACCTTGGAACAACCCAAACATCATTCGCGATAAAGCCTTGGAACGACACATGTATTTTGAAATATGAATGATCTTGAAAATGGCGGATAGATCTATATGAGCTCCAAGTATGGAGCCACAACGATGCACCTTATTACACCTTAATGCATATGCACATGAAACGGCCCGGAGTTCAGGCCATGCCAACATACTTAAACCATAGCGGCCGACAATCCTCTCGGTTGAGCCACTTGTCTCCGTCAGTGAAACGCCCTGCGACGCAGCCTGAGCACTTCGGACTGGTGGGGCAGTTGAAGAAGGGAATGTGTTGATATCCGATGTCGCGGAACCAGTGAATCTTGCTCTTGTCCTCGAACAAGCCCAGCGCAATGCTGTGAACAGGCGCATCACCCCAACGCTCGTAGAAGAAACCACCCGCGCGGTCCAGATGGTTGAAGAAGTCGCGGTACTTCTTGCTGCGCCAGAAACTCAGGTCGCCAATTTCAAAGTTGGACCAGAAATGGCATGTCGAGTAGCCGTTGGCTTTGCGATTGTTCTCAGGCCTCCTGGTGTCGTCCTCCAGCCACCCGCGGGCGTTGTTGGCATGTGCGTAGTCCGGATGGTCGGCGAGGAACTTTTGCGTCTCCGGCCACAGCGTTGCGACGCTGTCCGGGCTGTCGTAGATGTTGATGTTGAAGCCATATGTCTTGTTGTGGTCCTGCATCCAACGAAAGACATCGTAGTCGACGTCACAGAAGAAGTGAGCGTTGGGCTCGACGCGCCAGTAATACTGAACGTCCTTGAGCGCTGGATGCTCGCTGAACATGCCGCTGTTCCACCGACACATCTGATGGTATGACTGCTTCTCCATGTACTGCACGCCTTGGCCAACGAGGAGGTTTACGGATTCTTGAACGAGGTCGGGGTTGATCCAGGAAGGAATGTCCCAATGCTCGGCAGGGACCAATTCTGCGATGTACTGTTAGCTTCGCACGCGCAACAGACAGATGTCGGAGGTGGATGCTGACGTACCAAATCGAACCTCGGCATTTGTAGCTGCTCGTATCTTCCTCTTAAACTCCTCGGTGAAGGGCTTGTCGTTGAAGAAAGTCCATGGGTAATTGAACTTGTGGTTCCATGTCCTCTCCAGGTCGGCCATGCTCTGCAACATATCCTTGAGCTCCTCATTGCGCACCAAAGACAGGATGGTCGCATTGATGCGCGCGCTGTTGGGGTTGTCTGGGTCGTAGTTGTCGCCTTCGACTCTGCGTAGCGGGCCGATGGGTTCGCCCGATGCTGCATGGGATGATTAGCACGTGACACCAGGACAACACCCGTGAGAGCCATACAGTCCAATTGGGGGTCATGGTCTTTGCTAGCGGGTTTGAATGGCGAAGGCTTGCTGACGGGGAGCTGTATCTCAGTCTGTGGAGAGTGCAGCAATTGCACCAAGAGGTACAAGAAGATGCAGAGGGTTGCAGCTGCCAAGTAGCGCATGCTCTTGGGCAGCGCCATGATGATGAGAGAGTCTGGGCAAGTCTGGGAACGCTGGGAACAGAGTCCCTCTCCCCAGCGAAACGTCTTGCATGGCGTGTTTGAGTCGTCTTCAGCAGCAAGTGACGTGCAAGCGCGCGTCCTCAGGGTCTAGCCTTGGCAGGGCAAGCGCCAGCGGGGCGGAAAGTGGGCTGCTCGGCAAGCACCATCGCACGTCGGCTTCACCCCACGCGTCGTCCCATCAATCTGCCCTGTCAGCCTTCACCCTCGAGCAGACGGTATCACGTGCATGCGCGACGCGTTCAGATGGCCCAGAACGCACGAGGTTCAGCCCTCACCGACGAGCTCATACAGTCTATCCTCGGCTTCGATCCGGCCACCAACAGACAGGCTTACAAACACGCCAAAGACATTGCCTCGCGTGGACTGCGCGGTTACCAATATGCGCGCACTAATCAGTTTGATGTCGTGTCTACATATGCTGGCCTCGACGAGAAGTTCCGCGTGAAGAACCGCGACGATCTCGCTGATGCCCTGAAGACACGGCTGCAGAAGCTAGAAGCACGAGCAAGCAAATTTACCCCGGACATCCTGTCGTTCCTCTTGCTACTGTCTGATAGACCGCTGGAGAATACCAAAGTGGAAGCTTTGGAGCTGTTGCGGCCTCCCAGCCCCGAGCTACCTCTGACGTGGGATGAAATCTTAGAGAATGATCCGTACAGCGACGAAGACATCTGGAAGGACATTGACTATGCCGTCGAATCGTCGGGCGATGAACAAGCGTCGAAGAAGCGTGCGAAAGCAAAGGTGTCGCCGCCGACCAGTGTTGACGAAGACGACACTTACGACCCCACCGCTTGCGTGCTATCAACGGAAGAGAATTTGTCCAAAGACCTTGAGGCAGCTCAGTTTTGGAATACTTCATCGGAATCAGACGGTTCAGTGACAGAGATTACCGAACTCCAGATGTTACGAGAGACATTGTTTATGCTCGCAGGGCTTCGAACCAGTCTTTACAAGCTCGATCCTCAGCAAAGCAGTATTCGCATCAATCCCAAATATGTCCTTGCCTCTGCGATGTCCAACACAGTGCAACACCTCCTTTCAGAGCTGGTCAATATCGGCAGAAACGTCTATCGCTTGCGGCAGTGGACTAAGCGGTCGCAGACGCTACCCCTCATCCAGACCTTCGAGTCGACAGTCAGAATGCGCCTCGTCGCCTTCGATCGCGCTCTTGCAGACGTGCAACAACGATACCTAACGCCGAACTCACCAGCAGCAGTGAGTCTACTTCAATTACACACGGAAGTGCGTTCCATGTCTGCGCCGCTTCTTCGCCTGGCGCATTTGACTTCGGACGTCGAGGTTGCACTGCTTGTGAACCCTTTCAGTCACCTAGAGGCGCTCTTCGACCAAATCAACCTCGCTCAGATGACGCTAGAAATCAGATCGTTCCAATATCTCTCTTCCGTGTTCTTCGACTGTCTACAGACATACCTCAAACCCATCCGGAAGTGGATGGAAGCTGGCGAGCTGGGAGCCAACGACGAGACTTTCTTCGTCTTCGAAAGCGACTCTGGCAGCGATGCCGCCTCACTCTGGCACGACCGTTACGTCCTGCGCCGGGATGCGCAAAATAGTTTGCAGTGCCCTTCGTTCCTACAGCCCGCCGTAAAGAAGATATTCAACACTGGAAAGAGCATTATTTTTTTGAAAGAGCTAGGGATACGTGGAGCAGGCGCGCAGCCGTTTGGAAGTGAGCCGCGACTTGATCATGAGAGCGTGTGCGGTCTGTCCGACGACGTGCCAGTACCTCCATTTGCCGAGCTGTTCCAGGCTGCTTTTGATCGCTGGATGCAGAGTAAATACTCGCAAGCCTCATCTGTGCTTCGGGAGCACCTTGTCGAAACTAGCGGTCTCATGCGCACATCGGTCATTCTCGAAACACTCTATCTCGGTAAGAACGGGGCAGTCTTCGAAGACTTTGCTAACGCATTGTTCGAACGCATGGATGGAGGCCGGAGGGGCTGGAATGACCGATATGTCCTGACCGAAATCACACGCACCATATTTGGCACCGTGATGCCTCACCAGGATGCCGAAAGAATTGTCGCTCGCTCGTCCAAAGTGAAGGCAACGAGCCAATCAGTCAAGGATCTGGCTGCAGTCTCGCTTGACTTCGCTCTTTCTTGGCCGATTCAGAACATCATTCAGCGCTCCTCCCTTCCCGTCTACCAGCAAGTCCTGACCTTCTTGCTCCAATCGTACCGTGCAAAGTACTTGCTCCAGCGCGCACGACCCGGGCGAGGCCCTCAGCTAAAATCTGCACGGATTCAGCTTACATACAAGCTGCAGCATCGCGTGACCTGGTTCGCGGATATACTGCGCTCGTACCTTACGGAGACTGTCATATTCTTCACGACTCGAGCCATGGACGCCCAGATGGAGAAAGCAGAAGACATTGACGAGATGGCACAGGCACATCTCAGATATGTCACAAATTTACAGACGCGCGCTTTATTATCGAAAGACGTAAAACCGATACACAAAGCGGTCATCGAGATGTTGGACCTCAGCGTGCTCTTCGCCAAGACATTAGCAAGTACCCGCGACCAAAGCACTAAAGTTGTGATTCCGAGAAAGACTAGGTCCATGTGGCAAAGGGATACGACGCTCATCGCCGCAACCGCAGAGCTTTCGGACTCAGACCCGGGTTCGGACGCCGAAGATGACCATCACGAGACTGTCGATGAAGCAGCACAACGAAGTCCCATGGAGTCACTTCGGTATATCGACAGCGAATTCGATAGGCTACTTCCCTTCATCACTGCGGGTCTGAGAAGTGTAGGAAGAGTGGGCGCGGAACCCATGTGGGAACAATTGGCGGAACGCCTGGAGTGGAAAGACAAGAAGCTGCGCACTTGATGAGGGCTCGTCCCAAGATTCTCGATTTTCATAGTCTGAATGATACCCCATGCAATTCTAAGTATCTGCACAAATTCCATAGCTCTGTCAACCTTCACCTTTGCGTCATTTATTTTCATCTTATATGCAGGTGAAAAGAGCAAACGCCCGCCTGATCCCACACTTCTGCGCAACCAACTCTTCATCTACACCCCCTTTTTTCTCAGACCGCATAAATGTACCCCAGAATCTATTTTAATGATAGTATCAGTACTCACCGGTCCAGAATCTCAGCAACACAAGCTCAAGCGTTAAATTGCGCGAACTTGGTGGGACAATCCATACAAAGATGTGGTAGAGCAAGTTGATTACACGTAATTACTAGAGCGGGAGTTCGCAGCTGCTTTTTTGCGCCTTTTTTACACCGTGGCAAAGGAGAAAAGCTTCACGATGTTTCAGCGGGTGAATATTTTTAGGGTTTCGTAATTAGCATCTGATCCTTGACGGAACCAACGCGACGTGGATTACGCCCGATACCCCGCAGCATCGACGTCTACTTAAATTGAGGGTGTCAGCACTGCTATTGCACGCCTACCTATCAAGGCTGTCTGAGAAGTCAAACCTTCACCTCTCGTGTGCATATGAATAATAGAAATCATGACCAGGACAGCTATCGTGGTAGGTCATCTTTAATACTAACTCGACTTCAATCGCTAACAACGAAGTAGGTGGGCGGCTCATTAGCCGGCCTAATGCACGGCATAATCCTCAAAGAAAACGGATTCAAGGTCCAAGTCCTGGAACGCAGCGCGCCTGAAGTTCTGGACAGCGAGGCGGCGGGAATACGCGCAGGGCCCGAGGTTCATGACTTCATCGAGCAGCATGTTCGGCCTTCGTTCGATTACGCAGTCACCGCGGAAAAGGCCGAAATTGTGGACGGCGATGGCAACGTTGTTGATGAGCTTCCGTTTCCGGATCCGTTGAGATTGACGACTTGGAAGATTATTTATGATATGCTCAAGGGCGCGCTACTAGAGGCTGTCAATGGACAGCAAGTCGCGACATACGAAACTCGTCAGATGGTCCAGGACGTTCAGCTAGTTGGTGAAAAGGTCGAGGTAAAGGTTTTGGACCTGGAAAAAGCCACGTCGACGTCAATCGAAGGCGATCTGGTCATTGCAGCAGACGGAGCGCATTCCGCAATCCGCAAAAAGCTTTGTCCCGAAGTGAAACCCCAGTATGCCGGATATGTCACCTGGCGCGGTCGCGTTCCCGAGACAGCTGTATCTCCACAGACCAGAGAAGCCTTGCGAAACCGATGCATGATCCTACGCGTCGAGGGCGGCTACCAGATATCGTGCGTAACTCCCAACCTACCAACTTCTTTGCAAGTTTAATGACTGAAACTCCTCCAGGTACTACGTCCCCAGCGACGCCGACCCAAAGTCTTCGCGGCGAGACTTCGTCTGGATCTGGTACGACAATCTGGTACCGGACTCACAAGAATTCACCGAGACTATGACCGACGTCGATGGAAAATTGCGCCACAGTACCATTCCACGGGGGAAAATGGACCCGATAGTATGGCAGCGTGCCGTCGCTCGTAAGAGTACAGTCGTAAACCCGCACTTCATTCACCTGATGGAATCTATCACCGAGCCCTTCGTCACAGCCATCAGCGACTTCGCGGGCCAGCGCTCCGTCTTCTTCGACGGGAGGTTGCTGCTGGTAGGTGATGCGTTCACGCTTTGTCGGCCGCATGGGGGTGGGAGTACGAGCCAGGCGGCGTTTCGGGCGCAGACGCTTGACAAGACTTTACGGGGAGAGATAACACTGGAGCAATGGGAGGAGACCTGTTTGGCCGAGGCGAAAAAGGCTGCCATGTTTAGTTTGGCTATGGCGGAGTTCTTTTGGAGGGGGAAGGTGGAGAAAGCGGAGAGTGAGGCGGGAGGAGCGAAGTAGGACGGCGCGGTTGATGAGGGATCACTGATTGGAATAATGTTGATAAATGCTGTTGAATTCTGGGTACCTATCTACCCAGTTGCATCAAGGTCAGGCAACGAGTGGCAGGTCTTGGAAGTTATCGGTGTATTTGATTCTCGACAGCTGAGGGGAACATGCATTCGACTGTGTGTACGGATAAATGTTTTGCAATCCCATCGCAATTCTTCCTACTCCAGATTCTATGGCAATGGTCTCCAGGCAAGACATGTTCCCATATTCGCTCGCAATACTCAACCCGAAAAGACAGCCCCTCATCCTCCACCTCACATTGACGTCGGTTCCAAAACCCATCATCCTACTCCAAGAGTGCCTATCGGCAAGTTGGGTTGAAAGCCTGGTTGACCGTCTTTGCGCCGATAGAATCGCAGTTGAAAGGCCTAGGTTCCCCACCAGCCGGCGGACAGATGGGGTACTGCTTGCTCTTCGTCTCCCCGATCGTTCAAATACTATAAGTAATCACAGCCTCGCTATCCTGAGCAGAATCCGCATACGTAACCGGGTAGGAAACCTCGAAGTCCTGAGTGACAGGCGCCTCGAGCTCACCGTTGTAGCAAGAATAAGTTGTCTGCATTCCTTTGACGTGTAGCATCAGTGCAGTAGCCTGCTGTTGGCACTCGTGATGCTTTGGGCACGTACCAGAAACGGTGACGCTGGTAGCGTGGCTTTCTGAGAACGAATATCCGAAGCTGAAACTGGCGCCCGCTCCGGGTTTGGCAAGCTCGCGCCTCACCACATCACCCAGACCACTATGTTTGGCTCAAGGTCAGCTGCATGGGCTATCAAGATCGAATCCTGGTACTTACGCATCCAATCCGAATCCTATGCTAATAGTCTTGGACACGGCGTATGTCTTCCCAGCAGAGATCACGCAGTCTGTGGTGTATAGTGTCAGATCAGGGAACTTGAGCATTTATATCATGAATAAACTTACTGGTTGATCCCGCGTTGCATCCAGCTCCGGACACGGGAAAAGTCCAGCCCGTCACCTGCTCAACCAAGGTGACATGTTGCTCGATCATATCATTGCAATGTGTGGCCTGTGGTGGACCTTCACGAGCTTCCAGGGATACTGATCCAGTAGCTCCAAGCCACAAGTCTGAAACTTCTTAGACCGGAGCTGCTGCAGCAAGACTCCCGGCGAGACAGGCGATGAGAGTGTTGGAAAATAGCATCTTGGGAAGCTTGGCCGAGGGAATTTGACTGAAGTCCAATATAGTGATGAACGGTAACTGTTATGCGTGTCGATAGCCCCGCACATACGGATGTGCAATATTTATGTGCGCGACCTGAGACGTCTTTCACCATTTCAAATGCATAGTAGGGCTTTCATCCTTACTAGCTCATGCCGCCGGATTTGCTATACAGCTACAACACCCCAATACTCGAACGGAGGCGTTGTCATTACAACATGTGGCTTGAAGCAGATACCACCTGTTGGGAACGGAATACCATTTTGAGGCAGCTGGAGTCTTCTCGACAGTTGGTTACAGCTTGGAGTCGGGCCGAGCCGTATTTGCGAGCATGGGCTGCCCTGCTAGAGGGAGGTTGCCGTTTGGAAACTGAGTCAGTTGGGGCTGAGCACCGCCTTCATGTCACTATCACAAAAATTTCCTTTTTGGGTATGCCGGTGAAAGGGTAGTAGGTCGGCGCTCAACATCCAGGGACCTAGGCTGCTTAAGTGTGTCGCAAAACGTTTTTCAGGGGGTGTTGTTCTGGTAGCTTTGAGATACCTAAGTGATAGCGAACTTATGGTGAAAGTCCAACCTTTCCACCGACCTCTCTTGCGCCTTTGACGTCTTTGACGTCCGGAATAGTCAAATTTCAAGAATTTTCTCAATAAGTTTCCTCATAACTACCTAATGTAGGTTGTCCTATGCAAACTGGAACCAGCTTAACTACAAACTCACAGCTCTGGGAAGAACTATAATGTCTACTGTCTTGTCATTTGTAATGCCCAAAGATTTTGTTTTGTGGCTACAATATCCGGTGGTACTTATAGGTGAGTAGGAAGAGCTGACCCTAATGAATTTTTTAATGCTTTGCTAACTCTTTACATAATGATGAGTGACTCGTCTCCAGATTTATCCTCGTCAGGTGACAGCTAGAAGCGAATTTGTAGTGGAAAATATATATGCGTAGCTTCAGCGTCATTTGTCAATATCTAAATGTTTAACATTGTCTATGTCCGTGGATTCTAGTTGAATATCTTTGCGATAAAAATTTACACTTACAAGCCTGGCGCTATACGTGTAGGAAGATAGCTTGATGAATGTAATTAATCTGTCGTGTCTGGTCGGCGTAGTACAGGGAGAGACCTTGAGATTAGACCTAATCTCTCTATAATTCACTTTCGAAGAGACACAATTTCTCGGGATAGCCTGGTGGCCGGCCCGAAGGATTCTAAGGCACAGAGTACGAGGTGCTCCTCAAAGAGGCTTGTGATCGATCACGTTTTCGTGCCGCCCCTGGAGGTTATTAAACCCCTGGTCAATGACCCAGAGGACAGAAACATTTGTGCTGCAGTCAATTCTAACAAGGCTTGTGGACAGCGACCCTGTTTTTTGATCGGACGTAGCTTTCTGGACATGGCTGAAATATGTATTTTCACTGCTTACAACACAATCAAGAAAGCCACAGTTTGAAGGTCTCTGAACATTGTCTCGTTGACGTGATTGGAGAAGATGGGCTCTAGTATGAAGTGAGTTGTTTCACCATTCTTGTGCACTATAGTCTTGTAGATCTGAGCCGCTACGCACAGGGCTTCTCGATACCTAGAACTTACAAGCGGCAGTGACATTCACTCATAAGAGCTGTTTCACCTCGCTCTGCGCAGCCGAGCCGCGTCGTCTAATGACGAAATTGCCCGCTAGGTTAGTGAGCCCAAAGTCGCACAGTGAAATATTTAAGCTGGCAACGGTCCTGGTGAGAGAATGTCCACTCCAATTATTGCTCAAATCTCAAGCCACAAGATGCTGTTCCCCTCCTGCCTCTACCTTTGGGCTCTTGCGATACTTGCGGGCACTATATGTGCATACAATCTCAAAGACGACTACACCAGGAACGGTTATGCCGACTTTTTCGACGACTTCAACTTCTGGACTGATGGCGATCCTACGAACGGAACGGTTGACTATGTTGACCAGCAATCAGCTTGGAATAACGGCCTTATTGGCAATGGCGGCAACATCTACCTCGGCGTGGATCACGCGAATGTCGCGAGCGGTCGTGGGCGAAAGTCTGTACGCCTGACGTCCAAAGCAACCTACAACCCTGGAACGCTCGTCGTGGCGGACATCACCCACATGGTACGCTGCTCTCACTCCCGCTCAACTATGATAGCTGCTAATACTCAAGATAGCCCGAGACTTGTGGCACCTGGCCCGCGTTCTGGACAACGTCCGCAACCGCTAACTGGCCCCAAGAAGGCGAGATCGATATCGTGGAGCAAGTGAACAACGCGAAACACAACGAAATTTCTATCCACGTCAGCGAGAAACAGGGCAAATGCTACATTGACCCAAACATCGACCAGACCGCTGAGCGCGACCGCTTCACTGAATGCAGCGAGGAGACCAACCTTGGATGCGATGTCAACGACCGTCGCGAGAATTCCTTCGGCAGTGGCTTCAACAACAACAACGGCGGCGTGTATGCAATGGAGTGGACGGCCTGGGCGGTGAAGGTGTGGTTCTTCCCGCGCGACTCGATTCCGACTGGCGACCATGGCCCGCTTGGATCGTGGCCCGAGCCATCTGGATGGGGCTCTCCAACTTCGGTGTTCCGCAGCAGCGAGGGCGATGGATGCGACTTGGACAAGCACTTCAAGAACCAGAAGATCGTCATCAACACCACGTTCTGCAGCTGGGCGTCCGCTGCCTGGGAGAGCTCTGGGTGCAAGGCTTCTACTGGTTGGGAGAAGTGCGAGGATTACGTGTGGTGGAACTGGTCGGCTTTTGGCAATGCGTTCTGGACGTTCAATTCGCTCAAGGTTTTCACGTAGACGAGCCACTCGGTGCAAGACGCCGATGCGCATCTTAGTATGCTTGGAGGTTTCGGTACTCCGTCCGTTGAACTTCATGGACCTCGACAACCATGACGAAGGATGTGCTCATGGACAGTTGATATAGACTAGCGTAGACAAGTAGAGCGGAACACAAATACATTGGTCATCAACTACTAGAAAGATTTTGGAACCACCGTATAATCAGTCAACGATCAGTGCCATCCTAAAACGAAGCGTTCTAATTCCAACCCGATTCAATGCACAAGGCTGAATGAGTGCCCGTCTGCCTAACCACATTGAAGGAAGTACTGCCAACTAGGACGGAATTTTGTGGGTGGCGGTTCATAAATGATGTTGAGTGCTGTGTATTTTGCCCGTCTTCCAGCCAGCTAATCCGGTAGTGTAGCCCTCAAGAATTTCCTTTTCTAGTATCCCGGCCGTTTTGACGACATCGGTGTGCCCGTGAGAATTGCCCTTGCATTTGTACCGTGTCCGATCGGAGCCTTCGCCGCTAATTACCAGTTTTCACTGAGCTAGGAACGTGCACAAGCACACGACTGGAGCGTAGAAGCTTCGAGCCAAGATACGGGACGTTGTGGGGTGAATTGGCGTTAGAGCAGTTTCAGCCACCATATGTATCTCGGCCCGTGGCAATGGTTCGGTTGGCGGCCAAATTACTACTTCGCGAATTGTACATGATCAAAGCTAAGGATAGCCAGTACTCGTATTGTAGGAGGTTGGGGCCAGATGTCATTCCTGATCTGACAACTGCAATGAGATACAAGAGTGGGAGTTGTGAACTCTATATGCTTCGAACAAAAGTCCAGACTCGATATCCCGCTACCAAAGATACTCTGTCATGCCCTGATAGTGTGGTGTCGGCCAGGCCCAATTCATCCCCATGGAAGCCTGCTCCTGGAACGCCGGCCACACTTCCGGATCCACATTAACAAAGTCTTGATACGACGCTGTTGTGCCTGTTCCTAGCAACGCATTCGCATCACCTGCTAAACTCTCACCAACATCATCCTGCGTGCCTTCCTCGCGCGCCCAAGTTTCTATTTGCGTAATACGCGTCTTGATCTGCGTGACAATCGCAGGTGGCTCAACAGGACCTGTACAAGTCTGTGCCATGGCAGCTTCACGGGCGGTCCAGGCTTGAAAGACGACACCAGCGAAGATCTTGAAGAATGGGTTGCCTCGCTTGTTCATGAGTCTGTCGCTGTCGTCCAGGTCGGCAAAGCGAGCTGCGCAGTTTTCGCTCATAATATCCCAAGCTAGTGGTGCGTGGTCGCTGTCAGGCCGCTTGCGGAGATCGTAAACAATATGGACGTAGGCTGGGAAGGGGAAGTTGAGAAAGTTCAGCCAGCGGAACTTCTTGCCGAACTCAGCTGACATGATTTTTGTGTCGCATTGAAGCATGGAGAGGGCGCAAGAGATACCTGCGTCGAGTTCTGTATCCGTCCTAGTTTTTGGTGACATGGAGCTCTCAGCTAGGTACTTGATGAAGCGTGTCTTGGCGTGCTGTCCACGAGCCCACCAGAGCGTCATGTACTGAAGCGGGTTTTGAGGATCACAAAAACGCAGATACTTCTCTTCGATCATCTGTTCGAACATTGTGAACTCATCGTCGGCAGATGTTGTTTGACGGCTCCTCGCGATAGGCTTGAGCGCAGGATTGATGAAGTCCAGGTGAGATGCGCAGTGGCGTGTAAAGTCACCAAACTCTGCACGCACTACAGCAAAGATTGCTTCAGACTTTACACCATGTACCTCCGGCGGCAAATTCATCTCCGGACGGAAGTCAAAGTCGTTGGCGTTTAGTGGAAGCTTGCAGTCCCACGTTGGCAGCAAGAGTCCAAGTCTGAAGTCAGTCATTTCGGAGATCCGCGCATCGAACAAGACGAGTGACCACCACAGACGCCGCCGCAACTCAGCTTCGAGAGCCGGATGCTTTCTATTGGCACTTTCGTCATGAAGACCCATGCGCTGTGCGATGCGTGTTGCGATACCGAGCATGGAGGATAGAGCGCGTGGGTCTGTAAGCGGCTTGACAGTCATCTGACATGGTCAGCATTTGTTCCGTACTGGACGAGGAGTATGCGTACAAGATAGAAGTGCAAGGCGGTCAAAACTTCGCGATCTCCTGTCCTCATGAATCTGCAGTTCAACAGTGCTTCACGTGCACCCAATTGATAGCCAGACAGAAGGTCTTCCCTCGATGCACCGAACAATTTTTCACATTCTTGAACCCCCAAGCTAAAGATGGAGACGCAGTATATGCTGAACATGAGTGCCTCAAAGGCCGGATCGATTTTGGTAAGGTCGCTCGCAGCGTCGATTATCCGGGCCTGAAGCGTGGGCGCATGTGTGACTTTGAGCATTGGATCAAAGCGCTCGAGATAAATCTGCCAAATCTTGAAGATGTGGATCTGACTCGGATGCAAGGGTAGTAGATCCACGCTGGTATTGCGTGAGCAGAAGAGGAGGTGATCGCTGTTGTCGTATAACGAGTCCCAGGCTGTTTTGAGCTCAGTTTCTCGTAAAATGTTCCCGGAGCCGTCACTCATGTCATATTCTTCCGCATCACCGGGGTGAGAACTGTAGAGGTCGTCAACTCTGGGCTGAGGCTGTTTCTCTGTCTTAGCATATTGAATTTACGAATACTTTGTTACGCACCTGTCGATTCATAGCGTCCCAGAAGTTTCTAAAGTATGGTCAGCCATGCTCTGTGTTTGCATTAACCGTTCCCTTACTTGGCTCTATATGGTGTCGATGGCTGCGCTTCGCCATCACCTCCAGCTCTCCGCGTCGTAACAGCAGCTTGCAGCGTAGGCATGTCGGGATGTAACGGCTCAAACTGTACATCGTTCTTTCGCAGCAGATCCTCATAGTGACGAAGTCGATCGAGCAGGTCCCGCTCCGCAAACCGTTTCCGCCGCGGGCGCGGTGCATTTGGGGCCGAAACACATTGCACACCGGCTTTTGCGCAATTGGCGCATGGGAATTTACGATCACATTTGACCTTTCTGGATTGGCAAAGCACGCATGCAAGCACGCGCGGAGTTCTGGTCGATCGCTGGGGTTGAGTAGGCGACGCTTTGTCCCTTGGACTTTCGTCGGGAGTTGGTATTTCCGCAGACATGATTTTCACAAAACGTGGTGTGTGAGATGTCAGTCTAACAATAGATGATGGTGCTGATGTAGGGTAATGAGAGAGCTCGGGAACGTCTAATGTCCGACGCGACTGCGATCGGCTATTTCTACCGCCCGACGACGGCTCCGCCCCTGGGAAGGCTAGAACACTGTATCGAGATCAGTAGTTACTTGCAGGCATACGTACTCAATTCACATGAGCATTGCAGTATTAGCTAGGGTTGAAAGTGTCCGTGTCTGCATGAGAATGCGATGAGCGAGAAGTGCAAGGACCCGGGGAATTCATGGCAAAATGCGCTAGCCCGAAGTATGTTCGCGTACACTCCATGTACTCCTCCTGTAATACCAAACCGTAAGAAACTGCTGAAATCCTGTTTAGCACTTGAAATCACTCTACTATGCTTAAGAGCAGAAGAGATGGCATGCTTCTGAGAAGATACCAAAATAATGATGGACCGACGAGCAAGGCTTCAACCAAAAAGACATTTGCTCGCACATTGCTATTACCCGAGCATGAACGCCACTGCATCCACCGTGACGGCATTCACTATAGTCCGGGAGGGAACCCATCCTATTCTTCCCCGTACGTGCGCATGTTTCGGAAACATCTGCCACCCGAAAAGGATGCCTGACGAGCACCAAGGCAAGTCCACTCCACCTTGCCATGTACATAAGGCTTCGACCGAGTATTGCAATCGAACTCCCAAATTTTCAATCACCTCCTCCTCAACCAATCCGCCATGTCCTCCCCAGTCGAAGCAACGAATCGCAATCCTGAAAAATCCACATCGACCTCACAACCACCTTTACCCGTCGAGATGTCTCCAACCAAATCTCGAGACGCAATAGAGCCCCCTGGCGAGCCTTCAAGCTCTATCCACACCCTATCCTTCCACCTAGTCCTCCTAAGCATCTACTTTTCCTTCTTCCTGATCGCCCTCGACCGCATGATAATCGCGACAGCCATCCCCTCCATCACAAACACCTTCGCCAGCATCGCGGACATTGGGTGGTACGGCAGCGCCTACATGCTCACGTGCGCGATATTCATGCCCTTGTTTGGATCCATATACCGATTTTACGATGTCAAGACGGTTTTCATGGCTAGTGTCGCCGTGTTTGAAGTGGGCAGTGCGGTGTGTGGTGCTGCGCCGACGAGTGAGGGATTTATTGTGGGCAGGGCGATCGCGGGGATTGGAGCTGCTGGTAAGTCGAATATGTGTGAGGTTTGGAAGAGAGGAAAGGGCTAATGAAGAACAGGTATTAATGTCGGTGCGATTATGATTGTGGTAAATCTTGTGCCGCTGCATAAGAGACCGGTCTTCACGTCGTTTTTTGGCATGGCGTTTGGGGTAAGCTCGGTGCTGGGGCCGATCATTGGGGGTATATTCACGGATGCCAAGTAAGTTGTGGTATCCGGTTTGATGAGATGATTTTCTGACGGGAAGATAGATCCCTTACATGGCGTTGGTAAGAAACTCGTTAAGCGAGAGTGTTTGGAACGTATACTGACTTTGACTTGCAGGTGCTTCTACATCAACCTACCCATCGGAGCCTTCACGCTGCTGGTCATCTTCTTTTTCTTGAAATCGCCACCATCACCGCCGGAGAAGCAAGCAGCTGCGTCGCTGACACTTCTCGAGAAGGCGAAGCGTCTCGACCCGCTCGGACTGCTGTTCCTCGTACCGAGCATTGTCTGCCTGATCCTCGCTCTGCAATGGGGCGGTACAAAATATGCCTGGTCGTCTGGACGGGTCGTTGCACTCCTTGTCGTCTTCTCGCTGACATTCCTCGGCTTCCTGTTCGTGGAGTACAAGTTCCCCGACACTGCCATGGCGCCTGCGCGGGTGGTCCTGAACCGTAGCGTCGGCTCTAGCCTCTTCTTCACATTTATGGCTAGTGGCGGCATGATGTGCGCCGTGTACTACCTCTCCATCTGGTTCCAGGCCGCGCAAGGCCAAAGTGCAATGGAAGCCGGCATACGTACCATTCCGATGGTTATCGCCATCGTGATCATGGGTATTATCATGGGTGTTGTGGTCCAGAAGATTGGCTACTACGTTCCTCCTCTACTCATTGCGCCTATCCTCGCCGCGGTGGGCAGTGGCATGATGTCGACGCTCACGCCGGGTTCAAGTCGTGCAGAGTGGATTGGATATCAAGTTATATATGGTCTTGGAGTTGGCTCGGGCGCGCAGAGCGCTTCACTGGCTGCGCAGACTGTCCTGTCGCGTGAAGATGTCCCACTCGGCACTGCAATGAGTTTCTTCATGCAGCAGATTGGCGGCGCGATTTTCGTTCCTGTTGGCCAGAATCTGTTTTCCACGCAGCTCCTGGGGCATCTGTCCGGCGTCGATGGCTTGGACACGGAGATGATTCTCAACACAGGCGCAACGGATCTGAAGAAGGTGGTTTCGGCAGGTCAGTTGGGAATTGTGGTGGATGCATACAGCTTCGCTTGCACGAGGGTCTTTGTTCTGGCCGCTGCCCTGAGTGCCATGATGATGATTGGCGCATTGGGTGTGGAGTGGAAGAGCATTAAGAAAGGAAAGACTGAGGTCAACAAGGGAGATGAGGAGAAAGTTGGCAAAGAGGCTGAGGTGTGACAATAGAAGAGCTTGATGTGGAATCTCTGTGCGAAAATCAGAATGATGCAATAATAATCTTCACCTGAAAGAACCTTTTGTCGCGTAGAGCTGAGTCGAAGCTGTGAGAGAGTGACCGATAACGGGCTGACAGGCGGACAGGGACGCTAATGACGGCGGCTGCCCCGCTGAAATTTTTGGGAAAGAGCACCCCGCCATAACGTGTGTATCACCGTTTCTCTGTCTTCGGACAGCGTCACATTCACTCTCCAAGCAATTGGTGCCATCCAGCATGGCGTCGACTGGAGATGCTTACCTCATCCTTCCTGGGTCGTCGGCCCATTCCGACTTCCGGCTGCAGCGATTGGCGCAGGACATTGGCGCAAAGGAAGTGCGCTCGCTGTGGGTGCATTTTGTGAACCCGCTGAGAGAGCTGAGCGCGGACGAGGTCAAGACACTGCAGCAGATTCTGCACTATGGCGAGTACCCGAGCGCCCAGGACCGCCTCTCGCAGGTGCTGCTCGACGCCCTCAACCGCGCCGACACCCCCCGCGACGACGCCACGGTGCTCTTCTACGTGTGCCCGCGTGCCGGCACCATTTCGCCATGGAGCTCGCTGGCGTCGATGATCGCGCGCACCTGCACCCTCGAGACGGCCGTGAAGCGCATCGAGCGCGGCATGGTCATCGCCGCCACCTTCGACACGCCCCTCGCCGCCGACGACATCCCCAACCGCGACAAGCTGCACGACCGCATGACGCAGACCATCTCCCGCAGTGCCCCGGACCTCGAGGACATCTTTGGCGAGGGCGAGCCCGCGCAGGCGACGACGATCAAGTTTGAGGAATACAACGGCGCCCATGCTGCCCTCGACCACGCAAACCGGCAGCTGGGCCTGGCCATGGACAAGTCGGAGATCGAGTACCTGGTCGAGGCCTACCAGCACGAGCTGAAGCGGGGGCCCGTCGACGTCGAGCTGTTCATGTTTGCCCAGGTCAACTCGGAGCACTGTCGGCACAAGCAGTTCAACGCCGACTTCACCATTGACGGCATGCGCAAGTCGCACTCGCTCTTCGGAATGATCCGGAACACGCACCAGAAGCACCCGGAGCACGTCGTGAGCGCATACAGCGACAACGCGGCGGTGCTCCAGGGCGAGGAGGCCAGCTTCTGGGCTCCCAGCAACCTGACGGGCGAGTGGAGCGGCACCAAGGAGACGGTCCACATCCTGTGCAAGGTCGAGACACACAACCACCCGACGGCCGTCTCTCCGTTCCCGGGTGCAGCCACCGGATCGGGTGGTGAGATCAGGGACGAGGGCGCTGTTGGCCGTGGCTCAAAGCCCAAGGCGGGTCTGGCAGGCTTTACCGTCTCCGACCTGCTCGTCCCGGGCTTCGAGCGCCCGTGGGAGATGCGCGACGTCGGAAAGCCCGCGCACATTGCCAGCAGTCTGGACATCATGCTCGAAGCGCCCATTGGCAGTGCCTCGTTCAACAACGAATTTGGCCGCCCTTGCACCATCGGCTACTTCCGCACGATGCTGATGCGCGTCTTCACCAACGAGAAAGAGACGGAGATCCGCGGCTACCACAAGCCCATCATGCTGGCAGGCGGTGTGGGTACGGTCAGACCGCAGCATGCGCTCAAGGACCCCGACATTGTGCCCGCCGGTTCGCATCTCCTCGTCATTGGCGGACCTGCCATGCTTATCGGTCTTGGTGGAGGTGCCGCTTCGAGTGTGCAGTCTGGCGAGGGCAACGTCGACCTGGACTTCGCCAGTGTGCAAAGAGGCAACCCAGAAGTCCAGCGACGAGCGCAAGAGGTCATCGACACATGTCGCTCCATGGGTGACAAGAACCCCATCCTGTTCATCCATGATGTTGGCGCAGGTGGTCTGTCCAACGCACTGCCCGAGCTTGTGCACGACTCTGGCCTCGGAGCCATCTTCGACTTGCGCGAGGTTGACAACGCGGACAAGGGCATGAGCCCGCTACAGATCTGGTGCTGCGAGGCGCAAGAGCGCTATGTGCTCGCAGTCGGTCCTGGTGAGCTTGATCTGTTCAAGCGCATCTGTCAGCGCGAGCGTTGCGGTTACTCTGTCGTCGGTGTGGCAACGGATGAGCAGCGACTGGTTCTCAAGGACAGCAACTCCACAGAGACGCCAAAGCCGATCGACCTTCCCATGTCGACACTTTTTGGAAAGCCGCCAAAGATGTCGCGCATCGTGGAGTCCAGGAAACTTCGACTGCCTGCTTTCGATAGCAGCCTGTCAATGTATATCCCCGATACTCCCAAGGATGGCCTGGTCGCTGAAGCCGTTGACCGTGTTATGACCCTACCCTCCGTTGGCTCAAAGAGCTTCCTCATCACCATTGGTGACCGGACAGTTGGCGGTCTTACCGTGCGTGACCAGATGGTCGGGCCATGGCAGACACCAGTAGCAGATGTATCGGTAACAGCTACATCACTATTGGCTGGCGTAAAGACCGGTGAAGCAATGGCCATGGGCGAGAAGCCTACGCTGGCATTAATCTCGCCTGCAGCATCCGCGAGAATGGCCGTCGTGGAGTCTCTCATGAACATTGCTGCAGCCAGCTTGTTCGACCGTCTTTCTCGGGTACGATTGTCGGCAAACTGGATGTCTGCCAGTAGTCACCCTGGTGAAGGTGCTGCGCTATACGAAGCCGTCGAGGCGATCGGCATGGACTTGTGCCCACGACTTGGCATATCGATCCCGGTAGGAAAGGACTCCATGAGCATGAAGATGAAATGGTCCGACGACGGCAAGGCAAAGGAGGTCACTGCCCCAATGTCGCTCATCATTACTGCATTCGCACCCGTTGACCGCATCGATCGAACATGGACGCCTGCACTCGAGCGTCTAGAGGACGTTGGTGAGACCATTCTCATGTTTGTCGACCTGGCTGCGGGCAAGAAGAACCTTGGTGGTTCCGCGCTCGCGCAAACGTTTGGCCAGGTCGGCGATGAAGCGCCAGATGTCTACGACGCAGATGTCATCAAGGACTACTTCGATGCCATCGAGCAGCTTCATGAGTCTGGTATTGTGCTCGCATATCACGACAGGTCAGATGGTGGATTGTTCACCACCCTTGTCGAGATGATGTTCGCCGGACGATGTGGCTTGGAGATCATGCTTGATGGTGTAGCCAACTCAAGTGAGCCGAAGGATGTGCTTGAGGGACTCTTCAACGAAGAGCTTGGTGCGGTCTTCCAGGTCAGGAAAAAGGACGAAGTCGCCTTTAACCGCTGTTTCGCCACATGCGGGCCGCCACCAGGCATGCTCCGCAAGATTGGTCGCGTGCCCGAGGTTCCGAAGCAGGAGATATCGATTGCTGTCGGCTCCAAGGTCGTGTACCGCAACAGCCGTCAAAAGCTGCAGCAACGTTGGGCAGAGACTTCCTACAGGCTGCAGAAGCTCCGAGACAACCCAGCTTGCGCCGACGCCGAGTATGAGAGTCTACTGGACGACAAAGACCCTGGTCTCTCGTACAACCTCACCTACAAGCCGGCTGAGAACATTCTGCCGCTCAAGATGACCCTGACCTCCCCTTTTACGTCCAAGCCTCGCGTCGCTATTCTACGAGAGGAAGGTGTGAACGGTCAAGCGGAGATGGCTTTCGCCTTCCATCAAGCTGGCTTCTCCGCCATCGACGTTCACATGACTGACATCATTTCGAACCGCGTCTCGCTCGCCAGCTTTGTCGGTCTCGCAGCATGCGGTGGCTTCTCGTACGGCGACGTCCTGGGCGCTGGTCAAGGCTGGGCGAAGTCCGTCCTGCTCCACCCTAACACACGCAAAGAATTCCAGGCATTCTTTGAGCGCCCCGACACCTTCGCCCTTGGCGTGTGTAACGGTTGCCAGTTCATGAGCAAGCTGAAGGAGCTCATCCCCGGCGCTGAGCTGTGGCCAAGCTTCGAGCGCAACATCAGCGAGCAGTACGAGGCTCGCGTTTGCATGGTTGAAGTCATCGACCCGACAGGCCCCAACACGTCGCCATCCGTCTTTTTACACGGAATGCATGGCTCCAAGCTCCCCATCGTCACTGCTCACGGCGAAGGTCAAGCATATTTCCCCAAATCTTCTACATCTTCATCGACGCCGCAGACCATGTACAACGAGAACCTCGTCAGTATGCGATTCGTCGACAACTACGGCACGCAGACCGAACAATACCCATACAACCCCAACGGATCGCCGATGGGTATCACGGGCGTGAGGAGCACAAGCGGAAGGGTGTTGGCGATGATGCCGCATCCCGAGCGCACCATCTTGAGGGAAGTCGCGAGCTATATTCCTCGCGGCGCCATGGACGAATGGGGCGACCTTGGGCCGTGGAGCAGGATGTTCAAGAGCGCAAGAAAATGGGTTGGGTAGGTGTGCATATGCATTGGGTTGGGGATACAGGCGTTTATAGAATAGTGTTGGCGTATACCATGCTTATTTGAACGACATGAGTTGTACGAAAGAGTAAGACTTGTTCACCTTGCAACGTTGCGACTTCAAATGATGTGAACTTTGTGGACATATTACGCATTAACGTTAGGCCATGGAGAGAAATAGCATTTTTAGGTGATCAATCGCTACTTCCCATTGTGACATCAACAACAACATCTCGCAACCCCACCCGGTCATCATACATACACAGCCCCCACTTCTCATCTTCCCGTCTTTTAAGTCATCTATGTCCTTCCGTTAGATGCGCTCCGTGATAACTAATGGCGCCAAAGTCGCTATCTCAGTGTCAGCCTCACACAACGCGACCCTTGACCTGCTTCACGTTCTTTACATTAATGTCGCGCCACATTGCAGCCGCAACAAGAGCGCACGACACCATGCAGATGCCCGTAATGAGCATCAGCCTCTGTGGGTCAGCGTAGGCCTGCGCTATACCTTTCCTCTCTGGTGATCCCACTTGTACGAGGGCTGCATCGGCAATGACGCATAGATGTGCTTGACATTCACACCCTCAGGGACGTGCTTGACTAGAAAAATAGATTGAGCACAGCGATGATAACGGCCATAAGCTGGTGATCCGAGGGCGCCATCATGGCTATTTCACCTGCAATGACAAATGTACCTCCAGCAGCAGACGTGAAGATTTGCGTCATGACAATGTATCCAATGCTCATTCTCGACTGACGGAAGTGAATCATCGACCCATTTGCTATGATATCAAGTGGAATAGCAAAGTACACCGGGAGCCACTTGAATCGTTCCGTGATCCTAACCGCCGGCCCAACCCAACACCAGCCAGACACCAAAAGCAGGATACAACGCGATTGATGCTGGTGACATAGCTAACGTTCCTGACGTTGAGTCCCCACACAACGTGCAGCATGGAGCCAAGGTACGAGCCCTATACCACGATATTGAAGTAATTGAACACGAACATGATGCCTGCGAAGAATACGGTACGGTCGAGGAGGAGCTTGTAAGGGGAATGATGGTGGATGGGGCAAAGAACTTCTCCAAGATTGGGAACGCGACAAGTAGAATGAAGCCAGCGACGATCATGCCGATGATCATGGGTGATTCCCATTTCTTTGCCTGGTAGGACCACAAGGCGAGCGGAAGGAGGAACAGAGCCATATCTGCGACGAGCATCAGGATACCGATGAGGTCGATATCAACGCAGAATACATTTATAGCTGGAATGCTCCATTTGATCTTGCGCGTCTCAAGCAGACCTTGTTTGTGCGCTTTGCGATCGTTGCACAGGACAAGAATGGCGAGGGGAATCACGATGGTGAAGATACCAAAGGCCCAGCGCCAGCCTGGACCTGCGAGGACGGATTGCGCAACGGGGCCACCAATCCAGGTCGTAATAACATAGGGAGAAGTGGCGAAGGAGAGCATAAGGGCTTGGTTCTTGAAGGTGGAGGTGTCGGCAATGAAGACTGTGAGAATGTAGGAGACGGCTTGAGATCCGATGTGCTGTCAGCATGTGTCTCCACTTGAGACTAGTACGGCTTACCCAGTTGATGAAAAGACCTGAGCTGCAGCATGTGTCTCGACGTTCTGACACGATGCCATCATGATGTATCCTATTATCCACACGAAAAGCGACAGCAATAGTCCCTGAGGTCGACTCCAAATGTCTAACAGTTTTGCCAGAGGAATCTTGCTCAAGCCGCCAATGATGGAAGACATGATGCCAGTCGCAGCAGTGAGCGAGTGCAGGCGGAAGGCGCTGGTCACGTATGGGTTCATGGCGCGGACGACAACTTCCTGGAGTGCGGTGACGAAGTAGATCCACCAGATGCTGGGGATTATTAGCATTGATGGGGTAGAATGGAGGCTTCAAGATAGTCTCAGATAAGATAGGAACCAAGAAGATGGTATTTTGTCTAGACAGACGTGGCAGCTTCAACAGCTTTGACACCAGCTTGCGCGTTGCTCGAGAGACTTTCATCACCACGACCCTTCTCTGATGCAGTCTGAGACCCGACGCCCTTCTCAGAGTCAACGACAGCAGGCGTATCAGGTCCGTTAGGTGTGATCTCTTCGTTAGTCTTGCAATTTGAAAGATTGAGGAAACCTATGATGAA